ATATCGGTCAAAGTTTCCCAAGTGTCAAACCCCTCACTCAGGAATGCATCGAGGTATTGCTCAAGGCCTAAGCGCTCGAGATAGGGCGCAAGATCTGTCATTCAAGCGTGCTGGTGGACTCATCGATAGTAAATAGCTACCGCCAGGGTGTATCTTGTTGTTCAGTCCGGAGGATCTGCCGTGCAAGCAGTTCGGTGAGTTGTGACTGGCTTTGCTCTGTGTTGCATGTGGAAACAACACTAAATGGGAGTGAAGTGGTCTAGACCTTCTGTCGTGGCAGCATCGAGTAACAATGAGTGGATTTGGGGTATCGAAGCCCGGCGGATGCTATGTCGGCCTTGGCAATATAGGGCGCTAGCCACAGGATAAAATTTTGTGTACTAAATTCCAGATATGGGAAATTTAGCAGAGCAATGATACCAAATGGCTTGATGGATAGAAGCCTTGGGATTCTGATGGGTGTTGGATGGTAAGCTGCCGTTTAGGTATCTTTAAGGTCGCGCCGCAGCTCGATCTGTATCGCCGACTAGTGATGAAAGATCCAGTCCGAAGTTCGTCAGGGTCCGCAAGGGTCCTCTCAGACACCCATGAGAGTAGAAGGAAGGGGTGGTGGGGGACAGCGAATAAGAGGGTGGACTGGGAATGCCCGGAGACGAAAAGTTGGATTGATACGACGGTGTTGTACCCTCGAAAAGGTAGACTTCAGAGCTCCTAAATGGGACAGCCAGATCTAAACTGGCAATCAGACGGCTTATCGGTGCGATACGATCGTGAGACCACGCGATCAGGGGGGTTGTTTCTTGGTTGAAGTGGCGATCAGTTGGCCACAAATAGAGATGCAAAAAAACTCCCCCGCCAACCTAGGCCCCGTGCAGCAAGAGACAAGAAGGGAAAAATGGCGACAAGCGCCTGTGTATTGAAAGAATGAAAAAAGAGGCGAGGAAAGGCCGGCTAGCAAAAGACTATAGGCTGTTCATGAGAAAACCCAAGGTGTGTATGAAGTTGCCAAAGGGAAAAGAAGCCAAATGTCAGCTGTACGAGAGCGTGGAGAATGGGAAGCTAATTCTCAGCTACTTCGCATGATGCAAGGAGCTTCGCCTTTCGGTCTGACGTGCCGTCACCCGCCTTTTTTCACCTTAGCGAGGCACTGTGGGTTGTTTGTTGTTTTCTGTACACAGAGAACACTCTCGCTCTCAACCTGACTCGATCTTCTCTCACGGAATAACATGCACAGCGACCGTATCCACGCTCGACCAAACCATGCAGGGCACACCACAGAGTTGGATCTTGTTCCAGTCCCCGGTGGTCCCCAATACGCCGCTCAAAGCCCGCTGTATCCTGGAAACCATCCCACTTTATTAGTTGGCAGACGCTCGGTGGAGCGGGCTCTTTTGCCTTTCCGCGAATGTTACGAGTACCTGCGTAGATGGATTTGTTACTTTCCTCTCCTCCTCACAGCCAACCAGGATACCGAGGGCGGGACGCGTAGCACAGGGGTCAACGCCCAGTGAAGAGACATTGCGGAAATATATGTACCTACAGTATCTTACATATGCTCCTTGATCCCCCGAAAAGTAGCAACCCGACATACGGCAGGTCAAGCAGCAGTTTCATCGCATCAATCCAACCATAGCAGCAAGCAGCATCAAACAATCACCCGTACAAAGTGGAAATGCTACATCTCATAGTATTCGTAACACCTATCCATACTCCATACAACACCAAGGGTCTGACCGGGTCAATAAATTCAATTCCGAGGGAAGGGAAAATGGGATCTAGTTGGACCCTGAAATGTCGTTCCACACGTTCACCATGGCCCATGCCTTGCTGGATACTTGCACTTGTACCTCTAGCAGTAAGCCTGATCTTCAGCCGAAGTCTTGGTGCTGTCTACCGAGTGCAATCACATACTTCACAGTAGAATAATCCTCTAGGAGGCAGCTAGTTTGAGCTTAGGCTCAGCAGCGACGACAACACTATTACTCGAACGAGCTGTCTCGGAAATTGAGAGACTAGCCCACTCTGCGCAACTACAGGGCAATCGTTCTCGGACTCCCGTATACCAAAGCGTTGCAATGGTGTCGTGAGCTTCATGAAAATGGCATGACTGAGGGCAACCGTTAACCGGTCGATCTGGCGTGAAAAGACCATCTGGTGCCTCTTTTGGGTGAGTGTAAAATTGAGCGAAGGTGTTGCGGCCAAGAGACCTAACCACAAACTGACTAGCTTCCTCCTGGCCACGAGTGCGGAAGATTTGTGCATCCACCTCTGACGTCGATTGCCGCACAAGACTGCGATCCCGGTGAAGTCTTGGAATAGGACACAACTCTTCAGGAAACTGAGATCTCTCTGCTAATACTCGATCCTGCGCACCAGGCAGGTTGGAGCGGATCCAACCCACTCCCGTAGCTGCTTCTCTCGAGCTTCCACCATCTCTCTCTCCTCTACAATGTACTTCCATGGCTACGGGTATGGGGGTCGCGACACCAGGGATCCCACTTGAGGTGTCCAGTCGGTGCCGAACGATGGGTCATCCTCGCCAACAACTTTTTTGCTCTTCACGGAAAATGCTGTTGCATCCACCCTAACATATCCAAGACGGACAACCTTCTCAGGAGGGCCCGCCGGTGCCATTCCGACACAATACCTGCTATACGGTAAAGTCGATGGATCAGATCAAAGTTTACGATTCCGCCATCAAGACTCCGATGGCATTTGCCTATTCCGAATCTCTGGAAACTTGCTCTCCCGTAACCATGGCAAGAGTAGAATTATCTCGAATCAGCGTATACTCGCAACGTCGACTCCGTATATGGCATCGGCATCCGGTCCGATCGTGCTTTAGCCGCGAGGCTATGGCTTTTAACATCGGAATAGGAAAGCCGTGGTGGCATCCATCTAGATAAGCTTATGAAAGCAGCCCCAGGTTTTTGGTGAACAGTGTACGTAAGTCTCTTCTTTTCCTTTTCAATGATCTTGGAGAGATCCTATCAGTCAGTTGCAGTGCGTAGGGTAATGACGGCGGTACTAAAGACACAGCCTTGGTTACTGGGAGCAATTCCCGCCTCAGGCAAACTTGGCCTTGCAACGACTTCAACCAAGCATGACGGGCGGCCACGCCATCGATTCACGATAGTTTCTCCAACTCCTGTTCGGGCTGGCGATCGACATTGCCTGCGTCTACAAAATGATGCTAACTTGCTACTTGCCTACAAATAAAGTCTGTCTTGCGTGATACTCGTAACATTGTCCACTTTTCCTTCTGTGCTTAGTCCCTCGCTTCCCACTCATGCAGTCCACCACCTTGTCAGATCCGCCGGTCGAGTCGAAGAAAGTCGAGTAGGAGTATCCCCTCGCCATCCTATAAGTCTCATACTTCGGAATACTTTGAACACAACAATTGTAATTGCATCCATGGGGAATATCCTTGTTTTCCTTCTTAATGACTTCAGGCGGGTCATTACCCGAAATGTCTTCCCGGTCAGGACAAAAATCTCTTGGGCTGAAAAAAGGATTCTTCGAATCCTACAGGGTCCGAGCAATGCATAAGGTTTGGTCAGTCCGACACTAGCAGGGCATTGATGCGGTATGATGTATGAAAAAGTATAAGTCACCGACACGGAGCCCCAGCCGGATCGGGAAGCAGGTGTCGAGATAGATGTTGCTGGCCGAGTCCATGCTGATGAATAAAAAAAATTTCATTCAGAATGCCAGACTGTAGGGGTTCGGGCCCGTTAAGGTGTAAGATGACACCCCCGATGGTACTCGGACGATGCCGGTCAAGCACAAGCAATCGATGATCGGAAGATGACTGCATTTTGATACGAGCGCAGGGAATTCCTCGTATTATTCGTGAGCAGCGCTCTTGCAGGCTAAGCCAGATTGGAACAGCCGGGGCGATCGTATGCTGCTGCTTTTCGAACCCTCTTCTGGCGTCAACTTTACCTGGACGACCCAACTTCATCGACCTGCCTCTTCCATCCACCAGCTTAGACCTTCCCCCCTCCCTGCACACATACACCCCTTACGCCGATCTTGGACCCTGCCTCCGATTTCTCCCAGCTCATACGAGTACTCGTACTATACGCTTTCATTTCACGCTCTGCACTTCCCACTTCAGGACGTCCAAGACTGACCAAGAGTTAACTTTGAGATGGCCCAACAGAAACCCGACAACCAACCCCCCAGCAGCCAATCAGAAGAGGTCCGTGAGAATGACAATCCGCAACTACTGAATAGCGAAATGGCCAGAGTAAGCAAAAATCCTGTTTATTAATGCCGGCTTGGACTGTCCACTGACCGTTATCCTCGCACTGGGTTCTATAGGCATTTCAGGAACTCGCACAGTAAGATCAACGATGAGTCTCCGCATCGATTCAAGGGAATTAATCACGGTAATTAGTGGCGAGAGGACAGCATCCGCCCTGGAAGCCAAACTCGACGGCATTGAGAGTCGCATCGAGGAGCTGCTGGCAAGTATCGAAACAGGCTCCCGCCAGCCTGGTCAGGCCTCGGACTCAGCGGCCCAGAAATGATGGGGCCACACCGGGAGATTCCGAAACAAAACTGCTTGTTCTGGGCAAATCGGACCTCGCTTAGCATGCCTTTTTCCCTCACCTACCCATCCTTATTTGCTTATCCGGCATCGCGAAGACAGATTACGAGCGTACTCGTAACGCATCCCGTGCCAAGCATCCCGATTAGCCGGTACGATTGGAAACAGATTATTGAACAACGGTCTCCATTATGGAGGCGCAGGAAGATCGCTGTAACTGGCTACTGATCACGATTTCTGGAATAGGGAACCAAATTCGAAACGGCCCTCCACCTTGACCACCACACCGACCTCGGTGATGACTCCGTCGATGAGGTCTGCCGGTGTGACATCGAAAGCCGGATTCCAGACATCAATGCCGTCGGCAGCCGTACTGATGACTTCTGCATCCTCATCGACCAGTATCCTTCCATCTGGGTTAATCTTCGGTCCTTTGATCCTGGTCACTTCTTCGGGCGCTCTTTCTTCTATAGTGATGTCCTGACCAGACGCCGTACCGAGATCAATGGTAGTTCTTGGAGCAGCGACGAGGAACTTGACACCATGGTGACGGGCAAGTACTGCGAGGGAATGCGTTCCAATCTTATTCGCAGTGTCGCCATTGGCTGCAACTCGGTCAGCACCGACAACAATGGCAGCGAGACAATCTCCCTCTTTCGCCAACAAGGCGCAAGCCATTGAATCTGTAATCAGAGTTGCCGGTATGTGGTCGTGGACAAGTTCATACGCAGTCAATCGAGAACCCTGATTATATGGCCGGGTTTCCGTGCAATAAGCCCGACTCAGCATATCAGCTGCTCTTAAAGATCTTATCACGCCGAGAGCGGTACCATATCCAGCGGTTGCCAAAGACCTGAACATTATCAGTAATGGGGATCAACGTCGTCCTTCACGCTTCGTTTCTTACCCTGTGTTGCAGTGTGTTAAAACCTTTAGCTCTTGACCCTTGTCCTGCTTCCTTCTTCGCCCTACTGTTGTGTTTTGTTCTATCCACCTAGCACCGTGCTCGCCTATCGCCTTGTTGTCAGACACATCGTCAATCAGCATGCGCTCGGCAGCCGCGATGTAAGCTTGCGCTACAGAATCAGATGTGGCTTCTGGTTGTAAAGCAGCTGTTTTGGCAACAATCTTCAATTTCCCTACTGCATCTCCCAGGTTGACGGCTGTCGGTCTACTTGTCTTCAAGTACTCTAAGCGCTGGTTCAACCTCTCCTTGACAACTTCGGCGGCATCGGACAGTTTCTTCGCCACGACCATCGCCCCAATCTCAACAGCGAGGGCCAGCGCAGCCACAATAGCGATGGCTGGCGCACCCCGCACCTTCATTTGCTTGATGGCAGCATGGGCCTCCTCGCAGGTCGAGACTTGTTCGTAAGTCGTTCTATGCGGCAAGAGAAGTTGATCGAGGATGCGAAGGGAGGGAGGGGAGGATGTCGATGCGGGTTCGTATAGGATCGCTTGCAACACCATATTGCTGGTGAGGTAGGCACTTGGGACTGTTCAACAAGCACCGGACTGGACACCTTCTAATACTAGCACTATGCTGTGTGTATGTTTTCCACTTATATGTATGACCGTCGCCGCCACGACAACTTTTTTTTCCTTGCGTTCGCGATTCTCAATGCGGGGTACAGTACGACGAGTCAATCGAAAACCCTCGCGAACAAAACCTGATTCGTGATCTTGTACAGGGGATCATTTGAACATAGACGTGCAGCATGCCACGGATGTTTAAGATGCACTTACTCAACATCTAAATCTTCAATTGAGACAGCCAATACCTCGATCAAAAAGAATGCAGACTTTCTCTGGATCTCCCCTGGTAATATTTTCCTTGACTGTCGGCAATATGATAACTAGGTAGGTACCCAGCAGCCCACTCGGTCTGAAACGTCAGTTTCACACTTTGCTGAAGAAGCTCGACATTGCAATTGTACGTCCTCGTAACACATACTCGTAGCTGGGTGCCATCAAGTTTGCAGATTGTGGTCCATGATCGTCTATACTTGCAAAAGTCCCTTTCCATGGATCCTGACTACGTCAGCTGCGTCATGTATGACGATGCGATCTTCGATCTGAAGCACTGCAGAAAATGAGGCTGGATCGCGAGGAGATCGTCGGCACACAAGACACAAGAAAAGATGATGGAAATTCGTCATCGGGATCTACGAATGATGGTCGGTTCGATCAACGAAGGCTATGAAGCCCAGTCTTCGCGATCACGAGAAAGATGTGTCATGATCCTTGGATGGCAGACAACTGACTCCCTTGCGTCGGATCTGCAGATAAAGATCAACCATGAAGTTGTCTACAGATCGCGAGCATTATTGATGACAGGATCTTTGCCTTCTGAGCACGAACCCATATTCTTTGCAACCAAAACAAAGAAGTCGGTCAACACACTTCATGGTTTAATGGTAAGATCCCACGCCCCTTTAGGAGACCAAGCCTTGGAGTGCCTTGGAGGACATGTTGAAAGACTGATTGTGTGAGCCGGCTTGGGTGAAGAATGGAAGAGAATGGCAATTGGTCAAGTTCCTTCATACTCAGGTACCAGGTAGGTAGGTAGGTAGGCACCTGTGTTCCTGCTTCCATCTTGTACTTGTGCAGTTAGCGCTCATAACGAAACCACTGTCCTGATATGATGCTCCCAGATATGTTGGTATCGCCCGGGAGGTACCTTGGTCGGGATGAGTACTCGCCACGCATAGACGGTAAGTAGTAGTCCGTATCTTCTTGCGAAACTGCCACCGTAGCTATTTACGTAGAACAAAGTCCTCAAAGATCAAGCGGGAGCACCATATCGGCCTCGGCTACTTCCCGAACGACATTGTGATCAAATGGTGCCTTTTCAGAATCACGGCAAAATTCACACGCAGTCTCGTATCCCTTTGCTGCCGCTGTCAAAAACTCCCGCACCTCCTCGATGGTATTTAGTCTCCGGCAGTATTCGCTCAGTCCCGCCAGACATATTCATATTATACGACGGATATGCCCCCCCAGTGAACCAACTTACAACTTCCCAAGAAGGGTAGGCGTGAGGAAACAAATCCCCGTTGTCGACCGAGTACAGTAGGAGGAAGTTTTGTCTTGGCTTTCTGCCCGTGCGGTCATTTCCATTTCGTTGAGCCGCATTGTTTGATCCCCGACCTCGGGCTATCCGCATAACGAGGCAAAACTGCCAGCTTCAACGCGCCAACTCTCTCATGAACGGATGGCTTTCGAAGCATGTTCTCATTGATATCTCATAATCTTACCAATCTACCTCGTCCACCCCTCTTGTGTCCCCCTCAGGAAAGTAGATACAACAATTTGAAACGTGTTCTCCTCGTTACTGACTACTTAGCCTCTGGGTCTCCTGATATTCCTTCAAGCAGGCCACTCTACGCCACACTATTTACTCCCGGTCAACACATGTTACCAGCCGCCATGATTTTGTGCCGAGCTCGCATACCAATTTAGCCGGAGACGTTCAATGGACTATGTGTGAATTACATACGGTTCATCGTTTAGATGCCGAGTTCGCCGGCCTCCAATGGCGAACTTTTCCTGCCACAAACACTCTCTCCAGTCGATGGGTACCCCAGACGATACAAAATGTGGAGGGAAAGATAGGGAGGAGGTAACGCCGTCCGAACACCAGTGATTGCGACCTTGCCGGAAGCATACTTGGATCGTCCATACATCTCCAATTCACCCATATTTGTTGCAAAGTTGTTTACCGCCCTCAAATCAGGCTAATATCTATTCTCGACGACCATAACATTGCGACGCGGAGTGTGACCGACGGCAAATATCGCAAAGGTCTACCTTCGAGAACTACACGGACTTTCATAGCTCTCAAAGTCCATGTGACGTTGGGCAATTTATCCTGTTCCAAAGCGACCGGGTGTACACCGAAAAAGGAACGGCGGACCATGAGCTGGGGAATATATAAGATGCCCCCAGCTACGGCGAACCTGTAACAACTTCGAAATGATTCACGTCAGGTAAGGAAAAGGCTCCCGATCATCCATCCAGCATGCTCGGCTCTACTCTGTTGTCACTGCTCCCGTTGGCAGCGGCCGTACCATGGGGTAACCCAGGAGGATGGGGTGGTGGAGGATCTTCATCGTCGACTCCCAACTTTGACAACGTCACCATCTTCGTGGCGCCGGATGACTGGGAGCGTCGCAGCACGAGCTACGCTCGGGTCGTCCTGTTGAACCAAAACTGCGAGACCGACAATGTCCTCCTGACGACATTCACACTCACGCCCGACGGAGAACGTTACTATCCGGTCTTTGCGTCTCACGACCAGGGCCAGTCGTGGGAAGAGATCTCAAAGATCTACTTCACCCAAGAAGATACGGGCCACGACTTCAGCCAAGGCTTCCTGGCCCAGCCTGACTTCCTCGAGTTGCCCATAGACGTGGGTGACTACCCGGCCGGGACCGTCTTGTTCACGGGCATGGGTCAGCCCAATGACATGTCATCCACCAACATTTACGTCTATGCCTCTAGAGACAAAGGGTGAGTTGTTTGAGCCCCCTTTTCCCGCCTTGGTGGAAGCACGGCACGGCCAGTACCCATGGAGTGCGCCTTGCCCTTTCCCCCCCCCCCCCCCCATTGAGAATACATCTAGGTACACACAGCACTGACACTGGCAAACATTCGAAAGGTACACGTGGGAATTCGTCTCTCAAGTCGCCCAGGGCGGCCCTGCCAACACCACCAACGGCGCCACCCCCATCTGGGAGCCCTTCCTGCTCATGTCCCCGGTCAGCCACGACCCGCCGTGGGTGATGGACGCCTACTCGGACCAACGCGACCCGGCCCACGGGCAGAAACTCGCCCACCAGTCCTCTCCCGACCTCAAGTCCTGGGGGCCCGTGATGGACGACGCGGCCGAGGCCAACTACACGCAGCGACCCGGCATGACCACCATGGCCAAGATGGGCAACGGCATGTACATCTTCACCTACGAACTGGGGTTCTCGACCGACGGCCTCCCCACCAACTCACCCTATGCGGTCCACTACCGCATGTCCCCGGACCCCGAATACTTTGGCGCCGCCGAGGAGCACCTCCTTCGCTCGTCGACCGACGGCCTGATCCCCAGCTCGAGCCCTTACGTGGTCTGGACCCCCGTCGGCCCCACCGGCAAAGGGACACTCGTCGTCAGCGACGGCTCCTACTCCCAGGTCTTCATGAACACCGAGTACGGTGACCCGGACGCCTGGTTCACCGTCGACACCACCCACGGCGTCGGCTACAGTCGCAGTCTGACCGTCATGCCGGACGAGACCAAGGTCATGCTGGTCAACGGGGGCATGTACAACACCAGCGTCACCATGGTCACCGCGGGGATGATCGACATCCCCGGGACGTACGCCGACGGGTTCGGCCCCGAGGCGAGTGGCGGAAAGGATTCTGTCAGCAGTTGTGGCGGGAAAGGCTTCTGGAACAACTGGGGAGATGAATGAATGAATGGACAGAAAGAGAGAGAGAAGATGGCCTCCTCCGTACATTCATAGAGGGCATTCTTCCTTTAACACACGTGGCCAAAAAAATCAGGTACCATATCACACCGAACCAGCCCGCACTGGATGTCGACATGCGCACGCACATAGGACTGCAACAATAGGTATGAAATACATAAATCCAATCGAGTCAAGAACAAACATATTGTTTCAACGCGATGAGAACGTGATCCGGTTCATGGAGTGAGGTCGCCGTCTGAATTGGAAAGCTGGAGGAAGGAGTTGGTTTGGTTCAAAAGGCGCAATGGTCGTAAAGTGTGATAAAGCATATCCAATGATGGGACCATGTCTGGTAATGCTTTACGGCAGTACGGAGCTAGAGCGACCGCTATAGCGACCGAGTCCAGAAAGTCTTAATTACAAAGCTCGACAAATTGCAGTCATCTGCCAAAGCGCGCAAACAGTATATATACCCCATAGACTCTCGACGATGAGAAACACGGATCCGGAAATTGTAGATTTGGGACGGTTGGGTTTGTTTGATTTGATACGCGAGAAGATGCGCGAGAATGTTTGACGAGAGTAATACTGCTCTGGAATAATTTCTTCTCCAAGCGCAACCCAGGCGCCGAATCTTCTGCTGGAATGCTCGATCGACCCGTCTGCAAACTCGTCCAAATATCCCCGTTGGCTTGTCTGCATACTCAAGTTCTCGTTGAGCAATGTCATGTGTGTAATTGTCATCGAACCGCTCTGATGACCGCTTTGATGGCCACTCCACTGCACACTCCTCGGCCAGGCATGGAGTCTTGAGATTGCATTTGATCTTCATTCTAGGGCGCATCCCCCAGTCCGAGTACACGGCAGCCGCACACCCCCAAAGTTTCTTCTCGAGTTGATGTCCTGTCGCATGCGTTGACTCGAAAACTCAGTCGCTCGAAATATATAGCACTATACGTCGAAATCTCGTCAGCTTTTTTTTCCCGCGCTTTTCCACAATTGGGAATTCCTCGATCCCCTCTGGCTTTGGCCCAAGTGTCCTCAGCCGTAAAGACCCCCAGGAGAGGAGGGAGACACTCACCATTGTTTCCTCTCACGAAAGCATCACCGTAGTTTCTCCGTAATTGTCCATTCACGTATTCGGCGCATTTTTCCAGAGCAATGTTCATGTACCCATCTACAGACTGCAATTCACCCTTGTACACCAGTCCAGAGTTCAGCTTGACCGTCACAGGGACCCCGATAATGGAGGAGAGGAAGGCCGCTGGGTCTTTGGGGTCGCTGGGTGCAGTGTGATTTTCCATCTTTGACGATTTGTTTGGGGGTGTTCGTGATTCGGTGGATAGATGAACAGCAAGATGGAGTTGGAAAAGGTTTCGATGGTATGGAGATTGTGGACGAGTTCCGAGGTGCGTGTTCGTTCGTCGAAGGGAGTGCGTGACGGATGGTATGGCGGGAGTTTTAAGAAAGAACTGGTGGAAAGATGGAAATAGTGGCAGAGCCTTGCAGTGAGAAAAGTGCGGGGAGCAGTGGGAACCTCACAGCCTCAGGACTCGTACCTGAGGTACCTGAGGGCAGCCAGGTGCTTGTCAAACTTACCTAATAAGTCTAATTATTAGGCGGCTCCTCTCGCGGGTTTAGGCGTGGTCTTAAGTCCAATGACAAGAGTTCTAGGCCCTCTTCAGGTACTGTGCAGCCTCGTCAAACTTGCCAGTCAGCCTCATGGGCCTCGCTTCCGCTTCCGCTTCTCTTTGCATCTCACTTTATTATTTCTGGTAGTACGGATATCTGGTTAATTTGTTTCAGGAGCATCCCTTCGTTTTCACAGTCGGGTCTTTGGGACCAAGGTCGCGATGATGGATCTAAGCTCGAGACATGAGACCGTAGTAGCGCCAGTACCTCTATTGTTGTACGCTAGTGGAATGCGTCGGTGAAGTTGCTTCACTTGCCGCTTCTCAAGGGGTAATGCTTGCATCAAAACCATCCGGAGGTGCTCTTGTGCGACCTTTCCTCCAACCAAAGTACTTGTCACTCACTGGACGCGTGGAAGGCATGACTTCGCCCTTTTCCTGGTACTAAACTTGCACTCACGTCCTTCTCATATCTGACTTTTTGACATATCCCTTTTATTCGTGGCGACTTGGTCGCTGATTCGCTCACTACCAGATACACTCTCGGTCAAATGTTGTCTCAAGTGCAAGACAGACTCGAGGACATCAGACGTGAACTTCAGGAATGCAATGAGCAGCTGGTTCGAGAGGTCAAGCAGCTCACCGAAGACTTCGCGCGACTCAGCTCGTCGGCTCCGCGGCTGGATGAGAAGCATCAGCAGCAGATATGTGTAAAACATCAGAGATGGCAGAATACCTTGGCATCTCTCGAAGAGCAGCTCGACGCCTTCTTGGAGCATAATACTATCCAACCCTACTAAAAGGATCGATGACTTGGAAGGTTTTCGCAACACCCCAACCAATATCAAGACCTGAAATCTGCCTTGACACCCTGCAAGACAGACAACAACATCAATCATCCTTTCCAGAATCAATCCCGTCAAGGACATCGACTACCGAAGCTGATGGCGCATCCTCTAACAATTTCTGTCTCGCTTGGTCCGCGAGACTACCTGTCGGACCAATCTTTTCTTCGCGACGGTTCAAGAAGGAAAGATAAGTCTGCCATACGACTGCAAAGACTGCCGAGAAGGCGAATCGCAAATGTGCAGGGATAAGGGTGAAATTCAATGCAGTCACCAATGGCCAGAACTTGGCCGAGCTCACCACACTCTCTGGCACTGCTGAAACGACACGATGAATAATGACCGACGGCTGCTGTCCTGTCAAGGCAGCTTGCATTCCAAAGAAGTATGTGTTGAAGACGGGCGCGAACAGGAACTGCTGGATGAGTACTTTGACACTGATGGAAGCCCATTTTGAGGCATAGTTGAAGTGGCTGCCGAGGAAGAGGAACCTTTGCCCAACAGGATCAGTATGTTTTGCTTTCAGTATCGAGAGATATATCACGCCTACCATCTATATCCTGGGATCGACGCGAGACCTCCGACTGCGAGCATTCGTAAAGTTCGACTGCCATCATATCGTTCTCCTCCAATTTCTTGGGCCAACAGATCCCCAGTCAGATATGTTGTCAGAGAGGTCGCCAAGGTCGTTGCCAACGGCCGTCTTCGCTGCATGCGACTGAACCACGAGAAGAAATCCTTGACTGGGCCCAGTCGATGATACCATAGGGGGCTAGGTACATCAATCACAGAGGATTCTGTCGAATGTGGAACCTCAGTCACGATCTGGTTAGGTGTATGAGGTGTTTTCTGGAGTTCAGCAGTCTTGATCTGATCTTTCGTAAAGACACTCCTACTGAATTGACGGTTTCGAGGAAGGAAACGGCGTCCAAAGCTGCGACTTGTCCAGTTAAAGGCCATCGCCATGCTGGGTCGCCCAGGTAGATAGTACACGTTCAGACGTTGACTTGTGCACACCTCGAGCTTCAATCCGACTGCGTCACGCACTCGGCGTCGTGACCCAATTGGGCTTAGCGTCAACTCTTCTACTCGCGCAGCCCTTCTCTGTATCTATTTTCTAGTCCTTGACTTGGCCATTTTCATTGATAGATGTATCATCACCTCACGACTCGCATTGTGCGACCGGTCAATGTAGCCTAGGAAACACCTGGTATCAGGCTGACCAATTTTGAGTCCTCCATTCTCTAACTCAGCGTCGCATTTCTCAACTTGTTATGACTGTATGTAATTCTGACTTGTCAACTATTTAGTTGTATCTGGTAGAACCCGTCTCAGGCTCTTCCTTCGGTTTTCTCTTCCCATGCTCTGAGTTTACAAATGATCATAGAGGTTGGATACAGTCCTCGCAGTCACTATTCCAATTTGCCTGTGCCAAACTCACTGTCATGTCGTCAAAGTTGTAGAGCACGTAGGCGGAACGGAGGAACGTATCGCCCAAGATAAAATTCCCATTTTCCGTGTCGTCAGGCTCCCCCCACATACCCAGCATGCATTGGCCCGCAGATGAACCGTCCATGATGAGCTCAGAATAGGGGACGGTGATGGTGACAGAACCAGATACATCCGCGAAGGTAAAGGACAGGCCACCTGCGGAGGAGGCCAATCCACAATCCAGCACGTACGTATACACCTCGGAATCGGAGGTGGACAACTATGACTCCGAGTAAGTGACGTGGAAGAGATAGGATATAAGACAAGGAGTACTCACACTCGCGCCAAGGGCAGCAGCAATGGCGGCTACTTGCGTTTGGGGAAGCCTAGATATGGGGGTCCCAGTGTCCAACGTGACAGTATAGGGGACTGTGCTTGGGGGGATCTCCCATGTCTGGCCGTTCAAAGATAGAGAGATGGTCGGTGCAGCGACATCCAGATCGAACTGCCTATCAGGGCTCGGTTCAATGAGAGGGAAGCCAACAAGATCGCCCAGCCACTTGGAACTGTCGTAGCCGCCGAAAATGACCATGCCAGCCGTGGCCGAGATGGCGTTTAGGTATACACTATAGGCACGAACGCCAATGAGGCCTTGCGCCTTGAGCTGGTCAATGTAGCCGGGATATTCGATACCATAACCCAAGTATGAAGGTTCGTTCTGGGGAAGACCAATGCCCATGATGCCGCCTTGAGGGTCACCCTTGGCAGCATGAGTGGCGACACCAATGACGATGTCTTGGGCGGATGTATCTTGAGTTGTCAAGGTGTCCGATACATAGAAACCACTGACTCCGTTTGTCGAACCATAGCTGATATTGAGTACTCCAAGGTCTTCCCTGTCGATGGCCGTTTGGGATTCAGACGGATCATCTGTATGACCTTTGTCAGTCGTGCATATCAACCAAGGACAGGAGGACTGACAGTAAGCGGATCCGCATTCGGAGCATGAGGAAGCCACCCCGGCCGAATATGCCCATATCACACTACTTCCAGTGTCGAGTACCAGGTCGATCATCTGCGGAGGCGTGCCGATGCCGACCTCGATATAGTATAGGGAGCTTGCCCTTTCAAGGGGTGAGTCAAAGGCCGAGAGTGCATCAGAGTCTCGCTTTTGCACGCTCGATGTTCGCTTTGTGCTGAATGGGAGTGCAACATACGAAGAAGCTCTCTTGTGCAAGGTTGGAGGAAGTGCAGAGATATAATCAATCAGACATACTGCAAGAAGGATGAGTGGAGGAAGCATATTGGCTCAAAGGGAGGAGGTTTCACTCTGTCCTTCGACTTGAAATGAACCATCAAGGAACCCAACAGCCTGGGCCTGTTTTATACCTGATCCGACACACCCTCGAGACCGACCAACATAGTACCTGGGGCATACCAGCTCACTGCGACCAGACTGTACCTCTCTACCCATCCCGCCGAAGGCCCCGTCTTCATCCACCCAAGCTGAAAAAGACACTGTGACCCCGCAATGAGCGAGTTCATCTCCCGGGCCTTCTGGCTCCTGGGCTGATCAGTCAGCCTAGAGATGGTCTATCTTGAAGAAGACTTCAGTCAAAGTAAGGGCTAGATCACCAGTGCATCTTGCTGCAGTGGCTGGCGCAACTTCTTCCCTTGCCCGGTTGAAAATTTGTCATGTGCCGGTGTCCAAGCCGTTGTCCTGTGAAAATCGTCCGGTAACGCGTCGTCTGATAGACAGAAGGTAGGGTCGGTTCCGCGCCCAATCTGCTGAGGCGGACTCGGCCTGTGTAATAAGTTCGAGCTCATGCATGAAACTATCGAGTATTGGAACGCCACGTCCGGGTAGGAAGTCACAAAATACAAGGAGATCAACGTCTTCGGTTGTCGCTGAGAAAGCGGGAGTCGTCCCGAATCAGTCGCCTAATGCTGAAAACAACGGCCACCTGGTCTCGATAAACTGTCTGCCGGCAATCCTTTCCAGGCATGATCCAAAATGGCCAGCCTCTGGCCCCTCAAACACGGTCTATGGCGTCCAATGTCCCAGCAACGACGCGGATAGTAAGTGTTGTACTGCATGTTTTCAGCTATTCTCCCCCCAAAATCGCTCGGTATCAGGCTTGTTACCTCATGTAAGTGCGATTCGACTTCGTAGCCCCAGAACAGTCTGTCCGGCTGCCTGGGGAGGGTCGTGGGGCCCCAGCATCAATGGACTGCCCTTCTGTGCGAGGTCCTTTTGCAAGCGAGTTAATAAAATATAGTTTGCGTTTGCTTCTTCTCATTGGCAAATTTGGATCATTCTCCGCATTTCAGCTTCAAAAGTGGAAATTGTGGCGCCGAGCTTGGTTTGGGCTAGAGTAAGCGATCTGCAGTTTGGTCCATCCGAAGACTGCTTTCACGTTGAGAATCATCACATCTCTCTGTCTGGAAACTTTTGTGATGGCGGTCTCGATTTATCGATCTTGTCGCCCTGAATCAGGCCACGACATACTGTATCAGTGCCCTTCTCGCTCAGGCCTGGAGGCTGGTAGATACTGCAAAGCTGAGCGCTCGGCCTGACAACCCTACTAAACTGCCACCAATGCTACAGGCTACCTACACTATCTTTGCCGCTGACCTTGATGCATGATTTCAGCCGCAATTTTGAACAGTCTGAGGAAGTTGTGTGCTTTTTGGGTCCAGTCCATGCCCCCATCCGGCCCTTCTAAGTAAAACACAGGGCCATGCAAGCCCGGCAACGCTAGTTATTCTGTGGCCCCCAACTTTCAACCCAGCATGCACGCCCGGACACCCTCAAAGGGGTGAACACGAGGACTATAGGTCTCTCCATGAATGGCAAGAATCAACTCTTTTCAACCTCAGCTCTGGAGACTAGCGACAGACGTAGAGAGAGGGCCGTCCTGTCGCAGCAGGCCACATCAGATGCTCATCAGATCGTGCTCCCCGTTTGTCTCTTGTTTTCTTCTCCCTGATCCTACATCCCAGAGAGCGTCAAGATTTAATTGATGGCAGGCAATACCTTGACCCATACTCGCCTTCTGCACAACTCAAAGATTCTTGCGAGCTACTTATCTGTTGTCTCAGACATTGCAAAATTTCGTCCACCATGTCTAGCTGTCCAAATGGAGCCGCCCCAATGTTCCTGGAATGGGGAAATATAAGCGTGAATATTGACCAAACCCTTACTCGAGGGATTGGGATTGGGATTGGTACTCCGCAGCAGATTGTGGCATTGACGCCGAGTGCCAACGACAACGATCTGTATGTTGTGAACAAGCAGGCGTGTGCACCATCCTACGACGACAGTTGTGCTGGGCAATACGGTGGTCTATTCGACTCCGGTGCATCTACGAGCTACACCGAAGTCACCCAGGCCCAATGGAACGGCACAGCCGAACCGAACCCAAAGCATCTCTCCTTTATCTACTTCAACGACGACATCTCCTTCGGCAATGCGGTAGTCGACGGCTTTCCAGCTTTCATGGACCAGCTTGATTATGGTGAGTTTTTCCCCGTGCGAGCTTCAACCGTGCGCACTTTTTGTTAATTGTTCTTGCCAGGTGGCCAAGGAAGTCTTCCACTCGGGTGGAACTCTACCCTTCTCAACGCCGCGGTCGCCCAAAACGTGAGCCCCTCTCGATATTGGTCTTTGTGGCCGGGAAGCCGATCGATTGATTACGGCGTGCCTGGGGAGCTCGTGCTCGGAGGCGTGGACTTGACACGGTTTGAACCCCAGACTGTTGCAACTTTCCAATCCGAACCGAACTGCGCACTCTGTCCGATTGTCACCGGCCTCAGTTGGGACACCGATAATGGCTCTTTCAACATCTTCTCCAACTCCTCGGACACTCTTCAGATCTCGCTGCAACCTGACGTCAACTGGTTGACGGTCACTCCGGATATGTTCGCCAACTTTGCAAATGCTACGGGAGCATCTTTGACTTTGGATCCTGGTGCGCTGGCATACGACGCAGCTCAGCCGCCGGTGGGTAACCTCACCGTCACGTTGCGTGGTGGCTACCGAACGCAGATCACAGCTGCCGATCTTTTCGTCTACCCAAGAGGCTATGTCAACGGGACATACTCGGTCATCAACAACACCTTCATGGTGGCAGAAATCCTAGCCCAAAACAACACCGGGTCCGTGAGGGACTGGGGAGTTCCTTTCCTGACTTTTAACTATCTCATGGTGGACTACGCCAGAAGCCAGTTTCAATTGGCTCCCGCCATTCGTACCGATTTCAGCGACCAAGGAGGCGGATATCAACTTTCCGCTGTCTGTGATCCAGTCACAACAAGGACACCGCCATCTCGCGCGACGAGCAGCCCACCAGTATCCCCGGCGACCACCACAACGGGAGCCAGGGGTTCAGGCTCCACAAAGGGTGGTAGTGACACTGGGGCGATCATAGGAGGTGTGGTTGGCGGCGTCTTGGGCTTGATCTTGATCGTCGGAGGCCTGGCGTTGTTGTTCTATCGCAGCCGCAAACGGAGCAAGGCCGCATCAGTAGATGCTCAAGACCCCATGTCCCAGCAGGAGCGGATATCTCAGTACACATCATATACCGGGACGACCCCACGAGGAGCCCACGAGGTCAGCAGTGCAACGAAATCCAATCCTGATGTCGAAAATTGGATCAATTCTGCGGGAAGTGACGCGGTGAGAGAAGTGACGAAAAATCTTTAACTGTGAATGACACTGACCTATTTCCTCCCAGGCTCCTTCTGCTACCCTGAACGCTTCGCCACATCCGTTCGAGATGCCTTCTGAGCATTACTGAGGAAACGATTCAGGCCCAAGTACCGCGCGGGTTTTCACAACGATGATGATGGTGGTGGTGATATGTACCAGAAGATTTACTGCTCACCAGGGACGGAGGTAACCAAGCTGCTCTGGACCACTGTCAGCATCAGAGATACTAACCCCCCTTCTACACCTCAAGGACTTTCTTCAAGATTTTTGTAGAGCAGTGCTAAGTGGTTTGGAATTCAGTCCTCTGAACTTCCAATTTGGACTCTGCGGAAGAGCTGTGAACTTCATTCAATTATTGATAGCCTCATAATACTGCCGCAAGTTCACTCAATGTCAAGGCTCTTAATGCGAACTTTTGCCAAATGCGAGCAGTGCACGATCCTCCCCCTTTCGTCTCGAGGCTATGGCATGACAATGAACTATCTACTACACCTTCGCCCCATCCAAGTTTTCCCTTGTTCGCTACCCTCGCTCGGGTTTGTTTCTGATCTGAACACCTAATTCAGCACGGTTGGTTGAGAACAAACAGAGAGGCCTCCTGTGAGTTGTTGCAAAGATCGGGGGCCAAGCAGAGCTCGAACAATTGGGCTCTATCAAGTCCTGCATGGCTTGGCAGATATGTGAAGGCGTTTCAGCCTGACCAGACTACTCTATGCGTCCGTGAGGTCTGCTCTTTTTGTGAATGTCGGATGTTCGACGCTCGAAAATGGTCTTCTGTACTTCCTGCAAGAGCATCACACTGCCATCGGCGTCCGAAAGAGGTGGACACCACCTGCACGACGAATGGATCTCGCTGGAACATTCAGCTGAAGCATGTGAGCTCTGTCGCTTGTTCTTGGACCATCTGCATGCGAATATCGAAGTGAGCATCGTCGAGGAAATTGTTCGACTATGTACCGACCACCAGAGACCACTGAAGATACCCATAAGCGCCCACTATATCCTTGGTTCATTTCTGCCCGAACGCCGCCAGGAGTTACAAGAGACCCCGTCTCAAAAATCGCATCTCTCGATAGCTTGTGGCCCTCTTACGAGGCACGACGAGGTCAACGACGACGATGACGACGACGACAACGAGTCATCACGATCAAAGTTGACTGCAGACCTCTTGCAGCGGCTTCCCATCTACGTCGCAGTCCCAGTCTACGTCTACCCTGGTACGAGCACTTGACCAGGCAACTTCCGGAAAGCTAGACTCGCCGACTGACACATCTGCAGGAGACCCTTTGTCCACATCACGCGTTCAGATTCGTGAACCACTCAACGCCACCTCACTTGACTCGGAAGTTCTCAGAAAAGTCAGACAGTGGCGATCTCATTGTTTGACAACACACCCCGAATGCCGCCCGTCCAACACACGACCAAGGATCTACCCGTCAAGACTACTCGATCTACGGAACGTCGAGTCCACAGGCACGGCACAAATCGTTCGGACATCGCCATCTTTCCACCACGACTACGTCGCACTGAGTTATTGCTGGGGCGCCAAGTATCGGCGGTGGCTCGACTATGTCAAAGCATGCCAACGAGACCAGGACCCGTGGGTTGAGATAGACCAGATGCCTCAGACACTCAGGGATGCCGTAGCCAGTACCGTGGCCTTGGACTTTCACTATCTCTGGATCGACTGTTTGTGCATCCTCCAGGGGAACAAGAACGACTGGCTGGAGGAGGGGTCCAAGATGTGCGAGATCTACGGCAACGCGGCGCTCACACTCTCGGCCAGCGACTCTCAAGATTGCCGAGATGGGTTCGTGGTCGTCCGAACGCCGCTGCAGCGCGAAGGTATCATCCTGCCCTGCCTCGACGAGGCAGGGATGATGGGGTCCCTACACTTCTGCGCCCCGGGGACACCGTTTGACGAGATCGTTGGCCGTGGGCCGGTCGCCCGCCGAGCATGGTGTCTGCAGGAGCGCCAGATCTCGCGACAAGTCCTGCACATCTGTCGCGGCGAGGTCTTTTTCGAGTGCGTGCGCTGCCTCAGGCACGAGAGCGAACGGCGGCCCGACGACGAATTCGACCCCAACGACGAATGGTGGCGGTTCCACGTCTCGCTCGAAAGCCAAGGTCCCAACGCGTTCCCCCGCAAACCTTCTCCGGACGTGTACAATGTGCTCTCGTGGTGCGGCATCGTCGAGGACTATTCGCGGCGAGACCTTGCGTTCGTAGAGGACAAGCTCGCGGCCATTGCGGGCCTGGCCAGACGGGCCCATCGCATCCTGGGCTCTGACTACCTCGCCGGCCTGTGGACGCACCGTCTCCACATTGGCCTCGCGTGGCAGGTGCCCATGGACATGCGCGCCACGAGGGCTCCAGTGTACCGCGCCCCGTCCTGGTCGTGGGCGAGCATGGACGGGCCCGTGAGCTACGACCGCAGCGACGGCTTCGTCCAGAGCGACGACGGTTTTCTCGAGTCCGCCATACACCTGCTGGACTCGTCAGTGTCCCTGATGGGCTCCGACCCCTTCGGCCCCGTCGAGTGCGTCAACATCACCGTCTCTGGCCGACTGGCACAGATCCCCTCGTCCGACTTGCTGCACAACGATATCCTCGAGTACCCAGCCTGGATGAGCGGTGCCGCACCTCAGATCGGATGGCACCTTGAGGACGAGAAGCGAGGGTTGGACACCGACGACACCATCACTTGTCTCAAGGTGGCTGTGAAACCGTTTGGGCCTGGCCCGAGTCTGCCCCCGACCAATTCTATGCTCATTCTGGAACGTGTCGAGGACCATGACCGCTGCCACCGTAGTGACGGTGGTGATGATAGTGATGATCGTGCTCACCCTTTCCCAACATACAAGAGAATAGGTTTTGGACAAGTCTTTGTAACGGATTACTTTGACGATTGTCCACCCATGACTATTACTTTGATATAGATGGAAGAAACAAACTAAACTAATCAAACAACTTACGAGCCCACTCATAGGCCTAGCTAGTCTCCTTGATAAACGTTCAACAGTCGGTGCAGTTTCAATACCCCAGAAATTCAAGGCCGTCCCAAAACCGTCACTACTCCTGGTTGGCTACTCACCCAGAGAAGAATGGAGTTTGGTTGCGTAGTTATATGGATACTTATACTCACACAAGGTGAGTGGTCGGCATTAGGAGCCTTGAACACTTCCAATGTCCGATTCAGCCTGCGGCCGCACAAATACGCAAGGCTGAAGGCACATACGGAGTTGGGAACCAAGTCTTTGATTTCCTCGGAAATAACATCAAGAATCCTCCCGCCCTTTGGATACTTGCAATCGATATGGAGTATATAAAATAGACAATGTCAACGGGCTTCTTTAGAACTACTGTCTTTACCCATCGCTCTCAAGACCTAATCCCCCAAACAAAAGAAATCATACCCACTATCTCCCTAAGGAGTCATGTCTAATACAACCCACGGCCGATGCCTTTGCGGCGCCATAAAATTCACCATCACGGGTGGACCTCTCGGTTCCGTCCTTTGTCATTGTACCAACTGTCAGAAATCCAGCGGTTCATCGTTCCAAGCAAACTGGTTCTGCAAGAAAAACGTAAGTCATTGATCAATCTTCGCGACCTTCGTCGAAATACCCCATTCCGTGGAAGATGCCTGTGGTTGACGAAAGCAAATGATAGCGATTCAATCTCGTCAAAGGCGAAAATACCGTTTCATCGTACCGAGACACCGCGACAGACGCAGGAACTACCGTCCTTCGGTCATTTTGTCGTGTTTGTGGATCGAATTTGTTTACTGTGAACCTGGACAATCCGGCCTTTGAGGACTTCATCATCGTCACATCCGGTTGTCTTGATGAGCGGGCACGCAAAAACTTCGTGCCACAACAAGAATACTATTGTAAACGTCGACAGGGTTGGGTTGTGCCGGTCGAAACGAGCGCGAAGTTCGATACAATGACTTGAAGAGGCACAATAGCATACTCCGTATATTATGGATGTTTTCGCAATGAGGCGAATAGATCAACCTTACCTGAGGCATCTTGATCTAGGAAAAGCACACCCATTTCGTAGCTTGTATAGGAGACATCTCATTCAGATTGCTCATATCACGGATCCTACCGCTGGTGCGTCGTACTGCGTGCCAACATTCAGTGAGGGCGCTGATTTGTGCCCAATCAACAATAACTTGGCCAGTTGTGGATTTTACTGGATGTCAAATTGGAAGATATTGCCCAGTGGGAAAGGGTAGCCGGGGTTTGTACGTACAGTAAACAGACAAGAAGAAAGAGTCCCGCGGCGTCTCTATGACAGGCGCCCATTCATCATCAGGCTGAACTTTCCCACCAACAAGGCTGAACATTGACTCCACTTGGGTAAATACCATGCACTCGAGGGATTCGAAAGTACTGTCCTTCATTTTCTCCACCCTATGCACTATCCTTGTGCATCAAACCACATAATAAATGCCGACATGCCATTATGACCAGCGGAGCCAAACGTTCTTTCTTCACGAAGCCAGCATGGGCTGCGCCGGCGACGTCCAAGGCACCCAAAACAGAAACCTCCATCTTCGGACGCAACGATATTTACCGCGACATCCTTCAGGCCGAGCAGGAGAAGGAGAAGAAAAAGAGAGCCGCGAAAACCAAACACAAGGCTGGAAAGGGGGAACGTGAGGAGCAGCCCGAGACCAAGAAAAGACGGGTGTCGACTGAGCCAGCGAAACCCCAAGAAGAAAACAGTGATTTTGATTTCGAGTCGGACAATGACAGAACAAGCACTCCAACAAATGTAAAGAGCGAGAGGAGACTCAAACGGCCTGCGACACGAAGTACACCTCGAGTAGACAAGTCGCCGAGTGTAGTGGGCCTTGACAATTTGCGAAACAAGTCGCCCTCGACGCGCGAGAGTCCAGGGCGTGATGCCATAGTGCTTCAAGATGGGGGCCACGAGTCAGAAGATGACCTGGTGATATGGACACCTCCGCCATCCAAACATGGGACGTTGGCAGCAGCGGCAGCAGCACCCAACAAGGGGAAAATCAGACCGCCTTCCGACGAAGAAGAAGAAGGATCAGAAGAGGAAGATGACCCTTACGTGCGCGAACTGAAAGCCAAAGCTCGGGAGAAGGCCAGACTTCAGAGACTCGGCATCGAACCAGACAACCGAAGATCCAATACGCCACTACACCGTGCATCTTCAGCGGCAGCGTCCGAACGTTCGAGACATTTGTCGGTCGACAAGCAACCGCTCAGCAGTCGTCCTACGTCGTCAGACTCGACACAAGGCCTTGGACGCACGACGACCCCAGCCTCGGAACAGGAAGATGACCCGCACATCCGCATCATGATCCGGTCCGAGATCCCCAACACGCAGTCCTTGATAGTTAAGCGCAAGGCCTCCCAACCCCTGAAGCAGGTGAAAGAGTTCTGGTGCAAAAGGTGGCAACTCGATGACAAGACGACACGCAAAGTATTCTTCACCTGGCGAGGGACCAGACTGTTTGACTCGACCACGATGCGGGGGATCCTTCAAAAACTCAAGACAGAACACCGAGATAACAAAAGTGCGAGCGTAGGACCGCCAACCGACGACAACGACGACGTGTTCGACGAAGAGGGTGGGGCGGCGGCGGCGGATCATCATCATCATCAAGAGGACAAAGATCCAAGCAACGGGAACATTTTGTTAGACGCCATGACCCCGGAGTTGTACGAAGAACAGCAACGTCAGAAGGCGGCGCGCGAGCAGCAGCAAAGAGAGCAGTCGCAGCAAGACGAAGACGATGACGAGCATACGGCGACGCCGGTACCAGAAAGTGACGGATCTATCGTCATCAGGCTCGTCGCACAAAACCTAGAGCCCATGCAGCTGCGTGTGAGGCCGCACACGACCGTTGCCAAAATCACGCGTGGTTTCGTGGCGACGAGGAAAATCGACGAAGGAAAGACTGCCTACTTGATCTTTGACGGTGAAAGACTGGATCCCGACAAGACGGTCGAGGACATTGAGCTGGAGGACGAGGACGAGGTCGAAGTTAGCATACGGTAGCGCAGCCAAAAGTGCATGTACAGGCTACGGTGCAAACCCTGGGCGACCTGGCCCGAGTAACAAGTGTATAATAACGGTAGGGACAGTTTTGGGACCCTGGGCTGGCGAATTTGCAGATTGGGTGGGAATATCTTGAACGACCAGAACATGATTTTTAATGAAAACGGACCGAGAACGAGTGTAAAGGTAAAGAAACCGGCAACATGATGGAAGTTGTTCTTTGATTCCTCAAAAGACCTTTTTTGTCATTTATTTCCTTCACAGGCCGTGTTCCAATTGAGAAACCCTGGTGGCTTGCTTATGAAATTGCTTGCCGGCAGACACCATCCCTTTCTGAAGTCTTTTTTTTTCGAGGATTGGAAATTTGCCTTGCAATCCGGGCATCATCCTTGATCTCCCATAAAAGTTGGGGGACAAAAGTACACCCAGGTCGAAAATATGCCATTGTGCCGTATCCTCGCTTTTCCTCTCCATCTCATCGTCGACCTTTACAAAAGAACATCCGATGTCGTCGTGTGTGCGTCTTGTCTCTCGGTAGTTTCCCACGACCTTGTTGTTGTAACGGACCAGCCAGGTTGAATTTAATGACCGGCTCTTCTCGCTTCGGCGATGACTCTCTGAAGATCGTCGACCTTTCTCTTTGCACGACCGAAAGTACCGAGCTGTTACACGGGAAGTGTTAGCGGGTTTGATCTGTCAAGTTTCAAACAGCCCTCCTCGTGATGTGCGAAATCCCCAACAGTCCACCTCTTCTACGATGACAACCCGCCATGAAAATACAAAGGCCACATCAACGAGAAGGGTCAGGGGGGCGGCAACACATACTCTCTTCTTTGCTAGCTTTCTCGCTCTCTTGTCCTTGCTGTTTCGCAACAACTCGATGACGCGACGCTCATACGGGGCAAGACCGGCGACCTCCTTGACAATGTCACGGACGAAGGCGGTACGCTTGCTGAGGGCTCCCTTGCGGCGGGAGATGCGAGGCTTGGGGGTGATGGTTGTGACTTGCTGTTCGATGGTGACATGTTTGGTTAGCATTTTGACATTCCTTTTTCAATGCACCAAAAGTTGGTCACCGTCTCGAAAGAAAGCCCCGGCAAGAACGAGACAAGTAAATTCGTTGGAGAGGCTGGAAGCTGTCCTTTTCCGTCTCTTTATGAAAGGTACCCTCGGACAAGGTGAAGAAAGATCCCAAACCCGTCCAACGAATTTCATCTTGCTTCTCCATCTGGCTGGGGTTTTCGAAACAGGACAATGAGGGCAAACTCACATGGCCCTTGTTCAAGCCGACGGCGAGGCCGGTCTTTTGAGTCGCTTCCTTCGGCATGTTTGCTGAATGGGTTTGGCGACGAGAGGGGGGGGTTTCGAGGCGGTGATGTCGAAAAGAGGTTGTTCGGTTTCGAATCGCAAATTGGGACCGCAGGTTACAAAGGCGAAATCTCAGGGTGCGGTGCAAAAACTTGACAGGGAAGGTTGAGCGATTTGTGGGCTCCGAAATGGGAATGGTGTGGTTGAGTGTGTGTCTTGGCAATTACAGTACGGAGTACATACCGGTACGAGGCAAGTCATCGGTGTTGGCCGCTTGAATCGTTGGACCTCTCAATAATGTTGCGACGTTGAAAACATTTCCCCGAGTACTGCACAACAGGTAAATTCTTCCAAGATGTATCATCATTGCGATTCCTTCATCTCTTTCGCCAATGATCTATATTCAGAATTTGCTCATGGCGCCGATGGGTCGTGGTTAGAGTGAACGCAGTAGTAAGGTCTTGTACCCGTCCAAGGCCTCCTCCAGATCCCCGACAGTCAAGCCTTCATTCTCTCCGTGGGCGACCAAGATACTACCTGGTCCGTACAGATATCTCTTCACGCCCTCTGCGACCTTCAAGTTCGGTATGTCCGTACCGTAGTTCACGGTGATGGTGTCGAACCCGTCGACGTCGTCACCATCCAGCTCGACCGGGCCATACCCTTGAGCAAAGTCGAGCTCCAACAGCCGATCTGGGTCGACCCGCCGAACCGCCTCCGTGACTAGTTCCTTGACCTCGTCGGCATCGCCTCCGGCGAGTCTGAACGTGATGGATGCCTCTGCGTATTCCGCCACGACGTTGCCCGCGACACCGCCCTGCATCAACCCCACGTTGACCGTGCTCTTGCCGTACTTTCCGCTCCTGGGCAGGCCACCGACGTCCTCGGGAATGTCACCCAGCCCGTCGAGCGCGACCAAGGCGGGTAGGATCATGCTGTTCGCACTGCGCCCGAGCCAGGGGTACCCCGAGTGTGCGGCCTTGCCGTGGGCTTTGATCTTGACCATGGAGATCCCCTTGTGCCCGGTCGCGAGTTTGCCCTCTGTGGGTTCGCCAAACAGGATAGCCTTGTAGTTGGCGTTGGTCTGCTCGTACAGGTCCGACGCCGAGAAACGTCTCATCCCGTCGCCGTGCGTCTCCTCGCCGACGACAAAGAGCAACGCCACGTCCGACGGGTCGAGTTTGGTCTCGGGATCAGCCAGCAGATCGAGCAAGGTCTGGATCTGGACCGCCACACAAGCTTTGTCGTCGACGGTGCCCCGACCGGATATCAATATGTCCTCTCTCGTCTTCGCCGACCTGGCTGCTGCCGCCGGCAGGGACAATGAGTACGGAATGTGAGGCGGCACCGTGTCGATGTGAGAACTTAGCACCACTTTGGGAGACGGGATAGAATCGAGCTCAATCCCAGAGTATTTTGATGGGTCCGGGTAGGCGTAGATATTGTAACGTGGTTTCGTGCTGTTCGTTTCTTCCGGTTGGGGAACGCCTTGGGTCTTCACGGTGAAGTTGTGAGCTTCCAGGATCGAGACGACCAGTTTCCCAACAGCTAGCTCATTGTGGGAGATTGACTCGACCTCGCAGATGGCTCTGTGTAATGATAGTAAGGGCGAAGCAGATATCACATCGTCCAGCTTCTCATGGCCAGCTATACCGGAGCCTGGCTGTTGAATTGACTGTTGTTTGTTCTCGGGGATCAGCGCATTGACTGAGAGGAATGGAATGATGGCGCCCACTGCGCACCACAGCAGCTTCATGTCAAAGTACTTTTATATGATAAAGACAGAAGTACAGAGGAGTTTGTTTTATTGCGATGTCACAATCCCGTAGAAACAGAGAAAGTCATGATTTGAAACTCTGTTCTACTCTCCAATATTTACCTAAGCTAAATATTTATGCGATGAACTCCGCGATCTCATAGTGCCGGGTCAAGCGACGTAATGGAGAGCACTCACAACAAGCGTACAGAGTCTAGTACAGTGTTACAAGGCGTATCGAGGAGTTGAAAATATCAGAGTCAGATAGGGCGCAAACAACAACGTTACGCCCTGGCTTTGCCTAGCGCATTGCCGTTTGCTTTGGGCTTTTCTCTCTTCCGCTCCCATACCATGAGGTAACCCTCTCTGGTGAATAAGGTTTCTGCTTCAGCTCTCTCTACATACAGATCTTGAATTTCCATCCACTCTGGTAGGTCATTCCTCTTTGCATAGGCAACCGCTTTGTCGTGAAGCTGCACCTTCCAAGCCACTCGCTGTCCCTCGGCACCAGCTGCCAAGTTGGCAGCATCAGCAGCATTGGAATCCTCACCCCCGCCAGTCGATACAGATGTGGTGTCGAGGATGATGTTGGCGGCCAGCTCGTAGAGGATGGGTTCGCCTGGAGGGTGGAGAGCGGGATTTGGCTCGACATATGGCGACATGTCCAACCCCTTAGGCGATCCAAATGTCACGATGGTGGGATTTCTCTCCGACACAAATTTGTTCACGCTAAACCGTTTAACGTGGAATAACAAGTATTGTGGAAGCGGATGTAACAAGCGGTGACGAACCCGGTGCGACTGTCTCTCCGACGCGTTGATGCCATTGTACTTTTGCAATAGGGTCGTCAGTGGCACCTGGGGAATGATATTCTTTGACTCGACAGCGTCTCGGAAAAGCGGGACGGGAGGTAGATCGAGAGTAAGGATCATGAAAGGAGTAGTATTGGTCGTGATGGTTGAGGAGTCTTCGAATCTAAGCCGGTCGCCTGTGGTGTCGGACTTGGCTGCAATGGCTTGTGATTCTACCCGGAGTTTTCCTTGAAAAGTCCTTTGAATGATGGATGACAGAGGCTTCGTTTTCGAACCACCAAGGCTTAGATGCAGTGTATTCAGGAACCAAGACAGGAACTCTACTGGATCTGATTGATGTGTGAGAGTAAACTTTTTGGAAGACCTCAGCGTGATCTCTTGTAAAAGTTCATGAGGCGACACGTGGGATCTGAAAGCTTTGGAGTTCCATATCTTTCGTACTAGTGCACTGAATCGTACCGGGAGTTGCGGTGTCGTCTGTGGGAATTGATGCAATAGGAAGAAGTTCCTGACCGGGGCAACATGGGCTAATGCCTGCACAACTACATTGAGATAGTCATTTGCCTTGATGTTGTTCATGCCAATGAATCCAGGCCGGTATTTCTTGTTCAGCAAATCAGTCGAGACTCTAGGGTCTTTGTCCAATTTCCGCACTTCATCCTCGGTGAATTTGGGGTCGACTACATATTTGATATCGTCCAAGCTCTTATTGTGAACCTCATACCCCTCGGGTAACACGTAAACTTTTTTGGTCTCCATGTTGATATAGACATGATGATCAACTTCGAGAGCATGGAAATATGCATGCGATTTTGGACCTCTGCCTTGGAAATACTTGCCGCACACTAGGCATGCATACACATTGATATTGGAAAGGGTGATGGAACATAGTTTTTCGAAATCGAAATCGAGTAGGGTCCGATTGATTGTGTCCAGATAGAGATCGCTGTATCCCTCCGTTGGCGCGGTCTGTCGCAGAGGTGCAGCCGGGAGTCTGTCATCTTCAGCCTCGGATCCAGACTCTTCTTCCTCTTCTTCTTTGACTGCGCCTTTTACCCCGTTCGTAGGAAGAGGCGTCCTGTCATGCTTCGTGCCGTTTCGTATCGTGCGGATTGTTTCAGCCAGCTCTTCTGGGACGTCTTCCACGCGGGCTTTTTTGCTCGACGGCGATGTCACTGCAAGGAGGTTCTCGAGGGGCTCTTCTGATTTGCGCTTCGACATGTTTTGGAGCGTACAGTCACTGAATGCGAGCCAACTGCGCTTTTCAGGTGAGAGAGAAGCAGTCGAAGACAATTTTGACCGCAGGCAACAGCCTCGTCAAATATGATTGGCCACAATGAAGCGCGAGGCTGTATATTATGTCACACTTTGAAGGGTCCATTGCATGCCACATGATCTCAATTCTCAGGAAAAAAGTCCACCTTTACCGACAGCGTTGTCTGTATCAAGTCAGACTATTTGGGTATCACTATTACGGAGATACTTCAAGAAGCTTGACACATGTTACACTTTGCCCCAGCCAAACCGCTGTCCCAAACGCAACACAAAGAGTGTGCTCATCTTCCACATCGCGAAATTGAGCATGCTTTGCGTAGCGAATGCAATGCCCCAATTTCCCAAGGTTAGAAAGACCGCTGATAAACCATGATATTCATTCGCTCCAAACCCGAATCCCACCGGGAACATACGTGTGATTAATGACCCAGTAGACAGAGAGAGTCCGTAGCTGGTCGGCTGAGTTGCAAAATTGTTGACCATTGACCGAAAGAATAGTATGTCAAGCGGAAGGAGGAGCAGTGGCTCGATAACCGAAGCCACATTCAAAGCGAACGCTTCTGCCGGGTGATTCGACAAAATGGTGACGCGGTATAACCCATCGTCTTCTTCACGAGCCCGCGAGTGGCGGCGATAGAACAAATCTTGTCGTATCGGTCGCGCCTGCTCACTGTATACATCCGTTTCTCGACGAACAGGTCTTGGGGCTGTTGCTGTCAGACTGTGGGCTCGATTAATCCCAAGCTCGGGAGCACTCGGTGGGCTTGAGGGTGGAGGGCTAGGAAAGAGCTGTTCCTCAATAGGCTCATCCACGTGAACCACAACAGGTTCTTGCGGAGCTGTCCAAAGCAGCCTCTCGAGCGGTACAGCAGGTTCGTCCAAACTTTGCATCTCAGAAATCCCCTCCACATTATCTGCGCGAGTCGCATCTGCGTCGTTAATCTCGTGGAGATTCTCCGGGGATCTATTCCCTGGCGTGTGCCGGTTCCCGAGCTGCGAAGCCTCGGCTGTACGTATCTGCAGAGTTCCATCACTCTCCACTACATCCACCATTGGATTAGTGAGGATATCAGGGTCGGGTTCGGGAGTCGCAGTAGAAGCATCTTCCCTGACTGCGACCTGCATCCCCTGGGCCAATTCGAAGATACCGACCATAGCCTGGTCTGGGTCGAGACCAAAATCAGCAAAGGCATCCCGAATGGCCATGACTCGTAGTGTTCGGAGGGAATGTCTGAGCGGGCCAAACTCTCTTTGCTGGCGTCGCATGGAGTCGCGATAATACATGGCACTCCTCTGCAATAACTCGTCTTCCATGTCCGGCGTCAACTCTACGGCCAAAGAAGCACTTTGGGTCTGAAGAATTTTTTCCCAAAGCCAGCATAAGGCTGGAAAGAGTGCATTGATGGTGTCTGCGAAAGTTGACGGTTCATTGTGGCTTCTTAACACTTTGCAGCCAGCTCCTAGTCCTGCAATTGTGGTGTCATTGAAGACACTACTGTTTGCTCGTGCGCTTTGCAGTGAGATCCGATCTGGTCGATCAGGCTTCACTACAAGATGACGGACAAGAATGTAGAGCTTAGTGTAGAGAAATTTCCCGATTTGGTCTCGAATATAGGCGATTGTGATCGGCTGTACAAATAGCCGGGCTAAATAGGCCACCAACGACCTGAAAGAGCCGTCGGGAAGCGGTTGAGGAAGCTGAACGGGCGACAGATGACTGAATGGCACAAAACTCCATGGGTGCGGAATGGCACCGATTGGGATCAGATACAAAGACTGCAAAGTCGAGAAGGCATAAAGAGGGTATTCGGCCGCGAACCATAGCATCCGCAGACTTGACAAAGTCAGCGAGCAATACAATAGTGTAAGCAAGTCCTACCTGTGACTAACGATAAGGTTGGCAACTCTTATCGCAGGAGATTTTCTCGACGACAGCAACAGATTTGTGAAGCGGCCTTCGTCCAAAACATCGTCCCTGAGAGCCTGACTGAGTGCTGAGACGGCGCCAATTGGCAACCCAGCAAACAAAACTGACCAAGGACCTACAACATTCCACTCAGTCATCAAGATTTGAGGTACTGATAGACCGACGTATGACTTGTAGACCTAAGATTGTTAGTGGAGAAAGGATATAGAAACATAGGAAGGGCTCAACTGACTAGAATTCGACGACGAAGTGCGCTCAGCCATCGGGTCGACAGCTTCAGGACAACACTTTCAACAACACCAAAGTTCGCCCCTGCAATATTTTCGTCCAGGAGAAGTTGATGTTTCTGATCATCTCCCATGTCTTCCCACGCTGAACGGTTCATTTTTGCCTTGCGAACAACAACACCGACCGTCGAGAGAACCTCGTTTTGGGCACGGCGAAGTCTCCTTCTTGCTGCCTCAGACGCGAGATTTTCTGGGTGTCCACGACTATCAAATCGTTGTACATAATTTCGAGCAGTACCGTGCTGAACATTTGGGCCCAAAATGAACTCGCCTTGCTCGTCTTGCAGTGGGGCATCAAAAGGCGATCTTCCCTGAGTGAAGGAGTCAGCAAGGTCAGTATCAAAGCGAGTCCAACGTAGATGTGGAAGATGTTGATGAGGAAGTCCCGCTCTCGGTTGAAGTGAGGATATCATTGCTTACGATGCCGGGCACGCTCCCGGTACGAAACGCTCACGATTACTTACCAGAGCCATTCGGGCAAGATGCGCCTTGCGACCCATCTCGGCTGTGTTTTTGTATCAAGGTCTTGGACCAAGATCAATCAATTTTATCTTTGTTGCTGCAGAGAGGGCATTTTGTATGGTATTCACTTATTGAGTACGTCTCTGAGAAGTAAGCGGAATTGAATCAAGCAATAGTATGATTATTTCCATGTAGCAGGTACTTCGAGGGAGGCGAAGGACGTGGAGAAGGAGACGAAGAACCGGGAGGCACGAGGCTGTGGCGCCAAGCTACTTCGGATCAATCTTAGCGCAGCCTTGTTTTTCCAACCAATCACCTGCAAGTGTTGGTTTGGTCTTCAAAATTTCCAAAAACTTCATTATGGCGGCGACAATTTCGATTTTGCAGCATATGATTCCGGATTTTGGTTGGAAGTGAAATGCCTTACGACATCCAGAAGTCATGTATGATGGAGTCCTACTAGTTTAATCACTCTCGTGGCACAACATGGCGACCAAGGCCAATTTCAAAACCACATTCGAGGTTGCGAAAACCGTCGAGCCAATCTACACTGGAGGAGATGTATCTTCTAACTGTAGCGGCAATCTCATCGCAAGTTGCGTCGACGAGGATGTTTTGGTATTTGATACAACGAACGGCAAAGTTTTGTGCAGAATTGAAGGAGATGGAGAAGCTGTCACCAGTCTCTGTTTGGCACCTGATGCCTTGCACTTGGTTGTATGCTCAAGATCACTTTCCATGAGCATCTTCTCTCTTGTTCCAGACGACGAAGCTCAGACACTCACCACCAAACTGTTGCGAACTTTGAAGCCCCATAACACTCCTGTTGTCTCTTCGGCCATCGACACGACAGGTGCGTTATTGTCCACTGGTGGTGCTGACGGTACCGTCAAAGTATGGGATATCCGAGGCGGATACGTGTCACACACCTTTCATGGACATGGCGGAGTCGTCTCTGCCCTTAAATTCTTTGCTCTGCAGTCGAGCAATGCGACAGATCGAGCTATCAGTAGCTCAAGCCGGAAGCGAAAGAGTCGAGATGGCGCGCAAACGAATACCGACGAATTTCCGCTGGCTCACAATGTTTACCTTGCGTCAGGCGGCGAGGACGGGAAAGTTCGAATATGGAATTTGGCTTCGCGGAAATCAGTTGCTCTTCTTGACTCGCACGTCAGCGTGGTTAGAAGTATCGACTACTCGGAGAACCAACAGCTCTTGCTTTCGGCCAGTCGGGATAGAACAATCATCTTATGGGACACGAAGACCTGGAAACAACGTAAGGTCTTACCCGCACTAGAGGTGCTAGAGACCGCTGGTTTCATAAGTGATGGCAGATACTGCTTTACAGGAGGAGAGCATGGCCTGGTCCGAGTGTGGGATGTTGTCGCCGGACGAGAAGTTACACCGAAACAGAAACCCGGCCTCGAGAATGATGCTATTACTGCAATTGTCAGCGTACCAAGTGACGACGCGCTTCTTTCAATGCATCAGGACCAGACCATAAGGTTTCGGAGCATTCTTCAACTTCGTGATTTGAAGGCGTTGCAATCTCTAGAAGCTCTACCACTGCTCCGGACAATGGCAGGCAACTATGATGAAGTCATTGATATGGCTTGCGTTGGGCCCGACAGATCGCTCCTAGCACTTGCTACGAACACTGAGAGCGTCCGACTGGTGTCAATTGCAGAAGACAACAGCAAATCATCATCGTTTGGAGCCGATGTCACCCTGCTCGAAGGACACGAGGATATCATAATCTGTCTGGATGTCGACTGGTCTGGCCATTGGCTGGCAACGGGTGCAAAGGATAACACCGCAAAACTCTGGCGATTAGATCCTGCATCCGCATCTTATACCTGTTTCGCGACTTTTGCAGGACACGCTGAATCACTAGGTGCCATCGCCCTACCTAGAAGCCCTCCTCAAGATAGTGCTGCGTCCAAGAACCCCTCTGAGCATCCTCCTGCATTCCTGCTCACCGGCTCTCAAGACAAAACTGTCAAGCGCTGGGATACTTCTCGGCTTAAGTACACCCCTTCTATGTCCGAGCCTCACGCCGGCACAAAAGCTCTCTTCACTCGAGTCGCACACGAAAAGGATATTAACGCACTTGACGTATCTCCTAATGCACCCCTTTTTGCCTCGGCTTCACAAGACCGCACCATCAAAATTTGGTCGCTTGAGGACGGTTCTGTCACCGGCATACTCCGCGGTCACAAACGTGGCGTCTGGTCAATTCGTTTCTCTCCTGCCAGCACACCACCACTTTCCTCTGATTCCGGCTCTAGCGGCTCTCGCGGCCTCCTCGTCTCGGGTTCTGGCGATCGAACTGTCAAAATCTGGTCCCTATCTACGTACACCTGTCTACAAACATTCGAAGGGCATAGCAACTCCGTACTCAAAGTTCTGTGGTTGCCATCTACGACACCGTCCTCAGAATCCGAGGCCAAGGCGCACCACGAGCAACCCATGAAGAATCAACCATTGATCGCGTCTGCCTCCGCCGACACTCTCGTCAAACTCTGGTCCCCTTACTCACCCTCCGACTCCGATCACCTCCTGGCAACATTAGACAACCATACTGACCGCGTCTGGGCACTTACCGCTCCCAATGCTTACAACACCCCATCGTCTTCGAAACGCAAACCATATCCTTATCCTCTCGTCTCCGGCGCCGCCGACGCAACTCTGACGTTCTGGCGTGACACTACCGTGGAGACCGCGACTCTCGCTTCGCAGCGTGCGAGTCAGCGCATTGAACAAGACCAAGAACTCCAGAACCACATTCACGCCAAAAATTACCGTGAAGCCATCACCCTCTCGCTCGCCCTCAACCATCCGGGCCGTCTCCTTCGCGTGTTTGAAGATGTCGTGACGCTACCCGATGCAGAGAAGGAGCCAGACAGCATCACCGGCCTGCGGGCCGTAGACGAAGTGCTCGCCACTTTGGACCAGCGACAAATATATACCCTCCTGGAGCGTGTGCGTGACTGGAACACGAATGCACGAACCGCGACGGTCGCGCAAACCGTCTTGAATTGCCTGTTCCGTAGTTATCCAGCGACTATGTTTGTGGACATGGCTAAGGATCGCAGTTTGTCTTCAGGCCCTGCCAGAAAAGGCAAAGGCGGCGGCAGCATGAAAGATCTACTTCGCGCTTTGGAGGTCTATACTGAGCGACACTATAAACGGATGGAAGAATTAGTGGACGAGAGCTATTTGATCGAGTACACTTTACGCGAGATGGATGAGATTGCAGGCATTGCTAGCGGGATTGAAGGCATTTTGGCGAATGGACACGGGCGTACAAAACAGGTTCAGGAGGAGGATGTTTTGATGCTTGAATAAGTACATTGTGATAGTAATCATTATGGTTCTCGGTGCAAAGTAATCAACCTCTACTTTTATCTTCTGTTGCGATCACCATCACGGCGATCCCTACCACGATCTCTGTCTCTATCTCTGTCCCTGTCCCTGTCCCGGTCTCTGTGACTCTTGTGAGAAGAGCTTGAGTCATACCGATCATCGTCTCGACGGCGGTCCTTGTCCCGATGCCTGTCCCGATGTCGACTATCGTGGTCATCTTCATCCCGTCGTCGCCTGTCTTTAGACCGATCATAGTCGCGGTCGTCCCTGTCCTGTCTTGAACGAGAACCATGGCGGTCATCTGATTCTCGCTTGGATGAACCAGATCGAGAGAATTCATTCATCTGATCACGATAGTCATCATCTCCCTTTCTCCGATCTCGATCCTTGTCCCGTCCACTTCGCTCCAAGTTGCGATCTCTCCTCTGTCTCCAGTCTTCTTCTCGCTCATTTCCATTGGATTCCTTCAGCCTCTTCTGCAGCTCATCTTCGGAGATCCTCTCCCCGGTGGCTTTGTTTTCACGCATGAGTGGCGTAAAGAAGCCTTCGCCCTTGTTGTTCTTGCGCATGTCCGCTTTCCCCCAAGCACCTAGTTCAATGCCGTTTGTGCCCGGAGCAGCCTTTGCACCGATACCGAGAAACCCTTCCTGTTTGCGGAGCTTCTGGGGGTTGTCGTCCTTTCTCTCCAGGGTGATAACCTCGCCATTTGCTCGCCGCTTCTGACCCATGCCTCTCAACATAGCCATACCAAATTCCTCGACTGGCATCGCAGCATATTCTTCTAGGGTACTCGAGTCGGGCCGTGATGCGACATCTTCTCGATAGTCCTGTGTCTCGTCTCGGAAAGTATGCGTGTTGCCTTGCTGCGTAATGACGACATTGGATTTTGGTTTCCCAGAACCATCATCGAGCAGCGCGTGCAGCGCTTCTTCATCCGCAGTCAAATGTTTGGGTTCTTCGGGTGGCTCGATTGGCTGGGTGGTGGTAGGCTGCACAACCTCCGCAGACTGTTCGTCTGGAGAGTCTTGCTTCTCAACAAATTGAAGACCACTGGCGGTGCTGATTTCGTCTTTCTCAACCATAACAACGTTACCATTCTGCTGATGCGCCTGGACTTCGGCCGGAAGAAGGTTTTTACGCCCTCGCCTGCGCCAATCTGCATTTCCCTGGTTCTTTATGACTAGCTCTTTCGTTTCCTGTACAGGTTGACTTAGAATAGCACCATTTGACGAAAAGCCAGTGACTGACTCGTGCCTTGGCTCCTCTTCATCTTCGTTGTCCGAATCATTGTGAAGCGCATGTTTCGGTCGACCACTTGGCGCTGCAGGCCGTCTCGCAGGGGTGCTGGAGGCTTTCGTAGGAGCAGACAGTTTCTGCTTCCCGAAGCCAAACGAAATTGGTTTCGACATGGCTGTCAAACCGCGTGCAAACGAAAAACATTAAGTATATTGTTCAGGCAGACGATCATGGTAAAAAATCCAGAAGTCAATACTCCGCAGTATCGAAATACGGTCGAGTATTAAATCGGTAACTTTCCGGCCACTTCAAGGCATACACGCGCCGCCAAAAAAGCACATCGCCTTCTCCCTTCGCCATTCTTTCTCCCACCATCATCACTGTTCCCGTAGTCCGAACAGCGGCTGACGTCCCTGGTGTCACGGCCTCCAAGATCTCACAAACAACATCCAAAGCCTTGCATGCGCTAGATCCAACTTCCGACTTCACGATGTCGGCCACCGACGCCAGCCCAAACCCAGCGGCCAGCGAACTGCTCCTGCTTTCTTCGTTTCAAAAGCACATCGAGGACATGCGCAACCTGTCTCTATGCAAAATCTGCATCAAGCCGTTCTATGAACCGTTCATTCTCGCCTGCGGACACACCTACTGCTATTCATGTCTGGCTAACTGGTTCGGGTGCGCCCACAATCGGCACAAGAAGAAGAATTGTCCGGACTGCCGAGCTGAAGTCACGTTACAACCGTCTCCCAATTTCCTGTTGCGAGACCTCGTTCACATGTTCATTGGTCGAGCCGAATTGCTCCCCGAAGACGAGACTGTGGCAGAGCACCAAAAAGCCAAAGATGATGAGGCTGGACAACTTGCCGCAGATCGCGCAGGACAAGGCCTTTTCAAAGGTGTTTTCAAGCATCAGCATACTTTTCATATACCCAGCTTTTGGGCAAGGGGCATACTGGATCACGAGGACAATGTTATGCGATGTCCGGAATGTCATTGGGAGTTGGAGGATGGACAATGTGTGCAATGTGGTTTCAACGAGTACGACTCTGGTGAAAGCGACCTTGACGATGAATCAATCCCCAGTCCTCGTTTAGATACGGACGAGTACTACGACGAAGACTCCGAGATCGATATGGACTTTGATGGTCCGATACAAATAGGCACAGGGTACGAAACGGACCGCACAGATGCCAGCCATACTGACTATGATGAATACGATGATGAGGATGGTATGGATGGCTTTATTGAGCGAGATGATGCCCCAATCCAGCTGCATGACGATTCCGACGAAACAAGGAGTGTCTCCACCATCACTGGGCACCGCGTGAGTCGCCACAACACACTCCACTCGTCGGCCGATGAGACTGATCCATGGTCTGATCCTCAAACCCCTCCATACGCGGTTCAAGGAACCCATCACTACGATGACGAAGACAGATCCGTCACAGGGACCGAAATGACTGATCAACATACGGTATATGACGATCCGTCAGAGGAATCGGAAGATGACCAAGGGCCTATTTCTCGATTGCACCCGCATCGACAATTTGGAGTACCGTCGAGACGAAATAGAAGGAGGATTATCAGTGACGATGAGGAGGACGAGGATAACAGCGATGCTACAGCGCGCGAGCCAATACCTCTCGATAACTCCGAAGATGGATCAGACAATGGTCACGATTTTGAGGATGAGGACGAAGATCGGGACGAAGACGAGGACGAGGACGAGGATGAAAGTCCAAGGGCAGAATCAGACTCGGACTCGGACGATATTCGGCCTCCGCAATCTGCTGCGCGCCGAATGCAACATCTTGATACTCAACGGGGCAGACGTGGTGAATTCCGGCCATATATGCCTTACCCGACACATCATGGATCATCCTACAATTCTCGTATCAATCACCCGCGGCCTCCTCGATCTGGCCAATACAGCGCACCAGCGTACGGTCGGCGAATTCCTGTTGGGGGTGGCAGTCGACATTGCTAGTCGATCTTGTTGCGGCGTTCATGTTGCACGTCTCCGTGGGAAAGCATGTTTCGATGGGATTTCGGAGAGAATTCGGCATGGGTTATAATTCAAACCACATGCTATACATGACTTGACGATATTGGGCCAGGAGCCCTTTGGCTTTGACATCAGAGCTACGATAGAGATGTAGGATTCAGTGACCTCGCATCACCAAGCAATTGATACCCCCAATTGATTTTGCCTGATTTTGAAAATTGTATTGTCCCATTTTGCGCCGCGCTATGCATATTTAATTCTACAATTCCCCATCCCTGATCCGTTTTCCAGTCCCATTTCAGGTATCTGGGTGAGAGGACTAGGCGGCCAGGACTTGTTTACTCGTGTCATACTCCATATCCACGATGCCATCCTTCTTGACCACCTTGACCGTCATACCCTTGAAATCAATAGGTAACCGTCGCTGCAACTCATCCGTGCACATACGTAAGATCTTCATGCCTTGCTCGAAGGAGATATCTGGATGATGATGCTTGTCGAGGATGGAGAGACAGTAGTATCTTTTAATTTTGCTGGTCAGCAAGAGAGAAGCCCAGAAAGGGTCTTGAAAGGGGGGGAAAGGGCACGTACTGAGCATAGCCATGCGCGGCGTAGGGTACCTTTGCGCTACTGGCAAGGTAATCCAACCAGTACAGACTGGGTTGCTTGGTGATGGGATCCATCCCACCGAGCAGCAGGTTCACGTTGTACGGTTTCCTGCTTCTCAAGCTACGTGCGAGTTCCCCACGGACGAAGCTGGCCACGGCGCTCGGGGAGAGGTCGGACTCGTTGCGCATCGTGTACAGGGCGACGTTTGCCTGGATGTACTCCGCGAACTGGATGGTGTCGCCTGGCTCGCCAGAGAAGGCGAGGAGGGTGTGCTTGTTCAGTTGCCGGGTCTTGTCGTCGGACGACTTGAGGATGGTGGCACCGCGCATGGCGGCTTTGCTGGCGGCGATGATGGTGAAATCGCGGCCGGTGAGGCCAAGGAGGACTTCCCTGTTGCAGCACTTGCGTCAATCGATTGAGGCTCTTCAAACCAGAGCCACAAGGCAAGGGACAACTTACATTTTGCAGAGGTGTCGAGCGTAATCAGCGGAACGAGAGATGGAGGCTTGCAAAGTTTGGAAAGTCTCTGGATCGAAAGCTGTTGTGGTATAGCAAGTTATCGATCCCGCTGGACTTCGACACGCGGCGAGCTGTGCCTTGGGGGACTGGCTGGTCGTGCAATTGTGAGTTGCTTTGGGAAGGTCGAGCGACTATGCAAGGCTGTCCTGCGCCTCGACGAGGCTGTCGCCCGCAACTCAAAAAAAATTATTTGGAGACGCCGCCTCTGCAAGTTGCACTTAAAAACACACACAACCAAGGGCAGAGTTTGCCTTGTGTGGTTTTGGCAAACTTCAACCTCAACTGAACAAACAAAAATGTCGTCGTTCTTTACGGCTCCAGCTTCTTTGCGGAAGCGGAAGAGAGGTGCAGACAATCCAGGCAAGCCCAGAAAACGGCGGGAAGCAGACAACAAGAATGGAGCACGAGACGAGCAAGACGAGAGACCTAGGCGGAAACCCGCCCAACCACCACGAGACAGAGAAAGACGAGACGAATCGATATCCGGCAGCGAGTCCGAAGACAACGTGGAGCCCGAGAGCGACGCCGAATCAGAAGCCACCTCCGAAGAGGGTGAGACTGCCGCCGAACGAAGAGTGCGACTTGCACAAAGATACCTAGATAATATCAGACAAGAAGTGGACGAAGTTGGGTTCGACGCCGAGGACCTGGACAAAGATTTGATCGCACAGAGACTGAAAGAGGATGCTGATGAAGCCAAGGGCAGACAATTCAGGCTGATCGCCAATAGCTTGGATTTCGCCAACGCCTCACATTCCAACTTTCGAGCAGATACGGACGTCACCACGGGAGTGGCAGTGTGTCAGCCTTATGTGTACACTGTGAGCAGAGATAAGACGTTGATTAAGTGGCAACTACAGACGCCCGCTACTCTTAGCAGCGACAAGACCACTGCGGCAGCAAGTCGAAGACGAAAACCCAAGCAACTGAAATATATTCGAGGAGTACAGATCAGGGCATCAGCCCCTCAACAGCATGGCCACAATGGTGCGATACTCTGCGTGGCGGCATCACCAGACGGCAAATACATTGCAACAGGAGGATTGGACAAGAAACTAATAATATGGTCTGCGGAAGACCTACGACCGTTGAAGACCTTCACGACGCACCGTGACGGTGTCACCGGTTTGGCTTTTGCTCCCAGCTCAAACGCTCAAAATGGATTCGGGGCACAATTGTTCAGCGCAAGCATGGACAGATCACTCAAAACGTACAACTTGGCAGGAGAGGACAGTCTCGCATACGTCGAGACACTCTTCGGCCACCAGGATCACGTGGTGGGTGTTTCGCCAGTGTCAGTTGACCAGTGTGTAACTGTGGGTGCGCGGGATCGGAAAGCCATGTGGTGGAAGGTGGTGGATGAGTCGCTGACCAAATTTCTGGGCGACAGCTCGAGGAACGACGAATATCACACGGGGAGTCTGGATTGTGTTGCTGCATTACCACCTTCGAACTTTGTGACCGGGTCCGATTCCGGTGCAATTAGTCTATGGAACATTCACAAAAAGAAAGCCGTCTTTACGATTCGCACTGCGCACGGCGTAGAGGAACCAGCGCCGCTGGAGGAGGTCACGTCCGAGTCAGACCCTGCGGTCATCGAAAGGCTGAAGAAAGAAGATCGAAGGAAACCGCAACCTCGGGGCATCACCGCTCTGGCTGCAATACCTGGTACGGATGTGATCTTGACCGGAAGCTGGGATGGTTGGGTCAGAGCATGGAAGTTGAGCGACGACAAGCGAACGATCTTGGCCATGGGTCCCGTCGGGAAAGTGGGCGAGCCTGTCGGAAATGCGCACGAGGATACACACTCGACTCCATCAAGTGCCGCAACTAATGTTGCGGCCGTGGCAGGCCAGGACATCAATCATGGCGTGGCACGAGGCTTTGTGAACTCCTTGGCCGTGTTCGAGAGAAGAAAAGAGATTGTCAATGAGTTTGGAGGCAAGAAAGAGGGTGACTGCCAGGGCATCTGTATCGTGGCCGGTACTGGAAAGCAGATGAGATTAGGAAGGTGGAGGAAGCTGCCGAACGGCAAGAACGGCGCAGTGGTGTTTGAAGTCCCTCTACGAGCAAGTTTGTAGCTGTCTGTCCATGTCGTCTGTACCGGGTAAGGGTACCGGATCTCGACTCGTCCAGGCCGAAGTTACTCTCAAAAGACTCGAGACCTACGGAGTATTTTCGTTACGATTCCTTTTCGGCAACCAGTCCTACCTTTTCCTCTCTCTTAAGTTAATAGGTACGGGTACCTTGCAGGATACTTCAGACCAAACCGTCGATAGACTTTTTTTTTCGCGAGCCCGGGTCAAAGCATCCGTGTAAGCCCGTCAAACGTGTTATTGCGCAAGACCCCGGTGTGCGTGCCTGGACCCTGAAGATTCTCACTGGTTTCGTCCAAAGATTTGTCGTCCGTGTGCTCGAGCTTCATGTCGATCGCCCCGGAGGATGGAGGAACCCTCAAGGCTGTCCCGTCCGTCGGTGGTGATGACCCTTGGCACGCACGAGGTTCTGGCTTTTCTCTTTTTCCCCCCTTCTCCATGTGGCATCCTGGTCGAGGTTAGTGATGGGATCTGAGAGTGGTCCGAGAACTTGAGTCTGTGGTCGGCGATCTCTCTGGAGTTACTCGTGAGGGTATTGTGCAAGTACACACAGGCGGATCTGACCCCATAGCCTCTATACCTCACCGAGAAGGTGCTTGGAGCAAAAACTATTCGACGCACGGACGCCGGTTTTTCCGACCCAAGGTACCGGTACCTACCTTACCTACCAAGGGTGCTCGTGCGCACAGGTAACGAGTTACGATAGGTTTGTAGGGACGGGTACACACACACACACACGTGTCCACTCACAATTACCTCACTTGAACAGATGAGTTACTTGAGTTGTGGCCCAGTAACCCTCCGGAGTTGCAATCCCAGAAAAAAGCCACTGACCACAGGCTTTAAGCCACCGAACGACCGTGCGCGAGTCAGGTTACTTTTTCTGCGGGATCCCCAGCCGAGGTCAGGGTGCTCGAACTGCTTACGACCTTTACCTTACAGTGCCGAAAAGGACATCAATGGGGGAGTAAATGCGATATCATCTAGGTAGTTTTCGAGGCAATGATCACTCCGTTATAGTAGTAATAATAGTGATGGAGGGCGCAGTTGAGCATGACCATTGTTATGGAACACACAGTGTAGGGCGTGGACCCAAAACAAAAACTGGGCTCTGTACCCCGTAAATTCCACTTCCAAGCCTCTCTGTCTCTCAAAAAAAGCAAAGCCTCAATTCCGATCTCTAGTGGATCCCTTTTTTTTTAGCGCGGGATCCCTGTCTGAGTCGTAATGAAATTGAATGTTCCAAAAAGCAAGCCCGCCCCCCTTGACGCTGCCCCTTTTGTTTTTCAAGGTAAAGGACCCCGGTTCGAATTGAAGAGTCCACACACAACTTGTTGAATAACAATAATAATGTCTCATGTCTTGTTGCAGGCATCTATAGTCCATATGACCGACCTGGCCTTGTTACAATAATTATTTGCAGATCATTAGATACAAATCTTTGGGGCTTTCTTAACCACGTGTGTGTGTATGTGCTTGTGTGCATGATCGTCCTCGTTTAGACGGTAACGAAGTAGACGAGTAGACGATGATGCTCTTATGACGGACGATCAGTGATTAAAATTGACAGCGGCCGCTGCAACTACATAAAAAAAACCTTATCTCGGCCTCACACTCTCTCACACTTTACTCGGCAATTACGGAATACGAGACTTTGACAGTAATAATGAGACAAGCGTTGTGTCCAACCGGGCTCGTCATTGTGTTTGCTCTCCGTACGGGGGAATAGAAGAAGGGAAAAAAAGTAAATTGCTTTAGCGAACGTCTGAGACCTCCTTCTCCCTCTCTCCTCTCTCACTTCTCTTCATCCCGTGTGAGTGGGTTGTTTGCCGTGCCCATTAGCATCCGTCCCAACCGAGGTCTCCTTTTGGCAAATGCAGTCTCAGACCACAACCAAGTATTACTGCTGTACTGCTGCTAACTCGGCAAGTCCCTCGCTGGTCTACTCGGTCGTAATGTCGAACCGGCATCATTCCGTAGTACGAGTAGGGAGTACGGTCCAGGTAAAATTGTAACGCGAATAATGGAATAGTCCTAGTCTACGATCCTTTTCTCCCCCCCCCCCTCCCTCATCTCTACGCGTGAATCCTCTCTCCCCATGTGGGCCAGGAGATATCTCGTAAAAGTCTCCATCTTCAGCTACCTATGTCCTGTACAAGACCAATATTCTGTAGAATTGCGCAACTCTTCGAATGTGGCTTTTTTCCCTGCATGGTTGAGTTGACAATTCCCGCCGGGGGAAAGGCAGAGTATGTTAGTAACTATTGGACACTACTACAACCACAAAGTCACGGAAAGTCTCATGGGAGTGTTTTTCCTTGACCACCACGTCCATCAGACCCCTGTCTATATTCGCATGACAAGCGCTTCCGTCTCGGCACGAGACAATGTTGTACTCCATCCGATGGCACTATACTGTACTGTCCCCAGTGTCCCTGCCGGTCCGGATGAAGCTTATGCACAAGCAATCGTCCAACTGAGTTAGACGAGCCTGCCCGGTCACCAATCGAGGCCTAGTTGACCGTCCAAATGGTCTGGGTTATCTCGCTTGACGAGTCAAGACCTGGAGCGAAGAGCCCCAAATGTTTGTTAGTTCATTGACTTTCTGTCCAAGGGCCCACCGGGTCAATAGTCTCTCTCGTATTGATGCCTCGAAGCGCGTAACAAGAGGTCGCGACCGGTCGAAGAGGGCCTCCGTAGAGAGTATATATATCAGGTCCGGACCTCACCTTCAGTGATAAAAAGGTCGAAGTATTCCAACCCACAGTCATTCGTTTTATCTTTCTCTGCTTCTTCAAACAAAACCTCTTTCGTTCCAAACATGCAGCTCCAAACCGTCCTCCTGGCACTGGCCGCCATTGGCGCCTCCGTCGTCTCTGCCTTGCCCGCAGGTCACCCGGCGCCCATCTGCGTCATCCCACCACCTGATGTCCCTGCTGGACCACCATGCATTGAGCCATGGACCGACTGGAGAAGCATCCGTGCTTAAGTCCACACTCGCCAAACAACCAGACGACATCAAGTCAGATCTTTCCCAACATCAACCAACTTCGCGGCATCTATCATCATTCAGTCGGTTCGCATGAGAATGTGAGCGGGCTGCAAGGGTTATTTCGACAATTACGCCAGGCAGGAAGGACTGGCTCGATATCTTTGGGCATAATAGACAAGGGAAGGAGGACCATTTTTCTTCGACAAGTTGTCAATCCCCATAACAAGGGACTGGAACAGCCCATGTTCAGGCGAATTAATTTTGGGGCCTGTATTTTAATAATGCAAAACCGCTTGACCTAACCTTCTCGATCCCAAGTGCTGTCCGTCCTGTAGATATTGTAAGCCTGTGTGCTATCTCTCACCTAGAGGATATTCATCGAAGAAGAGAGCAGCCAGGGTTTATTGGACTAGCCGTGCCACTAGTTTCAATGATATTCGACCTTCACACGCGACTTGTTAAGCCAATGTAGGCCACGTGCCGAATCTCTCGCTTGCAAAATTGCCTTGGATGATATTGAATGCTTGACACACTAGCCTTTGATCCGAGCCGCGAAACATGGGCAGGTTTTGTTGATCTCTGGGTTGCCGACAGCGCTTAGAACTTTTGCGTACTCCGTGTGTAGTATATCACTCCCGAAAATTCACGAAAAAGCGACGCATGCTGTGCCAATCAGCGTTTCACTGGTATTTTCCAATGGGTTCCGCATACCAACTACGAGGTAGAGTGATACACTCCAAGGGCACTTCGACAGCGCGAAGGTATGTATGTCATCGAAGGAAGGTCAGCTTGCATTGCTGCTAACCAAATCGGAAAGCCGCGTCTTTGTTAACGCTGCTTTTACGACGGAAAGTTGCGAACCGAAAGGTAAGAATAGGGCGGCAATACATCAACACCAAAGTCGGTTGAAGCCCCAACCCTTGGCAATGCGTCGGTGGTCAAATTTCATTTTTGCGTGTGTGAAGCTTTGCTTCTTCTCTTTTTCTCTCTTCAGATCAAAAAAAGCAACAGAGCCAGCCACGACCGTCGTTTCGTTCTTTGTCTACAGCGACGTGTTGCCATGAGTTCAACGAACTCGATGGCTCTGGAGATCGAATTTTCCTTGTAGGAAGTTTCTTTCTCGTTGGGTCCTCTTCAATGAGGGCGATGAGTCTGGAATGTCGATTTATGGGAAACAGTCATTTTTTACACACCCACAATGTTCATATCTCATGTCTTCCAATGATGTTACATGTGTTGTATGCCTGGACGTTTATGATCATTCGTTGCAAATGGTCCAGCCTCTCTTTTCTACCTCCTAGTTTATCTACGGCCTGAAAAAAAAACACCAGATGACTGGCCAGCTACGAGCCACGCACCGTGCCCTTTTGCTCATCGAGTCTCGAATGCGACGACCAAGTATGCGTTGGATCGTGCGCACATTCCTACAGGTAATTCCTTGCCTGAACGAGATGGTTGTGTTGTGCATTCCAACGAGGTCGTTATGTGGACCTCGACCTCGCACGGTTGACTTACGACCAAGGTAAATACCATGGCTCGGTACAAAGATTCATACCCTTTTGTTTTTCTCAGCTTGTTTTGAGACTCGTCCCTTCGTTTAGGAAAGAAAGTGCTATTGCGCTTCAGTCACTCATTTGAACACTTTGCTCTATGAACTTGTTCCCTTCGTTTTTGTTGATTCAGAATATCGTCACCCAACTGCACTACGTTCTTCGACCATGACACGATCGATCAAGGCTATGCCCGTCGTGGCACTCTGGGCTACCAGCGTCCTCGCGCAGGCTTCGACCCAGATCAACGACCCTGCTGACACTGCCGTTACGACCCTCACCGTCTCCGTGTGCCCTACCGCTGTCACCACCACGACCACTATGTCTAGCACAGTCACTTGGTGTCCTGACGGCGGCGACTGCAACGGAGGTCCGCCTACGATCACTCCGCCACCCGTCATCGATGGCATTGGTACCGAGATCCTTGCATTCACCACGACGTACCCCAACGGCGATGTCGGTGTCTACCATGAATACCTTACTGTGTACCATCACCCGAATCCCACTGGTACAGGCATGCAGGCAGTCACTTACACCATCACCGAGGCATGCCCATGCGAAACAAGAAACCCACTTACCATTCCTGAAGGCTTCACTACGACTGTCACCGTTTGCAGTGTTTGTGGAGCGAACGGCGCTGCTGCAACTGTCACAATTACAACGCCTTGCGCCACAGGAGCCTATGCATCTATTACTCCAGTGGTTGGCCCAACTGGAGATAGCGGGTCAGGCTCGGGGTCTGGCTCAGGATCTGGAGCTGGAAGTGGTTCTGGTACAGGCTCAGGATCCGGCTCCGGCTCCGGCAGTGGCGGCGGAAGTGGCTCTGGTTCAGGATCTGGCAGCGGCAGTGGAAGTGGTACCGGCTCTGGATCTGGCTCAGGTTCTGGTTCTGGCTCTGGCTCAGGTTCTGGTTCTGGCTCTGGCTCAGGTTCTGGTTCTGACTCTGACTCTGGCTCAGGTTCTGGTTCTGACTCTGGCTCAGGTTCTGGCTCTGGCTCTGGCTCTGGTTCTGGCTCTGGCTCTGGCTCTGGTTCTGGCTCTGGCTCTGGCTCGGGTTCGGGCAGCGGCAGTGGAACTGGTTCCGGTGCGGCATCAGGCTCTGGCTCTGGCTCAGGTGCTGGCTCAGGGGCAGGTTCTAGTTCTGGCAGCTCTAGGGTTGACGAGGGCGCCAGCGACAATAACTCTGCAGCTCCCGCCTCTGGCAACAGTTCGAATGCTGCAATGGGAGGTACATCAAGCAACAGCACTGGCTCGCCACATACTCCTTCCAGTCCTCCAGTACCAACATTCACAGGAGGAGCTGCCCAAACGACTGCTTTGGCACTTTATGGGGTTTTGGGCGCTGTTGTGGCATGCCTAGCTTGGACTTTGTAGCTGCGGTGAGAATTTGGTTCTTCTTCTTTCGTAGAGATCGACTTTATGGATTAGGGTTTGGGACATATGGTATCGACGGCAGTCTGTTGGCACGAGAATAGTTCCCACGGCATTGGTTATAGTGATATGCAGGTCCAGGTACTTTGAGGTAGTTAGCAGCTTTTCGTCTGTCATGTTTCGTTCGCATCAAACTTCCACTTTTAGTATTATCCCTCGCATTACTGTGCATCAAACCTCAAAGAGAGGATGTCTTCGTAACTCGTACCTGATCGTCATAGAGTCCACAGAGATATCGCTGGTCAATGCACCTTTTAGCGCACCATTCGTCGAACCGCCCCGGATGCTGGCGTCTTCCCTCCAGGTGTCACGGCAAGTGGATGATACACAGGGCCAATCAATGGGATAAAGACGCGGCCCAAGACCATTGACGCCCGAAAACGTGGGGCATCATGTTGGTGTTCAGCGCTTGGTCCGGCGGCTACAATCCTCGACTTGCGAATGGACAAAAGAGGTACGAGAGACTCGGCCAGTACTCATCCATGATCAGGGGATAAGGCGTAAGTTCCCAGCCTGCCTGCTTTCATCCGGCTTCAGGCAAAAGGGCAGATAGAGACACTGAGAAATTCAGATTCCAGGATCACCATCTAGGTAATTCATCTCGGTATGCTATCCTAGGCCTTTCTTTGACCTACCTCATTTACTATAAACCTCTGCGCTTATTTCGTCCGGCTGGCTGGTCTTCCGGCAGGCCTTCGATTCCTCCTCATTATTAACTCGGTCGAAGCAACCCAAGGTCGACCGACGGCCATCAGAATCAACCTTTGAAACACACCCCGCATCCGACCGCCTCAGCCTCAGCCTCAGCCTGAGACAACCTGCGGCCTCGAGTCAGCCCATTCTCTTTCCTACAGCCCTCGAGGACGGCGCATCGCCCGGCGTCATGAGCGTACCTGGGCACCAGGGTAGGCCGGAGGGCGAGATGTTTCTCAATCGTCCCTCCGATCGAGACTCGCCCACCATCGTTGAGCCGCTGCGCATCAATAAGAGAACCGCGAGTGCATCGTCCAGCGTATCCTCGGCTGCTGGCAAGCAGAGTCCTGCGCCTCAGCAACCCTCGCAGTCCACGACAGTCTACCCTATGCCATCGTTACCCTACCCTGACGAACGATCTCGACAGCAGGCTCAGTCCTCACGTACTAATGGCAACCCCGCATCGAATCCATATCCTTACCCTGATGTGAGAAGAGTGACATCGCCAGAGCAAACTGGCTCACGAAAGCCTGGTCAGAGAAGAACGTCAGGAGGTGGACAGACATTAGCTGAGCGTCGGGGGACGATGCCCAAGCCTTTGCCCGAGTCACCGGGTCCAGATGCGCCAGACAAGGAGGGCTTGTTCCAGCGTCCACCACAACGTGGAGATGGTCCTGCTACTGCGCCGCTGCCTGGCTCCCAGAATCAGAGCGGCCAACAATACTGGCCTCCTCCGTCTACATCCTCGGCAGCTGATGCGTTGAGCAGGCTGAAAATCAGAGACCCAGAGTCTATCAATCGCATCAGCTCGACTGCCTCAACCTCGACAACGAGAGCTCAACGCGGATCCCCTCCGCCGCCGGAAACGCCTATCGTTGGGCCTGCTGCACGTCCACAGACCGACATCGAGGCTCGATATGCGGCGTCTGGCATCGCTGGCGCGGCTACTCTGAATAGTCTACAAGCACAGAGTTTGGCTGCACAGCAGAGAGCAGCTCAATATGGTGCGCCTGCTCAACAACAAAGTAGTGACCAACCTAGACGCCCGTGGACACCGACAGAAGCCCCTGGTAGCAGTCCGCATCCGCCGCCTACAGTGTATCAAGGCATGGGAATTGTGCAGTCATCTCCACCAACCGCCGCAGCTGCTCCAGTGGTTCAACCCACAGTCTCCTCTCCGAACCGCGCACCGCATCCTGTAGAAAATGAGATATCAAGGCTCCAGCCTCATGAGGAACCACCACCAGCTTATTCTCAAGTTTCCGGGCCGAATGGCCGCCGACCGGCTGAGAAGCAACGACAAAGTGTGGTCGGAGCAGGAGTACCAGCCACGGGTACCCCAGCTCCTGTGCCGGTCGCCCAGACGAATACTGCACCAGGTGCACAAGTCCCGAATCAGCAGGATCATCCAGCCTTTGCCAATGACCCAAGACAAAACAATCACAGTCCTGCTTCCATGGCCGCCGTTAATGGTCAAGCCCAACAGACCCAGCAGCCAACGCAGCAAATGCCGGCGCAAATCCCCCCAGCATCTCCTCCACCACTTCCAGAAGGTTGGATCGCGCATCTCGACCCAAATTCTGGACAGTATTACTATATACACTTGCCCACACAGGCCACTCAGTGGGAGTTTCCGAAAGGGCCGACCCCACTGAACCTACATGAGACTCCTCTATCGCCCGTAGGTAGTGTGTACCAAAATCCTCTCGCTTCCCCGGGCCTTTCTTTCAGTCAGAAACCACTTGCGTCACCTGGTCTACCGGTGACACCAGGCTACGATCAGCAAAGCGTCATGAGTTTGTCGAATCCGGCATCATTCACGGGTCCACCTCCGACCAGCGGCATCGACATATACAAAGTCGTGGCCACAAATGGTGTCTACTTTGGTCCGTATCTGCGATATACCAACATGGACATAGGGGGGGGGATATGGTACGGCTCGATATTACTTGTGACTGACGCTCCCCAACCACCTACGATCCACATCCACCAAAGTCTTGACCTGTCTCCGAATCCACGACAGCTCAAAGCCGCCAATATCTCGCAGCACCAACGATGGACATTCTACAAGTATGAGATTGATCTCCAGATGGACGAATCCGGACCGGCAAAGTGGACGTATGCAATCACTTCCCACCTTGGTTGTACACGTTATGAGTTCTTGGTCGCTGGCAAACACGAGACAAATTGGCGTTTCATCGCAACGTCGGGCAACGACTTTACTCTTAATGTCAGCGCCAACGAGCGTGCGCGGCTAGGTGGTGTCGGCTTCATGTGGAAGGATATCATGCAGAAGCATGCCGAGTGCGGTGGTTTTCACTGCCAGCTGGGGCTCGGGAGTCAGATTTACGCTGACCGAATGTGGAAGGAGATTGCGTCGCTGAAACAATGGTTGGCGACGAGTGGCAAGGAGAACAGGAAGAATGCAGTGTGGACAGCTGCACATGAGGAGGATGTGACACATGCATATTTTCATTATTACACCAGTCACTTCGACCAACCTTACCTGCGAGAAGCTTTTGCCCAGATCCCGCATGTTCTCACACTTGATGATCATGATATGTAAGTCAAAGAATCCCGGGTGGGAACACTATGCTAACAGGAGTGAAGATTTGACGGATTCGGATCTTATCCTGAATATATGCAATTCAGCAATATGTTCAAGAACATTGGACGAATAGGTATTGAAATGTACCTGCTGTTCCAGCACCACACGACTCTCGAGCTCTTGCGCAATGTATCAGACGATCGCGATTTGTTCACCATCACCGGCACTGGCTGGCATTTTGTGAAATTCCTGGGACCTGCTGTCGCCGTGGTGGGTCCAGATACCAGAAGCGAACGCAACCCTCATCAAGTCATGGCTGGACCAACGTACCAAGGACTGTTTCCCAAAATTGCGCTACTCCCACAGACGATACAGCATTGTATGCTCATGATCCCGGTGCCGTTGATTTATCCTCGATTAGATGCGGCCGAGCAAATCGCCCACACCATGGCCACGGGGAAGAAGGCCGTAACTGGAGCATACAATGTCCTTGGCAAAGTCACCAGTTCCGTCGCGGGTGTAGTTGGGGCCAAAGGCGCGGTCGGTTCGGGATTTGATTCGGTCAAGCGTGCTGTTGGCAAATCTGGACTCATGGGTGGCATCTTGAACCCTTTTGGAGATATCGACGTACTTGATGAACTCAAGGACCAGTGGACGCACGAGTCAAAGGTATGTTGTATACACTTTGTTGCTGTTCGAAAGACGTGACTGACACTTCAGTGATATAGGATCTTGAGCGGACCTACCTCATTCGTACTCTCCAAGGTATATCCCATCAGCGTTCCATCCGTATGACATTTATCTCGGGCGCCGTCAACACGTGTGGAGCTGGATTGGTACACGATCCGTCACATCCGTCCGACCACAAGACCATGTACCAACTGATCTCGTCGTCGGTCGTCAACACGCCGCCGCCCGGCTATGTCATGAAACTACTGAACAACAACAAACCACTCTACATTCCTCCGAACGGCCAACGGTCGACTCCTTCGCAACCCACAGACACGAAGGAGGACATGATGGAGATCTTTACGCACGACGTGACGGGTCAGGGTGTGAACAACCGCAAGCTCATGGCTCGCAGGAACTACGTTGCCATCGTCGTCTACGATCCGGAAATCGTCAATGGCACCTTTGGCAGTACGGGAATGCATCGGGGTGGTGGCAGGTTGAGTCTTGCCACGGACTTTCTCGTCCAAGGAGAGGGAGCATATGGAAACGTGGTCAAGTATGGACCGGTTGTGGTACCTAGTCTTGAGTTTGGAAGATAGAGACTGGACGAGACGTGTCAAGGAGGGTTCGAAACTTGATGGCGGGAGTTTTGCATAGCGGATGGTGCTGCTTTTGGGTTGTTTAATGATATAAAGTATAGCATTCATTTAAATTTTCGGATGAAGATCAACTATCTACGAGTACACAGGGTACAGTTCAATACTTGTCTTGACGCGAACGAAACAAGTATCTTGTTTGTACGTAGGTATGTTGCAGAGTCGTCTCACCAACGTACTGAGCAATCAAGTTCCTGTAAAGTGTCACCGTCTCCACATATTTCAATGGATATAAATATTCATCAGTTTTCTAGAACATCACTCAGCATCCATTGTCACCACGACGTGACATATTTAACTACCTGATAACACGAGGACGTATTGATTTTTTTGAGGTGAACAGAGTGACACATCCAATACGGTTGTATACGCATTCACCTGCCACCTTTTCCGTCAGTCAGTGTCGTCGTCCCCCTGATGTCCGTGTTTGCGTTTGTTCTTGTTTCCGTCTCCATTCCACCCCGTTTTCCATGCACAACCACAACAATGGTAAAAACAACAGCTGGACGAGTCCGGTGAAGGTATAACACCAACCGGTACCCATGCCTTCGATCATTGGATTCACCACGGCCGTCATCCCTGCGCCCAATGACGCCCTTATCAGATTCGCGGCGGCGCTTGCGGCTGCCGCCCTCGACCGGTTCAGGTCTATCAACAAGACACTCAGGGTGTTGAACCCTGCCAGATTGGTGTACCCGAACAGGATCAACATCACGATCGGACCTGCCATGTGGACCCTGAAATGCAACATCCAACCGTAGACGACGACGGTCAAGGCTCCAACCACGAAAAAGGGTAAACCGATTTCCAACCTGGCCCTTTCGATCGGGAACCCCCTCATGTCGATTTGTTTCCTTCGGTCCGGGTCGACGTTTTGAAGGACCGCGTGACGGCGGAAATTCCTGTCCAGAGCGACGCTGTTGGTCAAGGACGAAAGGATGCTGCCGCCGGCGATGGTCAAGAACAACAACCCCTGCGAGCTACTGTCGAGACCGTAGATTTCGTGGAACTGTGTGCTCAAGGTCGCCGACACCGCATAAAAGGCCGCATAAATTATCCCGACGACCGACAAGATGATTGTGTTTTCGAAATCGCCGAAAACGGCCAATGTACTTTTGGGGTTTGGCCATGTGAACTTTTTTGTCTTGCTTTTGCTCTTCCCGACCGACGGTGTCGTGTCGACCTCGCTCTTGTGGTCGTTGTCGTTCCGATCTTGTTTCAAAACACCAGCCAACGACATGTTCAATTTGGGAGGTTGTATCGATCCATCACCGACGATTTTTCGGGAGGTCTCTGGGAACCATATCAGTAACGGGATGATGTACACACCACCCACGATGAACAAGAACCAAAAAATACTGTGCCAACCGAGATGTTGAGCCAACAAACCACCTGCGACGGGAGCCACACTTGGTCCGACGATACCGGTGATGCTGGTGATGGAGATATAACTTCCTCTCTCGGCGCTCGTGATTACATCTGCTATGATTGCTTGAGCAAGAGTCACCATACCACTTGATCCTGTCGATTGTAACATTCGAAGCACCAAAAGACCGGCATAAGAATGGTTCAAGGCCAACCCGAGGTTGGCACCCATGTACACTACCATCCCAATGACATAAGTCGGTCGACGACCATGAACGTCGGTGATGCCGGAAATGAAGGCAGGAGCCACGGCTTGAAAGATCATATAAGTCGTGATGGTCAGGTTGATCTTGCTGATACTGACGTCCAGATCGGTGGCGATGGTGGTCAAGGCAGGGAAATAAATGTTTGTGGTGAAAGGTGAAAACAACCCACCCATGGTCGCCCCAAACACTATACCAATCTTTTGACGTCGGGTGAAGACAGAGTATGGTTTGTCATGGCTGACCATGTTGCTGTCGTCGATGGTGGTGCCATCCTTGTTGTTTTCATTTTTGTTTGTGTTTGTGTTCACATCCGTTATAGGGCCAGTACTCTCGGGTTGTTGGTTCGAGACTATGGTAATCTCATTTGCCTCCTCTGTAGGTTTTCTTTTTATTGTTGCGGCATCTTGATGTTGATTTCGACTTTCATCGAGAACAATCTCGTCAGTCTTTTCGATGTTGGAACCCTTACTAACTGTAGTGAGGTTGATGTCTCCGTGATTCATCCCTTCAGGCCCAAAGATACCATGCTGTTGAGCCACCAAAGACATAATGGCCTCGCCATCGCCATCATCACCACCAACCCGGACTTCGGCTTCTTCAACACCTTTTTTGGAGTCTGTCATTCTATTCCATGTGTGTATGAACTTTCATTTGGTCTATGGGTTGCTCCATGGAACACTATTCTGTCCCCTGACCCCACTGCTCCTTTATGCTTGAGCTGTGGTGGCCGGTAACGGCCCGTACTCGGACCTGTACTCCCCGGAGCGATCCAAAAATCACTATTTCGAGGGTTTGAAAATCAACGTCAGGCACTGCCACCGGCAATTTCTATTGGTCCAATCGCTAGCCACTGGTACGTCACTTGCCCCGGAGTCATGCTGTGGCATGCTTCAGAAATACTTGGAACATCATAGTTGGCACTGTATGGTCCACACCTCCAAGTGCATATATGTATCCAACAGACAGTACTGTATCCGGTCCGGTATGCGCAGTATAAGTCTAACCTTCCTCCTCTACTTCATACTCCATCCAACCAAAATGAAGTCTCAATTTGTAGCCGACATTGTCCCATCCTGCGAACATTTTCTTTGATGCCTCCTGAGATGGTCTTTGCGAGAATATGACTTCCCGCATTCACACAAGAACGCTTGTACGTCTGGGAACAAGTCTCTATGCACCGTTTGCTCGTGACGCTTGATGGTACGCTTGTCATCCTGCATAGACTTTCCACAGCCATCAATTTCACATCTGTACTGTTTGTGTTTGGCCAGGTGCCTTCTGAGAGAGTATTAATGCTTCAGCCATGTGATGCGAATGGATCTCCCACTCACTTGAACGAAGGCCCCTCCGAAGCGCACTGGTAATCGCAGGACGGGCATTTGACAACCTGAGACAAAGGAGCTATTGGCAAGGGCAGAGACGAGTCCAGGAGGTCGAACATTTGCTCGAGTGTCAAGTCGTCTGTCACGATTGGGCTTGGTGTAGGTGCACTGGACCATTTATCGAACTGCTCATGGCCCACAGCGGCGGTGACGTTCTGCAGAAAATCGGGAAGGATTTCCACGCAGGCGTGAAGATGTTGGACGTCCCATGCAGTGTCGTGATCGGACTCTTGGTCAGCAATAGCGGCTGTTGTCTGTTCCCTTTGAAGATCTGCTGAGCGTTCGTAGTCCTTATAACGGCTGTCGCCCGTGCATGACCTAGATTGACATTCATAGCTAAGACTTGGTTTGCTGCAACAGAGAGTACAGAAAATAGGCGGGAGGAGAGAATTGCCAGTGGTTTCTTGAGACACTTGCCTGAAACCACATAGCCCGAGTCTGTGGCTGTATCGCTTGTCAGTACCCATCTCCGCCAGTGGGTCGGAAGCCGTTTGAACAAGTCGAAATCAGGCAGGGAATTAAAGCCATAAGAGGCGGACGGTCGTTGGCGGTTCTGGAAATCTTGCAAAGGCATGATGCTCAAACGGGAGTGAATCGTTTCACCTCGAGGGGAAAGGTAAAGAATTCCAGTGATATACGCGTAGAAAGAGCAGACTTACCATCATGCAGGAGGCACTCAGTCCGAAGTGCATCTCACTGGAAAGGTTGCAAATGCGCAAGCTCATCTCCCAGGGCCGGAAGAGCGTTGTGCAAAAATTGGGCAGTTTTGCTCCAAGAACACCTGGTCAAGGCGGTAGATATGTGATAACTTGCGGTTCCGCTGGCTACACACTAATCAGAACAGCCTGCTCTTTATTGGTGGCCCCAAATGGGATGCTGCATATGTAGGCAATACCTTCGTTGCTACTAGTAGCGGTCTGGCATGCTCGCTTGGCTTGAGGTGCACGCCCAGGATCAGGCTGAGGTTGATCGACCCCTTGCAAGCTGCCAGCTAATTGATCGGGCCCGACAGACGTACCCCTGTCGTTCTAGAAATCGAGATTAATCTTGCTCACGCATGGGGGGCCGACATTGTCAACCTCTCAATTGTGAATGTAGCAGAAACATAGCTTAAAGAAGTCAGTGAGGCCGCATATATGTACCAGTGGAAAACGTCACTGCACTGTACTGCCTGGGGTCGAGGAGTGAGCTTGCCGGTCCTCAACAGAAGTATAAAGATCGGGAGAAAACAGGTAAGATGAGAAAGATACCAAATTTCTTCTTGAGTTGCATTCGCACACAAATCCCTCTCACTCTCTCCCGAGGAAAAGGAAAAGATAGAAATAGATATGTCGATGTTGAAGCAGGAGGATAGAATGGAGGAAAGCCAATCGCAACTGCAAGATAGTCTTCAAACGGGAAAGCATGCCACACACGGCATGAGTATCAAAGACGCCCGTGGATCTGGTCACCACCACCATTACCATGGCCCCTGCTCGACATTCGCTTTCGACAAGTGGTTGAACGAGAACAGAAAGCAACAACCTTGGAATGTTTTGCGGGAGATTGAAGATGAGCGGTTGGAGAGTCTGGAATCGACAACTCCCAAGCATGCGAAGGACCCAAAAACTCGTTGCTCGACGGATTTTGGATACGGCATCAGTGAGACAGTGAGCTGGGCTGCAGAAACCAAAAAGCATCAAAAGAATCGGTCTCGTTGTATGGACGCACCAAATTCCCATGATGGGCAGAGGCTGGATCACTACCAAGTTTCACCAGACCGAGTCAAAGCCAGTGCGGAAGATCTCAAGAACATTGGGTACATGCTTGAAAAGCCGACGAGGAAGAGGGAAAATGCAACACGTTGATAATCGTTGTCCAGATGACGGGACCATTTCTGTTTTTCGAACGTAGAACTGAAACCGGGAGCATATTGATCGTGATGTATGGCACTAAAGTAACCCATTTCCTCCAATCCCGGCCGCATTCAATCAATTTCTGCGGAGATCAACAACAGTCCTGTAGCGATACTGGTGTACGGACAATATGATCTTCAGCAATTTGACATTCCTTCCATTTTCGTGACTGTGGACTTTTCAAACGACCTGGCCGCCAATCATTTTAAACCATCAGAGTTTGTGGCAATCCAGCGCTATCAGCGCTAAAAGGTGAAAGATTGAAACCCGCCGTCACCGTCCTTTTTATGATGATAGAGAAACATAAACTTCGTGACGCCGATACATGTCATATGAGGGGATGTAATCATCGCTCGTGTTGCCGTTTCGCTGGGTCGAGGTTTCTTTCGTCTTGGGCAAATTAGTTGTCCACCCCAATCTTCACATTCTTCTCTTCGGGTGGGATGATGCTCTTCTCCAGTTGGCCTTGAAGGTGTGGTAATTCAACGACAGCTTCACCGATAATAGCCAGAGCCCGCTTGATCTCATCTTCGGTGATGACCAATGGTGGTGCGAGACGGATAATGTTCTGATGTGTTGGTTTGGCCTACGATCTGTTAGCAAAGCAATTCACGAAGCACTGCAACAAACAACTTACCAAGAGACCTTTCTCCTTCATCAGCATACACAGATCCCAGGCACTGTGTCCATTTGTCTTTTCTTCGTCAATGACAATTGCGTTTAGCAGACCTTTTCCTCGAATAGTTGTGATCAGAGGCGATTGTAGGTCTCTTAGACCATCGCGGAAGATCTGACCCAACTTCTCGGCACGTTCAATCATCTTTTCCTCTCGAACAACCTCAAGCGCACGAATGGCAACAGCACAACCAAGTGGGTTGCCACCATACGTCGAACCGTGCGTGCCAGGTTCAATGGTGAGCATTACATCCTTGCGTCCGAGCACGCACGACACGGGGTACATGCCTCCTGAAATTGCTTTACCGAGGAGAACCATGTCTGGCTTGATGCCAGCCCACTCGTGGCACAGAAGCTTGCCGGTCCGGGCGATACCAGTTTGAATTTCATCACAAATCAAAAGAACGTTGTGCTTATCACACAGAGCTCTGACTTCAGACAGGTAGTTGTCGCTAGGCACGACGATACCAGCTTCACCTTGAATTGGCTCTACCAGAAAACCAGCGATCTTGTCACCGCTTGACTCGAAGGCTTCTCGGACAGCGGAGATGTCGTTGTAGGGTATTATCTTGCCCGTAGCTGGGTTGACGCTTCCAACGCCAGGTAGATACGGACCGTAGTTGTCACGCGACTCGGGATCTGTGGACATGGATATGGCTGAGAACTGCGGTGAAGGTCAGTAAAAGAATGTCCCAACAATAAAATCGATACTTACAGTTCGTCCGTGGAAATTCTCGGCGACACTGAGAACAAGAGCTTCGTCCTGTGGAATGCCTTTGCACTTGTAGCCCCATTTTCGGGCAATCTTGATGGCGGTCTCGACGGCTTCCGCACCAGTGTTCATGGGCAAGACCATGTCAAAGTTGAAGTACTTGGTGACAAACTCTGCGAAACGGGGGAAAACATCGTTGTAGAAGGCTCTGGAGCTCAATGTGAGCGTCGACGCTTGCTCAACAAGAGCCTTGACCAGTTCCGGGTGGCAATGTCCTTGGTTGACCGCAGAGTATGCTGAGAGGAAGTCGAGATACTGCCGACCTTCGGGATCCCATACCGTAGTTCCGAGCGCTCTGGCAAAAACGACAGGTAGTGGATGGTAGTTATGGGCGGCGTATTCATGTTCGGCGTGGATAGCCTCATCTGATGAAGAAGCGTGGTACTTTGATCGATCTGGTGTACCGGCTGGATGAAAAGCTGGAGCAGTCGCTTTCAATTGCGTACCAGTACTGTGTCCATTCACTTGCGTGACTCCGTTGACACCATCGCCATTGACTACAGTGGGAGCCATCTTTGTGCAGCTCAACAGTGTAGTACTTTTGAAGGACACTTTGATAAGTAGAAAAAATACAATGCGGGTGATTGGCCGCCGACTTTAGCGAAGGGATTTTGAAGCAAGTCTAAACGGCGACAGGATGATTTATCTTCTGTTTCCACACGACAGAGTATTCGTAGCCGGAAGACGGTGTGATTTTGGGCCTCAGTAGCCTGGATCCAAGTCAGATTAAGTACTCGGTATGTCTGTGGACCGGAAGAAAGGGTCATGTGCAGAGATTTCATGAACAAAACTCACCTGCTATGCCTCTAAGTGCAGGTATATCCCTAACGGCAAGAGGTCGACCGCTAAGAGCAAGCCTAAGCGTCCTCAGATTCAGGCCCGCAATAATGAACAATTTGTGTGGTGGTTGGGGAAGATGCAAGGGCAACAACCGCAGTCTAAGATACGGCTCATTATTGGTCGAGGGGCAAATCTGCCACTAGAAGTTGATCGATGTCATTGTGCGGTTAACTGCGGTTGAGCCCATCTTCGTCCTCGATACGATAGGTACCTGCTCATCATTCTCGTATGATCGCAAGGCGTAACGCTTACTACAGTCTCAACATCCCCGGATCCCCCGATTGAAGCTTGAACGATACCCCCGCTCAAGATGGCTTCTCTGAAAGGCCCAGGTGCTCCCCAGAAGCACGATGGCTCCGGCCTGCGCATCGCCATTGTCCACGCCCGCTGGAACACCACCATAATTGACTCCCTCATCAGCGGCGCAAAGAAAGCTATGCTAGCCTCCGGAGTCAAGGAGGAGAACATCGTCATTGAGTCTGTCCCAGGGTCCTATGAGCTTCCCCTAGCGGTCCAACGAGTCTACGCTGCATCTCAAATACAGAGCACCGCCAGTACGGTTGCTGGCGGTGTAGGAAGTCTGGCGAGCGGTATTGGTGACTTGCTTGGTGGTAGTAATTCGACAACGGATCTGCAGGGCAGTCTCCAACCGGCGGCGCCAGAGCCAGAGAAGAAGGACACGGCATTGAAGCATGCCTTTGATGCTGTGATTGCCATTGGTGTGCTCATCAAAGGAGAGACCATGCACTTTGAGTACATTGCAGATGCAGTAAGCCATGGACTCATGAAGGTCCAACTGGACAGTCAGGTCCCGGTCATTTTCGGCCTCTTGACGGTGCTCAACGAAGGCCAGGGTCTAGCGCGAGCGGGTCTCGAGGGAGGCACCGGAAAGGAAGCGAAGGGACACAATCATGGAGAGGACTGGGGAAATGCTGCTGTCGAGCTCGGGGTCAAGAGAAGAGGCTGGAATGAGGGCAAAATTGCATCTTCTTGAAGATAGACAGTAGCCGTTGTCGTTTCACATGCATAGGATACAGCATCGAGAGACAGCTCACTCGATGAATTTGGCTAGGTTACAGAACAGAACATGGGTCTCACAAAAATAAAAAGTCCGTGTTCAAGTCCTCAGGCTCTTTTGCATGACAAGACCCGACCTATTGATCCATCTTGGAACGCCAGTAGTGCTACAATGCTATGAAGGGTGGCAAAACGAGCTATTACTCTTGCATAGCATCCTCTTCGTCCTCATCTTCGTCCTCGCCTTCCAAGCTTTTCTTTGCTGCTTTCTCGGCCTCTTCTAACAGCTCTTGCGGAACTTGCTCGTGCCTGCCTTTTGTGGGACCATCCAAGGCCGAGATCCAGCTCATCTCAAGCTCGAATTCCTTGTCTTTTGAATCTTCATGAGCAACGTAGATGATTCTTGCTGCCTCCATCACGGCTTCTTTGAGCGTAAGAGGGCACGTGGGTGAGCCTAGGTCCAGTTTCTCGAGTTCTGCTTTCGCGGCTTGTCGTCCTTTGCCCGTAGCAGCTCCATAATACCCCTAACAACGTCAGTGTCTGTGTCAAATTGCTTACTTGCAACCAACATACCCAATATAACCCGCTGGGTTCGATCATGTAAAGACCTGGACCTCCTCTTTTCACTGCTTCTTCTTCGAACTTTCCACCCGCGCCAACTTTTGGTCCAAAGCCGACCTGGCCATCTACACCAAGCTCGGTTTCCGAATCCCAGCCACCTAAAATCGCTGTGACTCCAAATGGCCGTACAGATGAGTAAAGCGTGTATGCTTGAACGTAGCCTCCCATCCGCGACGCTAGGGCACTGATCGGGATTGGAGCTTTGTACGTCTGTCGCCAACTGCTAGCCTCATCTCTTGCTCTGCTGGTGAGATGCCGGGCGTCAGGTAAAAGACCCGAACATACAACACCTGAGTTGCGATCTACTGTGGATATTCTCTTATTGGTACCTGGTTTGAGAAGCTTCGAGGAGATGATCTTCTCGCAGGCCAGGACGACGCCATGTCTTGTTCTTATGCCGATGCAGGTGTTTCCGTTTTCCACGGCCTTTACCGCATATTCGACCTGGAAGTTTCGACCATCGGGAGAGAAGACGGAGTTGGACAGATCGTAACCTGTTCCTATTGACGTCTATTTGTAAAGATGTCAGTGATTGAGGCTAGAGTAATTGGGCTAGATAGTTTACCATTGCGAGTTATGTCTTTGTGGTTATTGAGCTGCGGCAGATGCAGAAATCAGTCGAGGTGGTGTACAAACAAGGATTCTGGCAGGAGAAGGTCGATGGTGAATATTGTACGCTCAGTACAGAATACCAGCGCTCCAGGCCTCCGCAATGCGCGTCGCTGCTTCAACTTTCCCAGGTCATAGATAGTTGGCCCAAAGTGGTTTAGCTCATTATCGGAGGCTTGGCTTGGTATCTCCGGCAAGTGTCGCGTCGGGCACCAAGCACCAAGTCACTCTTTAATCTCGTCATCAACGACTTGATTTCCCCCTTCTTCTCTTCCTCTCCTCGACTTTGTTTTCCTTCATCACTGCTGAATTCAATTCTTTACTTTGTTTGCGATCGAAGACTCGATCTTTCCGGCTTTAATGTTGAGCTGAGACTGATCCTGCTTTTCCGACAACATCTGCTTGGTCTTTCAAGGCATCCTCCTACCGACGACAGGTGTTACGCACACCAACCTCTTCATTACGCACAAGGCTATACTTATCACTGGGGTACCCTCCAATCCTCGACTGGCCTCTGGATTGCCAATCTCTTTGTTCTGGATCGCTGGACCTCAGGATCATCTATCTGGACCCCGGATCTGGACACTGGACTCTTGGAGCTTCTATAGCAGTTGTGTTTTAGTTAGTACAATACGATTTTGAAGCCTAAATCCCGAATTTTTGCTTCCTCCTCTTCCTGGTTATCGTTGCTGCAAGGATCTCTAACCGCTGGTGTGGCCAATACTAAAGAAATCTTTGAAACATGGCCTCTGCGTTTCATCGTTGCCAATTCTGTGGCTACGAGACGGATCTGTCGAACAATATCGCAGTGTTTGAGGAGAATCCCCACTGCAGACAGGTTTGTTCGTTCCCTTCTCAGTTCATGACCTTCTGATTTTTTTCGCTAGTGCGGCCTATCAGCCTCGGAGAGCGACACAAAAATGCAGGAAGAGTTGATCAACATGATGACGAGAAATCTTCAGCTCAATTCCATTCAACACCAGCACGATATGTCGATGCCTCCAACCCCTCAGGTTGTCCCACAGGCATCACCAATTACCTATATTACTCAACACTATCACCATTCTGCACATCAGGTACAGTCCAACGATCTTCCCGTTTCCTCAATAATTGAGCAAGCTGGGATCAATGCTTCGGCTTTGTTTCCATCACAGTTGCAGTTGTTCAAAAATGCAGATCTTGAACAGAGGTCTAGATTGATACAGCTCTGGCAAATAGCTCCCCCGAGTTATGGGAATCAGATGCACCCTGATGATCTGGGAAACTGGCCTCAGACGAGCATGGAGAGGGAAGAAGAAGCGGCAAGATACAGACTGGAGGTAGCAGAACAAGACAAGATGAAGAATCTGTGGGGGTTGCCAGGCTCCGAACATCGAAACGCCGAACCTTATATGACTCACGGCTATGACACCGAGGATGTGGCCAAAGCTGAAGCATCTACCACAGCTGCGCAGGATGCAGAGTATAAGCACTCGAATGATCCCGCCTACGATAGTCGAGAATGGTGGCATCTCTCCGAGGGAGAACCAATGGAGCACCAGTATGGGATGCTACAGCAGATGTGGGGATATGGATTCAACTATTCAGCTACGAAGAATAATGATGGTGATGCAGAGATGTCCTAGGATATGAAGGATTGTGAGCCTTGCATGTTGAATCATTGAGTACCTGAGGGTTGGACAAGTTGCATAGATTAATGGTGTAGATAGCACTCGCAATTTCATTTGTGCATATGGTGAATATCAGGATTTCTTCTTTGGTCTTCTACTGTTCTAAACGCCCCGGAAGTGTCTATTTCGTATTACCTGGTGGGTTGGGACCTCGTATACTCCGTAGATGTACTCTGTACTCCCGCTCGGCTGCACCAGACTATTTTATTCGCCGGCCCGTTAACCGAAATGGGGTTTCGACAAAATGCGGCAAGGATGATGGAACAAAAGACTTCAGCCAGATCAATTCCATGAACAATCCTCTGCTTGGATAATCTCCTACAAGTCCTGGAGACGACAATGATCGGGTTTCAACAGACATGACAATAGAGCTCTGAGTCGGAACTCGTACATATCTTGACATCCTCCCGCCACTGTGCGCCCTCCGTCATCCTGCGCTGTTCGCCTCGACGCACCCAACCTCGAGTCCTGCCGCTATCCCTCTTTTACAGGAAAAGACCGCGACATGGCTTCAATGAGCAAGAGAACGCAAGCGCGCAATGAGAGGGAGCTGCATGAATTGTTGAGCCTTCCGGGCAATTCGACATGCGCCGATTGTGGTGCAAAGAATCCAGCATGGGCAAGCTGGAATCTGGGTATCTTCCTGTGCATGCGATGCGCTTCATTGCACAGAAAACTCGGCACACATATCAGCAAGGTCAAGTCCCTGAGCATGGATACATGGTCGAATGATCAGGTCGAGGTAAATCTCGCCAAAGTCTACATTCTGAGCGTTCGCTGACTGGCCGCAGAGTATGAAACGTCACGGAAACAACGAAGTGAACAAAGTCTACAATCCCAAGAACAAGAAACCCGATATGCCTCTTGATGCGGATGAGGTAGACTCTGCAATGGAAAGATTCATTCGCAAGAAATACCAGGAAAAGAGTCTAGCAGATGGCAGACCACAACCTCCCCAACGCGATGACCATTCACCAACAACATATTCAAGACCGCAACGAGCAGAATCTCCTCCGCCGCCCTTGCCCCCAAAGAAAGGAAAACTCTTCGGTTTTAGTCTTCGAACTTCGTCTTCGGCACTTCCCCTGTCGAGGCATGATAAAAAGAAGGCTGCCAAGGAGAGAAGTATGGACAACAACTTTCAAGTGCCTACAGAAGATTACAATTCAATGTCGAGGATGGCAGATGCGCGCTTTGAGATGACGGATTCGGATCTCCAGAAGAAGCTTAACATGCTTCTAGACATGGGGTTTTCTGACGTGGATCGCAACGCGAACCTGTTGAGACGACTGAACGGGAATGTTGAAAGGACGATTGCAACATTGGTTCAGCTGGGTCCAAGCAATGGTAGCAAGGTATCGGCAACCAGGCCTGTTCCAGAAAAAGAATATTCGACCGAGTTCCCAGACGTACCTACGACCTCGAAGCCTCCGGAGCCGTCGTACAATCCCTTCACGCAGACAGACAGTCAACCCTCTGTTGGTCTCTCTATGGGTCAGCCCCAGGGACCTCCAGCTCAGCAATATAGCAGCAACAATCCGTTCGGACCTCCAGCACCACGAAGCCAGACCGAGACTGGGCTTGAACAGTCATTTCAATCCATGCAGGTCACTCAGCCGTTGTTCCCTCACAGCACCGGCGGCTATCCAGCTCAGCAAGCTTCCTTCCAAGATCCACGACTACAGTACTCTATGACTCCCCCTGTAATGTCTTCAAACCCTCAGCAAGGCTATGTTGCATCCCCTGCAGCTATTTCTATGAACACGAACCCGTTCTTCCAGCCTGCTCCACTATCTACACAATCCACAGGGAGCAATCCATTTCTCCCACAATCTCAGTCAGCAACTACACCTTCTACGTCGACCAATCCATTCTTTGGCTTTCAACCGCCACAACCGACGGAAAGTCCACTGCGCCAAAGCTCTCTTCCTGCTAGCCTGAACCCATTCGGTATTCCTCCCTCGCAGCAATCACAACTGATGTCGCAGCAACAGCAACAACCTGCAGGTCGACCGGCACCACAAGCACCAGACTTTTATGGAGCTACTCAGACGAGTTCATATGGAAATCAGAACAACCCATTCAATATGCAACAACAACAGCAGCAGCAGCAGCAACTCCCCCATGCTCAAGGTCCTCAAGCGACGATGAGCTATCAGAACTTTCAATATGGACAGCCTCAAGGTCAGCAACAGCAACCACAGTTCCAACAGTTCCAGCAGCAACAACAACAACAACAACCTAATTTCCAACAATACAATCAACAACCCCAAGCCATGATGCCTCAACAAACTGGTCGTTATGACAAGAACTCTATAATGGCATTGTATAACTACCCTCAACAGAGCAATCAACAACTCGCCTCGATTCCCGAACCAGCAGACCAGAACCAAGCGCAGCAACAGCAGCAGCACCCGCAACAGGTTGTGTCACCCACTCCATCACTTGATATATTTGGTCAACCAAATGCCTTGACGCCCACGAAGCGAAGCTCGACCATGCCAGTCTCCTTATCGAACATGCATTCGGCGGGTGGCGGCGGCAATCGCAATCCTTTCTTCACGAACGCAGCCAACGTCAACGCCAACGCCAACGCCACTTTCGGCCTCGGCTCGCCGGCACAGACAAACATGATGCCCAACTTGACTCAGGCTCAGATGCAGTCACCTCAAGGCATTGCCGCGAGACACACAAGTCGAGAGAGTATGATTATCAGCGGGCTCGAAAATGGTCGGCACAGTCCAGACGCCTTTGCGAGTCTGAGTGCAAGGTATCAATGAGCGGGAAGAGTTTCTTCGCGTGTTGTGTCTCCGATGGAGAAGGATGGAAGAGGAGGAACCTTGCAAAAAAGGTGTGCCAGAAGGGGAGAAAAAAGGGCGGGCTACCCGAAAGAAGTTATTTTACATGGTCCTTTGATTCAAAAACCCAATCAATTGCATTTGTATCCTCGCGAGTCTCGAGAGCAGCAGATTGCAGGTAGTTTTTAGCCATGTTTTACGAATTTCCTTGTGTGCGCAGGAGTTTATATCAATATCAATGGGAGGAGTACGGATTCAGCATGCCTTTTGACCGAGTATCGAGTAAAAATGGTGTTTTTTCCCCAGCACAATACGAGGGACATTCTTCTTTATATATATACCTATATATATTTCTTTTGTGTTATTGAAGCGATGGTGGGCGTGGGAGGACTCATCAAATACCTTGGTTGTGGTCACGGTCAAGGCAGGTAGTACGTGGTACGGCGCGCATTATGCGAGCAGCTCATTTCAATGTCGTTCCTATACCGTCTTTACACTAATACATGAGGAGCCCTTTTCACATTTTTGTTCGGGAGTTTCTCAATCGGACGAAACCCAAAAACGGGCCTCAATGAGACCAACTCGAGTGTGCTGCTCTTGACTCCGTCGTCGTTTGTCCTAGAAAGAGGTCCCGCTTTCCCCTTAGCTCTGACCGAGTACTTTTTGTCCACGTTTGCCTTCTCCCCCTGGTGGAGAAGAGTCACGAACGGTGTGTTTGTCGAGGTTCTCGAAAGATCCAACTTTACCGTCCCTTGCATCGGCAGCACGTGAGGTACCGTCGAGGCACCATACCACGACGTCGCCCGTCCGCCGCCAGTCGTCGTGCCAGTGACTGTTCCAGATCCTGCGGCACTCGACGTACCCGCTCCCCCTCAGTGCCACGGTCATGACCGAATCGAGATGGGCGAACGCCACCAGATAGTCGGGCCAGGGTTTCCTCCCTTCTCCTCCCGTATTCCAATACTGCTCGTCACGCTCCGCTTCGATCGAGTCCGAGTCATTGATGACGGCCCCCCTTTTTGCCGCCAGCGGATCCTTTGCAAAAACCCCAGCGGCGTCGCCTCTCGCCCTGACGCCCTCCTTCCGACGCGGAGCTCGTCTGGACATGTGACGTTTCAACCACAGTGTGGGATTGTCGTAGAACTGGTCGGCCTCGTCCATGTAGGTCGCCTTTTCAGTCGCGTCGAGACCGAGAGGCGGTTCACACGTCAATGCCCACGCCCTGATTCCCGGGTTTGCCGCCGTAGGTGGGTATTGAAAGTGAGAGCGCCACGGCGTCGAGTGGCAGGGCATGAGCATGCCTAGTGTCATGTTTGACGGCTGGGACAACCCGAGGTATACATCCTCGAATTCGTTGCGGAGGTAATGTGTCAGACTGATTATGCCGGAATTGTGCACGTATGAGGTATAATACGCTAGACCGACATTGAGAGCAAGCAAAAAGAAAAGTAAGAGTCTCTTGCTGGCTCGATGGCCAGCTCTACTCGATTCTGTGACCAAGGGACCGAAAAATCTTGAGAGTTGGACTGCCGTAATGATATGTAATGCTGGGAGGAGCGGGTATATAAAGCGGACTTCTTTATGCGCGATGTTCGAGAAGAGCGCCGGTACAAGGATGCACAGTATAGTCAAGGACCTCAAGGTTATGACTCCTGTGGGTGTTGCGTCTGACTCTGCTACTTTGTTGCGGAGAACGCGACACATACCGATCAAGGTGAACGGCAATGCGGTCATTAGAAGGAGCGGATACCCTTGAGAGAGATAGTAGTGCCAGTCATTACTACCGTAGAATGTCGCTAGGGACTGGATGACGTTGACATGCAAAAAATTGAGAGGCGGGAATACCCACGCGTCGTAGAAAATTCTGTCAACCACACTCGAGAAGATGAGCACTGTGCTACCACATAGGATCGTCTCACGAATGAATATTGTCGACTCTGTCCAACTCGGTCCTGCCGACGTTCGAAACCGAAAGAATGCCATGGAAGCGAGGCTGAACCAGATGAAGATGTTTGTAGGTCTGAGAATCGTTGCTACTGCTGCACAGAGAAGTGCTCTTCTCAGTCTAGTCAGTTCATCCCCAGAGCCGCGTTCTCGAGAATCCAATTCGCGGACGCGAAGACCTTGGGAGTCAATGGTCGAAGCTGGTCGGCCCCCCGTGGTCAGAGGTTGTTGCATCCAATGCCATGGCCAGTTGTACAGAGCGATAATGGTCATAGTCGATTCCATGGAGTTGGAGAACGTGCGTGTCGAACAAAACCATTGCCACGGGCTGACAACAGTCAAGAGAAGAACAATCAATGACGAGACTGTGTTTTTCCCATAGATATATGACCCCAATTTCCAGGTGAAATAGTCACCAACAGCCGCAAAGAAAGCTTGCACCACCTTGGGCGTCGCAAGCAGCACCTCTGATCGAGTATGGCTACCCAGGCTCAGTGCTTCAGCAAGGAAGTTGGCAGTCTGATAAAATACCCCAAAAACTGCCGGGTGCAAAGCAGAGCGTAGGTGGCTGTTCCACTCCTAGATTCTTTATGAGTTTTGTGTCCTGCATTTTTGTGTAGCCTTCTTTGTATCGCACCCATGTGATCCAAGCCCCAGCTTCTTTCCCGAATGCCCATCTCCATGCTGGTTCCAATGCTTGGAAGTATTCATCTGGTTGGAAAAACGTGCAGATTGTCAAGGCGTTAAGAAGTCTGAACGCAACGAGGGTTACAAAGACTGTGTGTGCGTCTAACGCGAAGGAAACCGATGCAGCAAGTGTAGAGGGCGCAGATGTGGCTCTTTGATCGTCCTGCGACACATCCTTAGTCACCTGCTTTGACTTCGAAACCATCTCCGACATGATCAGCCATTTCAGCACATCAGCCGGGCTCTGAACAATAGTCAATGGGAAGAAGAACAAGCCTGATACACCTGAGGTAAACACAATGTAGTTGAAGAGGACAATATAGTACGGAGTTACTCTCAATCGCTGTAACCCCGATTTTGTCTCCAACTCAGCCTTGTGAACTCAGCCTCGTAAAGCCTAGACGTTTCCTGCTAAAAGCCTCATGGTCAGAGGTACTGCAGACCCTCTGAGTCTCTCCGCGGTTTTCAGTAGGCTCGTATGAATAATATTACGCCGTAGCGTGCACAATGCTGAAAAGATCATCGTCTCATACTCATTCTCATCTAATTACGCCAGTAACTCCATGTAGTTCTACATGTCCTTTCAAGGAGTTCTCGGTGAATGTCTACCAGAAACACCCGGCTGTACGCCAAATTCCTTTTCCATCGCTGCATGAACGGACGTGGGGACACAACAGACAATGCAATTGCTAAAATCCTCAACAAGCACCAAACACAGCTTACTCGACTGTAACAGACTTGGCCAAGTTTCGTGGGAAGTCGACGTTCAATCCCTCTGCGACCGCGAGCCAGTAAGCGATCAGCTGCAATGGAATGACGTTCAGGAGACCTTGCAAGCAGTCAACGGTCTTTGGAACCTGGATACGTTCGGTCTTGGTTGGCGGGAATTCAGGGTCGTCCTTGTTGCAGATGACAATTGGGCGGCCATTACGAGCAATGACTATGCAATGTTAGTTCTGTTCACTAGTTCGGGCGAAATATAATCATGCTCACCTTGTTGATATGCGTTCAGTGACTTCGCAAAGATGTCATCGCGAGTGAGAATCATGATGATTGGCAAGTTCTCATCGACAAGAGCCAAAACACCATGCTTGAGTTCACCTGACATGACTGCTTCGCAGTGCAAGTAGGAAATTTCCTTGATCTTCAGTGCACCTTCAAGAGCAGTAGCATGCTGACTGCCACGGCCGAGCAGGAGAAGCGACTTCTGCTTTTGAAGGAACTTGGCGCACATCTCTTTTATTGAGTCGTTGAGTTGCAGGATCTCGCGGATCTGCTCGCTGACCTTGCCCAAGCCTTCGATGATTTCGGCCCGGCGTTGGGCCTTGGAGGCACGATCTTCACTAAGTGACAAGGCAAACATGACCATGGCGACAAACTGGGACGTGTAGGCTTTGGTTGAGGCAACGCCAATTTCGGGTCCAGCGTTGATATGCACACCACAGTGAGTGAGCATGGAGATCGAGGAGCCGACAACGTTGACGATACCAACGGTCAACGCACCACGTTCCAAGCAATACCGCAGAGCCATCAAGGAGTCTGCCGTCTCGCCAGACTGGGAGACGAAGACACAAGTATCGTCGCGGAAGACTGGCGCTTGTCTGTCAAGGAAGTCCGAAGCTAACTCGACCGCGATTGGAATTTCTGTAAGTTCCTCAAAAACACCTCTGACGGCCATACACGAGTGGTAACTTGTACCGCAAGCAATGAAGATGATTCTTCTGCATCGGCGGATGGTGCTCATGTACTGTCTGAGACCTCCCAGAACAACACTCTTGTTTGCGACGTCCAGACGACCACGCATGGTGTTGACCACAGACTCTGGTTGCTCGAAGATTTCCTTTTGCATGAAATGGTCGAATTTGCCCTTCATGATTTCTTGGAGCTCGAGTTCAATGGTCTGAATGGCACGAACGTTACTCGTGCCGTCGTCCTTTGTAAGACGGTGAATGTTGAGCTGGCCATCGTGAATGTGAGCAATGTCATCATCCTCAAGGTAGAGAACCTTCTTTGTGTGTTCAACCAGGGCTGAGGCGTCCGATGACAGGAAGAACTCGGCAGGTTGAGGCATGCCGTCGTCGGACAAGAAGGCACGAGACTGCGATCTGTGGAGTAGAGACTTGTCTGGGGGCGCGAGGTGTCCGCCAGGTGACAGGAGACCCGGAGCCTTCTTCTTCAGCGCCACGTTGTGATTTGCCCTCTCCGCAGGCAGAGCACCACCGTCTCCCTCGTATTCAACGTCCACGAAGTCCACCTTCAGCTTCTTTTGTGTCTTCACACCAACAACCAAAGGAGAACCCTTTCGAGCCGCAATCACTTCCGAGGGAAAATGGACGGATTTCATGAGGAGACCGAAAGCGCCCTGGAGTTCCTTGATGACGGCCTTTCCGAGAGTGGTGAAATCGATGTCTGGGTGGGCATCGTAGAGGAACTTTGCAAGTTTGGCAATGCATTCGGTATCGGTGTCAGTTTCAAATCTGAAGCCCTTGCCCTCGAGCAGCGCCTTGAGTTCTTTGTAGTTTGTGATGATACCATTGTGGACAACAGCAAACTCCCACTTGGGGTCAGATCTTCTCACAGGTCAGTCAAACTATCTCAAACTATCAGCCACTGGAGCTCACCTGTGAGGATGACAGTTTGTTCTTGATGGTTGACCGTGGGTTGCCCAACGGGTGTGGGCAATACCAGCATGGGAGTCAAAGATCGCGGTCATGTCGACACCTGACTCTGCCACCATCTCCCGCAGCTTTGCCACCTTTCCCACCTCTTTAAAAGCGAAGACTTCATTTCTCTTGTCACCGTCAATTGCTAGACCGGCCGAATCGTAACCTCGGTATTCTAATCGGGAGAGACCTGCGGAGGGTGCGTCAGAGGGCAAATGTTCCATACAGAGTGGCTGTAGAACTCACCATTGAGCAATGTGTCGAGGATGAACTTGCGGTCCTTCTCTACCAAGTAGTTGATGTAGCCAAAGATGCCACTGGTCGCTGTCAGTATGGCCTGCGCTCCACGGGATTCAAGTGGTCGACATACCACATCTTGAAGGATTACTGGACAATTGTCGAAAACCGATACTGCTCAGGAAGGCTCAGGGTATACAGCAACGATAGAAAGTGTTTCTGGCCTGGATATGAGCATAAGGGAGTCCCAATGGCTTGGAATCTTACAAAGGGTATTACCCTGAGGTATTTGAGGTTGAAGAAAGGGTCCGACAACAAAGAACTGCACGAAGAAAGATCGACTCACTCGACAGCGAGTGTGCAACAGAACAGGGAGGGTTACGGAGTATGGAGAGAATGATCTCGTAGCAAGAAGAAAGTGGTTCTCTGGACAAGTCGTGTTATTATTATTGTTATTGTAAGGAGCGTAGGACGGGTTTACCTCCTCAGGTGCTGACAACGTTTCGAACGGGGCTGAGACGCCTTCGGTGAGCAAAGACATACAAAGAAAGCATCCGCAAGCCACTCTAGTCATCAATTGGTCACTGCGGCCCTGCACAGCAACCGCCATGTGAACCTTGGCAGGTACCGAACAACCGCAAACGGCCTTGTGGCACTATTTTTCGGACCACGGAGTGCGAACAGAGGCATCTGTGCGAGGATCTGGTGGTCCTGGCGCTCACCTAGAGGCTCTTTACGCGAAGGCCAGAGCTCATTAGCCACACTGCACACAGTATTCTACTCGCTACAGACCGAAAATTCGACGATAATGCTGTCGCTCATCAAGCCTAGAGCTGGTCTAGCAACTATACAAGAATCAGCACGTTCACCGATCCTGCTGGTCCCGTTCACAATTATGCTAGTTCTTAGAGAATCGCCATCGTGCTGAAACAGATCTCGCTCCTTGTACCACTCGCGTTGGCCAAAGCAATCGATATTCGCACATTCTAGAACTTTCAAAATCTTCATTATTGATGCCAGCGAGGGCCCAGGCATTGAAAAACTCAGCATTGCCGTTCTAATGATTCTGATAGAGATAGGAAGCTCACCTTGCACTGTTCTAGACGTTGGCCCCTTGGAAAGGAGGAATTCTTGCGCTTGTACTCCGTATGTAGACATGACCACAACACATACTGTTGCCAGCTGAATCCTAAAATAGAAGTTCGTGTATGTCATTTGTACTCCGTACTCCGTATTCTTATTACTTATACTCGTACTCAGTATTGTTAGTTGGATTGCCCGTCAGCCTCCCCCTGACAAGGATGACGAGTGAGACGTCACCACCAATTCGCCTGTGTCGCTTTCTGAGACACCTTGGCCCCCAATAGAGATCGACTTGCGCCCAGTTTCAGATATCGGCCCCAGTGGCCCACCCTGCCCAAAATACGTGGTTCGGACAAGAATACTGTACCAAGGAAGACGGAATAGGGGGGCACTCAACGTGTACGGACCATCGCACGAAATAGTTTGTCGACACTTGGTCCAGCTTAGAGGAACTAACGAATATACTCTACGGTCCAGAGCCCATGATTTTCAGCATATGCGCAAAGGCCTCCTGCCGTTTTACTTCAAAGCCGTCAAAGGCACGCTTTGACATTCCAACGGGTATTTGATCCTTGCCACTGACCAATCCAGAGTATGCTTCCTCAGTAAATTCATCCAGAGGCATTCCAATCTGTCGACCGTTCTTGATGTCTGGTTGATGCTTCTCGTCGTGAAGCTCGGTCTGAACCGCAGGGGGAAAAATCTCGATGACCTTCACCTTGGTTTTCTTCAACTGTTCTCGCAGACACAGGATCCACTGATGGAGTGCTGCTTTTGAAGCACAATAGTTTGAACAGCGCAGAATTGGAACCAGAGCCAGATTAGAGGTAATGTAAACCAATGCTGTCTCTGTCGACTTTTTCTGCAGAAAGGGCAAGAAGGCTTTGGTCAGGGCCAGGTGAGCGGTGTAGTTGGTGTTGACCTCGAGCTGCACCGAATCCAAGTCAATCGAATCGGGGTCGCTGAAGTCTGTCTTTCTCTGGATGCCCGAGTTGAGGATAATACCTTGTTTCAAGATCTGTCAATGCAAGAAGTACCTTGAGAGAACAATGATCACTCACAATCAACATCGGGATGGGTATTTACGATGTTTGTTGCGAAGTGCGGAATAGATTCCAGCTTGGTAATATCAAACGGCACTGCTTGACATTTATCATGACCATGTTTTTGCACCAGGGCTTCAAGATTCTCCTTTCGACGTCCGACGGCAATGACAAACGTGCCATCATCGATCAATCGATTAGCGAACGCCTCGCCAATGCCTGTTTCGAGTGTGAGCGTTGAACGAAGGCGGAAGATTGCCACGCTCTAGATTTCCCGATGTACACTACAGGCCAACCCGCCTCTGCTTGCGGCTGTGCACAAGAATCCAGGATGTGATAACGTACCACTTGTGGCGCCAATGACCACCACTTTCTTGTAAGGAAAAGGCATCTTGTAGGAGTTCCAGGTAAAGCTGAACTACGAAGCAAAGTAAAGAACACTGAAGTTTTTTGAACCATAGAGGAGTTCGTGCAATACTTGTACTGCTAGTGTTAGGTAGGGAGGTAGCCACTTGTACGGATCATTCATTGACTTGTTGATTTTCATCTGCCGTGCATGTACTGTTAAGTACGAGTGCCAGCAGTTCTCAAGTCTAGTAGAGAATCGTGACATCACTCAGTTGGCCAATCACAGGCTCCCATGAAAAGTTCTACCTACCTAGTTAGTTACCTTATCTGTCCATCCTCTTCTCCAAGCCCATCGAGCCGATTTTTCAAATATACCTACCGTGGTAGATTCACCCTGTGTGCAAAGAAGGAGCCTCCCGAGACCTTCCTTCAAGCGAACTGTGCAATGGTAAGGGTTCATCCGTCATTGAGCATGTTGAATGTCCCTGTCGACTGCTTCAAACCAGCGTCAAATCCAGTTCCTCGTCCTGGTCCGGCTATACCCATCTCTCGCCCAGCTCCATCATCATCATTTCCACCCTCCAGGATGGAGCAAGCGACGGCCGAGAGTTCGTGCAAGAGACATACCGGAGATTACGTAGGCAGCCATTCGAGCCTCCTACTATCGAAATGTAGACCGGCGGCCAAGAACATTACAATGAGATTTCATGCTCAGCCTGGTCATCCTCCTTCTTTCCAGCGATCTACAGGCGTCAAGAGTTGGCATCAAGTTTGGAAATAATTGTCACACGGGTAGATTCGTCGTATAACCAGAAACAAAGGATGACACAGTTCCATGCAATACTCCCCCTCTTCGCAGGTAATGAGCCTCCTTGAATGTGCAATATTGAAGAGCCGGGAAGAAACAGATACAACAGTAATAAAGCGCAGCGGTAGACTAGGCATAAAAGATAATAATACCGCTGGTTCGAGAGGATCGTGAGGAATGTTCGTCGTCTCTATAAATCTACCACCGTCTGCCTGCGCTTTTTCTCTCGAGCGCGTTCAAGAGTGCCAAGGCTGCCTACCGCAATCGACGCTGTCAAGAAAGGGCCTCAGCACGCCGACGAAGCTGTGTCCAGATCACATCTTTCCCCCTCGAACTCTTCAATACCCATCGGAACCCTCGTACTTGAGGCCCGTGAAGTGTTGGATCTTACTTTGTCGCCCCGAACTCTCCTCACCGTCCTGATATCGCAGCCTGCGCTGGTCCTGAGAAATCCCCTTGACGTCCACCGACGCGTTAGCAACCAGCCTGCGACCAAATTTCTGCAAATCATCGCGCTGCGACCTTCAGCTCAACATATTCTCTGGCTTTGAGTGATAGACATAGGAGCATCTGTGCAAAGATGATCGCGTCGTTTGGGTATTGATTCAGGATATGTCGCGCCCGCCGGGCAACAAATTCGCTGAGTTTTTCCCAACCGCCCCGAGCGTCATACAACGAAAATCTTCAAAGGTGCCAGAGCCCGACAAAACCCAGCACACCGATCGCGACGACTCTACGAAAGATGCGCAGACAGATTTCGCCCCTGTTCAGGCTTCTTTGATCTCTCCAGGTCAAACATCACATTCAGTCGCGAAGCAGGACACCTTAGCCAAACTTGCCAGCAACACTCTTACGCAGGAGGAAGCAGGCCAGTTTCAGGGCGATCTTCTCAATGGTGTCGGTTCTGCGAGCTCGTCGAGTACCGCTTCTTCGGTTTTCAGCGCTCCTCTTACCGCCGCCGCAACTATGTCTGGCACAAACCACATCCAATTCACGACCCTCACCCCTCTCACAAACTCAGATTCTCCTCCAAACGGCAAGTCGATGAGCCCCATGATTGAAAACAACTCACACTTGAGCGCAAATGGACATATTGCTACGTCCTCTCTACATCCGGGCTCGATGACACCCCTTCATACCCCTCCCGCCCACCGGAGGACGGCGCGAGACACGACTCTTCATTCGAAAGGAACGAAATGCACCTACGACCCCGAATTAGATAGGAATCTAAGCTCCAAAGACAAGCGAAAAATGAAAGCGCAGTTTGAAGAGTTTGGGGGAAAAGCCGATGACAATTTTCAGCCACCTGATCCACGTCTGGCAATACCTAACTACACGAAAGGCGCTATAGGAAAGGGAAAATCAAAATTTCGACCCGCACCATACAACCTTAGATCATGGACGCCCGACAATGTCACCGCAGTAGCCCCTCCTCCGGCCACCACAGTGGTGGTTACGGGTTTTGATCCGATGACGCCTCTCTCCCAAATCAGCGCTTTGTTCTCGAGTTTCGGAGAGATTGGCGATATGGATAACAGAACAGACCCAGTGACAGGACGATTTTTGGGCATATGCAGTATCGAGTATCAAGACTGCGCTTCGTTCCAAGGTGGAGGGCCGATATCCGCTGTCCTTGCCGCAAAAACAGCATATTTGGAAGGGAAACGCGGACAGAGAATAGGCCTGAAGACAGTGCACATAGCCATTGATCGAGATGGCTCTGTAACGGAGAAGCTGGTCGAGAAAGCGATCGCCCTGCACCGAAAAGAGAGTGGCTTCACAAACCAGGCGCGGGCCCAGCCCTCGCCGTCTCCTTCGACCCCTACGGTTACCACACCGATAGCAGGCTTCGCAAAGTCGACTGGACCACCTCCAACTGCTCCAAAAGGCCCGTCAGGAAAGCCTACTCTTCGACCTCAGCCAACTTTCCATGCGCCTCCCGTGGTACACTCCCCATTTCCGACTGCCCCCAAGCCGACTCCACCGGTTCTAGCCAAACCCACGGGGGGAGCATCACTTGTTGAGAACACGCCGATTGCCGAGACTTTGAAGATACCCTACATCTTCATCGCGCACTGCTACGTGCCCGTCATGCCCACCACAATTCCTCACCTGAAGAAGCGATTAAGAATGTACGATTGGCGCGATGTCCGTTGTGACGAGACGGGATACTTCGTCACATTCGAACAATCACGAAACGGACAGATGGAAGCGAAGAAAGTCTTCCACGGGTGTCATATGCAGCCATTGTTCACTTATGTGATGAACTTGGAGCTACATCTTAATGGCAACCCCAAAGCCCTCGGCTCTAGCGAGCAACCTCTACCAACTCCTACAGGGCCAGTTGATTTTGTGTATTCCAAGCAAGCATACCGATTGCGAAAGGAACATGATCTGGACCTCGAAGAAGAGAAGCGGCAGCGAGCTAGGGACTTGGATCCCTCGCGGGCCGTCGTTCAATTGGTTATTCAAGAACTCCGGGATAAGCTTCTGGAGGATGTTAAATCCAGAATAGCTGCTCCAACTCTGTACGAGTATCTTGACCCAGAGAGGCACTCAGAGCGGCGGCGAGCTCTTGGTATAGACGATCCTGAAGGGCCGAGGAGATCTATGCTTACTGATGAGGGATCAAGGACACCAGATTCACGATCAGGTATGGGTATGATGAATCGACGGCCGCTGAGCGGGAAGAATCTCAATATCTTGTCCCTTCCCAAGATTGGTAAGAAGCCAGGCACAGAGCGAGGAATGGTCGGGTTTCGCGACGAGAGAAGAAAGGTCCCTCAGGCTAGACACAATGTCCGATCTTTATTCCACCAGCTGGCCCAGTTTCACGATGATGAGGATTCAGACGACGAGCAAAGAACCTCCATTACCAGGGACACTGAGGATCTGGAGAGCCGCCCTGCCAGTCGCATGAGCATGACATCAATGTCTGACGATGAAGATGAGCTGTTACGCAAGATAGCCAAACGCCGACTTCACGCACGGGAGGAGTCCGAGATGGGAGATAGTGTGGTCAAGGAAGAAGTTGAGAACAAAACAACTGCAGAGGATCTCATCATTTCCAAGCTTGAAAGGAGCATCTACGAGATGTCTCCCTCTTCGAGAAAGCGCAAGAGGTTAGTCAAGGAACTTGAAGCTCGAAAGCGTCAAAAGGCCGATGACGAGCTTTTCGGCGTTGACAGAGCTGATCTGGAGCGCGGCGATTCCGACGATGTCAAGATGCAGGATGCAGAGACTCCTGTTGAGGGTACTCCAGAAGTCGAGTCGGACGTACCAAAGCCCGTCGTTAAGAAGCCGAAGCCCAAGAAGAAGACAAAGAAACAGATTCTCGAAGAACAAGAAGCTCTCCGACAAGCACAAGCTGAAGCTGAAGCGGCCGAAGTTGTGGACAATGTTCTGGAATACGCTGAAGAGGAAGAAGCTCTCGCTGAAGCAGCAGAATGGCGACCTGAAGTTGAATGGGGGGTGTCTGCGGAGGAGCCATTACCTACTGTCGACGATGATGAAGACATTCTTCCAGATCTCCGCGGATGGCAGGCCAGTCTTTTCGACGCTGAGGACTTGGAACATCTCGCCTCAGCACTGAAATCCAAGTTGGCAATGAACATTGGAGATCCTATGGCTTGGGCATGGAAGCAAGAGCAAATCCGAAATCTGCAACCAGGGATGCAACCTGGAGCTTTGCGTACGCAGCCACCCATCGATGGGTACTATGTGCCCAACTCATCAGGTTCCGCGAGAACCGAGCCCATCAAGAAGATTCTCGAGTCCGAGAAGTCGAAATACTTGCCTCATCGTATCAAGGTACAAAAAGCACGGGAAAGACGTGAGGCCGAAGCCAAGAAAGACCCTTCTGCTGCTGTCAAAACTGTCGTGGAGTTGCCCAAGGCATCCTCTCGTGGTAAACGAGCAGACGACAGACGCACCGTCAAAGACTTGGACCGACAGAGAGAACTGCTACAGGCGATGGGTGATGATGCTGATGTATTGCGTTTCAATCAACTCCAAAAACGCAAGAAGCCAGTCAAGTTTGCCAGATCTGCAATCCACAACTGGGGTCTATATTCCCTGGAGCGGATTCAAGCCAGCGAAATGATCATCGAATACGTCGGAGAGAAGATCAGACAGGAAATTGCCGATCTACGCGAAATCAAATACACAGAAAGTGGAATTGGCAGTAGTTACCTCTTCCGTATTGACGAAGGCACCGTTGTGGACGCCACCAAGAAGGGAGGAATTGCTCGCTTCATCAACCACAGCTGTAACCCCAATTGCACGGCCAAGATCATTCGGGTAGGCGGCACCAAGCGAATTGTCATTTATGCTCTCAGGGACATCGAGAAAGGTGAGTTTTCCTGTTTCATCTGAGGATAAAAGTCACATGCTAACCTCTGGGTAGACGAAGAGTTGACTTACGACTACAAATTCGAGCGCGAAATCAACAATGACGATCGTATACCCTGTCTATGTGGCTCGGCGGTTTGCAAGGGTTTCCTCAACTGATTAACCTTTTGCAAACGTTACGCATTTTCAAAGAAATCGGCGTTGGCAGCATATCTCTTCATTTTGCAAGTGTATGTGACAATACAGAGGACGTAGGGTGGGCATCTCGGTTTGGCGTTTCCAAGTCTCTCCTTTGTGCATGAGCGGCGGGCAATCTCTGAAATCCGGGTGGCCGGGGGAGGAGCAAAAAGCACCGTCATGGGTTCACAGGTGTGAACATCTTGCATTATTGGATCGAGTGGCATCAAAGGACGTGGCGACATTTTCTGCCTCGGAGGGTGAGTTTCTTATTTTTCCGTCGACCAAGCCTTGTTTCTCTCTCGAGAGGCGCGAGGAAAAGAGGTTTTGGCCGTGGAAATGGGAGGTTGTTATCGTACGATCAGGCGAACGGGTGAAAACGAAAGCCATGCCCCGAATGATTTGCGAGTCTTTTTGTTTATGTAACTCTCTCTACTTGTATAAGGGACCTCCATCTCCTGCGGGCAGTGTGGGCTGGTTTTTGACCTTGCCTGTCTTTGGGAGAGAGGGAAGGTTGTGTGTACATAGTGTTAATGTCCTGCCTTGTGCAGGTGGGATGGACTTTTTCATTTGTTTTTCTCCCCCTCCAAAAAGAGATTTCTCTTGCTTGGGCTTGAACTGCATGTCTCGTCTTGACGGATCAAGAATTCTCTTTTCTTGTCGATTGGGTTCCCGTTTCTCCTTTCCTTCTCTCCGCCCGACGTAACAACATCAATCCTGTGCCGTGGAGTGCAATGTCGCCCCACCGCCATGCCGTGATCTGTAACCATCGTTACCGCCGGATTTGAAATCCATCCGGCTTCTTGACCGTCATACATGACCGCCCAGGCGTCGGTCTGCATTTGATGTCTAGAGGGAGGATTTTGGTTCTCTGTTGCTTTGGGCAACAATCTTCATGGCTTGTGATGGCAGCGCCTTCCTCTCTGTCGTAGGGATGTTTCGGACATGGGTTCTTGACTGTTGGGTTCGTGGATCGAGCCCTAGCGTGATACCCGCCTTTTTCTGTACCGTGCTAGACAGCAAACAGCAACCTTGTCGTACCTCAGCGCGCGTGTGTGTGCATCATTCTCAACAACACCCAGTGTCGCTGTCGCACGGGGCAGAGAGTACCCCCAGGGGTGGAAACCTTTGCGCCGCGTTGCTTTACGACGTTTATAAGGGTTCTCTTCTGTTTTCCCCCCTCCCCCCCCCCATTTTCCTCACTTCTTCCCGGGGGGGTTCGATTGATGCCACAATCTTGAGTGTCTCCTGTGAACGTATCTTTTTTCCTTTGGTCCTTTTCCAAGTCCCCTTCACACCAAATGTGCCGGCAACAAGAAATTGCCCACGCCTTCTTTGATGGGGTATTCGAAGCCGCAGTTTGCGCACACCAGTTTCCCTTCGACCACGCCCGTCTCGAGGAGGAGACTGTGCAGGTTTTTGAGTACCGTGTCGTCCACGGCGTCCTCCTTTTCGTCGGTCGTGGTTTGCGGCGAGTCGGCGGTCTCGACGGGATTCGTGGCGGGTAGGAGAGACTGTAGGCCCAATTCGGTCGCCGTCGCGGTGAGGGCTTCCCAGTTCACTCGAGGCAAAATGTTGCGCACGAACAGAGGGTTGTAGTCGATCTCGGTACGTTCGAGGGTCGCGTCCTTGAAGTGTAATGGGAAACTGGCCGGGGAGGACTTGCAAGCCTTGACGGCGCAGGTGAGGAAGTTTGTCGTCAGGAGTTTCATGGTGTCGAATTTCTCTTTTGTTCTTTCTATTGTAGGGATCAGTCAGTGTGAGATGTTGACCTCCGTGGAACAAGTCGATGTCGACGTCGAGAAATTGTAGCGAGTTAATTGTTGTGTATGACTTGGGGGTGTACTCGGTACGAATATAAAAAAGATGTTGGACAAAATTTACCTTTTTGCAACTCGTTATTGTCTTTGTATGGACGCCAAGATTGAAATATTTTTGAACATGGGATGTTTCTGGCACCGAAGCAAGTTTAGAACGAATACGTATACGGAGTAGGTGTTTCAACATTTATCAAATATACAGAATTTATTTGTGAGATGTGAAATGTGGTGGCATCTGATATGGTGGTGGTGGACGAAGAAAGACTGAAGCATTTCTGCAAAACTCGACGACACCCACATCGAAACAATATTGAATGGCAATTCGAGTAGTTGTTTCATTCTCATTTCATATCCGTACGTTCATGACATATTGATTTATAGAAATAGAAAAGGAAAAAGAAAAAGAAAAAAGAACATGTATGGCACGCAGGTGACTTTCCATCCACCATGGATATGGCCACCCGAAAAGGGACAAACACATCCACACGAAAGAAAAGCCTTAAAAAGTGCCTCTATGAAAAGTCGGTCTAGATCGCCAATATGACCTACCAGCCTATTGAACCACGAGCAACACCATTTGGCGCGGCGCCGTGAGAGAGGACCAGGCGGTTGATTAATGCGTTCATAATCTGTTTTTTCACGAAGTGTAAAGAAAGAAAAAAGAAGGAAACAAAAGTTGGAGATTCGATATATGGAGGTTTTGACGGATCAGGAAAGGTGCAATTCCCAGTAGGAGCTAATACGGATACGAACAAGTCTCAACTTGGCACTTTTCTCTCACAGCAAGTTCAACCTTTCATTTTTTGAACTTTTGTCAACCTGCACTTTTCCTTCCACACTTGATTCGTTGTTACGACCCATCTACCAGTTCTCAGATGCTTCGTGGCTTTTATGCTGAGCCGATCTGGTCATTTCTATCAAAGGCCAGGTCCTCTCAGCATTAATTCATGCAAGAATTCCTCTCTCACACACACACACACACACACACTCATCACACGTGCTGAGTTCATCGTGACCGAGGAAAATGAAATCACCACACAGGTTTGTCACATCTCGCAAGAAAACTAATGGCACCTTGGGGTAAATAACAAAACTTGTCTTTTTTTTTGTGACAAACCACATTCGGAAGCTTCTTGACCCTTCATCTCAATGATCAAGACGTGGATCCAGGGGACCTTCCAAAAGTCTCAAATCGCAAAGTGGAAGAGTGAAATTCGGCTTTTAGCAGGGCCTTGTCTACTCCACCCTACTTCTTCTGAACTGTTTAGTGAAGATGTAGGACTATTTTTATGACAGACATCTGCGTATTAACCGATCCCGTCCAATATCTCTCAAAGTCCGACCACGATGTTTTCCCGTTTAGTTTGATTCAGCAAGAGAGAGACAGACTACGCTGTCGGAAAGCATCGTCGGTCAACCATCGAACGAAGTCTCTTTGAAAGGAGGAGTCTAGACGTGCATCATCTGAGAGGTTCAATGGGGAAGCTAGTTTTTGAACGGTCGTCATTCGAGACCTCAAAGCGAGTAACTGTAGTCTTGCCAACTTGACATCCCCTCACCACTTTCGTCTATTCATCGCCACTCCCGGCGTTCCGATGTGCAGGTTGACGAGGAGCCCGAGGGCGGGAGCCGTTTGTTCTAGCCAGGGCCACAGACTCGGGCCAGAGCCCCATGGGATGTTTAACCTGCTACGATACAGGACCGTACCTTTTGTGGTTTAATGCAAGGGGGCAACATTCTCTCTCCTCGAATCTCACCATTTAGTTTCGTAGATTCGCGGGATCCAGACCAGATCCCTTCAATAAAGAACACAAGACCCGAATTCAACAGCCGAGAGGCATGTGCCGAATTTGTCTGCCCCTTGGAGGAATCATTCCGTGTTGTGTGGCTGAAGGCCGAAAAGAAGGTGGTCTGATGTGACCTTGATTTGACGGCCCAAAGGAAGGGGAATTAATGTGGAAGCCAATGGAAGAATACGGTGGCTTGTACTCCGTACGAGTACGCATATCTCTTTTACTTACTCCGTATCATGGGATTTTGCGGAATGACATACAACGTTCCTTGACCAATATCGGTTCAAGATACACCTTCCCTTCTCTGACGCAAGGAGGTGGCATGTCAATTGTTGTTGTCGTCAATAATGCAAAGCCGGACGATTGCGGGCTTGGCTTGACGAGGCTCGACATCTCTCTCCATCAGACATCAAAGGACTTTTGTCGGTCACGGGAAAGGTCCTCGGAATTTTTGAAAGTGTTTGAGTGATGCAAAGATTGAAGTTGTTGTCACGTCGGAGTATGCCGCCTTCTACTGTACAAGTGAAAAGTCTATCGCTTGGTAGATCTTTGATGGCGCTTGTGATTGATTGGTTCTAACTCGAGAGGGTCAAACGATCGAGGACGCGGAAGGAAGAATAAGGTACGAATGGTAGCCATACTAATGTTTATACGTAAGACTTCTAGAAGGTCAGTAGAATAGTGTGTGGAGCTACCGACTTACCTGTGTAGTCCGTGGACTCATAATCACAGGGATAGCTCGTTCACAAGTGATCTCTTACCGTGACTACAAGTTGTTATCATAGGTATAGTAGCGGCATGAAACCCAAGTGTAGCTACTAAAGGCCACAGAAAAGAAGGAAAAATCTCCTATACCTAGAAAAGGTACATCAGGTCGATCCATGGATGCATCAGCCAAAGAATGTGTGAACCAGCAGTAGTGCTTTAGGCATCCTCGAGTCTTGCACGATACCATTTCCGGGAAAAAGAGTAGAGACTTCACCCGTGCCTCAGGTCCGCGTTCGAGTCCTCATTAGTCCCTCCTCCCGCATTGTGTCAAAGAGTGTCCTCTCCTTTGATCGACGATGGTATCACCGAGGCAACCTCCAAATTCGACACGGAATATATCTCTCGGTGCGAGTGAAACATCTGGTCAGAGGTGCAATCCGCCATGCGGAATTCCAGACTGAAAGACCCCTACCCCTTGCTCTTGAATTCCTCGCAGGTATCGCACTTGGAGTGTCCGCATCCTCCGGCTGCGCAGGTCGAATAGGATTTGCGGTTTGTCGTGGCACAATAGCACTACAAAATCAGTCGCCAAACAAAACCATGGCAGTCAAGGTCCCCTTTTCCAAAACATCTGAAAGATCACAATACTCGGGGGAAAATGAACCTTGTCAACTTACACACTTCCAAAAATAGGACGCGCGTGTCATTTTCTGTTCTAGCTTCGTCGCAAGAATCAACCTTTTGAGCAGTGTCAATATCGGTTTGCTGGACAGGAACACGAGTCAAAGTCGGGAATCAGAAGCTGAGGGGGGAGGGGGAGATTGTTTCTTCGCCGGCTCTTATATACCTCTTTATGCTGGACTTTGTAGTCGGAAAGTGAGGCAACCACACACGTCGGGCAAACCATCCCACCATCGGGCTTATGTTCCCATCTCATCATAGTGGCCAAAGGGGAAGCAAGGATTGACAGAGGTCTTGCTGATAAAAGCCAACCATCAAGGGTTAGTTTCTCCAAGACAACGGAAGGAGGGTTCGATTTTGGAATGGATTGTTATCCAAAATCGTCCTCTCGCATTAACGTCTGTGAAGGCACTATTGGGAAAAGGAGATAGAGTGACCATTGTTGCGCCCAGTTTATATAGCAAAGTGACTGATCGAAAGAGAGAATTGAAAAAGAGTCCGCCGGATCGCCGATCCTGGACAGCTTCATGATGCCTATCATTTGAGGCCGAAGGCGCCCGCCCTGTCAAGCGTTCCACCGTGAGAATCCTCGAGCGACATGCAGGCTGGGTGAAGAGGGCGTGAATGACACTGGCTAGGTCGGCCGCTGTTCAGCTTCTTGTAGCTAAGACTCCACCGGGTCACTCCTCGATGATGCTAGATTTGTATGCGGAAGGAGTAAATACATCCTCAGGAAACCTCTCGTTGATTAGGCACATGATAATATCGTAGTCGGGCAACTTTGAAAGCAAGGTTGAGCCCAGCTATATTTCGATGGTCGCTTCGGCTGGGAGGCTTGACCGGTGAGACTCACCAGCATCCTGATTAGTCCGAGAACGCGGGGCGCTCTACAGGGTCAAAAGATGCTCAAAGGCTTTGCAGGCGAGCCTTACGTCCCTTGACAGCATCAGGCACCTAGTCAAGCCCTGTGTTCACCATCGAGGTGGTGTTTCCTCCTTGTCTGCGTGCGCACAAGAATCATGAGGTTGCTCTTTAGGTCAGTTTGACTACAATCGACAGAGAAAAAGGCCATTTGAAAAGCCTTCAGTCAAGACCATTGAAAAGGGCGAGCTTGGACGTGGTTCTTATGATGTCTCGGGCGAGACAGGTTAGTTACACCTTGAGATGTATGTTCGTAATTCCCTACTGCCCGCAACAAAATATAGTCACAAAAGACGGGGAAGAAGTAGATGTGAAAGGAGCACAAGCCGAAGTCAAAAAGCGTACGTGACAGAATCCTTCTTTCTTTGGCCGGAATTGCATTCAATACATATCATTTGACGCCGAATGTAGAACAAGCAGTTAGTGGTTGGGTAATTGTGAACACGATTTCGAATGAGATGACAGGATTCCGAGTCAGGAACAGAAGGTAGACAGCAGGCAATAATAGGAGGGTAGATACCTGGAGTATGTACAGTACAGTAAGTAGTACATTGTAACAGCTCTTCGTAGTTGGGTCAATGGGTGGAGTATCACTTGAAGAATCTCATGACCTGTGACACATCTGACACATGAGCGAGGCTCTCTGAAGAATAACATACCGGCATTTATCCGTATTTGTTGATCAACAATTAGACCATTATTAGATCACCAATATTCCAAGCCATTTGGTGACGAACGACCAAAAACAGAAAACGCTCGAATTATTGAAAGAGGAGGCGAGGACGGAGAGTTTGTAAGCGAGGTTTGAGGGAAAAAAGACACCAATGAGTTTCTAGATGCGTCATGCCAGGACTTGACGATAGCCAAGCGATGTAGGGGAAAAGTCTCTCAAGCCACCCATATGCTTGGTCAGAAGAACAACACACCTTGAGTGAGATATGGGGAAGAAAATCAGAGACCTAGGCATTCGTCATTATTCGAATTAGAAAAGTACCCGACAACTCGGAGTACTTGACATGTCTACAATAAGGGACTCTTGTAACCCAAAAAGATCAACATGCAGATGATGGTGGTGAAGATCTCTGGCGGTGGAGAGTTGTCTGGAGACCCCAGTCTTCATCAGTCTCGTTCTCGGTACAGTATGGATAGTCCATCGACAGATTTCAGATCATCAACCATCACGAGTACTGTACTCGGACTCGGTACCTGTAAAAGGTGTTTCCATCTGTCCGTTCATCAATAATTAATCTTCATTACCTGGGCAAGAGTACGGAATACGAGTACGGCAGGTAGATAGCTGCACGGATACTCCGTAGTTTTATGAGACTTATCATCCTTTGTCAGCGGACGTTTACCTGTATTCAGTACGGAGAACGGAGTGGACGAAGTACCTCTTTTCCAGGTACTTTCTCCTAATAACTCGTAGAACGGAGTACCATCAATCATAAGGTAATGTACTCGTAATGCATCCGGCTAAATTCCTACATTCTACTCTCGCTTCGACTGACAAGGGCATCATCAATCTCAAATACAATGTACTCCGGACTCATACTGGTAGCCTCCTGAGGCTGTCGCTGCACATACTGTCTCTCTTTGGCGCTTTACCTCCCATGTCTACCATGGCACCTCGCCACTACTCCGCATGTGAACTTTCCTACACAGTATCGCCGAGCAAGCCAAAAACATCCCTCCCTCTGCTGAGCTGTTTTTTTTTGGTCCTCGTATCTTCATCAAACCACCGTGGTGTGAGGTTCATTCTTCGTGGCGCATGCTACAGGAAAAAAAGCTTCCTCCGCTCGACCGTGCATCATCCTGGTCAGCACTACTAGTGACTCTCTTGGTGCGAAGTTGCAACGGCCCTTGGACCCAACTGGGTGCTAATGCAGACTCCACCCAACCCACCCAATTCTCTTCTCCTCGACACACAGGACGTGTGCAGTATTAGGCTAAAGAGCCGCCTTCATCCATTCATCATGCAACGATGCACGATCCATATCGCATCAGCAAATCTCCATCCAGAATCGGCCGTGACATCCTAAAAAGATCCTTGCTTCCGTCATAGCGCTTGTCTGTTGATGGCACCCAGATTTCTCCCATCTCCATCATCATCACAACCCATGAATCCCGTGTCATCTGCCCATCCACACACATCATGTCTTTCCCTTGGTCCACCCCGTTGTTCGCCAGGGAACATACTTGTGACAATACGAATAGTCCACCGACGAAGCGAATGCTCCCTTCCCATCCCCGCTGATCCCGGTCAAGTTCCAAAAGTGAGTTCCCCAGAAAAAAGACCCTCCCAACAGGTATGTAGGGGTGCTTCTGAAAGGGTACAAAAACATTGCTACCCCCGTAACCCATGGGCCTGGGTTTTTTCCTCCTTTCTCCAGACCATCATCGTCGACCTTTTTCCGACTCCATTCGCCGCATTTCCTTGTACTCGTGTTCCGTACTTACCCAACAGCGACCCCTCGCCCACCGCTTCAATCATTGCGAATCATTCACCATGGCGACCACCGAACAACCAACCAACCTCGACACCTCTTCCAACAATGTCACGGCCAACGGCAACCCTTCCACCCACCAGCAAAAGTTGGACGAGGCCACTCGAGGCATGAGCCACGAGGAAAAGGCTGCTGCCACGAATGCCGCTCGCTTTGGCTATGGCCCTCTGGCCCACATGCGTACTGCCGAAGGCGCTCTGCTTCCTGCCTTTGGTGGTGAATTCCAACCTGGTCTCTACAAGCCGGTCGAAGGTCGCAAATTCGCCAACCCGGCTCCTCTCGGCCTCTCTGCTTTCGCCCTGACCACGTTCGTCCTCAGTCTGATCAACTTGAACACTCGAGGGTTGGCCGGTGTCAATCCCATCGTCATCGGTCTCGCTTTTGGTTATGGTGGCTTGGTTCAGCTCCTGGCCGGCATGTGGTACGTTATCCAGCATCTCTACGCAGGACGTTGGAGAGACATCCCATTTCTGACTCATCTAAACAGGGAAATCGCCGTGGGCAACACTTTTGGTGGTACGGCCCTGTCTTCGTACGGTGGTTTCTGGATCTCTTTCGCCATCACCTTGACCCCTGGTGGGTTCCAAGTCGTGTCCACCATTGAGTCAGAGGGCGGTGGTAAAGCTGTCCTCAACTCGTTGGGTCTCTACTTGATGGTACGTCGGCTTTTCTAGTGTCGGGTGTTTATTTCTCCGGCTGATTTTCCACACAGGGCTGGTTCATCTTCACCTTCATCCTACTCCTCTGCACCCTCAAGTCGACGGTCGCCTTCTTCTTCCTATTCTTCGTCCTCGACCTGGCCTTCCTCATGTTGGGCATCGCCTACCTACGCCCTGTCAACGGAGAACCAAGCCCGGGCTGCACGCGCGCAGGTGGCGCCTTTGGTATCCTCGCAGCCTTTGCCGCGTGGTACAATGCCCTGGCCGGTATTGCCGACACCTCCAACAGTTTCTTCATCATTCCCGTCGCCCACTTCCCTTGGTCTGAAAAGGGCAAGGCATCTCGCGCCGAGAAGAGAGATATTGAGCACCAAGCATAAATTGCGCGACTGCCCAATATGGTCTCGAAAGAAAGGACGAGGAGAAAAAGGGACTCGGCACGCATGCGGTGCACGCGCGGCGATTCATCCACTGTGAAGACGGTCCAGGAGTGTTGGGACATTTGTATCGATTTGTCGAGAGACGTGTGATATCTACAGGAGATAATGCTGGGAAGGAAGAGAAAGAAACAGAGCATGCGGGATGTGGAAAATACTTAATAGCAAACCTCAAATACCCCCTTCATTTTTGTTTTTGCGCATGCTACGATGACCATTTATTTTGGATACCCCCTGTTCAAAGACAAGTACGTGGTATGGAAACTTTGATGGAGTTTTCTCTCTTTTGATCAACATTCAACTAGTTCTCTCTTATTCAAAGGAAAGATAATCAAACCCAAAAGAGATGAAAAGTTGTCATCCATCTTTGGTTTTCTGAAGCATTCTTTTTACCTTGATTATTACTTTGAATACCCGTGTGCGCCATAGTACATTTCTAATTCGTAGTATGTTGAGAAAGGTGTTGTGTCTACGAGAATAGAGATGTTGCAATCCCTCCAAAACCCGCTCTTACTCGCTGCGGAGTTTACCAAGCCCTTTACATCATATTGTTCTCGTTTCGTACCGCCCAAGGGTTTTTCCAATCGAGATCACGCCATGACTCTTTTTTTTTAAACGACATTGGCATTGTCATGGCATGGCATGGCAGTTTTTACCTTCATGATGCGTTTGAACTCGCGCGCGACTTGCACCAGTGTTTGTCGTCATACCCAAGACCTGTCGGCGACATTTTAGATCCCCAAGTCCCCGTCCTTGAATCATGCAAAATGAGTTTACGACCTATACTTGCCGAGGCTCCGACTACAAAAGTAAATCGCTTGGCCTCTCGCATTCCATCGATGCGATCGAAAAAGAATTGTTTTTCCTGAATAATAATGATGAGGAGGGGTTTCGAGGTGAGCGAGACCACTGAGATCTTCAGTCACGACTTACGCGTCGTCGAAGCGTACCGTCAACTAGGCACCTGTAAGTAAAGGAGTATACGGATACTTGTTCCGTAAGCAGGAGAAGAACCACCGGAATGATGGGTTACGGAGACTACTACGAGTTACTCCTTCACGATTTACATCGAGAATTACCAAAACCCTTGTACTCGGTACAAAACGATATTCAAGATCGACACCAAACCATGGATAACTAGGGCAGGTACATGTGTAATTGTGTCACCAGTACTCCGTAGGTATGGGGAGTATACTGTACGTAGCACCATTTTTTATTTCTCGGCAATAGAGGTCGGCATATACCTACCTACTAATACTAGGCGAAGGGTGTTACTTCAGAGGTGCTTCGTAATAGGTTTGAGAGAAGATTGTCCCGCTGATCATTCAGGGTTTCAAATACGGTAAATGAGGAGATGGAAACTGACTTTGTTAGTCTCGATTCGCTCCGTAAGAGTTACAAGTACGGAGTACTTTGTAATTATTATTATCGAGATGGGAGATGGAAGCGGGGCAAACAAAAGAAGGGGAGGAGGAGTCACTTGCTCGTAACTGTATCCGTACGGTCAGAGTTATTCTCCGAAAAGAGGGTTTCAGTGACGTCAATCATCCTACTTGGGTATTGTTGGTACGGCAGTACCCCAGACCCTCACTGTAAGTCTATTGTCTGTCGTATCGCTGCTATGGATACGACTGCGAAAGATCGATAGTGGTTATACGGACACAAGAATTCATTTTACGAAAAAGACTGGCTCTTTTAAGCTGCGGCTCTATAACTCGTACTCCGAAAATTGCTTTGCTCATCAAAGAACTGCAAAGGCACTGACATAACTGACACTGCTATCCCGCACCGTTTCAGCATCACTACTTCTCTCATACCTCATGAACCGAAAGCTCCGTCGAGTGGCGTTGTCAGAATCATCTCCTGTTTTGTCTTTTTCCTTTTCTAATCGTTCAATCTCCTCAACGCCGGCCATGAAAACGCCGATGGGGTGCCTACCACAGACAGTATTTCCGGTCTCACCCAAAGCCCTCAGGAACTCTCCATGTTTTCCTGTCGCAATGGCACACATACACGCTCTGTCTGCGTGAGCGATGCTTTCGTATATCCGAGGACCACCGTGATGCGGTGGTACCTTGCTACTACTTCTCAGTTGCTGGCCTTGCCCTAACGTGGGCACCTTGTGGACATCTTCATTCACCGATTCTTTCGCAGTCGTGTATTCACCACGGACCCCGTTCGGCAACATCAATGGCGACAAGGCAGGACTGGGGGCATCAGGTAGGTAGTATGTGTAGCCGAATCTACTTCCCCAATGACAAAAGTCCGAGGAGATCACAAAAGCGTTTCTCTCGTCGGCGATGTAGGGAGCCAACATCTTGCCCAGTGCCGCCTCGGTTGCGGAATTGGTACCGCCGACCATGATGGGGACGAGAGGAGGATACGAGGACGCGGGCTGGTTCGGATAGAGCTTTTGCAGTAGGCGGTGGATGTATGGCAGTTGCATTTCCGCACTGTGTTCAGCTTCGTCCACCGGTTGGGACATGGTGGTGAACTTGACCGTTCGGCCATTGGCAGTGGTTGTGGTGAGGGAGGATAGTTCTTTGAGGGTTTCGAGGTCTAGGGGGAGAGGTTCGTCGGAGAGAGGAGTTTCGTAGGCTTCGACGACAGGGAGGGCAGCTGTACTCAGATGATGGTGATGGGAGGGATGTAGGATGAAGATTCGTTTCGCTTGGGATAAGTCAAGACACTTGTACGCCCATGCCGCGGCAGGACCTGAATAGGCGTACCCGGCATGAGGTGAGATGACCACTCTGGCACCTGGTAACGGTAGTTTGTCCACTCCGGGCAGAACCTCTTTCTCCGGCACTTTCGACAGCCATGAATCTAACTGCGCAGCCAGTTGTCGTCCGTTATCAGAGTACCATGAACCGGCGTGGGAGGCTTCTCTGACGGACATTGTCGGCGACAGAAACGACCCCAAAAGTAGTAGGTACGTAACAGGATGAGGTCGGCTCGGTAACGGTGTGGACTAGCTTTGGGAGTCTGGTCTGTACATCCCTTCGCTGAAGGGAAGATGACTGTGTTTTGGTAACTCCGTAGGGGTTGGATAGGCACCTGGCGAGCATGTGAGGGGAATCGAAGTGCCGCGGGGATCAGCCTCGCCGTCACTGATCCGTATCCTTGCCTATTACCTCAAACAAACTCACCTCGGGCAGATTGATGTTTACGGATACTCTCTGAGTATTTATTTGAAGCAACATTCGGATTATAGAGTACAGGCATATCCCTTGGATCATACTTGTGACCAGCATCCTCTAGCAAGTCACCCTCGACGCTCGGAGTCGGTGCTTTTCTCAGCCAAGCTGAACTTCCCAGCCTTCTCAACTTGCGACGCGTAGAGTGCCTCTAGCACGCGTCATTCTCGCTCTTTGAACTTGTACTTCCGTCCTCCTCTGAACTCCGTACAGTACACACATAGGCCGTTCACTTTTCTTTTCCGACTGAAGGAAAGCAAATTCCGACGAAACAACCATGGGCCTCAAACGTAAAGCATCAGTCCTCGAAGATTCTCTCTACCAAGTCCAAGAACAACAACAACAACAACAACTCAGCAGTCCTGTCGCGCCTTCGTTGACCTACTCCTCCCCTGCATCGACAAACACAATCTCTCCTGTGCGCGATTCGTTACGCGGCGACGATAACGCTGCCCCATACAATTTCTGGAAAATCGAAGCAGTACCATACCTCAGTAGCCGGACGCGAAAGCGGTACCGGGACAATCGACCAGAGGAGGAGATTGTTCACGAAAACACGCTGAGGAAACTATACGACGCACAACGTCTTCATCTCGACGACGCCCTCCCAATATCCGAGGTGGTGAATCTAGACGGACAAGGCGACATTCAAGTGGAAGAAGAAGATGATGTCGACATGACGGACGGAACGGACAACCCTGGGTTGCCACGATCTCCTCAACGGAACCAGAGGACTCTCGAGTCCTTCTTTTGTGGTGTGCAGAGTATTGTCACTCCTCGGAACCACGACGTGCATAGGCCGTCGAACGATGCTTCATTTTTACAGCCCAAACAACAACAACAACATCACCAGTCCCAGCCCCAGCCCCAGCCCCAGCAGCAAAACATATTTACCATGTGGTCTACTCAAGGCCACCATTTCCAATCCACGGTCCTGATGGGATGAATTTGAACGCATCTGACTCCGTACGACCAGATCGGTTGTTGTTGATCATCTTGGATCATCAAATAAGAGAGAGAGAAAAAAGGTACATATATCTGAGAGGGAGTGTAAACGAAACGATGAACGATTGCATACCGTTTTACCCGAGAGTTGTTTGCGAGTTGGAAACCGAAACAAGAACGAGATAAATGTCCTCGAGTACACCCAATACATTGAATACCATAAACTGTGTGTGTGTGGTTGTGTAGTATAGAACAGCACGATCCCTACCATCATCAAAACACTACAAGGCGATTCGAGAACGTCTGTTGACCGAGGCATGGAATTGTGATTCTTTAATTCAAACAACCCCAGGCGTATAGTACTCCGTACGGGTTAGAGAAATGCAGAAACTAGGTCATCATTGATACGAAGCAAAAGAATGCCTCGACTACACTGTTTGGTTGCCTAGATATAGTATTCCGTAGTTACCAAACTGGAGTCAACTCTATGATGAATGAACTCCTTGCAGAGTACTCAACCCAGATCATACTTTTACACTCTCTACTTTACCTACCAGGTAGATACCTATAAGTACCATAGTCGTCATCAGTTGGAGCCTGCTCTTCTAGAAACTCTTCTGGTTCTCACTCACTCACCCCCTAATCCACAGCCCAGGTCATACTTGATGGAACCGCATCCCTGTCTTTTCTTTTCTATTTTTGTCCTTTTTTTTTCTTTCTCAAAAGGCAACAGAGAGAGAGAGAGGGGGGGGGGGAGAGAGAGAGAGAGAGAGAGAGAGAGAGAGAGAGAGAGAGAGAGAGAGAAATCAATTTCATTTCATTTCGTACGTACATTATGATATGCAGGAAAGTTAACCCCTTGAACTTTGAACTTGACCTGTGTTGACTTGACTTTTGACCCAAGTCAAGGGTTTTTGCAAGTTTTGTTGATGCTCAGTCATAGAAAACAAATAGAGCAAGCCTTGTGATTCTGGGGGTTGATTAAGGTAGGTATGCAAGTTCTCCTTTACCAGTAGGTAGGTAAGGTCCATCCGTTCCGCTCCATTCTAGTCCATTCAACTGTGCCCAACTTCCCAACTCCCAACTCCCAACTCCCAACTCCCAACTCCCAACTCCCAACTCCCAACTCCCAACTCCCAACTCCAATTGCGTCGTTCCCTGTACTGCAATGCCTCAGAAAGAAAGAAGGGGGGATGTACATGTGCGGTCCAAGTGACTTTCCATGCAGGCCGTCGTCTCCGTTGCTTCCGGCGACGAAAAGAAGGAAAAGAAGAAGGGGGAAAGAAAAAAAGAAGTCGTCGTAGTATCGTGTCGTCGGTTCATCGGTTTTATCGTGTTCGTGTGGTCGTGTGTTTGAGAGTTGCCGGGTAAAAATGTTCTCTCTCTCTTTCCCCGTCTCTCATATTGTCATACTGTCGTCAAATCTGGATACACCCTGTAAGATATTCTTGCTTCCTTACCTCGCCTTTGGAGATGTATCCTGAATGTCAGGTCATTTTGCCCTTCAACTGACAAACGCGGAAGGGTCTGTATTCTCAGGATACATCTCCAAACTTACGTGGTGGAAACGACTTGGGTCAGATCTCACTTGCATAAGTGCTTCATGGAGAAGTAGATGCCGCAGAAGCCCCTCCTTTGCTTTCTGCTGATGCGGACGCGGACGAAGCCACGCTTTGAGACGCCCCCTCTTCTTCTCTCTGTACTCGTTCTCGTTCTCGGTCTCTTCCCCCAGGTCGAGCACTTTCAGCCCATGCAGCTTCAGCAAGGGCGGTCAATCGGTTATATTGACTTCTTTGCAGAAACTCCATGTCTCGTTGTAGGTTACAGTATCGCTCCTCAGCGGCCTTCTTGAGAGCCTTGGTCTCTTCCCATTTCTGAGCCAAAGGAACAATGTCCATGGTGACGCCCCCACGTTGATTGGCGGTTTGTGCTTCAAGAAGAGCGCGTGCGGCGGTGCGTTCATCGTCGGCAGCTCTTCGCCTTACTTCGTGAGAGGCCCTGATGGTGTTCTTCATCGATTCCATTTCGATGAAATGCTCGTTTCTGGCTCGGTCGATTGCAGCGCGGGTTTCCTCGGCCATGGTCGGATCTACGGAAGCGAATGGTGCGCCTCGCATGGCTCCTCGGTACTGTGGAAGATAACCTATGGCTCCTCGGATGTGTCGGTGGGCTGAGCGTACAGGTCGGCCAGTGACATTCAATTCAATTTTTGTGTCTCCTTTCAGGCTTTCTGGAGCATTCAAGTCAGCGCCTTCGTCCCAGTTTTGGTCGGTCACTGGTGGCACCACAGTATTCAGCGGGCGTCTAGCGTCAATCGATTTTCGACACTTCATACACGCTCGATTTTTCTGATAGGTCTGAGAATTGACCCAAGCCGAGAGACAGGTGGCATGCATCACTGTCGCGCAGCAGCTTATCGTGGCCATGAAATTGTCTGGTTCGAAATCGAGCTGGCATGCTGGGCATTCTTTCTTGAGCTCATCGAGTTCTTCGATGCTCTCACTCGTTGCGCGACTAAGGACCAATTTGATCATATTTTTGTTGTTTGCCGACGGGGTCGACACCGATGTCGACGCTGATCGCCTAGGTGGTATCGGATTCATCTGGCTTGGGACGCTTGCATTTGGAGGAAGCTGGGTCGGCTGGTTCTCGGTTGCAACAGGGGCTCTCATCTCGTTGTGGCCGACGCATCGGAAAGTTGATCTCGCAGGGCCGCCCGCAAGGTGAGGTTGATCTCGAAACGTATTGTCTGGAAGATGCATGGCTAGCGAAAACATATCAACTGATCTTCCCGGAGGCATGGGCAGAGCCTGGTAACCCAACGAGGCATGCGGCGCAGGTGTAGGCTCACTGCCAGGAGAGCTAGTCGGCATCGTCGGAGGCTGCGCGCTTCTGGCATACTGGGCGAAGGGCGGTCCTGAATTTGCGACGAGATACGCGAATTCTAGTTGTTCCTGCCAGTATTCATCTCCGGACATATTTGGGAAGCCGTCAACTACAGGTGGGAAGAATCCAGGTTGATAGTAGGCTTCGGGGTGGCTGATTGAGCTTGTCGCTTGGTATGGGTCCGTCATAGCCAGCCCGGGAGGAGAAGTGTCAGAAGTGAGCCGTCGACGTTTGTGTGAAGAGTTTTCTCTGTCACATCGGTCTTGCGTGCCTGAGGGGCTAAGATCCTCGTAAAAAGGTGGTGAAGCCATTTGGCGGAGGTGTTACTTTGATTTATCGCTGGAAATGTCTCGGATATCCTATCCAAACCTCAACAACGAAATCGACGGACGGACGGAAGTGGGGGAGAGTTTTGCACGTGAAGAAGGCAGAGATAAAGAACAATTGACTCTTTGGGTCCGAAAATGTGGTGTTGGATCCAAGACTTTGATGAGAGGAGGTTCACTGTCTTCACTCTCTGAGTTGAGTTGTCGGTGTGGGTAGGTTGCTGATCAACCGCCTTGGTTAGCCCGGCAGTGCCCGTGACTAACCAACGAAACCAATGTTGCTGATGTGAGTAGAGGATGGCTACAGTATTACTTCACTTGAAGCAGCACACAATGGAATGTCGATGGGTTCAGGAGAGGTTGTGAAGAAGAGTGAGGTCGGAGACTGTAGTGAAACTAAGGTTGGGGGCTGTGATCTAGTTCTGATCATGCGAGCTTGACACAAGAAGCCCCGATTGAGATGGGCACGTCAGACGCTGATTAGTGGGAGTTTGAAGGAGAAATCAAAGGCGGCTCGCTTGTGCTTTGATCCTTGGTTCCCAGCGAGGTTATTATTGGTGACGGCTCAAGCCTTTCGGGTGGGCAAAAGGTCCGGACGAGGGAGGAGAATGAGAGGAGAGAATGTCTCGTACGAGGTCAATCAATATGGTCAGGCAGTCGTTGATCTTTGGATTGAGCACCTTTTCCACCGGAAACAACGACTCGGAGTCAATGATTGAATGTAACCATTATGGTTCGGGTGTCAGCAACTGTCGCCGGCGGGGTGATTAATGTACAATATGTAATGTGATGGATGCGGTGGCTGCAGTTGAACCACTGGTACGCACTACGAGGACAGCAAGGAATCGGAAGTAGAGCCTGATGTGACACCACAATACTGCACGCCGAGGCAACCAAGTTGGCAAGGCAGAAAACATTGCCTTGAACTAGGTACACTGATTACGCCGCCGCATTGACTTGGAAGACATCGCCATCCGATGAGTCCGGAAGGAAGATGACGAGCCTGAAGCCACAAAAAGGAATAAGCCTGAGACCGGACCCGGAACAGGATCTAGATCTATCACAGGTGTGGTACGCGATAGTTTGGGCACCCCAATGCCTCGTATTCGGTATGCCTGGGGATGTCGAGTTCGGTGACCCCGTCGAATACTTGTTATGTACGGAGTACGAGGTCAGCCCATTAAGCCCAGATTTAGGCGCAACCGCAGGACCCCGCCACTGCCTTTTCTTCTCCTAGAAACAGAGGCGCCTGAAAATTGGGCACATGTCCAAGCTGCCGAAACTACTTTTGATGGCTGCAGATCCGAAAAGCAAAAACACAAGAGGCGGGACAAGTGGCAGGATCTTGTGGTTCTGGGCATAGGGATAAGAGTTGGAACTTGGGGTGAACGAAGGGGCATTTTTGCTGACTCAACCAATCTTTGAATATACCAGCTTCTCAACTTGTTTCTCGTTGGATCTTTCCACTCACCGTCGGCATAACCTCACCATACCCACGAGGCTTGATAAAAAAACAATAGACACCATAATAGTCCGGAGTGAAATGGTACTGTAAAGGATTCAGGGAACGCTAAAGGGGTGGGCAGCCTTATCACCACGGCCCCGGATTAATTATCCCGAGGTTATTCCGGGCGTCGTGCTCTGGTGCCTCAATAATTACTTTTAGGTCTTCAAGAGTCCAAAACTACAAGTCTCCTGCTATGTCGGTTCAACAACATGAAGCTGTAAATCTATACTATCATCAGTGGCAGTACTGAACGGTGATGAGGAGATGAGATCTGCTGGCTCTATCTTTCCTTTCATGTGCGTCTTCTGATGGCGTGGGTTGTCGCAAGTTGCACCACTGTCTTTGCCAGCCTCATTCTCTACCACTTTCTTTCTTCCAGCCGAAAGCAGAGCTTAGTAGATGACCTGACAGAAACGGATTCTGCACCAACAACACGTATCCCTACAATAGAGACACCCGCCGCCACCTTTACAGCCGAGATGGCACAAGAGGAAACAGGAAAACACCATGTGCCTTCTACTACCAGCGACCGGAGGAGCCCCGCCAAAGACACACAGACTTCTGTTGGAATCCCTATCGTGAACGATCAGAGAACAACGGACTTGCCCTCGACCCGAAAGAGACCCTCCAGTCCTCCTCGTCTCAAGCCTCCCACTTTCGGAAACATGGCAGCCCCTCCACGGCCTGGAAACGGGGCTTTGCGACCTCCTCCCTCTGCGGCGTCTTCTCTACGCGTCCCAGCGACGAAAGTCCTCTCAAATGCCTTGATGGCGCCTACGTCCTCGATCATGCCTCCGGGAAAGCAAGTTTCGCGTAAGGTCATTTTAGAGCCAGGCCACTCACCGCTCGACTGGGCCGCCTTGACCTCGAATCCCAATAGCCAGCTGCGCGGAAAAGATGCTCCCGACAATCTGATTCGGGTGGCACCTGCACAGTTGAAAGAGCAAAACGGGCGAAAGGGAAGAGACGCGTGGACCGTATACCAGGGTAAAGTGTACAATATAACACCGTACGTGCCGTTCCATCCTGGAGGAAAAGGCGAGATCCTACGAGGTGCCGGCAAATCATCCGACAAGCTGTTCATGGAGGTGCACCCTTGGGTCAACTGGGATGGCATGCTGAGCGAGTGTATGGTGGGCATTCTCGTCAATGACGAGGAAATCGCAGACACAAAGAGTGGTGGTCTTGACGACATGGATTGAAGAAGCATGCATACTGGCGTCGGATACATTGAACAAGCTAGAACTATGATACCCCTTTAGAGCGACCGCTGATGAGCAGACGTGGCTGGATGATACAAGTAGATATATATGGATTTTCAGGATGAATTGCTTTTGTGCAACTCTCTATACCTTTGTGCTCTTGCTAATACACCTTTCGTTTCAGTGGCATGGTACCGAAATCGGGGGTTTTTCTTTTCCGTGAACTGTTTATGCATCATCCACACTCAAAAGTCATTGACGGCTTATTTATTTCAGCGAAATTCTTCAAAGCTCATCCTTCTTGACGCCTTTGATCCCCATCAGTTCCGTCTCAAAGACCAAAACACTGTTTCCGGGAATGGGCCCAACTGCTCTCTCACCATAGCCCATGTCTGGAGGGATGGTCAATCGTCTCTTCTCGCCAATGCACATGTCAACGAGTCCCTCGTCCCATCTGTCCCAGCAGAAATCTCTCGTTAGTAAAGGAGCCCTCTTCTCAAGTACATCAGCAGCAGCAGCAGCATCACCACAAACGAGGCTGGTGCCTCGCACGCGCTCACAGGGTAGGCATGCCCATGGTAAGAAAGGGGTCATGGGCCAACGGGGTTCAAACCGCCCAAAACATACCCTTTGATCACCCGTCCAGCACCTAGCTGGAACGGTAGAGGATTTCCTCGCGAATAGCTTGAATCAAACTCCTTGCCTGTCTCTTGAAGTGTGCCGCGGTAATGTACTTCAATGTTGTCCCCCTTCTTCGTCTTGCGGGAACATTCAATGGCCGGTGTGAGGTAATCGATCTCAAGACCGGTGGCGGATGCGAGGTGAGAGAAGGACACGGCCGCAGCGAGGAGAGGGGCGAGGATCTTCATGGTGACGGAGAGGGGTAACAAAGAGAGGAAAAGCAATCAAGGGTAGTAAAAAAGTCGGCGGATGCTGTTGGGTCTTTTCTTTTGCTTGTGAGTCAAACTACAAACAATGCAGGAATGTAAGGATGGCAATGTCGAATATTCGATGTTTCTATAGGTAGTCAGTACACCGCCCCTTGCGTTGGGCAAGTTTCGCAGCCAAATCGACATGCGGGGGAATCAGGTCAGAGCCTTATTGGTGCTAGATGGAGGGGCGGGATACCTGAGATAAGGTCCGTAGGGAGAGGCTTAGCTTGGGGTGTGTGCTTTAGCAGCCTATCCCAAGTAAACAAAGCCAGTCCAACGCTTTCTATCACACCTTTTCATTGTCAATTGTTTGATTATCTCTATTTCCTAAATAATGAAATCTTACGCCAAAATCTCGAGACTCAATACCAATGTCTCTCGATGGCCATGCAGTCCCAACGCCACAGCACCGCTCACCTTGCGATTTAACAGCCATCAAACTTGTGTATGCGACTCTCATCTGACTCCAATGCTGAACTCCTTTCCTGCCCTCGGATATCCCTCATCCTGCACCAAAACCTCGAAGTCGAGAGAGCGTGTGCTCAATCATGCTTTATCTAATCCCAATCCTGCCCCATGCCTCGGTTTTAGGCTTCCATCCCTTGTCGTTCACATTTGAGTGCCTGCCTCAAGATCCCCTTATTCCTGCTCTGGCCTCGATTAGGCTCTGAATTTCATTCTTCCCAAATTCCTCCAGAATTGTCGACAGCGGTTGTTTCAAAGTTAAGTTTAACAGAGCATTGGTAGTTGAATCCGGGTGCAAACTCGTTTCAAGTTGCTAGATCGACGTTGGTGGCCCATCTGCGGCAAAACAATCGATCCTAAAAAAGCAATAACTTTTGTGGTACTCAAAGAAATTCAACAATAAGCTCGGTCGGCGGTATCGACAATGGTCGCCCTGCGCAGAAGATTCCAGTCGAGAATCGATTTTGTTATGAGATCATACAGAAAAGACAAGGGGTGTGATGGAAGCCCACTGGTCACCATTCGAGTGTGGGTGTCTGCTGATTGCAAGTCGTTGTCATGCTGTGTTGACAAGACAAGCCAGGTGTTCACAATCAATCTTAAGGAGATGGTGTTCGTGATGGGTATCCAAGTCGTAACAGCTTCTTGGGCTCGAAGACTGGCTTGTTGACCTTGGGAACAACGACCATCTTCGTCATCATCGGTGGGAGTGGCTTCTTCTTGTACTTGTCACGAAATTGATTGCCTCCTCTCCAAACGAAGTTGCTACCAATTCTGTATCCTTCCTGGTCAGAAGACGTGGTGTCAGTTTCTTCGGTCGCTTTAGCCTTTGGGTCGGTGTTACTAGGTCCAGGCTTTGCGACTACGGCTGGAGTGGTAGATTTCTCAGAGACACCAGACTTTGGAAGTGCCTCTGCAGCTGTCGATAAAACCGGCGGAGTTGCTGATTTCTTTGCAACCGGTGTTTTGACGACTTTAGACTGATCATTGTGGTCACTGCGAATACGTTTTGCCGCTGGAGTATTGTTGCTGGCGACTTCTTCGTTCCCACTGATGTCGACTTCGTCATTTGCCTATCCTGAAGTCAGTATGTGTTCCTGTTGGTTTGCTTTCATACCCCGGCACTTACTCGTTTTCGCTTGTTGGCCGGTGCTGTTGCCTCAAATGGAGGGACCTTCTTGTGGCTGGCGTTCGTCTTTCCTGCAATGACCTACAACAAGTCAGAACGACGGAGAGAACATGACGGTTCCCTCCCACCTACCCGGGTGTCTTTTGGCTTTGCGGCAGCAACCTTCTCTGGAGCACTCGACTTGTGACGCTTGGTTTCGCTGTCATCGTCTTCACCATCCCTCTTTCTCTTGGCGGTGATGGGCTGAGCGCCGGTGCTCTTGTGTCTCTTTGCGCTGTCAGAGCTGTTGAGAGAGTCGTCTGAAAGCTTTCTCTTTCGGACCAGAGTGTTGTCTCCACCGCTGCTTTGACGATCATTGTTTCGACCTATCTCTTGGATGGTGTTCTTACTCAATCGAGCGTCAAGTCGTGCCTCTGCTTCGAGCTTTAGCTGTGCTAGATGTTCCTTGCGAGCTTGCTCCTTCGAGACCTTGCTTTTGCTCTTCGAGCTCTTGGTCTTGCGCGATGGCTTTTTCTTCGTCTTCAAGACATTCTTCCGATACAACTCTTGAATAGTCTCGCCGGCATGCTCTAGGTCGAATTTCAACATGTCGACGGCCGAAAGGTAACACCCCTCAAGTGACTCAGGTTGCTCACCGCCATTGGTCTGGGCCAAGTGAACTCGCCAAAGCTACATTTCATCAGAAAGCTTCAGACGAGGAGGAAGAACAAACGACAACAACAGATTATCGCTAGCCCGGGAGCACCTTACGTAAGTGGTGGCTATTGCAAGATGCTCTGCCATGTTTCTCTTGTGCAGATCCTGCTTTGACTTTTGAGTCCGCTCGTATAGCGACATCTGAGGCTCTTCTGTTGAAGGCTGCATGTTGGGAAACATCGTGTTGATGGGAAAGCTTGCAGGGTAGGAGGTAGGTGAACTGTCTTGGTGCGTGCTTTTCTGTGAACGGGTGGGATCGAACAGGGAGAACGTGTGAGCCTATAACGAAGAACGACAGAGGAAGCTCTGGGGTGCCCTTTGAAATCGTCCACTTGATCAGAACATACACAAAGAAGATGAAAAGATATTTGACGGAATGATGGAGGAAGATTGTGGGAAGCAATGAATTTGGCACAACACAACAACAACAACAGGATGCCGAGATTTGGGAAGTATAATTTTCTTCTCATTCACGTTATTGAGGGGGGCAGTGATCGAGTTGTGGCCGATGCAAGCACTATATATCGCTGGTGAATAACAATATCAACAGGCAGTGCCAGCCATTTCTTGTCACTCAAGCTTCAGGCGGCAGCAAGATTAAGCCAACATACGAACCATACCAAGACTAAATCACTTACAAATGGAAGTTCGAAGAATAAGAAGACGTCTTTGGAGGATATAATGTCTTTTCTGTATTGTGGTATTGTATCCACCCCCTTTCTGGATAACCAACGTTTCCTTCGTCCACGGTGGATATCAGCAATCCAGTAACATTCGACAGCGACAACCAAAACAAATTCCAGCCAATATCAAAAATTCCGAACATGTTAACCTTCCAACTCCAAATCAAACAAGTGAACCGTGAACTTTGGTCTGTATATGCTTTGCTCCTGCTCGAACCCTTTACCCCATTCTAGCACAGTCATTCTGTGGATCTACCCTCATTCCTACACCCTGCGCTTCTTCTTCAGCTGCTACCGCTGCTTTCCAGCTTCCTTGTCGTCCTCGGTCTGGTCCCGCTTCCTCTTCTTTGCCTCCTCTCGAATCTCCTTCTCTGCCTTTGTGAAGGCAAGAAGCTCCCTCATCTTTCCTTCCTGGCTGATAGTCTTGGCGTCTTTGGCGATGGGGATGATGGTCTCACTTGGCCGGTGCTGAAAGCCAAGTTTCATCTCCTTCTTGTTGAAGCCCCTTCGGGATTGAAGGAGTACCAAGTCGGGCCTCTTGATGGTGGTCACGGGACCTCCCTCGGAGAACCCACGCTCAAAGTCGGTTTGGCCGAGCTTGTCAAAGGTGCCAATCTGAGCGTTGGCGGGCTTCTTCTTGTCCTTCTTGAAGAACAGGGATGGTGGTGGTCGGGACTTCCTGGCCAGCTTTGGTGCTGGCATCGTTGTGTTCGTGGCGTCCTTTGGGAGCAACTTGTCTTGCTCTGGTTGTGGTGTCATGGTGATCTCCTGAGTGATAGTCATTGTGTCGGTAGAGGGTGTCAAGTATAAGTTACTTGTTTAGCGGCTGTGTGTTTATGAAGTGTGTCGAGCGGAAGAGATGGTACAGTGTGTCTGGTTAGTAATGGGAAGGGAATCAAGTATACAAGGACTGAGTGCTTGTTAGACTTGAGACGATCGTACACTGTAGGGAAGGAGATCTTGCAAAGATGGGAATGGGGAAGATTTATAGCCAGCCAGGAGGTCCTCAAGAATAGAATTTGCGAGGTCCCCAGACAGAATCCAAGGTTTTTTCATGTCTATAGATTGCGAGAGTCATAGATGGAAGTGCGTGTGTCTCATATATGAGGACCTTTAGCTTTGCTTCTTCATGGTACTCAGTGAGACAAGGTAGACCAGTATACACCGGTACGCTCAGGGTAGATACTTTGCAACATGTGTATCCCCAGTGGTCCGCAAAGCAGCCACTCAGAGGTGTCTACCAATTCTTCTGATGACCCAACTCAGTAAGACATCGCAGGGAGCCTACGCCTATTCTCTCCAGACTTTTGCCCAAGAGCCATGGGTAACCCAACAGTAGAGTGGGTCTACGAGGCTCTCATACTGAATCTTATCGAAAGGTGCAGATACACGACGAGTGATGCCAGAGATGGATAAAAGCTTCTCTACCTGGTCGAGCCATCGAACGAAATCTACACAATCACTCTTTTGTGTTCTGTAGCTATCTTTTCCATTGTGTCCTCTCTAGGATGCCTTGCCCACATAGTGGATCCTTGTACTTGGGTTTGAAGACGAGGCTCAAGTTTACGCAAATATAGAACGAGGCCGTTTGAGGTCTCTTCAGAGCCTACTGATTATAGTTCTACGCAGGCTCATCGGCTTCATATGACACCAATATCGTTTTTCCCCCTTAGAAAGCAACGAAGAACAAGAAATCGGATGTTGGAATGAGGAATTTCAGATCACGTGATCTCGCGAGATCGGCGCGTTGGGGCCTCGTCGCGCCCGCTCGTATCGCGTTCTACTCACTTCAACCATCGCTCCGGGTCTAGTCGACCAAACAGCCGCAATGGACACGCAGCTCTTGAGTGGATTGAACACCGCTCAAAGGGCTGCAGTCACATCCAAAGCAACGGTACTGCAAGTTCTTGCACCTCCCGGGTCAGGCAAAACCAAGACCCTCACCTGCCGGGTCGCGAACCTCATCGCCAACGAAGGCCTCAACCCTCAGAATGTTATCTGCTGTACCTTCACCATCAAAGCCAGTCGGGAGATGCGCGAGAGACTCAGGGACCTGATCGGATGTGAACTTGAGGCGAAGTTGGTCCTGGGTACCTTTCACTCCATATGCCGTCGATACCTCGTCGCCTACGGACACCTCATTGGCATACCCAAAGGCTTCGGGATTGCCGACTCATCCGACAGTCTAAGTATCATCAAGCGCATCGTCAAACGGTTAAAACTATCGATCGAACCCAAAGCGGCGCGGGGCAAGATTTCAAGTCACAAGGCCAAGGGCAAAAAGTTGGAAGCCCTTCCAAAGACACCGCAGAAACAGGTGGAGAGACAGGAATTCATAACGGTTTTTCACGAGTATGAGGCGGCTCTTGCGACGTCAAAGCTTTTGGATTATGATGATTTGCTTCTACGATGTGTCGACCTACTTCGAGCCTTTCCCGGCTGTGTGAGCAATGTGGAAGCCCTCCTGATCGACGAATTTCAAGACACAAACGTGGTGCAGTTCGAGTTGATGAAACAGCTAGCGACCGCTGCGAGAAGGGTCACCGTCGTTGGAGATCCTGATCAGAGTATATACGGATTCCGAGCTGCTGAAATCGAAAATCTTCGGCGTATGAAAGCCTTCTATCCTGAAACTGTGGTGATCAATCTGGAAGAAAACTATCGTTCATCATCATCTCTTCTGAAGCTTGCACAAGATGTCATCGAACAAGACACAGATCGACCACAGAAGCGGCTTAAAGCGACACACTGCAATGGTACTCCGCCTGTTCTGCGCCGGTTGCCAAATCCAAATGAAGAGGCACTCTGGATCGCCAGTGAAATTAAAAGAATGGCAACAATGACTGGGGATCTTTTGTTATATTGGGATTTCGCCATTCTACTCCGATCCGCATACCTGTCTTTGCTCATCGAAAGGGCTTTGAGTAACTCTGGAATCCCCTATCGCATGGTCGGGGGCCAACGCTTTTTTGACCGTGTTGAAATCAGAATCATCATTGATTATCTTCGAACTATCAGCCATCCCGACAACAATCAAGCTCTTGTCTCGATCATCAACGTGCCCTCGAGGAAGATAGGAGAGACCACACTCGCCGAATTCATGAAGATAGGAGAGCAACGAAAAATCTCATTGTGGGCCGTGATTCAACGAGTGCTCGTCGGGGATATCAAAGCGGAAAAGACGTCCAAGCATGCCGAGCAGGAACTTGGGCGCTTGGTGGCGTTGATCAAGAATGCAAGACAGAAAATGGAAAGCATGATGCCCGCCACCGTTCCCAGCAAGTTGATCGATTTGGTTATAAAATCTCTAGATCTGGAAGATTACATCAAGAAAAAGTACAAGGATGACCATGAAGATCGTCTTGAAAACATCAAAGAACTCATCACACATGCCTCCGAGGTGTTGTTGCAACCTTCTGAGGAAACACTCGCACAGGTCGACGGCGTTGAACAGCAGGTCTCCGATGGTGGTCAAGAGGTGCTTGCACAATTCCTGGCCAACATCGTCTTGTCTACCGACACGGATAAATCTGAAGAAGGCAACGACCAACCGCGTGTCACAATTTCGACCATACATTCTGCCAAAGGTCTCGAGTGGCCGGTGGTGTTCATTCCTGCTGTCTACGAAGGGTCAATACCACACTCACGGGCGGAAGATAACGACGAGGAACGGCGTCTGCTCTACGTTGCCATGACACGAGCCCAAGCACTTTTGACACTGTCGTTTCCTTTGACGCAGTCGAGAGATCAGGGCGATTCTATGTTGACACAGTTCTTACCGCCACAGATCCATCATCACCTCGCAGAGACCGGACCAATGTTCAGCGACAAGGTTGTCAGGGACATTGCCAGTATCCTTCGTCGTGCGACGCCGAGTCAAGAGGCGCTTGTAAAGGGTCTACAAAGTCTGAAAGCCAACGAAAGTCAATCTGACGACGTTTGGCCTACCGACGGCAGTCGTCGCGCCGTGGCCATGTTTCCTTCAGGAGCTCAAGCAACGACCCCGGAATTTGGTAGGCCATTGGCAGAGGCGGTTGCTATGGCCAAGAGAGAATTGCATTCTCACAAGTCGAGTTTTGGCAATAGTTCCACCTCGTTCTCTACGTCAAATGTGACCATGGGGGGTTTCAAAACGGCGAGTGATCATTTCAGAACGCTGCCCCCGGAGCTGACGAGATCATCTTCGGAGGCACTGCTGCCACCATCGAAGAAACCCAAGCTATCAAAATCAACATCAGCACAGGGGAACATTGCTACTTTCTTTGGGAAACCGGCGGGCCAGGCTCAGACTCTGCCTGTCACGGAACGTGTTGCCCTCACCAGGACATCAGTACAGCCGAACCAAGAACGACGATGGCCCGTCAAGTCTGCATCACAGTCCACGAGAGTGCCGGCCGAATTACCAATCGATAACAAACCGACAGATATCCCAAAGGAATTCGCGTCACATAGATTGAACACTGGCAACCCATTCGCGTACAAAAGACCCTCGACGTTGAACAAGACCAGCAACAACAACAACACCCAAAGTCGGTATGCAAACATATACGGTACATCCTCGCCGCCGCCGCCGCCGCCGCCGCCTGAACCCGAAGAGGTCAAGGTCAACCTTGGGCGAAATGGTGGCCCAACTCCTCAAGGTGAAAATCAGGGGCAAGAGCAAGAGAATCGAACCTTTGTCCAGACAAAGGACAGTCGTCCAAGATCTCTGAACCCCAAGGGGAACATCACAGCTTGCTCGACGCCCAGGACAAACTACATCATGACGCGACCGGCGGGCACCATGCACAGTACGACCGTGTCTTCGGTTCGGCGGCACGGGAACACTGGGTCTGGTGGGAGGTCCGAGTATGCCAACTCGAACTTGAAACGCAGGACTCTTGGGGTACGTCAAGGTTTTGGTGGATGGGATGCCAGGAAGCATAAATAAAAACACCGTCCTCACGTACCCCCGTACTTCTTTTTTTCGCGAGCTCTTTTGGAGACGTGGGGGGTCATGAAGTTTTGGGACATTGAGTCAGTCTTGCTTGTCTTTTTCCCTGTCCGGTTCCAATTGGGCATAGCCGGCTGGATGGGTGTGTTGTATCGCTTGTAACAAACCGGATGTCTCGATAGGTATTGTATTGGGGTTTTTTTTGGTGGGTTCAACAAAACCCATTTGACGACGACGACGACGACCTATATGAAACTATCCTTCAAATCTTCAAGTTTTTAGGATAAATGGTATTCCTCCTTTCGGGTGTGGAAAGGGGTCTCTTTACAGGATCACTACTGTACAAGCTAAAAGCAGCTTGGTGTGGTTTGGATGGTCGTTGTGAGTTAATTGTTAAATCTATACTCCGTTTCCCCCTAGGAAGAAGAACAACAACAACAACAACAAAGCAAGTGATAAAACCCACCTTCAAGTCACCTAAACCTAGAATGATGAAATTTTAAAAGAGAGAAAACCCAACTAGTGGTGTCACCGACCCAAATGGTGAGAAGAAAATAAACAGTACAAAGTAGATGTCATGCTCCCTTGGAATTCGCGACGATGTAGATTGAGAGATGCCAACATAGTCTCTGGATACATGTACATATTTGTCAGGCACTATGTAAAAAGGAAGCATCCCTGACAAAAGCCTCAAATGAGTACGGGATACCAGAGACAAATTTGTCCGATCTAGATGTCGCCATTAAAAAGGGAAAAAATCAAGAGAAAATATTATCTCATCTCATCTCACGACCCCGTACACATCAAAGCAAATCCTCCATCTTTCATTAAATGGCAACCATGGCCAGGCCAACTACTCCTGCGACTGCCAGGACCAAGACATGCGCGACGCTGGAACGACCCGCCGCGGCACCGGTATACGTTGCCACCCATGGCATGGTCTGCGTGCTGGTCGCTTCAGGAGACCAGGCTCCGTTGCCATTGCCGTGGCCCGCCGGAGTCATAGGACCGGGAGTCGATCCAGACTGAACAGCTTCAACGGTCAATGTCTTTGCCACAGTAGCGGTGGGGTTCGCCGGAGAGGGAGCACCCCAACCGGCACCTGCTCCTGATCCTGATCCTGGGCCCGCTGGGCTGCCTGTGACGGTCACCATAGTACCAGGAGCAGCAGGTTTGGAGGGTGTCTTTTGTGCAGGACCTGCTGGAGATGGGCTGGCTGGCACGGTCACGATGACCGGTGTGGTGACGGGCCATCCTGCGCCAGGAGTGATGGTGATAACCTTGACCGGGATGGTCGGCAAGGGGGTCTGGGTGCAGCCACAGTGTGTCGTGATGAGGCTGGTTGTCTTTGTGACCCATCCAGTCGGGCAGGGCTCGATCCAGGTCTGGGTGAGTGTGATGGTGACTGGTTCCCAATCTGCCCATGTACCTGGGGCCGATGTGGTCGTGGGCGTTGTCGTTGCCGAGGTGGTCCAATCAAGCCAGGTTGGGTCAACGACTGCAGAAGATGTTGTCGTTGTTGATGCGGTCCAGTCAAGCCAGGTGGAATCCACTGCTGGTGTGGTCGTGGAATATGGAGCGGGAGTGCTTTGGGTCGTTGTCGAGTCAACCCAGTCAAGCCAAGTTGCGCTCTCGGTCGACACAGGTGAAACCGTCGTGCTTAGCCAAGGCGTCGTCGTCGAGCTTCCCCCGATCGGGCCGATGTCAAAGCTTGAAGTTGTTGTTTGTGTCGTCGTGGTATTGGGGAAAAATGTCCAAGACGTGGCTGTGGTCGAAGTTGTCTGGCCGATCGGTCCGACAGCGTTGCTTGTAGTCGTGGTCGTTGGAACGACGCCGGTGGTGGTGACCGCGGAGGTCGTTGTAGTTTGGGTAGTAGTGCTGACAGGAGCTGCGCTGCTCGTGCTGCCCGAAGTGGTCATGGCTACTGATGTGGTTGTAGAGGTCGAAGGGGCAACACTGGTAGTGCTGGTAGTGCTTGAAGTGATAGCGCTCGTTGTCGTCGTCGTCGTCGTCATTGTCGTGCTCGTTGTCGATGTGGTAGACGTGGTAGACGTGGTAGACGTTGTTGATGTGGTAGATGTCGTGGTGCTCGTTGTGACGGGCTTAGTCTGGAATATTTTGACATAATTGACATCCCAGTATGCCTCAGAGAACTCGCTCGGGTTGTTGCCCACAAAGTTGGAGCATGAGTCTCCGTAGTTTGCAGCACATCCACTGCTGGCCCATGTGGCACCAGCAAAGTCACCTGCCAAACGTATCAGCGAAGCTCACCGTGACAAATTGGCTACAACTTACCGCAGAAGGTGGTATCGAATACGACTCTGTGGTCGGCAAAGTTGGCATCAATGTCGCAGCTTGGGCCGTTGAAGATTGTGAATGGTAAACCCCAGCCGCTGGGGTCTGGAGTGCCAGCAGTGATGTCTGATGGAATGTTCCCTCGGGGGAAGAAGTAGATCTTGATGGCATCCGACGTCCAGTCCATCGCATACACACCACCACCGTTGGCGTTGAAGCCCGCGCCCCAGCTGACCGAGCGGGTGTCATAAGCACCGCAACCCGCACCGTTATATTGGTTATTACCGAGGAAGTAGTCGCAGTTGTTGCCTGCTGGAGTTCCGGTCATCTGGAAAGGGCTCTGTTGAACAGTGCACGTATTACCCGTGTGGGTTGATCCCAGATTGACCTGGTTCGTGTTTGCGCCCTCGATGATGTCGACTTCGCCACTGTAGGGCCATTCTCCGCTACCCAGGGTCCAGAAAGCAGGCCATACACTGCATCCACCGCTTGTCGTCGAAGTAGGCATATGCTTGACATCGGTGATGAAGAGACCGTGTGTCCATGAAGAAGTACTTTCGATGCGGACACTCGGTCGTCCAACACCATTGACCATCCAGTAGTTTGCATTTCCATCGTAGGTGTTTGCGTCATCCACTCTCATCTGCACCGAGCCACCATCGTAGGTGATGAGGCCATTCTGCTCAGAAAACGTTCGATCCCCATAGCTAGAACCGACAATGTCAGCATATCGACGGTACTTGTTAAAAACTAATACGGAGAGGCTTACGTGACGAAGCCATGGGTGGGATCGGCCGTCTATATACACGTCAGTCTATAACCCCTGTATCGGCAACGGACAGCCACGTACGTCGAAGAAGGTGAAGCCATCGAAGAAGGTAGTACCAGAGTATTCAGTATCCAACGCGTAGTAGGTATTAGCGGGCGCTGCTGAAACAGACGCTGAAAGCAAAGACAAAGCAGAAATGAGTGTGGTGCTCGACCTCAGAAAGAGTGATGAGGAAGGCATGGTGAACGAGTGACTGAGAAAACAGAATGGTAAAGAGCGACGACGTCAGGAACTGCACACAGCAAGAAGAGAAGGAGGGAGACAGCAAGACATGTCCGATATATTCACCCGTGGCGCTCGACCTCGCCACGATTTTTTGTCTCAATTCTGTCCCTACAACCGGAACCAGACGAGTTGGACGCTCGGAGCGTACGGCATAACTTCATCAACAAGTCCTAATTTGAGCCCTCCACTAACGTACCTCACGGAATTGGACATTCGTGGAAGAGGCTGCCCAGAAGGCATCTTACACCAAATTTGGACAGGTTTCTGCACAAGCATGGGCCCAAGGCTGGCCGGAAAGGAGCTGCGTGACAGCGGGTGGCACAAACAGCGTCCAAATTCTGACCGGTGAATCAAAGTCGTATGGAAGGGTGTCGCAACCCTCGCCTCGAAAGGGTCTAGGACGCCATGGAAAATGAAACTTTTGCTCGTGCAGCCGAGCTTCATATCTTGGACTCCTCGCCGAGGATGGAAAGATGCAATCGTTAGTAGAGCGAAAAAAAACAAAGAGATGCCATCAAGGCGGAGTGCAATTTGGCCACTTGGCGCGTGTTGGGCCAATCATGATTCGTTATGAGATACACTAAGCCTGAACAGGGAATGTACCTCATTTCCCCTGACTTGTGTATTGACGGACACGCCGTCGCTTCCACGGTTCAACTTCGTCTAGACCTCGAAGAAGTCGTCCTCATGAAATCGTTCCACGTGTCCCGATAGATCGGGCTAATTGTCGGTCCGCATTACGTGTGGAAAAGTTCCTCCACTATTGTGACTGGTGCCTATGGAGTAAGATGACCTCGGAATGAAGCTGGAATGAGAATAGCCAGACAGCCCTCGTTGAACCCTACAGTATCTTGACCATAGTCATGATCTCCCGTCAATAGTGTCTAGGGCAAGTACCCGTAGAGTGATGCTAATTCCGTAGATAGAAGGGATTAGTCTACACATCATTGATAGAAAGACCTTGCGAGCTAGACCCCAGGCTCCGATCAAGGTACTGTAATCGAAGGGCTTGATGATATCGTCAAAGTGGTATCCGAATTCTATGGGGTTTGTCAGATAGTGTAAGACCACTCGAACTCCGTACTCTGTACCGGACGGAGTAGATACTTCACTAACATCGTCGTAGCATCCACTTCATCCTTCTAGGTGGGATCATGAGAACTTCGGCTGGAGTCCACCAGGAGATAATAATCAAATACGGGGTGGAAATTGCTGGCCGCAAGATTCAATAAAAGCGGTCTCTTCGTGTATCCATTGAGCCTAAAGAAGCCGAAAGGTCTCGCCGTGGCAATCTATACTTAGGGTCTTCTAGATACTCATTCTAGCCACATCGTCTCAGTATCTTGAGGCGAGGAGAGGAAGGGCACAAAATGCTCATTTAGGACTACAGGAAGGGACCTGGGTAGTTTTTCGGTACCTATTTAAATTGTTGTCGTTCAGTAATGTTCAGGCGCGGAACTCGTCGCACTAGGGAGTGTCTGCTACAACAATACACATCTAGCCGACATCCTATAATGATACCGTATGCGACAAGAATAGATTATAGTAACATAGGACTTTCATCATGTACTGACAGATGGCTCAACTACAGTGCCTTGAACCCCTGACTCAGTATGGAGCATGAGGATTCCGCGATGACATTTAGGCCGCTTAGGTTAAGCTTGAAATCAAGGTGCGGGAGCTAATCATATTGTCGATAAGGATAAGGATAAAGATAAGTCTGAAAACCTGGGTAAATACTGTAGGTAATATAACAGCCCACGAAAACGCATACAAGAACACAATCCCACAAGAGACTCATCTGTTCCCCCAACATCCAAAGATACACTCGGTGTAGTTACAGAATCTTCGAGCGAAATTCATCTCATCTCGTGTGGAGCAATACTATCGGGATCGTCGGCGATCTGCTCGTTGTGACCATGACCCGTTGTCACCGAATCATGATACAATGTATGCCCTCCTGCATGGTTGTGGCTGCTAGGAGCTGACGGCCCTGGCTCTGACGACGAGCTTGTGGTAGCATGATCCAGTGTGTCTGAGGTGGCAGAACTGCCCGTCTGTCCAGCGAAATTTGTCTCTCCAAAGTTCATCGGCGGGATCTCAGTTCTGCTCTCAATGGGAGCGAGATTTTCGCCATGATATCCACTGTGCGAAGGACCTGTAACATCAGGAGCGACGGCTGAGCTGCGGCGGCGGGTTGCCGCTGCTGATGCGCCACTCGCGACCCCGGAAATGCTCGTTCGGTGGCGACCCGCAATGTTCTCGAAGGGGTCGTCCGAGAGTTGGAAGAGGGACTGCTTGCGTTCACGGACTTCGTACTGTTCAGCGGGTGTCATGCCCGTCTCGCCGATGCCAGCGATTTCTTTATCTGTAAACGCCGACTAGGTCAATTCTCACTTGATCCACACAAACCCAGGAGTGGTATTGGAACTAACTGGACACTTTCTTACGACCATAATAAGGGTCGTCTTGAGGCTCGAATCCTCCCTTTTTGCTCATACTGAACTTTCGAACATCGACACCGCCGAGGCTGTATTTGCGTTCACGGTTCCAGAACTCTTGGTCCGCTGTTAGACCTGTGTCGCCGACATCGTGAATCTCAGCGTCTGGGCAGGATGTTAGAGTTGACACCTGAAATTGCTCATAAGAGATCGAGAAACATACTAGAGATTCTTTTGCGGCCGTAGTAAGGGTCGTCCTGGGGTTCAAAACCCCCTTTCTTACTGTTGCTGAACTTTCTAACATCTACGCCATTGACGCTGTACTTGCGCTCACGATTCCAGTACTCTTGATCGGGCGAGAGGCCAGTGAGGCCGACGTCCTTGATCAAGTCATCTTGGATCCCAAAATTAGCAACTGAACAAGGACTTGGGCTAGCAGAGCCACATACCAGGGACCGGTTTGCGGTTGTAATATGGATCTGATGCCAACACCATGATTTCAACAAAGTAGGCAGTCGAGACAAGTGTAGAATAATGTCCAAGCCTAGTGGCTGCGAAGGGAGAAGAAATGAAGAGTAGATTGACCTCAAGAGAGAACAACTAGCCAAGCTTTGTTCTGTCTTTATACACCAGCGAGGCACGAACCAGGTGAGAACTTACTGGGTAGAGGGTGTGGGAATGCCCTGGAAAAGCCGGAACCCAGAGGAGCAGGTCATTATTACTTGCTCGTCATGGTTTGACAGCAGCCTTTGGGCTTCGGTTTGTCGTCGAGTAGCCATCGACCCCGCCCAGTCTCCAGGAATCTTGTCTGGGGTGTAAACGGGGAAGTCTGTGGCGACGAGGAGCTTTGACCTATGAGCACCTGCATAGCCTCGTGTTCGCATCCTGGACGGACCCAAAAGAAGCGAGGACGCACGATCATCTTACTCCAGATGAAGACATCATCGACGTAGCCGCAGTCATCCTCGTCCGTACTCTTTAAACCAGTATCTGGTGGTTTGCCACAATCGCAGTTGACCTCGCTCAAATTCTCGCAAGTACAATTCCCCTACATCCATCATCGAACGTCTGGGCTTTTGAGGTGCAGTTTATTTCTTAGTTGAGATTTCGTGGAAATTTTCGGCCATTTGTTTCTGAAAATCTGCCTGAGCATCTTGAGCGATTTGTAGCATTAAATAATGCAGATGGATAGAATGGAACGTAGGTAAGCCTAGAAAGCGGTCCCGAGACACACCGGCCAAGTCAAGTCAGCGTAAAGGAGAGGAATAACAGAGGGGATGAAGCCACCCACGTCAGCGCTTGAGGCACATGGTAATGTCGTACTCCGTACTACTTACTGTACTGCAACTTCAGGCTTGTCTTTCATGAATTTGAATACCAGACTACACCACGGTTGATGCTCCTAGTAGGACGCAGCAGTGACGAGAGAACCGGTATCAGATGATGGAGTGTTGCATTGTGCTTCCACGTCGCACAGTTATGCGACACTGATGGTAGCAGAAATCTTCAAGATGAAAGACCATCATGTACCAGTAGGTAGAATGTTCGACTGGCTAACCTCAAAGAACTGGAGTGAGATGCGAATAGATCTCGTTTATCCAATGGTGTCCATCACGTAAGATGTTTAGGTGAAAGATTTAGGGAGTGGGAAATGCGGTGCGTTCCAATGTCAACGCATTGAACGACACCTGGATGTGTCTGGCGGTCGTTGAGAGCAACAGTCGTCATTCACCCTTTACATGTAACTGCGTCTGAGAATGAACGTTCCAGACGCGTCCAACATGGCAGCACATTCACTCAGGCTGCCAGCGCCATTCAACAAAGAAATTTGCGCCTTCCAGCAACAAACATCACAGCTTCACCTCTGGAAATAATCAAAATTCTGTTGCGTAATTCTCCTAATAGGAAGGATCGGGCTACAGCCATGCATCTTTGCAGATACTACGCCAAAGGAGTTTGCGTCCATGGTGATAGTTGCAAATATCGACACGAAGACAACGCGCAGACTTCAGACATACCGATGCCTATTCTTCAAAATCCACAACCTTGAGACCAGAGGCAAAGATTTTCAGACCTCGAGCTTCTCGAACGTGCCGATTCTTTATCAGAGGTCGTTGCAAGAATGGACAATTCTGCAGTTTTGCTCACCCAAGCCCCGAGCCCGAACAATCCAACCTGGTAGGAGGAGACTTCAACCACCGCGAGACTTAAGCTGATCAATGCAGAACCACGAAGACACTCCAGAACTGGGACAAGAAGACCAACTCCATCAACATTTGAAAGGTGTCCTTGTGCACTTTGGCGATGGAGCTCGAGTCTCGAATGTTTTCTTCCCTCAACACCCACCAAGCAAATACGGTAACAAGTCTCACAAAGCTGCAGGAAAAGTCAAGATGCATACAATCTGCTGCACCTGGTTTAATCCTTCCAAGATCGTTTACCTAGTCTACCTGAGCAGGAAGTGGGCAGAAACAGCCACCAAGCGGTTCGAGAAGAGGTTTCAAGGTCGTAAAGTTCCGACTCACATCCAAGAACGCGACCATCCAGGGCTCGGACAAACATGGATGGTTACACTTTTGAACATGCCTGCCGACACGACCGATCAGCAATTGGGAGAGGTGCTCACAGGCGTGAGACCTAGATTGTACGAGCATGGAAAGCGAACATCAAAAATGACGGAAGCGGCTGCAAAGGCCTTCGTCGAAGGCTTGTTCGTGGACGACACACAGAATGGGTTCGGACATTCCAGCCTCATTACTAGCTCGACTGGCGCAAAATCGAAATTATTCATGAAACTCGAAAACCCGGCCCACGCAAGACATGCTCTCTCATGGTCGGGCAGGCACTACGACGAGCTAGGATCAAAGATCTACGTCGAGCAAATTGCCACGGTGAAGTTTCGAGTATTGCCCGAGATCTACGCAGTGTCAAAAAGTCATCTTGATGAGCTTCAACAACCAAAGGCCGAAGCTGGCGCAAATATGTCGACGTTTGCTCCCAACCAGCACGACCAACTGGTGGTGATCCATATTACTGGACCGCAAATTCGTGCCGTGGCGAAGATGAAGGGTCGAGTCGAGTCCATCCTCGCTGGTACTATAATACTGAGTGACGACAACAGCCACGCCTTGTGGGACGAATATTTTGCCAGCATAGAAGGCTTTGCTTTCCTTTGCAGCCTCTCGCGACCTGGAAAATCTTTTCTGTACAGGGACCTAAGGACAAGACGATTGTTCCTTCATGGTGATGACACTCTCCTCAACACTACTCGGCTTGCCGTTCTTAGTGAGATATGTCGTCGCAAGCAGTCCGTACACACTACCTTATTGGAAGGTGAACTGTGGTCAAAAGTTCTGCGTGGCGGCCTCAAACGTCTGACAGAGAGATACGGCAAAGGGAAAGTCAAGCTCCACCTCAGTTCAAATCAGCGAACTCTGATATTCTCTGGGAGTCCGGAAGAATTCAGAAGAGCGACAGAACTACTGGAAAATGTAGACCCTGAGACTGAGCCGAGGACACCGTCGCACTCAGATACTTCGAACGACAACAATGAGGAGTGTCCCGCCTGTCTCTCCGATGTCGAAGACGCCGTCGAGCTCACCTGTGGTCACAAATACTGCCGGGATTGTTTCGAGACCCAATGCAAAGAAGCCGACGGCCGCGAGGTCAAGATCGTCTGCTACGGCGCCGAGGGTAACTGTGGCCAGTCGGTCGATCTCGACACCCTTCGAACGATCCTGTCCCATGAAAAGTTCCAAGCCCTTTTGTCTACGTCCCTGGAATGTTACGTCCGCAGTCGCCCAGACCAAGTGACCTACTGTCCTACCCCGGACTGTCCGACCATCTACCGCGTCACGAGCGACCCTGGCGAGATCGTATGCGAAACCTGTCTGGCCCTGACGTGCACCAAATGCGGCAGCGTCGGCCACGACGGCATCACCTGCGGCTTGGCGCGAGACGAGGCGTACAAGGAGAGCAAGGAGTACCGGGAATTCCTCAAGATGAAAGAAATGCACAACATCAAGGACTGCCCGAAATGTACCACGCCAATCCAGAAGTGGTCCGGCTGCAACCACATGATCTGCGGCTCGTGCAAGACGCATCTCTGCTGGGTGTGTCTGCAGACGTTCGAGGATGGCATGGCTTGTTACCGGCATCTGACGGGTGTCCACGGCAGCATCGGTGACCATTTGATCCCACAGGAATTGTTGGATGATGGCTGGGTTTGATCAAAAATTGGACGTGGCAGCAGAACGGACATGAGCATGACAGGAAGTTCATGATACTCACAAAAGTCGTTGTACCCTTGTTGAGAGTTTCCCCCTTTTATCACACGCAGTCATAGTTTGCCTGCTTTTCTTTTCCTCCTCCCCGTTTCAAAAAGTCATTGTTGCTTCCACTTGATCGTCCCCTATCTAGTCAGACAGAAGAAGAAGAAGAAGAAGAAGAAGAAAAAAGAATAATAATGGAATCATCTTCAAATCAATATGACCCGAGACATCCGAGTAGAAAGATCAAGAAACAAAACAAGTAAAAAGTGTGTCGGGGTCGGAAGCTGGAACCTTGACGAATGAAAAGAGCATACATAATATATTCAAAATTAGTCTAAATGTACAATTCAAGATAGTATAAAAAATCTTCGTTCCCTCTACCGATCCAGCCCACTAGAGAGCATCATCGACTCATACATTTACCGGAATAATGAAACAAAAGTAAAAGAAGCACCCTCCAAGATTATTAAATCATGACAAGGCTCAGATTTGTTATTGACACAGTTATCGAGGGGTTGATCCTCATCGAGTACCAGACGCCTGCTCCTTTGAAAAAGGTAGGTCAGGCAAGATGTAGCACTCTAAGCAACAGAAATTACTTTGGCCCATTTCCTCGCTGCCAGACAAAACAGATCCAGCAAAGGTATCTAATCTTCTCTTTCCCTGTGATCGAAAAAAACTCCATTTTCCCTTTCAGCCATGGCTAGCTATTGTTCACAATTTTTCGCTGCCTCCTAAAACGAACGAATGTTCTTTCAATTTAAACAACCTCTTGTCGTCGCTTCGGAAAAAGAGTCGTTTCCGCTGACCGCGACTCAAAAACCCCGAGAAAATTATCTTCCTTTTCTGTTGCTGACTCGAGAGCCTAAGCAGTCTCTCGCGTTGCTTGCGCTTCGAGGGCGGAAACAATGCTTGAAAGACTGGAACGTTTGGCTGCTGATGTGTTTCTTTTTTTGTTTCAACCCGTGGACAACACACCTCTTGCCTCGCTTCGATTTTGATTAAGATCAAGAACGTTGCCGCAGATATCCTTTTTTCCCTTTGCCTTCCATGACTCTTGAAGAAGTACTAGCTTTGATGTCGAACTGGGACGCTTGCAATGCAGATAAAAAATACATTCTCACAAAGACGATTTGTTGTAACAGAACACTCTGTGTTGCAGAGCGATACTTAGGTTGGTGGGAGAATTGAAGTCGTGATGATCAACATTCTATTTTGTTTATGGGGTTGCCATGATTTTCTTAGTAGGATTCTGCGCTCCAATGGTTGGTGGTCGAGGAGTATTGAGAGGAGTATTGCTGGCCAACAATGGCGTTAGGGGTCGGGGTAGGAGGAGCGTATTGATTTGGGGCGCCAAAGGTCTTTTGTGTCACACCGAACATCTCGCCTTCAGGAGTGATGGGAGGGGTGTAAAGACCATGTTGAACGACCGAAGGAAATTGAGGCTTTTGCGGCGTGGCGTAGGTCTGGAAGTACTCGGTACCTGCAGGTTTGACATTGACTGAAGGTGGAGTGAGCTCGTAGGTTGGCGTCAGTGGTGCTCTGGTTGAAGCAGACATCGCAGCAGCCTTCTGTGTGAGGAAGTTTGACAGAACCCGCGAGACGCTATTGTAGCGGACAGAGGCGTACTTCCGAGTAAGAATAGATGAGGGCTCATGAACCATGTTCAGCAACTCCATGACAGTGGTGCTGCAGAAGTGGGATCCGAATTCATTACCACGGGCTTGAGGGCGGCCGAGGATATGTCGTGCAAGAGCCAATGCGGACAGCGAGAGGCTAGAAGATCGTTTCGACACGAACTCTCTGTGGTAGAGAGCGATCTCCAAAATGTAAAGGCACAAGCTTTCCACCTCAGGGTCATAGACATTATCCTTGACTGCCAAACGCATGAAAGAGTCAACGGTGGGATGACCGATGGCCCAGCCAAGCGTCGACAGAACATGCCATTCCATCTGCAAGAACATATCATCGTCATAGAGTGAGCAGCACATTGACTTCAGCTCCTTGATTGTGGGCACCTTCTCTTTCTTATCTCCATACTTTGCAGCAATGAGCAAAGCAGCACATCCAACCAGTTGATAGTGACGTTTGTAAACAACTCTTTTGGAGCAGTAGCGGTCAAGAAGGTTGATTGTGAGAAACAGGGTTTCGGGTAGGAGTTGGAAAGCGGAATGGGCTTCGACCAGGAAGTCAAGCAGGTATGGTCTCATAAACCATTGAATCTCTGTCTGGATGTCAATCGCATCCACGTCCGCCATGGTGTCGGCGTCCATCTTCAGCATATGCTCAAGCATATCATTTTGGTATTCATCTGAATCTCTTCTCGACAACTCTGAAGCGAGAAGCTGTTGTCGACGTCTTGCAACGTCCTTTGCATGGTCCATATTCTTGCTCATAGGTTGGGTAGGTTCGTCGAAGATCTCGACGATGCCACTCTCGTAGCCGCTATCGTTGGAGCCGAAGGAGGAAATTCTGTTGTAAGCCATGTTGGATGAAGTGCTAGATGGTGTTTGAAGGTGGGTATGTGAGGGGATATGGGACGAGGTCTTGCCAGCAGGTTGAACTTAGGACGACGGAGAAAAGTGAATGACAGTCGTATGTAAAATAATCCTCAAGGAGTGAATGACGGGAAGCAATCAGATGTTGCACGAGACTGGAGGTGGCCAGGAACCAGGTGAGATGCTCTTCTAGACCGAGGAGTATCTGGAACGTGCGCAGGCGTGTCAGTTACCCAATGGGAGAACGGTGAAGTGACATAACCAACCTGGAAAGGGAGAAAAATAGCACGACGATTCAAGAATCCTTGTTACTAGGGATCATCTAGTCAAGGATCGGAATGGCGGGAAGATTGAATGCTCGTGCGTCGAGGGCAACGTAGGTCGAATGAACGCCTCCGTTTGGATGAGTTTTGGCTGTGGTCAGGAATGTGGGCTAGGTCATCCACAAAAGGATGCCAGATTTCTGCGCACTGCAACGGATCGAGATCAGTTTGATTGTCAAGGAGACGATGAAGAAAAGCTCTGACCTTGACCTCAGAGACTTGAGGATTGTAGAGGAATTGTTTGACCCGACTTGTACTCGAGACGAGAGCTTGGTCCAAAAGAGGATATCTGCGTTCACATAGATCAGTAAATGTTGGTCCATGGTGCAATTAAACGCATATGATAAGCCGACAGGAATTCCATTAGGATCATGTCGAATAAACGATATGTGGTCCAGGCGAGCATCGTCTCCAGAATAAATTGGTCGTCGATATTTGGGGGCTCGAGCGTAATAGGGCCATCACTCCCTCGCAAGAATCACACACTGCACATCCTTTTCCTTAAGCAAGACGTAGTCATGAATGCAGGCAGCACCAGTCGCCCTCAATAACCGCTTGCTCCCTTGCCAGATACTTCAGAATCTAAGCTCGGCCTTTCGTCACTGACGTCTTTCTTTCCCAGCAGTATACAATCCACCTCCTGGCATGGTTGTCACTTGACTACTTTCCATCCCAGTCTGGTATGGATCAGGCACATCGAGAGGGGGTCGAGTCGATAGGGGTCGTGGTACCGAGGGAGGCAGAGATCAACGGTCTCGATTACTCGGATTGGTCGATAGGTATGTTGCAACGATGAGAGAACCAGGTAAGGTAAGTTGTATGCAGTCACTCGATTTGGGCCACACCCAGGGGAAGGTCGTGGGTGACCCAGGCTCTTTACTTCGCATGTGCACCTTTCTTTCCCTCCAGAATCATCAAATGCAAGAGACTGTTCTCACCTTTTCGAGCCTAGCTGGGGTATTTCGAGTGCTTCCGGTGACCTTTGCAGGAACGCTATCCAGAACGTCCAGTCAAACGAGTGCAGGTCGGCGAGAAGGGCAAGCTTTGAGTAGGTGACCTCGGGCAGTGCTCAGCAGGAATAGGTGAGAGGGATAGGAGAGGAGTCGTGGACAGTCGAGATACTCGAGAAGGATTTCGTGATATCTTTTCGTCCAACGACAGAGGAGAAGGGGAAGAGAGAGGATAAAAGGACGAGGTCAAGGCCTCATGAATAGCGGGTAAAGGACGACAGTGGAGGAGACGAAAGAACAGGAGATGGCACCGTCGAGATGAAGTGAAAGACGAGTGGAGAGTGGAGTGTGCGAGAGGTTGACAGGAGGAGTGAGCTCGCCGGCGGTGATTGGGCGCGGCAGGCAGCCCAGAAGCTTGCAGGGATGACAAGGATTTGCGGCGACGACGACGTGCAGCGCGCGCAGCCAGCCAGAAAATGACAGTAACGAGACAGCAGGCCGAGGCGAACCAGCCCGTACAATACACCGCAAACTCGGTGGTCATGTTGGTCAATGTGTATCAGGTCATCAAACCACGGGCCCTTCGAGGGTCCTTTTCGAGTCCATCTTCGCGACCTCTGCTGTGGCAGAAACTCATTTGCTCGGCTGTCTGATTGACCACAGCTCCTGCCAGGGAACTGCCAGGAGACCAGCTAGGGGACCAGCGCCCATCTACCAGGCCCTCTGGGAACCCATGGTACTCCCCGCACGGTTGTTTCCTAGGCACGCCTACCACGCCTACGGGACACCTAGAGGACTGTGCCCGCGGGCCTTCTAGACGACAGCCATGCTAAACCGCGAGCCTACAGAACCTTGACTACAGCGTATCACAAACAACCCCCTTTCGCTTCAGCAACCAACCCTCCAACCATCTGTCATCCATGCGATTGACCGACAGCACAATTTCCTCCTTTCCAGACATCTGGTCTTGGTCAAACTGTGTAGCACGCCCGACATCTCTGCTTCGACAGGCAAGCTCTATGTAGGTACCTAGGTATTTCCGCTGGTCATTTCCGTTTCGTTTCGTGTGTTTACCGGTATGATACAAGCACATGCGAGTTACAGCCGACAGTCTGTCTGATCAGCTTCCTCGTCCACCGTCTCGTACAGCACATCAGCACTGGTCGCGCGGCTGGGGGTCTGGAGAAAAGCGCGTCAGGTCGCGTCTATTGGCCCGGCTAGTGGACAGACTTCTTGTTTTCTTGCAGGCCTAATGCAAGCCTACATTGTGCCAGTCGCTCGGGGCCAAACCTGGCCACGAATGTCATTGCAAGCTTAGAAACACCATTGACAACTGCCCCCTGCCAATTGACGTGAGATGCGCTTGCTCACTGTCAGCGGCACGGCCTCGCCTTGGCCTACTTGGTTAGTTACGAGCTGACCGGAATTCATCTCGACAGTGTGATGCAGATATCTGGTGGTGTTCAACAGAGACGCCTGGGACCTGCAATACTGTTGCCCTTCGTACTCCCACTCCTTCTCTGCTGTGTTGCATGACGCTTCCGAAGTTTCATGAATCGTGCAACTTTGAAGCTGCAGGGATTGGCCCTGTCCAGCACGGGTCAGCAACCCCTGCTCGCGTGCTGTTGTTGCTGAGATCCAGAGATCTGCTCTATTCCAGTAACAGGTACGGAGCTCCTCCGAATTTCAGCCTCTCGGTCAATGGTCTCAACCTTCCAAGCGAACTTCTAGCAACAGCCGCCAATGGACAATAGATGCAGGCTGTCGGTGGCGTCCAAGCGGGACTTCATCGCCGCTGTCAATCTCCAAGCCAGCCTTACTGCTAACTGAAAATGTCGGACTACCAGCACTTTCTCATCTCTGGCATCCAAATCGGCGACCTGGATTTGATATTGACCATGCACATCCTGGTCGATGAATTTCAATATGGCAGCAAGCTCAACACTACGGAAGGCGTAAGATGATAGATTTCCTGTCTCCCCATCCGTAGCTCACGACATACTCTGCCCTTGTGTCCCTGACCGTTACCACTGATCAAATGTCACTCCCGGTAACCCGCCTTGGTTTCTTGAGCGGGCTCCAGACTCCAAACACTGCCGCTGGGAGTCGGTACTACTCGACGTGCATGAAACTGCCTGACCGTTACTCTTCGAGACCGCGAGCCAATCCACTGCCTGACATCACTGCGGATGAGGCTAGGACGACGCCGGCTCTGCGAAACCACAGAATACATGCATATCCCCAGTGACGATTTATCATTCAAACAAAAAAGTCTCAGCGTGAGGATAAAATTTTTTTCTCAACATCATGCAATGTATACATAGATCCACGCTGGCCGCAGCACGCAGCACGCAGCACACGCGAGCGAACCACACACAACACGAAAAGAAATTTTCTGGTTGCAAGCGAAACGCATGACGGAGATGAGATTGAGACAACCGAGCCTCCGATGCACCTGTACCAATGTAGCACCCGGTAACGACGTCATGCAGCCTTTTTTGCTGTCGAATTTGTTGTGTCTACAGATGTTGTAGCAGTGTTATGGGACGTAGTCGTGTTGTTTATCCCATAATCTGCTGCTTGCCGTGTGATCGGCCGAAAAAATCAGCTTCAGCAGTTGTATTTCTGTCATGTAGTACGTATATAACAACATAGTAGCCTCGACCAGGCCGAGAAGCTTCAAGGACAAACTCGAGCCTGTGTCTGGCTGCGTGCTGGAATCATGGTAGTCACATTCCGACGCTACCAGGTCAAGCTCACCCCTAGTAGCAGAAACACGGGACCTCCGGCCTGTGAGGCCAAAACAGAAATCTAAGTCCAGATCCGCATAGGAGGTCCCAGGATGGTCCGAGGACTGGCTCCCAAAAGGCAGGAGTCCACAGACTAGAAGACGCGCCGAAATCCATGACACGCGCCTCTTTCCAGATTGGAATCAAATTTGGCCAAAGTGATTGCAGCTGACGCGTGTGGGATTGTTTAGCTCGAATCCGCTCCGGACGGGCATACAAGACCATCATTTTAGTGATGATTGAGGAGTGTGGTTGGCGACCGAAGACGCAGCAAGAGACAATCCACGTCTCGTGCTGTCAGTCTTGCTTTCAGTATGCCCGATGTCATCTTTCACACCACCAGACCCCTGGTGCTTGTCGTCACTGGTGGTCATTCAGGGCCTCATGCTGAAACGTTCAGACATGACCCCTGACAGCTCGAGGACCCTTCTTCGAGATCCGACCCTGGCCATGCAGAGAAGGTCAATGTTCAAGCTTCCATGGCCAAGCAGAATCCGACAGCCTTTCAAAATTCGCCTCCCCCAATAGTACGCTGATCTTGCACGGCAACGAGATTGCGGAGAAATGCCACCAGACGCCTCTTCTACTTGAGGAATCTAGGTCTTTTCGTCCTGCCTCTTTCTCCTGTTGATCGTGCGATAGGGATGGTCTGGAGCACCTTCACCAGATGCCGGTCCACTCGAATTTCCTCCAACATCTGTCAATCCAACCAAGCCTGTCGCCATGCAGGATAGTTTCCCCTTGTTACGGTCCTTGGGACGATGTCCTATCGGCACTTTTCTGTGTGGTCTTGTGCCATTGAATGCACGATAACGTGGTCGATGACCATTCTTGGACTTTGAGGTCCGACGCTAACGAGACTGCTTGATCTCAGAAGAAACATGGGAATGCTAATTTCTAGCCACCGTCTGCAGAAAGGCTGGCTGAACAGCTTTCATTCTATCGTTGACAACTCATTAGTGCCTGGAACCACACTTTCAGACATATCGGCTACGAGCATGGTATACCAAAGACACCCGCATACGTACGTGGTTGTTTAACATGCGAATAAGACTTTTTGCAGGCTGATCATGAACTCATTATCATCGCCACTGGTTGCTTTCTGCCCCAAAGTTTGCAGGCTTCCGTCCGTTTGTATGAGCACTCGCGGAGCCGCATAGCCAGATGTTGAAACCCCAGTCCAATTGAGCCTTTCTACCGCTCTTTCCGTCTCTGTGCGAACAAGAAGCAGAATTAATTTTCTTCCTCACTGTTAGTTTTGGTCAATTGACACAAACACAGAAGGAGACCGAATCTAACAGGCACGCACAGGTCATCACGGCCTCAACCACCCACGTAAAGGTCATTTCCGATGGCGTTGATCCGTCAGGCTGCACGAGGACAACGGCAGATGCAAAACCACCGATCTCACCCGCCAGGCACTATAACATACAATTGTTTCATACCAACCTCATGCACAGATCAGAGATCGTCATAACACTTGTTACTGTGACGAAGCCATCTGTCTATGCAATGTCCTCCATAGGGGCTTCATCCTTCATCTGCAAAAGCCAAGCCGGCGATGTCTGTATCTCATTTGAAAGTGACTAGTATAGCGCCGACAACAATGCCGCTCTCAAAGTCCATGCTCAGAGCCATCGTTCAGTGCCTCACTAGAATTTCACGTCGTACTCAGCTCCAACTTGTGCGGCGAAAACCCACTACGCAGGAATGGCAACTGTTATCTTGGAAACTAGTATGGTAAGATTGTTCTCTCAACATCTGGGCGAGATTGGCATCAACATGCTAGTCAAACAACAAACTGCCATCTGATTTGGATCACACGGAACTTGGTCTTGAACAGCTGGCTTAGAAGTTTGCCAAGGTATAGTTCAAGAGTGCCATTCAGGCGGAACTCTGGAATGATGCTTTCCAGGAAGTAGTATCCCTTCTTACAACTGTTTGTATTCCCATCCAGCGCGTGCAATGTGGCTACCAATCTGCACCTTCCTCCCACGATGTGCTTCTACTTGTCAGGTTTTTCGCTATGGGGATTTTGATTGTTCTCCTTCAGCTATCCTTGGTCATGAATCGAAGAATTTCATTATTGGAAGCATGCGCATGCACCGCTTGTCTTGGACCAACATGAACCAAACACTGACGTTTTCAATACTCAATGCTGAAGGCTTGGAATATCGTCAGGTACACTATACATACTCTACTACGGTCTTTCCCAAGCGGATGCCTGAAGTGAAGTAAGTCTGCCTCCTGTCACGCTATACGTCCTGCTCTGCGTTTGACCAAGATGCAATCCCCTGAGGAAACCGCCCAACGAAAAGATCGCCCTGCAGAGGTAAGAATATACTTTATGCGAGATCGTCTCTGCACGATCCCCGGGGGTTTAGGGCCGGTGAAAGGGTACGGAGTGAATCTTGTTTCAAATCACACAAAGGTCCGGCGTGCATAGTGCATACGCTGTCCCCGACCTTTCCCTTGATGACCTTGGTACACTCTATATTTACCTGCCTAGGCGGGTAAGCCTATGGTACTCGGACTCCTTCATATAACGGACCATGAGGCTGGGAAACTTTCCTTACGGAGGTATCTACCTAACTTAGTTGCGATGCGAGATCCCTGCTGCCAACCCCGTATCCAGACTCGTATCGACGCATGTGAAGCTTTTCCTGACATTTCTTCCTGTGCAGCTGCAAAAAGGTTTTCTTTTTGTTTTAAATCTCCGTTGACAGGCCTGCAGTGCATTGCATCTGCTTTTGCATGCGGAGGTATCTATTTAGGGAGTTGTCAACAAACGAAGTACGACTAAGTTTGGATTGAGGGAATTTTTTTTTTCAACGGCCCTGGTAAGGACATGGCCCGCGACATGCAACACGCCGCAAACTGAAGCGAGACCAGGCCTATACATAGATTTTGATTTCTCTCGAAAGAAGCCGCAACTTTTGTGTGTACAGAGGGTACGGAGGATAATAATATCATTGAGTTTTGGACTCTGATTCGATTTTATACAGTATTTGTTTGTGAGGTATGCGTAAAACATATGCCGTCAAAAATGATTCGAGCGTCTGCTCCAAAGTGCAACCAACCTGCAAGGCAGAAAAGTTCCTTGACTATAGAGACGTAACGAAGACTACAATAAATTTTGGGAAACCAGACATATTTCAAACTTATCCTCTACGTCTTCCACTGCTGCTGCCTGGTCTCGGCGAGGTCGATGGGGAAGAATTCTTGACGTTACGGGCGTTTGTTTTCAAAGCCTCCTCGGTGGCCAACGCCGCCTTTGTCCCCTTTTGTCCGACACCCTGTAACTTTTTGGGCGTGTTGGAGTTTGTGGCGTTGGTGGTGGTGGTGTCGACTTCTTTACCGTGACCGGCCGTGGTCGGACTGTTCCAGTAGTACAAGACCTGGGCGGCGAGGATGGCGTTGAGGGCGAACCCGGCGACGAACCCGTAGAGGATGAGTTTGTCGTCCACCTCCTGCAGGGTGGTGTAGATGCGACTCAGGCTGCCAAAGAGGTAGTTGAAGACGGCAAAGGCCGACAACTGACCGGTCCCGCCCTGTTGCCAGATGGTGAGGATCTGGGGGAGTTTGCTGGCGATGCTCAAACCTCCCGCTCCGGCCTGGAGGTTCGTCATCTGCGCGTCGCTGACCAACGTGTCCGAGACCATGAGGGCGTAGACGGCGCTCCCCACCGCCACCAAGAATGCACCCGCCTGCGCCGTCCTTTTAGAGTAGACCAAAATCAAGACGCTAATGACCACGTCTTGGACCGCGATCAGGCTCGTCTCGCCGTAGGTGCTGAAGGGGAACCCGTTGCGCATGTTGTAGGCCAGGGTGATGACGAAACTCGCCGTCTCCAGCAAGTAACTCGTAAACGACAGTCCCTCGGAAGACTGCGACCTGACCAACTTGATGATCTGGGGGACCTTCACGATCGAGGCCGCGGCGATGATGCCGATCCCCAGAGCCTTGGAGATGGCGAGAGACACACATTCCGGGTGAGAGGTGACGTCGAGGTCGAGCAACAACGCGCTGTGGCAGGCTTCGCCCAGGAGGTTGAGCGCGAGGTCGTTGACGGGCGCCGGGAGGCTCGACGTGACGGGGACCAGGTACGGTTTGAGGGGGTCGAGGACGAGGTGTTGTACTTGGTCCATCGTGAACGGTGTGCGGGAGGTGGTTTGTGTGAGTGTGCGTGTGTGTGTGTGTGTGTGAGAGAGAGAGGGGGGGGGGAGTGCAGGTCGGGAGACAAATGGTGACAGAGATGGCGACGGGATTTCTGAACGATACAGTACACAGTATTCTCTTGTTGTTGTTAACTACGAGTCCGGAGGACCTGACACTCCATAATTGCCATTTGTGGTTTTGGGTGGCCGCTTTAACCCGAGTGTTTAACTGAGTGCTCCCCAAGCAACATGCCTAATCTGGCCCGATGCGAGTTGTGGTCCAGGCGCCACGACACTATTACAGTAGTAACAACCTACAGAAAGACTACAGTATACAAACCATGGCGAAGTGAACACACTGTTTGAAACTGCCCGTCGGGATAGTTCGCAGACAACATCTCGGAGACGGATTCTCTAGCGCTGTTTATCTTCAGTGTCACTATGGATAAACTTGTACCCCGTGTATGCGCCCAGGCGCATCTGCTCACTCGTAGGAGATGTGGTCTGGCCTTGCGCCACGAGCTACCCATTGCCATTACCCATACCAGTCCTACCCTCAATATAGGTACTTGGATACCGTGTCTTCATTCCTTCTTCCTTCAATGCTCGTCTTCCTCATCATCACGTACAGTGACGTATCCACCCTTTCCATCAGTTGCGTTGAGCTCATCCAAGAGAGTCTTCATTTCACGCTCAAATGCTTCACCATCGGTGCATTCCCCGGCCGATTCAAGGTCAATGATCGTAACGGTCTTTGGTCCCCCATCAGCAGCTTCACGCACGAGAAAATTGTGCCTATTCACATCGCCATGTAACAGACCCAGAAGATGGAACTTCTTCAGTGCGTTGCAGCATTCATCCAAATCGTCTGGATCCGCGCGTCTCGCATCTTTGATGTACTCGATCACGAGCCACATGGGTCTTCCCCCTTCTGTCAGATGGCCCAGGAATTGTGGTGCGATCCCGACGCCTTTTTGCTTGTCCAGACGCTCGTAGATTTTCGTTTCACTCTCGAAATACTGCATTTCCCAGGGGAACCTGGCGAATTTGATGAGAACCTCTTGTCCCGCTCTCATGCCCGCGACGTCCTTTTTAAGGTGCACCACCCAAATGTTGCTGCGAATCCGCTCCGAATGCTCGAGGTCGAGCCAGTCTATCTGCACCGGGCTCCATATGCTGACGATGGTCGGAAGCTCGACTTTGGCGTACCGAGAGAAGTATGGTGTCCCTTGCTCCGGATGGTTGGCGATATGGCCCTCGTTCCAATCTCCTTCGGGTAACGGTGGTAGCTGTGGGATGATCATGCGGTCCCATGTCATGTCTTCTGGATCATAGACACCGGCGTCGATTGTGACGTATTTGAATGATGTGTCATCGACCAAGATCCGGTAATAGCTTATATTCTTGGGATCGACTTCAACATTGAGGATTTGGATTCTTTCGCAGGGACTGCCCATGAGGCTAGATTTGTTCGCGTTGTGTCTTGACAGAATCACCGGATAATTGGAAGCCACCGTCGAAAGCGGTGAAGACAAGACGAGTATTGGCAGCTCGGAGAAGAAAACACTGTGTTGCAATCCCTTTGTTCTAGCGACCCTTGCTGGACAGAGTCTTACCTTCAACTTCTTTATGGAATGTACACTGGCGCAAGTGCCAGAACATTGGAGTGAACCTGTCAAAAGTACCTTGCTTTGACAGATTCCTACACCGGATTGAAATAGATCACGAGGGTGTCACTGAGTACTGCTTGCCCAATGAATTAACCATGCAATGACACTTCACAACACGAGGTGGCTCTGGACCTGCCAACAGCATCCCCTCTAAATATATACTACATGGGAGAACCCTGCTCTGAACGTCCGCTCCTACAAAACCTGCACTGCTCAGTCGCCAACGACTGGATGTCCTTTTAGAGCCCAGCCACTACCGTTGGTTTGTTGCTATTTCTGAATTGTCAGGAGATGCTGGGAGCCTCAGAATGCCTTGTGGTTTCGCCTTTCGTATCCTGTTCTGACCGACATCTATGGCCGCAGACTGCCTCTGTGTAGGTGTCGTCGATAGTCAGAAAATGTCGAACTATAATGAATCATATCATATCCTCGACGGTTGGTCTGCTGTAATGACGCGCAGGACCGAATATCCAGGTAAAGGAGAACCATGTGGAGGATTTCGAGTGGGAGAGCGTCAAGCTCCCCAAGGTCAAATTCTGCTCTCTTTCGAGGACGGTGTGTAGAGAGGGGACAGGCCCTTTCCAAGTCTTGATCGCTGAGGGTCAAGGCTCGCACCGACGGCATGGGACGCCAAATGGCTTTCAACGCTGCCTTGCTTAGACCGGCTTCATCTCCGTCTCCTCGGTCCATGAGCAATGCTCAGGACATACAAGCGGACGCAGAGCAAGAACGAGTCTCAGAACCAGACCGCAGGCGAGGCCGAGGATGGCGAATACGATGATGTTCACGGTGATGTTGACGGTGATGTTGATAATATGGTGTACCGCGTCTCGACGGACGGCGCGTCTAAAGCCACTAAGCCTTGCTAAGAACTAGCTCCATTATTGGAAGGTGCGCCGACTTCACTTCACATCCATGTTCCGTCTCTTCTCATCTGTACTTCGCCATTTGCTAGCTTGGTTCAAATGTTGAGGGGAACGATTGTCGGCTATATTCGAGGGCAGAATAGGGGCAGGGACGGCAGGCTTCTCAATACACACAACTTCGTGCCCAAAGATGAACATGCAGAGTCACGTGACGTGGAAAGGGGTACTCAGCCTCGAATACCTATACCGTAGGCGAACCAGGCATAAGTCCAATAAATTTGCTATCCACAATCGGTTCTACGCTTGATATTGAGATATGACTTTATTATTACGAGTTAAACTAGTGCTATATACAGAGTATGGCTACCCCTTTATTGATACTAGTGGAGAGTGTTTAGCCTCCACACTGTCATTAATAGCCAGGTGATATGTCGCCAATTGCTCCGCGGTCAGAAGTGATGGAGACTTGACGAACTTGTCTTCACCATCAGCGAACTTCGGAAAAGCAATCACATCCCGGACACTTGCTCGGCCGGTCAACATAGCCATAAGTCTGTCGAAACCGAGCGCGAATCCTGCGTGAGGAGGACAGCCGCACTTGAGGGCATTAAGTAGATGCCTAAAGTCCTCAAGTCGCTCAGCACGTAGTTTGAGAACATCTTTGAGAACGAGCTCCTGCATGTCTGCAACGTGAATACGTCGTGAGCCGCCACCAATTTCAACCCCATTGATGACCAGATCATAATGGTCTCCAATGATTTGGAGGGGGTTTGTGATCAAGAGTGACAGATCTTGATCCTTTTTCGGAGCAGTGAAGGGGTGATGAGTAGAGCAAAGTCCGGCGAGACCACCCTGGCCTGGTTCAGTCTCTTCAGTAGGCGAGAACAAGGGGAAGTCGACGACCCAGAGACCAGCGAAGCCGATTGGTGCAGAAATTAATCCTTCAGAGATTGCACTTTGTAGGACATCTCGTCGCAGGTTTCCCAGGACCGTCCAGCCGCCTGCGAACGAAGCTCTGGCGCGGGTTTGTATGATGAAAATATCTCCCGGTTCAGGCTCGAAAGTCTCCTCTACACGTGCAGCTGCCTCGTGACCGAAGCTGGCTAGTCCTCTCAGTGGCTTGGAAGGGTCATATATTGAAATTCCAGGCATACCGGCAGGATTGCTCGAGTAAACCGCCGAGGCTGGTGCGTCCAGAAAAGATCTGATAAAGCGGGTGCTCGTGGATGGATCGGCTCCTTGCATTTTGATCTTCAACATCTCGACGATCGGGTCTTGTAGCGATGTCAACATGCCTATGACATTCTCTGGCAACCATTCATCAATTCGATGTATTTCACTCCCTAGCCGCGTATCAGGCTTGTCTGATCCATATCGAGTCATGACATCTGCGTAGGAGAGCCTGGGAAATCTTGAGGGATCCGCGTGTGACGAATTCCCAGTGGAGACTGCATTTTCTATTGGCTGAACATCAGGCACATTAGGCCACACAAAATTGCGTACGATGTCTTCAACAACAGCCATCACTTCTTCAGCACCTGCAAAAGACATTTCCAGATCGAGCTGACATGTCATGTTAGCATTTGATGACCATTGGCTGTAATTTCACATACCTGCGTAAATTCGGGTTGTCTGTCTGCCCGGAGATCTTCGTCTCGAAAGCACTTTGCGAATTGGAAATACCGAGAGATCCCGGAGGCCATGAGCACCTGCTTGTATTGTTGAGGGCTCTGGGGAAGGGCATAGGCTAGACCCTTCCTTCTCGTGGGTACAATAAATTCTCTCGCCCCTTCCGGAGTAGACTTGAACAACAGTGGGGTTTCAATTTCGTCAAAGTCATTCTTCAGCATGCCCTCTCGAATTTTGGACGCAACCTTGCTGCGAAGACGTATCCGACTGCGGAGTCCGTTATCGGTCCTGAATTGGAGATGGCGTAACTCTGGTGGAAACGCCGTATCACATTTGGCAACGAGGTCCGCAGGAAATGTATTCAACGGTGATATTGATTCTGCCTGGATTTCGACCTGTGGAAGAAGGCCGATATGTCCCACAAAAGGGTCTAATTTTTCGAGAACTCTGTTTTCCTGGTCATCCAAGTTTTGTATGCGATCTGCTTGTCCTTTATTCTTGGGAGGCGCCGCTCGAGCCACGACAGAGCCGGTTATCTGAACTGGCGTGTGGCCTCTAATCTCTGTCGAAAAGACCTGGGACTCGACTTCGGCCTTTGAAAGCCCATGAGTCTGTCCTGACATAGGCCTTCTCAGCGTCTCCTTCGAGCAAATGACCTGGACAGCCTGGTCTAGGCGCGGGTTGACTAGCTGTAGGAACTCGAACTTCCCAGCTGATCTTTGTGAAGTGATGTAACCACATATTGTGACGATCCTGGACTCCCTCTTGCTAGCATCCAGCTCGATGGACGCAAGGCTGTCCCACGTGCTTATATGAGAGTCGTTGAGACCTATCGAGTCAGCCGTCACCCTGTAGAAAATGGTGGGCATCCTCACCACTCCGCTCGAATTGTTTCAAGCAAGAAGACTGTTTTTCTGACAGTACAGACCATCTCTGAGAGTTGCATCTTGTAGCGTCATGTCGCGCAGCCTCCAGATCCTTGTTGGACCTGGCTGCACTTGGTGCTACAGTAGAACTAGAGCGACGAACGCAGAGGGAAGCGCATTTTGGTCCATGGCCCAGTTGGTTCAGTTTCTGTTGCGCGCGTACATATTTTGATATCTCAATGTAGCTGTCGCGTAGTTGACGGACTCTGGCCGGTCTATTGACCAGCATGTTGATCTCTGTAGCTCAGAATACTGTAGCTGTGGCCGGCTTCGTGATAATGCTCGATGATCCTGCGCGAACATTTTTTGGAGAAGGCGCAGTCGGCGTTTGTGGTTGCGAAACTCCGACGTGTCTGTCCCTCCGCACAAAATCTCTTTTCGCAATTCTCATTCTTTATTTCCTTTTCTTCATCCCCCCAAGTTTTGAACATGTGAGTCGGTCTTGTTTCCACGATACCTACTTGCATTTTACTGACATTTTTACAGATGATGAAAGCCTAGTGTGTGACTTATGATATCTTTCTGCCTTGAAACCAGCAAGCTCTCTCTTCGGAGCCTAAGTGGCTTGCTGGCAGAGAGTTCGTGAAAGCATGATATCTGCGTTCGGCACAACCTTTCTTGTTACATTTAACGAACGCGAAGAAGGCATCTCTGAACAAAAAACTTGGAGGGGATTGTGGTTTTTCTTGATTTGATGATCTGGCGATGGCCCATGATTTGTGATGGATTTATATTGCCGATCTGATGAAGATTTTATTTTTGAGATACAGTTGGAACAGATTCGTAGGCTTCCATGAAAGATGTCCAGGCTGCGAGCGCTGCCTTGAACTGCGACGTCGGTGCTCCGAAAGCAATGCGGATAAAACCTCGATAGCTCTTGGAGTTACCGAAGGTAGTACTTGCTGGGCAGAGGAATATACCCGCCTCTTTCAGGAGCGCCGCGCAGAAGGCGACGTCGTCAACAGGCTTGCCCATCTTGTGGAACTTGAGCATAGCAGTTGTTCCAGCCTGCGGCTTTACCCACGAAACCGACCAGCTGTGTTCTTCAATGAACCCTTGAAGAAGTTCCAGATTTGTTTGGCATAGTCTGATATTTCTGCCTAACAGCGCATGAATGCATCTATCACTCAAAGCTTCAGCCGCAACTAATTCATCTAGCCGGGAGGGAGCTGAGGCGATCCGTATCTGTGTCGGCTGGCATGCTTCGAGGATTTCTTTGTCCTTGCAAGCTATCCACCCTGCTTTGGTTCCCGGCAGGCTGTAAGCGTGATTTATTGTACCTGTGACGATGACCTTTCTATATCCCATGTTGATTGCTGAGGGCGGGAAGTCTTCATCGGATGGTGATAATGAATGGAAGAGAGGTCTGTAACTTTCATCCGCTAATATGATGATATCCTTTTCCTGAGCCACTTCAATCAGAGCCTCTAGTTTTGATTTCGACACCACCGTACCCGTTGGATCACAAGGACTCTGGATCACAATCAATTTTGTATTTTCCTTGATGACATCCTTAAGATCCTGGACATCAAGCTGCCACTTCTTAGCTGGTTCGGCTTCCCATAGGGCCACCTCTATGTCGAGCGACTCGAGGGCTCCGAAGAGCACATTGTCGATGGGATGCTGACAAATAGCATGATCACCCTTTGAGAGAAGAGCAGACAACACGGCATAGTTCGCAGAAGCAGCTGCATTAGTTATCCTGATATTCTCATGAGTAACCCCAGCGGAGCGAGCAGAATACAACGATGCCAGATTCTTGCGTAGTTGAGCGTGTCCCAAGGGTGATTCATCGTCATTCAGCCTGACATCGTCAAGTGCCAGCTGTTGCTTTGAACCAGTTCTGTCTTCTGAGACCTCGAACAATTCTGCGACTGAAATCGGGCTAACGCTGGGCGAGAAAAGGTCATATTTTGCAGAGTCATGCTGCCACCGATTCCACTGAGGTTTGTCAGTCTCGAGACACTGGATAATTCTGACACTCTTGGCACAGTCTACGTTACCTCAGGTGGCATTGACGAGGATGAATCAGCCATTGTGCAGATTTTCAACAAGCAGAAGAAGGTATGGGAACTGAAGAGCTGGTCTCGATCTCGCATGACTTTGGCATGGGAATTTGAAACTGCTTATGCCGCGGTTGTGCGGAGCCTTTGGCCCCTCTACTCGTATGAGCCAGACGACATGATGCGGCGAAAAGGACGGAAGACGGAAGAGGGAGGAGCCCCATGTCGATGGGACGGGGGTGTTCGTATCTCGTGTTTGTGCCATGGTGCATACGGAATAGGTACCTGATTGTACTAAGGCGCCTGCGAATGGCTGTCATCGCACCAATTGGGGAGCTCCCAGACATTCTTTTAGGCTGCTCGGTAGAATCCCCGCCTGGTTGCCGTCTCAGCCACTTATCGCAAGCTACAGTTGTGCCTGCCGAGTTCCAGAGTCGTTGCAACATCGACTTCAGCATTATCCGTGTCTCTAACTGTTCTCGTCTGGATGGCCTGACTGCTTGCACTCCTCGTTCCTCTTTCCTCTCTGCATCGGTGTCACATCTTCGCCGTTCAACATAACCTCGATCATTGTCGCCCAAGTCCATACCATCTTCATTCCTTACCTCTATTTACCCAGTGCTTGCTGGCAAGCTCCGAGCGACAGGCACCAGCCACACCTCTAAAGTACTTGTTGCCAGCCCGAAGTCGCCGAAGCCTTCCTCATGCTCCTTCATGGCGTTTCGCCGGTCCTATTCCTCCTAGGTCCGGTGTTGTTGGCTTCGGCCTACAGTAATGACACCTCCTCGGCCTTGATGCAGGATCCATTCTACCAACTTGCTCCAGACGGTTGCCCTCCTTGTCCTAGATGTTTCGATTGCCACTACGATGAGTTCAAGTGCCTACAGTTTGCGAACTGCGGTAATGTCAATGGAAAATGTGTATGTCCGCCTGGCTTTGGAGGGGATGACTGCGCAGAGCCACTGTGTGGATCTTTGGCAGACGGCAAAAACAGATCACCACGGAAAGGAGACAAATGCGAATGCAGGGATGGCTGGGAGGGTATCAATTGTAACGTCTGCGCCTCCGACAATGCATGCAATGCAATGATGCCCTTGGGTGAAGGTGGCGTTTGCTATAAACAGGGTTTGGTCGTCCACGAGAACTACCAGATTTGTAACGTCAGCAACAAAGCTATCCTGGACCAGATCCATCCCAGGATTCCAGAGGTCACCTTCTCATGCAATGCCGATCAAGAGACCTGCAATTTCCAATTCTGGGTTGACCATAAGGAATCCTTCTACTGCGCCCTGGACACCTGTAGTTGGGAGGCCCACGATACAAACGTTCGCAACACGACCAAATATACCTGCGAGAACATCAAATGTTCTTGCATTCCAGATCGCTTCCTGTGCGGCGAAGATGGATCGGTCAATATCGATGAGTTCTTGGAGCAGGAGATCAAAGGCCCTGCCTCCTTCTTTACCCAGCATACATATGGCGGAAGCTCCAAGGACGGGAGTCGATTCGAAGAGCCGGCCATGAACAACCTGATCTCTATGATCTTCGGTGACGAGTACATCTCGCTGAAATGTCGTGGCGGCGAATGCTTGTATGAGACCGAAGTTCCGGGCTACGTTCGACCCATCAAAGAGATCAATACACCACTCATTGCTGGTGTCATCGCTGGTTGTGCCCTTCTTGTCTTGGCTATCACCTTGATCTCGTGGTATCTTTCTCGAAGGGCTGCCTACAAAAGATGGGGCGCCATTCGCCTCGGAGATGATGCAGATGATAATGCTGCAAAGTCAATGGTCAACCACATCCCGATGGCGCTGCAATTCGAGAATGTCGCCTACAATCTGAAGGGCAAGGAGATTCTTTCTGGTATATCGGGTATTGCACGGCCGGGGCAGATCACTGCCATCATGGGTGCCTCGGGAGCTGGCAAATCGACCTTCCTGGACATCCTTGCTCGCAAGAACAAACGAGGACTTGTCGGCGGCAATATGTATGTCAACGGTGAAAAGATCCTCGATGGTGAATATCGCAATGTCATTGGCTACGTTGATCAAGAAGATACTCTTCTGCCGACTCTAACGGTCCACGAGACCATCCTAACGAGCGCCCTCTTGAGACTCCCAGCGGATATGGGAATCAACATCAAGGAACAACGCGTCATCGAGGTGATGCAGCAGCTGGGCATTTATCACATCAAGGATCAAATAATCGGTTCAGAAGAAGGTAACGGGCGAGGAATCTCTGGTGGCGAGAAACGGAGAGTTGGAATTGCTTGCGAGCTGGTCACGAGCCCGAGTATCCTCTTTCTCGACGAACCAACGAGTGGCCTCGATGCCTTCAATGCGTTCAACGTGGTCGAATGTCTTGTCACGTTGGCGAAAACGTACAATCGTACTGTCATATTCACCATCCACCAACCTCGTTCGAACATTGTTGCTCTCTTTGACCAGCTTATTCTGCTCGCAAAGGGTAGGACGGTGTATTCTGGTCCATTCTGCAGCTGTCAAGCGTATTTTGACCACATTGGCTATTCTTGCCCTCCTGGCTTCAACATCGCCGACTATCTTGTTGATCTGACAATGCACGCCAGCATACCGCGCTCACCTATCTTCGAAGATGTTCCAAGAGAATTCCTCGAGCGCGACGGCATAGGTACTGAGTCGAGCAGCACCCGAGCTGTCAAGTCAATTGCAAGTTTCTCCAATGTTAGCACAGAAAGTCCTCAGGACCCTCCGCCGCAAAGAATAAAAACAAAGAGGCGCATCTCTCTGAAACAGAAACAAGACCGACAGCTGTTCACTCGCAAGAGAACGGGAGATGACACTCCACCAACCCCCAAAACCGACGACGAAGACAATGTCTTCAGTCGAGCAACCGGTAGTGTGCGAAGCTGGCTGCCTTTGTCCAAGAGAGATGGCTCCAACCCACCTCAGATCATGGAGGATCCTGACGATCTCCCACCAGATGCAAGCACGGATCTCGATATTCTCGTATCGAGCTTCAAGGATTCAAGTGTTGCGGAGACCACTCATGACGAGATTGCCGCTTCGATCCACGCAGCTTCGTCTGCCAATGGTCATACGAACGAAAATGGTGTGGATGAGCCTGTGACTGGGTCCATTAAAGGGTTCCGACGCGTCAGTCTACCACGGCAATTTCTTATTCTCTCCAGACGTACATGGCGAAATCTTTACCGTAATCCTATTCTGATGCTGACACATTATGCTGTGGCAATCCTGCTCGCCGTCTTATCTGGATGGCTTTTTTACGGAGTCAGTGATGATATTGGCGGCTTCCAGAACCGATTAGGTCTTTTTTTCTTCCTGCTCGCTCTTTTCGGCTTCAGCACCCTTACAAGCTTGAACGTGTTCAGCTCCGAGCGATTGATTTTCGTCCGGGAACGGGCCAATGGCTACTACTCTCCGATCACCTACTTCGCAGCCAAGGTCATCTTTGATATCATACCCCTGAGGCTGATCCCTCCTATCATCATGGGTGTCATCATCTATCCAATGTCTGGTCTTTTACCAAAATGGGGGACTTTTTTCATCTTTATTTTGATCCTGGTGCTCTTCAACCTCGCAGCAGCTGCGATATGTCTCACGATTGGCATCGTCTTCAAGGATCCCGCCGTGGCAAATCTGATTGGTAGCTTGGTGATGCTCTTCAGCTTGCTATTTGCAGGTCTGTTGCTCAATCTCAACCATGATTCTACTCAGTTGGCGACGCAATGGTTGCAAAATGTAAGTCGTCTTTCTAGTTTTCTGCCTTGAAGTGCTCATACTAATTTCATCTACAGCTATCAATCTTCCACTATGGTTACGAAGCGCTGATCGTAAATGAAGTTGCCAAATTACGACTTAAAGATCATCGATACGGTCTTGACATCGAAGTACCTGGAGCCAGCATTCTCAGTGCCTTTGGTTTCGACAACCTTGCCTTGTGGAACGATGTGATTGGACTGGCAATATTTGCCAGTGTCTTCATTGTCATTGCTTACGGGGCTATGCATTTCTTGCTCGTGGAGAAGAGGTAGACTGGCATTCTTGGATTTGATCTTGGAATGCATGATTAGGTTTATATACAAGTGCATAAACATGTTCTAGGTAACGGCATGTAAATACGATATAATGCTAATGACAATGTGAAGAAGTTTTGCGCATAGGTACTCCGTTTCGATCAGGATTATGTCGAGATTTAGGAAACTTCCCTCTCTTTGAAATTCACTATCCACACTCGGAAATCAGCCCCTTTCCTTCCAAGACACGCGTACACACAGTGGAGGCTGATGACCGATCCGGATCTATAATGTGACCACCACTTTGAGAGCAGAAACTCCGGCACGCAGCTTATCCAATGCTCCCTGAAGGGTCTCCAGACCATGGCCAAATACGAGTGGCTTTGGCATAGGCTTGATTTGACCGGACTTGAGAGCGCCCGGCAAGAAATCATGCCAGATCGCGTGACCGATCGCTTTGTCCTTGTCGTTCAAAATGATATTCACGGCGTATACTATGCGTACTGAGTCAGTTCGACCCGGAAAGGGGGGAGGGGGGTCGGCCTAAGGAGATGAAGCGGGGGAGCCAGTCAAGCAGACATACCTCCTGTCGCCGTCACCGTGGCAGGGATCTCGTCAACCGGGGGCAATGTGACGGCGAGTTTACCTCCCCCAAGCTGAGCCAGAACCTGGGCTGTGTTCAACTGTGTGTCCCGCTTTGAGATGGCTTAAGGTGGGCGCGGGGCGGAAGGGAAGATTGTGTTAGCATGTATACGGCATCAAGACATGAATTCCTTTGGGGTTGGGATTGGGAAAGGGAGACGGGAGGGAAGGGGGAAGGTAGGGGAGGCGAAACCAAGATTCTCACCATCATATGCGCCGGTCACATCACGCTTTTGAAGAGCGGCCGTCAAGTCCCCGACGACGCTCGGGGAGTTGTAGTCAAACACCTCGGACGCGCCGAGTTGTCTGCAAAAGTCGAAGTTCTTCTGCGAGGCCGTCGCGACCACGTTCACGCCGGCGGCCACGGCGAGTTGAACGGCCACACAGCCGACCGACGACGCCGCACCCCAAACCAGCAGCGTCTTCCCGGTATCTTGGACCGTATGTCTCGGCAGTGGCAGTCCGAGGTACTCGCTCGAGAAAAGCCCGTGTGCGGCCGTCGAGATGTTCAGAGGGAGGACGGTGGCCTGCTCGAAACTCATGTCGTCCGGGATGGGACAGGTGCTGAGAGCGGGCGCGATGGAGTACTCTTGGAACCCGCTGTCTTGTGGTCTCCCCGTGCCCAGGCCGACGACGTGGGCGAGCACGCGCCGTCCTTGGGCAAAGTCGGTGGCGCCTTCGCCCACCTCGACGACCTCGCCGGCGACGTCCTGACCCATGATCCTGGGTTTCCCCGTCGGGCTGTACCCGTCCTGAAGATAAAAGTCGACTGGGTTGATGGAGACGGCTTTGTTTTTGATCAGAATTTCACCCGGACCCGGTTTCACAAACTCAGAAGGTCGGATTTCTAGTTTCTCGTTGGGGGCAGGGAGCCATGCCGCCCGATTCGTTGGTGACATTGTGTGTGTATATATATATCTGTATGGATGTATGACTCTCGGTAGCTCTCGTATACGATGATGGAGATTTGGTTTGCCGGACTGTTGGAAGTGACGGGGACCACAAACTCAACTTCCTTGCGGTTACATCGCCGTACTTATAGAAACAAGATCTTTAAACGTACAAGACCGTATACCGAAGCATAGACAAACAAAGCATTTCTAAGCCTACCTAAATAGAGATGTGCCAATGACATTTATAATCGTCATACTTCCGTTGGAATAGAGTCACCCCCTCGTACAACGGAGAGTACAACGAGGGCTTGTTCTTTTCTAATGAGAAATGGAGCGAGTGGGCACCGTATATCCGAGTATAATGTCCGTCAGTGATTTGCACTCCGTACAACTAGGGGGCCAATAAGCCGCGCCGGACTTGGTCAAAAAACATCCCCATCATTCGTGGCCTTGTTCCGTAGAGGTTTCCGTTTGTGCAAATTGATGTTTTTACGGCACGGAGTATCCGTAAGCAACACGCCTAAAAAAGCTAGCGACGAACCGACGAGTACAGTAATTTGAATAATGGCTTCAAAGAAAAACGGGGCGAAAGATGCACTCCGGATTCGGGCCAAAACGTCGCTGACAAAACGATATATACCTCCTGGCAAGGCTGACTGCAATGAGGCCTCCCCCCCATTAATAATGAGCCTTCATGTGTCGATTGAGCTAATTGGCGAGGCCGCAAGGAACTACGAATACAGTATTTGATGGTCGTTAGTGGAGGGGGAGGAAAAAGAGAGGAGGATATCCATCCATATTACAAATGGGCGTCATGTAAGGAGTACAGGGACAGACAGAAATATCATACCAGTAAAGGTGAAAGATGTGTGGAGCACACTCAATGAGGGTTATGGATAAGTATTCTCATCGTAGCTATTTGCTATGCCATGCTCGGACGGGGTACAGAATCTCAGTCGACACAGTGTGTGGTGCAATCAGCAGCATCCCATATCGATCAATTCTTCCTAGGTTTGTCTCCCATGTCCATATACACTCCATTCAGCTGCTCGAGTGGCACACTCTTCAAAAAGTCCTCGATCTTGACTGGCTTGACGTGGGGATATCTGTCATTGTCATATTTCGGCCCCATCAGGGCTTTGCCGCTGAGCGTAAAGTAATGATACCAGCTGCGCGATGGGATGCAAGTCAGTCTTTTTGAATTCTGGCTCCAAGAATAATCCCTTTCCCAAAGAGTACACAACACCGAGAGGTGAGGATGGAGTCATGACTTACTGGAAAACATAGTTCCAATAGTTGACGCCGTGCTTCTCCTTCTCAGAAATCATGGTAGAACGCAATTCGTAGACGGAACCTTGACGTTCAAGCTTTGGTTTGATACCGTACACTCTCTCCAACGCGGCCGCAATATCTTTGGTATTGATGACATCGCCAACAACTGTTGAAACATAAGTATGCTGAAATTGCTAAATCATGGAAAGAAAGCATGGCCTTACATCGAAAAACTCCAAACGCGTCACGGTCCAAGCACACCGCAGCCGTGTACTGTGCTGAGTTTTGGTAAGTGGTACATTCCCATACCTCATCCCCTGTGCCCCAGTATCGCAACGTGGAGGTTTGCGAGTCCCAGATCCTGAAGAAGGCGGCGAAAATGACCTCTGTGAACCCACCGATGAGCATGTGCACGCCCTTGATGGAATTCTTGGTGTCGAGATAACCCTTGATGCGCTGCGACGCTTCTTTCGCAAAGAGTTCACCCATTCCGAGCTTGGTATAGTCGAGGCACCAATCCGAGGCAACATAGCGAGGAACGCCTTCCTCTTCTGCGAGGTCAATCAGGAGTTTCTGGCCGTCCACCATGATACGGTCGTCGTGCGAGTAGCAGCATACGACAACGTCGCATCCATGGACGAATGAACGGATCTTGTCAGTGTCAAAGGCACCTCCTTGAATCACTTGGACGTTGTTCTTGGATGAGATGGACTTTGAGACATTCTCTGGGGTCCGGGCGAGGCCCTTGATCTGTACATTTGGGTCCTGTTCGAGGAGAGATAAGGTCAAGAGGCCGGCAACCCTCCCCGTAAAACCTGCAATACCAACTGTGATTGGGGCCATGGTTAACAATTTGCTGGACAAGGTGACCGTTAAAGCGTTGAAGACAAGGAAGTTCACTACGCCATTCTTCACAAACGATATTCAATATATAGGCTTCCCGTTGCCCAGTCACGGATCTGAAGAGCCCGTCGAGCCGAGCTACTTACCAATACATCTGCCCATTTTCGAGTCTGTAACATACAACTCGGCTCGAATGAAGCCGTTGATGGGGACATGATATGTGTTTTGTTCCTACGAGAAGTAAAGAACAAGTAGAGCGCGGAAGGCTAGCTGTCTTGAGTTAGCAGCATTCCGTGGATGGAATGGTAGCGTGGTATCAATGATTGGCGCATCGATACTTGTATCTGAAGAAGTGCCAGATCGAGCTCGAGCCACTACACGGGCTGTCACTACCTCACACTGCATAGTATCGTATGCCTCCAGTATGAACATGTACTGTAGGCGAGATAAAGATAAAGCCATCTCCGGGCTGCAAGTCGGGCGAAAAGTTATGAACTCGACTCGGCTCGATGGCTGTTCTATGCTGACGAAAATATGTGCTGGACTAAGTATGAACGTGGTGAACATTGTTTCTCAAAAGAAGAGAAGAAACAAGTAAACAAACCAAATGTACCCTGTAATAGGGATTGTCGTTGTTGCTGATGTTGATGAATGTTATCAAACTCGCAGATCCGTTAATCGCTACGACAAATTCATCAAATTCCTGCGTCACGACAGCCACTTTGTCATTCGGGTCACTTGGTACCTGCATATGGATCGATCTACTGTGGCACCTGTGGCTGAGCGATGGACAACAGAGAGAGATAGAGCCCTCGTCATTCGAAGAATCACTTTTTACTCTGTACGGAGTACGGAGTATATCGATGATATAATTTCTCTTTCCTTCTTACCCGAGGTCGCCTGATTTGATGGGTAAATTGCCCTTTGTCGATCTATCTGTCGGGTCGTTGCATGAAGTAATTGGAACATCATAAAGACGATCCATGTGCATCAAATCTGCGGCATAGAGTAGACTTGGCTTAATATGCTGTGCGACGTTGGACAAGCGGCTTTACACTTGCTGCAAGACCATCAACAAGGTGCGATGTCAAAGGTGGAGGAAGTGACAGTGCCAGAGTATTGTACAATACTGTAAACACTCTGTGTGTGTGTGGTGGATGACGGAACTAAAGGGAAGGATTCAATGGGCTCGCTAGGCTCACTGAAGCATCTCTGGGCTTTCAGGGCAGCTTTTAGGGTCCTCCTAGGCACTTCTTAGGCACCTCTTAGGCTTCTTTACGGCTCTTTAGGCCCTGACAAGACACGGGAATCCAGGGGCGCAGTCGTGGCTGATTGGCGGTGCGATGCCCTTAGCGCGCCCCTTTCCCACAGGGATGTTTGAATGCGCGTTTCATCCCCCTTGACAGATCGGCGGCCTTTTGCCTGGGAGCTGCTCAACCATCAACCTCGTCGTTGGCACATTCCCCTTCACTATTCGACCTTCACCGCCGTCGAGCTCGAGAGCACACACCGCGACGTGTTGCGCTCTGCCACTCATTTTTCTACCGTTTCGCGTCTCTCATTAAAGAAGAAACAAATCCTCTTGTTGTCGCAGCCGCGCCGCGACACAGGCCCACGCTCATTTTCTGCTGTCCAAGCTTCCATCCCAAGTTTCCTTATCACCCACGAACGTACGTCGCACGGTCATTGCATTGACCACAGGCAGAGACCCGGAGTCAGCCATCTTCATATTCTTCATTCCGACAAAGCATTGTCATTTTCCCACAAACCCTGACCTCACTTGACTTTTGTCACAACTTGCGACGCCCTCGGAACAACCTTCACAAACATTTCAGAAACACAGACAATCACAATCCACCGCAACCATGTACCTATCCAAGACAGTCTCGCTGACTGTCCTCTCGCTCCTCTCCTCAGCCTTCGCGCAGACATACACATCATGCAATCCCATGGAGAAGGAATGCCCGCCCGACACAGCCCTAGGTGTGAACAACTACACAATCGACTTCACAAAGAGCATCATGACTGATCGTGTCTGGAACTGGACCGCTGGATCTGCCGACTACGGTGATCAGGGTGCGGAGTTCACCATCGCCAAGCGTGGCGACGCACCTACCGTCCAGACCAACTTCTACCTCTTTTTCGGTCAGGTCGAGGTTTGGCTCAAGGCAGCGCCGGGCAAGGGTGTCGTCTCTTCCATTGTCCTGGAATCCAACGATCTGGACGAGGTGGATTGGGAGTGGATCGGCCCCAACAACACATACGTGCAAACCAACTACTTCGGCAAGGGCAACACGACCACCTACGATCGCTCACGCATTCACGAGGTCGACGATGCTCAAGGCAAATTCCACAACTACACTGTCGACTGGTCGGCTGAGAAACTGGAGTGGTTCATTGATGGCCAGTCGATCCGTGTCTTGAATTACGCCGATGCCAACGGTGGACACAACTTCCCCCAGACTCCCTGCAACGTCAGACTCGGTATCTGGGCCGGCGGTGACCCCAAGAACCCACAAGGCACCATTGACTGGGCCGGTGGTGAGATAGACTACTCCAAGAGCTACACCATGAACGTGCAGTCCGTCCGGGTCCACGACGCCAGCACGGGCACACAGTACGTCTACGGTGACAGATCCGGCAGCTGGGAAAGCATCAAGGTTCTCAAGTACGTATTATTGCCTCATGATGAAGTCGGTGGGAATCCGTTTCACTAACACCGCCTCTAGTGACACCAAACCACTCAAGCTCGACGGCGAAAACTCCAGCTCGACCTCGCAAACCGTCAAGCAAAAGTGGAACGGCCTGGCCCCGACCACCAAGTACATCATCGGCGGCGTGGTGGGTGGCGTTGCGCTCCTGGCCATCGCCATCTTCACCTTCTGCTGCGTCCGCCAACGCCGCGCCGGCAAGCACGAGAAGCTGATCGAGGACGCCAAGTACGAGAAGAACGCGGCCGAGGTGCTCGCCTATCGCGCCGACATGTCGCGCATGCGCAACGAGATGTACAAGCAGCAGGCACAGGTTCACGTGTCGCCGATGGTGGGCGGCGGCATGGGAGCTACGTTGCAACACCAGCAGAGTCAGCCCATGATGGCAGGTATGCGCAGCCCGTCGCCCGGGTACGGATACGCGCAGGGCGGCGGCGGAGGCATGAATTCCTACGGAAGAGGATACCAGAAGTATTGATCTGGAATGACTGTCTTTGTTTTTTCATTGTCAACCTCTCGAATCCCTCTCGTTGGAAGGAAGCGGTCTGTCATCATGTGGCGTCTGCCCACCTAAACCATCTTCATCATTGTCCTTTTGTCCTGTTATGTGCCCTCCCCTAAAGGTCAGGACCAGGATCAGGATCAGGATAAATGGTCATGTGGTCCAAAATGGATATTACGGGGCCTGGACATTGTTGTTGTACATTAAAGCCAGCCATTACGTGGAGTTGAATTGAATTGTGCTTTGTCAATTTTCATTTGATTGCTCTTATTCTATGAAGAGCTGTCACTCAAGAATTGTGACTTGCTGACTTGTGACTCGTGATTTGAACTGGACTTGTTCCATCATCATCATCATCATCATCATCATACCCAAGTCTTGAATTAGTCTCGTGCCATGCTGTGCTGTGCTGTAGAGTTCCTTGATTCATCCTCTTTGGTGTACTCTTACAAAAACAAAAAAAAGAAAATCATTCCGTATTCTCCCATCTAGGCACTCTCTCCCCTCATCTTGAGACCGGCCCACCAGTTGCGCCTTGAACACCGTGCTAGACGTAAACCATATCGACTTCGACCCCGATCCAGGTTCCCTGGAACATGCATGAAGCGACGTGACTTTTCTCTCTACAAGATGCCAACTCTCTTCAGGTTCTCCTCGATCGCGGCGTCAGTGGCCTCCGAGTTGCGTCGGTGGTGGTGATGGTGGTGTTCCTTGGCGTCTTTTGGCTTCTGCGTCCAGCGTGGAAGGATGTGACTGATCTTGTTCTTGAGTCCGTGTCCACCTGGTGGTGCGGGAGCAGGAGTCGTAGTAGTAGTAGTAGCAGTAGTAGCGCCTGCGCCACCACCTGGGTCAGCCTTGACTTCAGGGGCCTTGGCCTCACCCTTGCCTTCGGGAGCCTTGGCCTCGGCCTTGACGACATCAGTACCAGTGGTTGGCGTCTTCTTCTTCTTGATATCGATGAGCTTGACTTCTCCCGGTTTGACCCAGCGAGGGGGCGCCAACGGCTTTGGAGACTTGACGATGACGGCGGAACGCATCTCTTGGGGAAGGTAGAAGCCAGCGTCGATGCAGCCACTCTTGAGCGTGATCTCTTGGAGCTTCTTCGGGTCGAACCATCGGTAGAACGGGCCGGCGTCGACGACAAAGTTCATCAGGGTGAGGTGGGTGACGGGGAGGAAGCGCACGTTCTCGATGGGCAGGATCTTGTAGACGTCGAGTTGGCTCGCCTTGATGGCCTGTTGGTCGAGGTATTCTCCGTCTCCAAACTCTTCGTGCAACACGCCCTTGCCGTGAGCGCCGAGGTACTCGATCGGGCCGTTCGGTGCGCCACGAGGATTGTAGGTCCAGTCCGCGTCGATTTGGGGGTACTTGTGCGCAATGTCTTCACTGAAGAGTGGTTCCAAGGCCATCTCGAGGTGAAGGATGGTCAGGTTCTTGTTCGCCCAGCAGACGCCCCAGATGATTGGTTGGTAGGAGCGCATCATGCCGTTGAGCTGAAGGAAGTGGAGGTTGCGGAAGGTCTTGAGAGGTTGGAGGTCCTTGAAGGGGAAGACACCCTTGGTGTCGCCATCTTCGTTCACTTCGTCGTCGTCCGGATCCTCATTGAGCTCGTCAAGTTTGATCGGCCAGAAGAGGTCAATGTTGAGGACGTGGCGGCTGTTGTCGATCTGCTTCCAGAGATGAGGACGGAAGTTTGGAATAGGTTTGTTGATGCCACCCAAGTCGGCACTAGGGTCAATTCGTGAGTCCATGGTTTTTTGGCTTTGGAAGATTGAGAGAGAGAGAATAAAAATGTGGCATACCTCAAGAGAGTGGGATCGGACTCAAATTGAAAGTCGAAGTCAGCCAACGCGCTTGCATCATTTTGCCGGTCTGGAGAGGCGTCTGTATCTTGACCACCTTCGGCTTGCTTTCCTGCTTTGTCTTCAGTTGCACTGGCACGAGTCACATCCGGTGTTTTGTTTCCTGGTGAAGTGATGGAAGGAAATCCTTGTGCTTGGTCTGCATCTGGGCTTGGGTCAGGGACACTGAGGAGGACAGCTTGGTCATCGTTCACTGAAGGCTCAGTCTTGCCATTGCCAGTCCGAAACCGAAATGGTCTGGAGAAGTTTGGGACTCTCGACAGGCGAGGCATCATGAACCTTCTTGTCAGCAGACACTACACCTTTTCTAGGACGGTTCACTCGTAAAGGGCAATGGTCAATGGGGAATGAAGAGCGTGATGGCAACATGTTGGTTCGATCAACTTTACAGAATTTCATGAAGGGTGTTTTGACGAGCGCTGTGAAGCGTTCTACCACCAGCGGCAGAAACGGCGCAAGAAGGGATTGCATCTTCACACTGGTCATTGTGTAAGTCTTGTTCGCGCTCGCTTTCTACTCCCGTCAATGTTTCCAGTCGGCGGTGGTTTGAAGTGCGGCATTAGGAAGCCATTGTCACCCATGGCGGCTTTGTAGGAGGAGGAAGGACCAACATAGCTACAAAGGCATGCTATCAATCTGCTCGGATTACACTTGGGAGGCTTTGATCTTGTCCACAGGATGTAAAGCAAAAAGCAGGATACAACACTACAAAAGATGTTGGGATGGAGCAGGACAAATCTGCTAAGCGATTATCTAATCTCTTGGCCGACCTGGAGTCGATCGCCTATGACGCGCTTTGGGCTTATGCCATCGATTTATCTCAAGTTGCCTACGTCCATCTGTGACTATCCCATAATGCCATTGCAGCAACCTTCGGCATGCGATGGCACCTATCCGGCGCTACTTGCGCATAAGCAAGCACTCTGTCCTTGAATGCCGCATTTTCCTTGAGAACCCTGCCGATGAATCTCGGTGGCTCCTTCGTGACAACGACCCTGCCCTACCACGCGTCTTTGAAGCAGTCAAGCCTTATGTTCTGCCAAAATTAAGGGAAGAGAATGAGAGAGCACGAGGCAAGGGCAAGAAGAAGAAGAGCGTCAAGGATGTTGTAAAGCAAGGTTGGTCAGCTGAGATGGCTACTGTACAATACAAATGTTCTGACCCGCTACAGACGACTTTGAGGTGTCCATATTCCTTACAGAAATCAGAACTCGGCATTCCATCCTAGTGAAAAACAAGACATTTAATGAACGGCCTCTGCTCGGGAGTAATACTGGTGGCACCTCCATAGGTGCTGCTCGAGATTCGGTTATAATCCAGGATGAAAGCGACGAAGAGGATGTCAATCTCGCTCAAATCCCGCAAGCAGAGCACCACGACGAGGAATCTGACGCTGTGATGCCCACTATAGACGATGACGATAAGAAAAAACTTGGGTTCAAGACAACCTACGAAGGTTTCAGTATATGGGGCTGGGTGCTCTGCCTCTTCATCGAGCGCAAGGGTGGACCGGGAAAGAAATCATCAGGAGTCGAGGCTCAGGCTCTCATGCAAGATTGGATAGCTTCCACACAAGGACAGGAAGAAGACGATACCTGAAGATCTTTCCCTTTTCGTGGTCTGCGCCGTAAGCGAGTTGCATGCTGTCACAGCAACAGATGCTCAAGAATGTGATTATGAAACAACCTCAATTCCAGCAGCCACTCGAGCAAGTCTGTAGCTAGCCGAAGCAATTTTCTGGACTGGAAATTTGCTCGCGGAGTGGAAAGGTGTCGAGGCGGTCAGCCATGAGCCCTTGGCCTGTCAAATTTGATGCCATATCACGACCCCAGGATTCACCACATTTCAGCTCATGCAAAGGGATGGAGGAATTGTTCTAGACACTGCATCAAGAGAAGCGAGGTGTGTGACATATCTCAAGTCACCGTGATTTTGGGATCCATCACGATGCATCGTGGCGCTTTGTCACGCAATCTCCACGTGGTGGCTGCAAGAACAACCCATTTCTCCTGAGGCCCTGCATGAGAAAGATGCAAGCCAACCTCTTACGGTCAGAGCCGATCCCACCTCGCCTCGGCGCGCAATTGCAACACTATCCCTCCGTACGGAGTACTACGTGTCGTTATCCTGATTATGTGCAGGACGGAGTACGAGAAACGAGATTATCAATAGGGCAAGAGCTCCAAATATTGCATGTAGGCTCATTCGGTAATCGAATTGACGAAACACCTGTGCATAAACGGCGCCTGAAATCGCCATGTTGTTTGTTATTCTGTCTCATACATCTTGTCGGCTGCATGTTTCAATCCTGCGACACATTTGAAGCGTTGAGCCATACTCCATACAGGGTTTCAAGGTACAGCGACATGCCTCGATCCATGTTTGCCCAGATTGCCACAAGGCGACAATGTGTTCTTCGTGGAACACTTTCAAACCCTTTACCGCCATCAGCAACCATGACGATGGCGAAGAGGCAGCGGCTACTGCGAGCCCTCTGTGTGGCGTATGGAATTATGCCTAGAATTACGGAGTAAAGGGTAACTGTACTTGTCAAGCTTCGGCTATCGTAACTAAAGGAGGCATAAACAAAATGGGTGTCGCGCTCTACGAAATTTGCATGCTCCAGTCCAGCCTCACCATGAAAATACCAATATTCAGCTCTCGGGCGGGCAGATTGGCAACATGAACTAGACACGAATGGGGCAATTGTGAAGAAATGAATGCAAGATTCCAGAAGCGAACTTGCAGAATTCCTCCACCTCCTAGAAGCCTTTGCCGGGTTGAGCTTTGGGACCCCCCCGTTCCAGGCCGCCGCCTCTGCCGTACTACTTTGCTTTTATTAGCAGTTGGCGTCTCACATTATTGTTCTCAGCTGACAAAAGAACCCGAAACTTGCGCACATTCGCTTGGCTTACGGAGCAATAATGCTACACGACATTCTCTGCTGCGTTTTCGCCTACGGCTAAACATGGCCCCTGGCTTCGTCCGATAATCGTAGATGCTACCCTCCTAGTTTGCTGCCCAGCTGCGACTAAATCCCCAAAAACTGGCTCATGACGCAGGCCAATGACACGGCACACATTCATGACATCAAAAGCAAATGTCAAGAAAAATTGCAAAAGTTGATCACACAGGGAGAGAAAATATTGCCGACGAGGGTCATGGCTGTATGGTGCTGCCTCGGCTGATTGTCACTCAGGGGGTGCACCTGAAACACACCAGGAACCAAAGTTTTATGCTCGTATTGGGGGGTGGCAAAAGACCACGCGGTGATTGTTGGAGAGAGACGCCAGACCCAGGGGATCTTCAGGAACCCGTTGTGGGATCATGCCTGTAGGTGGTCTGTGGATGTTAGGCCTTCGCTACAGATCAGAGCTTGGAGCCAGCGATGAACTGAGCATCTGTGCGTCGATGAAACAACCGTCTTAAGGGTCTTTGCTGACCGCAGCATAGTCGACACCTATTTACTCGCACATCTAATTCATAATGGAAGTGAGCTGCGTTCCACGGACGGTTCGAAGCAGGGGAGATCCGAAAACTTGGACCGTTGACGTATCTACTCCATACCACCATCATCTCTGTCAACTCATACGAGGACACCGTAGCCGACACAGAATGTCGGTGTGGGTGAATTGGCCAATCCAGCCGCGCGCTTCATCCTAGACGTGAAACAGATTCCGCATGACAGGTACTAGGTGAACACCGATTTTCGAGGGGGTGGGAGGCCAAGTTCCAGTAAGAGGCCAGTTGGAACCTACCGAGTATGCGATGCGCAGGCGAATCCGCAGTCGTGGTATTGCTCACCGGCTAGCGAATGCATGCAGGTGGTGTTGTGGTCACCAGATGTACTATCGAGGAGTGACAATTCACCGAGTCTTGGTTTCATGGCGTCCGGCTAAGCCGAGTGATACTCGCGGCGATATAATCCGCCTTCAACTCGGCCAATGGGTCACGACTTATCTCAAGCGGAGAGGTGAGAGAAGGCGGAACAACGGCAGAAAAAGGACTGATGACAAGGGAACAAATCGATCACGAGTTCAAATGCTGACCAACTGACTTCCCAATCCTTGTAACGATTGCCGGATAGCCTTAGCAACTGGCAAGCTCGCAGAATTCATCTTTGTAGCGTAAACGGCGTTCCGTGTCCTTCCTGTGCCATGGTTGGGTGGCATCATGCGAGCACGGAAACTCTCCAGTCGTAGTGTTGCCAAAAATGGCCCTTTCCGGCACATACTGCTGTGCATACTTCTCGGTAGCGAACACCACCACCTTGTCACTTGTACGGATACGAGCACAGCTTCCTGCCGCCCGGGTGACAGCCGAGTGAGGCTGCGAGCAGCTTGCGTACTGTTGAGTGCAATCTGGCCAAACTGGGTCGCCCTTGTCGGCTGGTCAGGCTGGCACCACTGGCAAACACAGTCCCCGAAATTTGGGCACAGCCAAATCAATAATAATTCTACTCACCGCTACCAGGGTGGAAAGTAGAGTGGACACTGGGCAAATTCATGAGGAAATAGTCATCATGGCCGGGCAGCTCTAGGCAGGGAACAGGCTGGCCGAGCAGACAAATCTCCTCCTTTTTTCCCTGCGCACAACCCAGCAACCCCAGGGCACCCGGTCAGCTGGAACCTCCTTTCTGTGCGCCCGAGAGCATTAGCGTCTTGCCCATGTTCGGTGGTGGAAACGGCTAGGCCGCTAGACCGTTTGCAAGTCAGCGGAACCCAGGGTTGGAGAAAGACAGAGGGCTCCTCTTCTCCTGTCGGTCCTGCAACTCTTTTCCCACTCTTGCGCGATCAAACATCCCTCATCAGCGGGCATCGTGTCACACACCGCAAGCCTCATTTCAGGACCCACTGGCCCAAGCAGGCGCCAGAAAGCTAAAAAATCCTGCAAGGATGACTGTGTCCGCGTCGTCACCATTTCTGGAACAACTTTCGGCTCTGCCGGGGTGAGGCTGCCTGGTATCAGAAAAATAAATATCTGGCGGGATCCCTTTCACCCAGCAGGTCAATAACTTTCCCAACTGACTCTAAGGCATCATATTTTCGACAGACCATATAGTCACAGTCCCAAGTGCTATACTTGATATACATCACCAAAGCCTGCCATTCTACAACCCTTCAGCCTACCAACCAGGTAATCCGCCAACACGGCTTCATACGACATCGCCGCCATGCCTGCTGGTTCGAAGTATCCTCCTTGCCCAGGACCTCCCCCCAATCGACCTCTTCCAGCCATACCAAAGTAAAGCGTCCCCCAAGACGGACCACGGCCGACCAAAGCATTATATTCTCACGGCATCCAATCGAGCCAGCCTTCGGTTGGCATTACTCGGGACTTGAAAGTCTCGACCTCTTCTCCGCGTTCTCTGCGTCATGTACGACATATGAACCTTGTCTGCTGCAACAGCTGAGCAGACACCTCCAACCTTTCAGGGTCTGAAGTCGGCCAACCAACACACTGCTGTCACGGACAGGGTGGTCGAGCCCAGCCCTACCCGCATACGCATAAGACGATGTGCTGGCAGCTCCACCAATTCAAGCAAAACATTCGTGCATTCACAAGGACACGACGGCTGAGCTGGCATCACCACGTTTCCAATTCGGGAGATTTTACGGAGTACATTGCTCGACACGGGATGCGCCTGTCTGCAGATACGAGGACACCCTCGTTTGCCCTTTCCAACGCCCAATAATCCTTGCAGGCCCTAATGATGGCCAACAACCACAGGCCACGACATCCAAAAGCTCGTGTTATCCCACGCACGACGGATTGGCCGCCCTTTCTCCTTCACCAATTGTACCAACAATCGTTCCACCAAACAGGAAAGCAATACATGTACCAATAGTCGATACCCACAACAATATTTTTTGAACCCATTCGTCATGCGGAGGAATGCCGGTCTCTGTCTCTGTACGATGTGGTTGACCGATTACGGTAACCTCACACTTTTTTTGTACACTACTATTCGAGCAAATAATGCGCCCCATGCCTTGATGACGAGCCCTGAGAGGCTGAAGCTGTTATTCATATTCTATATACTGCGATGGTCAAGTTCTATTTTAGCTACTTGTGAGGACTTTACAGAAGTTAATGGTTAATTATTTTTCCCTCAACAATGATTCGCATCTTTTGATTTTGTGTATGATCGCTGCCTCTACAGTGTTAATTCGTACGGACCTAAGAAACCAGACCCAATCCAGAATACCAGTGAAGTAGAGGGATAGTCGTACCCCGAACTCCCGTAGCATAGACCCGACATTGAACACGTAGCCCGTTTGGTGCTCGAAGAGAGCGCTTGTGGCGATTGGCGATGATCACCACGGAGTACTTACTGTGAACATTGCACATGCTCCGAGACCTTGCAGATAAAGCGAGGGGCCAAGACATGGCAGTTGTCATGGTTGTATGAGTACCCGTACGTACACGACGGAAGGGGGGCCAAGATCGGACGTTCAAACACAGAATTGTGATATCTGATCCAAAGCACTTGGGGGGTTTGCCTGGTTTCAGGTTGTGGGAGTTGAGTACGAGTACTTGCCGTGGGCTTGCCGTGACGGACTTGCCATCCGGATGCACGGAGAGGAACGTCAGAAATCCAGGAACCACTACAGAGTAGTGAACGATGGTGGATTCTGACAAGTCATGATCTAGCAAAGAACTGGGAACGGTCACGGTCACGGCGACAAATCCATCAATCAACGACCTGCCCTCACCACCAAAATCAAAACTTGGGTATGGAGTACAAAATAAGGTATTCATACCCCCCGCGCCGTGGCGGACGGACTGGGTGAGATAACGGCTAAAAACCAAGATTGTTCAGTTGTGGATAACAACCTTGGTATGTACGGGAAACATGGGATAGTTAGGTCATTTATTGATTTGATATACTCGATGGTCTTTCGGATCCTGTGGGATAAGGAGCGGGAGAGAGGTGAGCGTCGTACGTGTCTTTTTTCTGGGCCTCAAGCGGCCTGAAAACCTGCTTCTCCTTACTCCTCAACTCCTTGTCATCTCTCTACATTTCTTGGACCATTATGCACGGCAATGATCGGAGGATTCGGTGGATGAAGATGGAGCAGCTTTGAAGCAGCTTGGAGCTCTCGTGGGTGCCAAAAGAGAAACAATTCAGCGCAAGGCAAACCAGGCACTATTTGATTGGCTCCGTGAGCCTCTGTCCTCCACTTGGTTCTCCCTCGCATGACGGAATGGGCGTTTTAAGCCTGCCAACCATCCTGTTTACCATTGCGCGTCCCATGAAGATACCGATGGGCATGGCAGATGCCATTCTGTCGACCCCAGATCTCAGGTACCTACAGTACTTTTTTTGTACTACGAGTACTGGAAATGTCTGTGCTCTCTAACCGTCATCGTCATACTCGTGTATTTGTCCACGAGGAGTCGTACACACACACACACTCGTCTGTCCATCCCGGGTCACTGGCTACCGGATCTTTTTTTAACTCTCGGTTTTCCTGTTTTGCTTTGCCTGCACTGAAAGTCTCGTTTGTTGCCAGTTTCACCCACCGTTCGTTCGTTCCTGCTTGTTTGCTGTGTGTGAGTGTGTGAGAGAAAGAGATTGTTCTGTTGGCGGTCGCTGTCGAGGCAGGAGTTGGGTTGAAGCTGCGCTCGTCCGCGTTTTTGGCAGTTGTCTTTTTTGGAATACTTCAGTTGTAATAGACCACCAGAGCACAGCGCTGCGTCAACATGCACCCTCTTCATCTGCCACTCGTTGGTGCATCTCTAATCACCCTCGCTACCGCCCAAAGCACAGTCTCTCTGGCCATCACCAGCAAACCGACCGCCGGGGCGTCCAAGATTATCAGTCCTTCTTTCGCCGGCTTCGGCATCGAGTCCTCCAACCTCTACTCGTTCACGGGAGGAAGCTCGGAGAACCAGCTCACCCGAAACCTGCTGGAGAATCTGGCAAACTACACGGGCACTCCGCCGCATCTGCGTATCGGAGGGAATACACAAGACTACTTTATCTACGACCAGTCTCAGAATGACTATGTCTGTAAACCCAACCCCAACCCCGTTGGCCAGGGCGCATATCCCCCCGACATGTACATCATCGGGCCACGGTACTTCGAGGTCATCAACCGATTTCCCAGCAATACCCCCATCACTTTTGGCTTGAATCTGGCCTATGAGGAGTCGGACTATATTGACCAGATAACAACCATGGCCTCGGAAGCCATCAAAGGACTGAATCAGGTCAACTTGGTCTCGTTTGAAATTGGCAACGAGCCTGATCTGTACCTCCAGAACGGCTTCCGAACGGGCAACTGGGGCGGTCAAGTCTATACCCAGCAGTGGTTGGACCGAGCAAGTGCCATCTGGGAGCAAGTACTCAAGCCGAACAATCTTCCAAGTAGTTTCTTCGAGCCGGGGACCACGGCCTCGACCATTGGCACTTCCTTCATGATTGAGGACCTGGATCAATTTGGAATCACCGTCCAAGCCAACAACTCAAACAAGCCGTACGTCGCCAGCTGGAACCAGCACGACTACTACTATTATATTGGCGTGTCGACCTATCCACTGACGCAGGACAAATTCATGACGCTTTCTACCACCAATGATCAATTTGCTGCCTGGGTCTCTCAAATAAAACAAGCCTTTGACACAGACTACCCATATGCTCTACGTGAGATGGGTGTCGTTGGTCCCATTGGAATGGACGGCATCACGAACACCTTTGGAGCCTCGCTCTGGACGTTGAATTTCCTTCTATATGCAGCCACCCTGAACATCTCTTCAGTCCAGCTGCACATGACCGATAATAGTAATGCCAGCGCCTGGCAACCGATTGAGTTTTACGGGAACCAACCGTTTGTGCGACCTAATTACTATGGCGTTGCCGCTTTCGATCTGGCCATTGGACCTGGCTGCCAGGCCCAGGTGGGTGGCTATATCTTTAATGATGCTCCTGCAGAGTATGAAGGTCGGATAGCTGCATATTCCATCTACCAAGACAGCACCCTGGCGACGATTGTTTTGATCAATTCCAATCCTGCCAATGTCTCAGCAACCAACAAGCCGACCTTGACTGTTGAGCTATCGCTTCCAACCGAATTTGCTGGCAAGGACCTTTACCTATCTTATCTCACCAATGATGGTGCTGACGCAAAGCACGGCACCACATTTGGTGGCGTCAGCTACGAACAGAATGGTGATGGCACGCCTTCTCGCGTCAATGACACGGTCTCTAAAGTCACCATTGGGAAAGACGGCAGTGTGTCGGTGCCCGTTCGCGATACACAAGCCGTGGTAGCCAATATTGGATCGGCACTGGCTCAGCGGAGTTCTAGTGGAAGTGCTTGCGCCGCTCTTGCGTCCAGCTCTCCAGATGCGAGTCCTGTCACAGGCGCAGTGGGAACCAGTACAGCATACAGCACCTCGTCATCATCTACTCATACTAATGCCGCATCTCGAACCGGTGGCAGCGCACGAGCAAGCAACACTAACGGTGTTGGTGGACTGTCCACCATGACTTTTGGAATGACTGCGTCAGCATTTTTCAGCGGAGTTTATTTGCTTCTGATATAAAGCTGGGTCGAAGTTCTCAGAAGCTTGAACATCTGATAGACGTTTGTTTTACGACCTTGGTTGTCTCAGGATCATGACAGCAGAATGGTGCTTTTTGTTTGATTTGGAGTTGGAACGAGGTACCTTGAATACTGATGAAGTTTGGTCTGTCATGCAAACAATGCCAATTGAAGTGATTGTCGCAGCAGAGGAACAACTGGAAACTTATTGAAGATGAAGATGCAGTTATTTGGGGGCATCGCATTAGACTTATCTAGACTGTGCATAGCTACTTACAACTACCTATTCGTAATGAGTAATGAAATGAAAAGAAGTCAAACACTGATATTTCTGTTGATAATTCATTATTTATTGTTTAGCATTTATTATTCGTAATAGCTACTCATCACACAGGACTGGGTAGTTATAAAGTTGCTGTTGTTGTATAACGAATACGTACGGAGTATGTCTGAGGTAGCTCAGGTTGACCTCCGTCATCGGCCTCTTGTTTTCGCATGTGCTTTTCTCGGCCCATGACGCAAAGCTGTAGCTCCGGACTTCCTTACCAAAAGATTCACCACTAAGACTCATTTATTAGGCTGTTGCGGGATGCCTAGAAACCCAAAAACCCTCCGCGACTGAACCAAATATATACCTTCTTACATCCCAACGAAACATACCGTCTGTCTCACAGCCAGAGCTCTTCGCCTCGAAAATCACAAAACCCTTCCGATGACTAGATTCACCCTGCCAAGATGATCAGCCTATTGCGAGACTTAGGCTGACCCAGCTCGAAGCTCTCCTACGCCTCTCCTCCTGCTGCACAAGCCACTGCTGCGCTGCTTACCATCCAACGACTACAGATTAAAAGGACGAAAATCTTTGGCTTCTGCCTTTCCACCGGCCAAAGATGGACGTGCCTAGTACCCCCCAGAGGCCGGACTATCGGTTGAACGGCCTCTCATATTTCGTGCCTCTCAACGAAGAATCTCCTGGCGCCGTGTCGACGCGAGGCCAACACCTCCCTCTCCTCATACAGAACCGCTCCAGCACTTCTCTATTCACCTTGCCCAAGCGCGGTCGACAACCACAGGTTCGTCGCGGTTCCTTTGCGAGCCACCACTCGACCGAGGATGAAGATCACATGGACGAACACGAGCCTCTGCGCAAACGTCGATCGGCGCATTCTCCGCTGGAGATCGATGCGAGGAGGATGAGTCTGGGGCCCGAGATTCTCAACACGCCTCAAATGCGCAGCATGCGCCTGATCGGACAGTCCAACCCCAGGTATTATTGGCAGAGGTACTACAAAACAGAAGAAGAGCTGGCACAGATGAAAAAGCCTATTCGGAAATACTACGAGCGCAACAACTTCCTGGTCGCGCAATACCTGTACATCGACCGTCTACTCGATTCGAGTCTGCCTCACGACTTGATTCAAGAGTACAACCAGCCCGCGCACAAGTCGAATATGAAAACCATCTCGGAAGAGCGAGAGCCGGGCAGTGCGACTTCGACGACAGCACTGGCCCAGCCAAACGGCAGTGCGGAGGAACCTCCCACACCCATAGAGACCAAGCTCAAACGCACGCCCAAGAACCTGTACAAGCTACCCGACAACGAAACGACGCCGTTGCTGGCCGACGAAGAACAAGCTCTCGAAGTGTTCCCAGAAATCAGCCTGGAAGACCTGGATGACAGCGTGGAACTCGACGACCCGATTGTCACCATCGCAATCTACCTCAACCTTGTCGCGAATGTGATCCTGTTGGCCGGCAAAATTGCAGTGATCATCCTCACCTCGTCACTTTCCGTGCTCGCCTCTCTCGTCGACGCCGCGCTCGACTTTCTGTCCACGGCGATTGTCTGGTCGACCACGAAGCTCATCTCTCAACAGGACCAGTACGCGTACCCGGTTGGGCGGCGACGTCTGGAGCCTGTCGGGGTGCTTGTGTTTAGCATCATCATGATCACGTCTTTTTTCCAAGTCAGTCTCGAATGTTTCAACCGACTCATATCGCCCGACCACTCTGTCGTCGAGCTGGGCATACCGGCCATCGCGATCATGGTCAGCACTGTCGCCATCAAAGGATTCTGCTGGTTCTACTGCCGTCTCGTTCGCAACTCGTCGGTGCAAGCACTCGCCCAGGATGCCGCGACCGACGTCGTGTTCAACACGTTCAGCATCATTTTCCCGCTCGTCGGCTTCTACGCTCAGGTTTGGTGGCTGGACGCGCTGGGCGGTCTGTTGTTGTCATTGTATGTCATGTTCAACTGGAGCAAGACCAGTAGCGAACACGTGCGCAACCTGTGCGGTGCGGCCGCGACGGCGGACCAACGCAACATTTTGTTGTACTTAACCATGAGGTTCGCCAAGACGATTCGTTACATCCAGGGCTTACAGGCGTATCACGCCGGCGACAAGTTGAATGTCGAGGTCGACATCGTGTTGGACGAGCATATGAGTCTCCGCGACACTCACGATCTCAGCGAGAGTCTACAGTACGTGTTGGAGAGCGTTCCGATGGTCGATCGAGCCTTTGTGCATGCCGATTACGCTAGGCAGAATTTACCTAGTCATATGAATCAACAGAGTTGATGGCGGCTAACAAGTGACCACGCTGTACAATACACTACGAGGCCATTCTGCTGGAATATGGTTGATGGGGTTTTTGTTTTTTTTTGTTTGGAAAGGTCAAGAATAGCAAAGACACTACAGTTAGGTATCGCGTTGACAAATGATCGAGCGAGATGTGGTTATTGTAACTCGCGGGATTTCAAAAGTGACGGAGGGATGTTGCCACCATACAACTATGATGAGGGGTGTGTCGTCAATGTCGATGTCTCGAGGACAGTTTAAGTACTTGTTGCACTTTGTATGATAAGAAGGTACGGAGTCGGAAGAGCGATGGGACGGGGCCGGAGTAGGATTGGAATAGGATCAGTCTCTTGCCTACAGGATCAAGATCAAGATCAAGAACCAGACCAAGAAGATGGTAAAACAGACCATGTTGGGTGGTCACGTTTCTGGAAAAAAAGGAAGAATCAGAGGGGGCCTTGCTGAAAAGTACTGCAGTATTGCGGCTCAAGTCACCAGGCGGGTTGGTCCAAACGACACCAGCAAGCATATCATCTCCGTACTAGGGTTAGATATTAGTTTTTTGCAAGGAAGAATTGTCACTTGTCACCAATGATGATTTTTGATGATTTTTTGTTTTTTTTTGGTTTCTCTCCTTTTTGGTTTATTACAACGTCAGTAACTACTACCGCCAACAGTACCACCACCACCCACACCGACACCGACAGCGCACAACGTGTCCGTCCTGATGGCAAACGCCAAAACGACAAAATGTACCGCCATGACGACCCCGGCCTTCCAGACGCGAATGTCGGGCACGGCGAACTCGAGCAGGGCCAGACAGATCAAGGGGTAGACCACCGAGGCGTTCATGCCGTAGGACATGCAAGGTTGCAAGGTCGAGAGCAACTTGAGGCCCAGCACGAGGAGTCGGGTCGAAGGGGCGGTGATGGGTCTGTCGAGGACGACAGAGAGACGACGGACCCAAGAATCCGACGGACCGTGACCCCACCGCCCACGCACGTCGTCCTCGTCGATCGGAGTGGGAGGTTCGAGTAGCAATCGATGTGGCTGGATGGGTGAGATGGCGCCCCCGTCGTCACCGTCGTCGTCGTCGTCGTCGCTATCACTGCCGCTGCTACTGGATCGCAATGGATTCGATGGGTCACTTTTTTCTCTCCTCCTCGACCTTTTGTTTTTGTTGATCAACCGTTCAGGAGAACCGGACATGTTTTGATGATGACGGAACCTCGCCCTCGGAGACTTGGGAGCTAGATCGTGACCACCGCTACCGACCCCGTGGCCGACGCCACGTGAAGGGGAGTTTCCCTTTTGAGGGGTGTCGATTTTTTGGATCCTCCGCCCGGGCGTGAGCTCTTCGGGTTCCATGGACCCTCGCCTCCTCACGGCGGGGATGTCGTCGAGTCGTCCCGAGGAGACGACCTGCAGGACGTCGTCCGCGCTGGGACGCAGCTCCGGGTCCAGCGACAAGAGGCGCCTGAGAAAGGTGTACAGGGCGGCGGGCAGGTCGGGCCGCCTTTTGCGTTGGTCGTCGTGGAAGCCCTCCCAGCCCAGGATCTCGGCGCGCAGCGAGTCGACGTCCTCGCGTTCCTCGTGCAGCACGTCGGAGCAGTTGTACGGCAAGGTGGCGAAGCACAAAAAGTGCAGGATCATGCCGAGGGAGAAGATGTCCGACTTGGACGTGAAGTTTTGGTAGGGGCCTCCGGGGGAGAGGCGCCTCAGCACCTCGGGCGCACAGTAGGAGATGGTGCCCGTGGCCCCCGTGGACTTGCGGGTCGCGTACTCGTACTGCACCTCGCCAAAGTCACTGACCAGGACCCTCGTCTCGCCGCCCGCCGTGTGCAGCAGGCAGTTGCTGGGTTTGAGGTCCCGGTGGATGAACCCGCTGTGGTGCAGAAACCGCAGGCCCGACGTGATGTCCCGGAAAAAGTTGTAGATCTCGTCAAAGGGCAGTTTCTTGGGCTCGTTCGGGCGGCGGGGCAGTTCGGTCTCCCCCTTGGAGCGCCGACGGATCCGCTCCTTGAGCTCCTGGGTCGTCGTGGCCGCCTGGGCCGACCCGAGGACGTAGTTGTGCATGTCCCCCCCGTTGCAATATTGCTGCAGGATGAAGGCGCAGGGGACGCTCGGGCCGAAGGTGCTGATCTGGTAGTCCTCGAGCCAGACGTGCCGGTACGAGACGAGGTTCTGGTGGGACAGGCCTTGCAGCAGCTGCACCTCGACGAGCACCTTTTCGAGCCAGGCGTGGTCGTCGCCGATGGGGACCCGTTTGCACGCGAAACAGCCCAGGTTGACACCGTCCAGCACGTGCTTGACCAGCAGGACGACGCCCCGCCCGCCCCGGCCGAGTTCCCGATCCTCGACGAAGAATTTCTCAAAATAGTTGGGCGAGAATGCCGTCTCCGAGATGCCGTGAGCCTGTGACGGCGGCACGGGCGCGCTCGCCACGAATTCGGCGTTGGCGGGCGGGTTGGCTACGACCGGAGACGAGGGACCCAGTCGCGACCGCACCGGCTGTACCATGCGACGTCTCGGCGAGGGCGGCGCCGAAGTCTGGTTCGAACCGGGAAGACTTCGAGCGAGCATCTCGAAATAATCCTGGGTGATGAAACTCGGTTGGTCTTCCCGCGGACCGCTGCCGGCGTCCTGACTGGACGACCTGGCCTGGGCGTGCCAGGGCCGACCGCATGTTGGGCAGTCGGACGGTCGTCGTTCGACCGCTCGGTTGTGGTGGAAGGGGACCAATTGATTCGTTCGTGGATCTCGATAGACAATGGTGTCTGCGTGCCGACTGTAGAGACAAGAATGTCAGTAACCGCCCTCCTTTGGGACCTTTTTGTCAAAGTTTGGACCGGCCCACACTCACAGCACGATGTCTCGGTTTGTGTCATAGGGGATAATTGACAGATTCGGTAGAACGCCGTCGGCGCCCTGTTGGTCCATATCTCAGAGAACGGAAGATGGCGGATTGGTGGGCGATAATGGAGCCGAGCACTCCATCATTCTTGGGAGAGAGAAACAAAAGAGGCACCGAGAAGTCAATGTCAGTAGAACAGAATCCACGTACGGCCGTTGAAATCAACTTGCTCAAGCAGTGTCCAAGTTGACAACCCAAGTGTGAGGAGTCGAAGTTGGTGTTTCTGAAATTCCGGATGTTGCCGCCGAGACCGAAGCGGAGGCCACGAAAAAGGGCGGTGGCGTCGAAGTCGATCTAGAAGCATCGGGTATCTACATCTACAATCCTCGGTAATCCGTACTCCATACCATGAGAACTACTTTGGGTCACTTCTGGTTGTATGTTACGTATACGTATACTTGGCTATATAAACAATGTACAGACAATAGTACTGGACACTGTTACCCAAATTTCAAAGTACAATGCAAAAAGTCGCTAGATTGAAAAGTCGAAGAATGTATATAGGTAGCTATCCAAGAGAAAGCGCTAATACCCTCCCTCCTCTGAATCCTCAAACAGTATTACCCTTGATTAGGCTGTATCATTAATTGTGCCCTGGTCTTGGAAAGACTGGCATCGTGTTTACATTATTCACGTCAAACCCTGAAAATGTCCCCTGAGAACTGTGTTGCCAGCCTTGTCCAGTCTCTTGGTTCACAAAAGCACTTTGCCTGAACGGATTCGTGCTCCCTGTTACATTCGCAGTCACCGGACCACCGGCTGTCGCAGGCCGATTTTTTGCGAATGGATTTGTTCCGGTTCTTTGTGGTTGAAGCGCAGGAGGTTGAGAGCCATATGATGAAGTGGAATTGAATGTTTGGTCCGGAGAGATTGGGCTAGGAGAGAAGGTCTGTTCAAAGTTGTTGCCACCAAAACCAGGACCGTTATGTGTTACAGCTCCGGTATTGTGCTTCGCAAAAGGGTTAATTGACTGCCGTGCAGGATTTGCACTCATTGGAGAGACCTGTGCATTTCCTGTTGGCATCATTGACTGACGGAATGGGTTTGTAGACGTATGCTGTGGTTGTAAAGCCATCTGCTGCTGTTGTTGTTGTTGTTGTTGTTGTTGCTGTTGTTGCTGGAAATCTGCCACGCCATTTTGAGGAATGGGTGAAAGATTGGACTGGAATTGGAAAGCATGTGTCTGCTGCGGCGGCTGAGGACCATACCCACCAAAACCTGCGCCAGTGAAATCGGTCTGCAAGGGTCCAGGCTGTGGGAGAGGCTGGCTTTGAAATTGAGGTTGTTGCTGCTGTTGCTGTTGCAAGAAGGGGTTGTACCCAGTCTGCTGCGGTATCTGTGCTTGTTGATATGCTTGACCCTGAAGCATTCCTGTGTGAAATTGCTGTTGAGGGTTGCTTGGTGAAGCCATTTGCTGTTGATTCTGCTCAATTGACTCGAAGAAATCGATCAAATCCGGTGCAGGCCCCTTTGGTATTTGCTGAGCCGGCTGCTGGAAGGAATGACCTTGTGTTGTCGTATCAGAAGGTCTATCAAAAGGCGTCGATTTTGGAGCTGATGACACAGGTTTCCCTGTTCTTTTAGCCTCTTGTTGTGCAAGATACTGTCGGCGGTTGATTTCAAAATCTGGGTCATTCAAATAATCTTCCAGCGAATTGGTCAATGTCGTGGGTGCATGCTTCAATTTAGGGACCTCCAACCTCGTCGACGTCTCGTACTGTCGCGCAAGGCTCAGATACTGCACTACTTGTTCCGTCTGCCTTCCAAAAGTCTTGTATATCTGCAAAGCGCGTTCTGCATCGGGACGAGACATTTCAAAATAATGCTCTGATAGGAAAGTTAGCATTTCGCCAGTCTTCGTATTCGAGAAACATACCCAAAACGTTGATAGTACCCTCGTTCATGACCTTGAAGAGCTCAAGCAGGTCAAGCGTCAGTAGCCGAAAGGCTGTCAATGTAATTTCGTTGTCTGGGTCTTGACTGTTCAACAGCTTCTTGGGTCAGTAAGATCGTTGCCATCCGAGGAAGCAAACTCACATCACATCGAAGTAGGGCTTGTATTTGGTCTTGGACTATTTCCGTCTGCCTTAGTAGGCCCTTTTCGACCGTAAGTCTTCGCATCTTGCCTGTTCCTGACTTGACGTAATCTGTTTTTGTATCTCGGTAGGCCCGAACCCGCTCCATGAGATATTCATAGTAGTGGCGAATATTCAAACCTTGGGTTTGAACTGTTCCATGTCAGTCGACGGGCAAAATCTCTTTGACTCGGACTCGGGAGTCATACCCTCTGCGAATCCACTGATAGCAATGCGTTTTGGTGAATCAGCGATGTACCTCAATGTGACCTCTGGCTGCCCTTCTCTTATCATCAAGTGGACCACAATCAGCGATTTGAAGACAATGGTCCATGTTGAATCTCGTAATCGCAATTGCAGAGTCCGGAAGACTTCAGCAACACCAGAATCCCCTCCATTCGTCGCAGAAAGAATAGGCTCGATGTACTTGGATTTGGGCGCAGCCAACTAGTCGAATTAGCCTTGACAGATCGAAAATTCTGTGGTCTTTACCTTTATTTTTGTAGCTCCCTTCACAATCTTCTCCATGGTCATCCTTTCGGTAGGTGAATGCTGTCGACTGTTGCTTAGAGGTTGCTCGTTGTCTCCCGATCGGAACGCGGTGGTAGGCAGGACCACCAAAAAGCGCGGCGTGACAGAGGGCAGGATTGATGTCGTAGTTGTGGGAGTAATGTGATCGGGGTGAGAAGGAAGACCACTGCAATGCTTAACAGGCGCGGTTTAAGCAGGTGATTTGAGCTGGGGCTTCCATATTATAAGGACATGTTGGACAAAGGTCGCAAGAAACGGTGACTGCCACTGCGCTGCGTTGGGCAGCTGAGGTAGAAATCACAGCTTGCGAGTTGACCTAGTCGCGTAGGACACAGCAGTGAAGATCCCTGCCACTATATTAGGTGTTTGCACAGTGGCTACGAAGAGTCGAAGGGAAGATGATGTCTATAGGTTGACGTATACCTGCTAGATCCTCCAGAAGTGCAACTTTGGATCTCCAAGAGGCGGAGCACATCGGACAACACACTTCGGTTGCCCCGGCCCCGGCACGAAGATGCATTACGGAGAATGAATAAAGTACCCAACTTTGGACTTCCTCTACCATGACAAAGCCCGCCGTTTCGTCCAATACTAATTGTGGTGTGCATTTTGGGGTGCAGAAGAATTCGTCGCAAGGAATTGTTATGCAATTGTTGAGACTCCGTCTCAGTACTTCTTCACAAGCACATCACTTTCGCTTCCAATCTCGAGCGAAAGACCTCAACGCTATCTACATTCATTCGAAGTACGTTAATAGCGCGTTCACCATATTCGTCGAACAACAACTTCATCCATGATAGCGACCAAACAGAAGAGAGGGATTATGGCAACAGCGATGACTTTTAAACTTGTAACTTTGAAAATGCTGCTTACTTGCGCATTCAAGACGGTCAATTGCCATTTCTTTTAATATAACAATGTTCGTAAACTTCATCTCTCAGTTTCATTCTCATGTTTCAACCTTGAATTGCTGTAACGTAAAGCATACGTAGCTCTTTTTGGGGTGTTTTACAAGTGAAGCGTAGCCCAGGCACAGAACCAGCCGCCCAAACATTTTCCCGTAAGGAAGCTCCTCAAACACTTGACCCTCTCCAGGGAATGACTCCTTGAATCTGTCAAACGCTATGAGTTTGTGGTAGTCATAGAGGGTGAGGAGATGGTACTGACCAGTAGGAAGGTTGGTTTCCTGACCCTAATCCATCATAAAATCACCACGAAGCATTCTTTCACCCAAATGGTCTGGCTTTTTCATTCTGGTGGGTGCAGGGGGTTCGACAGCCTTCGGGAATTCCTTGGGCGGCTCAGGATTAGAGATGCTTGCTGAACGCGGTCGAGTGGCCCCTTGGGCAAATGGATTGCCGGAAGAGAAAGAGGGAGAGCGTCTAGACCTATCACGAAGAGCCTCTGACCAGTTGAAGCCTTCTAAACAAGGGTCAGTATACGTCGATGATAGAGCGCCAGGGAGACCGCAGCAGCCACTTTGAATGGCATGAAAAGGACTGGCCTCGACTCTTACCTGTAGTCTTGGCCGTGCCCGACAAGCTAGGTCGTGAGGGAGTGGCATTCTCGGAATTTGAATTCTCAACCAGCGTGAAAAGGGAAGACGAGGGGCGCCTACCACCGCCAGTAGCAGAACCAGGGCTTGAGCCCATTCTCACGTCTCTCAATGCTTGTGCTCCAAAGCTGACTCTTCTCGCAAAGGATGGAGATGGAGGCTGTCCTATGGCCTGCGTCGATGTATCATCCTCTTCAATAACCGCGGGTTCGTCACCAAAGCTATTCTTGAAGTCTGGGGAGCTCGAAGCTGACGAGGTTGCAATGCTTGCTCGGCGTTGGAAGGCTGAGAAGGGAGTCTGGCCGGAGGGGTTGGTGGTGAGACCCAGTCCGGTGATGGAAGTGCCTCTCCGGTGTTGAGTATTGTTGGGGTTCGACGAGGTATTTGTAGAGGGAGGTGAGGATGAGAGTCCAGTAGTCGCGGTCGACTGGGCTGAACGAGGGTTGAACATGTCAATGAAGGAGGATCGTCGGCGGTGTTGGGGGGCAGGGGAGGGTGGTGTGTTTTGGCCGGACATGGCGGGAAGCGTCGATTGATTGTGGCAATGTACGGAACAGCAATTTGCAAGGTGCGGTTGTAGGCAGTTTTCGATAGGTATAATAGTAGGATCAATAGACACTTTGAAGTTGAGATGGCTTTGAGGGCTCAGACAAAGGGGATGCCAGCCAAAGTCACGTCATGGTTGGTATGAGCGTGAACAGGAGACGCGGCTGATTGGGTGGTTCGAGATAGGCGAGCAAAGGCACGGAGTAGATTGGCTTAGTCTGATTGATTGGTGGTCGGTGCGGTATAGCAATGGGTTTGGAATGGTTTGGATATCAAGGAGATAGTAGAGTTGGGATAGAGTAGTGATGAGAAAGTAAAGAGAGGAGGGAGGGAGTGAAGGAGGCATGGAAATGCTGTTGGTTTACATATTACAGTACTACACAGGTGATCGAGAACACCGGATGGGCAAGGAAGTTTCCTTTTCCTGAGCGCTATCATCTCCAGGTAATACGTGGGCGTGCATTAGGCCCATGTTTAGCGCGCTCTCTCCAGACTCGAAGCCCATTCCAGTTGGTTGAAGCATCTCCACGGGCCTGCACAGGCCACCAGAGGAGACCTAACGGGGAACCCTAAGCATCTGAATGGATATCAGAGGTACTGAAACTATACACCAGTCGTACAAGGCCAGAGCATCTGTCAGTACACCTTGCAATTCTCAGTACCCGACGAGATGAAGGAATCAGGTCATACAAGTCATACAAGTCGGTCAGTCACTTAGCTGGGAACGTTATGGAGAGTCCCTATCTGCATTCGCATTGGGAATTATCACGTGAAGCATTACTTAGAGTGATTGTCTGCGCCCGCGCCTGCGCCCTCTGAGTACAGCTTGTTCTCCTCCATACACCTCCCACACCTCGCACACAACACCCTCCCTTCGTACATACTTCTCAACCCCTGTCAAACCATTCTTCGTCAGCGGATCGGCCAACCAGTCCGTCCGCCTTGGTAAAAGTGTGGGGTAAGAGATCAGACTGTGTGAACACCGTCTTCTCTCTCTCCCTCCTCGACAGAACATGCCCTTTTCTAGTCATTCAAACCTGGATTCCCCTGGACCCTCTTCCCGTCTAGCCCGGTTGAAAGTGCCAACTGCTTCCGTTTCCGTCTTCTTACACCATCACATGCAATCATTCTTCAACTCTACGACTACGAGTACGAGGTGATAGCTTGCTCTCCCCCTCAGCTTCACGCGAGGAATGTCCGCCATTCCACGTGATTCTCTTCTAGCCAACCACTCGCGCCCCTCGACTCCTCTCTTACTATTACCCAATCGTTCTCGGCTTCCGGGCATAATACAGTCATCCGCGCGCAATGGCGGATGCATGGCTCTTTTTGTTTCCATCTACAACTTACTGTCAGGATCTCGGCTGATGGTGGGGATAGACTGGTTGCCCTATGACCTTTGTTGTTCGACTACACTACGAGAACCCGGCGAATCCAAGGGTCTCCTTTTTGTCCCATCTTCATTCAGACCCTAGACTTGGCCCATGCGGAACACCTCCCATTCCGAGCTTTGGCCATCCACTGAAATGCTAGATAAAAAGACGTTTCTCTTGTCCATGGCGCTAAACCAAAAACGGACAATGAGTTGTGTTCGTCTTTGCCTTCAATCGTGCCTCTTTCTCAAGTTGCCTGAACGCAGATGGTGCGTGCAATTGATGCAAACAAGTTTCTAGGTCATGTACCATGACAGCCTTTGTCCGAGGTAGGTTTTATTTAATGTTCTGCTGGTAAGCTGTTCTGATGTTTTTCCCCTTGTATCCCCTTTTGCTTCCTTCAGATCGAGATGGCGCCCAGACGGAATGCGAAAAGTGCTCGTCGACGACTTTCGAGCCAGCCGTACAGGCACTCTGCGTCTGGCGTAACGAGGGCCGGTACTGTATTTCCTCGACCACTAGGACGAACTATAACGACTCTACTTGAAGGACCCGGCATCGCTATTGCTGGTCCAAATCATGGCCGTTTGCGCCTCGCCACAGAATCACAAAGTCAGTCTGGCCTCACAAAAACCCACCAAGCACCTACGCAGGAGAATGTCGACGACACAATCGACAGCGGGCCTCGTCATGAGCCCAGAATCCGAACCGATCAAACCTCTGAAACCTACCTCTGGCTTCCTAGTATCAATAGTCGCTCCGCGCCCCGGACGGTGGAAGTTATCCTAGAGAGGATCAATAAGTATTTCGAGCAATGGATAGATTCCAATGGGGTCCGAGAGCCGACGACCTTGTTTGAAGATATGACTGTTATTACTGACTGGCTTCACTTAATGTCATCTTTGCCTGAAGAAATCCTCAACGCCGCTCCCATTATTCAATGCCTTCGAAAGCTTACCGAGAATTACTCTACCTTCGTAGCTCTCTGGAAATCATACTCGGAATCACTGCTGTCTCAAAGGCTTCATGACTTGCAGATTCGCGTACGTCGATCACCCACGAGCGTCCCAGAACGGACATTCTCTACGCTGCTAGTTGGGATTCAGTCTTTATCAGCATGCCCTGCTCTTCCGAGCCTATTTGGAAATGCCAGCGAGCAACTGTTCCCACTACTAGGCCGCGATGTTGTTGTGAACGTTTTGCGTAAATGTGATGAGTTGCACGGTGACTTCCAGAACCTCACCTACAAATCAGAAAGAAGGACCTTGTGGCTTCACATCTGGAGATGTCTGAAAGTGGCATTCGTCAGCTTTGACAGTGGCGATCTGTCGAACATCACTGACCGACGATGTCTTGAGGTTGAATTCTTTGAAAAGCCCGGTGTCGCAGGAGAATTTAAACGTCTGGTTCGGCTACCGGACGCCGCCAATCCAAGGAGTATCGAAAATATGGTGGCCAAGTATTGTCGCTTCATTAACAGATGCCGTGCAGACCCTGACGAGAGATACTTCCACCTTCGTCGGTTGCAAGAAGAGCCTTTGAGAAAGCATGTCATTTCTTCGCTTAGGAAATTTGCAGACAGTAACATACTGGATTCCAACACCTTTCCCAAATTACACTTTGCAGTGATACGACTGAACGCCATCAACGGGGGCCCGGCTGCTGTCAGAAGATGGAGAGGCGCAGAAAGCGCACGAGGAGATCGGTTGACCCCATCTTCTTACATCTCCTCTCCTGCCGCAAGCAGCTTTTCGGTGAGGGCAGGGAGGTCATCAAGCGCACAGGGAGCGAATGTGCAGAAGACATCACGTCGATCAACCTCAACTGACACCACAAGTTCAACAAGAAAAGATGCTGATCTACTCATCGCTGGTCAACTTGGCAGACGAACGTCCCAACGTTTCTTCCCGCAACCACGAGGCATAAACCTCACCAGCGATTTTGACTATGTCCATTGTCAATTTCCAGAAACACGCGCCTTGGAAGTCGCCCACAGTGAGCAGATATCCCGGGAATTAGCGACCCCTGGAATATATTCCGAAGGATTACGACCTGAGTATCTCATCAACAGGCCTCCACCTCACACTCGAGATTCGTCCTCGCCTTCTGGATCTCAGTATACTCGACTTTTTGGACCGTTCGGCCGGCTCAGATCATTCATACGACGGCTCATTCCTGGACAAAGTCGAGCTCTCTCGCCTGTCGCCCTTGTTTCCCGTAAGCGCCGAGGTGAGAGACGTCCAGATGGCCCTCGGGCTATCATAGACCCAAAAAGCCGCGTTCGCAAGACAACACCAGCACTGAGACTACGAGGAGGAGATGGAAGGAACCCGACCCGTGGTCATTCACCTAGGAGGGAAACTTCGGCTAATGCGAATGCCAGTCGCGCAGCAATCTTTCGCGACCAACATATCTCATTGTTCAGGCAAATGTTCCAAGAAAGATACCGCTCCATTGCGAGTCCCACTGATGACGAGATATGGGATCTTTTGGAACGATCGGCCTTTCGTGTTGGGGATGCCGTGGCTCTATACAATCAGCCGCCAACTGCACTACGATCTGCTGTCACGAGAAATGAGAGTCTAGAGAGTGCGGATTCCTCTCAGTTCAGGCGGAATTCATCCCCTCCTAGGGGACAGTATGTTCCAACTTCCCCCAGTACACAGCGTGGAGCCTCGGGGCGGTTGACGGGGTCCGCTACCCGTAATGTGCGACAGCAAGCACCTACGGTGAGAGCAGAGCCCGGTGCCAGAATCCCACATTGGCAAGGCCCTCCCCAAATGCCCCGAATGCAAGACCCTTTCTACGTACCACAAGGAAACCCTATCCAGATACCGCAATGGCAAGGGCCTTCATATATACCACGGGGTTCTATTCTCCCTCATCCAACGATCTCAGCAGCTCCTTCATATTTTGGGGGCGCTCCATCACGGCGATCGCCGGCTGCCACCCGCATTCTGCTCGGTGAGATCACAGCCGGCCCAGAACTACCCGATGACCATGAAGGTGGTGTCCGCCCTGGTGGATTTGGCCTTCGGCCTAGACCAGGACGGCAACCCCTTGGTGAGCTCGTTGTCGAGAATGACGAAAGTGCCCATGGTTCAGGCCCCGAAGAAGGTTCTTCGAGTGACTCAAGTCGACATAGCTCAGTAAACAATACGAACCAAGAAAATCAACCTCCTATTGATATTCATGTCGATGGGCTGTGCCATGAGTGTCCTCAATTCCCGGGGCAATACCATCACTTCTGTCAATGCTTACCCCAACCTGGCCATGTGCATGTGCCGCGTACTAGGCGAACGACATCGCCAATTGAGAGTCAATCCGATGAGCAGAACGAAACAGAGCCTGCAATTGAGGGCAATCAGGATGCACAACAAGCTGAGCAAGATCCTGATGCTGAATCCGAGCAGGACATCGATCAACGTGGTCCACATCGAGCGGCTCGCACTCTTCCTCACCCTAATGACGAGGTGCCCGTGCCAACACTGATTCCTCAAGATAGCCACTTCAGAAATGTGCTTCGCGTCATCGGCTCTGTGCATCTCCCTGGGCTGTCAACAATGCTTGTAGACAAAACTGCGACCCATATGAGACCAGCCGAAGTAAGGGCGGTCATCCGCGATGCGTTCAACAATCTCCGTAGGGAGACGAACGAGTTGAGAGCAGCTTATCGAACTCTTCTCGACCAGGCTGTTCCTATTGAAATGGATAGGATTCCAAGACGTGAAGTCCCGCGGCTTCACCCAGCACATCCAGCAACTTTTGCCCTCATGAGGAGAGAACTCATTGACATTCAAGAGCAATACCTTCGCATTTTGAAGATGTTTGATGTCATAGGCCGTCAGAGTTACTTGAATCTTGCCCTACGGCAGGGGCTGAATCGGTTTTTGCGGCTCATGCGCAACTTGCGTCGCCTGTTTCTGGAGTATGACCATAAAATAGGTCAGGAAGAAGCGGCGGCGCAAGGATCAACGCCCGCAACACCAGATAGTGAGACCGACAGTCAACCGTTCCTTTCTGACCAAGAGCAAGATCGGATCAGCAAGTACAATCCCCGTCAAACTCCATCACTTCCGAGCAGACAAGATTACGCCGCCATGTTCCGGGACGAATTAATGCGAGAAGTTACAATACAGCGTCAAATTCCCGAAAAGTCAGTTCGCAGTGACAACAGAAACCAGCTCATTGAGAAGCTCATGGCACTGGATCGTCAGGGCAATCTGGGGGCGGGAGCGCGATATGGGTACCGAAGTCTGAACAACGACGCTGCTGCTAGAGGTCGACCCAAGGGCTGGAATCTCGAAGATGCCATTGCGGCGGACATAATCCGACATCGTAATGTCAGGCAAGCCGAGAGGAGCAACGAGAGGCGTGGAAGACAGAAGGAGAGAAGGCAGAAAGGCCTTTCGGTCACAAAGCACTGGACAGGGGTTGCACGGACGAACCAGCCACCTTTCTCGGCCGTTGCGAAGGGAATGTCCTCTGAGGAGGAGTTCGACAGCTCGGAGAACGACTCAACTTCTTCGGAGGATTGGCCATAGGACAGACGGAGTACGTCAAGGGCATGCTGAGAATGGAATTGTAGGCACTCTTGATGTTTTAGGTAGTTTGAACCATTTTGACAGACTTGATGGATGGTTTTCAGAGTAGTAATATGAGTATTGTGTAACCGGTGCAGGACGCCACGACTCCGACTTATCTGTGACAAAACCGTGAAGAACCTGACACAAATGAGTTCGACGAGGCTGGAACTTGTGCTGCAAGGCTGAACCAAAGACTTGGTAGGGGATGTGCTTAGACCGTCTGATTGGATGCTCGATCAAGATATCCTTGCTCATACGAATGCGTACCGTACGGAGTACTGTATGTAAATAATAACTCCCGGCGGATGGGAGATTTCTGATTGTGGCAGTGCTGGCGATTCAAATCTCGCCTTTTGTCATGATTAATACGGAGTATGACAACCCAGACTGTTCGTGTTCGATTTCAAAAAAATACGGGGGAAATTTGGTACGTAGCAGGTGGTGAGACCAATCAACATTTCGTACTCCGTATCCCTACTCCGTATCCTTGACCCCTTTCGAAACCATTTCCTTTCCCCCCCCCCCCTCCCCCCCTTGAAACGACCGTTTTTCTCTGTCCAGACCCTTCCTCCCATGTTCTTCGATTCAAAACCCACTCGCGTGACCAACAACTGACAGCTTTTCTCCTCGACGCGTCTTTGTTACATACCAAGTTCCAGCCAGTTCCAGCCAGTCATCGAGTGGAAAAAAAGAGTGGATTGGATCTACGGACACTCCGTAACGAAATCCCCCCCTTTTAAATTGGGCTTCCTGGGGGCTGGACGTCAATCAAAGAATCCAGTCCCAATGAACGGTACTCCGTACCGTTGCGGCTACGAACCCATGTCACTCGGCGTACTCGTTCGAAAGGAAGAAGGGCGATTGACTTTTTTTTTTCTGGGGGTCCAAAAAGACAAAACTTGAAGGTCAGTCGAAATCGAAAAGGGATTCCAATAAGTAGACAAGTAGGTTGCTGCACTTTTGTGGGAATTTCTTTGATTCTTCCTTTTCTCTCTCCTCTTCTCTCATTCACTTGTGTTTACCTTACTGTCTTTACTCTTTTTTGTTCTTGTGACAAAACAAGAACCACTTTCTCTCGTTCGAGATCCGTTTCTCTCTCCCTCTCTCACCAAAAAAAGAAAAGAAAAGAACCTCGAGGCATTTCCCGTCCGTGTACAACTTCATTCCCGACACGACCAAAACACATCATCATCATGCGTTTCACCTACATCTTCGCCGCCGCTCTCGCGGCCACCGCCTCGGCACAGGACCTCTCTTCCCTCCTCTCCGAGGCCTCATCCCTCGTCGGGACCGACACCGCCCTCCAGACCTTGCTCTCCAGCGCCGCCTCCGCGTTGAGCTCGGCCACCTCGGGCCTGACCGGTGACGCTGCCTCGATCTATTCTTCCGCCCTGTCCGCCGCCGGTTCTGAAATCGGTGCCGCCACGAGCGCCGCGGGGTCCGCCGCGGGTTCCGCCACCGGCGCGGCCGGCAGTGCCTTGTCCAGCGCCACCGCCGCCGTCGGTTCCGCCACTTCCAGTGCCGGTGCCAGTGCCACCGGTTCCAGCTCGATCTCGGGCAACGGTGTGGACAGACTCGCCCTACCCGCCATGGGAGTATTCGGTGCCGCCGTTCTCGGTCTCGCTGCGGCGTTGTAAAAGAAAAAAAACCAGCTCAAGGTCGAAAACACCCGAATCGACATTCTGTTTCTCCTTTTTTTGTGTCAGAAAACCCCCCCCTCTTCCAAAAAAGGACTGACACGGGGCGTCGAGGACCAATGGGCGGCCACATTTCTTGTACGGATCTTGGGGCGTGTGGGAAAGAAACCGGTGTCTTTTTTGTTTCCAACTTTCAACGGAAGATCCAAACTTTTATATACAAATAACAATACGAGAGTGTTAGTATTAAAAGACTACCCTTCCTAGGTACTGTTTACGGCGATGGTTCTTTTTCTCCCTTCTGGACGGCATGCTCTTCTGGGGAAGGAAAAAAGTACATCCATCTTTTGCTCAAAGTATTGGACACATACAAACACACAGAGAAGGGACATTGAGATTACCCTAGATGAAGGGGCAAAAAGGACTTTTGGAGCAATCCATCAAATGTTTATTTGCCAGGGCCAAGAAAAGAAGACGGTCTTTCTTCCTTTGAAACGTGATTTTCAAGTGTCTGAACGAGACGGATTTTTCTCGTGAGTCCCTTGGGTCTTGTTGACCGTTAGAACAAGCCCCGTTACCCAGAGTAAGGGTCAAGAGTTACTGAGTGAAGAATCGTAGTCTATATCTCCCGGGATAGATTCTCGTCCCTACTTGACATGGCAACTTTGCTACGGATCAACTACCTAGGTACTACTCCGTAAGTACGGAGTACCTACCTACCTCTCTCCATAGTAGCTTACGTCCATATGTGTTCCGTGTCCAAAAGATGTACTCGTAATGTATGTGTTTGTATGTGTGAGTGAAGAAAGCTCGGGACCCTCGAGGACCACCACCATCACCACCCATGTCCATTCCAGTGTTTCCAGATTTAAAAAAAAGACCTATTCTAGATCAACCTCTACCAACCTCTCCAAATCATACCCTATACGGAGTTATCCATGTGTAAGTCAACAAATCACCGCTCTTCAGATCACAAAAAAGAGATCAAATCATCTCTCTCTGGAATGTGCAACGTCGATACCATCTCGTCCGTGCTCACTGGCAATCCCTTCATACAGCAAACTCCCCCTCCCTCCCTCCCAATGGCTCAACATAACAACCAACATGGACTGGAATGTCAGCACCCCCAACAACAACCTCTTTTTGCTCTTGTTTCCTTCGGATCACATCAAATCACATCAAATCAGAGGCAAAGAAACACATTCACAACAAACATACGAATTCGTGCCCCCAAAGGTCCAAGGTCCTGGCGATAAAGTATTTGACCACCGCATACCTACTGCTGTTGATCGTGTCCGGCCATCTACTTTTCTCTCTTCTTTTCCCTCTCTTACCCCCTTTGCATCCAACCAAAGTCACACACAGTCACTCATTTATTTTGCCCAGTCTTGTTCTTCGTCGTCTCTCAACTCTCCTTGTCACTCTTTTGACCACTTCATCTCAATCATTCATCCTGTGCGCCAGTAACCATGCTTCGTCTCGTCGCCATCGCCGTCGGCACCATGGCCACCACCGCCCTCGCTTCTGATTTCGTCAACATGACTTGGGGTCCAGTCACCGTCGGACAAGTCGTTCCAATCCACTTCACCGTGGGAGATGGTTCACCAGTCTCCCTGTTCTTCGGCAATCTTAGCTGGAACGATCCTATAGCTAGTACGTCCAGGTCCTAACAAACCCAAAGCGCCACGAAATGCTAACTTCTCCGTTTGTGCAGCCAATATCCCAGCTTCGTCTGCTGAGTACAACTGGACCGTGACCGTCCCTGATGGCTTCGTCCCCGGCGACTATGGCCTTGGCATCGTTCAAGATGGCTCATCCAACTTCTCACCTCTCTTCGCCATCAATGCCGCCGGGGTCGGATCTGGTTCAGGCAGTAGCACCTCGAGCACCAGCGACCCAACAACCATTGCGCCGCCAGTGACAACGACGACACCATTCACAACATACACACCAACTGCCAACGCAACGTTGATCTCTGCTGGTGCAGAACCCACTGTCACTGTCACATACTGGGATCCACACTGCGGATGCCATCAGACATCGGTGATGCCTGCACCCACTGCAGCTGCCACAGGAGGCACATCAGGCACAACCTACACATGGTATGATGACAACTGCGGCTGCACCAAGACAGCCATTGCTCCGGTTGCAACGAACCCTGCCTCAAACTATACTGCCTCCATGGTCACAAATGCAGGCACCAACGTGCCCCCGCCACCACCGAGTACGGCTGCGCCGGCCCCAACTGCTGGTACGACTCGATACAGTGGTGATGCCAGTCGCTTGGTGAGCTCGGGCTTTGGTATTGCGGCTTTGATTGCCGCGGTTCTGGCATAGATGAGAGATAGGGCACGTGGTTTGCATTTTTCATGGTTTGGGAAGGACTTTGCTGTGTTTTCTTGGGTTTACATGGTTAGGATTGGAGTCTTGGGTATCACTGGAATCAACGTTCAAGCCGCGGCTTTCGAGGGAATGAGAAGAATGTGGTGGTGGCTTGTACAATCCGAGTCGCAATGGATTGGAAGTTGCTCGTCTGGTCAGATCGTTTTGATAGTTGTCGTTCATAAGGTCATTTCATTCATAAAAAGTAAAGTCATCATTCACCGCTCTCCTTTCAACTTTTCGAACGCTCCGAAATCTGCGCTGGAGAAAGAGAAGGGACTTTTCGTATCCTCGGGTGATCGGGGGCTCAGAGCGACCGCGAAAAGATCATCTTCAGTTGAGTCTGTCGGCTTCTTATTGGTCATGAAGTCCATCGAGCCTGCTAATGATCGTTCCTGCTGTGTTCTGATGTGCTCAGGGGGCGCTTGGGCCACAATCTTTTTCGAAGGGGCAGCGGTGGAGGCGGGTGAGGGTCCATTCCTGAAGGCGCTGAACGAAGAGTATGCCAGATCAGATGCCTCCGGTGATAACGGATGTACCTCGCGCGTAGGAGTGTTGAGGCCCCGGGGAGCCAGGTCCTTCTCACTGGTCCCGAGCGTCAACCCTTTCAATTTCTCGCTCAGTCTTCTCCCGCCAGGAGATCGTGGGCTCTGTATGCCAGGGCTCGTCGGTGCAAGAGGTGCTTTCGAGGCAGCGGTCAAATCCAGGGCAGGAGGCTTCCCAGCCACTCCAAAGTTGTTCTCTATCCAGCTTTTTTCCGACCTGGCCATCTCCAAAGCTATACCCTCTAGGTTGTGCTCCTCCTCATGTTTGATCTCCTTGTCGAGAACCTGTAATCTCTTCTTGGCCCATATCGTATGCAGCACTCCCCGCTTACCAGCGGCCTTTGCAGTGGCTCCGAGTTCCGGTGTAAAGATGGCCGGCAAAGGGTTCACCGTCATTCGTAACGGGGTGGCTGAACCCTCGGTCTTTTCCGCAAAGGGATAATATGCGAGAGTGACATGAGGAGGGATGGTCGCACCAGGAGGCAAGAGAAAATAGACTCGACGGATATTGTCCGAAGGGTTGTCGTCCGCGGGGAAGACTGTCCGCTTGCCAGACCATGAAACCTGCCATCTACCTGACTTGGAGCGAGCGTGGTCATCGTCTTGCCATTCGACCATCAAGACTTTGGTTCCTTCGTTGCCTCGGCCGGGCTCGAACTCGAATCGAGCAAGAGCGGTGACAGAAGTCAGAGTGTCAGGGAAGACTGGCGACGCCGGTGTTGCTGGAGTTTCAATTTCTGCCATGATGGGAAACACGCTCGAAAAGATACAGCCTACAAAAATCAAGAACAAGAGATAAGAACAAGAGCAGCGACGTGAAAGGAGAGACAAGCTTGCGAGAGTAAAAGGAAAGCAAATATAGAGCAGGTAGGGCAGACTATTTACTCCGTATCGCAACCTGAGACCAGCCGGTTGTCTTTGGTCGAAAATCAGGAATCCAACGGGAAGACCCGCCCAAGTAATGAGCCTCGCAAGTACCGAGCATTACGAGCACATACAGCAGGTAGGCAAGTTTGGTACAATAGGTACCTTTGCGAGTTAGGCATGTACTGTACTTGTTTAGTGAGCCCATCTTAGGCAAAAGACCGATGCTATTTAATGGTACCGTAACCTCCATGTATCTCTCTACCCTAGTACTCTGTAGGCACTCGTCACTCCGTATCAACAAAGACCTCGCGAAATATGACTTCCTGCCTCTATGACCTCTTTTCAACCATCGAGTTGGGACTTGGTCAATTCCTTTTCCCAGCCTTTAGGTATTTCTCTCAGGTCTCTCTCGTCGCTCGTGCGGATAAAAGAGTGCTAGGAACTACTCTTTTTACCTACCCCTGCATCGCCAAACCTCGGGCGGCTTAGAAACCAATCGGCATCGTCCGCGACATGGTCCAAGGCCAGAACAACCCGTCATTATGTGATATAAAAAGGTATAAATAACTGTCAGCATTATGTGCCAACCTCATGTGCAATATCTGGGGGTATATACGGTCCGAACTTTCCAAGTCCCTTCATTATGATCGTTGATTGATCAGATCCATGCCATCCAAGCGCCCATATCCTCAGAACCCAATACCAGCCTAGACATGGTTTTTGAAACCTCCCACTGAAATCCGCTATGGAAATGGAGTAGCTCGATATGCTGTCCCGTCTCGTCAACGACTCAGCTTACCCAAACACTATACAGTCCTTTGACCAGTCCCGTCAATTCCCAGTCCCACCTCCTTTCCCACTACAGCCGCAAGCCCACCAAACCCTTCTTTCTTGAGCCTCTCAATCAGTACAAGGCTCTTTTCACGTCTCTTTGTTTTGATCTTGGCTTCGAGCTCGGCCACTTCTGTGGCAAGCATCTTCCTGCTGTCCTCCAGGTTCAAAGCAATGAATTCTTCTTCATACTTTTTCAAGTTACGAAGCTGTGTCTCCAATTCGACAATCGACGCATCCAGAGCTGCGGTCGGAGCCTTGATGTCGTTTGGTGGCATGGGCTTTGTTGGTGATGTTGGCGGAGCAGTGCTTGGGGTGCTCATCATACCACTCGAGTTATGGCGTGGTACAAACATGCCATTCTGTGCAGAGTGTCCAAGCATTGGCGGGAGTATGTGGTTCTGCACATGTTGAAAATTGCTGGGTACGCGCCCACCGTTGACAGCAGTAGAAGCCAAGGAAGCAATTCCCGGAGACGTGCTGACTCTTGCATGTCTCTCATCCGTAGGGCTTGCCATGAAATCATGCCCGTCGGCAAAAGTCTTCAAGCTCGGGAGCAGTGTGGGCAAATTGCCATTGATGTTGCCAAAAGCATCCAAAACAAGCTCGGAGCTTTCCCTCGAAAGAACCAATCTCGACTGGTTCGAAAAATCTGGCTCGGGAGTCGGTAGCTCGATCTTCCTCAAGGGTGTTTCTGGAGCACTGTCACCGGTCGCAGATATCGTTCGCTTCCTGCCACTGATCTGGGTCATCCCTGGCAAAGACGTGTTCCCGCTCCCACCAGGATTACTTTCCCTTCGACCCCGTTTCTGGTCGAAAACATTGTCTGCAAATCCCATCACCTTTCCTCTGGTGTCGCAAGCCTTGACTCGCCGTTTGCTTGCTGGCTTCTCGCTCTTGACGTAAGCCGTCGTGAAGTGACAGCAACGACAATTACACGTCTCTTCACACTTCGGACAGATCCACATACCCTTATGTCGCAACACATCAGGGGGATACTGATCAAAGTGTCGGAAAAGACCTCGATAGCAGAAGAAGGCAGTACACTTGTCGCAACGACGACCCTTCCATTCTTGGTGATCAATACGGCACAGATGGCAGAGTTTGGCAGAGGTTGTACTCTTGGCCCGCATAAGATCATTGACGGCGGTACCAAGTGTCTTACAACGATCCAACTCCCGGGGTGCCTCAGGCTGGAACCCCAAAATCTCTCTAGCTCTGTTGAGGACTCTTGTACACTGGTCGGTTTGAACAAGCTCTGCCCAAGCATATGACTGAGCATGCTCACACGACCGACCATTCACGTAGCACAGCAAGCAGAGATCAAAATCAGTGCATACTGTGCAGCGAACGTGGCGATTCCAAATGGCAGTGGAGCAAAAGTTGCAGGTTGCGATAGTACCAGCAGGCATGGGTACTAAGCTGATAGGGGTGGCAGGCTCAGACTCGATAGATTCGTCATGGACCATTTGCCTGAACAAACGCGAAAGCAGAGGCAGGTCTGGTGGAAGTGGCAATGAGGCATTGGTAATACTTTGGTTGTCCTGAAGCAGCGAGAGCATAGCGCACGCGAGTGACAGATTGGTACGAGCAACATCGGGATGGCATAGACGGTTGAATGGTACCTGCACACATTGAAATCCGACTTCGAGAGATAAAGGATGGAGAATGTTCCAAACGAGTTTTGCTGAAAGAGTAGAAGGATTCCAGACTTGATGTGCCGTGGCCGGTGGAAAGACAACGAGGTCTCCTACACGCTGATCATAGACATATAGTGGGAAGTCGGCCTCGACGAGTTCGTCAGAACCCACATTCAACCAATCGAGGTGTGGCGAAGCTCCTCTCGATGAGATGAAGGCATCGTACTTCTTCTGGGAATCGAAGTCGGTTCCGATGCAGACGACTGGGCGATCATCCGACTCGACCAGCAGATTAAGGGCGACGGTGCTTGAAAAGCATCGATGGAAGCCTGAGCTACTCCCCTCACTGCCGACATAGGCCATCATGACTTCACTTCGAGCGCACTGAGGAAGCCACTGGAAGAGATCCAGTCGACCACCCCACTGGACCTCGGTGGGAAGGAGTCTGCGACACTGTTCCAGCCATTCTGGCGGACATTGGAGATCTCGAGCATATAGATTTTGAAACTCGGGAAAGGACTGTCTCGCACTGTCTGCAAACTTCTTGAGGGTGAAGGAAAGATCTCGTCCTGTACTGCAGTTGCGCACGGGTATGTTCTTTTTCGTGCTCAGTTCAATCAGTCTCTCGATGCCAAAGGCAGACTGATGTCCACTCCGAGAGTCCGCACCCGGCCAGGTATCAAGCTTCTCGAAGTCGGCAATGACGAAAGGCTTGCCAACTTGCAGCCGTCTCGTCAGCCATTCCGAGAAGGGGAGCCTATTGCCAGCATGGTCTTTCTCGTCCAATAGAGACAGAATACTAAATCTTGGGAACTCGACAAAAGGTTTACCGAGACGGAGAAGTTGTTGGGAAGAGGTGTCGGGAGGTACGGTCGCGGAGGGAGTCTGTGGAATCATGGTGTGTGTGAGGCGCGATCAAACACCATCTTGAAGGGGAGGTCTGTTGTGAAAGTGAAAGAGGGCACCGGGGGAGACGACTCAAATATCGCGTTGAGTAAGTTCCGAGGAAATGTTGATAGATCGCATGCGAACCCTGGAATCTGGGATCGAAAAAGACGGCTTGGAATACGAGGAGCCGGGGAGGTCGCGCAAAGCAGCCACGGCATCGAGTGCAACTCTAGCAACAAGGGGAGGAACGTGGAGAAGACATTGAAAAGATCCTGGTGTTGTCCAAACAGAAGGAAGTGATTGGATTGAGAAGACGAGTCGGCATGAAAGAGAAAATTGAGGAGTCGCTGGTGGTCTGGATTGGGCGCTGCATGACATTATTGCGGGGGAAAGAACAAAAAGACTTGCACTTGCCTAAAGTTCGGCAACCTGTCGGGAAGCTGGGAAGCGTCCAACTAAAGGAGTGTCTAGTTACTCTTTTTACTCGTACCTAGGCATGCACTTTAGGCATCTCGGAGGGCCACTAAAATACTGCCACAGAGCCCCATCCACACCACGAAAAAGTCGATTTGTTTTGACAGATTGACGGATACATGAATTGGATGGTCGGTTGGACAGATGATCGAATCAATCATGGCGACTAGCATCTTGAACATGCTCGTACACAATAAAGTAACCATGTTTTTACTCACAAGTTCAGCACGATGTGAGGAACAATTGAAGCACCAAGGCTCATGCTCCGGAGTTATCTAGGTAACCTTCTGTCCTTCAACAAAAATCAACGACAGATCACTCTATCACATGCTATTCTACCGCAATAATGCCGATGATGGATGGCTGCTGAATGTATGTACTCCATACTGTACGGAGTACATGGGTGAACAACTTCCTTCATACCAAACTATACCTCCTGTCACTTTGCTGTAGGGCCTCCGATCCTAGCTCGATTACTGCACCCTTTGCGATGCGAGGCCCCTTGGAGCATTGTCGACACAGTTCATGGTGCTCATGACCAATCACTGATGGTTCCTTTCATGCAAGTAGTCCCGTCGTTGCTGACAACATTGACATCGGCAACCTTCTGACGAACTGCGTCTTCGTCCATCATGACACGGTATGCTTCCCCTGCATACACTGGGCTGGTAGCTCGATACTCGATCTTCTCGGGAAAGAAGATGCCGTCGCCGTCCTGGGAGGGAGCTTTGGCATCTCTCCAATGATCCAGCATGGCCATCAGATTCATGGGACCGTGGACCACCACATTTCTGTGTCCTTCGACATCCCTCGCCCATGGCTTGTCGTAGTGGATTCGGTGGGCGTTGAACGTCAATGCAGAAAACCTAAACAGCATCGCCTCATCCCGGTTGTATTCCCGGACAACCTTTCCCGTGGCCGCTTGCTCTAGTTCCGACACTGACAACTCGGCAGGCTTCGGAACGGTGGTTGCTGGCTTTGTCGGGTCCAAGGCGGTCCTGAACACCCAATTTCGTCGGTCCAGCACACAGAGCTCGTCCTTGCTGTTGCGGAACTCCTTTTCAACCCGGACGACCAACATGTCTTCTCCCGTCTTGCCAATCACTTTTGGTTCGCAACTCAACACCTTGGTGGTCTCGGTGGCCATTTCCCCTACCCTGAGCAAGGCTTGTGTGCTCGCATTGTTGGGGTTTGCTCCGACCCAGTGACAAGATCCACCAGCCCACATGCGCCGCGTGAAGGGGGCGTCGGGATTGAATGATGCGTCCGTACCGTCAAGTCCTAGCCTTCCCGGTAGCTGGGCTGGGGTGAAGTATACGAGGTGGTAATAAGGTGGGATAGGTGTGCCTGAGAGTGGTTCTTTGTCTTCCAAGTCGTGACCGCTCGAACTGTTTGAGCTAGACCACAGATGCGGCCTGTCTAGGGTGAGGGAGAAGAGTCGTAGCTGGTTCGCATCTAAAAGCTGGGATCGGACAAAGGTTTGCCCCTGGGAGAATTTGTTCAAGAATGCTTCCGATATTGATTTTGCATTGTTGGCTCCCATACTACGATTTGACGAGGTAAACTTTCGCCGGCAAAGCAACCGTGATACTGGTGTGCTGGTTGACTTTGTCCAGCGAGGGCACACCGCTCGTAAGACAGCCATCTTGTCGTTGGGTGTGAACGGTAGCCCAGCCAAATATATGGCTTAATTACTGTGAAAGTGCTCGTAAAAGGTATAACGAATTCAAAGAAGTGCGTTCTCAAACACCAGACACCGCAACAAGTTGACTTGCCGTTCCTCGAGATCCCCGGGAGCTCGAATGCGAATCGAGACTTAAGTAAGAAGTGGCTCTTACCGAGTAATTTCCCCGCATACACCGGCTGCCCGATACCGGAATCGCATTGCTTCTATCATATGGTCGTTTTCGAGATTAACATTCCGAGATGATCCATCTCGGAAAAATGAGGTATTTTCTGTCTATCTTATCTACAGTACATCACTGCGTGTCTAGAGGCTAGAAGTAATAACGCATTGCGAGTATCGATTCTGGTAATATGGTGCTTGCAGGTTGATCCGGCAATTTGCCGGTCAGGCTCCCTTGAAGGAGTTCTGCCATCTCCTTAGCTAGATACGGAGTACCCTTGGTGTGTATGTAGGAGATTACATTGTCACAGGAGTTAAGTTATCTGTCCTGCTTATTGGATAGAAATCGGACTGTCAAACTGCAACCTGGAAAACCACAGGTGGTGCTGGCCCAGGCTACAAAAATGACGAGGCTGTCGAGGGATTGGTGGCATGCTGAGCATTTACCACTCAGCCAATCAATCGTCGATTTGCTCATGTCCCGGGAATTTCCCTATTCGGGGCAGTAGTTCTCCAACCCCCTCACGATTGTTTCGAAAGCACTGCCACTTTCGCGCATCAGTGACATCGTATGAACAAACCCAAAGTAACAACAATGAATGTTGATTAAACCAAGCCAACACGAATTCAAAGATGTAGGGAGCTACGCTATGATACATTATTTATTACAACAAAATCCTTGTTGCAATAATATAGCTATTGGGCAAACACTCTGACTAACAGCGAAAGAAGAGAAAGTTCCACCCACGATGTCATCTGGCTTTCGCAACCGAGTAGAACCATGAACACCACGATAGAAGGTGGGTTGAACGAACGCCGCCTATGAGAGGGGCTTCATTACGATCAATGCGGGGTATATTATTTGCAACTTCAAGTCTGAGATGGGAATGCGACTGGACAATTATCTGACAGCATGAACCTCTCAGCACTTCCAACTGGGCGAGCATTCCAGATTCACCGATGCAACACCACACTCACCACACTCACCACGACATGTTTGCCTAGTGCTGTCAAAGGCACATTATTCACTTCTGGCAAGCATCCTCTAACTCTAACAAAATTGTATCGACTTCTGCGGTGACCGATGCCGCCCGCTTCGACCTGGTCTGTTGGGGGTGCCATGAATCCTTCTCGGCTGACAACTTGAGGAATGCTTCCAACGTGACGGATGGCTTCTTCCCTGCACCAGGTCAGCGTCAATGGCAAACAAGCCGTTATAATGGAGACAAACTACGCGCCCTTGCGTCCGGCCTCTGCGATGTTTCACGACCCTAGCAAAAACATCAGTATAAACTATATCGACGCCGCTCGCACAGCTTACAGAGCCTGCGTTGTTGCTTGGAGCCATAGTGATGGCACAGAAACAATGGGAAGACGGTGCAGAAGCAGATTGAGGATACAGACAGAGAGAATGCTCGTGGAAACAGTTTGAACAAGAGAGCGGGCTGGGCAAAATTGAGAGACAAAAAGAAAACCCTCTGGGTCGGGGGACGATGGCCATTATAAGGGAAACAGAGCCCTACTGATGGTCGCCATATCCTGGTGAGTCGGAACGGGTTAGATGCCCGTAAGGCAGAAGGCTTGTCGATGACTGGCTCATGGGCTGAGGGCAATGACCCGGCACATCGTACACTGCATGAAGCCTTGAGTGTGAGTACTGAGAGACTAAACCCGACGAGGCAACTCAGCGTACCAAAAGGGGTCCTTCTACGTCTTTGAAAAATGAAATCAAAAGCTGGGCCGGTGGGTTTGTCAGTAGAGAAAACCCTCGAGGAACACACAACGTCTGTACGGACCTACACCTGCCAGATTCAACTAGCTGTTTCGCCCGCCTGAGGACGACAGGTACTTGGGAAAGAAAACCTAGAAGGTTGAATGATTGGGGCTGCCGAATCTGGTTACGTCTCGATATTTATTTACCTTCCCGGGATGGCGCACTATCATCAGTAAGGCAATTCGGGACTCTTTGTCGCTCAAAAGGAACACGACAGTCAAAGCCTTCATACCCGTGGGGTTGGAAAGCTCCGACAACCACACCTTGAACGTGCATGGCCTACAAAGAATCAGTCATCCAGCCTGACCCTCAAGCTCACAATCACCTAAATTCTGCCTACGATTGGCGCGAAGATTAGGCAAGACGTCAACGCCAAACAGCTCTTCCGCCCCGTGTTGTTTGTCTATTTAGAGCGTCAAGTGAGGATAAGGTCTCTTCACTTCACCAGCCAGGAGGTTCTTCACAAAGTCCGCAAAATTCATCCATTCGAAATCCGGGTACAATCCACGCCCATTGATGTATCCCAAGTACTCTGCATTTTCCGGAGTATTGTCTGCCCTCACGTACTTTGTGTTGCAGTACTGAGCATGTGCGAGGAGGTACATGTTCTGCACATTCGACGGATCTTCGGCCAACTTCTTTTCCGCCGCATTCAAGCTAGTTTGAACGTCCTCGGCCGACTTCTGCAACTCACACACAGGACATCAGTTTGGTGTTGAGAGCAAAACGGAGACACACAAATCAGACTGTTCACCTAGGTACGAGCAGAATTTTTGTTCGACTTACCGCAACAAGGTCCAATTTCTCTCCAGACTTCTCGGCGACGATATCATTGATGTCGTTCTGACTGAGGACCGCACCGTACCCATACACCTTTTTGTTCAAGGTACGTTTGTCCTTGATGATTCGGACAGTGAAGCGACCCACGTCCTTCTTGGCCACGAGCATGTTCGGCGCCGTACCACCGGCGTAGACTTCATTGATGGGCAAGACGATGGCGGAGTCGATCTTGCCGCTCGGGACACGTGGAATACTCATCTCGTACCAGTACCCAACGTCGATGACGGTGTAGCCCAGTCGATGACGGAGGATCCGGTCGTGGCATTGCTCCTTGAGGTCGCGTATCTGCATGATACCTCCTCTCGCGGCGGGTGTGGCCCAGTTGCACGGCACGAAACGTTTGACTCCCGCTTTGGCCGCGGCGTCGATGAGCGGGTCCTGTTCGAACACGTTGGGGGCGAAGATGGAACTGATCACCGTCTCAATACCCCGGAGGAGACTGACGGTGTCTTCTATCGGGCCCGACAAGTCTCCCGTGACGACTTTGATGCCGCCGCCGCGGTCCCTGAGATCCTGAACTGCGGGTTTGTTCGCCGAGGCAGCGCGGATGAAACATGTGATTTCCTGCGAAAAAGAGACATCGTCGTTAGTAGCTAGCCACTGAGGGTCAAGGTATGGAGATGCATAATCATCATCACTGTCCTCAAGATGACGTGTGTGTGAGTGTGTGTGTGTGTGTGTGTGTGTTGTGTCGACGATATCGTAAAGGGGGTAACGTAAGTCTACTCACAAAAGAGCCATCTTCGAGCATGGCATCTAGGATTGACGCCCCCGTTTCACCCGTTGCTCCTACGAGGAATACCGTCTGTTTCTTCGGCATGGCAGGATCTGTACTATACCTAGGTACCTAGGTGATTGGTAGTGGTACGGATAGTAGTGGTGATGTCGAGGGCGGCGATATTGTTTCAAGACTCTTCTCTAGGTACTCTGCCGAATGAAATGTACGGTATCAGAAGATACCTTACCGTGGTTTGTTTGTTATACGTATTTGAGAAACACACCATCGTCGATCCTCGTTTTTAGTTTGATGTGAGGTGCTGTCGTGTTGGTGAGTGGGTTGGCTCTTTTCAATTATTAATCCATCATCCTTTTTATGCCATGCACAAGGCTCGCGGCTCCTTTTCAAGTTTTGTGTCAAGTCGTAGGTTACCTCGGTTGGAACCAAGACCACCTTACTTTTGTTTTCTCAAGTCACCTGGTACCTACCCATGGGGATGGTGACGGCGGTGGTGGTCCTGATACGTTTTACAGTACAACGGGCGTACGGAACAAGGATACCGTTCTCAAATACTCGTGGGAAGAAGAACAACGTCAATCTTCATCTTCCATTCGCCAAAAGAACTCCCCCTTCCTAGACGGAACAACTGGACGACCTCGGGAAAAAGCCCGCGCTGGGTAGATAGAAACTGACAATGTTTTGATTCTTGAGAAGTCTGACCCATACTCCGTGCCCTGACCCTGTAAATTACAAATGATACAGGCCCCCCCCTCCCCCACTCTCATCCCATCACAATCATCCATGATGGGTAAACCCTTTGGAAAGAAGCCAAAAAAGGAAATTCACATAGTAGCTGTGCCGTCGGTAACCAAAAAAGTCACTACCTCACATGACCAACCTGATCTGCATCTCCCATTCACTTCGGTTTCAGAATGAACAACTCCCCGTCGTGTCCCCAATCCAAATACTCTCGACATTCGTAACTCTCAATCCTCATCATAGTCATACCATGTCCTTTCCCCCGTCTTTACTCTTCGTCAGCAAGTCAATCCTATTCTGCTGGTCCCCATGTATCCCCGTAATTGTCGAATGAGAAATTCTCCGAAATCTGCATGGCGAAATTATCCCAACCGAACAACCCAAAGTCGAACCCTCCGCCAGTGTCCACCGCGAATTGAGGCGTGGTGCCGAGTAACTGGAACGGTGTCGTCTGGCCATCGGCATGAATATGTGTATCAACGAGGGGTTGCGCAACGTCAGAGTCCCCTCCTCCATTGGCCGCTTCAGCAGCCATGGAACCAAGGTCCGTCAATTGATAGCTCGAATCCGCGGTATCCTTGTCCCTCGACCCCAGCATCCCGGGTGAGAACCCGACCTGAGACGCCGCTCCTGATACACTTGTGGCGGTGTTGTTGTTATTGTGGGTACCGACGTTGACGTCGAGCGACAAGATCCTGTTGACGTACTTGTTACTAGCGCGTCTCTTTTCTCGGGACAAATGCTGTCTGTGTCGTTGTATGGCGTCGGCGAAACCTGTCAGGATCTCATAGTAATGTTCGGCCTGGGGACTGTGTTCGGCCAGTTTCTTCAGAACCTCTCTGGCCCCGTTGAATGATTCGTCCATGTCGAATGGGGATTCTCCTTGTGCGAACATGGAGAACCCCAAGACCAAGCCTGCTGCAAAGACCCATGCCCTTTTGGAACACAAACCGTTAGCAACGGCTCATAACTTTGGCTCTACGAGCGCAGCAGCTAGCCAAGGAAAAAACAAGAGGAGATGCTCACTTCATGATACACATATTCTGTAACAAAATCCCACCTTGCAATGCGTCAAAGCACGTCTGCGCCATGAGAATCGCCGAGTCGATACATGCCTGAGCGAGATTCACCGCCTCCGAATCCTGTACCCTCGCCCCTTCTTTAGGCTCTTTGACCGGCAGTGGAGCGCCCGGCAATCGCGCCATCAGGTGGGTGATGAGAAACGGTCTCGTCACCAGCATCACGGCAAAGTAATACACGCAACTCACGTGGATGCTTCCGATGATACACTCCTGGTCTGAGGGGGTGATGGGCTCATCGCCCGCCTTTTCAAACCGACGGATCTCGAGCGGCAAATTCGCACTCCAGCTCCTCAAACGTTCGAGGAAGCGCTTCGCGGTGGGTGTGTCGATCGGATTCGACACGTCACCGTCGACACTACTCATGATCTCGGCGATGAGCTCGCACGCTCCGAAACTGGCGTTGAGGGCCATGTCCCTCGGCTTGCCGGGTTGGACATGCATGCCGGTGAAACTGGCGCTGTCGATACGTACGGCGGGTGTCGAGTACGTTCGACCGAGGATCGAACATACCAACACGTCAAGAACGCGGAGACTTTTCAACGTACGTAGGCTAAAAAGAACCACACCATCAGTCTGGGCAACCTCACATATTGCTGGCGAAAACACAATCGGGTGATGAAGACGTACCGAACACTCCTCTCCGTAACGGTAAAGTTCCGATATTGCTCAGTGACATGTAATCCGAGCGCCGAGGACGCTTGTGCCGCGATGCCAACGTACATGAACGCGGCATTTCTTCTGCACGCGCCGAGCATGTAAAAGGCCATCAGCAGGAAACAGCGCACCATGTTCAGGCATGGATCTTCCAGCGCAGACGCCACGGCTGCCTTCTGCGCCCTCGAGAAATACCGCACGGCGTAGCGCAAGTCGAAAGGCCTAAGGGCGCGACACTGGCCACCAATGGCAATGATGAGGTCCAATGCCACAAGAGCATACTCGCGGCCGCCATCGGTAGGCGTGGGGACGCTCGTCAGGTAAGCTTCGATTTCGTCGCGCGTGAATAGATCGAGAAAGCCATTGGTCTTTGATACGAGTTAGTCACGAAGAGTAACGGAATTCAAGGCGAGATTACATGGGGAACGGGCGAAGTAAGCAAGTTAGATAAGTGACATGGCATACCGCGGCAAAGTAGATTTCAATCAAGGCCCGTTTCTGGCTTTCATCTTCTTCAAAGATGGCGTTCGTATCTTCCGGACTCCGTACTTCGAGCATGACATTCCGTCGATCGTTGTCTGTGAACACCGACGGACCCATCTGCTGCTTGATGGTTTGGCGAAGAAATTGTAAGAACGAAAGCGACGCCGTACCGCCGACGTATACTATTGTGGTTGAGGGGGTTTAGTCACCGATTACCAGCCGGACTGGAAGGCGACGCTGTGACAGAAAACAAAAGCTCACCTTTCTCTCCTCTGGAATTCAACAACAACCTGCCGTCGCTGGATCTGCGTTGACCCGACCCTCGCGCGGGCGACCTCTTGCGCTTGCCTGTCGCTGTTGCTGCAGGCGACGACTCATACGCCACTTCTTCGATCGGTGATCTCGTACTCGTGTCGCCGTCATGTTCGCGCTCGACGGTGTTGGTGGTCGTGGTAGTAGACGACTGCTGGACACTTGCAGCTCTCGCCGTGTGGGCGTGGATCCCGCGAGGTCGGACCATGGACTCTGCATATTCGCATGTCTCTTCGGCCTTTTTCCTGACGCAATTCGAACATGGTTGCTGGGCGTCGCACCTCTTCTTGGACGCCTTGCATGGGATGCACGCCTTGACGGCGCGCTGGCGGTCTTCTGGGCGGACTTTGGGCCGAGGCATTTTTCCCCTCACGACCTCATGATGATTTTCATTCAGCCTGTTGTTGTTTTTCTCAACATCTCAGTAAACCAGATGCTTAGTCGATACTAGTGGATACGATGGATACAGGAAGAGAGTGCGACAGAGATTCGTATGAAGAAACATGTTGCCAGGTGAGTTCTTGGGATCTTATCCGGGAAAGAGATAACGACGGGATGTTCGTCGTTGGTACGTACCTAGTTATTACTGGACAAATAAAATACTAGTTGAGTCAGAGACCCAGTTCCCGATAAGCCCAGGCCATTTACTCCATGCAGGGCAGATATCCGGGGTTTTATCCGGGCCACTGGACCGCTTTTCCACTGTTGTATCCCGACTTGCCTACGGAGTATTCGAGAGAGTATTCGAGACCTTGCTTGGTGAATGCGCATGCGACCACTGCCTGAGAATCTAGAATACTCATGCGAGTAACTGCAACAATATCCGACAATTCGCACTCTCAAGCACTGATCGAACTTGTTTTTTGAGATGACCAAATATTACAAATCATGGCTTCTGATAGCCCAGGTCTATCTCTCATCAATCTATGGAGTATCTAGGACATGAGTGGAATCAAGAGACAATATCCAACCGTCCAATATATGCAAAAGGGTTGCAATTAATTTCACCCACACACCAACGCCGCAATCGCTATGCAAACATGAAAAGAAGCAAATACAAGCACAGCATACAACCACTTAGGCAGCCACCGCACCCGGCTTCATGCCCTTGACACTCTTCCACTCGACAAACACTGCGCCGAGTATGGACAAAGACGCCATGGCGACAGAGATGTACCACGTGTTCGTCAGTGAAATATTGTAGGCATGCTGCACTCCATCCAGAAGTCGAGCAGGGATTTGATCTTTGAGAGATGTGGCACCAGTATGCACCACGATTTGCGGATTAACGCCCGGGGCGTATTTCGGGAGCTCGGCGATCAGTCGATTGTTGAAGACATTCTGTGCGACTGAGACGAACAACGCACCGCCAAATGTCTGCATGAACATGACCAGCGCAGTCCCCGTGGGGACTTTATCGAGTGGAAGGACAGCCTGGACAGTCATAAGAGCCTGCTGCATACCAAAACCGACACCAAGACCATAAATGACCTGGAAGCCGATCCACTTCTCGTGTCCAGTGTCGACTTCGAATGTCGTCAAGAGACCAGCACCAATGGCGGAGAAGATCACACTCAGCCAATAGAATGGCCAGTAGTATCCAATTGCCGTAGTGAGCGCACCGCTGATGAATGTCGCAATGACAAGTGCCAGGACCATGGGAAGACTGTCGATACCAGACTTGAATGCCGAGGCTCCTTTGATGGCTTGGAACCAGATGGGAACCCAATAAATCAGCAAGAAGAAGGCCGATCCAAGAGTAAAAGCGAACCAGCTTGCCGCCGCAACACTGCGTTGAGAGATCAACCCAAAGGGCACTGTTGCATGGTCTTTCATGAAGAATTGGATCACGATGAAGACGATCGTGAGGACTCCAAAAAGAACAAGGCACAAGATAATGCGCCAATTCGACCATGCGTATGTCGAGCCACCCCACTGCAGAGCGAGTAAGCAGACGACAATGTCGACCACGAAGACAGCTGTGCCACCAAGATCAAGTTGATAGATTCTCTCTTTCCACGAGACCGATGCTTCGGCCTTTCTGTGCGGAGACTGGAAGAAGAAGAATATCACAATCAATGTAACAGCGCCGAGTGGCAGGTTAATATAAAAACACCATCTCCATCCTGGGCCGTCGGTGAATGCTCCACCCAGAAGCGGTCCGGCAATTGACGCGATTCCATACATGGCACCGATAATACCTATATTTGGTTAGAACAGCGCGGCCAAAGATCTCCAATACAAAGGCTCACCAGTATAGATAGGGCGCTTGACAAGAGGGACGGTGTACGCGATGATGACCAAAGCACCCGAGAAAATACCAGCAGATCCGATACCAGCGATAGCACGGCCGACTATCAGCGCATTGGATGTCGGGGCAGCACCACAAACGGCAGAGCCGACTTCGAAGATGACAATGGCAGTCAGATAGACGTATTTGATCGAGAAAAAGGTGTACATCCTGTGAATTGTTAGCAATGCGTCTCATTCATAGTGGTGGTCCTGCGGGAGCGACTGACTTTCCAAAGAACAACTGTAGCGCACAAGTTGTGAGGAGATATGCAGAGCCATACCAGCCCACATCTCCGAGAGATCTGAAATGATCCGTGATCTTCGGGATGGCTGTCGCAATGATGGTATTGTCCAATGCGACCAGAAACACAGATAGACACAGTGCAAGTGTGATCAGTGCCAGTTTTAAGCCGGCAGGGTATACAGCCTCGTCCTCGTTGGAGGGGAGCACTCCGTCTTCATGCGCCTTTTCGTTTTGTACCTCAACATCCCCAGTCCACGAGGCATTTGCCGACACAGTCTGCTCCTTCTCCGTGTCCACATCTTTTTGTGAAGAGGTGTCGGACTTTTCTGCTACTGTCGGTTCTAGTGGCGCTTCTTTGTTCAACTCGGTATTCGAGACGTTTTGGCTGGGAACGACGGTAGTGGTCCCGGAGGTGACATGCTCTGTTGGTTCTGCGCCATCCGAGGCCGACTTTTTGCCAAACAGACCCATGGAGGGCAGCGCTCAGTCAAGTAATACGGAGGGACGAGGGTGTGGTTAGCCTGAAGATCCTTCTCAGACTCGGGTAAATCAGGCTAGCGAGGCTCGACGGAGTCCGTAGTATGTCAGCTCAGGCCTTGGTTGGGATCTCTGTCTCGAGTAGGGAGTAGTAGATGTCTTTATTGCTGTGTTCAAAACACAGAAGGACGCTCTGATTATCGTGTAGTAGAAAGGCAAAGTCCGCCCAAGTCCCTGTGTTCCAAGGTATTCACTCGATGGAGGACACGGCGCGGCGCGAAATGCGAAGTATTTGGTAACAAAGAAGTTGAGGATAATACAGCATACAAATGCAGACCGCGTGGTCTTTGATGAAAGAAGTTCGAGATGGAAAACGAAATCTAAGATCTGAAAACAAGAAAAAAAAGTCTATGCAGCGCGAAAGCCAAAGGGAATACAGAGGAAGTGAACAATAATAAATATAACAACAGCTGAAGGGCAAAATTGATGATGGATGGGGTTCAACTCTCGTATCATGGGAATTTGCCCAACGGAGTCAAACACGGACACCTAAAATAATGGAGCTTGGGTGCTTAAAGGCCGATAAAAATCATGCATGGGATTAGACGAGAGGGCGAGGCCGGGCCTAAAAGTGACCGAAGTCACCTCTCCCTATACTTGTAAGTGAAGCCTAAAAACCCCACCATCTGAAGGGACAAAGTACAGTATTTTCTGTGCAGTAATTACCCCATCATTCTTGTTGGCTTGTGAATGACATGAGGTACAGGAACAGAGAGAATTTCCTCTATCCTCTACTCACTACAACTGAATTCTCATTTTCTTCTTTTGTTGATCTTTCTAGTACCCTTTTTTCCACGCAAGATCATGCTAAATCATGACGTGCTCCATCTTTGCTGTGGACAGAAGCACCACCCATACTCCCTACATCTTATTTGAAGATACCTTGCGAACTAGGCGGATTGTTAGGCCGTTCGGGCCCATAAAATCTCTTCCCCTTTACCCACACTCGGTATCAAAATGAATCTCGTTCCGAGTCGGCCAAAAACTCACGTGTAGATCTCGGACATGATACCACGTTGCCAGCAATACGAGTACGAGTACGAGGTGAAAAGAATTTGGAACCAGCAAACGACATGTCATACTCGTGAGAACTACCTTGCAGGCTCCGAGCCATCTTAAACGCACGATATCCATCATGTTCTGAGCCCTAAAACAGGGACCATTACGGAGCTACAGTACATATCAAAGACACAATCTGCATTGACATCCCTTGCTCAGGTCGTCGTCAGTAGTCTAGCGTGACCCAGAAGAGTGCTCCCAACATCATAACTACCAGCCACGATACCCATCCAGTCTTGCTTGCGGAACTGGTTGGTGTTGGTAAGGCTGCGCTGGATGCTGGAAGACTAGATGGAGGAGTCGTGAGCAGCATACTGGTTGTGGAAGCTGGTGCGGGTTGCGTCGTGAGTACACTGCCAGACCCCTCATCATCTGCATCAGGTATTGCTGTGATCTTTCCCTTGTCAGCTCCTCAGGCTCGATCGACGCACAGCGATAGGGCACTTACCCCACAAACGTGCCAAAGTCCAATGTTCGTCAATGTTGCAGGCCGAGAGAAACAGGTGATGTTCCCATCGTACTCACAGATGGACGCGGCACTGTAAAAGTCGTTCCTGCAGGCGCAGCTCTTGAATTGGGCATCCTGGGAACTTGCAGGGTAGCTGAGATAGCAGTCTTTGATCAGAGTCCCTGTCACACCACACACGGTTTCGATGCTCTGGCACTTTTGAGTATTGCTGGAAGCGGGAAGGACGAAGGTCGTGGTTGGCGTTCTCAACTTGGGCGTTGAGAAGGATGTCGAGGTGAAAGTGTCACACAATGAGTGCCAACCGGAAAGAATATTCTCATAGTACTCGTCCATGCTGTACCCTTCGAAACATTGTCGGTCTTCGCTTTCACATCTGGTCTCAGATTAGTACCGAAACTACGCCTCAAGGAAGACGTACTCGTATATGGCATCGAACAACTTCGGTTGACAGACACATTCTTCGTATGGGATTCCGGACTTGGTCTGGCAACTGGAATAGCCATTAGAGAGCGCGTCACAGCCGGGTTCAACGGTGAGAACGGGGTTTCCATTGGAGACGCAGGTGTACGTGGTGTAAGCGGTAATGCTCTTGAAAAGGGACATGACCGAGAACAAGGCTAAAAACATGGCGAACATCTTCGTGACGTATTATTGCTGGCACGGAGACGAGAAGAAGCAACGGATGCCATCTTGTCCATCAAGTTGCGATTCTGCCACGGTTATGAATCGATCAGGCTGATGGGCTAGGCTCGGGCGTCAGGCTCTTTGATCTTCGAGCTTCGAGCTGAATGAACCAGCTGATCAAGTCGCAGCTGAGTTGGTGAGTCTCTGACACTGCCATATGCAGGGCAAAGCAATAGAAGCGCCATGTGGCGTTCAGAACGCGAAAACGGTCGAAAACGGTAGGATAACAGGGGTTGAGGTGTTAGCGAGTGCGGCCGGAAAAGGACAAGTTCCTGTTCGGTAAGGTCTTTATCAGTCGAGAATGTGGTGGTGGCTGCGCATCCGAACTTCTTGTCGAGACGACATTCCTCACTCAACCTTTGCCTCGCCCATCACTTTGTTAATGTGTGCCTCGATCCACATTTTATCACACATCAAGACCAATCAGCTAATGCGCCTGACGCCAACCATGGGGGATTAGCCTCCACGATGATTCTGATCCTTCTCCGGAACATGGGCAAGGCTGATTGAATTGGCCTAGATCATTATCTGCCACATCCATCTAGTGACTGGGTGGCTTTCAGCTGCCGTCGCGGAAATGGTCGAGAAGATGTCTAGTTTCTGAGACTCAGGATAGCACCATGGTTGTCAAGGCGCATTTCGACTGCCACAGGGTGACTCGGATTGCACATAAAGACTCATCCTCTGGATCTCTGATGGAGCCTGAGCAAGAGTCTGAAAACATCCATTTTCCCCTAGCAACCCTCGAAAGGAATTGCGATCAATGTCCCAAGGAAACGCAACCCGACCAGCAACTCCGGCACAGAACAATGCGAGTCCAAGCAGTTCTATTGTTCCATCCGCAAACGCCTCTCCCACTACGGGGATTCCTTTACAGAGCGCCCAAACACGTCCTGCGGTGGTGAACACAGGACCAAGTGCCTCCAACACTCAACCTCCCACGGGGCAGACTCCAAGTTTGCCACCATCATCATCACAAACCCCTGTGTCGGTGTCTGCCCCATCTTCATTGACAAATGCGTCCAGCCATCCAACTTCGACACCAGGATCGTCGCATACTTCAGCTGCCCCATCCCACGCCTCTGCTCCCACCAGCCAGGGTCAACACCATGGCAATACCTCAGCCTCCGGATCGATTACGACAGCGGCTCAAGCTTCGACGCCCTCACCTCCAGCACAGCCTAGTCCAACGAACCGATCCAGAATGCGATTGTTCAAGCTCGGCTTATCATCCTTCAGCGGAACACCTGAGGAATGGGTGACCAATTGCCTCCAACCCTGGGGCCTAGGCTTACTTTTTTTGTTCACCATCGGCCTTGCCGTGACGCTGTTCGTCCTGGCACGCAAATCGGCCGGCGCCAAAGGTATCGCCGAAATACGTAAAGTCAAACCGGACCGGAACGTCGCTGGTGTGGCGCTCGGGTTGACCCTCACGTGGAAGCAGATACCCACCTTCACGATTCAAGCCTACGGCATGTGTCTCGCGGCCGCGTTCATGGCCTTTGCTCAACGACAGCCTTACGTCGAGCTCAACCGCGCAGATGGCGGTGCGCCAGCCAAAGCCTCGATCCTCCTGGACTACGGTTCCCTGTCGTGGTTCTCCAAGATCAAACGGGCCTGGCAAAGTAAGCATGCCTTGCTGCTACTGTGGTTCTTTATGAGTCCCATCTTCTCCCTGGGTGTCACTCCCTTGGCGGCCAATCTGTTCGACCTCGATGAAGGACAAGTGGCCGAGACCAACATCAAGGTCAACCGGACCACCTTTTACGACGAGTGGGCCATCGAAGCCGACACACAGCTCCTCCCGATGCTCACCTACGTCACGGGAATCGAATTGTACGACACGCCCATGCCGGCGTGGGCAGATCAGAACGCGAGTTACGCCCCCTTTGAGATACCCGCCGGTCTTGACGGAACCTCCGACAACGTGACCGTCGTTCAGAATGCCTCTTTCATGGACCTGGACTGCAGAGCACTTTTACGAGAAGTTGACTTTGACGTCGTCGCTTCCGACCACCAATGGTTGCTGAATGGGACCGACCAAGGTTGTGACTTCATCAATCAATTTCAGTTCAGTGATGGGTTCTTTCAAAACTACGCCCAGACGTGGACGAAGAATGATTGTGGCGACGACGACAGTGACGGTGGCACTTCTTCTTCATCATCGTCGCCCACGCTCGAAGGGCGTGTATTTCTGTTTGCAGCTCACGCCCCGGATGGGAACGGTTCCGCCGTCACCAACTTTTCCATGATTTCCTGCACGACTACATACCACAACCATACGGGGAAACTCGTCGTGGGAGTGGACCCGTCGAATTCCAACAGACCTCTCATACGAAATTTCCAACCCACGGCTCGACCTCAACTCATGGAACCGAGACCACAATATTGGAAGATTTTTGAACAATCCATCAGTTCTTTTGCCGTTGACGCAGATCCGACGAGCTTATGGTCGGCCACTTCATTGGGTAGGTTGGTGATCGAGGCGGGTGTAAAAAATAATGGCGATGACAGCAACAGTGGTAGCAGCAGCAGCAGCAGCAGCAGCAAGATCCCTGACGAAGCGTTTCGGACAGAAAACCTAATCACGCAGTTCAAGGCAGCATGGCGTCTTTTGTATATTGTCACCGCCACCACTTATCTTCACCCTTTGGTGTCGACCACACGACCGACGGGGACCACCGGCACTACGGTTTCTGGGTCGGACGACACGTTGGACGCCACCCTACACCTCACCACGAGTTACCTCCGCACCGCCGATGCCATCGCCTACAGTTTCGTCGGCGTGTTCTTGGTCAACGCGGCTCTCATCGTCTGGATGGCCCAGTCCATGAGACTCCGACCCAGCATCCTACGCGAAGAACCCACGGGCCTTTTGGGTCACTTGTTCTTGGCCGCCAACAGCGCCCAACTCATGGGTACCGCCCGCGCGGTACGACACGACGTCGCCGGGCCGTCTCCGAAATGGCAAGAGGCTTACGAAAAGGGACAGGTGACGACGGTGGCCACGGAGTACCAAACTGCCCGATGGCGCGTCGTGGATTGGTCGAATTCAAGGGATGGTCGGATCGAGCGTTGCCCATGAAAGAAAACTCTCCGTAGCTTGATGTCTCCTTCTCTTATGAAGGCGTCGATGGGATGATGGAGAATTTTTGGTCGTGTCTCTTTGAAGGATACGAATATTCAAGACATATGATACATATGTACATACAGGTATATTCTATCAAGTCACCTTGTGGTATGTAATTTTTAATTATCATCCATCAACCATGAACCTAATCCGGAGACGCCTCTCTCTCTCTAGCTGTCTTCTGACACCCAAACTCCAAAGGCGCCTTTGCTTCACTCCTGAGCCCCATGTACGGACCCTGCTCCGTCGCTGTCTTGTCTCTGTCTCTGACACCATCTTTCTCTCATCCCGTTTCAAAATTGGACGCTTTATACAACTCGAGGTTGGTAGACAGAGACAAGGTACGTTATTATCAGGGCTATCCTTGGTTTTGTTCTATACACAGGCGTACAAGCCACCAAATCACCCAGTGTCGTTGATGAATAATGTCATCTCTTTTCAAACCCGACAACGGCGGGACCCATTGGTCTGGAAAACAAACTCGAATAATCCGTGGGAACCAGATCCTTACCCTCGGGCTGTCTGAACTTGACGTGTCGGACCATGGTGGCCAAGACGGTCCCCAGCTGGACATAGGCAAACTGTTCACCGATGCAGCGGTGTCGACCGGCGCCGAAGGGCAAGTAAGGGGAAGAGGCGCCCTTGCTGATCATGCCGTAACCGTAATCCTCAAACTCTTCCTTCTCCATGCCCATCTGGGTGTAGGCGAGAGGGTGACCCTCGTCCCACCGGTGAGGCTCCCACAGCAAGGGCTCGGGGAAGTAGGCCGACTCTCTCGAGGTGACCCCCGGGGCCGACAGGAGCGCGTGCGTCGTGGGGATCATGTACGTCTTGGTCGCGGTGGGCGCGTCGGCCACGATGGTCATGGGGGACTTGACCTTGCGCAGGATGCTGTGGATGGGGGCGTGCAGGCGCAGCGTCTCCTTGACGACCTTGGCGTTGAAGGTCAACTTCTGGAGACCCTCGTACGTCAGGGGAGGGAGGTCCTTGCCCAGCACGCGCCTCTGTTCTTCGAGCAGGTCCTCCTGGATGTCCGGCCGGGTGGCGAGGCGGAGCAAGATCCAGGCCGAGGTCGAGGACGACGAGTGTTGGCCGGCCATGAGCAGGGCGATCATCATGTGCGCCACCTCCTTGTCGGGCACCGGCGTGCCGTCCTTGTACGAACAATTCATCAGGTTCCAAATCATGTCTTCCTCGTCGCCTTCGCGCTTTCCACCCTTGGCCCGTCGCTCCTTGATGATCTCCATGTAGGTCTCGGCCATCTTGCGCTGGGCGACGTCTCGCTTGCGGTTGTGCGGGAGAGGAGCCCAGGGAAGCATGAAGTTGATGGGCGCGAATCCCATGTCCAGGTCGTGGTACAGATCGGCAAACGTCGAGTCGAACTTTGCCCGTACTTCTTTGCCCTGCAGCGATCGGGACGCCGTGTAGATGGTCAGTTCGGCCATGGCGGGCACGATGTCGACACTGCCTCTTGAGCCCTTGAACAGTTTGTTGTTTTCCACAAAGGACTTGGTCTCCGAGGAGATCAGATCGACGTAGGACTTGAAGGCATCCATGGTGAGACCGAACTTGACCATCTTTTTCTGTTCCATCAATTTGGCATTTTCGCAATCGTACTGTTCGAGTAAGGTGTCAGCCAAATCGTACTCCCTGCGCCCAGTCATTTTGACTACTTACCACCACCCCTTCTCCAAACACTGGTGTGGTCAAGCCGGTGTAGATTTCCTCGGCGTTGACATCTTTCAGCTTCCCGTTCAAGATGAACTCGTTGCCCTTTGTGCCCAGACAGACTGTGACCTTTCGGCCCAACAGGACAAAGGTGAAGACGTCGCCGTATTTCTCTTTACAGGTGAAGAAGAAGTCGAATGGGTCCATTCCGTACCATATTCTACAAAAGTCTATGTGTCAGCATTTGTTGCATTGAGCATGACCAGAGTGTGAGGGTGAGAGTGGCGCAGAGGACGACGTACGTGCTGCCGATCATCGGGAACCACGAGAAGACCTCGGGGGGTGCATTTCTGTCCTTGAACAGGAGTTGTCGGGTGACATTGAGGACCACTGAGAGGAGGAGGAGGGCTACGAAGCCCAAGAGGACGGTCTGGTATAGAGGGAGATCTTGGAGGAGGCGATCAAGGGGCGCTGCGACGGTCGCGAGCAAACCCATGATGATGAGGCGATTCCGTGTGAGAGCGTGTTACTAGCACAGAGGGTGTGTGTGTGTTGAGAGGACTAGGGAGACAAAGGAGTGTGATGTCCACAGACTCGACTGCGCCCAGAAGAAGGATTGGATAACGAATGGTAGATGCTCGTCCAGAGAGAGTGTCCCTAGTTTATGTCGGGTTTTTAATTCATGAATCTGGGATCATCACGGTAGTAGCGAGAAAGGGTCCCTTTTGTCCCGCCAAAAAATAAAAAAGGTCCAGGTACCGTAACGGCGTGATTGGCGGAACCTGCGCCAGATTGCATGATGCATGGTCCAATCTATTTGGTGTAGATTCCGCCATCCGAGTCGAGCCACCCATTGAATAATACGAGGGAGTACGACTACTCGGTACTAATGCTTCTCCGTATACATAAAAATATCAGCCCACCAGGCCAACCTCACTCAACACCCTCGCACCACCACACCACCATCTACTCCGTCCTCCGTTATGGACCCCCCTTGATCCTCTCTCTGTACTCGTGTAAACGAATAGCTTACTGCGTATATCAAATGCATCCACTGGCGACGAAACAATCACCCATTCAATCACTATCCTCGAATCTCTTAGAGACCCTGACGCGTGCAAAAGGATTTTCGTATCCAGAATCGGATATCTAACTCAGCTCACATCCCTCGCAGGTAAAGAATGTCTACACTGGACTTGAGATCTACTTTTTTTACTCATACAGCCTTGGAAGAGAGCTGTTCATCTTCTGGCCACCAAAGACCTCTTGGTCACGCACACGAATGCTCATAGCTTGCCCTTCTCAAGGTAACCATTCGACTTCAACCACCCAACAACATCCTCACTATCCCGTTTCAGCCAGTTCGCTTTGGCTCTGATGCTATCGAAGCTTTGTTGCAAACTCCTGTCGAATCCCTTCTTGTCCTTGTCTTGGAAGAATGCTTCGACCTGATGCAGCTGCTTCTCACTGGTGAAACCCGAAACGCAGATGCTGACGACGCTACTCAACATGGTCATGCTGGGAGGCAACTTCTCCACCAACTCGCCCCAATTCTGCCACATCCATTCCCACCGTTTCTCGATGCCTTCAGAGGTGGTGCTCAGGCCCCCAATGGGCATGTAAATATCTTGCATTTTGACTTTGCCACTCAGTGCCAGCTTCAAAGTCTTCTGGATGAGCTCGGGACTCCTTGCACGACCGAGGCTTCGTAGACAAGTATTCCTCTCGTCAGCGGTCGAGGCGGAATGATATCGTGCCAGGAGGGCATCCCATTCCTTCTCTCCACCATCCCGCAGAGCCATGGCAAAGACAGACGCACGTAGGTTAGGATGCACTGCAGCATAGTCTCCAGCCAGGAACTTGCTGAACATTTCCTTGGCTGCCGCCTGAACCTTCTTGTCTCCAGCCAACCCAGCGGAGCCGAACATCAAGCTCTTGAACTGGCTCAGAATATGGTCCTCATTGTCGGAAAACTCCCAGCCGAGTTCGTGTGCCTTGGCGGAGCACAGATTGAGCTGGAATGCTTTGAGAGCATCTTTGATCGATTCGTCCTCAAATATCCATGTGTTCCGGACAGCATTGATCCTTGTCAAGATCTCATTCCACACCACGAACTGAGTTTCAGTGTTGAAGGACTGAAGGAGACTCAAGATACCGGATGTCTGCCCGTATCCGCTCGCTGCGAGTGCACCAGCATCCGCAATCATACCAGCGCGGTCTTCCACCGAAAGCAATCCCTTTTGGGCGGCTTCACCCAGCTTGGTCAATCGTTCGGGAGTATAGCTTGTTCGGTAAAAGGCAGAGTGGTCTGCATTCAGCTTGTAGAAATCTAGTCCCCCAGAAATCTTGAAGGTTTGTTCACGTTCCGTGAGCATCAAGGTCTCATCAACCCCGCTCTTGGTTTGGAGGCCGAGCATAACAGGATATAGGACCTTGTCCTCTTCTGCTTTGACATCTCCAGTACGCAAGAACCGATTCTGCTTGACCGTGATGCTGGAATCCTTCTCGTTTTCACTCACAGTAATGACAGGATACCCAATGTTCTTGGTCCAAATGTCCATCACGCGTGCAACATCTTTGCCGCTGGCCTCACCCAATGCATCCCACAAATCACTTGTCTGAGTGTTGCCCCAGGCGTGCTTCTTGATGTATCTTCGGATACCTTCAATGAAAGTCTCCTCTCCCAAATATTTCGAGATCATTCGCAGGACGGACGAGCCTTTTGAGTATGAGATAGCGTCGAAAATCTGATTAATATCCTCTGCACGATGCACCGGGACCTCGATTGGATGAGAGCTGCGCAGTCCGTCCAAGCCTAGAGCGCCTTGAAGGGTGTCGATCACAAAGGTTTCCCAGACCTTCCACTCTGGATAGAACTCGTTGCAACTGTACCAGCTCATCCAGGTGGCGAAGCCTTCGTTCAACCAAAGACCGTCCCAGAAGTCCATTGTCACCAGGTTACCAAACCACTGATGAGCCAGCTCGTGTTGGACAACTTCTGCCACTCTTTCTTTGGTAGCAGCACCTGCAGTCTTCTGGTCGAAAAGCAGGTCAACGACACGATATGTGACGAGACCCCAGTTTTCCATAGCACCAGCGGCAAAGTCAGGAATAGCAACCATGTCCATCTTGGGTAAGGGATACGGTGCTTGGAAGGCTTTTTCATAAAATGCTAGAGTCTTTGCCGCAACGTCAAGAGCAAAGCGGCCGTCTGCCTCATTTTGTTCGGGCGTCATCCACACCTTGATAGGCAGCCTGAAGGCACTGGTCGAGATTGACTTTAGTTCGGCAACAATGAACGCTAACAGATATGTCGACATGCGAGGGGAGCGACTGAACTTGACAGCCTTCCTCTTTTCACCCGTGATTTCCGAGTCAACCATCTCGGTCGAGGCAACATCCATATTCGACAAACATGTCATTTCCTCATCGGCAATTAGAGTGACAGTGAACTCAGCCTTGAGAGCTGGCTCATCGAAGCACGGCAAAGCTCGACGAGCATCGGTTGCCTCGAATTGTGTCACAGCAAGGTACTCCCCGTCTTTTCTCTTGGATCTGTAGAAGCCAGCCATCTTGTCATTGAGCTGTCCCGTGTAGGTGTGCTTCAGCTGGACCTTTTGTCCTTTGCTAATGGACTTGCCCAAGTCAATGGTCGTTGTCTGCGTATCGGCATCGTAGGAGAGCGATGGCGAGGACGTCACCAAGGCACCATCTGCATGGACCGTCGTACTGTGGATGTCGAGCTCCAAGGTGTTCAGGGAAATGGTCGTGCTGTCTTTGGCCACATCTAGGTCAATGATGACAGATCCTTCGAATGTAAACTCGTCGAAATCGACCTCAAGGGTCAAATCATAGTGCTTTGGCACAACATTGTCGGGAAGAACGACTCGACCCTGAGTACTGGTCACACCAGGCGAATCGGACATGAATCGACACATCCTGGAGAGAGCGAACGGTGACGCTCCACCAGGGCAAGATTCGTGTATGAGCGAAGGGCGACGCAGGGGCAGCAGAGGACGAGTAGCGGTTGCAGGACGAACAGAATTCCTGCTGACTTGAGTCTGAAAGGATCGTCTGGTAGTCTGCCGGAGCAGTGAGGTCGATGATGAGGGTGAACGTGTAAGAGGAATGTGAGGTCCAACAAGCCTTGAAAGAGACCGTGCAGGTGGCTTCATCTATCAAAGTAGTACAGACTCCCAACAGAGAAGGAGCGAATGTCAAATGCAGGGCGAGGCTATGTGACTGTCTCTTGCCGCATCCTGCGGGAAAGCATAAATAACCTCGTATATCCGTCTTGCTGCGTCACGCCTGACCTGCCTAGTGCGGAGAAGTGCGAATTTTCTCGTTCAAGACCTTGCAACACCAACACTGCCACGTACATACTTATCAATGTTAATGTAGCTATCTGTACCTACTCCAGGTACACAAGGGCTCAGCATGTTATCAGCGTCACGACTCTATGCTTCAGGACATGCTCTTGCGACTGGAACACTCTGCCTCGTCATGACATCTTGATCAATACCGAACTGTGCAGTGTCAATCGATTTGACGAATATATCATCAGCGAAGGAAATCTCAATGTGGACAAGCTCACAAACCAAAGACGCAAGAACCGGCATCGGGATGCTTTGTACTCGTGCATTACCGATTTGTTTTCGACCCTGCTGGCAACAGCTTGGGTACTTTCTTGCCATAGAAATCCCAGCTAGTTTGAGGTGGTCATTCATTTTCAGTGGGTGATTTTCCATAGAAGTCTGGTACAAATGTGCGATACATATCCGTGTCAGGATAACACGAAATGTCTTTCGTCGAAACTGATTCTCTTATTATTGTGAGGACTTCGTCGCCGTTCTTTCCACCAAGGGCAACTCCCCTGGCAGCATGGCTGTCCGGACTAACACTACCAATGCTGTCAAAAAGCAATGCCACCTTTGTACCCTCGAAGAGGTACAAGACTAAATCACAACAAGCTTGCCACTCAGCACTCAAGTAATTCAATCCCTTGCACCAGCTCCATTTCTCATGACGGGGGTATCTTTCCATGCCTAACCTAGGGACAAGCTCAACCGTCTCTTCATCAAATTGGAGCAATTCATTCTGGTCGTGGTAGTAAAGGAACCGTACGCCTTGATAAAATTCCATGACCTCGCTGTACAAACCAACCACCAACCATCCACCCACCCACATCCCTTCAAGCCTATGCAAATGAAAAAAAAGTACAAGTCCAGGAAGGCCCTCATCAACACGATGCGAGACCGAACCGTTGAATTTGTCAATTGTTGCAGGTGAACGCCGGGAGGGGAATGATGGCAAAGTTCTAATACCTGCCTAAGGTCAAAACGAAAACAAAAATCATGATGCTAGTCGTCAACGTGATGGCGTAACAAGGGCAGCCGTGGGGACACTGCCTCGATTTAGTTGTGGCGGAGAAGCTCTGCTGGGCGAGGATAGTAGCGGAGCAGATGATCGCTTCTGGACAACCTGTAGCTTACGTCTGATGACGGTGAGTCGTCCGCGAATACTATGAACCACTGTTGGAATGTCAATACCAGATCCGTTTCGGCAGATTGCAGACTTACAGTTCTTCACCGTCTTCCTGTCTTCAGCTTCTAAGCCGTTAATCGGTGCCGAGTCCTCTTTCTCGTCCTGATCACTCGCGCTACTCGCATGTTTGGGCATAGCGTCTTCGTCACTTTCCAATACTGCCTCGAGCATGCGGATTGCGGTAACATACGAGATCTCGCATCCAGGAAGGTCCTCATTCGTCAGCTCGTTGATGGCGGCAGCTCGACTCATTTCCAAGGCACGGTCATACATGAGTTTCTCAGCCGTAATCCCAGAGCTTACAACCACCTGATCGGCTGAAGTGCCCATACCAGTGCTGGAAGCTGTCGCAGTAGAAATGTTGTTGGGATGGCTAGGGTGGTCCTCAGGTAGTCGACGCTGATTATCAACAAGTTTGAGTCGTACGAGGTCGGTTTTCTCGAGGACTTCATTGAAGCGACCTCTTATCCATTGAACAACATTATTCATCCGCTGGTTTGCAGTTGTCGAGGAACGATAGGCTGTGTCATCTAGTGCGTCAGCACGGTTCTTGCGGTTCCACCAGCGTGCAGCAATATCCATGGCTTTGGCTAGTAGCGCGAGTGCCTTGACATAGAGTACGAGTGCTTCTTCCGCAACAATGACTGTAGCTTCTACAGTAAGATCTTCGTTGGATGCACCAAATGGGCTGTCATAGCTCGTGGCGTCGGACGCGTTTCGCAAACCGAGCCCTGGTTGAGAAGGAATGGCTGGGGTAAGCTGTTTATACTTGACTTCAGCGAAGCCATAAACAACATCGCTTCGCGTCGCAATCTCCTCAACGAGATGCACAAACTTCGTATCCTCATCGGTGGCTGCTGGGGTTTTGGAAGAGTCTCCGACTACAATCAAACTGCTTTGGGCACCAGGATACGCTGGAAATGGGCTGTAGTTGATCGGAGGAGATTTGCCGCCACGCATGAAGTTCACCGGTGGAGAAAATCCAACTCCAAAGAGACGTCCGCTTGCCATATTTAGAGCCTTCGAGATGGCCGATGTTGCTGAGCTGGGGCTAGGGCCATAACGTCTCTCATAAGAACTCTGCCGGTTGTGTAAGGTATCTGGACGCCTACCAGACGCGATCTGAACGGCTCGAGAAGCACTAGTTTGTGCACCCGTTGCAGAGCCAGGAGGGCCTTGTGTCGTTGCTCTACGAACCATTGCTCCAGATTTCGGTGATGCTGCCGTATTTCTGTTCATCCGGGGAATGGCGTCAATTTCATCGGCCAAAGCGTTGACTTCCACGGCTTTCTTCTCGACCAAGACGTAGTCCCTCTCGAAGGCAATATCTTGAGCGACACGCTCTCTTTCTTTCTCCTCTTGTTGCTTCCGCAAGGCAAGTTCTTGGCTCTCATCGTAAACTTGTTCCCGCAACGAGGATGGTGGCAACTTGTGGGAGCCTGCACTCGATTGACGAGCCATCGGAGTTGAAGATGGCCGATAGACCAATTCTTGTCTTCCAGGCGCAGTTGCATGTGGATGCAGAGCTGGTCGAGGTTCGCTGGGACTGGGTGGAGAGGCGGCTCCGGAGGCACGCTCATTGGAAGGGCGCCTTAAAGTTGCAAGCTGATCCTTATTTGCTGAGGTTCGGCGACTCACAGAATATCTGCGTGGAAGATTTTCCGCCGAGGCAAGTCTTGTAGTATCGCTATAAGGACTCTCGGGCTCCTTCCGCGAACTTGGACGAGTAATGCCAGTAGGATCCGTCCGACTATTTCGTCGACGATCTGTCTCTGGCTGTTCGAGCTCTTCGGGCATATCCTCAGGATGCAATCCTGGGATAGGTCCGGTGATGATTTCATTCTTGAAGAACTCGGGAAATGTCAAACGATCCTTCGGGTCCCTTCTAAGTAACGACCGAATGAGCTTTTTCATCTCCTCCGAGACTTGGATCTCTTCTCCAAACTTGATCTTGTCTTCACTCTTTTCTATCTTTCGAAGCAGCTCAACATGGTTGGAAGCTCTGAAAGGAGGCCGTGCCGTGACCATTTCATATAACACTGTTCCCACCGACCAAAGGTCAGCCGTAGCATCGTATTTCTCATAGCGCAAGATCTCAGGTGCCATGTATAGAGGAGAGCCACACAGGGTCTCTGCCAGGGCTGTAGATGGCAAGGACCTGGCGAATCCGAAATCTGCAATCTTCAGCATGGGAAGAGATCGGATTCCACAGACCGGGTTGAGAGCATCTTGACTAGGCTGATACGGCATCGGACGAGGTTGGTGTGTTTCGAAATAGACAGGGGAAGGATTGAGGAGGAGATTCTGCGGCTTCACATCGCGGTGAATGAGATCTCTAGCTCGCAAAAATTGCAGAGCGCTCGCGAGCTGTTGTAGAAAGTGCCTTGACAGCACCTCGTTTAGACCGCCATGCCTAGGATTTGGATATTTGATCATCGTATTGCCCACCAACTCACTGTCCTTGATTTGTTCCCGCCTCTTGATGAAATGTGAGAGATCCCCCAAAGCTACGTATTCCATCACCAGATGTATGTGAGCACTGGATTCTTTGCAGTCGATGAGGGCAACGATATGTGGATGATGGAGTCCCTTCAAGATCGAGATTTCGGATGTGAGATTGTCTTTTAATTTCTTGTTAAGTTTCGACATATTCACAGATTTGATGGCAACGATGCTCTGTGTACCGGAGGAACTCTAATGATCAATCAGTAAATACGGCACGAATCTCCGCAGGGTCGATAGATGTGGCCAGACTTACGGTATGTACAGCCTTGTACACCGTTGCAAAGCTACCTCGACCAATCTCTTCATGGCGTTGGAAACTGCCTATTCGATCGGAATCCTTTGACCGTCTAGATGTACTAGACTGTGATGTGGTAGACGCCATCTTCACCTCCTCCGCCACACCGCGTGCAGAGCTGTGTCGAGCAGTCAGCGGCGATGGCTTTGGAGTGCTATCTTCTCAGTTGTGGGTAGAGAGTAGGGGTTATGTGGTTGGACATGGATTGATCGAGATCAAGGAAGGCCCGAAGATGTAATCGTTCGACAGATTAGGTGACTAGGAGAACAGGCGACAGGCCGCAAAGTGTGGAGATGGCGCAATTTGGACCTTAGGCTGCGTCAATTCAAATGTGGTGTCAGTGGCCAGCGAGAAGTTGAAAGATCGAACAGCTTGTTGATGACTAGAATGCTGGCGCCGAGTTCGATGGACAGTGATCATGTAGGGGGCTTGTAGACTGATTGTTCGCTGCGGCAAGATGTCGGGATGAGTATCGGATCAATCGGTGACGCAGTGTCACAGAACGCTAGTAACACCAGGGTATAAAGGATGCGGCTAAGGCAATAAAAGAAAGAAGATAATGATAGATAGAGGAAAGGATTAAGAAATGACTGAAGTTGAACAGGACGCGATTGTATCTTGCGTTCGTATGGAATGATTAGGTTAGTCATACACGTCCGAAGAACGGTTGACGCAGGATGGTTTGGATGCACTTCTGGCCTAGAACAAAAGCACCTGCCTCGCCTCACCTCGCCTGACAGTGATAAACTGATAAGGATCACGTGCGCTGTCTGATGGGTTGACATATTGTCTGACAACTTGGCTCTAACCATTTTACCTAGTCAAAAACGTTTACTGTCTAGTCTGACGTCTCATATTGTTATCCTACCTGGAAGGTAGATACGACGAATCAGAATCTCTCAACACTTGGAACATTTGCGCTCAATGGAGTCAGCCGATCCATTATTGCTGTGGATTCGACTTCCGGACTGAGATTACTTTGCTGCCCTCATACAGCGCAGGGCGCCGGATCCTTTGCCGCTGACATTGCATCAGGTGTTGTGGCTTCCGCTTGTCGCCTGATAGATATGCAGAGGCCAAATGGAATGAATGGTCACAAGGCTGAATAATTGGTATGGTATATGCGGTGTCCCAGCCCCCATACGTCTATATATTCAATCCTCTCACTAACAGCCACAACCCTATGGGTACTACCACATTATCGTTTGCCGCTGTCAGAGTGCTCTCTAGTAAACTCGCTCCGACTCCTGCGAAGACGAATTTTGCGAATATAAGTGACAACGGCCCACTCGGCCAAAGTGCCCAGCCTCCCAGTCTGAGCCAGGTCCAGGCCATCGCGAGACCACAAACAACAGCAACGGCAAAGGCGAGGCTGCCTTCTAGACTTTTCCCGCCAGACCAATACCATTTTGTCTTCCCATAACGCCTGCCAACCAAACTTGCTGCAGCATCGCCCATTCCAACGCAAACAACGCCACTAACCATAGACAGTTCGCGAACTGGTGTATCCCATCCTCCCCAGGCGTCCTCGCCTGTACGCGGTGTCGCAGCCAGCGATAACCAGAGAGGAATCGCACACCCTATGAGTAGAAATATATGCGAAACGATGACTGGGCCACGATAGTCACGCCCGTCCACATATGGGGCTAGAAATGTTGTAAGTGGTTTCGAGATGGGAGGTAGTTGTGAAGCTCGAAACAGGTCCAATAATAAAAATACAGCCAACACCAGACTCAGCGCTAAAGCGATAAAGCATGGATCGACAAAAATAGTAGGAAGAAGCATTGCAACCATGATACCATGAAAGACTTTCCGCCTGGTGTCGACTTCGACCACAGAAGTTAGGCGGAGTACTGCAAAAATACCCATGAATAACACGGCCACGCAGTACCCGCAGATCAGAAGGCGAGTATTTGCTGGGCCCAAGGTGTTTTGACGAATGTATTCGATCGAGAAAGGAGCAACAGGCGCGACGTCAGCAGACACGCGAGCTGGAAGACTTATCCATCTCTCGAGATTGTTGCTGACCACCCAGAATCTGAAAGTCGGGATATTTCCAAAAAGGTAGCCGATCGCCCAACCAAAGGGTTCATGGCCAGATAGGGCTCTGGTGCCAACAAAGAATCGAACAGGTCCTAGTATTGTGGCCGCTACGCAGAAGTATGCAGCAGCTGCATAGGCGTACTTGCGCACTCGAGCCTGCTCCAAAGTGAAGAACAAAAAGACATTCGACTGGCCTGCAAGAGGTGCTCTCATCTTCTTCCCCGCTGACGACTGGGTGCTGCTAGCTATCCGTTCGAATACTGTGAATGTGTTGCGGCGAGGCGTTTTCTGAAGAACAGGCCCATTTGTAAATGCTTCTCTCGGCTTCAAAGGCTCCACTGCAGACATCGGCTCAGCAATTGGAGTCGTAGACGCTCTCGCGTTGATGTTGAGCCGCAGTTTGGACTTGCTGGTGGAAATGGGCCGTAGCGGCGGTCGTTCAGAATCACTCTCGGATGACTCACGCCGCCTGGAGCGCAGGTGTCCACGCGTCAGCAGAACACAGATGGCTTGATCGACTTGTGAAACAAGTCCGGGTCTAGGACGTCTCCGTAGAAGTTTCCAGGTTGGCACTCGAGCAAGGGCGACTTCCCAAGCAAGCATTCGCCTACATGTAATGAAGATGCATAGTCCTCCGAGCCATAACATGGCTTTCAGAATCTCTGCCTGTGGGGTCCTTGCGAAGAGGAGAAGGTGAATCATAGCGGTCGAAAACAATCTAAGTTCGGATATATCGAGACTTGAAGTCGTGAGGTAACCGAGAATAGTCATAAGCGATTGATGCAGTGGGTATAACAATGTCAAGTCCTCTTGCTGCAACAAGCCCTCGCTGCTTAGTTTCAAAGACACCGGTTTCTGGAGGTATTCATGCGAAAACCGTAATTGAGAAGCATGAATCGGGAATATCGTTATGAGCCAGTGAACATAATCGCCCATCCCCCTGACTCGTGGCGTTGCAGTGACGGATGGCGGAATCGCAGAAAGTCCACACACAATGGCCACAGGAAGAAATGTATGACATCGTTGGAACAACGATAGTGCGATCAGGACTGGCATGGCCACAGGATACAACAAAGGCCCAGGGTCAAACCGAGAAGGGATATGAAATCCCAGACGAACTGCTTGAATGACTGACTTCCCTGTCGCAACGGCGCGGAAGGTCAGGCGGAGAGGTACGGTGAGGTAGGTCACCGGAGGAAGGAGCAAGTATCCGAGCAGCTCACTGTTCCAGTCTGATATCCCAGGGGAGTCCTTCACATTCGTCCAAATAACGCCACCGATTGCGACGAGGAGCAAAGTCTCGACACATCTTCGCACAATCTCTCTCCGCTTCCGAGCCTTGTAGGCTTCAAAATCTTTGACGACCTTTCCAGCTTGTGGTGTTTTCCTTGCCGTCTTGCGGGGAGTGCCGAAGTATTCGAACTCGCGCGCCTCGACGAATGCCGGAGGAGTCGGCAGGGGGCTGGCGGCCGGGGTCAGAGCAGCAGGCGAGGTCCCACGTAGGCCCTTTCTCATGCGCAGTGGAGGCGCCGGGAGACCTTTCAGAAGAGGTCCCTTTTCGTCGTCCGCCTCCGTGCCGCTTTCGCTTGACTCGGAGCGGCTGAGGGGTGATGTGGCGCTTCCATCAGGGGTGAGGAAGGTAGAGAGTCCGATCGGCCTGGTCAGACTCTCGGCTTTGAGGTGATAGGGTGTGCGGGTCCGCTCGAGAGTCAGGCTGGCTCGGTGGTACAGTTCCTGCGAACTGGATCGGCTGCTATCATCTCTCGTAGGCCTCGTGAGAGTCATCGGGGGAACAGGCAGAAGTCAAGGAAAGAAAGGTAAGCCAAAAGACTTCGCCGTGTACGGGTGGTATCGATCAGGTCATGGTGGATGGTGTCGGCCTGGAAGTGAGATCAGATGGCCCATAGACCGTGAAGCCATAGTCCTATTCTTGTTGGGAAGACATTGGGGACTTCACATGCCAACTATATGTACAGAATGCTGTGGAGAGGGAAAACTGGTGAGCTGCCACCTTTGTCATATCTCTTGGTACGACCCGTGTACGCGTTTTTGACTGCGGAGACGCCTCAGCCGAAAACCACCGGGCACCATCACAACTTTCCGCCAATCTGAAATGGGCGTGACGATCCATTTTCCGAAGATCTACGGAGTACACATGTCGTCTAGATGGACAGGAACTTATTGAACACTGCTACAAGTACGACCAGGAATGACCAAGAGTGCATGCAAATCCATATACAAATATCATTTCTAGCATAGATGCAAAGATGCAAGTAAACTTCGTACAATCTGCTGGCTATACTCCGTAATCGACTCTCCAAAGACAGTGCCTACTCCACGACCGGGCTGTTTCCTCTGAACATAACATTTACAGTTCCGCCTCCATCTTGTCCAGGATGGTTCGGACAAATTCGTGTGTAGTGCTGTTGCCGCCCATATCACGCGTTCGTACTTTGCTACAAGCCAGTTAGTGAACCTGAATATAATCCAGAAAGTCAACCTCAAACTTACCCATCAGCAATAACGTCATAAACAGCTCTGGAAATGCGGTTGGCATGGTCATCGAGACCAAGGTGTCTCAGCAACATGGTGCCAGAAAGCAGCAGAGCGGTTGGGTTAGCTTGGTCCTTGCCTTGGATATCAAGACCGACATGTCGGCATCCGGGTTCGAAGACAGCGACATCACGACCCATGTTGCAGCCAGGGACAACACCAGGCCCACCGACCAAAGCAGCAGCAATGTTGGTAAGGATACCACCGTAAAGGTTGGGCATGACCATGACGTCGAATTGTTGAGGCCGGGAGACAGCTTGCATAGAAGCGTTGTCGACGATCATGTCGTTGACTTCCAGGGTAGGGTAGTCCTCACCGACCTTCTTGACCGTATTTCTGAAGAGACCATCTGCGAGTTTCATAATGTTGGCCTTGTGAATGCAGGTGACCTTCTTTCGGTTGTTGGCGAGGGCGAACGAAAAGGCGAACTTGGCGATACGTTCCGACTTGGCCCGGGTGATGATCTTCAGAGACTCGACGACACCGTTGACCGATTGATGCTCAAGGCCCGAGTACTCACCTTCGGTGTTCTCACGCACAATGCAGAGATCGACATTGTTGTGCCGTGTCTGCAGACCTGGAATGTTCTTGATCAAAACCACCGAGGCGTAAATGTCGAGCTCCTGACGGAGGGCCACGTTGAAAGATTGGTGACCGGACCTCTCGATAGGTGTGTGCAAAATACCCTTCAAGCCGAGCTTGTTTCTCTTGAGGGAAGCTATTGACTCCTTGAATAGTTCCTCCGAGTGCTTGCCTCCGCTCTCGACACCGGTCACGTCGACCTGTTCCCACTCGATGGGTACGTTGTCGGCCTTGAACACGGTCTTGACTGCCTCGGCAACTTCGCCACCGATACCGTCACCTGTGTGTACATTTCCGTGAGTATGCGAAACCTCCCTTGTTATTCAAGTTGCGCGAGGGTTGGCCATACCTGGGATCAGCGTAACTGTATACTTTCCGCCATACTTTGTCGGCTTGAAGATATCGGACTCGACAGTGGCATAGGCTGCGATGGGTCAGTTGGACGTTCATGGGGCCGCTTCGGACAATTAGACTGCTCACATCGTGCAAGGAAAGGAGAGGTGGTCTGGTATCTGCTCGCTCGCTGGGTTGCGCGGAACAGCGACTGTGAAAAAAAGCTCGTTAGTGGACCGGCAGCTGCGCACACAGGGTGGAAAAGCCGTTTACCTGTGCACTGCGAGACGATCGTGCCAGAGACATGTTGGGAGATTGCCGGAGAAGGTCGAGACAACTACTTGGCTGGCAGAGGTGACGAGGAAGAAGTGCGGTGCAGTGATCGAAGAGCTTTTGTTTCTTGTTCTTGCAGGTTGACGAGCGAAAGAAAGCTCCGCGGTCGGCAGCCAATCATCAGCCGCATCCGACCATGACGTCGAGTCCACAATCGCCAAACATTCCGCGCAAACCGCGAGTGCAGCACCCGACGCGGGAATTTTCTCTCGCTTCGATACTCCGTACTGACATGAAACATATACATGAGTGCGATAGAGTTAAGAGGTACCAAGTCAATATTACTTTGTATTATTCAACATCAATGCTCACTACTAGGTATCCTGACTCGACGTGTCAAACCTGCACCCGTACGATAAATATACCATATCACTACTCCGAATCTCATACCAAACTTCGTCCATGCGTACAACCTAATTGGTCTTGAAGTTCAATGGGCCCTGAGCATGTCTCAACCTGGCACCAAAGAACTGCAAGAAGACCACGATGAAGAAGGCTGCTCCCATAATGCCAGTCTGAATGCCGTATTCAGTCTGAGTGCCTGCCTTTGTTGCCCAGTTGATCTAGTTCAAGACGTCAGTTATGTGGTCGTAGGTATCCAATTTTATCGAGGCTACTGACCTGAATGTATCCAACAATGAAGCCACCAAGGGTTCGAGCAAAGTTCAACCAAGCCGCGCACTCGCCACCAGCCTCCGGATAGCCATCTAGGAGGTAGGCACCAACTGCAGCCGTGGTGACAATGGTAGCAAAGTTGTGCATGGCCCAACCGACAGCAAGAACCCAGTATGACCAGGTCTGGGCATTGTGCAGGGTCACTCCAATGAGGTTGTAACCAATGAGCTTGAAAGGCAAGACCAACCAAAGAACAATCAATCTGTTCTCCGGGTCAATACGGCCTCCGTGGCGCTTGGCCCAAAGCTTAGCCACCAAGTCAAACATGAAGTGTCCAATAACCAGACCCAAAATCGCTCCGACAACTGGTGCAGTGTAGATGGCTGCCAGATTGCGATAGCTGAAGTTGTATGCTGGGATGATCAGCACCGAGATGGTCGTGTTGTTGCCAATCGTCCACGGGACTGTGAAGAGTTAGCGATGGCATTCTCGAACGATAAAGGAGCCGATTTTCATACAGTCAAAGAAGTAGAACAAGCAAATCAAGAAGACGGGCAACTTCAACGCTGTGTAGCCCAGACGACTGCCGGCCTCCCAGAATGTGTTCGTGGTGTACTTGGTCCTGTACTGTTCGACGCCAATAACACGCAGGAGGCGCGATTTGCGCTTAGGGATACGGTCTGGCATCAAGTGCCGGGGGTAGAAGGTCTCGTCCCCGAACACAAAGGTCAGAGCGAGACCGAGGGCGATGATGCCGAAATCTAGCCACATTCCCTTGCGCCACGAGGTGACGCTGACAATTGCCGCCATGAATTGTGGGCCGAGGAAGGGGGAGAGGATGATAGCCGTGGACCAGATGTTGATCTTTTTCGCATGTTGGTGCCAGAACCAGACATCCTTGATCCACATCAACCCGCCTCCTGCGGCCGCGACACAAAAGAGGCCATTCAGAATCCGCGATGCCATGTATGATTCGAAGCTTTGAGCGGCGGCAGACCAAGCAGCGGTACCTGCCGACAAGCAGCCAAACCAGAAGAGCACTGGCAACCGTCCGAAGTAAGCAGACAGCCACACGGTCGCGAGACCACCGACGCCCAACATGAAGGTGTTGCTGCGTTTGACATGTCAGCTTGGGTCATTCGTTTTGGTGGTCACTTATGGAGTATGAGAGGAAGACATACCCAGCAGTGGCGTGGTTGACGGTGTTGGGAGAGATGCGCCATTCCTCAGCTTGAGGGATCAAAGCACTTGCGCCAGTCGCAGCGGAGTAGTCAGCGGTACAGGCATTGACGGCAATGACGAGCAGGATGAGACTCTTCTTCCATCTCGACCAGTTCAAAGGGTCCTCAGGGTCCTCGGTGGGCTGAGGGATCAAGACGACACCACCTTTGGACTTTTTCAAGGCGACATCAGGCGCGAGGCCCAACTTCTCCTTGAGTTGTGCCTCGTCGAGCACATATCCCTCAGTCTCACCGACACGGTCGAGATCGAGGGTGGTGCTCTTTGGGGCTGTCTTCTCCTTGTTGTCAGCCTCTGCACTAGAGATGGACGGTGGTGTCGAGGCTGTAGTCGCATCTGGTTCTGGCTTGTTGACTTCGTCAGCCATGGCTGGTACAATGGGAAGAGAGCCGGGGGAGGCAGGCGCAAAGTGAAAGTGACACAAGAGCAGTGTGCGAGTGCAAGAGACACTTGACGACAAGACAAAGAAGGAAAAGAAAAAATCGACAGCGGGGAGGGCCTGCTTGAAATACAAAACGTCCGACTATAGTGTTTTTTTTTCCTTCTTTGGCCCTACGATTCAACAAACAGCCTTGTGTTTTTAGCGTGTCCCTTGACGACCCGTCTGTAGGGCGTCTCCCACCAGCCGATATTGACCCAAGCAAATGGCGTTCCGGCGCCAAAAGGTCCTGTCAGATCTAAAAGGTCTGCGTCAAATCAGGGGCGTTCTAGAGGACGCCCTTGGGTTTCAAAAAGAGAGGTCCTCCCTGCATATTCCTTCGTTTACTCCGTCCTTTTTGACCGTGTGACAGGGGATGGGATGTCAATAATGTGCAATCTTACCTAAAGCGCGGATTGGCAATTACTGCTTAGGGAGTCGAAGGAGGAGTCGACGTCCTGAGCGTGGCGCATTTTGGTGTTCGTGATTCGACGGACATGAAAGAGGGAGCGACGCAAATCAGCCCCGTTATATGCCCCAAGTGGAATGGTCTCTCCTGCTCGCCGGACCTCGCTGACAGTCCTTTGTACGTGGACGAGGCTAGTCAATGTTACTAATAACAGAAGGGCACAATGTATGGGGTAAAAACATCCACAGGTATTAGGTACAAAAGGCCTTGGTTGTACTCCGTAGGACAAGCTACGGCTTTGGTAGCTTGTCGGGCGACCCTATTATTATTGTAAGGAGTACTGTAGAAAAGTCCGGTGTACTCCGTACAGTACACAAGATGCCAACAGAATTTTTCCCCCCTAGTCTTTTACACACAATCAAAATCTCACGTAAACTCCCAAGTGACACATGCCCAGAGAGAAAGAGACACGAAACAACAAAATCCCAGTCCCAGGCCCAACGCAAAACTGTATTTCCGACTTCCGTGCCACAACCACTGACACCCAGGAATCATCCAATAATGGCCAAAAAAAGTCTACTCCCATTACGCCTAGATACGGGACAAAAATCGCTGAGAAGTGCTTGACGCATGGTATGAAGACATGCAAGTACTCGTACTCGGTAGAAGGTTGAGTTCCCGCGTACTTTGTTTCTCGTATGCAAAAACACCACTACGACCAAAATGGTAGCTGGCAAAGATTCTGGCAACACTTCCCCCTCAAAAACATTCCCTCTCATACCCCAGATTCCAAAACCCCTCTCCGTTTTATACCCCGGAAAAAATACCTGTTGCCAGCTACCTGATTGAGTCAACATGCTACACACAGGGACACGTCAAAGATCTGAGAAACAAGCCGAGATACACGCCAGATCCCTGTATAACAGATTTGCCCATGTGCAAGTGGTATGTGCGTTATTGGCCCACGATGTTGACGTTTGTGTCCGTAATCGGACACATGTTCAGTCCCTCGAGAATAAAAGAGTATCTGGCCCATCCCTGAAGCGCGGTGACTGATGCCGAACTACCAGAAACAGAGATCTCTGAAGGAATGGACCTCAGTCAACGCAGGCAATGATGCAAGATTTGCTTTGTTTCCTAAGAATATCCATGAGAGATTTCCAACTACGACATATTTCCAAGCATCTTTCGGTCTCATGCCCTGAGAGGATATCTTGTCCGCGAGGTCGGCGTAATGACCCTTATCCGGTAGATGCTGAGGCTATACCAGAAAGAATCTTCGCTTTGCCAATGTGCTGGTCTTCTCATGGAAAGGGTGATTGCTCTATGTTGTCTTCTCACAAGCTATTTACCCTCGAGGGGCAGCTCGTCCGATTCAATTATCTACCTCTCCTTTGGGTCTTAGTCGCATATCGGGTGTTTGGTTGTTTAAACTTGTCCTGAAATTCGACGCAGCCAGGTCTGCAGTGTAGTTCCCGAACACTTTACCTATCTTTCAATGTCAGCGTCTGAACCCACTGACGGAATCGTTCTATCGCAGACTTTTGGGGGCAAACGGTATTTGGAATGACAAAGAACCAGTATTACATCCATTTAAATTTGCAGTCGACAGAGCTATGGATACAGATAGCCATGAGTCGGGCCATCTGTAGCACAATCCTAGGGTGCCGTGATAGGATGGGCTTGCATCTAGACGCTGCATGAGGTGCTCTGACCCGCCAAATGGTGTTGCTCAAAACGCCAGCACAGCATTCTAAGATTCAAATAGTTCTAGGAATCCATGTTGCTGGAAACCCTCCGAAACTTGGATTCAGTACCCACTTTCAAAGAAGGCAGGTATGTAGTATCTCAATAGACCGTTGGTACTCGTAATACTGTGAGACAAGCACCCGAAGAGTAGCGCAGGTTGCCTTTTTGGCTAATGGAGAAGCTTCCATTCATCATCAGTACTGCCAATCACTGTCGACCAGACCATTGCGCTGGGCATTCTTGCGGAGAGAGAAATGTAGCAGAGGCTGGAGGTCTTGTTCAAATCGAAAGGTGACCTGACCTTCCGACTCCATGACCTTGTCAAGAGGCTTACCACCAAGCGATAACATTCACGGGAGCGTTCAGCGCCACAGCACATGGGTCGCAAACAGATGGAGAAAGCAAGGACCGAGGCGAAGCATCGTTCGCATGCAAATGCAACGCATCGTGCCGAGCGGTAACCATCTGATATGCGCGGAGCACAGTACGTGATATGCTAGAGTTCTCCCCACCAGCTAGAAATTACGCGACTTTGAAGACGCATTATTGTCACCTCGCTTCTGTTGTCCAACAAGGAAGGTCGAAAACAAAGAAAAGCCCAGATCACGGACTGTGTTTGGGGCACCAAGACATCATCTTGTTGGCCTGAGTATGATGTCCTCCTCGTACTCAGCTTCAATTTTGGCATGTGGGCATAGCAGAAGGATGCCTTCCTGTGCAGACTCCACTTCTTGTATTGTACATATCATGATGGATGTTTAGCAAGCGGCGATGCAGTCTTATTCATCAGTGACATCAAATGGATCACCATGCAAGATCAAAATATCGTGCAGGAATTGCAACCTTCTCTGGTGAACTCAATTAGGGTATTGCACCACTGTGAGACACTCTCCAATGAAATCGCTTTTCGCCGTGAATGGTCGCTATTTCGAGTCGTCCTTGACGGTGGACTTGCATACGAGGATCCTCGGTATCAAGGCTAATGCGCGTAGCAGGTGTTCTTCTGAGCCTGGTTGCGCACCAGACTGCCGCTCGAGGAGCTTCAGTGGGTCAACTCCAAACGGATGTACAGTCTCTGCATCCCCGCAGCAAGAATTGCCTGCCGAGATGACACCAGGGCTGTTCTAAACAATAGTTCTTCGGTTGACAGAAACGAGTAAGGTTGATCCATGATTTACTGGTGGAAACCTCCCCAAAATGCTCGCGGCAGTTTCTCAAAAGGATCAAGACCAACAGAATGATCTGCGCAAGCGAGGGACGAGGGATGTGATACAATATACGAGGGCTGTTTCATATAGAAACTGACACCAGTGATGTCTAGGTGGCTCGGTGGGATGATCGCGCGAAGTGCAGCTGACCCTGGACCGCTTGCTGGAACCGATCGACGTCAGGCCCATTTGGGCAGAGCGTGGACTTGGTCTTCGGCTTCTCGAGCAGACTATGGTGTCTAGTCGGCCGTGGCGACACGATACTTATCAGGTTTTTGGTAGTGGTGACGAGATAGCTTGTACTGGAGCAGAATGGACATGTCAGGATCAAGCAAGGTTGTACTTCGTAGTCAAGGTACCCAAGAAACTGCGGAAGACTTGAGCGACCACTCTTCCGTGACCCAGCAGTTCGACTAGCGACAGGATATAGCTGCAGGTTGTTGAGGGACGACCAGTGAGGCGAGGGTCGAGATAGCTAAGAGAAGTACCTACTTTTTAGCTGCGCTGTACTAGTTGCGCCCTGCAGACTGCGAGCTGTCAGGAAGCGGCGCGGGGCACAAAATGATGGGCGCGATGGACGCAATGGGCACGATGGACGCAATGGGCACGATGGGCACCTCCTCCCCCTTCGCTAGGTGCTTGATCCCGCTGTGATCATGCAGTAGGTTTGGGTAGGAAGATCATACCCTGCGGGAGCTTCCATACCTCCAGTCTTCACCCTTAGCCCAAAGTTGTATCACTTTTCAAACACTTTCTTTCTCGCTTTTCCACTGCGCTCAACCTCGAATGTCTTGAGCTAGCTTTAGCGGATTCTTTTCTCTTCTTCTTCCGTCCACATACTCCTGCAACCGTTGCCCCCTTCAGACCTTGCAGTGGTCAACAAAGTCATGGCATAAATTCGAGCCTGCACTATCCTCGACGCTGAGCCTGCCCCGCCGCTGTATTGACCTCTTCATCACCTGCTTGTACCCAGCTCGATTCCTTTCGAGAGCTCTCAGACGCCTGTTTATTCATACTGTCTGAAGGAAAATAGTCTGTGCTTCGGGGGGTTGTCTACTTCAAGATGCCTTCTGGTAAATCAGTCTCTACCGACAAGACCCGCGCCTACAGCGCATCTAGCTCTTTCAACATAACCGTCCTCATTTCTGGTTCAGGCACGAACCTCCAGGCCCTGATCGATGCTTGCGGCCAAGCACCGCCCTCAAAGAGCCGATCTACCCCGAAACGTCTCCTTCCACAAGCCGAGATCACACACGTTATTTCCAATCGTCGTGAGGCATACGGCTTGACTCGTGCTCGAGATGCACGCATTCCTGTGACGTACCACAATCTTGTGGAGTACAAGAAGAGATATCCAAACAATGTACAAGCCGCAAGGAATCAGTACGATTCCGATCTTGCCCAGAAGATCCTCACCCACATCCCTTCGCCAGATCTAGTTGTCTGTGCCGGGTGGATGCATATTCTGTCGCCGATTTTCATCAACGCTTTGGCCTCTGCCCATGTCCCTGTCATCAACCTCCATCCTGCTTTGCCCGGACAATTCAATGGTGCAAACGCCATCGATCGTGCTTATGAAGCTTTCAAGAAAGGCGAGATCACCAACACCGGGGTGATGGTACATTACGTCGAGGCAGATGTCGATATGGGTCCGCCTATCCTGGTCAAAGAAGTCCCTTGCCAAACCGGGGACTCTCAAGAAGATCTGGAAAAGAGGATACACGACACAGAATGGAAACTGATTGTCCAAGCCACAGGGAAAGTACTTTCGGACCTGGAAGAGAAGAGGAGGTCCGAGAGTTGAGCCATGCCAAAAAAAATACTTGCGTTTACCCAACATAGTTGATGACCTGAAACCTACGGAGTACAGGTAGCCAAAAGTCGTTCCCTGATTGCAGCAAGGTGTTTTCGGCCTTATGGGATCACGTCTGGGATAGAGGAGTTTGTTAGATTTGGGACCGCGGCACAAACCATCATATATCTCATGTGAGATGATGGTTCTTTGTTTTCCCCATGTTTTTCGCCCTGTGGTGACGGAGCCAAATGAGAGGACTATGTCTCAGGCCAGGGTTGGCAGTGGTGTAGCTTCAAGAGCTGAAATTGCAGGGGATGGTGGCAGCTGGGCTTTTGGGGGCTGGAGTTCGACAGGGCCCGAATTGACCAAGTATGCCAGATTTGCCACGTTTCAACGATTCGTAAACGTACTTTTGGAGTGGACGGAACGGTGGGCATTTGGCTGATTGAAACACTCATCTGGTGGACAATTGGACAGAAATTCAAAAAAAAAGAGAGAGGAAAAGGAACATATCGGCGCACCAAGGTACTGCCTGGTAGTCACGACAGCTTCATACTACCTGAAAAGTAAAAACTACTTGACATGAATGAAATGATGAACTCACAGAATCCACTCTACACGTGTTTACAAAAAGACATGTTCAATGATTAGTACCGTGGCTCACACGGAGTACTACATACTAACTAATTCAGGTGCTGTACGGAGTAAGAATAAACATGATCCTGCCGTTGAAAAAACAGGTCTGGGTATCGCAAAAACCACCCCTGCCACCCTGGACGCTCATCCACGCATCAACATTGAAACATCAAAACATGAATCGCAAAGGTACTGTACAGTCGAAAGCCCTCTTTCGCTCATCTCGCATCCATTATCGCTTCTCATTCGAGGTGTCTGCGTCTCCTCTCTCAGGAGCATTGACGTCTCCATTCTGATTCAGCTTCTCCTGTTCGGCGGCGGCGGCGTCTTTGTCCCCATCGGCCGTCGACGTCTCCCCGTTGGCGGCGGCGGCGTCGTATTGTCCGTGGTGCTCGTCCTTGCCGCCGTCGAGGAAGGCGTGATACTGCTGCTTGTACCGATGCTCCTTGTGGTCCTCCCCGGCCGCCCGCGCGGCCAGATCCTCCTCGTCGCTCGAGCTGACGCTGCTCATGCTGGAGTTTTGCATAAACATGACCTGGTTGTGGGTCGACTTCTTGCGCTCCCGTTGTTCGCCCTTGAGCTTCTTCATGCGCTCCTCGTCGGCCTGACAATCCAACGTGACCACCTTGAGGCCGGGGAAGTTCATCTTGAAGAAATCCCGCAGAAGGGGCAATTTCTTGCCGTTGGGCCTATAAGTGCCGCTGTCGTTGTCGATGATCAACTCGTAGTGCGAAGGATCCGTGTCCTTGTTCGAGTCTTCGATCGACACCTCATTGCCGTCGGGATCCTTGCTTTTGTCCTTGTCCTTGCCGTTTTGGCCCGGCGCCGACTTCACAACACACTCTGAATCTTTCTCCTTGTCCTTGTCCATATCCTTCTTCTCGTCCTTGTCCTTCTCGTGCTGATGATGATCATCATCGTCGGTGCCGTCCTGGTTAATAGCAAGTTGATCGATTTCCTTATTCTCCCTCTCTTCCTCTGCCGGGCCACTTTCTGGGGCGGGCTTATGCGTGCCTTCCACCGGGTCGACGTCCTTCTCCTTCCTGTTCGTCTTCCCGTGTCGGATTTTCCGGAAGAAGAATTCTCCACTGCAAGCAATGTATATACTCACATCGCTATGCATAGTATGTTTACTTAGAAGATCGATTCCAAATTCTTTACCCGTTTCCGTGAACCGAAAGTGCCCGTCCAGAGTCAGGACGTACGTGAAAATCCGCCCGCCCTCATCATAATGCACGAGGTCAAGTAGTAATTTTGTCATGTCAGGGGTCGGTTCAGGGAATGTGCCATACTTTGTCATCCGATCGTAGTTGTAGATCCGCGCGTGTTGGTGGTGAAGGGCGCGATTGAGCAGCCTACCTCGGATGGAATGAGACGTGAACATACCCGCAACAAAGGGTTTGAATTCCACGTATCGATGATACAGCTCTGCAGGTACCGGACCCCGGAGTTGCATCTGCACGGCCTGGAAACTGTGCATCTCTCTGTTAGTCATGCTTCCGCCACTCGCTAGGAGGACGTAGGAGAGGATCGGCCAGGGCTTACTTGTATCTCTGCGTCTCTTTGCCGTCCTTGCCCATTTCTGTATCCTTGGTTCCGGCCAACCGCCCTATGAGCGGAGAGTAATGCCGACTCCAAGCCAAAGGTCCGATTGTATACATCCTTCCGCCGCTTTCATCTTTCGTACGCCCAAGATTCTCAATGCTCACGACTAAATGGCCACCCATCTTGACGTTTCGTGAGAACATCGCGGCACATCCACGAATGGTGTATGCGCGCTTACTACCCATGCGCTTTTTCAGTTCGAAGCTCCGCCTTGAGAAGCCCTTCCAATTGTCATCGATGCCGGAGACGTTGATATGTGCATTGCCTAAGCGGTCGTCGTGGTCTGACGGGTCTTCGTCGTACAGTCTGCATTTCAGATGGAAGCCTGAACTGGGTACATTGGCAACGATCCAGTCGGTGTTCCATTCTGGGTTTGTATTGCGGTGGATGGTCGGCGTGCGTATGCACATATCTGGGTCTTGCTTGTGACGCTTGACAAGGTCTGATTTGAGGACGGCTAGGATATAAGGGTCTGAAGAGAGCGTGTTTAAATCGGCAAAGGGAAGGTTTTCGGCTTTGTGAAAGGTGAACTTCAATGTGTATCCAGGCGGCGCATGAGGTATGGGAGTGTCATCAAAGCCTCCCGCGGGACCTTTCTTCTTCTCCGGAGCATTTGATCCTGTGTTTGGTTGGTATTTATTTTGTATTCTGTCCGCCTGATTGACAAGCTTGGGACCAATCTTATCCGCCGGATGCTCCTTGCGTATAGCAGGTGAATCTGCGTCGCTGTTGGCCATGGCGGATAGCTGTCGCAACACGGGTTGTTCGAGCGCGTGCAGGTCGTAGTTATGGAGTTATGGAGGGGGAAAGCGGAAAGAGAAGCGGATGGAGAGCACGGTTGAAGAAGCAGGTGGGTAAGGCGCCATACAAGGCAAGATCCTTGTGTCGTAGTGACGATGGACGGGCGATCGCGACATGGAACACCCCAAGATCGAGAGTTCCGGATGGTGAAGCTGGAAAGGCTGACGACGCCCACGGGTACAACGGCTGAAGGGCCAATAATGCAGGCTTCTTAGTGGTACCAAAACACCCACGGTCCCCTCTCTTTGACAGAAGCTTGGTTTCTTAGCTTGAGCCTATTTGGGGGCATTCCTTGAATCCCAATGGCATACAATACAAAATCAGCACATCCCGGTATCCAGTCGATCAACAATGGCAAACTCGCAGGATTTTGCACGCCATTGTTGACATCATCGTCGTGGGATATGGAGAGATCGCATGTACTTTGCAAGTACTCGTATTGGTAGTATGAGCCCAGTACATCCGAATCGTCCAGATGATAGTTTGCAAGAATGACAGATGTCTATGGAGTCTGGTCCAACCGTCTTCTCTACTCTAGTGTCCATCTATATCTTCTCTCAAACGAATGTTTTGTCCGCTGCCGCTGTGTCATTGTGCCACCAAGGTGAGATCAGACCAGGTACACCCACATGCTGAAGTCCTCGCTTATGCCAAAACCCCAAACATTCAAAAACAGCCCTTCATTCATTAGTCTATCTAGTACTCCTCAAATAATTTCAACAATAGGTCGGCGCCAGGTCCATTCAAGCTATCCCTCATCTCCTTCTCAGAAACTGCGCTTATGACTTGCTTGTCGTCCAATGCTCTCCCGCTCCTTGATGGTGTCTTGGTCGGTGTCAGAAGGCTGGACGTTCGTCCTGCGGATTCATGTACCAGACCGAGGGTCTCCAGACTGGCCACAACGTCTCGGAACTCAGTCACCTTCAATGGTACCAGTGTTCCGTCACGTTTGCATAACGCCGTGTATTTTTCGAAAAGGGCTTTGATGGTAGGGATCCGCGACTGTGACTTTGAAGGTGTTGTGTATGGATCACAATGTCTCTGTCGACTTTCTGATGCTACCAGAGAACACAGTACAGCTCTCTGTTGAAGATTCAGTCCACTCAGTCGGGACACAGTGGCATTGTTGAATATGCTGGAGGCGATTGCTGCAACATGCGCCGGACTGGCTCGAGGTGCACTTTCCATTGTCAACTGAGACAGAACAGACCGGCTCTCAATCGTAGTCTGCAGGTTTTTCACCTCCCCAAGCGGCTGTTTCGTTGGAGTTGTCTGGTTTGAGCTCATTTTGGCGATTGTTTCCTGCTCGATCTTATCAATCACACGGCGAACCAGACTGAATGCTTTCCTGAGGTCTCCTGTCTGAGATGCGATCCTTTTGCTACTGAGCTGCACCGCTGCCGGGTGGATCAAAGGAACGAAGTCGGGAGATGCTGAGCTCTCAGCAGGTAGTAGTGTTCGCAGCTTCTCGGAGATGATTTTCGAAATTTGCTGGGCATTGTATGGAAGGAATGGAAGAAGCTCCGGCTTTAGGTTCTTCATCTTCAGCCGAGGAAGAAACCGATCAGTTAAATCAAGGGCATTAGCGATGCCGATCAGAACGAGGGAGGAAGATGGATGCATCGCCCACTCGAAAATATTGTATAGCACCTCGCATTCCCCACTGAGAAGGGTGTCGATTTCGTCCAGTAATACCAGATGCATCTCGGAGCTTCGCTTTCGCGCGGTGAATAGCTTTGAGAGGCTGGCTTTCGTTGCTTTTTGATTGCCACCACCACAGCCAAACTCTTGGGCAAAGCTGGTAAGGACCTCGTTCGAAGATTTGAAAGCAACACAGTTGATGGTTGCGACTTTAAGGTGTTTTCCCTGGAATTCTTGCATGATCTCCTGGATCAAGGCACTCTTGCCAGTTCCTGGAGGTCCGCTCACATAAGTGCAGCCACCCTTCTCAGTCCTAATGGCCTTGGATATGAAGTCTGTCAGTCGTTGTCGCTCTGGTTCCCGTCCAATGACTTTTCCATTCGACGCTTGGGTGAATAGTTGTCTCGCCAGCGAATAAACGTTCTGTCTTGATGGCGTAGAAGTGCGTGCTGATCGAGGTGTAAGTAACCGACCTCCAAGTCGTACGCGATGCTTTGGTGTACACGGAGGCGTCGCAAGAGCATTTTTGAAGCGTGTGGTCGTCGGTGTCGAGACAGCCGCAGGTATAATGTTTTCATCTTGGAACTCGTTTGCGGTGGTCTTGCTATCTTCGGAGATGTTTTGTTCGGTACGTCTTGGTTTTTCAATACGAGGTCTGACAGAACGAGTTTGAACAGGGCTCTGATGCCTGCTTGGGGAACACTGTTCCCCCGACTGTTCCTGTCCATCGGTGTCTTCATATATCTGAGGAGCAGAACGACGCGTCCGTCTCTTTGGGATAGGAGAAAGAGATGAGATATCTGTACCACGGCAATGTCAATGGGATTCCCTCAGCTCGATCCAGCTTTTGCACATACCTTCCTCGTCTAGAACTCTTCGAGAACGCTTTCCAAGTACTGAAGCAGCCATTGATGTGGTCGTTGCTGCTTTTGCTTCCAGGTGTAGAGTTGGAGAAGGATGTACGAAGGAAGGAACGACCGTGGGCGCGATTTACTTTTCACGAGTCATGTAGACGCGTCGACGCGTAGAGTGAAGCTCGGCCCAACTGCCCTGACAGGCTTCCAGCCACAAGTGGAGCGCCTAAGTGTTAAGCGCGCTCTAAGGTGAAGCACTCATTCTTGAAACGCAGATGAGCTCACCAGCCTCAGCGGCTATTGCACGTCGTTGTGGCGCCCTCCTCGCCATTGCCGACGCCTTGCCTGGATTCTCTTGGCGAGTTTGCATGCAACAAGGCTGTTACTGTTATCACCGATAGGCGCCCGGAGCGTTTTCGTCATAAGTGAAAGTTGTGTTCACGCTGGGCATCAGTGCGTGTTTGCCTGCAACTGCCATTCAACTCGACAGATCAACTACGTCGATATCTTGATTTCAAATTGGCCTTTCTGGTATCATGATCCGCCAAATTTCTCTCATATGAAGACTTCTAATTCTTGAGACTCTAGTGAGAGTCCCTCATACCAAAAGTATTCATCTGTCCCCTGCGGATTTATCTCCGACCTACCACGTCCTAACCAGTCTCAACGCCCACATACTCTCAACATGGACGAAGCGATTGCCTCCGTCATCACGGTCACCGGATCAACTCCAGAAATCGCTGCGCAGTATGTTCAGCTCGCCGATGGTGACCCCAATCAAGCCGTTCAATTATTCTTTGAAAATGGTGGCGCAGATCTCGGCGTCGCATTCCAACAGCCTCAGCCCTCCACAACCTCACACTCTACGGGTGATGCTCAGAACCCAATCAATTTAGATGCAGACGAAAACATCTCCGATGATAATGACCCCGAGATCACTGGCTTCAGAAAGTCACCAGTACACGCTGCTCCCTCGAGACCTATGAATGACTTTGAAGATGATGAAGCAATGGCGAGGCGGTTACAAGAGGAGATGTATGGAGGTAATGGAATAGAACACAATGTCAGAGCTCCCATTGCTCGACAAGTCGAGACCTTAGTCGGCCCTGGTGCAAATCCTTTTGCCGCCGCCGGACCAGAGTATGACGCAGCAATAGAGGAGAGGTTACGTGCTTTTCAAACAAGACGCAATCCAGGTTGGTTCGAATCTGGCCTGTGAAACAACATGACTAACTGGTCTCGCAGTTCGTCCTGGCATATTCAACCAACATGAACCGCCGACCAGTATCTGGGACAGGGATGTTAGAGACGCCGACGCTGGAAGAAGCTTTCTTGCAGAGTCGACCGGAGGAGCATCCGAGGCTTCATCGAGATCAACTAGGCTCGCCCGACTTTTCCAACCACCCTGGGACTTGATGTTCAAAGGAGAATGGGATGCTGCCCGAGACGAAGGCAAAGAGCACAAGAAATGGCTCTTGGTTGACATCCAAGATCCGTCTATATTTGACTGCCAGGCGCTGAACAGGGATTTGTGGAAGAACGAGGGTATCATCGACACAGTCAAGGAGAACTTTGTCTTCATTCAGTACAATAAAGATGATCCACGAGCTGCCCAATATATCCAGTATTATTTCCCGACCTACGAAAATCAGGATGAGTATCCTCATGTTGCGATCGTGGACCCCAGAACCGGCGAACAGATCAAGCTGTGGTCGCGGAAGGTGCCGTCAGCGGCCGAGTTCTTGATGCAACTCCATGAATTCCTTGATCGATACAGTCTGGACAACAATGCCCGGAATCCTGTTGCGAAGCGGAAATCAGAAGCCAAGGAGAAACCTCTAGATCAGTTGAGTGAAGAAGAACAACTAGAAAGAGCATTGCAAGCTAGTCTCGGGTCCCAGGAGGATGCAGCACTCAAGCCTGCTGCCGCAGAAGATCCCGACGCACTCACAAGAAGTATTGGTGATGTACGATCAGCAGATGGTCCATCAATTGCTGAAGCTATGGATCTGGACGAACCCAGCGCCGCGACGACGAGCGAAACAACCCCATTTTCACTGATTCCTTCCGACCGTCCGCATGTGGAACCTCCTGCTGGTCCCGGTATAACACGAGTCCAGATCAGACACCCAGGAGGTAGAATCGTGCGACGATTCGCAGAAGCCGACCCTGTACAACGGATTTATGAGTTTCTGAAAGCCGAACCTTTGGAGGGTAGGGAGGGGAAGGACTTTGAGCTGGTTTCTATGGGAAAGAATCTCATTGATTCTCGACAAGAGACCATCGAAGCGGCGGCATTGAAAAACGGAACCGTGATGGTGGAGTTTGTGGAGTAATCAGTGGCTGATAGTTGAAATTCCTCTGAGATCTCATTCCAGCGGACTAGAGGTGCATGGCGAGGCGTTACCAGACTTAGGCGATTTACTAATGCCAGTAAGGTGGACACCTGGCCTAGCCTATCGATCGAAGAACTTCGTACAGGTCTGTCGTTCCAGACGAGCAATCATGAAATATTGATGGCTGTAACCTAAATGTCTCTAAGTTTTGATTGTCGTGTGTATTGTATGGCCCTCGAGTCTTCCCGCTGATAGGGGTATTCGGCCAATCGGAGCGGCCAGTAGCATAGCGCGACCGGTTGCGGTCTGTGAGTAAACACGCCGTGAATTTGTTTCAATTTCTCAGAGATACATCTGCAAATGTATGGGCACACGTGGTACCATGAGCTAACGTTCTGTCGCGTCGTATGGCAGCAATGATTCACGACCTCACGATCTTTCACGACACAAAACTAAGCGCGTAGAAGGCAGGGGCACCTGGGCACGGCGCCTGCTGAAAGCCCTCCTCTCGAAGAATTCACTCGACCTTTCCAACCACTGACGACGCCTTCTCTGCGGACATTTCACCTCGCCAGACACTATCCTCCCACTTCCTTGAGTGACTCTGGGATAGCACGTCCTCTGGTATCGTCCTCAAGCCGGTAAACGCCCCCAACACATCTCCGACCACTCTTCCTCCCGACCATGGACCCAGAAGAGTTGTATACAAAGCAGAATTGCATTGGAGGAGGTAGTTTTGGCAAAGTATACAAGGGCGTTGACAAGCGAACTGGACAAGCTGTGGCCATCAAAATTATAGATGTGGAGAATGCTGAAGATGAGGTCGAGGACATTATACAAGAAATATCCATACTTTCAGAGTTGCAGTCGCCCTATGTCACCAAGTATCATGGCTCGTTTTTGAAAGGCTCCGATCTGTGGATCATCATGGAATTTTGTTCAGGAGGTAGCTGTTCAGATCTGATGAGACCCGGCATCATTCACGAAGACTACATCTGTATCATCCTTCGAGAACTGTTAATGGGGCTCGAATACCTCCACGGAGACAAGAAACTGCATCGAGACATCAAAGCGGCCAATGTCCTTCTAGGGCAGAACGGACAGGTCAAGCTTGCAGACTTCGGTGTCTCTGGACAGCTCTCGGCTACCATGACTAAAAAGAATACCTTTGTTGGCACCCCTTTCTGGATGGCACCAGAGGTTATCAAGCAGTCTGGTTATGATCACAAAGCAGATATTTGGTCTCTTGGTATTACGGCCATTGAGTTGGCTCAAGGAGAGCCTCCATATGCCGACATTCATCCCATGAAAGTTCTCTTCCTGATCCCCAAAAACCCCCCGCCTAGTCTACAAGGGAACTTTTCACGTACATTCAAAGACTTTGTCGAGTTATGTCTGAGAAGAGACCCTCGAGATCGTCCGTCGGCGAAAGAATTGCTGAAGCACCCTTTCATACGCAAGGCGAAGAAGACAACGTATCTGACCGAGCTAATTGAACGCAACGAGAGATATATTGCAACTCACGGCAGCAGATCTTCAGATGATGAGGATGACGACGAAATTCCTACGCAACAGACTCATACCTCCGAGAATGAAGATCTCTGGGACTTTGGCACGGTCCGACCTGTTGGTGGTCGGAATGCTGGGCTTCGCCCAATGAATGACTCTGACACCAATGCGAGAGCGTCTGCAGAGCCATCAGCTCCGAGAAACAAAAGTGACTGGGATGAGACTGTCAAAGTTCCTTCCTCTCCGCAGAAGTCTCCTGTCAAGGCTGCGTTCCCGACTCCAGCGAAAGTTCCCTTGCCAGCTTCTCCTGCTAAGGAAACCAATCCCGGCGGAGTTACGGCATCTCCTCATAAATCTGCACCTGCTGTCCCACCAAAAACCTCGACTCCTTTCTCCGTGCCACAAACACCGGTCAATTATGTCAACTCTGAGGTCTCTAAATCACAGGAACACCAAGACAGCCCAGAATCTAACGAATATAACAAAGCATTTCAAGCTCAGCTGGCCAAGGACATGGGATTTCTGAAAATCAATGGCTCAGACAGCCCTAATTCGCAGGGGTCAACTCCGCCCAACAAGAAACCTCACATGGTTATTCCAGAGATTCCTCCCTTCAAAGGTAGACCAGGTAGAGGGGAGCCTCTTGATCATGCAAGACCAGCACCACCATTGAAAACAGTAGCCCAACAACCTCTGCCCTCCTTTTCAACCAAAGATTTATCACCCATACCAGGTATACCATCGACTGATCAACGACAGTCACAGCCCTTGGCGAGTAAGACGAACAAGTCGTCACCTCTGACGCAACCAATCTCGGGAGGCCTTTCGACTCAACCTTCGAAAGAAGATGCAAATGATGAGCTTACAGCTATCAACTCCGTGATTGTTCCAGCACTTGATGCCGCAATTCATCGTCGAAGCTATATGCTGAAGGAGCTTAGTCGGACGAGACAGCCAGGCTCACCTGCAGCGGCGGAAGTTCAACATCAGAGGGTGCAGACCCATGAGAAAGTGCGACGTCTGGCCTCGAAAGCTGCAGCTATTTTTCAAGAGATCCAACGATGTGATGAAGAGTTTCCCGTTGGAATGGGTGGCGGTGTGACAGAGTTTTTGGAAGGGTTCTTAGAAGAGATCCTGGTAAGAGTCGAGGCCGCCGAAGAGCCGGAGAGTCCTAAGAAGGTCTAGTAAGGACGTCGTCTCATTCCATGATTAGTGGTCACTATGATGAAATCGAAGGGGCAATTGTCTATCATGTCGTAATGCAGTGTATACGAGATTATGGACCAGACTGTACGAAGACTGAGCACTTAAAAGGGGTGCTACGGACTAGAGCAGAGTGATGATGGCCAGGAAGCTGGCTGTTGTCAATGTTCATATACAGCCTTGTGTGACTCAAGAAGCCCCTTAAATGTACTAATTCCGAGTCATGCGCCGCGTCACTGGATGACCGTGATTTATCCTTCCTCGCTCGCCTCCGTACCTTGCCTAATCGACGTATGTGAGACGTATTGCGTATTCTGAGATCAAGCCCATCATGTAAAACCCTCATCTCAGGGTGTTGAGACCTGAACTCTAGCCCAACACCATCGATATCCTGGAAAGTCAGGGCGCTGGGTAAGACACGCACAATGGCGGGCGAATCGTCAAGTTCAAGTCCCAGGCTATTCTCTCCGAGCAATCTCATCCGCCTGGCTCCGTTGCAAGCAAGCGACCTCCCATCCCATCCTGACCTGCCAGGCTCGTCGGCCGAGGTGCTGCCCTTCCTAACCGCCCTCCTTGAAGACGGCGCGTCGTTCCTGTCCCCTTCGAATTTCCAAGAAACCTTTAAAAACCAATCCACCAAGACATCCCCTCCCTCTGCGGCGAAGGTGGAAATCCTGACGTGTTCGATACCGGCGACCTCGATATCGCAGGTTCAATGGACAGGAACGTCTTCCGCGCAGGGTGCGGGCGCGGCGGTTTCACGAAGTAAGCCGCAGAAAATCGAGGGCGAGCACTGGTTCGCCAGGCGGAGTGTGCATGCGGATGTCAGCAGCAAGAGCGCGGGCAAGCCCGGCCACGCCAACTGGGACGAATTTGTGTTTGGCATCCGCGACGAGCATAGCAAGCACGAGATGGAGTTCACGCCCACGCTGTACGACGCGCGCAAGGTGGCCGACTGGGCCGGGCAGATCAACAAGCTGGACGGCGAAGGGCGGGTCCATAACAAGTACGACAATCTGACCATGGGTGTGTACGAGATGTGTCACACCATCCCGGCGCCGCTGATGCCGAGGTGTTTCTGCGTCTTGGTCGTCACGGCGAGCACGGGCGACGGCGACGAGATTGTCGCCGTGACGGTTCCGGTGGATCTGGCGAGTGCGAACCGCACTGGCATTACGACGACAGCGGCGGCAGCAGAAAAGAACAAGAATGTGGGATTTTACTCGAGTATGAGGAACGTCAGGGAAGGCGAGGACGCCCAGAGGAAGAAGGTCGTGGTGATGGGCGCCTACACGGCGGTCGAGGTCGTGAGGAGACACCGCGAGACGCAAGAGATTGAATGGATCATGGCTACTGCGAGCGACGCAAGGGGGAACCTGCCCATGTGGATGCAAAAATTGGGCATACCTGGCGCGATCGCGAAGGATGTGGGATACTTTCTGAAATGGATCAAGGATGTGGACGAGAAAGAGATCCTCCAGAGTTCTGCCTGATCCTGACTTGATTGAGCGTTTGTTTCAGGGTATGCAGTACAGCAATCGAATTGGTCCTTGATTACTAGGTATAGTTCTAGTTATGGCACGATGGACGAGATGAGACTATATTGGGGTATGCAGCAGGCAAAAGGACTAGACAGGTAGGCTCTCGTAACTCCTCATTTGAAAGGAGTACTTTGCAATACCAAGATGCACGTCTACCATAAGAAGCACCTGTTTCAACCTTTGGGATAGCATTCATGAACAGTTATCAGCTGGCCCGGATACCTGCTCAACGAGCAGCAAAGGCTTCCATGCTATAAAGGGAAAGGGGCCCGCTAATCTACACGTGACGCGGGGGTTGATTATCTGGCCAGAAACACGGTCTGAAGACGTCCAGATTCCCTGCGCAGTGGATGCGCCCGTGAAGCCACATGTGCCAAAAGTGTGCCATACATTGAAAGTTACGGTGAGGTGTCTCTTCCTCATAGCGTTCGGCCCTCCTTTTCCTGGTCCAATCTGTCTGTGCCTTCTTGAATATCTTCGCCTTCTGAATCAAGGATCCCCTTGTGTTTGCCATCTTAGTTAACCCTTCGCTGTCCTTTGTCCTACCATCATGGCCGACCTCTACCCAGACCTCAAAGACCGACCTCTCAAGGAGACAATCTGTCTCTTTGATGTCGACAACACCCTCACCCCTGCGCGCTTGCCCATCTCGCCCGAGATGAGACAGACTCTTGCCAGATTAAGACACAAGTGCGCAATTGGCTATGTAAGATGTTTACCAAGCTGCATCTTGCGCCGCAGCTGATACAAGTCAGGTTGGAGGGTCCAACTTCCCCAAACAGCAAGAACAAATCGGCACATCGACGCTCTCGGTCAAGGAATTCTTTGACTTCTGCTTCGCCGAGAACGGCCTTGAGGCTTATCGTCTCGGGCAACCCCTACAGTCCACCTCATTCATCCAGTGGATCGGAGAAGAAAAATACCAGAAACTAGCCAAATGGATCTTGAAGTACATTGCCAACCTTGAAGGTCTCCCGGCCATGCGAGGAACGTTCATTGAGTTCAGAAACGGTATGATCAATGTCAGCCCGGTTGGTCGTAACGCCAGCACGGCCGAGAGAAACGAGTTCGAGGCTTGGGACAAGAAGACGGGTTGCAGACCGAAGATGATTGAAGAATTGAAAAAGGCCTTCCCCGACTTGGCTGTCACGTAAGCATATGCCGTGCGTATCGAGAAAGTTCGAGACGAGACTGACTTAGGTCATAGATACTCCATCGGAGGTCAAATCTCCTTCGACGTCTTCCCGACAGGTTGGGATAAGACGTACTGTCTACGGCATGTCGAGGCAGAGGCGGACCCAAGCAAGGGACTGTCCGGCATCAACTACAAGAACATTCACTTTTTCGGCGACAAATGCTTCAAGGGCGGTAACGACTGGGAGATCTACGACGATCCGAGAACGATCGGCCACTCCGTCAAAAACCCTGAGGACTGTCTGAAACAAATCAAAGAACTCTTCGACGTTTGACTTGCATCCCACCTCTAAGCGGACATGCACCTCGAAATGGCAACGGACGCAAATTTTCTCAGACTTGCCCCCAGAGACCGAAAACTTTAAAGGATGATAAATGGGTGTTTTTCAGCAATCATACGGTAGACTCATAGACAGAGTACAACGGGAACAGGACATGATTTGGCTCACGAATGAAAGAAGTAATTGGCCCGATGACCACTGCACGTTTCAGGAACTATGACAGATCCCATGCGTTATGTACCATTCCACATGGTCTGATTGACCACGAGTATGCCATCAAAATGTTCCCAGCAAGAAATAGTTCTGGCTGGGCTCTACGTGTTATTTTCTCTCATAGCTTCCATGACCAGGTCAACACTACGTTACAAATACCTCGATTCAGCAAAGTAACTGCATCCAAACTCGCATTGTGTCGCAATCACCTACAGTTGAGTCGAGGTCAACGATGAGCGCCACTTTTTAGCTCAAAACACAAAGACTTTATCAAGGGGCTCGAGAAACACAATTGCAAAAGCAGAGATACCATTCCCTCTTACGGACAATACACTTCCCTGTCCGTTTGTAGTAGTGCTTCACAGCGTAACGTCGGAACACGACCATGTCTCGCGAAGGGCGTGATGACAAGGCTGACCAATTCACATTCATCGATGATATGGTGCTGTCTTTATCGTCCCCAGCCCTTGGACTAATTTTGTCATTTTCCAACCATCATGTCCCATCCAACCATCACAGTATCAGGAGCCAATCCCTTCCCTTCCACTTCAATCATGCAACTCCTTACAATGCCATGGAATATACGGATACGAAGGACCCTGTGGATCATGAAAGACAAAACCACGCCCTCTTTTTCATTCCTAATCGCAACTCAGTTAGGTGCTAAAGGGTAAGGGTTGTGGAATAGGTAGGTAGAACTCCCAAAGCGGCGAGAATGAGTAAATAGTTGAGTGCTTGCTCGTGCCAAGTTGGTGTTACCATGGTTTTTGTACTTTTCCTTTCCACATCGAACACCTCACACTGGTCCAGCAGAAACGACGGCAATATAACCATTTCCTTTCCGAAATCGACTAATCCACTCATCCGATAGATCAGTCACCTTCAGAAGAGGTGAGTCATGATGGTGCAACGATGACGGAAAGTGCCGCGCTAAATAGGTCCTGCGCATATCCACACATCACAAGGTAGGCCCGGTACGTTCCCTCTCTTCTTCCTAGCATATCACAAATTCACATTGTTCTACACTGCTTGCTCATTTTCCTTCCTCAGGATATAACGAGACTCTCATTAATCGATCTCCCAAGTCGCAGTACGCACGAACATATTGGCAATCCATCTTGACAGACTTGGGAATTCTACAGACGCAGGTATTCAGTGTGTTGCTTCGACGACCTGAACTCGATGTATCACCACCATCAACCGACTTGTTGGGCCTTCAACCACCCTCATTCGACGTACCAGACCATCAACCCTTTTTAGAAGATGGCTCTGCTCAGTTTTCGCAGGCTGCCACGTCTCTCTGCGGCCTGTGACTGTGGGATCTCATCGAAGTCTCGCCTGCCAGTGTCCAGGTCCATCTCGCTAGTCTTGACGCCAAAGGTCCAATTTCTGGTCCAAAGCTTCCAAAAGACAAACAAGGCAATGACGATCGGCGCGGCTATGTAACTCTCGAAGAAGGCCTCCGCGTTCGGGCTGCCTCCAATTGGGAAGAGTGAGATGTAGAAGGTTGCCACGAGGCAGATACAGGCGAGAGACAGCCCCACCCACGAGCCATACACGCCGACTTGAGACTTGAAAGGGAGGTCATCCAGAGTGCGTCCAGCTGCTTTCCAACCCGCTCGGAAGCGGATATGACTAAGACAGATCGAACCCCATACAAAGAAGGACGATAGACCTGTCAACGCCAGAAGCCAATTGAAAACGGTTGGGCCAGTCGCGGCCTCATTGATGAAGGCCAATAGGCCAAACACCATCTGAATGATGACGGGCCAAACTGGACGACCCTTTTTGTCTATCCAAGCAAGGAACTGAGGAGCCATCCCACCCTGGGCGAGAGCTTGCATTGTACGGGTGGAACCGTACGTGCAAGAATTGGCTACAGACATGACTGAAATCGTGATGACAGCGTTGAACACTGAGGGAAGACCTTTGACACCGGCATACTGGATAGCCAAGACGAAAGGAGACGCTTTGGTGTTGGCACCCGTTGAATTGAGAAGATCTGGCGAACTGTTGGGTACGATGAGGCCCATGATCAAGAGTGAGACGACATAGAAGCCCGCGATACGCCAGAAGACCTGTTTGGTGGCCTTTGGGAGTGATTTTCTGGGGTCGGCTGCTTCAGCGGCCGCAAGACCAACCATTTCGGTACCACCAAATGCAAACGCAGCGTTGACGAATACAGAACAGAACCCTTTAAAGCCTGCACGGAGATTAACACGTTTGACTCAATCGGAACGTGATAGGACCATCTGCTTACCATTTCGGAAGGCTTTGTTGCCATGTTCGGCGTCGTTCCAGTATCGGAAACCGATATAGCCACGGTCATCCGATGAAACACCACCACAGTCGACGACGATACCGAAAATGATGAAGCCGAGCACTGCGAGGATCTTGATGATACCAAGGATGAATTCCACTGTCTCGCTGTCAGTCCACTGCCAGTATGCACAAGAACAACCACGTTTACCTTCGCCATAGCCTCGGACACCAAAGAATTGCACGATAATGAGGGTTGTCAGGAAGACGGCGATCCATATACCAATGTTATAATGGTGCCAATAATCTACAGAAAGTCAGGATATGGTTTGCAAACCCGCCAACAACACCACAAAGATGCTATCGCCACTCTTTACTCGGCAAACTAACGTACCAATGGTGATACCAGCAGCAGTAATTTCAAAGGGCAGGGTAACGAGCCAGCCTATGCGGCGTCAGTACAGATCGACCCATATATCCAGGAAGTCACATACCGATGGCGTATTGCCAACCCATGGCAAAGCCCCTGGTACCAGGGTCAGACAGAAATCAGTCGGCACACAAAGATGTTCAACTTACCACGCAGGATCAATGAATCGCACGCCGTATTGATAGAAAGCACCATTGATGGGATACAGGACCGCGAGCTCACCGAGAGCTTGAACGGTGCACAGTAACATACAACCGACGATGATGAACCCAATGATCAAGGAAGCCGGGCCACCAGATTGCAAGGAAGAGCCAGAACCGACAAAGAGACCAGCACCGATGGATCCGCCTAATTCAGCAGGTCAAAATCTACGACAGGCATATGTAGACACGAGGTGCATACCGATTGCGATCATCTGCATGTGACGCCCTTGAAGGTTGCGAGCCAGACTGGCCTGTTGGTGGTGTTGGCCATGTTCGACATCTGGGCCGACGGTGTGATCCGGCGCCTTCTCGTCTTGAACCTTCTTTTCCATTTCCGTGGCCATCTCGAAGCGAAACAAATTCTCAAGAGTGGCTTACAAGAGGAACTTACAAGAGGAAGAGGCCAGAGAAGAAAGCGTCCTCTTCAGAGGTATAAATGGCACAAGACGGACAGCCAAGGTCCGCTCAAGAACGATAAGCTGCACCAAGCCCTCGCGGCCGTCTTTGCTTATCGCAATGCAACGCATGCTTCTCATCATAGCTCGATTTGCCTTGACTCGCCATGCAGACCACCTTGGAGGGTATGTTGCCGACAGGCGGTGGCTAAGGGAGCCAAGCTCGCCAATGGATGTGACGGCGTGGAATTGAATGAAGTAGACTCACCAAGCAAAAGCTTTCTTTGGAAGTTCCAACCACCAAGCTTGCACCGTTTCGACACGATAACACAGACACAACCCAAGGAGAGTTGTGGGATCTCGCCTATCGCACAGCTGAGGTGTTTAGGGGGGTGAAGATAAGAGACTCCCTTTGTCGTCGACTGAGCCAATCAGGGGCTCTCGAATAACTTGATCTTCGGCTACTTTTAAGGACTGGCGACAACTAGCAGAGGCCGACCATCCAGTGACACACCACGTCGAATGCAGCCAGACGATGAAGTTGCTGCGCCAGGGTTGCAATGGGAATCGTTACCCTCGGTTCCGTGTGCCATTTTGAGGGAGAATTTGTTACGGGGAGGACGGGCAGCACATGAAACCTGAATACGGGATTGGAGGGTCTACCTCGCCGACACTTCTAGGGTTCAATTGCAAGCAAGGTCTTGTCGAGGGAGTGGCGCGTGGAATCTCGACGTGGCTATGTGAAGAGACGATGACGATTCAAACAATGGTCTTCGTTGAATCGACGTGGCTGGACGACACCGGGCAACGAACGTAAGGGCCGTTTCTTGGGCCCGACTTGACAAAGACAACCTCGTGTATACGGAGTGTAGCCGTCTCCGTCCCCGAGCAGTCGCAAGAAATAGCCGTCCTCGGCGCTGGAATCCGATCTCACATGTACAGTTACCTGAACGAGATGACTAGAGATCGACAGGTCAGCGAGTGAACGAGTTGCAAGTCTGGGTTGGGGCCCGAGAGGATGAATGAACAAAGAGTGGAACCCAATTGCAGCGTCGCACCCCTCCCTGTCTCTCTTTTTTTTTCAGCTCGTCTCACACGATTCAAAGTACGGCAGAGGAGGGATAGATACGAGTACTCGCACCGACATTGATAAGGGCGATTTTGTTTCGGTTACTCGTAGGCCATGAACGCCAAGCTCTTATCCTGCACGCAGGGGGGGATAGATGGGGCCGATCGAGAGACGGTACGGACGGAGTATTAATACTGTGCATGGGTTTTGGTAACGGTAAGCGAGCTTTTTCTCTGATCAAGACTCCCGAGGACGACGACACGACGAACGACGATCGAGAATCATCAACCACACGCCATGTCCGATGCCCTTTTTTTTTGAATTCATTGGTCCGAGTACTTGGCTGGGGTTCAAGTGAGTTATCCAGATCATTGATGAGACCGGCGCGAGTGAGATCTTCGTCCCGGGGATTTGACTTCACCTTGATATGAGTGTTCCCTTTGCTATCGACAACGACATCAAGTAGCCCAGCGGTGATGGGAGGCATTCACCATCGGACCAGCTATTGACTGTATCACGCGTGCCGTTCGAAAGTCACTCGGTCCTTTTGTTGGACAACATAGCTATGTTTTCATTCGTACTGATACTGACGTGTCAGGCCCAGCTGGCCACTTTTCTTGATTTTTTCAAAACTTCCAAAAATTTGGCTGGTCTCAAAATGCGTTCCCACATACTCGGTACATTATTCTTTCGTACACCTCCCTTACCCAGGGGGACTGAAGTGAAGTACCTACTCGAGAGACCAAACAAGGCTTGCACAGCAGCTTCGTGATATATCATTCCATGTCCACATCCACCTCTTTCGAGATTTAACACGACAACATTCAAAATTTTCCCCCCAGCGCCATCGCTGTGATGGAATAGCAAATGACAAAAATTCCAAAAAGAAAAGCAAACATTCCCTTTCCTTCAGCGCTCATACTGCGGTAGCTCCGGCCCTGAATGATCATGATTCAGTGTTTGTACATTATATTCGTCTTGTTCGTCAATTGTAGGCGCGCTCGGGCCCAGGGGAGGTGGCGCAACAGAACTGCTGGGGGCATCTCCCCCGTCCTCCGCTGGCGGCGCGCTTGCCTGGGCAAGTAACCGTCTTCGCTCCAGTTCATGCTTGTCATCGGTGGCTTCGACGGTGCCCAGCGGAGGTGGCGCCGGCGGCGGCGACGCCGATCCCGGTCGTATCGTTTCCCCGGATCTCGCTGATGTGACCGACTCTGCCGTGTTGAAGGTCGAAGGAGTGGAATTCCCATCCTGTCTTGAGTTGCTGGTCCCAGGGAGCTGATCTGGCAAGATCACAGGCGCCGTCGGAGCATATGCTTCTGCAGTAGTTGAGGCCTCCCCACTGGGCGGCGGCTCGCTCGGCATCAGTAATTGCTCTTGCCTTCGAAGGCGTGACTTTTCGTCCATGTCATCATGTAGTGGAGGTGGAGGCATCATTTCTGGAGCTGCTGTGGCATACTCGGGGAAATACTGTTGTTCATAACTGAGGTCATAGCCATGTTCGTCGTAGTATGGCTGGCCGTTTTCATCGTAATATTGCCCGTCATAGTCACCGTTGTAGTACGCGTCATGGTCGCCCTGGTCGTACCATTGTGACATTTCTTCTGGAATCTCAACTTCAGCCCCTTTGTTTTGTCTTCTCTTTCTGCCGCTGTCATGCGTCCCGAGGACGAGCGACATCTCAAATGTGATGACCCCCTTGGTTCGACGCAAGGGTGTCGTATCGAGAATGCCATGCGACCAATTAGACGTTGAGTGGTCACCAACTTCGCCAGCCTGGGAGAAGACTGGATCACTGGTAGTGAGACGTGGCCAAAGCCGAGTCTCGCCAAGCTTGCCGAACAAATCGATCACCACTTCGATATGATATGTGAATGAGATCATGCTTCCTGGGACATTGGCAATGGTCGGAAAGGCAGAATCGGGAATTTTCAAAGACATGGACAGATCTGCGGTCATGGTGGCTGGATTTACAACCATCACGGTCGAGGCCTGAGACAGGTCTTTTCGGAAAGCACTGTTGGGTGAGGCGTTGGCAAAGTATAAGCCACCTAGTCCCGTGCGCGATTTCGGATACACGTCTTCATACTCGGATTTCGTTTTGCCATCGTTGTTTCCCAGTGGAATCGGTGGATGCATATCCACCCGCGCTTGACGGTACAAGGTTGCGATGACCATTCCTCGCACATTACGCGAATGATTGACTGAGACACGAATCGGTATCGTCTCCCCGGGTAGAGCACCGTGCCGTGGAAGCTCCGTCGTGGCCGTAATGGTTTGAGAAGACGAAGAGGTTGCGTTGCTCCGTGCATCACTGGTTTGGGGACTATGTTTCCGGAAGGGCAGCTCGGCGTCGGTCACTTGGAAGCTCTGTGCACTCGTACTGGTGGCGTTTGTTTGCACAGTGTCCTCACTCGGCGCAGGACTTAAAGGTGGATTGCCAACAGAATTAGTACTTCGACTGGCGTTGCTATTTTGCGTATTGTTTCGCGTCAGGTGGCTGGCGGGGGAAATGTTCTGGGCAGAGGTCGAGGAAGGAGGCTTGACGACCTTAACTTTGCCTCGTTTCGAAATGGGCTCGAGTGTTATGACCCTAGACTTCGGGTTGAACATGGGCTCAATATCAATCTGATCGCGGAACTTGACTCTCGTACTGCGACTGACTGTTGGGCTGATTGTCACCGGTCGAGTGACTGTAGCGGTCAGCCTGTAGGATATCGTTCCTCGCTCAAACTGCACAGTGTCAGTAACCTTCAGAGGACAATGGCAGAAAGCAAGACCTACATCTATCGTGCTGGGCAGACTCTTTTCCGGAAACGGCACCTCAAACGCAAACTTATAGACATGCTTCTTGAGAAAGCCACTCCCGCACAGAATCTGCTCGTTCTGAAAAAGCGTCGCCAGCCCATTGCCATGGTACTGAAAGCCTCTTGTTCCTTTACCTATTGCCAGCCCTTCAGGAGCAGGAAGCCGTTCCCCTGGCGGGACTTGGTGTTTATAAACCTTTGCATAGCCATGCAGTGCGACCACCAGGTGAGTGATGTCGAAGCCCTTTGTGACCGTCAAGAGAACATGCCCTTTGACGGTTTGACCGGGAGAGTAAACTCGAAAAGGGTCTTCTGGTTCAATGGTGAGGTCGAACATGTTTCGAGCATGTTTACCGATTGAACTGGAGAAGTAGGAGAGGATCGAGCGTGACCGAGGCACTGCAGGATTGGGGTTTGTGAGCAGCGACTCGAGAGGCATCGCCATCATAACTTGAGCCATTCAATGCTACCGAGGCCTTCTCAACGACAGCATTGTTGATCCCTGGCTCGAGCAGGCAGATGTACGGTGGGGTTCGAGGTCAAAAATGTTCGAGAGCAGCGTTGCGATGGTGGTGTGGCTTGGAGTCTGCAGGGCTGAGGGAACAAAAGTGTCAGCTTGGTCAGCCGCCACGACGATGCTACCAGCGCGAACCTCAAGGCCAGACCGACAGTCGACTCGGTGCGGCCTCAAGAAGGATTATATCAGGCTAAAACCATACCTGTAATTGTCAGTGTCGCCGTCCTGGCAGCGCAGGAGCGCGATGCTTAAGCCAGGGCGCAGGCGCGGGTGGTGGCCTGAGTCGACAGGTGTCGGCGTGGTTCGGAGGGGAGGGAGGGCTATCGAAGCTCTAGGGCGAGGTTGGCGACAGATAATGGTCGACAAAGGTGTTCCAACAGATGGTCGGGCTCACATACAGCACTCGGCGACAATGATATCGGATACCTGCATTGACAAGCAACGTAAGAGGCCAAGCTTTGGTTCAAGTGATGATGAACCACGACACTGGAGAACGGAGAAGTTGGGTGGACGAAGGCTTGTCGATGGTGTTCAAGCCTTTGGGGAGCTTGGCAGGTCGAGAACCAGCCTGGACTTGTACAGTTCCCGCAGAGAAGGGCAGGTGAGACAGGGAAGACTCCTCCATCCGAAGTTTTGGGTGGTCGAAATGGGCCCATGAGCCTGTGTCAGTTGGTGTGATCCAGGCGAGGATTGGGCGAACCACGGGCGTCCCCGCTACCGTAGGCGAGGGGCCAAGGGTGTAAAAGCTCCGGGTGGCAGTTGCTTTTACAGTAGCACCTAGGACTCCATACGGATACAGATACTGCAGTGATAAATCCTAGGCGCCCCAAGGCGCCTCCGCAGGCCTATTGTATGTACCGTACAGCAAACACGGATGCTGCAAGCACCAAAACTCATACCCTTACAGTAGCCCTCCCAATATCAGTGGCCACACATTTTGCGTCTTGCATGCATCAATCCACACTATTGCCTGCAGGCTGTTGTCACCTGTCACGCTCAGCTTTTTGTCCGTCTGTGATCAACCGAGAGTACAGAGTACCTGTACTTACAAGGGCCAATCGACTCCTTGCTTCTGTCCTGTTTTCTTTTCCTCCGCACAGAACAAAAAGCAAAAAGAGTGGTTCGCTCCCCAAGCCACATTGATCCTTCGACAGTCGACCAGTCTGACTCGTCGCATAACGCCATTTACGTTACACAGAGAACCCCAAGGTGCAAAGAGTTCGGGATCAACCTTTCTGGTGTCTCTTTTCAAAGGTAGCACAATTATTGGCAGACTTCGCCAGACTTCCGGATGCCCTACACGTGTGACAAGCACGACATCGCAAAGCTTCATCTCATCAAGCTTTCTCCAGCGTACAAGGAAGAGGATCCGACCGGTCCCGAGTGCTACAGTAAAAAGTGATGGAATGTGTGCATGCATGGACCCAAGGATGGACAGACAGACGCCCACTCCATCGCCCTAGACCAGCCAGGGAGGAAAAACTGATGGCCGCAAAGGGCACACGACTCGGACTAGTGATAATCGGCATATCCGTACTCCCTACCGCAGAAAGATTTTGTACAGTGCTTGCAACAGGGTGGGTTGGCGCAGATCCTTCGAACAAGTATTACTGCTCGTAGCTATCAACGTCTTGGTCGCTTTGCCCGTGACTCTTGGTCCCCATCTCCGTCATCTGACGACTCGTCAGTCTTCGTCCGTGGCTTCACTCTCCCCTTGATCTGGTGTCGAGTCATCTTGGTCTCTTCCAATCCCTCCTCCAGGCCCTGTGGTTCCACAAACACCATGTCTCCATTTTCACCCAGCGCTTCCTTGACGGCTTCCTCCAGTAGTATGGCAGTTGCAAGGAGTGCAGTCTCGTCCAAGGATCGAAAGTCGTACGCGCCCTTGTTCGATGTAGCTGCGTTGTAAAAGTCCGAGGCGTAGCTGTGAATGGCTTTGAGCATGTCCGAGTCGGGCAGTCGGCGGGCTGCTGCGAGCTCTCCCCCTGGGTCGCGAACGGTCAGAAGCGTCTTCACTGAAACTCTGCCGTGGCGTAGTAGATGTTCCTCCGGCCCAATGGGGGCCATGTTGGAGAGCTGTTGCTCTTCCTGGGTGAAAAAGCCATTACGACCCACACGACCAGCCACTACGTCGTATAGAGATGCTCGTCGTCGGTTGACCGTCGGCACCGCTTCATTATCAGAAGCATCGGGCACAACTGGCGCTTCAGATTCAGTATATTCGCTGTCATCGGCCATTCTATCCAACAAATAAGATGAGTGATGCAGGTGGAAAATTTCGTAGTGGTCGGTCAGCCAGATTGAAGTGATCGAATCACCAACATCGTGGCAAGGGCAACAGTTGTTGATCTGTAGGTCTTGTTGCAATTTCCGCAAAGACTGCAGTACGGGTGAAATGGGTGTTCGGACTTCGTAGTCCTGAACGTCTGGGGAGGTCTTGTTTGGGGATGAAGATGTATCTAGGCACAGACGGAAATTGATGGAATTCTCAACGTTACAAGTGGCTGTTTGATTTTTGGTGGTGGGATCGATAAGAATATTTCCCCTCTTTTTCAGATAATTCACTTGCTTGGGGAGACAACCAATACTCGAGATAAATACTGATATTTATTCCCAGTACAATCACTTGATTAATCTTGACTATCTAGATAATCCCATCAAATGAATATGTGCAAATGTCCTATGCTGACTCAGATACCTAGATGATTCTCGTCAAAATACCTCTCGTTTCTTGAATTCCAAAACAGGTCCGTGGCGTTCAGAAATGAACCAATCCGTCAGTTGATACTCTCCAGCACGTTCACGTCCTGGACCTAGCTCGGGGCCTCCCTCCCCCGAACGATCACCCTCCTTGAGTCTGATGTCGAACAACCACATTGTCCGTGCCATGGTGATCAGCATTTCCATGTAGGCCATGTTCTTGCCCACGCAGTTCCGTGGGCCAGAGCTGAAGGCATGAAACGCAGACTTGGCCATGCTCACCCTCTCTGGCGTTACTTCGAAGCCAGTGACAGAAGGCTCTGACCCTTCGACCCATCGCTCTGGAAGAAACTCGAAGGGCCGCGGATAATATTGCTCATTATGCTGCACGGTGTAAGTAGGCGCTCCAACCACCGTTCCTGCCGGAATATTGTGCCCGTCGATAAGCATCCCACCGGGGAGGACTCGACGATCCAGAAGACCCGGTACAGGTGGCGACATTCGTAAGGCCTCGTCAATACATCCTCGCAGATATGGCAGACCAGTCAATTTCGCGCCCCATTTGATTTCCTCAACGTCATCGAACGTGGCGCGGACTTCTCCTTGCAGCTTGCTCAGGACTCTTGGATTGCGAACAAGGTAGAAGAAGCACGCTGACATAGCAGTCGAGGAAGTATCGGCGCCTGCGGCAACCAGAAGTGCTGCTTCTCCAACCAGGTCGATCGGCTTGAAAGTCTCTCCAGTCTCTGGGTTCTTTGCGTGCAACAAATAGTGAAAGAAGTCCTTGCGTTGGTCGTGATCAGACTTTCCACTATTCGAGTTCTCCACGGCAAATCGATCTTGTACCATCGCTCCTATATCTTGTCGATATTTAACTTTCTGTTTGATGGTCTCGTTACCAAGCACGGACAGTATGCTTGGCTTGGTCAAGGGGAAAATGAATTCCCGAATGGGTAGATACGCGATCTGAAGCTTCTTGTCAAAACATTGAGGCTGACATGCGAGACATGGAGTACTTACCGTCATTTGGAATACGGAACTGGACATGATGAGTTTCTGTATATAGCTGGAGCCTTGTTTCATGGCGTTGAAGCTTTTGCCGAAACAGAGATCTCCAAGGACATCAAAGGCCAGGTTCGTTGACCACTGGGCCATATCACGCTCCTTTCCCCATTGTAAGTCCTTCTCGCCATTCTCCTTAGGTTCAGCCATGTAGCCACACCATTCACGAATGTTGGCAAGGACGAATTTCTCCAGATTTTTCAGGGCACCCTCTGAAAATGCATGGTTCAACAACTTTCTTCGAGCAGCGTGAAGTTGTCTGTCGGCAACAACGTGAGTTGTGACGCCGACATTGACTCGCATTGAGGCGTCGGTCCAGCCTGTTTTGATCACATTTGCTCGTCGGTCTGTGTATATATCATGCAGGGCGCCAACGGTCCGAAAAGAGAGACTATTAGGTGCATAGCGGACAACATCGCCTTACAAACTCCTTAGCTTGATGGATCTTCTGTTGTTAGGTCAACAGTGTTCGCATACCATATTTTTCATGCAAAATGTGCAAATCGAGAAATCGTCGCCCTCGAGATGCGGATCTTGCTTCCGGCCATTGGGTCATTTTCGACAACAAAGGCCCTGGGTACTTTGCTAGTGGATGAAAGCAAATTCGGTAAACAGCAATGACAGTGAACTATTGACTCGTCAGAGTAGGTAGCATACTGACCATGGCGTCGGCACTGACATATAGAACAGCCGCCGCAGCAACTGCGGAGGCCGACGTGAGAAGTGAAGGCACAGCCATAATCGCAAGGATATGAACGCGTATCGAGCCAGAGAAAGGTTTGGCGGGTTCGAAGGGACCAACGTAGCTTTTATAGTACACTACCATCGAAAAGCCACCTCTTCCAGCCGCATATGTGCTTACGGTTGAGACAATGGTATCCAACGCAGGTGCCGAAAGGCGATCTCGGTAGAAGAGTAGCTGCCCAGTACCATTCATGTCATCCTGTATCCACTGAACAGTGCCCAGAAGTGAATACACATCAGGTCCATCGTGATCCAGAGTAACTAAAGTAGTGTCCTTACTTGTAGGGCGTATCTTCTCAACTCCTCGAAGGCTAGCTCGGTGCGAAAACCCATCCCTACCTATGTAAGTTCGGATTAGAAGTTCGATATTGCGCAAATTGTCGCCATGTCCAGAACGATAAGAGGAGGAGTCTGATTGTGCTGAGTAACAAAGCAGTGGTTTTTGCACTCAGGTCAAAAGCGACTGAAGCAGTCAATGTCACAAGGACGGACGACGACACCCTCGAGGTGGCATTTGCATTGCCCGGGAGGTCAGCAACTGGAGCTGCTGGATGATTTAGGACTGAGGTTTGGGCGGCTCCACCGAGAATGGACATGATCTCCTGGTAAAGGCAATACTTTGTCATACTCTCATTGGTGTGTTGCTACATGGCTTGTACAGAGTAATGGGTCAATGAATAGGTTGTCACCGCTGACAGCCAGGCATTTGTGTGTGTGGACGCTGAAGCGTGGCAATGTACCACTATCAATACGGAGTTGGACGAAAGGACTGTTGAATGTAGTCAGTCTGAACTCAGCCGATACGAGTTCGTCTGACCTAAGCCAGACCCTGTTGGCTGCACCAAAGAGGCACACAAACCAGTTCCGACGACATGTGAACCTCGCATCCTACGGAGTACGCGTTACATATTCGATCGGAAGAATCGATGCTCTGCTGCGTAGTACACGCTGTGGCTCCTATCAGTAGATAGCGACAAGGTATCATCATCAGTGTAATTTCAAAACCAGTGCTCCGTAGGCCATCATCAAATTGATGAACCTAAGTACCTTGCGTACTCCATTAACGATCTTCGATAGTCCTGGACCAGTGCTGATGGAACAGTCTCGGTTCAATATGTGCCATCTCGGTTCAATCCGCTGTATCAGGAATCGAAATGATCGACCTTTTGTTTGTAGTCACAATAGGAGGACTCCATCGTAAGGTATGATGATGACAGATCAACTGTGGGCTGGGTGGTATCTTACTGACACGATGTTGTGGCTGGCGTCGCCGAGATCTAAGGGCAATCATCTTACCACCATTACAGTAAGAAAGCTGAGGTAAATGGTTTCTGCTTGAACGTCGCCTCAGCTTCCTCGAAGGTGTCATTAGCCAGCAAAACGAGCCTTATCCTGTTGTGGCAGTCAGCTCCCCGTCACGTGACCTCAGTTTTTATGGCAGAGCATATCGGGACTTTATCCGTATTCGCATTCGTACTCGTACTCGTAGCCACGATAAGAACAATACCAGTCTCGTTCAACAAACTCGTGAATTATTCGATCTCAGGGGCACTATCTCATCTGGGCCATTGACAAGTTCAGCACGATCAATTGGTAGACCTACAAAAGATCGAAACTTCCCATGTACCTGCCTGTCTATCTATGTAAAATATCACTCGTGTGGTCAGCCTCATTTTCTCCAAGTCTCCGGCAATTCGCTCCCTCGGACTTACCCCAATATTTCTTTTCTGGGAGTCCGCGATGCGTGTCGAAATGGCATCTCACGAATACGATGCGGGAACTCTGACGTCCTGCGAGATTCGAGATCTAAGATTTTTTGTTTTCGTGCAACATTTCTATATCTGTTTTCCCCTTTGAAGTATCCTCATTATCAACAATCACCTTCAGAGGACGGTATTGGAATTCTACCAGATCAAGTATCTTCAGACAGTGACCCTATCTATCTCCTTGTCACACGATCACTTCATCCTCTACGAACCAAGCTCGATCTATACATTCCGGTAAACAACAAACGTCACCATGGATCTATCAAAGATTTCGGGCCTTGGTTTCGTGGGACTAGGGGCCATGGGTCTTCCCATGGCCGGACATCTCGCGGCCAAACTGCCCGAGAGCATCCAGATGTTTGTCTTCGACATCAACCAGGCGAGCGTGGACCAATTACACAGCGAGTTCCCGAGGCGGATAGTCAAGTGCTCAAGTGCAAAGGAAGTCGCAGACAAATCAGTAAGATCCCCTCCACCATCCTTGGAAACGCGGCTTTCGGACATACTGACATGTGGCTTGGTTTGGTTAGGAAATAATTATGACGATGCTGCCAGAGGGCAAGCACGTGCGATTGGTATACATAGAAGGCGGTGACAGCACGATCTGTTCCAGTGACGTCGCCGGCAAGCTCCTGCTCGATTGCTCGACCATCGACACAGCCAGCAGTCTCGCGGTAAAGGACTACATCAACAAGAAATTCCCCACGACCTCATTCTACGACGCACCGGTGAGCGGCGGCGTGGTAGGCGCTCAGAAGGGCACGATCGCATTCTTCCTTGGCTGTGACGGTGCCGACCCCAACATGCCTCATCTCACCACCCTCCTAAAGATGATGGGCAAGGACGTCATCCCCTGCGGTGGACCGTCCAAGGGACTTGCGGCGAAACTGTCCAACAACTACCTCTCCGGAACCATCGCAATTGCCGTCTCCGAGGCGATGGACATGGGCATGCGGTCCGGTCTCGACCCACGAGTTCTACACAAGGTCTTTGCTGCGGGAACCGCGCAGAACACGATCAGCGACCGGTTCTGCCCCGTGCCCGGTGTTTATCCCGAGGCACCGTCGTCGAAAGGCTACACGAACGGATTCAAGGTGCAATTAATGCGAAAGGACTACAACCTCGCGTTGGAGATGGCAAAGAGAGTCGGATCGAAGAACGTACTGGGCGAGGCAGGGTTGGCTACATATGACGGCGCAAGCAATGATCCCAAATGTAGAGATCTCGACTCCAGAGTGGTGTACAGATATCTTGGAGGACGAGAGGATTGGCAAAAAGATGCCGATGAGGCTACGGCTAACAAGCTGACGTGATGATACATTCGGTACGTATAGAGGAAGACATATAGAGCATTGTGCATGTGTTTTTTAAGACGAGTAAGGTTACATGACTCCGTATGAAGAAATCTAGTTGGTCTTGAACTTGGATTGGCTGCAGGATCCGGATATCAGTTGCACGTGGTATTTCCTCTCGAGGACGAAGCCGGATTCGTTACAGCACAATGAACACAGAGCCACGACCAACGGGAAGAAGTCCAATACTCCTGTGTATTCATCCCAATTCTCGCGATGCACTAAGTCCACACGGAAACTTGTTGACTTCGGGGTAATGATCCACCGCCACCCGAGGATGCATCGGAGACCGTCCAAGTTGTGAGTGAGTTGGAGAAGGTCGGAGTTTCAATTTGGAGAAGATTGCGACTTGTTATCGAAATGTCACTCCCAGACCCTCTCCGAATGCGGAGCCCATCACGGTGGAGGGAAAATGGAGGGGTCGTTTTTCTTTTTTGTCCCTTCCTCGTTCGACGTTCGAGGGGTTTTCTCTCTTACGAAGTAGCCAGATGGGATCGAGTTACCGAGAGAGAGAACCGCTCGTTACCGTGTGGAAATCTCTCGTACGGAGTATGGAGTAGAATGAATTGAATAAATAGAAGAGCCCTACGTGTAGCCCCGGGTGAAATCGTCTTCGTTTCTTTTCTTGTCCTTTACGCATACTCCCCCCTCCTGACTACCTGCTGTCTACTCACACCTGTACCTTGTTTTCTCAGATATTGACTTGGTACGTTGACCTTTGTTCTTTGCTAGTCCATCAGATATACCCCAGAACATTCATTGACTGACTCGTTCGGACACAGAATCACAATTACCTGTCTGTCCAGACCGACAAAACATACCCACGTCAATCCACACACACACACACAAACAACATGTCTCAACAGCAACAAAAGCCCAAGGTCACCTCGTCGACCGACCCCGCCCTCCGACCGCTCCACGAAGGTCTCTTCGACGCCGGGCTGGCCATGCGCCGGGCCGTCGTCGGCGACGTCTACGTCGACCGGGCCCTCGCCAACGGCAGCACCGAGTTCTCCCGCCCCGGCCAGGAGCTGGTGACCGAGTGGTGCTGGGGGTACGCCTGGACGCGCCCGGGCCTGGCCCGCCGCGACCGCTCCCTCCTCAACCTGGGCATGCTGATGGCCCTCAACCGGGCGCCCGAGCTGGCCGTCCACGTCCGCGGGGCCCGCCGCAACGGCCTGTCCGAGACCGAGATCAGGGAGGCCATCCTCCACGCCACCACCTACTGCGGCGTCCCCGCCGGCGTGGACGCCATGAAGATTGCCGAGAGGGTCATGAACGAGATGGCCGAGGCCGGTGAGATGCCCAGGGAGTTGGGTGAGAAGAGCAAGGACGCTTAGAGAGGGGGAGGGAGAGAGAGAGAGAGGGACGATATATCAATAAAAATCTCAAGACGTGATAAAATGAAAAAAAGAAACAAATGATTCTCCTTCTTTTTGTGGTCTTGAAAAAAAACTGTTTTCCCCATTCCTCATCTATCGTGATTGATCTGATGATGTGTGTATATGACCATTAATGCTTCGCTATGCTTGATGCTTTTTGGTGACCATTTCATGTGGCCAGGTTTGTCAATCCCAATCTCAATTTTTGTGTATACCAGTGCCCAAATCCTAACAAACCCTACCCTACCCGGCCAAATGGAGAAGAAGGAATGCCACACACAAAACATGGCCGCCTGTTGTCACTGACGACGCGTAAACAAGAAACAAGACGCCGATTTCAGAAAAGAAACATGCATTTCCCTCAACAAGCATTACCATCGGGTCTATCTTTGCTAGGATCAAAGGCCGGGACGGCCGTCGCAGCGTTCGTACTTTGACTCTGGGCATTGGCGCGTTCGAGAGACAGTTTCGGGGCCGCGGTCGTGGCCTTGGAGCGCAGCGCCTTTCGGATGTCCGCGAGGGAGCGCGACTTCCAGTTCTCGTAGCTGGTCATGCTCAACGGGAACAGCACCTTGTTCTCGGCCGTGGCGATGAATTCCTCGGCCGTCGGGGCAGGCATACTGGTCAGCACGTCAATGTCGCCCGCCAGTTCGCGGCAGTAGGCGTCGAGCGGGAGGTCGTTCACGTCGTGGCCGAACGGGTTCTCGATCTCGTAGCCGATCGCCGCCAAGCCCAAGATGATGTACGCCGCGAGGATGGTGCCGAAGATGGTCACCCACCCTAGGGACTTGTAGAGCTGGAATGGCAGGACCAGGATGTAGACCCACGTGATCTGGGAGATGGAGATCGAATAGGCGATGGGGACCGGAGTGGTCAGGATGCGTTCCGTGCCGGTGAGAACGTCGGCCAGGACGGCGATGTTGTTTATGGCGTGTGTCTGATGAATCGGCACACTCAATTGTCCGCTCTTCATGACGTGATCCATGTACGACCCGAGGTATGTCAAGATCTCCAGGGGCAGGTTTCCGAGATTCTCGTTGGACCGTTTGATCAATTTGCGAGGGTTCGACTCTGCAAAGCTCACGCCCAGGTACTCGCCTGCGGTTTTCCACGGAGTCGCCTTCTTGGGTTGCAGCTTTGTCTGGTCTGCTTCGCCGGCAAGAGTGTGGAGATTCGCAATCAGCGGCTGGAGGTCGGGATATTCGACAGAAGGCTCGAATCGCAGACGATGTTTGAGGGCCACAGCGAAAGCGTTGACGAGGTTCAGGGCGGTCAATTTTCCCAGGAGGTCGGCCTTTCCTTGCTCTTCGCTGACATCGTGGCGTTCAGCGGTGTGAATCCAAATCAACCGAGCCATGTTTCTGGACGTGACGACCAATTGTGCCCAGTATTTCCGACCTTCCATGTATCTTTCGTATGCGGTCGTGGATCGGAATGACAGGGCAAGAGAAACCACGAAACCGGTGATGGTCAAGAGAACAGAGTTGATGCCCAAGTCGTGCACAAACTTGCTGATGCATGTGATGGCCGTGGCCCAACCACCGACAATAGCAAGAGGCAGAATCATCTTCGGAAAGACACTGCCATGCAAACGAAGGAAGTAGGGTAGCTTTGAATGATGGTTCATGTCTCGAGGCCCAAGGAAGTAATCGTCCAACTCCAGCGAGGTATGGGTCTTGGTTCGCAGAGGAAACGGTTTGAAGGAAGGGTCTACTATTGGAGAGGTAGGGTCATTCGGATTCGAGCTATTCGAAGAAGAGGCATCGGTGACCTGGAGCCTGGGGCTCTTGTCCTGCTCCATATTGATCTTGTTTTCGAAGGACGACTTGGTCTGTAGAAGTGTGATCGGCAATGTTTGTCTCTCAGGAAAACAGCCCGAGGAACAGTGGTATGAAAGCCTGGATTAGTGACCTTGTTGTCCAGCAAACAAGGGAAAGAGATAGAAAACAAGAATCAGCAGCAATGACAGCACAATATAGGAACTAGCAAGAAAGACGACAGAAGCCAACAAACTGCAGAAAAAAAAGAGACAAAAGGTCTCGAACGTTGAAAACCGTGGAGGAAGCTAATAAGCAAGCGAGAAGACGACAGGAAGACGCCATCTACGGAGTAGCCAGTGAGCCACTCAAGGAACCTTGCTGAAATAAGGAGCTGACGAAGGATCCTCTTGCACTGAGTACTGAGAAGTAGTACACTGGGGCCGAAACAGTTCTGACCAGCCTTTGCCATGTGGTCCTTGGTGTCATGATGGCTACCTGAGGTAAGAGAAAGACCATGGTAGTGCGATTGATCAGCCATTGACATAGTAGGGGCGCTCGATAGACAGCTCCATCCGCTCCTTGTGTAGCTTTCTGAACACCGAAACTGACTCTTGCTTGCGGCGAAGAGGCAAAGCAGTTTCAAAGAATGGAGCCGGGGCTGAAACAAGATTAGGATGAAAGAGGTAGAAAGGAGTCGTTGACGAAGAGGAAAAGGACAAGCGCCATTCTGCGAGATGCCATTGTGAAGTCCAGATGCTCTTCGGCCCTGGACATTTATGGCGCTAAAGTGGTCAAGCCTCAATAGCGCCGCCGCCCCTTGAGCGTTAAATGCCACGTAAACCCTGAGTCAGTTGATGTGCTGTTGAAGATTCCTGTAAGACAAGAGACCTTCGTTGTATGCGATATATGAGGTGTGATTGACCCTCATTCCAAGATGTTGAGACAACCTCCTGAGGACATGCATGTTTCAACCTCAGGTCGATCCATGACGAGGCAAAGCACAAGTCGGTGAAGGACATGGCATCAGGTTGATGAGGCATCTTTAGGCGCCTCCCTTACGCCGATAGTTTCTAGGCGTGAATTCCTCACCGAGACAGGCCAAGGCTCCGTAAGACATTAGGTAAGCGGACTTCGCCAAAACCACAGATGTCGAGCTCCAAGGTCCGCAAGGAAGAAAAGTCCTTCACCGCTCGATTTAGGATCAGCCCATCTATTTAACCATTTCGTTCAGAGACCATACTGCGGTCGGTTCTGGACTGAATTGGTGTCACGTCGCCAAGATAATGACCAGTGTCGGTTGCGGATGATGCTCGCATCGCATCGCGTCGAATGGGGTTGGTGTGAAGGACAACACGATTTCACGAAGAATTTCCACATTAAGACCGGTTCCCCTACAATGCTTGTGCAATGTGACATATTCTCAATTACCTCTGAATGCGCGGAGCCTGTTTTGGTGTAACCTGGGAATTTCCAGGACGGCGACACTTGTGTGGCGTCGGAAAGGGATGATGAATGCAAGGGTCACGCTCAACTCGATCAGATTGGCGAGCAACGAGGAGCTTTGATGGTCAACTGAATCATCGGTCCAGTCGAAAATTCGACTTCGAGAAATAACAAAACCACCTAATCAAGCTTCTCGAGGGTGAATCCTCCGTTCTCTTCTTCTTTGTCCTCGCCGAGCCGCGGAAGCCATCTTCAGCCTGCATTCCTTCAGCGTCACCTGCTGTGTCCACTCGTTCTACCATGATACAGTTTCAGGAATTGTTTTTCATGCAATTGATCCTCCAGTCTTATTCCTGCTCTTGTAGGAAAGAGATCTGATGCAATACATGATGCCCATAGTGTCACTGCGCTTCAAGTACTTTGCCTTCGCCTTTCTCTTCACCATTATCTTCTTGGGCCTATGGCTTCAACCAATGTACCTGGGTGTTGTGAGCCTTTCAGATCCTGCCAATCCCTTGACTCGACATGTCGACGCCTCCAGACGGAAATTCGACGCGAACCCTTATACCAATGATCGGTCAATATATAGGGTACAAAATGAAACATTGGGATTCCAAGAAGTGTACATGATTTCGCTCCCAGCTCGCACAGACAAAAGAGACGCATTCGCTTTGCAGGCAGCATTCTCAGGAATCACCTACACGCAGGTGGATGGAGTGGACGGCCATGACGTACCGGAAAAGGCACTCCCACATGTAGGTTTGTGGATCAGGGTCGACAAGTTCAAAACTGATAGAAATGACTAGACTATGGATCAAAGTCCTAATGCCGTCGGCTGCTGGCGAGCTCATCTGAATGTTGCGCAGAGGATTGTGCGCGAGGGAGTGACAACGGCGTTTGTCTTTGAGGATGATGCAGACTGGGATGTCGCTTTCAAGCAACAATTGGTGCAATTCGCACGCGGGTCAAGAGTCATGCTACAGACACCTGATCACAAGAATCCTATTTCTCCGTATGGTGACGGGTGGGATATTCTCTGGATCGGACACTGCGGAACATGGGTTCTTCCTGAAAAGAGACGGCGATTCTTTGTTATACCTAACGATCCTACCGTTGAGCCACCTCAGCACCGACAAAACGTTGATGTTCCAGATATGTCGCGTTGGGAAGGACCTGGTAGTGACAACAGGACAAGGATAGTTTTCAAAGCAAAAGGGGGTGTTTGCACAGCCGGCTATGCCATCTCACAACAAGGTGCTCGCAAGGTCCTATACCACTTGAGTATGGTGCCTTACAACAAACCGGTGGACTGGGGTTTGGCCAATCTCTGCGAAACGAAGCAGTATAACTTTAGGTGCATCTCGGTGTTTCCTCAACTCGTGGGAGTGTCGCGACCGCAGGGGAACACAAGCAAATGGAGTGATATTGGATATGGAGCAGACTCTGAGAGGAAGGTTGAGAATGCGAACTCCCAGCATCTGGTTTATTCCACCCGATTAAACATGGAAAACCTGTTGGCGGGGAGAACAATCTTTGATAGTCAATATCCAGACTCCACGCCAGCACGTATGGATATCAAAAAGATTGGGGCGGCCGTTGGTCATGTTGAAATCGTCAATGTTGAAGACTGAATGAGGGAGGGAGGCTTCAACCATGGTGAATGGGTATGCAAGCGTGAGACCAATCCTTGACATCGCTACCTGTAACCCCCAGAATACTGGCGGCCAACACAATGACAGCCAAAAGGCCTTTCTGTAACTGCAAATCAGGGGAGCATCACTTCACCTCTTCACCACCTTCACCGGCCTCAAAAAAATTAAACAAAAATTCCTCCCGGTAAACAAAAAGTTTGGACGGTCGAACCCCCAGCTCTGCTGTTACTTATCCCGACTATGACCTTTCACACCTCCCTTTAAAGAAGAGATGCTACAGTAGTCATGGAAACCTGCCAGACTCCCAGTTTTAATCCCACTAGGCGAAGTTTCCAAGGATAAGCCCAACCTCCAAACCATTAGGACAAAGTCGCTATTCGACGTGGTGAGTCTTTGGTAGTGGGCCATCAAGGCGATTCTTTGTTGAGGGAAATTTCACTTTTGTAATATACATAGAGTATATGATCACTTACTTGGTAAGTGAATATAGACCCACTAGTAGGTGCAAGTTCATGCAGGCGTGTTTTCGAATGCCAGACCTGACTCTTTTCTCAATACCTGATCATGCAACCTCTTTTCTCGATCTTGGATTTCTCTTCTTGGATCTCAGATTCGACGACGACGAAATGTGAAATTTTGTGTGAGACACGTCGATTCTGTGTAACACGCGTCGTTACGGTAGTATTTGTTAAATCAGGGTGTCCAAGAGATTTTATTTGTGGACTGCTATCGATAGTAAAAAACAGAACTACTATACAATAAGGAGCAGCTCGGTGGAAAGCCACCTAAAAAAACTCTGGGTATCTCGGCGGGAACAGGATCATTAAAGGGGACGGACGGAGTGAGTTTAGGTGCCGCTCATCTTCAGGAATCGGCACTTTTAATTGGGGGAGGGCCAAGAAAATGGGCTCCAAGGAAGTCGAAGGGAGCCCAAGGGAGCCTAGAGCAGCTTAGAGACAGGCCATAACCTCCGGATAAGACCCGGGGACCTGCATTGGCCCTCTGGACCGGCTGTTTCATGGGTTGGGACTGGTGGCTGCATCTGACGAATCCAATCAACTCGATCACCATCTCGGATCTTTCTTGTGGGCGTCATTCAGACACGCCGTGGGATTTGAGATTGCACTTCCACTCCCGTACTGTACACGGTACGTCAGCCTCGAAACATGTGCGCACATCCAGAGAGCAACCAGCTTTGTCGGTTACGGAGTAGCTCACTCCATCGTATCTGTACATACCACATTAGATACGGAGTAATACTCGTTATCTCTCAGTCATGGATCTCGACAAGCCCGCCGTTGCGTGGTATCCCTCCCTCTGGGCTAAAAAGCTCAATCTCCCCTCTTCTCCCCCTTGTTGAGCCCTTCGATTGAAAGAATTGCTGCTGGGCTGCTGGGCTGCTGCATTCCAGAGACATTCCTCGAATGTTCTCGTCCTCTCTCTTCCACTGCTTCCTTCTGTCGCGTTGAGAACTCGTTGCTTTTTTTCGTTCTTCTTTTATGTGCTCTGGGTTTTGCACATCTGCTTTTTGGTGTCGCTTCGTATACCATACGCGATCCTTTCGAAACATGGATTCGGGGCCAGCGCCTCGAAATATCAACCCTCTCCATCAGTACTACAGCTCGCGGAAAACATTGCGATGGGCGATTTGCGTGGTCGTCGGTGCACTGGCTATCCTCGCCCTCACCGGACAGAGTTATGGACCTGATTCGATGCGGCGGCCGTCCGGAGGAGGCAAGGCCAAGTTTCTCTCTCCGGCCAAGTTGATGGAGAGGCCCATCTCGAAAGACCTCCAGACGGTCCCCAAACTGTTCCACCAGAGCTGGTCGTCGACCGAACTGCCGGCCAAATTCCAGAGATGGAGCACGTCGTGCCGACAACGACATCCCGACTGGGAATACGTGCTGTGGACGGACGAGGACAATGACAAGTTGGTGGAGATGCACTTCCCGTGGCTACTACCGACATACCAAGCTCTCCCCGGTGTCATATATAAAGCGGACCTGGTGCGGAATTTGTACATGTACATGTTTGGAGGGTAAGGAGTTGAAGAAAACCCATTTCCCACCTCTCCCTCCCCCCCCGGCCGCGGGCATGTACCATGTAAAACGTCCTACGGCTAGGCTAAAAGAGAAACTGACGGCGTACCCCAGTGTCTATGCAGATCTTGACGTCGAATGCCTTCGACCGTCGGACGACTTGTTCAAGACGTACAATGTCTCGACGGTTTCCCACGCGAAACCGAGACCGGTGTCGACGTACAACCTTCAGAAGAACGGTCGAAAGGCCTTCTTCGGCAGGATGGGCGTGGACACGGGCGAACCCAACTCGATCCCGAACGCGTGGATGGCTTCGACCCCCGGCCACCCCTTTTTCCTCCTCATTCTCGAGCACGTCGTGAAGACCATGCACGAGGGTACGAGCGGAGGGCCGGAGGACACCACCGGACCCGCGGTGCTCTTCGACAAGATCAACGAGTACCGGAGCGAGGACGGCAGGTTCGCGGGGGAGAGGATCGACAAGTACGTGTCCAAGAACCCGACGGCGAAACAGTTCACCCCACGGAGGGGCCTGGCCCACTCGGTCGAGGTCCTCCCGTTCCAGTACATCTTCCCCTACTCGTGGCAGCGGGACGGCGAGGCGGTCCGGGATGTCTGCTGGGCGACGAGACGGTCCTTTTCCGCCCAACGGTGTAAATTGCTCCTGGCCACGGATCACTGGCCCAGTTACACAATCACCTACTGGAGTCACACCTGGTCCGGAGAAGGTCATGACGAGAACAATGTCGATCATTTGAATTACGATGAAGAAAGGGAAAAGAACAACCACAGATGAGAATGCAAGTGAACGAGAGAGCAATTTCGAGAATGGTTTCGAGATGTTTTGTTATTGTTGGGGGAAAGAAAGAAGAGAGCCAACGATGACATGAAACGCCATGAACTAGATTTGTAACTGTGTACTGTGTACGACCAAGGCAGGTTAGATGGTCAAGTCCTTTTGTATTCCCACATTATTGTAATATCGACTACCCTTATGTAGTAGGTAGAGAGACAAGGCTGTACACGTATGAGGCTGGGGGGAGTTCAAGGAGTGGGGGGTTTCTACAAAGTTGGTTGGTTAGTCATCGACTTATCTGAACTACCTCATATCCGTACCCCCGTATCTCAATTCATTTCAACTCAACAACCAGCTTGATTCAATAGTAAGCTCACAAGTAGGTGACACAGTCTATCCAAGTCTTTGTACCACCTCCCTCGAAATCAAGCTTGACGTGGAGGGAAAAGACTGCTGAGTACATAGTTTACCTCCATCTCCCATCTGTCCTATCCAGCGAATTTAAAAACTAAGAGAGCAGAAGAGCATCCATCAGGACATCACTTGAGCACTTCCCTTTTGTTTCACTTCTTTTGCTTTTCTTTTCTCCATTCAAAACTCTTTGGTCTCGAGCTTTTTTTTTCATTGTTTTCATTCCTTTTTTTTTAAAAAAAAAAGAAAGAGCAAGACCCCACCGAAACCATGCAGGTTGTCAAAATCTCCCCTACCTTGAGCATCAACTATACCATCCACAAGTGGGATCCCGGGTCCCTCGAGACCAAAGCCGGGCCCGAGGATTTGGGTATATGGGTGATCTTGATCAGTGGCCTGGGGGACACGCAAGTGATATGGGAGGATCAGATCAAGGCCTTCGTCAAGGCCGGTTATTCGGTCCTGACGTACGACAATCGCGGGGTCGGTCTGTCGTCGAGGCCGGCCACCGAGGACGACGTGAAATGGACCGCCGAGGACATGGCGTCCGATTTGAGGGGCGGTGGTCAAAACTTTGGGACTCCCACGTTATCACATCTTGGGCATATCCATGGGTGGTATGATTGCACAATCTTACGCCTCGATGTACGGTAATCACTCTCCAATTTCGCAAAAACAAGGTGGTGGGATCGAGGACGACGACGTCGACGACGACGACGACGACCGAGTCAGACCGGACGAACTCATGTCCTTGACCCTGGCCTGTACCTACGCCGACCCCGGACCTTTTTGTACCCGGATGTTTTCCTTGTGGAGGGACATGGCCACGAAGATGTCGGTGGCGGACGCCTGCCGTGAGGTTCTCCTGTGGTGTTTCACGCCCGAATGGTTCTCCGACCCAAAACAACAAGGCTTCCTGGCGACCATGGAGGGGATGATGAACGACGCGGACGAGGAAATGGGTCTACCGGCATACCTGGCCCAGTTGAACGTGATCATGACCTTTGACAGTCGAGGCTGGGTGGGTAGGCTCGGGGCGGCGGCAACAAACACACAAGAAGCCGCGACCGACGTACACCCGACGAGCGTCTTTGTCCTCGTCGGCGAGAAGGACGGATTGATCCCCCATTGCCAGTCAAAAGAGTTGTGCGATCTGATCGACGGCGCAGAGTGGGTGGTCACCAAGGGAGCCCACGCCTGCAACAACGAATACCCCGACGAGTTCAGCGGGAACGCCATGGCGTGTTTCAAAAAGGCAGAGGAGAGGTTTTGGCCGTGAGGCAGATGGGACAACATGTGGCGGGAGGAGAGGAGCATCCATGTGTTCAGTAAAGGGCCGAGAGGAGAGGGTTTGGGTTATGATTCATGGAACTCACAAACGACCTCCGCAAGACTTTCCGTTCGAGAAACAAAAAAAAACAATAATTCACTTCATTGATCATTGGTCATTCATAATAATTGTCTGGACGCGCGTATTGTGATCAAGTCAATTTTGTTCTCGTTTTGGCATATCCCGTTGCCCGTCACCAAAAGAAAAGAACAGCCGCTCATGCACGCTCATATTCAAGTCCCCAAGGCACCTTGTCCAACGCCTATTCCAATACCGAGGAGACAAGCCAATACCTGTCCGCTTAGATAGTTAAGGTTGTCTCCGTCACCAAGAAACCAAAAGACGAAAAGACGATGGGTCCCGTTCCCGCTTGCTAGCTCTGAAAGGTCGTAACCAGAAACCCCCGCTCACACCTGCTGTGGTCTGAATGGCTCATACGCCGTACCATGTTGAGGCTGTGGTGCAAAGCTAGGTGGTCTCGGTCCGAAGGTGTTCAACGGCACACTCTGCTGATCACTCGGGCCCAAGTACGGGCTACCGACACGTTCGTACGTGTAGGGTGTCTTTTCGGCCCTCGTCCGTCTCGCCTCGCGGCTGGCAGGGTTGTACGGACTTCTGCCACTGCAACAACACACGCTGAGAAGCCAGAAGAATCCCGCACCCAGCGCAAACGCCGTTCCTATCCACGTCACGCTCAACACCCTGGTGCCGACGGTCGACTTGATGCCGTAATCCTTCTTCAATGTCTCGTTCAGAGCACCCTTGACGATGGCGTACACTGCCGTCACCGTGACGCTGGCGCCGAGAATGAGGACGGCCATGGCCGCCGCGCAAAAGGTCGTGAAAAACGATCCCCAACGGGAAAAGATGGCGGAGATGCCGACCAACAACGTGACGGACGTGGCCGAGAGTGCAATGACGTACAAGTAGAAGATGGCTTTGCTGGCGTCGTGGTACACGTCCAGACCATGGCGGAAGGACTTGGGGAGGTAATCGTCCACGTCGATGCCTGTGTCGTTCAACCCCCAGACCTCGATCGGGTTGAACCAAAAGTATGCTTTGGGGCTGGTGCAGTTGGCGTAGGTGTCATCGCCGTTCCAGCTACAATAGTTTCGAAGGTAGACAGTGTAAAAGTCTTTCAGGCCCAGAGATTGTTTGGCAGCTTGAAGGGCACCGCCCAGGACGGTCTCGTTGTTGGAGTTGCCATCACCTAATAAATTGGCGGACGAGGTGAGGGTTATGTTCCGCAGGTCAATCTGTTACGGATACAGTATGTTAGCTGTCGTGCCTCATGCACAGAAGCGAGGACGGGGCAAATGCTTACCTTGAGAAAGTATAGGTCGTCAAGAGTGTTATTCCGGTCATGTGTACCAGCTAGGAATACCAGTACTAGACATACCAGGACGGCAATGGAGAGGAGGAATGGAGCTGTGATACAGCACACTCGGCCCGCTGAGACCATGATGATGGTGATGTGATGACCCTTGCCAGGGCACTGAGAATATGATTTGCTTTTTCAGTCCAGTCGATCTCACACCAAAGATACCTTCGTCCTGATCAGTCCTGCTGACTGCAGCGGTCTTTTTTGAGAGAATGTCAAACGTTTGGGTTGCGGCTGAGAATCGTGCGGGGAACAGGTCGGTGGAAGACGTAGGTCAGTAGGTGGTTAAGACGTTGTCAAGGGAAATGACAGTGGGTGATGAGAAGATCGATCGATATTGATGCAAGTTGTGCAGACTGATATTGTTATTCGGAATAGGTAGTCTTGTAGAGGAAATGGTGAGAAAGGGAATCGCAGACTGGGAATTAACACAATAAGAATTGGTCGCTTTTTCTGTCCTGACTCCGTAATAATAGTAAATCGTTTGCTGAAGTTTGGGGGGCCGTAAGCACTTGAAGGGTCCGCCGCGGTTTGGGACTAATAGAGAAGATCCAACTGGGCCACAGCCTTATTATTTAGGCCACTACTAGTAACTGTAGGGAGGTATTGTATGTCCTTGGGGTCCCTGGTATGATACCAAAGTAGCCGCAGCCGTAGGCGAAGCAAACAAGACGGATCTCTTTTTAGGCTGTGTGGGAGCTGAGATGGGCCGATGAACGAAGGGTTTATGAGAGATCAAATCTCGTCGAGATGGAATTGTCGAAGTAAGAAGTCTGTGTCTTGTAGAATAACGAAAGAAGTGACACACTTCACTGTGGTTGGAAATATTGATCAGACAAGAACATGGTCACTCACTATTTGTATAAAACTCCCTTAAAACCCCAGTGGTAGAGCATGAGGCCCAAGTAAGTGGCACAGTCGTCGTAGCAAGTGGCTCAGCTGGTGCCTCGTTCGTTTACGCACACAATACGGAGTAATAATAGTCGTAACACCTTTTGCTTGTCACCGCTATTCGTATAGAATGAAGCGGCGCAGACGAATTCGCTGTGGCTGAAACCCAACACATCGATTTCCTGTACAGTTGTCCATCTCCATCTTCCGCTTCTCTGGGCCACCTGACCAAATGACTGTCGAGATCTCGATACGAATCGGTGCCACACCTCAGATCCAGTATTTGTCTTGAGTGAGGAATCATGCTTTCTTGGGAGTATACGCAACAACTATTCAGATGACGCATTTTCTAAGACTAATGCTCCCACAAAACCATCTCTTGTGACCGGCGTTTGTAGTAGCCGGTCAGTGACATGACTTGCAGCGACGAGGACATCGTCCATCTGTAGTAAGAATCGCTGGACTCTGGACATTGCTTCAGCAATTACTTTCTGAAAAAGACCATCGACGAAATACAACTTGAAATCTTCTCAGATCTACTTTGTACTCGTACTACTGTATAGAGCACTCCGGACAATCTCCAAAAAGAAAACAGTCAGCTGCTGATTGCACGGGTGGTGTATGTACTTACTGCATGCATCTATTAATAGAGCCTTCTTACCAAGTACCGTATTATTGTTTAGCTGCATGAGGGCCATGTGCCTGATCGATCATCCATCAATTCTCGCCTAATAATCCCCCCCCCCGGATATACCTTTTACATACTCGTTAAGCCATACAACGGGCAACTTTGTATGGAGAAACTGCAAATGATCTACAAGGTAAAGGTAACATATACGTAGGTACCTTTGGTTGACGCGCAATCGCACCGCAAAGGTACCGCCAGAGGTGGTGACTGTATTACTCCTACTTCGGACGTTCGTAGACACGTACATACACACACACACACACGACGTACGTGGATTTTCGTCATATCACGACCAAATACTCCGTCATGCTCACCACGAAGGAGGAGTTTCAAGAGATATTCAGCCACAGGTCCACGTACACTCAAAAAACTCTGCTTCCATTATTTCATTATGGCTATCAACTGACTACAGTACTAAACAAACCTGACTCGTGTTCCTTTGTTCGCGTGTATCCTTTTGTTCCTTCTTCTACTCTCCATCGCGCAAATCGACTCTTGTATGCTGGTCTTGATCTTGGAATCGCTGACTTGCTTGGAAGTGAGAGAGAAAAGATCGCGGTACAAGTCCACGTGAGGAAATGGTTCACCAACTCTCACACACTCCGGTCCCAAAAACTCAGTCTCAAATCGTACATGTCTCAATTACCTATTGCGCAATGACGAATGCACACCTGCCTGCGCCATCCAATGTTCAGCTGGGTATTTGCCTCTCCGATTAACATCATCTCTTCAGCATTCATCCAAGCGTCAACTGTAATTTTCCCGACGGGAACGACAAAGGGTCGCCATCGATGTTTTCATTTAGGCAGGGACTTGATGTTGGCCTGGTAATGACGTTAGCACATCCGGTTTGTCTCAATGTCACGGCTTGTAATGGACTCACCATTTGTACCGGCATGGTGCTCCTCCTCCGCTTCCTCTTCTTCCTCCTCGTCGTCCTCCTCTTGCTCATACTCTCCATGCTGACCAGCAGGAACCCAGCTATCGCGATCATCCTTCATTGGTTGATCTTGACTGGCCAGGTCCACGCCACCTTCGCGCTTGGCAGAGTTCTTTCTTCTCTGGCTCAGGTTTCGGGAACGAGTGGAAAGCTTCGGCTTGACTTGAGCTCGTGACGTGACCCAGTTTGTCAGGGCGTCTTCGCAATCCTGGATGATGGCCTTGGAAGCCTCGTAACCATCATAGGCTTGACGGGTCTCGCCAGGAGTAACAGGGGTGTCGTCAACCAATTCAAGCAAATGTTTTCCGTATCCAGCAATGATGGCCACCTTTTCACAGTGTTCACGGATAGCATCGAATTGGTAAGTGAAGGCAGCCTTGAGCTTTTCGCGAGTGATGTTGGAAAGCTGGGCCTCAGCGACGAGCGACTCGGCTTCGGCGCGGACGAGTTCCTGCTCGAGGACCACAATGCGGGGACTGTTGGGTTCTTTGTACTTGAGTTGCGCAATTTGATCGGTGATCTTCTGCTTGCGGTCTCGGGAAGGCTGGACGGAAGCCTCGATATTACGAATGGACTTGATGGTCACGCGGTATTGGTCATATCGGTCGACGAATTGGTCTTCCAGTTCGCCCATTTCGTAGATGAGGACGCCGAGCTTGTCAGTGACATCGCTAACATCCTCGTCGCAGCCTTCACCCCACAAGGAAAGTTGTTGCTGAGCAAGCAATCAGTACGAGGGTTCTATGCGTGAGGGTGTGGATCTTGGAAGGGGAAACTTACAGCAACTTCCATTCGTTCTCTCCCTACAAGCTCCATGCTGCGCATGACGTTCTTCTCCATCTTGACGAGCTGTGAGAGCTTCTTGGCGAGATCTGGGCCAAAGGCACCAGCGGTTCCTTTCCTAAAAGCATGTCCTATTGCGGGTGTCAGACCAGGTTGTGCGACAAGTAGTGGCCAGACATACCAAAGTTTCCTCGACCGAACAGGCGGCCGCTCTTTGTGGAGGACGGTGGCGGCGGAGGATTCTCAATCTGAGAAGCTGTAGGAGCGCGAGACTGGCGCATAGAGTATGTGCGATGCATCGTGAGAGGATGTAGTGGTGCGGTAAGATGGTGTAGTGAGAGGAGGCGGGGCTCGTACTCGGGTCAATTGAGCAGAGCAGAGCACAGTTTCAGGTTTGAGGTTGCAAGGAAGTCTGAGTGCGCAAGACACAGTGTTAGCGTGGGAGCTTGAGGCGTTGCTGTAGGCTCGTAACAGTAGCAACGGTGATAGGAGTGTAGGGATGAAAAAGAAACGAAGGGGATAATAGACTTGGAAATGACGGCAACCAAGGTGTGAGACAGATTGTGAGGTGAAGGACGAAGGTGGCCGCAGTGGTTTGCTTGTGTGGATTGATGACGTGCCGGATGGATGCGGGAGACAAAGCACAGGGCACCCCATAGGCTCACTAGGCGGCACCACAAGCGATAAGGGAGCTGGTTGGCACCTGGATCATTGCTTGTAGAACGGGTCTAGTGAGCCTAGTAGGTTTAACGTTCCCCTGGTCAAGGCCCCGACCCAGCTTAGAGATGCGTCCCCAGCCACAGCCCCGGTCGACGTCCATGCACCACGCAGGCCCAGCTGCCTCGGAGCTTGCTAGCATCTCACATGCGCGCGCGCTGCATATTTCCAGCTGCTAGTGGCCCCCGTCATCCGTCCAATTGACTCTGGGCATGTGCTTCAATAAATAATGCACATGGTGTGTACAAAATATTGAGCTGTCAATAATGATGGTGTCTCATCAGGCCGGTTAATGATGCTGATATTTGGTACAAGGACTCCGGAGGGCGATAAGATGGGGCCGCCCACACAGCAACGTCATTGACAAGGCCCACCATCAGACACACAACAGTACTGTACATGGGACTCATGGCAAAAGGAAGCTCGACTTACCAGACTGGAAATGTGACGTGGAAGAGGGTTGCAAAGAGTTGGGAAGAATTGGGTGAATCTTAATGGGCGCAGGTACACAAAAGATAAAGTCGGGCTAGAGAAGCTTGAAGCTGTACAATAGTAGCTAGGTAGGGATGTAAAAGTGATGTGTTTTCCAGGGCTCTTCTTGGCTCGTGTCGTACTCGTAGTAGCTTCGTGCTTTGTAGATTGTAATGATGAATTACAACAGTTCCAGGAAAATATGGATGGGCACAATGCTGGCTTAATAACTGCTCGCGATGCAGGGGACAAGTTGGTGGCATTGACCCAAAGTGGCTTGAAGCTCGTCGTCGAAGCAACAAGCCGCTCACGTCATCGACACACCCAAGTCTGGGCAGGTTCTGGTTACCAACTCACCTGGTGTTGGGTATCACCAAGAAACATAGTATAGAAGCCCCAGTTAACACAAACTCAATATTCCATTTAGATCCATTAATTTTTCAAGTCATGAGTCTGATGTAATATTGTACAAGTACGACTTTCGGGTCGTCGAAGTCTGGAGAAGCGGCGCGGACTGTGCACGTCTTGTTGCACAGCCTCCCGCTGGAATTCTACCGACGTTGTACAGTAAATCATGAGCAGGCATGACCTAGATACTATACTATCCTACACAGTGATATCAATCTTGACCCTGTACTCGTGCTTATCCGTAGCTGAACTTAAATTGTATTGTTAATCTTCCCACATCATTGTCATGACGATCAGGGGTTCGATCTCCCGTCAACCTTGCACCCCAACGAGCATTCAACATCTTAGCATCTTGAGCCTCGGCCTGAGCGCACCTTTTCACACATCGTCGTCGTTGCTCGTGGCACCTTGCTCTAGACTTTCTTTCGCCCTTCTTGTCTGCCATGCAAGTTGTTGCGACCTTCCCCCGAATCTTCTGTCGTGAGGCCCAATTTTGCGCCTGCGCTTGACCATCTGGACACTTCCTGAAGCCCCCAGTCGTCTGCTTGACGTTTCTGAAGTCCTGCTACCCTGTCGCGATCGAGACCTATCACTATCTGTCTCTGCAGCATGCCTCGTATTCCTGGTTTTCGAGCTTGTCCGGCGCGTCAACGACGTTGGGCGAGAAGTCCTAGAACCCTTACGCCTTGTAGGCAGATTCTGGTTGGGGTCAGATTCCAATGCTTCATCTGAAGGCTCCTCAACCTCTTCACCACCGTCAGATACCTGGCCGCTGGCCACGTAATTGGAGTATTCCGAATCGTCTGTCTCTAAAATTTCAGATACTTCCCTGGTGTCGTCCGATGAGCTGGTTCCAGCTCCAACAGACTTGGTCGAGTTCCTAGGGGAGTCTTCAACAGGCCGTTTGCGTTTGGGATGGCGTGACAATAGTGGTGATTGACTCCTTTCCGCGCTGCTTCGGTGATTCAACTGTTCCACTGTTATCGTCTTCGCTTCGGTCGTCCTCACAATGCGTTCAGATGCCAATGGGATGGCTCTTCTAGGGTTCGCTGGTCTCTGGCCGGGTTCCCAGAAATGCTTGGTGACAGATTCTGGGTAATTGTAGTTGTATAGAAGTTCCTCGCCCGGCTCGATGGGGCGTCTGGCAAACAGTCCCAACCGAACCACTCCATTGCACCACAGCATTTTCGGTTCGACATTGATATGTTTGTCAAGCTGCGAGTTGTTCATGAACCTCATTTTGTTCCCATAATTGGAAGCGTCGATCTCCTGGGTGAGATTTATTTTGAAAAGATATTCTTGCCTCAGCACAGAGTACATGGCCCCTCGCCTGTCACCTTCGCCGATGTTGATGATCTCGCCAGTATATTCACCAATAAACTCCCCAGCAGGGATGGCCGCCCTGCTGTAGAGGCCATAGCCTTGCACTTGGCTGGGCGCTTTGGTAGTGGGCGCAGGCAGAGCGAGCTGGATGCGATTATTTCTGCAGCGTCCCTTCCTGATCTCATCATTGTACTTGTTATTGGAATCCAGGACTTCCAGGACGCCACATTTGCCGCAGAGGAATGGATCACATTCGCGGTTACTGGCCCAGCATTCACACCGGGTATCTTTGTAGCAGTTTTTGTTTCCTCGCATGGTACATGTACAGCCTCGGAAGCGTCGCTTGCAAGACTCGTCGCATCCGCAGAACCGCTCACAATGAATTTTGCTCTTCGAACAGGCGCAAGCGGAATTGTTGTAACACGGCCCCTCGTGCGAGCAACGCATGAATACTTTTCGGGCATCCAATTGGGCACTCCCGGAGGTGTCAATGTTTGGTGGCGCCTTCTTCTTCTTCTTCTTCTTCTTCTTTGGAGCATGGCTGATACGCTGAGTAGTACTACTGTCGGACACGGTTTCCCCATCTATGCTCGGGTGAGCCTGGCTTGCTATATACCAAACAAGGTACTCAAAAATCATCATGCAACTGACATCTTTCACGATCTGCGCGATGAGGCACGGCCCTCGCTTGTTGTTGAGGTAGAACTGCAACGCTTTGTCAACCACAAGTTTCTGGGAGTGTATTTGAAATGGCTGGAGTTTGAGCTCCGCAATCTTGATATTACGTCTGTTGGCGGTGTCCCAGAAGCAAGCTGAACCGCAGAGCTCTCCATCATCGAGAATATGCCGGCGCTGTGTAACTGGACGGAAGTCTCCACCAGCCGTGCCGTCCGCTTGCCTACCGAGGACCTGCCTCAGGGTTCGCGAATGGTCGACGCAAAAGAGCCCGCATGTGTGTGAGTCAGGGCCATTTCTCTCCCGCATTGGAAGCGACATGAATTTTCGGATGTTGTGGCTTTGCTCCTCATCATTGATGAAAGCCGTCTTATTTTCGGCGGGAACGATGTCTTCGTCAGGGTCCCTAGCCCCAGAGACATCTTCAGCAGGTTCTTCGTATGAACCATGGTCGGGGCATTGATGGCGAAAGCAGATCACACAAAATCCGAGATCCTTATCGCGCTTCGCACTCGGGTCTTCATACCGTGGCTGGATAAGTCCACCCAAGGCTATATGCGAGAGGCTCACCTCGGTAGCTTCATGGAAAGCATATGCTGCTGTTCCAGCAAGCGCCAACGTTTCATCGTCAGGCTTTGGTAGACTGTCGAAGGTTTCTTTGAAGTGCGTCCACCCTCTATCAGGGTCAAGTCCACATGTCCGGCATTTGCTGTTTTGCTCCTTTTTCAACTTGGGAACATCGCCTGTCTCCATGTGACGCTCAGCGTCAAAGTGTACCGCCATGAAGAAGTATAGCACATCAGTGTACTGTATTTTGAGAATCGAGAAGAGATCCTCTGCCCAGGGTTTCCACAGCCAGACTAACTCCTGACAATTTCGCTGGGCCACCAAGCTTTCAAAATTGATGTGCAATCTCAGAGACCGCTCTTCGTATTTCTTCGTCTTATCTGGGTCTTGTATCTCATCCTCTGCATCGTAGGGATGATATTTGGCTGTCCAGAATCCAGGCGAGAGGAAACTCGAGGAAACTCTCCCAATCGCCTTGTACTTTGGCAACGTCGTTCCACCTGTCCAGAATGACACCTCACTAGCTGGAATTAATTGCAACTTCTTGTTCTGAGGTCTGGCTAATGATGTTGACTCTGCTGCATATTCAGATCGTCGTTTCTCCGTGAGAGCGGCAAAAGGGTCAGCTGCATTGACGTCGATCACCGGGCCGCTGTGATTTCTCATGTCAACTGCAGCCTGTCTCAGCTCAGCTTGGACCGATCTCTCTCGGCAAGCGTGGAGGTCTTTTCTCAGATTTTCGATAATGGATTTTATTGTCTCCGATCTGGGTTCAATACGAGCTGATGAATGGGTTGCATTTGAGTCGTCGGATGCAAAACTGTCATCCTCGATCAATGCTGCCGTCATGACCTTCTTCTGAATGTGTTGATTGTCGGCTGGCTGATGTGGCATGTGGTGAAGAGGCGTGGTCTCCTCTTGGCCTGGTCTGCTGTCTAGCCCAATTGCTTCACCGGACATTATATTGGTAGTTGCATCAACTCTTGCTCGTCGGTCTTCCAGTGCTCTGGTCGGTCGCTGAATGCTCGGGGTCGCTTCCTCTACTGCACGTTCTAAGCTTATTTCGGTAGGGCGATTTACCTGGTCCGTCGTGGTTCTACGGGGTGTCGAATCCAAATGCTCTCCTGTGTTTGACAGACCATCGTGTTCGGAATCACCCAATGGGAGGGTAGATGCCTCCGTGGTGGTATATGAGCAGGTCTTACCACTCTCTTCGCAAGGCCGGCAAGGTGTCATTCCGTCACATGGATGGTTCGCCTGGTGGCAATTGACACAAGTGGTAGGTGCAGACCGAGCGCCATCGACATAATGTCCATGGTGAGTCGAAGGTCGTATAGAACTGCCTACGGCCACTGTCGATGGACTTGTATTGTTGTCGGTAGGTGTACGTGGAAGGTCAGGCTTGGCGGAACGAGAATCTCTAGCTGGAGGTTCAACATGGGTCTTCGCGCGTATTGAGGTATCATTGATCGTCTCCGAAAGATTACTTCGTGACGATCTATACACGTTTTTGCTGAAAAGATTTGGATTGCTACGCTTCTGTTGCTCCTGTAGTAGTTGGCTGACGGAGTCCACCAAAGCCGCTCTAACAGTGCGTGGAGGATTTGTAGCTGTCGACCGGATAGGCACACGTCCTATTTCCTCCAGAGATCCTTGCTGTGTAAGGTCAGGATATGTCGGGGTTGCCGAGAAAGCTTGGAGGGCAGTTCTTCCAGAAACCACGCCTTCTGCCATCGTCGTTCTCACATCAACCCCACCTCTGGCCTGTGTTTGCGGTGTTCGGGCAGGTGAATTTAGAACGTCTCTGCGTCCGGGAGAATTTATCTGGCCTCCTGCCGAACTAGTCGGCCGTGATACCACGCGTGTTGTTCCTGTATAGGACTGAGCCACAGTTGGGGATTTGGGTAGGACAGTTTGCCTACTGTCTCTGGTGTGTAGACTGTGCCTGGTTGCGAACGGAGGCTGAAAATGTGACAGACTAGACGAAGAATTTTGTGGCTTATCGTTGGCCCGGCGCCATGGGTTGAATGAATGATCACGTTCGGTATTAGATGTCAAATCCACCAAGCCGGCTTGCTGACTGGATTCTTCATCGTCTGAATCGCTCAAAACAATCGGATCATCCTGGTTTCCATCGCGAGGGGTGGCATTTCGACCGTGATGAAGCGACGAAACTGGCAGTCTCGAAAATATGCCTGGATGTTGGCGGGAAGTGCTATTTTCTTGCTCAGTGGAACCGGGCCGTGTTGCTGTAGATTTGCGATAAAAACCACTCATCATGATGGTGGCTGAGATTCCGTGCAATGATCTGTCAAGTACGCGTTGGCGGTGTTGAGAGACGCGACCGAAGGAGGTCACGGTGCGCCAAATGACCTATTGCCTGGATTTTGGCAATTCTCATAACAGCGGCGTAGAGAATGTGAATTCGAGGAACAGCTGAAGGGAATGTTGGCTGAGAAGATGCTGCTGCTGTGGTCACCTGCAGTCACTGTCAATTGCTGCACGAGTTGCCGACTTGTTGAGCGGAAAGTGCAAAGCCCAATGATTCGACGCTGATTGGCGCCGCTGCCCACCGTACAAAGATAACAGAGGTCAACATGTGTCTTGGCACTGTTCAGCCTTGGCCATTCAATCAACCTCTTCCAAGTCCAGTGATTAAACTGCCCTACCTAGATAGTGTACTTGAATCCTATATTTTGCGACAATGTCTATATAGACTGACTGACCTCCTTGGACTTCGCGGGAATTTCTTTCGTGGTGACTTCCTCAATGCCATGTTCAATCCACGTAGGCTTCTCAGAATACTCTCAAAATTACGTACCGCTAAAATTTTTGCAGACTCAAGCCTCATGTCTTCCTGTCAGTGCCCTGCACACTCTCAGAGTTGGCGAATATCGAATTCTTTTTGCCGGGGCTGGACCCCATTTTGAGGTTTTAGGACAGGACGGACGTAGGCTTCTTTTTTCCCAGGTTTTCAAAGCCCAGGCTCTCCACGGCATCCGAACGCATGGTGATGTCTTGATGGTGAGCAACAACCATGTCCTCAACATTCTTTTCTGGGGCGGCAAATTGGTGCGGCTGGGCAGGTTGACGATATCCAATGATGAGGCTATGCGTCTCCATCTTCAGTTATCAAATGAAGTTGACGTGGGAGACTGGATTCTCGATGCTGTTTTCGACGACTCGAGTATATTCATGCTTACAGCGCATAATGTACTTATGACCTTTATTATGGCCATTGATGCACATAAACTCAATATAGATCGGAATGACTTTCGGAGAATTCGTGGCCCAGGTTCTTTCCTCTACTCAGGCGACCTGCGTGTTGCTGATTCGAACCTGCTCATCGTCGCTGCGGGAACAGTGTTTGGCGAGATCCTGGTTTGGACATGCTCCAGGAAGGATAGCGACCAGCCAGAATGGAATACCTCTGCAAAGCATGCATTTACTGGGCACAAAGGCTCTGTTTTTGGCGTTGCAATATCCCCAAAAATCGTTCTAGGCGACAGACCAACTCGCTTGCTTGCAAGTTGTAGTGATGACCGCACGGTTCGAGTGTGGGATATTGGGGACCATGGGAAGCTCTCCTCAGAGCCCGAAGGCCGTATCATCTCCACGGAGACTGGCTTTGGAACGGTCAGCAACGGCGAAAAGTCAGAGGTGGCATCTGCATGGGGCCATGCATCCCGTATCTGGGGCGTTCACTTTGTTCCCCTGATGGAGAACATGGGCAACCCCAAGATTTTGCTGCTGTCGAGAGGAGAAGATACCGTATGTCAGCTCTGGTCTCTTGAGCTTACGCCGGAAGAAGGCATGAAATTATTACCCCTAAGCAGTGATCGGTACCATTCGGGGAAGAATGCATGGTCAATGTGCCTGGGTACTGACGATCGAGGCTCGGTGGTCTTTACTGGTGGTGCTGATGGTCAAATCGTATCGAGACAGCTCACCCTACTTAACGCCACTAAACACCATCCGCCGAAATTATCAACGCCGGCTAAGGAGCTGACAGGGTCATCTAAGGCTCTAAAGCAGTATCTCCCTTTCAGAGAGAGCATGTGCTTTGCAAGCACTGATGCAGGGGATGTCTACAGCATAATTATTGAGAGCGGCGAACTGAAATGTACACATCTCTACAACAGTCCCACCCGGTGTAGCATCATGATGTGCCGAGCTGACACACTTGGGGTTGCTCTGGTAGCTCAACAACGAGATGGTCTATTTGCATTGACGGCCGACAAAGACAGCCTTTTGCTGCCCATTTCATTACCTAACAAACTCAGCATTGTGTGGTTGCAGGTCGCTTGCACTCATCGAAGGCATGCGGGTCCTACCTGCGTCGTTGCTGCCTTGGTGAACAATGAGGCAATGATTATCTGGTTGGAAAGAGAAGGAAGCTCATTTCGAGGCCAGCACACCCCGCTCCAGCTTCCAGAATCATTTGTTGTGGCAGCTTGCTGTTACTACGAGCCAGGCGAAACGTTGCTACTGGGCTCCCGTGCCGGTGCGCTCGCTGTATATACCAGCGTGACCACCAACTCTAGCATAGCAGAAGCATCCTTGTGCTTGAGACACGCTCATGGTACAGACTGTGTAAGCTCGATCAGAGTCTTTGAAGCTCCGAGTTGGGACGTGGCTTCTACAAACGAGGTGTACTTCCTGACGACAGGCCGCGATGGTACTTATGCTGTCCATCGACTGATTCTTCCTCAAGGAGCCTTTTCAACGGTTCACGTATCAAAGCCCCCTATTGGGCCATATATTGATGGATCATACTTGCTTCCTTCTGAAGAGCTATTGGGCACACGTTCGCATGATTTGATGCTCTACGGGTTCCGCTCGACCTCTTTCATCGTTTGGAATGAAACCCGACAGTCAACGTTTCTTTCAGTTGAATGCGGCGGGGCACATCGGAGTTGGGCATATTACGATCCAATTTTGTCGAACAGCGTGATGCCGCAACAGGACGGTATTCAAGCCAACGTCGGGACAGCATCCTTCATCTGGCATCAAGCTGGCAGATTCAATTGGCATATGAGGCATGGACGAGATCATACAGTAATAAGAACTGGTGGCCACGGCCGAGAAATCAAAGCAGTGACTCGCAGCCCAAAGCTTGTTCAAGGGGGTGCTCTGATTGCCACGGGAGCCGAGGACACGAATATACAATTATTCCTGGTTTCTGTTAGGCAGAAAACGCCCACGGCATCTCTTACAGCTCAAGAAGGCATTATTCGACCTGACAATGCTCTCGACAACACCGCTTTTCGTAGCATAGCGACCTTGAGGGGACACAATACAGGGCTGCAACACCTTCTGTTCGCTCCTTCGGGAGACTATCTCTTCAGCAGTGCTGGTCGTGAAGAGTTCTTAGTTTGGAAGCTCACCCTCGACGTACCTTGCATCGAGGTTGGGACAATTCTCTGGGATGTTATGCCCAAAGAAGATGAGGACTCTGACGCCAGAATCATGGATTTTGATTTACGTTTCAAGAGCACCGAAAAAGGGGTCGGCCAGACGAGGAAGTCTTCCGATCAAGCCTACATCTTAACGCTGGCATATTCGAATGGCAAATCGAAAGTGCTCGAATATACTCCAGCTGTAGCATGCAACCAAGGCACATTTGTGACTTTGCACGAGATCCATTATGGTTCCTTTTGTATCCTGCAAGCGTCTCTGCTGTCATCTCCCTTGCAGATAATTTCAGCTGGGACAAATGGGTTTCTGAACCTCAATCAGCTTGATTTCTTACTCGGGTCAGGTTTTGACGGGGGCACACAAGTTGCACAATCAATCAACACGACCAGGCTCCACCAAATCCATCAAAGCAGTATTCTCTCGATGGACATCATTGCACTCGATACAGCAACTTCTTTCATCGCTACCGGTGGGGATGACAACGCACTTGCCTTTACTCTGCTCTCAAACATTCACCCTTCAACTAGAGGGAATGATGCCACGGGCAAAGCCACTCTGGAGGATCGAGACTTTCGAACAATTGTCATCCCTCGAGCTCACGCTGCGGCCCTCACAGCGCTCAAGATAGTGAATATATCAGGCACAGCACGCCTTTACACTGTCAACATTATCAGCGCTGGAAACGATCAGCGTGTGAAAGCGTGGAAAGTCCAGATCGACTTATCAAAGACTGATAGTACGCCTATGTCTGGCAGACCTCCTACGACGACGTCACAATACGACAGACTGTGCGAGGTAATGCAGGTACAGAGATTAAGTTCGGCGTGGACATCTGTTGCCGATGTAAGCAGCGTCGAAGTTGTATATCAGTATGGAATAGAACAAGAGAACATGGACAGCTTTACCATGGGAGAAATGCCTAGATCGGGCAGCAAGTGCGAGATCATTGTGGTTGGAGTTGGTATGGACTTACTGAGCATCACTTGGTAAACCCTGCTTAGACAATGTTCGTCGCGATCCGAATTTACGTGACTTGTCATCAAACATTACATCTATATATGATCTTTCGCAATCTGCACGTTCAGGCCCAGCTTTGTGCATGAAGTAGTGAACAAGAAAGGCCAAGGAAAGAGGCGCACTCCTGGACCTCTCCCCACATGATTTGAATACCCTCAACACAAAAATCAAAAAGGGCAAAAAGAACAAATACCGTCGTACATTACTTACCCTCGAAGACCAAAACAAATATGCGGGAAAAAAAAGGAATAGTTTCTATGGGGATCGAACCCATGACCTTCTCCGTGTATGGTGTAAAGGAGATGTGATAAACCACTACACTAAGAAACTTTTTGACCAAGCTCAGTTTGTGCGTCGAATTAGAGCTTAGTTTGCGACGCTTCGGTATATGACGATTTTGTTTTGAACTCCACCCAATCTGCCTCGTCGAATGCCTTTTTGGTGGTATCTATCTGTACAAGCTTTCTCCTTTCTCTCTCTCCAATAAAATATCTTCTTCCAATGAGTTTGAGACCTTTGTTCGAGGTTTACCCCAGCTGGAGAAATTGTACCGCGACAATGTATTACAGAATGCACTCCCTCAGAACATGGGTGAGGGGGTGGCCCAAGTTCACCCTCATAGATGACCTCGGGAACTTATCCTGACCTCCCCATTGCTGTTGGAGCGTTACCGGTCGGTACTTCATTACTTATGAACAACTTCGTTCCCGATTTCGAGCCCTTTGCCATCTTATTTGGGGTTTGTATATAGAAAAGGTTCGTTAGAGATATCCGGTGAAGACACGTCTTACATTCTACCGAAATTAAAAACACAGCAATCACTCTCCTTTACCAATCCGGTCGTCATTTGTGGTCGAGAAATATGGAATACGACACTTCCACGCTTCGAGATGACCCGATCAAGTCGGGCCAGATTGAAAAGAACAACAATAGCCCACTCAGGGGCCATCTGCGAGCGAAATCCGATCGGGTCGATGTCTCGATACTCAAAGAGCCAATCACTTTCGCCTTCTCCGGTCGGACAGCAAAGAATCGATTTCTGAAAGCGCCAATGTGAGTACCACCTTTGGGGCGGTGGCTCTGTCTGTCTCTTGGGGGCAGGCCGTTTCCTGGCTGTCCCTGGCGTCCGCGACCTAGCTCTGACATTCTCTAGGACCGAGAGATTGTGTCATTGGAACAAAGAAGGAGAAGATATTGTACGATATGACCCGAATCTGCGGCAACCAAAGACTAACAACACTGGCTGCCAGTCTGCCCGTGGAGTTCCGAGCCCGGAATACCTCAATCTGTACCGACGATGGGGAGAAGGTGAGATAGGCATCATCGTGAGCGGTAACACGATGGTGCGCTATGACGCCGTCGAGGCCTACGGTAATCCCATCTTGGTCGACGATCACGATGGCCGAGTTGCCAAGTACAAGGAGGTGACCGACGCCGCGAAGGCGCATGGGTCTCTGATTGTCGCTCAACTATCCCACCCCGGGAGGCAAGGGAACAAGTATCTCAACCCGAACCCCGTCAGCGCCAGCGATGTTCATCTGGCCATCCAGTGGGCGGGTAACGAGTTCAACAAGCCCAGACCCATGACCATTCCTGAAATCAAGGAGATGGTCAAGTCTTGGGGCGAAACGGCGTATTTGTGCCACAAAGCCGGCTTTGACGGAGTCCAAGGTAGGTTAGGTTTCTTCATTGTCCAACAAAAGTTCCCGAGGAAGATTTGCCTCTCTGACACATGAGCCGAAGTGCACTGTGCCCATGGGTATCTGCTCGCTCAATTTCTCAGCCCGACGACGAACCATCGAACAGACGAGTACGGCGGGGACCTGGTCAATCGGTCTCGGATCGTGTTCGAGATCATCGAGGAGATACACCGCCGCGTCCCTGATCCGTCGTTCATCATCTGCGTCAAGCTCAACTCGGTCGAGTTTCAGGACAAGGGCACGACCCCGGAAAACGCACGAGACCTGTGCCTCAAGCTCGAAGAGGCGAGGGTCGACTTTGTCGACTTGTCGGGCGGCACGTTTGAGGCGAGAGCCTTCGAGCACAAGAAACAAAGCACCATTGCACGCGAGGCTTACTTTATCGAGTTTGCGGAGATGATCGGGCCGCTGCTGAAGAAGACAAAGGTCTTCGTCACAGGCGGGTTCAGGTCAGCATCAGGAATGGTCAAGGCGGTCGCCGGGGGCGCGTGCGACGGGGTGGGCATTGGACGACCTTTGGCTGCAGAGCCGTATCTCGTCAAGGAGCTGCTAGAGGGCAAGACGACCGGCGCATTGGAGAATTTCGTACCTTTGCCGCTGAACACGCAGTCGAGTGGAACACAGCTGCATCAGATCGGCTGCGGAGATCCGATCATCAGTGATTGGAGTGTCGAGAGCGAGGTCAAGAGATGGATCGAAGCGAACGAGAAGGAAACCGCACGGAAACTGAGTATCTTGCCCAAAGTCGACAGTTCGGGATATCCACCGCTCAAGGCTGAAGCTGGGTTTGCCTACCTGCAAGCATAGACTGGGCGCTTCGCCAAAAGACATTCGTAGACACGAGAGAGCGCTGTGTGCGCGCATAAACAACGAATGCAGTACGAATCATAGAAAGACTCGCGAAAGCTGATTTGTTTCGTGAGTATTGGACTTTTTTTTCTTTGCCGTCTTTTTGCTTTGTTTTCAAAAATCGGCGCGGCACCCCATGTCAGCGGCACATTCTCTATCTCGTCGATCTGTGCTTTTAATCATTGACGCCGAAGATATCTTTCCCCATAACCATTGTCACAAGACAAGTATGCTCATGCTTTGCTCCAGCCTTGCCATCCCCTTCAAATCATCGATCCTGCACTTCTGCTACTTGATTCGTTCGCGAGTTTAGAATTTCTGGAAAGCCTTGACGGCCTTGCCGGTTCTTGGCAGGACACGGAGGACGTTGAATCGGACCTAAAATCCACGATATCAGTAATTGAGTCTTTCTTTTTCTGTTGGAGAAACATCGAAGAATTTGCTTACAGTCTTGCTGAGAGGTCGGCATTGACCGACGGTGACTGTGTCACCTTCTTCAACACGGAAAGCAGGAGAGACGTGGGCGGCGAGGTTAGTGTGTCTCTTCTCGTATCTGGCGTACTTGGGGACGAAGTGAAGGTATTCTCGGCGGATGATCAAAGTTCGGTGCATCTTGGTAGAGACGACAGTGCCGGTGAGGATACGGCCTCGGATAGAGACCATACCGGTGAACGGGCATTTCTTGTCTATAATGAAAAGTACTTTTTGTCAGCATTTCTTCGACTTTTCCCTAATCGCTCCGCATGCTGAAAAAACCCCCCAAACTCGTATTGGGAGAACTTCGACTTGTTCATTCCCGGTAAAGGAAGAATAGCGACAAATCGATTTGATTGCAAGAGTGACTAACCGATGTAGACACCCTCAATGGCGGTCTTTGGTGTTCTGAATCCCAGACCAACATCCTTGTACCATCTTCGGCCACCCTTTCCAACTCTTCTGCTCTTTGCAGCCTTGGATTTGTGGTTGAGGAAGATGTGCGGCTGCTTCTGGTACGCGCGTTCGGACTGGACGGTCAACTCGGTCGCCATGGTTGCGGTGGTTGACAGGAAAGGTGCGCGGGTTGAGGAATAGGTTGTTGTCGTCGGAAGGGGCCTGCGATTTGATGATGTGTGGAATTTGGCGAAGGAGTTTTGCTGGCGCACATTCTGGATCTTGGCAGTAAATTTAACTCTAGACCATTAATGGAATAGCGCACTTTGGTCAGAATCACATGACTTCGCATAACAGCCGTGTTTACAAGTGGGTCTCCTCGGCGCGATTGAAACTTGTGAGTGGGACGTGAACCCGGTCGCTCTCAAGACAAACATCGTTGTTATCATGTACCTTTATTGACAGAATTTGTACGCTGAAACCTATGTTCTGTGGCAGTTCTGCCTCTGTCGGAAACAATGGCAGATTCTTCCACAGACCGTAAACCTCCCAAGCCAAAATCGCGACAGTCGATCGCACATATTCCATCCAGTAGATCATCTGCGTCAAAGGACAATGTGACAACAGACATTGCGGCTCTCCACGCTCGAAACAATGCGGTACAAGCAGCCAAAAAGCGGTCGCGTGGAAAAAGCCTCGGTCCTGGAGGTCTTGAAGCTTTGACGGAAACAACGGGCAACGCAGCAAAGGTATGTGTTGGTTTGGCTTTCCTTCTTAAAGGCGCAAACGTTGACGACAGGGGCAGACACCGGTGACTTTTCAGATCAAGTCGATTCTCAAACCTACGATACCTTTGACGCCTCCAAAGGCGATCCCTTCATTCGACGAATTGCGCAAAAGAAGTACTGGAAAAGCAAAATCACCGGCAAAGAATGGCGCAGAGGAACTCCTCATTGATTTCTCGACGCCAGGTCCAAACATGGCAAATAGAGGTGGAATCTCCATGGAAGGCGCAGAAAATGTGGCCGACCCGTTCAGCCCCATCACGCGGCAGTCGCCGCGTAGATCGAAGACTTCAAACGTCGAGGCTCAGGAGCGAGAGCGCGAGGAAGAAGCGAAACGACAAGCTGAGAAGCAAGCTATCTTGGACCGAAGAGCAGCTAGACGGAAATCACTTGCAAACAGGCGAGTGTCATTTGCACCAGAAGCAACATTACACACGTGGAGTGTGATGGAACTTGCAGAGGACTCTACCACTAGTTCGGCGTCGAATTCTACCAGGAGACAATCCTCCATGACAGCACAACAGTCGCCGGTCAAGGAGATGCCTTCTCGCGATTCATCTGCCTCTCCCTCGACACCCGTGGAACAGCAAGAGGATCCTATGCAAACATCTTCCCCAGCGCATCAACGAGATCTCCATCAGCAGAAACGTAGGAGAAGCTCTACAGCTTCACAACCTATGCTGGATGAGTCGCAGGACGACGTGTTCTCCTCGAGTCCGTCTGGTGATGTTACCACGAATAGTAGTCCGATGCGCGTTGAAGATGGCATCGAGTCCTCGGACGATTCGGACACGGATGGCGACACGGCCATGAGTATGGATGATGAGACCTCTCACACAGTGAATTCCCAAGACTCGGGATCGAGCACGCATTCTAGTCTGGAAGAGCGCCTACGTCAGGCAGCAGCACAAGCAGGGACACCAGGAATAGACTACGACGAGCAGGATGAGGAAGACATGTCCATGGAGATGGCCACTGGCACCGTCACTCACGCTTTTCAACCCTACGCGCGAAAGCATGTCTCCGATATCGAGCGCAGCGTAAGTCAAGAAAACGATAGTTCTGTTGCCGAGTCTCCTCAACGTGGTGCCATAAGGGAAGATTCGAGTCTTCAGGTAAATGATGATGATGATGATGATGATGATGATGTACGGTCCCAATCTGAAGATATGAGCATGGACGTAACCAGGGCTGTCGGTGGTATTATCCCGCGACAATCACCTGGGAAAAAGAGCCAGAGATCTCCCAAAGCCCGTCGCAGAAGCATTCACCCTCGCCGCTCAATGGGGGACGAATCTGTTTTTGACGAAACTATGGATTTTACAGTGATGCAAGGTGGAATTATCGGGGAAGGTGACAAATCGGATGCCAACATGACCCAAACTCGTTCATTTGACGAAATGACCATGGAATTCACAACCGCTGTGGGCGGTGTATTGAGCAATGGAAATCGACGCCATTCTGGCTTATCAGAAGAGTCCGAGGACAATCAGACCATGGACATGACGGCAGCAGTCGGTGGCATATTGAGTCCAGTTGAAGAGCACACTGAGCCGCAGACAGATGCGGAAGACGAGCAGACAGTTGCCATGGAGGAAACGAAAGCGGTTGGATCGATATTGAACCAGCCTTCTCCCACGAAGAAGCGCATTACCAGACAGTCTGCCGGTAACGCCTCTACTCCTCCGCGAACCCTTCCTTCCGAAAAGTCGACACCAAAGACGACTCCCAGAACCACACCAAGGTCAAATTCCAAGACCACACCAAAGACCACACCAAAGTCCCAACTGCATTTGACTTCGGTTGCGTCTGAGACAGGCAGCCCAAGTCTTGTCGCCAAGCCACAGTCATCTAGCAGGTCTCAAAGAAGCAGCAGTAAAGCCTCAACGACACCTCAAGCGCCGGCCCCAAGCACACCTATCATGTCTCATCGTCCACTGCAAGCTGGTACTCCATTGCAACAGATCACACCGCTTCCGGAGCATGCACCGAGCCCAAACAAGACACCTCTATCCGCGAATGTGCAACACCGAGGTGCGTCACCAAAGAAGCTTTTCAAGGCCGAGATCAAAGCTAGAGCGTCGCCAGCATCGACGAGGAGAGAAGCAAATCTTAAGGCAAACTCCTTATTCTCTCGGGACGCAGAGACCGGACAACAGACGCCTAGCATAGTATTGCGTGCTAGCAGACCTCAGCTACAGCGAAGGAGATCAAGCGGGATCGGCATTGATAAGGACGGCATAGGTTCTCCTCGAGTTTCTGAACTTCTGGATAGAAGAACCTCAATCGGCGACACGACAATGGAATTCAAGCTCGGAAGCACTAAGCCATCGAGGTTACGCTTTGAAGATGCGGAGCAGCTTGAACAGGAGGTGGAATTAGAGCGGCAAGAAGAACATCGTCGAGAAAGTGGCCGATTCGTCATGGAACGAGAGGCAGATGAGGCTCAAGAAGAACAGACGACTTCGCAGCTTAAAGGCATGATTGAGACAATGTCACCGAGAAAATCGAAAGCTAGCAAGGTCAAGGGCAGGAAGAGCCTTGCTGTTGGCGGCGCCAAAGGACTGCTCGGAAAGCGTCCAGCGGAACTGGACATAGACGATGACGAAGAAGCTGAGTCGACGCCGAAGCGTTTGAAAGCTGTTTCTCGAGAAGGAAGTCCTGTCAAGAAGGTTCATCTACCAAAGCCACCCAGCAAAGACGAGACGACTGGTAAATTGAATCTTAAGCTGCAAATGTCACTCGCAGACATGGCAGGTGCAGTCAAATCAACCCCGACTGTGGATACTTTCCGCCTAGCAAGGGATAAAGCGCCAACAAGCCCCGAAGCAGGAGCCCGGTTTAGAGATATTGAGGCTACTGGCGACGACAGGCCCACTTCATTTGAGGACAAGCTTGACAATGTTGTCGGGGCAATCGACGTTTCCACGGCTCAATTAGAAGAGGGATCTTCTTCAGCAGAACAGGAGAAGATCTCGCTTCAAGACTTCCTCAACATGACCAACATCCACTTCATTGAGCTTTCGACTACGAAGAGAAGGCATACTATGGCACAATCTATGCCTGCGAGAGAATCGCAAGAAGGCGCTGCTGCTCCGAGTACTGAGGTGAACTTTGTCGCTGCCGCAACAACGCTACCTCTGCTGGAACTCTATCAGCATGCCACGAGAGAGTTGAAGTCGTATATCTCTACGGGTCGTAAGATCATCCGTTCTATCGAGGCAGAGACATTGGCTGAGCAGCCTCCACTTTTCCGAGAATACCTGGATGCGCGACCAGATGTCAAGGTTATCATGGACAATCAATTTCGGAATGGTAAGGCGAATGCTCGCCTACAGAGTAAAGAAGGCTGGTATCAATGGCGTGGGCAGTTGGTGGACGGTCTCAACACTGGCTTGCAGGGCATCAAGCAAGGTATGGCAGCTGACCTGGATGTCCTGCAGCAACAGCAGCGAGTTTTGGAAGATGTGGTCCCGCAAGTGTTGCAAGAGCAGTCGGAACTTGAAATCCAGGCCAACTCTTTACGACAAAGCCTTGAAGAATTTGATAGCATCGACCGTGAAGCTTTGGAGAATTATCGGCAACAACTGCGAAATGTCGACGAGCAATTCCTTCAACGATCAGCACATCTAGAGGATCTGCAGCAACAAATGAAGGAGAAAGATGACGCTCTTAGTGCAGCCGCGGATTACAAGACCGAGCTACAAGATCAAATTGCAGAGTCTGAAAGGGTCAGGGAGGAGACCAGAGGCTTGCCAGTCTCCGATGTTTTGGCGCTCAAATCGAGGGTTGAAAGTATTGAGAAGAAGACTGGTTGGCATCTCCTGACAGCTGAAGAGGAGGTCGATGAACCGAACGAGTTTGGGCCCGGTCTTGTCATGGTGTACAAGGACGAGCTGCGACTATTTTTCCATCCCCAGGCCTTCCAGTGCAAGCTCGAACAGACTGGACGACGTCGATCAGGGAGGAAGTCTGCGTCAGTTTCTGGCCCATCAGCCCCGATCAGCCTGACGTATGCCCCTGAGCAGGACGATTCTGAAGCCGGTCCACGTGAATTGTCTACAGAAAAACGCTTTTTCCTTCAACTGATTCGAAGTCAGCTGCACGCCTTTGCGATGATGCCAAAGGGAGCCATTGCCGCAAAGGCAGTGTTGTCTACGGCGTCAAAGGGGTGGGACTTGGCGTCGAGAGTGTCTGAAGAGTTGAGGCTCTTGAATCTGGTTGGCGTGACGACGGTCTCGATCATGGGCGACGAGAGACTCGGGGTCAAGGTCATGCTGCTCCTGCCTACTCAAGGCCGAGTGGATATGGAATTCGTCGTCACAGTGGCTGTACTGAATGACGGCGAAATCGTCGCAACGTCCAGTGTCACTGCCACTGCTGTTTATGGTGGTGCAGTCGACACCCTTGCCGGCAAGAACAGGAAGGTCCAACATGCTTTGGGCAAGGAGGTTGAAAGTCGAACCCTAGGCGAAGGGGCGTGGGCCAGTGCCATTCATGGCTTCAAGGCCTGGGTCAGTGCGCAGGAAACGGCGAGAGAAGAGAGGAAGTCCAAGAAAGTCGAGGAGGAGGCCACTTCTGTCCCTGTTGTACCTACGCCAGTACCTGTACCTGCACCTGCACCTGTTGCGACTCACGAAACATCACCACAGGTTGCGGTGGTTCATTCTGAAACGAAACAACAGCGACAGCAACAAAAAGGAGTGCCGCAATCAAATCATCTGCCGACTTCTTCGTCCTCACCGCCTGTCCGGCGCTCACCTCTCGCGCCCAAGCGGACGAATGCGATACAAAAGAAGACACTACCCGTGCCGAAGCAGCGGCTCGAGAAATTCAGTCTGTCGTCGTCTGCTCGTGTACACGTCTCGGAAAAGGAGAATTTCAACCCCTCGCTCTCGACTTCGTCGAGTAGAGGGAATGTCGCACCAGCTGCCCACGACGTGGGCAATGGCTGGAGCGAAAAGGAGTTTTCCAAACCCGCCATCACGCCGGAGATGCAGGAGGCCATGATGCACACGCCCATCAAGCGAGTCGGCGCCTTGAGACGGAGTCCTGTTTGAGTTTGAATCTGAGCATGTCGTGGGGATGACCATGTCACGTCGTAAAGATTGAAACTGATGACTTGAGACGAATTTGGATGAACGGGAAAGAAAGCACGGAGTGGAAGGAGTTGGGTCAATTGCGGATTTTTTGTTCGTGGGTAGCGTTTCGAGGCATTGTTTATTGTTGTGTTTGTTGTTTGGATTACTGTACAGAGTACCCACTTTGTAGTGTTATTCTTACGAGAGTATTGCTCTACACTTTTCCTACCGAGCTTCTTCTTAAAGTGAATCGAAGCCGTGTCTTTCATCCGGAGAACACCTTAAGATGTCGTTACTAGATTGTTTCATGGCGTGAGTTCTAGTCTATCTAGGGAAAAGTTCAACTCTCCACAAAGCGTCTTGATCCTTTGAACCAGAAGCTTGATGTCCCGATGCACCCTTTCCGAAGCGACGTGAAAGGCGACGAGGGCTCTGACGGCAGCCAGTTCGTCAACATCAACGTCAACACATGGCAGAAGGCCGTCCACACCCACGGGTGACTGCGGCGGCGGCGGCCACATGTTCCGAACGGATTTCAAGTACGAGTGCTGATGCTTCTTCGAATCCACAAAGATGTCGTCGAAGAAATACGGTGGTAACGGAAGACCATTTGTGATCGAGGCCGCGAGGATGAATAAAGCCGATGTGACTTTGTGATGCGAGACCAAGGTTTTTTCTCTCTGTTTTTGGGTCCAAGACACAAGTACAGTCTCCATCGAAGCCTTCACTCGTGTGTCCGAGTGATGAAGATGATGCTCATGATAGACCGACAAGGCAAACCCTTGCAGAGTGAGTTGGACGGTGAGTCGTTCGAGCAGGACGATACATTCCCGGTAGTCCTCGGTTGGGAATCGGCCCCCTATGGGAACCTGCCAGCCGGTAAAGGCGGCGAATCCATTCACCTCTTTCAAAACTCCGTGGACCTGATGGACCACTTCGATCCTCGCCCTTTTCAATTTCTCCGCCAGAGGTGACGTGTCAGAAGAGCGGAATTTGTTTCGTCTCGGGTGGTCGACCAACATTGTTTCCGACACCATGGCGTTGTACCGTGCCAGCAAATACAGACAAGAACCGATGTGTCGTTGAATCAAGGCCCCTTCGGTGACGGGGAAAGGGAAGACGGTCCAGATGTAAGCCGCCAGGAGTCCCGCCACCACGTTGGCCAACCGGTAGGCGGCGACCTGGTAGAGCGGAAAAGCTGGGGTCGAGAACATTCTCAAATAGTCTTCGCCCAGTTTGTGGACGTTGAGCTCGTAACCGACGCCGATGATGGGCGTCACGGCACTGACGAGAGCGAGAAGTGCGTGTTTGGGGTTCAAGGTGAACCAGTAAAAGGAGCCGGCCATGAACAAAAACATCAACACCGTCACCGCCGCCGGGTTCCCGTCAGCAATGTACCAGATACAGTACGACCCGGCCGTACCTATCAAACTCGCGAGAATCCGCATCGCAAAGGAGAATGTCGTGTGACCGGTCGAGTTGATCATGGCAAAAGCCGTCATGACGATGGCCCAGAGACACCGCTGCTCGACATAAAACTTCCTCGAAGATCTCAGGTACGCAACGATCCCAATGGTCATGGAGGCACAAGCGGCGCGGAGGCCGAAGAGCGAATGCGACGACCTGAGCATGTGCGGAATGGACCTAACACGCTCACCGAAACGTTCCAGCCACGACTCTGGTTTAAGATGAAGAGGGTCCCGACGACCATAAAGTGCCGCGTTGAGGATGTTACGGTGGTCATCATCGACGACGGCGTTGTCAATCGCTGGGTCGGCCATCAAATCACTATTTGGTCGACCTGGCAAGGTGAACATCTTCCAAAACCAGTCAACAAGAAGTGCTTGCGATGGCAAAATGACTCGTCTTTGTTGCACCTTGCTATTCGTTTGTTCCACAAAATCCAGCAAGGTTATGACGGCACTGTTCAAGTGCCAAAAGGCAAACTGAACCTGTTGTTCAACGACCATTAGCTCTTGAAGTCGGTCATTACACTTGTCGCATATACCCAATCGAGGATGTCCTGTAATGGTTTGGATTCCTTGTCGGCCAAGCAGGAGTTTTTCTGCAAGGTCTTTCACAAGAGTTCGGTGGTCAGATATCCTGCCTCTTGGACAACTACCTTTCTCAGGGTCACAGGAGCCGTTCCGAGTTGAGCGGAATAATGTCCATATCGATTCTCTGCTTGAGAAAAGGCAAACCTTGGTGTCCTCGATAATGCCAGCAACAGTCTTTGAGAGATCTCTGGAGCTGCTGAACAACTCAGTATGAATTCTTCCTGGATCAATTAAGGTGGTTGTGGCTGTGGTGTTCCGACATGTACACTGCTTGAGAGTTGAAACATCAGGAACAGAGTCGATGGTATATCGTAACCCCAACAAAGGTAGATATGCTGCATGCAGCTTTTCAAAGCAGGCACCAAGGTCTTCTCCATCCAGATGACCGATTCCAATGTCCCTGACGCCAAACTCCAGATCCGTTTTGAGCTTGACATCAATCTTTTGAAGGGCAATAAACCTCTTGTTCAGTTCTTCAAACTGTCGAGAAGGCCCTTGATCACCGGCCATTTTACTGTCATCCTCATGGATCAACGAATATGTGCGGAGGAGCTCGGCAAGTTTATCGAAGTAACTGTACATGGAGGTTATGGCAATCTCGCGGTTGCTGTGTGGGAAGATGAAGAGAGATACACCTGTTCCGATGCCGAAACCAGTTAGGAAAGCCTGGAGTTGCAACGACATGAACTCTTTCGCTGTCTGCATTGTTTCGAAAGAAGGGCCGGCCTGCGTGAGGGAAATGATGGTAAGGATGCAGTAGTTGATGCAAGGAAACTGGAACTGAGGTCGAGAGGACCGCAGTGCATTCGTCAAGTACATTTGCAAGAAGAAAAATACTCCACACACCGCTGAAGCGGAGGAGTTGTATTCGTCGTCGGTGGTAGCACTGTGACTTCTGGCCATGATCGAACACCACAAAGCGAACAAGTTGACCGCAGTTGCCAGACACACCATCAGCACGTTCAGAAAGAGTGTCTGGATGAACCTTGCCCGTGGCAGGACGCAAAATGTCAGGAGCGCTTCGATTGCGACAAGGTAGTTGAGGACTTTGAAATGCCGCGCCCACGTATCGGACTGCATCGCAGCAACGGCGACTGTTGCCGGGAGTGCTGATTTGATCATCACCGCTGCGCTGTGCCAGCTGATCCTCGGCCGCTGGCATACATGGTGCCTCCAGTGTTGGCGGATATGGATCGGCTGCATCTGGGAGGGAACCGCCCACGCCAGGGGAGAGAGAATCAAGATCGTCTCGAGAAGCTGAGTGAGTTCAAGGTCCCGACTTTTATGGATCGAAAGACCATGGGCCGCCCCTATAAGAGCCCCTTCGGGAGGCGTCAAGGGACAGTTGCATTGTCGTCCCGGCTATATCGGAAGTGACCTGGCAGTGAAAAAGGGCTTGCCACATGGCTGGCATCCAAGGGACAATCGTTTGGCTCCGCTATCGTCCTGAACTCAAGTTGACATGATCAAGGCACGATCAGCCAGGAAGCAAGAAAATGATCTCATTCTCGAAGCTTGAAATTACAGAAGCATATAATGGGCACTGTTGACTTGATTCTACTTTTGGAACATCTACAATGGGAAGGAAACAACAAACATTATCATTAGGTCGATTGCATGATCTTCAACTTCCTTCGACACGGTGGTGCCCTGTGTAGAAACACTTAGAATTGAGGTCAAATTTAACAAACAAGAACGCTATGAATGACTTCCGTTGAACCGTCATCAGCTCAGGCACAAGGTCTTGAGCTGGTTTGCAAGTTGAGATATACGAGACTTTAGCTGCACGATTTCCTGACGCTGATCGCTAGACAACTTTTTGAGGTCTTCCTTTTCGCTCCGAACAATCTCTAGTTCGGCGTTGAGAGACTCAATTTGTGCCTCTTTCCGCCGTCGATGTGCTCGTTGTGCATTCCGGTTCTGCTCCCTTCTGCGCTGTTTGGACTTTATCCAATCATCTGTGGTCGGAATCTCAAAATCTTCTTCTTCTTTTGTAGTTGTGTCGTTGAGTCGCTTTGATCTTATCCCAGGTCTCTGTTTCTCCCTCCCGTATTGAAGCTGTTCGTAGGAAATACTTGGAGATGACGACGATGCAGGAGAGTCATGGTCAGGTCGGTTTACTGGTTGCATCTGTGTCGAACTGAAACAGAAGCTGGGATGCAGCGCCGACAGCTCGGTCAAAGGATGTGCTGCTATCTCGGCGGAGACTGACAGGAGTTGGTTGGAGGAAGGCACCACCGTATTGTCCTCGATGTGGGCGTCTATACTCCAGAGCAAGTCGCTGTCCTGGAAGTTCAAGACAGATGACTTCATTGCCATACCCGAGGCGTCTGTCGTCGAGTAATTCATATCGACAAATTTGTATACTCGCATCCAAGGCTGGTTAATAAGAACTTTGTGCTGCCTGAAACGTGAACAGTCGATCAGTACGAGTGTGCAAAGCCGGTATGGTAGAGGGATCATATACCTTATATCCCCCGAGAAAGCGGCGAGCTTTTAAGCGAGCTTTTAATAAGTGGTGATATACGGTTGAAAATAACCGGAACCAACCAACCAACAAGGCTCGTTCTTGGATATTTGTTGGGCTTCATGCTAGGTGAAAGCACGGCCTGAGACAGGAGCCACATTCTGAACGGTTGAGCCTTGGAAACGTCGCCCAGGGTATCGGCACGTTCTTGTTCCTATTCCAACGAGAGCGAGGATGGGCTTGGTAAGGCAGGCCACCGTTGTCACTGATGATGCCTAACCACTCAAGGTTGCCATGGATCGAACTTAATAGAGCATATGACGGAAAGGGGGCGATGGAGATCTCCGATCTGCAATGACAGTCTCGTCAGTGGGAGCGAGTTGAAATATGTAACCATCGAAAGGGTCAATAGGCGTAGAGATAAGTAAGTGCAGATGCTCCGTACACCGGTGGGAAAACACATCTGTGGGCCGTTGACGGTCAAGTAATCTAGTAGGATTAGGAAACAGGCAGGGGTTCAAGATGCCACCTTGTATATGGCCTCGTAACTCAATATCGGATTGCTCAGCTCGAGGCGAGTAGTGCGAAGCTGCTAGACCTGATATACATACTCGCCCAGCGAAAAGAGGGACGTGGGCAAGTTACTAAGCGGGCGTTGGATTGAAGCTAATGCAAAGAGCGAAAGTTACGAGACTGTGTGCTCGGGGAACTCTTACCGAGCAGAGTGAAGCTTCGAGTACGAGTATGAGTGATTTGCCATCTTCACTCATGTCGATCTCGGAGGAAAGGATATCTCGGCCCAAGAAAAGGTGTCAACACTGACGAAAGTACACGGTAGATGATTTGTTATGGCTGTTAAGCCTTTCTCATGCAGAGTGGCAAGCAGTAGGGAACGCCAGCCTTGCGACCCACATTCCATAGCCGACGGTCGCTGAGATTGTATTGTATTGTAGGCCATAACCGAGCCGTTTATCGACAACGTCAAAAGAAATCTCTCAACCGCTGGCGATCTACAAGTACCCGTGCCATTCTTCCGACGAAGCTCAAAGAATCAACTCCCTGTCGGGACTCATATCCGTGAGGGTACTCTGCTACCGAGTAACATATGTGCGTCTTTAAATGTCACTTGGACGACCCCTATCAGCACCATAAGGCTGACCCGCTTTTCGAGGCCATTTTTTCGATGCCATATACACCTACAAAAATGGGTATTACGAGCAGCTTATCCGTACCGGTTTTCAACTACCAGGATCCTCGACTAGCTTCGCGCCTTGAAGAGTTCTACCATAACCGAGCCGGTTTGGTTTCCCTTGTCACCCGTTTGAGACGATAGCGACGGGAAGTCACCGTCTTTTTTTTGCCCATCTCGCAACATCGGCGATTGCATACAGTACTGCCTCTACTGATATGGATCTCGATTCATCCCATGCCGCTGCACACAATGAATCCGAACGGATACGAAGTCCCCGCCCGCATGGGTTCGCATGCGACACGTGTCGACGTCGGCGCGTGAAATGCGATGGCCAACAGCCCTGCGAGCGTTGTCTCAAAAGCAGTGTCCAGTGCACTTACGGTAGTCGTTTTAATCGTAAATCGACTCTCTCGTACACGCGTCATCTCGAAGAGCAGATTTCTGTATTACAGAGTCAGTCACAAGGCCAACCGCAGTCCAGCTCAGGTGAAGTCCCCGTCCCCCGTTTTTTTGATCTGCAAAACAATGCCAGTCCCGCAAGTGGTAGCAGTTGCGACTGACCTTTGAGAATCAAAAATGCTTCAGCACAAGAGCATCATAGTATCGATATGCTTATCGGACCGGAAGATGACTACTACGTTCATTTGCCCAATGTATCTTCGACCATCTTTTATGGCCGGTTCGGGGGCCTGAGCGTTCTCCGATCCCTGGGACGATCGCTGCTGTGGGAAGTTCAGCCATCACCGACCTCGTCGTCGCCTGGTAGGGAACTTGTCGAGGCTTTCCATGACCTTACACTAGGTCCTCACAAGCTCTCGGGAGAAAGTTATAGACGCGTCGCGACCTGTCTGCCCTCCAAGGACCAGGTGAGAGCGGACATTTCCCTGGCGTGTAGGACAGCCCTCATCTGCCACGATTGCTTGGATCACGCACTTTTGTCCCGGCAACTCGACAACTTGTATGACACGGATCCCGAGGACTACTCCAATGCCCAGCAACAGTCCCTGGCGTTGGTCTATTCCTTGGTGGCACTTGGCCGGCGATACTCAACGACGCCGAGCGGGATCGAAAGCCATCAGGCAACAGACGCCACCAATCCAAAAGGGTAAGATTTCTTTGAACTTGCCTAGTTGCATGATTGAAGCATTCACGATCCATTGATTACTCTTATTTCTTGCTAACTTGTTCGGCTTAGTTTCACGTATTTCCAATCCAGTCGCAGAATGGTCCAGAGTGCGGACTTCTACACTCTCGACTCCTTGCGAGCCATTGTCTACCACGCGCGATACCTTTTGTCGGTATCCATGATATCCAAGGCACACTCGTGTTTGGCGACAGGTCTTTCCGCCGCGTTCTGCATGGGCATGCACATCTCCAACCCAAGACCAGAAGACGTTCCGGTTGACGAAGCCTTGCAACGGCGTCGGGTCTTCGCCGTCATGGATATGATGGACACGTACCTGGCCAGCTTACTGGGATTGCCCAAGGTTGTGAGAAGTGAGACGGATGTGAAGCCTACACCATCGATTTTGGAAGAAGAAGAAGAAGATGATGATGATGATGAAGACGAGGTCCTGCCCGACTTGGGAGGTGACGGGTTTCCTCTACGCCATCCTGCCGAATCCATCGCCGAGACTGTCCTGTGTCAGAAACTCAATGGCATCCTGGCCAGGATAGGGAATTCGCGACTTCTGTCGGCGACGTCTCGAAACGACGACACCAGCCAGAAATACACGGAACGTGACGACGTCGTCGCCATGCACGAGGCCGAGATCCAAGACTGGTACGACCGCCTCCCGGCCGTGATGGAGGAGACGTCCGAGCCCGAGCCCGGCGCCCTCCGGGCCCAACTCATGCTGAGGCTGTGGCACGCCGTGGCCCAGATCATCCTCTACCGGCCGTTCCTGCACCATTTGGGCCGCGACGGGCAGGACTCGAGGTTCGACCTGCGCGGGTACGAGTACGGGTCGGCCTGCATCCGTTCCGCCATGCAGGCCATCTACCTGTGCGAGGTGCTCCAAAACAACGGCATGCTTCACGAACCTTTTTATCTCGTGCTGTACAGCCTCGCGTACGCCACCAACATACTGGCCTTTTTCATCGCGTCCCCTTCCCCGAAAAAGGCCACGGTGCGGGAGAGCGTCGTGGCGGTCTGGAAGGCCCGCGACATGCTGGACCGGCTCGGCAGGCACAACAACCCTTCGGCCAGACGGTACACAGCCCTGTTGACGGGATTGCTGGCTCACATGCCTTCCTTGCAACAAGAGTAGAACCCTGACACGTCCGTGCCAGTGCCCCAGAGGCGCTTGATCTTTCTAGCTTGTGGTTTGTTTCTTGAACCCCCCCCCAAAATAGGATTCGGTTGAATTGTGGAAGATCATCGAGCAGGCAATTTTCTGTGCTCACTCTTCGTAGGAAGTATGTACAACATGAGTGAATACATGGCTCACCAGTCCATGATGCTTTACTTTTACATAGGTCTGCTTGACTACCTGATTGCGTGCGCTGCTTGCTCGTCGATTTACCATCCACCACCTCCACCACCCTTCCCACCAAATCCACCGCTCTCGTCACTGGCCGTGATACCCTTCTTACCACCACCGCCACCACCATGACCACCGCGCTGACTCTTTTGCTGCGCCGCTTCATGCTTCCTGAGATCCTCCGGCACTCTGGATATGCTACTCTTCATGAGCATCTGCTTGAGGTCATACAGTACGTCGTTGTCTTCATTGCCCAGGAACGTGATGGCGACACCACTCTTGCCCGCACGACCGGTACGACCGATACGATGGGTGTAGGACTCGATGTTGGTGGCCATGTTGAAATTGACGACAAGACTGACGTCGGGCACGTCGATACCACGACCCGCGAGATCAGTGGCGACAAGGACATCCGTCTTGCCGTCACGGACAGACTGCAATGCAGCCTCACGCTGCTCTTGCGTCTTGGAACCGTGTAATGTGACGGAGCTGAAGCCCATGGTCTTGATGTCCCTGGCGACGGCGTCGCAGTTGCGCTTGATGTTGACAAAGACGATGATTGGAGGCCTGAATTCGCCAGACCGGAGGATCTCATTGAGTCGTTTCTTCCGCTTGTCTTCGCCCGACACAAATTCGACCCGCTGTTCCACCGTGTCGACCGCCTCGCCAATGTTGCCGATAGTCACAATGGCCGGGCGCCGGAGGTACTTGCGTGCGATGCGCTCGACGGCGGCAGGCATGGTGGCCGTGTACATCATCGTCTGGCGGTATCGTTCTTTGCCACCTAGATGACGGGACATGGCTCTGCCATCCTCGGCGTCATCCGTGTCCGGTTTCTCGTTGGTCACCGGCAACGCGTCGAGGATCCTGTTGACGGGCTCTTCGAAACCTAGATCGATCATGCGATCCGCTTCATCCATAATGACGTAGCAGCACTGCTCGAGGACGATGATGCGTCGGTCAATGCAATCCACCAAACGACCTGGGGTGGCGATGATGATTTCGGCGCCATTGCGTAGATTGTAGGCCTGTTCCTCGATGGAGTGGCCACCGACGATCGATACGACCGTGAAACCCAGCGGTGATGCGAATTTGCGAGCTTCTATCTCGATTTGCTGTGCCAATTCACGTGTCGGCGCCAGGATGATGGCGTAGGGACCGTTATTTCTCCGCCATTCATCTTCATCCAGTCGCGGAAGCTCGGCGATGTATACCAGGAGAGGAAGCAAGAAAGCCGCCGTTTTACCAGATCCAGTAACAGCAACACCAATAAGGTCGCGGTTCTGGAGAGCGATGGGGATGGCGGCTCGTTGAATTGCAGAAGGATCCGTGTAGCCTACTTGATCGATAATATCGAGCAGACGTCGTGGGAGTCCTGATTCCTTCCAATTACGCATCGGGTTCGGTATGCCGCCTCCTTTAGTACTGATGTTGAAATCTTCCTTGAATATTCGCCAGTCACGCTCGCGCATCTGATCGAGCCTCTTCTCACTCCAGTGCTTGTCGACTGCCATACGACTAGACTCTTCTTTTCGTCTTCGCTCCATCTCCAGAATTTCCTGTGCTCGCGCCGCACCAGCCTCGGTGTCTCTGGACTGCAGGGCTTCGGCGTATTTACGGGCGGCTTCATCCGCGGCCTGTTGGTCGAAGCCACCAAGGCGACCGCGACCAAAGAAGGTCGGTTGAGCTCGCTCGTTGTATATAGGGTTGTAGTCAGGCGTGGTATCTTCTTCGGCGTTCCATTCAAAGTTGAACTTCTTCTCTGTCGTACGACGTCTCTTTTTCGAGGCCGAGAAGGTCGAAATATTGGTCTCTGCGCCCATATACCTTTGACGAATCAGGTCCACCTCTGCTTTCCCATTTCGATCATCAACCGCTTGTCGCTTCTGCGTTCTCGAGTCTGCGCCGAACGATATGGACTTGGGAGCCGTAGGCGGAGTAAAATCAACACCTTTGTTGTGCTCTCGAGATCGCATTGCACTTGGGCCAGTAGGTACATCGCCGTTGCGAAAAGCCCTTGGCCCGGTCGGCGCTACAGATGACTTTGACCGCCCGGTCTCTTTGGGCGGCTCGACAGGCGTGGTTCCATTATGGCCGTTCTGAGATTTGGAGCGGGCGGCCGCTTCGACTTCGTTCGCACGTTTCTCCAAGGCTAGTCGCTCGCGCTCGGCGCGGGAAAGGAACTTGGGTTTACTCGCCGCCAAATCAGCTTCCCGTTTCTTTTTGAGAAGATCTTCCACGGAGAGAGGTTGTGTCTTCGGCTTCGTCGAGGCGCCCCATCCTTTCTTCTTGACGGCGGCCCCGTTGGCAGTGGGTGGAGGTGGCGGAGGGGCAAGATCTGACGGGGGAGGTGGAGGGGGTGCAAGTGTTGATGGAGGAGGTGGAGGAGTCTGTGGTCTTGATATAGGGTCAACAGGAGGCGCAGGGACGTCAATATCGTGGCCGTTCACCATTCCAGTCGCCATCGCGGCGATGGCTGTCAAGTTGGGTTCAGTGCGGGCTTGGTTTCGGTAAGAAATGATGACGGCACCGACCGACAATAGGAGATTAGACCGAATAGTATGATCTAAGGAAAACTTCGTGAGAGTTCGAGTGAGTAAATCGAGGAGGACGATGGCTGAATGCGCTGGTATGAGGCCGATCTTTTGTTCCTGGAATCGCAGTCTGGTAGATACATACTACACGAGTACTTGAAAAGAATATCTAGATCTATTCTACTTTTAGCCTGAGGTGATGCCGCTCTATCGAGGCCGTAGCAAACCACTTATGTGACGCTAATACGAGTACGCCATAGACAAACTGTCCCCGATAGCCTCATGCTCATCCAAGATCTGAAACTCTAGTATTGTTTCTCCATCTTTGCGTAATACGTGGTGGTACTCTTCGAGAATGTCTTGGTTGCTTCATCTAGTTGAATTCCCACCTTCTCCGCAGCTCCTGCACTTGGGAAGCCCGTGAAGACGACAATAACTTCGGCGTCTTCTCGCGAAGCTGCGACGGTAATGAAGTCGTAGCTTCCCTTGTCTACGACATGGATGGTCTCGTCAAGGGCCTTTGCGAAGTCGGCCTGTAATGGGACAGGAACATCCAAATACGAGATGCCGTACATTGCCGATTGAGGCGTCTTTGCCGAAGCTCCTGGCAGAATGAGATGGTGACTATGCGGTTCATTCGTCAGTATCATATACGATCCTTCTGGTCCTTACGGTTATAGGTATCGCAAATGGATCTTACCATGCCCATTTTGCATCCTCAGTGTTGATGAGCTGCCCAAACAGTGGCTTCACCGAGTTGAATTGTTCAGCTGGCATTCGGTGTCAGTTAACGAACCAACAACAATGAGACCAGCTGGGCTGACTTACTGTTTATAAACGCATCCTTATCCTCTGAAGATGTCCAGTCTGCCGCGAGGACGGCCTGGCGCTCGTCGCCTTCTCTGGTTCCGAGCGAGTTCTGGCGAGCCACGTCGAAGGTGCTGACCTTTTGCATTATGCCTCTAAAAACCTCGCGGAACTGGGAACATGTCAGCATGGGTGCTAAACCACACACACTACACGTTTCGGATTGTACATACTTGAGACTCGGGAATGTCGCTTTTTCGAAATGAGCATATCTCGAGAAGTCGACCGGGGCCGTCGGCGGTAGGGTAAACTATTGGCAAAGACATGTTCAGAGAGAATGGCTATGATGTTGGAACACTGATTTTTGATGGCTTGCAAGGCCACAAAGCCTTGATAACGTCCTGAGTGCCGACATCGACGCTGATTCTGGCGCTAGTAATCGAGTACAACTACAATTCGCCAGACATGAGGACCCAGCACTCTGTATGGAGTATTGTAGACTTAGTGAACGGTGTGAATGGAGTACCTCGAAGTGGACTCAACACCACTTCGGAGTGTCGGTTCGGCTTTGGTAGGTAGTGTAAAAAACGTCTCCAGTGACAACAACTCTACAAGCCATTGCAAAAAAAGAAAAGGAAAAGAAATTTCCCCCAGAAACAAAAATTTGAAGGTTCGAAGCCCCGACCGTCTGCCAACGGTCAACGCTCCTAATACTTATCCCGACTATGACCATGCACAAATCTCAACTCCATTAGAGGAACGTATTACTCCGTAATACTTGTAGAGATGCTACAGTAGTCATGGAAAGCAGCCGACTCCCAGTTTAATCCCACTAAGCTGGTTTCCAAGGATAAGCCCACCTCCAAACCACTGGTAACAAAGTCACATTGCGACGTGGTGAGTCTTACTAGTTGGGCCATCAAGGCGATCAATGTTGAGGGGAATTTCACCGGATTAAATATATGTAGGGTGTAAATAACGAGACATTCACTTGATACCTACCTAGGTAAGGAGGGTTCACATTCACTACAGTCATGAGACATCGAGGGAAAAGCCCAGGGATGATAGCAGGCAGCAAGAATGAATCTCTCCATATTGACGAATAGAGCGACTACGGGCCACTGTCGATGGCCTTACACTCGCGCACGATGTGATGTTGTCCTAAGTAATGCAGCATCTTCATCGGTAGGAATTTCCGTCCTACTTCTTCCCTTCGAGCCATCGACCGCGGCGGCCGGTGTCTGCTTCAAGGACCTTGTCCTAGAGGTGGTGCGCATTTCTCAACCTCACTCACCACCGCTGCGTCCGCCTTGCCGTGTCCCATGACCCCCTGTTCGGCCTCCCGTTCTCGCTCTACCATGATAATCTGTTGGAATCTACGCGGGGCGACCTTGTTGTTGTAGAGATGATCAATCTAGTATCGGATCAGCTGTGGTTCGAAGCCACGTGGCAGAGAAAGACTTACCTCCTCAAAACTGAGGCCCCTGGTTTCTGGGACAAGAAAGAAGAAGGCGATACTCAGAGGAACACCCAGACCAAAGAAAACAAAGCCGACTTTGGCACCTAGATTTCCGGCGTCGGGGTTGATCATGTAGGGGACAACGAAACCAATCAGCCATCCACTTCTTGAACGTTAGCTTTCAGCGTCCGGGGGGAAGGGAAGGGGGAGGGGGGTTGTTGCTACGAAAGACTTACGTTGCACCTTGGCTAAAACCAACCAAAGACATCGTTGCTGGACGCAATCTTGGTGTCGGGACTTCTGAAGCGAGGGCGAATCCCACTGCACCCACAGTCATCTGGTAGATGATAGCCCAGAGGAAGATGCTGACAAGGATGACCCAGATGGCGCCTGAGGCACTAACACAGCCCATGATTCCCATAAGCTGTGAGCGCATTAGCACAAGGTCGTAGCCACCAGGGGCATGCGTAGACGCTTACCAATTCCGTCAGGGTGAGACCAATGATTCCGTACACGAGAAGCTTTCGCCGACCAACATACTCAATCACGAAGAAAGCCGAGATGTTGGACAGCAACATAATGACGTACAACACGACCGACACGGTGAAGAAGTGGGACACGTTGATAAGTTCCATGAAATAGGTGATGTACCCCAGAACGAAGGCTGATCCGATCAATTGTTGGGCACCAGACATCAAACATGCGGTCAGAGTCCGTTTCTGGCGACAGAGTCAGTTGAATCTTGGAGTAATACTGCAAAGGCAACAACGATCGTGTTCAGCATGGGTTCTTACCAAATTCTTCCCCTTGAAACTTTGCAATATGGGAGGACCTAATTCTCCGGCCAGCTCTTGCATATGCCTCGTGGTATTGACCATTTCCTGCAGTCGGACCATCTCAGCCTCGATCAATCTCTGATCGGAACTGCCGTGGATTTTGTTGAGCGATCTACGGGCTTTCTCAGGTTCACTTTTGTTCAGGAAGTAGAATGGCGAGTCTGGAAAAAATGGATAGCCGGCCAACAAGACGATGCAGAAGGCGAATTGCAGGATGATCATGATCTCGTAGGACCACTTATCGGTTCTCTTTGCACAAAAGTTGGCAGCCAATGCGAGAAGGAATTGCCCAAAGACAATAGATCCGTTGATGATACAGAGAAAAGTTCCTCTGACCTCGGGCCGGCACACTTCTCCGATGAAAACAGGCGTGACCAGGAAGACAATACCAAACCCGATGGCTGTAAGTTGGAGTCAGCACTGAATAATGGCGACCTGGGCGCTAGATAACTCACCATTGACAAGTCGGCCGACCATAAATCCTCGCCAGGTCTGAACTCCGATCTGGACCGCAACACCGGCCGCCGTAAGTACTGCTCCAATGCCCAAGGTGTGTTTTCTTCCGACCCAGTCGAGCAGGTATCCTGAGATGAAGATACCTACGATATCACCGACAGTAGACACGCCTGTCCATCCAGATTGAATGGGGGCTCGGATAAGATAACCTCCCGCTACACTAGGATATGGTTCACCATATTGTTTCTTGAACGGGCCAAAAGCCGTGAGAGTGCCAGAAAGTCCAAAGTCGAAACCTGCGCCCAGTCAGTCGCGTTCATTTCTCTAAGAGGGCAAAGGACATTGAGTTCTTCTTACCCAACATCATCGACCCAATCGATGTGAAGATAGCCCAGGCGGCGAAGCCCCTCTGCTGATTCAGGATGGTCCATTTCAGCTTGGGCTGGATCTTCTCCCACTCAATCTGCACAGGCATAATTGTATTTGTTGGTAGGTTCAAGGGATTCAGCAGGGTGTCTAGGATGATGGAGTAGGTAGTGGGAGAGAGAGAACACGGGTTCTGCTTCGATAAGGGCACACCGGGGAGTCTTTAAATCCACGAGTGGTTCTAGTCCCCTGTGCAGGAGACCCAACCGTCGTGCTCGCTTATCGAATACCCTCGAGATGTTGGGTCGCCATATTGTTCGGGCTCAATCCCCGCAAGGCCCTGGCGTAAAGGAGGTAGGGAGAAAAGTCTGGGGGGCGCTGTCTTCCTGGAGGGATGGGCATTCTCCAGGTTTGGGCGGACGGGGGGTTCTAAGTGAGGTTAGGGAAAAAATGAGTGGGTGGCCCAGACTTTGCTGCGACGTTCTCGATTCAGACACGGTTCGGCGTTCGGTTCATATCCGAACCGACGTTCCGCTAAATAATCCACACTCCCTCCTTCTCTTCCTCCGCCTCCTGCAGTCTGCGTTGCCTCGTTCGTTCTGGTGAGCCTCGAAACCACCATGGAGGCCAGATCTACATCTCAGCCTAACGAGAATGCTGCTGTGACAGCAGACTCCAACCCTAGGAAGCGAGCATACCCCTCTGACGATCGCCCTCCACGTGCTCCTGGCTCGATCAACTACCCCAAGAAGCGGGTTTCTGTCGCTTGCGAGCTATGTCGGTCGCGGAAGACCCGTTGCGATGCAAAAAGACCCTCCTGTTCGTTCTGTTGGCAAATGGGCATTGAGTGCAATTACAGAAGAACCGTGGTCACGAATCCCCCCGCCCCAAGGTGCGTCTCCATCTGGAATCCGGCTCTGCAATGCTGCACAGTGCGTATCGACCAATACTAAGCCAGGCCCAGGGTCTCCGCCAGCTATGAACCTCAAAATGAGAACGTCAACAACGACCACTGGCAGACTGTCATTGCACGCCTGGACCGCATCGAAACTCTCCTGGAGAAAAGTAGCAGCCAGTGGGTTGGACTTCTCGGGGTAGAGAGCCCTGCTGACCCTAGTATACCGCCTCTGGATTTGGCCACTCCTCTTTCAGCCAGTCATGTCCCAGCCGGCAGGGTAAGACATGGCCACCAACAGAACGGATCGTCGCTGGTCGGTTTGACGCTGTCAGGTTTATCCCGGCTCGTCGGCCAGCAATGTCCTCCGCCACTATACCCGCTGGCTGACGACGATGACGATGAGGCATTCCTGGAGCGTCAAGCATCTCCGGGCGAGGGTCTCTGTCGGAATAGCCACCTGACCATTTCTGACCTGTCAGTCTCGACGAGGTCGTTCTGGCGACTGCAGAACTCGTTCGCCCGCGACGTGCTGCCGTGGTGCCCACTCTTTGACCAAAAGTATTGCGTTGACATCACCACTCGAATCTACGAAGGGCAATTCCCAGACAAGAGTCTAGAAACCTGCTTGACGCTCTTCGTCCTCGCATTAGGAGCCCTTACACGGTCCGAGCATCTTACCGACGATGTCCAAGTCACCGCCGGCATCCCGGGCCTCGACTATTTCCAGGTGGCGTCGAATATTCTCGGCTGCGATCGGTCGTCGAGATACGGCATTCTTTCGATCCAATGTCGGATCCTAATGGGGTATGTGCGGCGGCCCTTCCTGCAAAAGGGGAGACGGAGACTCCCTTGTGCATTGGTTTCTTTGGCAATAATGTGCTAAAACTAAATGTCATCCCAGATTATACTGCCTGTACTGTCTACGTCCCGTGCAGGCATTCGATGCCATCCACGAGGCCTCCCTAGGTGTCCTAGCACTGGTCCAATGCAAGAGACGGCTGGAGGCCGATACCGAGCTCCAACGCATGTCCCACCGCGCCTACTGGGCCTGCTTCTTGCTCGAGCACGAACTCCAGGCCTACGTGTCGTACAGCGCGTGCCTCTTGCAGTCGCACCACGACTTTGTGCCGTTGCCGCTCAGCGACCATGACGAGCTGGGCATGTACTGGTTTTTGGCCGAGGTGGCGTTCCGGCGCATCCTGTCCAACCCGCACGCGGGCATCGGCTGGAATGCCAACACGCTCCACGCCCCCGTCGTGGTCGAGGAGATCATCTCACAGATCGGTCTGTGGTACTCACACCTGCCGAACCAAGTAAAATTCCCTCTAGGTTTGTCCCCCATCCTGGACCCGCACAAGAGCTTCCTCCGCGGTCAGTACTACTCCATCAACTGCGTCTTGAGCTGGTCGCACGTGGTTCGCATCCTCACGAGCCAGGCCCACGACGAGCAGGAGAGGCAAAGAGATCTGCAGGCCGCCAGGCGGTCATTGGAATTTTCGGTCCTGGCCATCTTCTCGGTGGAATCGCTGGTGCAGGAGCGACATTTGTTACTCTTGGCCAACTTATTCGGGTAAGTCTGACAAGGATAAGACATTACGCAGTAACGTGTTTTGCCCATTTGCCCCTTTTGACCGTTCACCGTTTCACTGTCTGCCGTTTTTTGTTCGTATACTCTTTTTTGTTCTTTTGCCTCATCCCACATACAAGATCACGATCCGCTGAGATACAATATACGACTTAGGCTCTATACGCAGGTCATGCTCCTTTTGTGCACCTACAACGAACCCGCACTAGCGGCAATCCAGCAACCGTCACAGCTCGAAGCCATCAGAAAGGGCCGCAGCTTGCTCGCCATATGGAGCACGAGTGCCGAAATCGCGAGCTACGTCGACAAGATTGACACCACCATGACGGCCAAGGGGATCCCTGTCTACGACGAAGAACGTACTCATGACAGTATCAGCCCGAGTCTAACGACGCATCCAGGTCTGATCCGCACGGGGTCGACATCTCACGGCAGCCATGGGCCAGGTTCGACGGCGGCGGCGGCGGCGGCGGGATGGTATTCCAATCAACAATGAACAATGTACTGTGCAAAACTCGTAGGATGAAACGTCCACACTCGTAGGATGAAATACACGAGAATCGTCTACAGTTTTTACATTTGAGGAGTGTCTCATATTCTCGCAGAAGATCTCACAGAAGAATTTGTTTTCATTCTCCTATCCAATAGAACAGTTTTGCCTTTCTAGGTACTTTGTCACTGATCAGAGGCTATTCTATTCTAAATTCTTAGCGGTGACATGGCCAAAGTTCGTCAACTACAAAACCCTCGATAGTATACAGAGTACTGGCCCTGTAGTTTCTGTGGGCTTAGATTTTGCCTCTTTGCTCCGGGACTATCTCCATCTTCAGTGTCACAATTCCCAATCTCCCAAGAACCTGACCTTGACCGGCCTTCCTCTCAACCCCTTGACGAGGACCTTGACTTCCTGGCCCGGCATCAAGTCCAACATGTTGTCATCCCAAAGGGGCTCCGGCTCGGACTCGTCTTCGGTGCCATCGTACTCGGGTTCCAGCCAGACCCCCTTGACCGGGCGGTTCGCCACGACGGTGACGGCGTCTTCGAACCGCACCTCCTCGTCTTCCCGCACCGTTCCGCTCTTCTTTTTTGTCTTGTCACTACCATCCGCCGAGACCACCTTTTCCACCGACGCCGTCACCTTGGTGTCGGCAGGCCATTGGAGGTATCGGAACGGTTCGGGCCAGTTGACCATCCTCGCCAGCGTCCTTTTCGTCGCCGGGTCGACCAGCCTGGCCTCGAAGACGATCAGGCCCTCCTCGGTCCAAGCGTCTTGGGGCCCCACGGTCCCGAGCTCGGTGTTGTACCCGGCCGTCAAGGTGACTTTGCGACGGGCGTCGGGTCCGGCGTCCGTCCACTCGCCTCCAAATAGATCGTAGGCTTTCACTTCCAGCACGGCCTCGACCGCCTCGGTGGTGGTGTTGTGCGCAAAGATTTCAAACGTCGGTCGGTACGAATCGAGCGGGTGGTCCTCGTCGACCCAGCGACTCCTGGGGGTCCGTTCGACGCCGACGCTCAAGGGCGCGAACTCGCGGCGGATGGTGTAAAAGGCCGGCTTGGGCCGCATGTAGTAATCGACGTACGCCCAGCTGTTGCAAGGGTAGATGTCGTTGAACTGCCAGATGACGGCGCCGGCGCACTCTTCCCGGCCGGGACCGTTGAACAGGCGCTTCCAGTCGCGCAGGGCGTAGCCGTACGCCTCGCTCTGCAGGAGCTGCGAGCAGTAGGCAAAGTTCTCGAGGCTCTTTGAGTCGTAGCGGAAGTTCTCGGCCAGGTACCGGGCGATGCGGGTCTCGGCGCCGGCGCCCTTGTTGTGGCAATCGACGACGCGCGACTGGGGGTGGCGGTCTTGGGGGTTACCGCTTGACGGCGGCGCAAACGAATCCGTCGTGCGGTTAACGGGGAAGCCGTGCATGCCGAACTCGGACACGAAGCGGCCCGCGAGCTTCTTGTAGTCCTGGTAGGGTTTCCCTTCGTGCCAGACGGCCCACTGGTGGATGTCGCCTCCCGTGGTGTCGTTGGCGGCCTTGCCGCCCCAGGGTGACGAAGGCCAGTACTGGATCTCGGGCGCGAGGCGCTGAGAGATCTCCGGGAGGAGCTGGAGGTAGATCTTGCGCTGGGGGAAGGCCGTGTCTTCGAACGGGCCCGTGAGGTCGGAGAAGTCGTAGTCGACGCCGAACATGTCGTTGAGGAAAAAGTCTTCGTTGCCGCCGCAGATGAGGGCTAGCGAGGCCCGGTTACGCAGTCGGACCGTCTGGGCCTCGACCTCGGCCCTGACGCTGTCCAGGAACTCTTTGTGGATGGGGTAGTCGCCGCACGCGAAGGCCCAGTCATGCCAGACGAGCATGCCGAACTCGTCGCACGCGTCGAAGAATTCTTCCGTCTCATAGATGCCTCCGCCCCAGACGCGGATCATGTTGAGGTTGCTGTACCTTGCCAGCCGCATCCAGTCATCGTATCGCTCTCTGGTCATGGTGGGTTGGAGGTTGTCCGCGGGGATCCAGTTGCCTCCTTGGCAGAAGATGTTGCGGCCGTTGACGTTGAACATGAATGTCTTGCCGTCTGCGCCGGTCAAGGGTCGCTGAATGAGTTTGATCGTGCGAATTCCGAACCTCGAGGCAATCTCGTCGATGGGCGATGAGGAGGACGAGCGGTCCATAAGCTCCACCTTGGCCGTGTAGAGATGCTGAGGTCCCTGGCCGTTGGGCCACCAGAGTCGGGGGGATGTCACTGTAAGTTTTTTGGTGGCTTTTCCTGACCTGTCCAAAGAGATCTCGGAGCATGCGACTTTCGATCCGTCTTTTTCGAGGACTGTGATCTTCGTGGTCTTTGAAGCAGCGGCTTTCGATCCTTGAACCTCGATTGTGACCATTGCAGAAGAGTGATCCTTTGCTAGATCAGAGAACACGTGGATGTTATCAAGCCTCGCCGTGTATACCTCCAGATACACAGGCAGCCAAGGACCTGCCGTGAGAATCTTTGGGCCCCAATCCCAACCCCAATGGCACTATCATCATCAATCAGACAAGTGATGCAAATGTATTCTCGGTGGCTCTAACCTGGACTTTTCGGAGATGCATCCGCCTCTTGTCTCTCATCCAGCTAGTCCTTGCACCATACTTGGCCTCCAATGCATTGGCGATTTTGATGGCGCTATCGAAGATAATGGAAAGCTCGTTCTCTTGTCCTTCGGGCTTCAAGCAGTCCATGACCTTGACTCGTTGAGGAATAAACATATTCTGCGACTTCAAAATCTCCTTGCCATTCAGCTTGATGGTTGCATAGGTATCGAGGCCTTCAAAGACCAATTCGACGACTTCCTGGGATTGTGGCGTGGGGAAAGTAGTCAAATACTCCCAGTCCACCTCTCCAGCCCATTGCATGAGCCGCTCATTGAGACCTATATTGGGATCTGGGATCAACTTGTTGTCCAGGAGTTCCATTTGAATGACGGACGGAAATCTCTTGACTGGATTCCATTGCTTAATCGACGAGGCTGCCTCCGGGATCGAAACCCCGTTGGAATTGGCAAGGCGCCACTTCCAACCTGTGCTGAGGTATTGGCGTTGTTTCGCGGACATGATTCGAGTTTCAGCTGTAACCGCTGGCCGCAAAACTCTGATTATGCTAATCAAAGTACAACGATCTTGCAAGAAAAACAAGGAACAGCAGGAAGGTGAAGGAAATGCTTTTTAGAACCCACGTGAGATCTTAATTGCCATTGTCGGTCTTTGGCATCTTTGGCCAAAATTGGTGATCAACCGGCCAACTAACGCGGACTTACATTTTTGGCCTCCGGACTACCAAAAGCGATCATGTCCGTATGATCTCGACAGCTTCCTACACTTACATGTGTGTCCTCCAAAGCCATTGGAGACGACATGGTCGGTGTTGTGTCCAAAGTCTCCGCAAAGAGCCTTCAGAACGAGGAGTCGGATATCGGTTCATTACCGACAGTAGGGGGAAACCCTGGAATTGGATGGAGCTGACCTTTTGCTTGTCTCGGGGGTGCGGGTATCCCATCTCAGGTTCACAATGGCGTAAGATTATCAGACCGAGTCCTGGAAACGAAATAGTCAGGAACAAGCAGGTCGAATCAGTACGCAGGAGGCACTCCGTACGAGCTGATGACCCAGGACGGTGGTACTAAGTGAAGATGGTGGCATCCGCGAACGAAGTTGCCTACAGTACAAGAGTGTTTCGCTCGGCCAACTTTCCATATCGCAATTTTCTCAGTGTTAAGTCTTAACGACCCTAGAACAGTGCTAGCACGTTATATAGCGGCATTTAGCTAGAGAAACTTGCTGCTCTATATCCCAACAAAACTCCTTCTCTCATGGGCTTGGGGGCATGGACCTATACCAAATCTCTCATACAGCAATATAGTCCATCATTTCGGCTGCGCCTTTCTTTCGAGGCACATCTTTCACAGTTTCACAGCCTTGACAGCTCCCTTCTGCTCGCCCGACTCCAAGAGACCTTGCAGGACAATCAGGTCCCCGAGAGCTTGCTGGGGACTTTGTCGTGGGTCAGGGGTTCCCGACACGATGCTTGCGGCGAAAGCCTCAACCTCGGACTTGACTCCGGCACCAAAGGCAAAGGACTCCTCTTCTTCTACTTTCTTTCCGTCCGCGTCCTTTCGCACCACCTTGACCGACACAGGGGTGACGGTCACTGAACCTTTGTTGGTGGCGGCGAATATCTCAAAGCCTCCCTTGAACTCGGTGCCAAAGGACACGTTGAAAGAGCCGCTGCGTCCACTCGTTGTGCGAAGAATGCCGTGAACGGTGTCGACAGGGGCAAGTTTGGGTTCCAAAAGCGCCGTGTAGGCTGCCAGCGAACTGATGTCCTCTCCGACCGCGCTGAGAAGGTGTCTCACTCCCGCGACGAAGTGAACACCTCCATCCAACAAGAAACCTCCCTGATACTCTGGAGTTTTGCGCCTTCGAAAACGGTCAGTAAAAATCGGATGTAGCGGTGTACCAGATGCCCCCCGGGCGTCCGGCAAGCTCAAACCTACCACTCTGTCTGGTAGAACTTGTCGTTCTCGTCGACCAGAGCAAACAGATTCATGCTGAATGTGGTCACTTGACCACCAATCTCCTTTAATTTCGAATGGCCACAAACGACTGGACAGATGAAGCGGAAATTCTCTCCGATTGCCCAGATGGACTTGATCGAAGACGCTTCACGCCACCTGATCAGTTCTTCTGCTGTTGCTACATCTTTGGCGATGGGCTTCTCGCTGAGAACATGCTTTCCAGCTTTCATCGCTTTCCGAATGAGTTCTGGTTGAGCAAGAATCGGGACACAGATGATCACCGCATCGATGTCCGAGCGCTTCAGTAAGTCGTCAACCGACTTGCCAGCAGCACTGGGCGAATCATAGTAGATGTCGGCATTGCTTTCACTCTGGGCGGCCAGAGCTTCAGCAGACTTTGAAGACCTTGAGTACACTGCTTTTAGTTCTACCACGCTGAGTGAGTTGATTGCTGGAATATATTCTTTACAGGAAATCGTGTTAGTCGTTTGCACAATTTTCAGATAAGATTTCTTGAGGACTACTTGCCTTCGCGGGCGAAGATTCCAGCCCCCAGAATGGCTAATGAAACAGGCATGATATTCTCGGCAGTAGTCGAAAGGGTGTTTTTGAATAGTGCATTAATTCGAATGCTGAGATTCCGAGTGTCTTCGGTCAAGTCGTCAAATGATGATCTTGAAATATCTTTGTCTCTCTCTCCCTCTCGCGCCGAGTCTTTCGATATGCTAGGCCGACTCCACTCTCAGTCCAGGTCCTGGACAAATTTCCTGACCCCATACAGATGATGGACGGTCAGATTCCGTTTCAACCGAGCCTGCTGAGTCGTCAAATGCACTGTCGGCGGGTTCTCGTGCCATCGCTGACGCCCCATGGGGCGACCCTGAATCTGATGATTTCTCCACTGATCGGATGTCCGGTTCGGTTCGGCTTCGAATCAACAACCTCCTCCGTTACAGTATTTAGTGGGTTCTACTTGGATTCTCCTGGGATTTCCCCATTCTATCGGAGTTGCACCGACCGGCATCGCAATTGTTCCTCTTGGGCAGCGCGGAGGGGAAAGTTGCAATCATGAACGTTTGCTCGGTGGAAAGAAAGGATATACCGCTCCGAATGAACGATCACTACACCGAACGCACCGTGGTCTGAGGTCCAAGGGTGAGATTGATAAAGCATCCACACAGCTCTAACACTTCTTGCCCTTGCTTTGAATTCAACAAGTTCCTCTTCAGACATTGTCCTCTATCTAACAAGCAAGATGCCTTCGGCAAAGATTCCTCTCGAGCACCAAGATGTGGTTGTTGTACCGCTTTCCGACGAGGAAAGGATCTCGGGGAACTTGACGCCTCCCAACATCGGCAAAGCCATCGCGGCAATGCACCGCGATGGCATCGTCGTCCTCGAAAACGCCGTCGATGTTGAACATGTAGATACGCTGAACAGAATGCTTTCAGAGGAGGCGAAGATCATGGCAACCCTTCCAACCACGCACTTTAACGACGTAAGTCTGGAAAGGACCTGCATGTCATGCCCTGGCAGCACGAAAAGCCCAACTGATGACCCCCCCCCTTTTCTAGTTTTCCACCGATGGAAGGAAAACTGGCAACATGTCACAAGGACCACCGCTGTCGCCTGACCTGATGTACGAGGACATATGGGCAAACTCTCCGGCAGAGCAAGTGCTGTCGTACATCCTGGGACCGAAACCTTGTGTCAACTATGTCAACGGCAACACCGCCCTGGGTGGATTCAACGCGCGACAACATGTCCACGCCGATCTCACCTTCAACCATGGAACGTTTCCCTTTGCAATAGTGACCAATTTCTATCTCAGTGACGTTTCCCCCGCCAATGGAAGTACCGAGCTCTGGGTGGCGACTCATCGTGGTACCACTTTTGCCGACCACCGCAACTGTGGTATCGAATATCCTCCCGGGACACCCGCCGAAAACATGGATTTCGGCATCAGGCACGAACTCTTGGAAGAACGAAGACGAACGGCGCCTCCGATCCAACCTGTCGTGAAGAAGGGGTCAGTCGTCCTTCGTGATCTTCGCCTGTGGCACGCAGGCTTGTCGAACCCGGCGGTTGACCCTCGGATAATGCTTGCGTTTGTCCACACCCCTGCGGTATGTTTTTTTCTCCCTGGTGTATCCAGGCAAACAACATCGATGTGTGTAGCTAATTCGTGTTTTCAGTGGTACGAATGCCCGGCCAAGGTCGTCCTGCCTGAAGCTGCTCGAGCAAACGTCGAGGCTTGGGCGACGAGGGAAAACAGCCCAGTTGAATACAAAGCACATTTTGTACCGGCTGACCTGGATCACACCAAGGTCAAGTTCAACCCCAATTTCAGCAGCAACAACAAGGGTTATCTTTCGATGCTCCCTGCTCTACCCGAGGGGTTCGTCCTCAGTGATGATAGCATCGGTGCGACTAGATAAAAATGGCTTGGGTCGGATTTCAGATCTATGAGACTGGATCTGAGACAGCATGTAATGTACGAAGTATGTGGGCGAAGTTGTCACCTCGATATGTTGGCGTTTTGGTAGTCTTCTCTCACAGCAAAATCGAGTACTGGTATTACCATTATTCTGTGAAAAACAAACAAACAAACAAACAAACAAACAGGGTTGCTGAGTATCATAATTACGTCCACGCCCACGGAAAGAGGGTCACATTGAGGGATCCTCCTCCGTATGTGGACGAAGATAGGGCAAAGACAACCTCGAAACCTCCTTCGAGTTTGTATGACCTCCATGATTGGCTGTGTACCTACCTAGGTGATGTGTTGGACGATAATGATGATGGGTCACAAGTTGGGGGGTTAATGAAAGCGAAGTTATTCATATTCGGGTAAAGGACTGCAAGGTAGAGGTTACTTATTTTAGACTACCCGGTGGACTTTAAATAGTATTGTATCAGGTACTTCTGTACCTAGGTATTTACTTCTCGGTAAACACGGCGCAGAGCTTTGTTCTCCAGAGAGTTGCCTTGTCGGCTATATGCTCCCCAAGAAAACCAACCTCACTCTCCTTACTACTCTCTCTGAGTGATGCAGTCAATCCTGAAACTGGAAATCATACAGACATCACCTGTAGTGTTCATTTAGTCATGGCAAAAATCTCAAAATTTCAAGATATGGCTTCATCAATCATCACCCTGTGTCCGTCTGTGTCTCCGTCTGTGTCTCCGTCTGTGTCTCCGTCTGTGTCTCCGTCTGTGTCTCCGTCTGTGTCTCCGTCTGTGTCTCCGTCTCCGTCTCTGTCTCTTGTTCAACTCCCCAATTCTCTCCCCTCCTTCAGACCCATCATCATCCGTCACTTGTTGTTTTTCGGTATCTTGTGTCCGTCATACGTGGAGTAACCCCCCGAGTACAACCCACTGGTTCCCCCTGCGGTCAAGGATCCCGCGTTCTGGTTCCCCGCGACCCCAGGAGTGTTGGCCGCGAATTTGTCCAATTCCGCCCTGTCCATGCCCGTGTACTTTTGTATGTCCTCCTCCGTGATCTTGGATGACCCGTCTGGGTTGCGACCGTTTTTGTAATTCTTGAACGCCTTCCACTTGTCGCCCAAGATACCCATGGTGGCTGACTTGTTTGTGATGTTATCTGTTTTTAATTATTGGGTGTTGTGTATACTGCGTATGTGAGAGTCAATCAAGATGTTTTGGTTGTTTCAGTTGCAGAGTGTGAGTTTTCGTGTTGACTGTACACGTCTCTCTTTTGTTCTTGCAGATACCGGCTCCTCAGAGGTTATATGGTCTATATATATATAGATCTACTCCGTACCATACCTGTACTTTAGTTACCTAGGTTTGCACAAGTATGTATTGTGCAAGCGAAGGCGACGTCCTTGCGTCCACTCACATGACCGCATTTTGTTCTGCCTCGGTTTAAAAATAGCACCGATAAACTTTCCACTAGTACAATATAGTATTAGTGCCACAAATCCCTGGACCCTTTTTTTCCTTCTAGAACTACTCAGTACTCCCGTCCTATTTATTTCATTCCATCCGACCAACTTTGTCACTGCCAACAATGCCCACACTATTCCTCTTATGATGTCGGCGCAACAGTCAAGTTTCGATCTTCGCCGCTTAATTACGCGACCTTGGAAGAACTGAACCTCGGAGGAAAGGAAAATACGAATACGTGGTTTCCCTGTCCTCCGTACAGTGTCCGTCCTCCGAGGGCCCAATGGATACCTACCTAGGTTGGTAGGGTATTCAACCTCCGATTACTCATCATTTGCTCTATGGACTTTGAGGATACAGCCTTTCATCACCACCTAATAGGTACGGATCTGGTAGTACAGCCAAGAAACCACTTACAGTATATTCACGGTCCCTTCTGTTTGTGGGCTCTGCCACTTCACATGTCTGTTCCTCTTTTTGTCACGGGGAATTCCTACTCCGTAAATGCCGTGGTGAGGGGGGGGATTATTAACAGTTATGTCCTAAGTCCATGGAGAAAACCTCGCTGTCGTTTGTACACATTTTTGCTTTTTTGAGGCCTCCCGTCAACTCAAGTCAAGCCAAGCGGTAAGTACGACAAGCTCAAGGATGAAGAGGATGCCCGAGCTGCACAAAAAGTTCTCTAAGGGGTACGGATATAAGGTGGGTTTATACACAAGGAAGTGCCGATGTCCACGTGTGTGCGCGTTGTGCATCTTCTGGCCGTGTTTATTACCAGTAGGTACAAAAGGGCTGAGCCAGGCCAAGATCTCTAAGAGACGTACACGCAACTCTCTGATCTCTCCGAGTATATATCTCTACTTGTCACCTCCATTGACCTTCGCTGGTTTTCTTCATACAACATCTGGCCTACAGGACCCCTGTCTCCTTCGTCCCAACCTTTTGATCACATCTCGAGATCCCTCTCGTTTTGCAGTTTTCCGGCACTCGTACGACTGACCACCTTACTTTTTCACAATGTCTTCGAAATCCAACACGCCAATCTCAATCTACAGAGACCTATCCCAGGGAGCCGTCCTCTCGATCAAAGTCTACATCTCGCCCGCCGACGAGCCGCGGTTCTGGGAACTCTTCAAGCCCGCCTACGACGCCGTCGTCGCGGAGCCGGAATGCCGCTTTTTCGTCGTCAGCAAACCGTCCCCGCAACCCGAAGAGAACGTGACGTGTCTGTCTTGGGTCGAGGGCTGGACGAAACCCGCCCAGTGGCTGCAGGACGTGCAGCTGCGCAAACCGTACTACCAGCCTTACCTCTCCGAGTCGGAGAAGATGTACGTGAAGGAACGTGTAATTGAACTGACGAGCGCGGTGGAGGGAATGTGTGATTTCAAACTGCCCGAGACGAGTGCATGATGGATGATCTAGATACACAGCAAAGATTGGGAAGACTCTAAATGACGCAGATAACGTTTCAAATTTGTCCAGAGTACGGATGGAATGTTCATCTGAAATAAAAAAAGGCCAAGGCTATGGAAGACTTGACTAGGCTGGTCCCTCCCCGTATTTTCTTTCCTTAAAGTCCGAGTTGTTAGTTCCCAAGGGAGTCGTGACAGTCTCCTAGTGTGCTGAATGTCTTCTGTAGGTCCATCATCAACTTTCGGGAGGGTGTCACCGCTAGGGCCTTCCGCACACGCATAGGCATACTCGTCTTACTCGTATACGTTCCCCCAGCATGACCTTGACTCGATAAATAGTCACCTACATCGGAACCAGCGCGATAAATGTTGCCGTATGGAGTTGAAGATATTCTCTTTTATGAATATCTGATTGGAGGCGGCTGGATTGATAAGGGGTTAGCGAGGACATAAGCTGACTCATCTTTGAATATCACTGACCTGTCCATTGGCAAATGCACCAGCCTTGGTTGGGTCAATCGCGGTTTGGACCCTCGATGATTTCTGTACTGACAAAGGCCCATTGATTTCCCGGTCGAGGTTCATATACTCTTTGGCGGCGTCTTTCGTGCCTCGGTCAAGAAGATATTTCATGTATATTGCCACCAGCTCCTGCACGGTCGCTTCAGGCAAAGTGCCCTTGGTCATGATTTCATCGACAACTTGCTTGATTTGGTCTTGTTGAATCTGCTCAGAACCATCAATTGCAGGTTGATCGATTTCAAAGCGCAGATAAGCTGTCCAGAATTCTGGGCTTTGTTGGTAAAACTGCCGGTTCTTCTGGAACAGCTGTCGAGCTTCGTCAGTAGACCCTTTGAGCTTCCATAACGCCTTGGCCCATTCAGCAACCAGAGCTGCTTTTGCTGAGGTGTCAATCTGTGACTCAATCTGAGACTGGTAGACCGCAACTGCTGCATCCAGGCCTGAGTGGCGACGGGTGCAATTTGCCAACGAAACTATCGTTTCCACATGACCCGGGAGATTCACCAAGATTGCCTCATGAATGTCCTTGGCCACATCGACACGACCAGTCATTTCTTCAAAATAAGCATACTGGAGTCGGGTTTGAGGAAGGGCTATCGGAACAAAGAAGCATGATGCTCTCTGATAGATGTTCCGAACTTCCTCTTCCTTCCCTGGTTGACCCAACATCCACCTGGCATATCGCAACCAGAACTCATCGTGTTGAGCGCATGTGACCAAACATCGCTCATACAAGAACTGGGTGCGGGTGTAGTCGCCTTCACCCTCCTCGAAGTCGAGGTACTTGCGCCAATTGGTAACCTGGGCCTCATCCAGGTCGGTAACGTGGAAATATGGCCGCTTGATCTCAGACTCATAGGTCCATCTCTTCGTGGTTTCATTCTGTGTCCGTCGGAAGATTTCGAGATGGTAATTATCAATGCGCGATCGGAGCTCTCTTTCGACTTCGGCTGGGGATCGGCCAGCTTTGTACCCAGCACCTTCATTTTCAATATCCATCTGGAGTTGAGTCAGAGTACCAGGAGGAGCGATAGCAGTCAGCGGGCGAGACTGAGCCCACTGCCGATACTTCTCGAAGTATCGGGCGTACTGGTGCATGGGAATATGAATAATCCGACCCAAAATGGTGAATATTCGGTCTTGGGACTCCATTCGTTCCTCGAACTCGATATACTTGTCCCAGAATGGATGAGAAAGGAAGTCCAGACCAACGCATGCAGCACCTCGCTCAAAGAGCCTATTATTGGGGTGTTAGTATGAACGAATTGTGACGCCAGGGATCAGGAGAGGGAAACAGAGGGTGCAAACAGGTGTATGTACGTGACGTGATGATGATCCTTCAATCATTTTGCAGCAACAGGTGTAATTCCTTGTACGCAGAAAGAATGGGCACAAAAGGCCTCCTCGTATCGGGCAAATAGCAAATCAAAGCACCTGACTGACGACTTGTGAGAAGCAACTCCAGCAGGGAAATTTGGCTTATGACGATTCTCACCAATCTTTCGATGGCCATCGTCGTTTCATCCAATCCAGCTAATGGTTGTGTCGTGTGCTATGTTTAGGTCTTTCAACGAGAGGGGATGTGTCTCTTGTATACTTACTCTCGAATAATGTCGGCTTCGTGGCTGGTTTCGGTCTTGAAGGAGCAATAGTTCGTCCAAAGATCTACTGAGTTGGTGATGCTTGCGACGCCTCGTTCATAAACCTGTCACAATATGAGTACATCCTCTTTCATTCAACCAGATGCGTTCCATACCATTTCCGCTGCCTCGGTCCCAGCTATCGAGAACTCGAGGTCGGCATATTTCTTCCAGTACCCGAAGAACAAGGGGAATTTGGCGAGAAATCGGTCGTAGGTGCCCCGTACCGTCGTTATGGCCTGAGAGCTCGAGTTTCTGTTTATTCCCCCCTCTAACGCTTCGGCGGTCCGAACGAGTTTCTCCCAGATCTCGAAGTTGTCTGGATCGTCGTTCTGTAGGTTTGCAATTAGCGGAGTCTTGTCGCAGACTTCCTGAGGGCATCTCACCACTTCCGCCAGGAGCTTTCGCAACTCTGCGTTCTCCTCATCATTTCCACCATATACATCCATTTGGCCGCAGCCTGCACTTCGAGATATGCGGGCACCGGTAGGGAGAGAGGGCGGTTAATCTATCAGGCTAGAGCGGATTTGTGAAATCAGCCCGGCGGGAACACAGAGATTGAAGCCTAAAAAAATAAACCAGAGGAAGAAGTACGGAGTATGAGATGAGCTGGAGCTGAAATCGAGCAGGCTGGAAAAGCGATCCCAAAGATTTCCACGGCGCCAAGTCTGCAGAGCAAATCAGGTTGCGGCAGCGACTTGCACTGCATCTGCCTCAAGCAATCTTCAAGTCCCAACTCAAATTAACTTACTCATCACTCACTCACGATTACCTACGCGCAGCTGGGATACACTTCCCTTTTTTTCGAGTAGTTTTTACTACATTGAATCCATCATCTGTTGTTGTCTTGATTAGAACGATATTTTCTAGCCATGGCCGAGGCCGTGCGGGCAATGGCACCGTCCTCTTTGAAGCTGCCCAAGCGGTTACTCGACTTTTTCGCTCGATATCCTCCTGAACTGTATTCTGCCAGAGTGACTGGAGTGACGATACCTATCACCCGAAAGGCAGCCAAAGAGGCTGCGATCGCCCGGAATGCTGAGAGCTCAGCCGCAGCACCGGAGCAAACCAGTCAAACTGCGTCAGCAATCACCGTAACATCAGACGAACTGGCACCTCCTACACCTACACCTACACCTCAGTCCTCATCTACAGCAAATAGTCTCCCACCGAACCCATTCTTACCGAGAAAAAACTTTGTTACAGGAAAATGGGCGGGCGCGAAGATCGGACTCCGGCGGCAAGCAGAGCTAGTTAAGTTGGCAAAGGAATGTCAAATAGAAGAGTTGTTACCTCCCGGTCGCAAATCGACGGCATTCAAGCAGTCACGTTTACTCGAACGAGGCCTCGCTGTGAGAGGTACGGGTGTAGGCCAGAAGGTTAAGGGACATCAATGGGAACGACATGTTGGAGCCACTTTAGAGAAGAGGAGGACTGCCATGGAAAATATGCCAGAGCTCATCAACGAGTGGAAGAGGGTAAGTGTACACGATAGGTTCGATCAATCACCTTTGCTAATACTTTTGCGTACAGCGTGGCCATGGCAGGGGCTGGAAGAAATACCCGAAATAAGATCGCGGTTTTACAAGTGCGAAGGAACTGTTCAAGGTTCAATTTTGAACTTGTTAATATCTGTTCTCCGAAGATCTTTCTCCTACTGGCCTACTGGCGGAGTTCAAGCACACCAGACACAAAAGGCGGCATCTGCGCCGCCAAACAGGACATATTTGTCGTCCTGCAGAACCTCGTGATCTCCTAAAAGGAAGGTGATCACTGTATATATGTTATAAATTCAGCCACCGTGGAAAGAATCGGATGGAGTGTCTCCATCGATGTGGTGTTGTACCATAGACCAATGATAGAGACGGTCGCAATAGAACTCAGCGGCTCTAGTGTATATTTTGAACTTGTAACATCATTTCGAAATGATGACGATCATTCTGTCAACAGTCAGATGGTCTTATACTCGCCACGTTTGTTCCATTTGCTGCCTTCGATGCCTCCATTGTGAACTGCATATGTGATCTCAGGTGCATGCGAGTCAAAGCGAGCGCAAGCCAGCAGGGTGGTAAGGTCTGACTCTGTGGCTATATCAATTTTCGGCAGTTTCTTTGCTTGACCAGAGTAATCCAAAGACATATGAGCAAGCATGCTCCCACTAACATCACAAACCCGCTGAAAAGCTGCAGTCCGAGATAGTTGCGTCCATGGTCACTGATGAGGGCGCCGGCAATCGGACTTCCGATCAGAGAGGCCGTGGCACCGATCGCTTGGGCCATTCCGAGACGAGCCCCCAGAACTTTCGGATCAGGACAAACGACCGGGAATATACTTGGTGGTAGCGGAATGAGAGCGCCACTGAATCCACCTGCAATAGGAATGAGTTCAAGGTTTTGGTAAATAGGCTACGCGAGGAACAGGTCGACATACCGTACAATGCTGCATAAGCAAAGAAGGAAGCAACATCATGGATCCCAGCCCAGGCCAGACACATGATGGCAGAGATCGTGCCACAAGTGAGCCAAGGAATCATGACGCCGATTCGAGAAGCAACGAAAGCTGCTAGAAGACGTCCAAAGATTGAAACAGCTTGAGCAACCACAATCGTGTAAAGTGACAAGGACCGAGACATACCCAGCTTGACCTGGCCGTAGCTGGGTATGTAGATGAACGGGACCATGTAGCCGAAGAAGAGCTAAGGCGGATCGGATCAGCCATCGTCACGTCACGTTTGAAGTTTTGGCAAATTTCATCGCGACTTACAAAGAAGCATGAGAAACTGTAGAGCCAGAAAGGCAGATCTTTGAAAGCTGCTTTGTCGAAAAGTTTTCGAGCAGTACCACTGCTGATATCGCCAGTATTACCGGCTCCCCATAGGAGCAGTGGAAATGCAATCAGGTATGACGCTACCATGATGAAACCCATTACCCTGACTGTCCAGCCAAAGCCGACCGAGTCGATCAAAGAGTCGAATATGATGGTGTAGATTATACCGCCTGGTCCATGATCAATCAGTGATGGCGAATGCTTGCAAACAGAACCAACGTACCAAATGGAGCACCACAAGTGACAATGCCCAATGCTATAGCACGACGCTTGGAAAATGAACGACTGGTCAGAGCGATGCCAGGGACGTACAAGACCCCCGTCCCTAGACCCAAACAGATGCCTTGTGCCAACATTATTTGGTAATATTTTGTTGCCAGACTCAACATCATAAGACCAAAAGATGACAAAGCGGCGCCCCCAAACAACATGGAACGGTAATAACCCAGGTCAAACAAAGGCCCAGAGATAACGCCAACCACTATCAAAAGATAGGTAGAAACGGTGCCAATCCAAGAAATCGTCGAAGCCGATTCACCCGGCAACATATTCAGAAGGTAATAACTTTGGAATATACCAAAAGCAAAGGTCGTACCCCTTTCGTCAACGTATCAGCTCCCGCTTGAACCAGAGCGTCGAGGCGACATACCAGGCATTGAAAAAAACCAGCCAACAACCGACCACCTGGAGCCAAGCTCTCAGACCTCCATCTGGAGGGTTCACCGGTGGTGGAGGTGGAGGAATAATGGCCTTTTCCTCATAGCCAAAGTCACTCGGGTTGCTCGAGTTGACTGGGAGAGTTTCGATACCGAGTTTTGAGACTTCGCTGTTTGGTTTTTCCATATCGAAGGAAGCTGGAGACGACGGAGCCCGAGGATCCGTAACGACTCTAATCACCCACCGCCAGGTTCAGCGCACTGTTCGGTCACCTATATATGAAGGACAGCGACGCAAGAAACAGGCCATTGAGAGTTTTGTAGTAGGTCTCTGTGTTGATATGGCCAAATTCTGGGGGATTTTGGGCGGGAAGAATTTGCTCCAAAGAAGGTATCAAATAAGCAACGGCAATTCAGCAGCAATCGGACTCGCACATTAGGCGACCTAGGGCGTGGAAAGATCTGTACGAATCCGCAATGGCAAACACCACATTCCGCCTTTCGTCAGGAAGGACTTCAGCGCCCCCTCTGTAGCAGTGCAGAAAAAAATACCGAGGCCTACTCGCAAGGGCCAGTAACAGAACAGGAACAGCCCAGGGACAGCATTATAAATCGGATCTACGGTGCCGTGAGTGGGGAAAAGCGAAGAGTTGATGGGGGAGAGTGACATTGTTGATCAAGAATGGCGTGCTGGCTAACCAGTAACCCGGCATTGCTCGCCTTCGCATGGAAAACGTTCCGGCATTCAAGACATCCGTTCGTTGTAACATTGTCGTAGTAGTTGATAAATAGGTTCATCAGGGCGTCCAGAAGTTGACTCATCTTGCAGTTGTCAATGTCGTCGTTGAAGTCCATCTCCATACGATACAATGGGGGGAGAAGCGGCTCCTTTGCGTTTCGGCAAAAATACCTTATGCGGGGAACATGGTCCTTAGCACTAGCACTGCTCCGTATACCGTACTCGTACTCGTACAACCCAAGTAGTTCACCGACCAAGGTACGGAATACCATGATGCCTCACATTTTCTTGAATCTTCGCAGCGACTATGTGAAAATCCTTAGTGCACAAGGTGATCGATCGTGTTCGAAACAAGAAGCGCACCACCCTAGATGGGTATGGAGTGCTGGTAGTCATGATCGTGATCACAGACCGACTGCCCTACCGATCCCGGGACTTCTCACTTCCAACACCTTCATGGTCTGCTCGAACACTTTAATTTGTGCCCGCTCTCCGACATCTTGCTCGACCCATTCTGCAACCTTTTGGTTTTCTCCATCACTCATAAAGTGTCCATGAGATGTTGGCCCGGCATTAGCCCCTAGGACGAGCGTCCGAGACCCGACCTCGGTTGATCGTGCAAACATCCAGCGCATTACGCTGTCAATGATCCTGGCGGGCAGACTCGCTTCTCGTGCAAATGAAGAATGGCTCATCCCAGGGTTGACCAAGTTGATCACTACTGGCACCATGGACGTTGTTTTATGGCCCCCGAGACGCTTGACCAATTCGCGGATGAAGAGAACCTCTAAAAGCTTACTGATACAGTACCTGTTCGTTACCATTTAGTTGACAACATCAGCATATGGGCTTCAGATCCACGTATGCCAAGAAAAGAAAGAAAAGATGTCTTCGTGTGGACAGCAAGACTCACCATTCGAAAGCATTAAACCCTTTCTCAGTATTGAGGGCTTGGTATATGTCTGGCTCGTTGATCTGTTTGAATCTGGTGAACCGCAGACCATCCGAACTGACTATCACCAAGTGTGGTGAAGCATGCTCATATTTGTCCTTGGTCGCGGTCAATGTCGGCAAGAGCAGCATCCCAAGTAAGAGAGTGTTGACAACGTTGACCTGAATACTCTGCTCGAACCCCTCGACCAGCGTCCACCTCTGGGCACCAACGCCGGCATTCTCGACCAATACATCAAGGCGCGGGAGTCCCTTCTTGACTCGGTGCGCAAATTCAAGCGTTGAAGTGGTGCTGTTTAGGTCCAAGGGCCACACCTCGATTGCGTCGGCATCAGATCGATGCTTGATGCTTTGGACGATGTCTTCCTTTGCCTTCTCCCCCTTGGAGACTGTTCTGACTGCGAGAATAAGCTTTGCGCAGTTTAGTCTGTAAAAGTGCCGTGCGGCTTCCAGCCCAAGGCCGACATTTGAGCCAGTAACCACGACTATCTGGCCTGCGAAGTTTTGAGTAGGATATGCCGGAGTTTGGAAGAATTGCGAGTAGAAGATCGTTCCGATCGTCTTTCCCAACTCTAGCTCTATATGGAACTCTTCAGACATGGGGAAATTGGTTTCTGGTGATTTCGAGAACTTGAAAAACTGGTATGATATATCTGTGTTTCATCTCAAGCCGTACTCCGCCGGTGGAATTCGAGTAGGGTTTTGCAATACGCGTAGTTATCAAGGGATGGTGGTCTGGGCTGAGTTCTGACGCTGTACAGAACGAGCACGAATCACAAGATACTCGTACAAGCACTGACTATTAGTATTCTAGTCTCTAGGCCACACACGGGCACTAGACCCTTGCGCAGATGATATGCGACTATATCTCTATTTTTCATCGATGGAACGGGAGAACTCACGCCCGGGTTTGAGCAGGTCCTTGTAACAGGCCGGAGGAAACGACCTCCATGGAGATAGATACTCAGATCGGGTCAATACTGACCATGAGAATCAATGTAATAATTGTCCGCCGGGGCCACAGGCATACGAGTCTCGCCGTCGCGGTCGAACTCATGTCAGTATGATGAGAATCGACTCTCACAGTATCCGGACCAACGCGGACGAAATACGAGTACTTGCGGCCATAAGGTTCAGAGTATGTGAAGGAGCTTTTGCTGTGGCCCGACAGTTAAGATTGCTCGATGCTGATCTTGAGCCCAGGTGAAGATGACTAACATCTACGCGATACTGAGTTGGTGTTGCAATGATACGTCGTTCTAGTGACTTGTCGACAGGGTGAGTTTGTTTGTGACCAGGCTGAAAAAGACGCGTTCGCCACGCTGTTTTAGCGATCACGGCGTACTCTGTACAGCAAAAGCAGATAAAACTTGGTGTAAAGTGGCAATGAAGTCTTGGTACCGTACTGTTACGAGTACCTTGTAGCTGACTCGCTTCGACGACAGTATTGGCCTAGAGATACAGATCTTGTCAAATGCACGCCATATCGTAGGACCTAGATCATCACACCCCCATGCGCACATGTTGTTTTGACATTCGATCTGTGACCTAAAGGCAAGCAAAGGGGAGATGAGGAAGGGATGTTCCACGCTCTCATTCGAACTCATCACATTACCTCGCGCAAAAAGGTTGCCAGTCTCAAGACCGCAGCAAAGACTCACCAATGCTTCGCGCTTTTGCGATCAGGAGGCGTGCCGGGGGTGATGTACGTCCAGGGTCGTGAACGGACAGCCGTGCAGAAATGGGTCGACACGGTCCACGACTTACGGTACAAAGATTATCAGCTGGTCGCACCGGTGAAGGCTCTAGCTGAGTGTCAGGACAAGCCGCCCCAGATAACGGACGACGATAGTCCCGCAGGAACCTTGGTCGAAGTCGATTCGGTCAAGGAAATGGCAGCACAGATGGAAGTAAGAGGGTTACTGAGTTGGTGGCGTGTTGCAATGGGCTTTGCCCGTGAATGAAATTCATCCCGAGGAACTTGATCAACCTCTGGCGCCTTCTAGACCAAGGTGGTTCGCTGTTGGGATGTCCTGATGCATGCATTATCTATCAATTGTCGCACGGCCAGACCGAGCCATCCATTAGGCATCCATCTGATGCCACATGCAGATGTATCATCGCCACCTATATTACAGTGGCAAGGCACCATCGCCCACCGCAGGCCAGGTCAAGCTATGCGCCCGATAGAACCACGACCAGTGATAGGATGTTTTACAATTTCTGGTATTCCAGCTTGCCCTCAAGTTTCTTGGACTCGGCCACCTTCCTGACTGCCTTGTTGAAGTCATCCTGGTTGACAGCATCGCGGTAATCTTTGATAGCAAACAGGCCAGCCTCGGTCACAACATTTCTCAGATCAGCACCGTTGAGTCCATCACTCATCTTGACGACACTTTCAAAATCGATGTTGCCTTCCGTTACCACTCCGGCAGCGTGGATCTTGAGGATTTCCAATCGGCCCACCTCGTTGGGTAGAGGGATCTCGATCTTTCGATCCAATCTACCTGCTCGGAGCAAAGCTGGATCGAGAGTATCGGGACGGTTGGTGGCCATGATAATCTTGGTCTTCCCGAGATAGTCGAAGCCGTCCAATTGGTTCAGCAGCTCCATAAGGGTTCGCTGGATCTCTCGATCGGCGGAAGTTCCTTCACTGAAACGACGACCTCCAATGGCATCGATCTCGTCCATGAAAATAATGCACGGTTCGTGTTCTTTCGCATAGCCGAACATCTCTCGAATCAATCGAGCCGACTCGCCAATGTACTTGTCGACAATTGCAGATGATACCACTGCACGAACGTCAGCCTGGCCCGAACATGAGAGCAGAGTCGATCTTACCCTTCAAGAAATTAGTGTCTAGACTGCTTGCCACTGCTCTTGCTAATAACGTCTTTCCCGTTCCTGGTGGACCATAGAGTAGGACACCCTTCGGAGGCTTGATACCGACCCGCAAAAAGAGCTCGGGGTTCTTCAGCGGTAGTTCAATGACTTCTCGTAGTTCTCGTATCTGTTCATTAAGACCACCAATACCGGCGAATGATACCTGACCGGGATCTTCTAATGACATGTTGTAGACTAGAGGGTCGACTTCTCGAGGAAGCATGCGCATGATGGTAAGGGTTGTCATGTCCAGGGCCACTCGTGTGCCTTGCTTCAGCTTGGCTTTGTCGACCTTGGACCGACAACCGACGACATATCGGGGCCCTGACGATGCTTTGACGATGACTGCAACCGATGAGTATCAGAGACAAAATAGGTGTGGGCAAACATACATCTCTCTTCGTCCAGTTGTTTTAGCACTTCTCCAATGATTTGACCGACACTTTGTAAGGCTTTGATGTTTTCCTCTGTAGTTTCGAAATCTTTTTGGAGACCCTTGATGTCCATCCGCAGTGCTTTCAGTTTTGATTCCCATTCTCTTGACTGTAGTAACTTTTCCTTGTATTGTTGCAGGGCCTGTTGCCTCTCCGGATCTCCACCCCCGTCCATTGTGTGATTCGCAAAGGGGCAACGACAGTGATAGGAGGTTAAGTCCTTTCTGAACAGAGGATATATCGAGGAGGAGGAGAATTCGGAAGAGTTGGTGGAGTGTTCGGGATGGTTTGCGACGATAGGAATGTGGTGGATGTCAAATAAGTCAATCTGGACACTGATGTTGATGATGAAGCTTGCCGCAGGTACCAAAGGCTACGCGGCGAGGCCAGCAGAAGCGCCGCAAGGCTGGAGACCATGCCAGATCACGTGGGTCCCCCCAGCGAAATGCCGCCGGGCTTGAGGCTGCTACTACGGAGTACGAGGACCAATAGTGACGAGCGAGGGGCAACCAGAGCTCTCGGCGATCATTTTTCTGTCCCGCGCCTGGTCTCTCCCCTACCAAAAAGCCATCGTACAGTACTGTTGAGGGCGCTTTCAGCAATGTGATGCTCTTTACTCACATGCCCCACCAAGACAACAAAAAGTTGACTTGCTTTTCACTTCTCTCAGATTCACATCTTCCTTATTCCTCTTCAGTTACTCTGCCACAGATCAAGTGTACTGTAACCTACCTATCTTCCTCACTTCACTAAGCAAAGACTGCTGACCTATATTTCTCATCAGACCACTTGAAGTATTCAGTAAGTGACCCCCAATGGAGTACTAGCTGCCCAACCCAAATGCCAGCTACCTGCGCTTCCGTTTCTTATTTCACTCTGGCCCTCTGCACCTCCTTACCCTCTTCTTTTTTGCACTCTTTCCTTCAGCGGCTCTCATAAGTCATTCGTACCTTTATTGCAATTGTTTGCAATCAAAGTTCTGACAAAAATTGAAACACTGCAGCCATGCCGATTGTCAAGATCCACGCTCGTTCCGTCTACGACTCCCGGGGCAACCCGACAGTCGAGGTTGACGTTGTCACCGAGACCGGCCTCCACCGCGCCATTGTTCCTTCCGGTGCCTCTACTGGTCAACACGAAGCCTGCGAACTTCGAGACGGTGACAAGTCAAAATGGGGTGGAAAGGGTGTTCTCAAGGCTGTCGAGAACGTCAACTCCATCATTGGCCCAAAGCTCATTGAGAAGAACATTGACTGCGCCGACCAGTCTGCCGTGGACAAATTCTTGATCGAGCTTGACGGAACGGAGAACAAGACTAATCTGGGAGCAAATGCCATTCTAGGTGTCAGTCTTGCTGTTGCAAAGGCTGGCGCTGCCCAGAAGGGTGTCCCGCTCTATGCACATGTCTCCGATCTTGCAGGTACCAAGAAGCCATACGTGCTTCCGGTTCCCTTCATGAACGTTCTCAACGGTGGTTCCCACGCTGGTGGTCGTCTTGCATTCCAGGAATTCATGATCGTGCCTGAGTAAGTCCTGAACCTTGTATTTTTTGAGACTTCTCCTGATGAGCAATGCAGTCAAGCACCTACATTCTCCGAAGGTCTGCGATGGGGTGCAGAGGTCTACCAGAAGCTGAAGACTCTTGCCAAGAAGAAGTACGGACAATCTGCTGGCAACGTCGGCGACGAGGGCGGTGTCGCTCCTGACATTCAAACCCCCGAAGAGGCTCTGGACCTGATCACTGCTGCCATTGAGGAGGCTGGATACAAGGGCAAGATGAACATCGCCATGGATGTTGCTTCCAGCGAGTTCTACAAGGAGGATGAGAAGAAGTACGACCTGGACTTCAAGAACCCAGACAGCGACAAGAGCAAGTGGATCACTTACGAGCAATTGGCCGACATGTACAAGTCCCTGGCAACTAAGTATCCTATTGTGTCTATCGAAGATCCTTTCGCTGAGGATGACTGGGAGGCATGGAGCTACTTCTTCAAGACCTCCGACTTCCAGATTGTTGGGTAAGTAATCCTCCTGAACGAGTTGTGGAGACTTCTGCTGATCTGACTATTTAGTGACGACTTGACTGTGACTAATCCCAAGCGCATAAAGAGAGCCATCGAGTCCAAGGCTTGCAACGCCCTTCTCCTCAAGGTCAACCAAATTGGTACCCTCACAGAGTCCATTCAGGCGGCCAAGGACTCCTACGCTGCTGGCTGGGGTGTGATGGTCTCTCACCGTTCTGGTGAGACAGAAGATGTCACAATTGCCGACATTGTCGTTGGTATCCGAGCCGGCGAGATCAAGACTGGTGCACCAGCACGTTCTGAGCGTCTAGCCAAGCTCAACCAAATTCTTCGCATCGAGGAAGAACTCGGTTCCAATGCCATCTACGCTGGTACCAACTTCCGCAAATCTGTCACCTTGTAAACAAGGCTTGCAGAGTTGTTGCGCACCAGGCACAGCTGGGCAAAAGTTCGTTTTGATAGTCTATTCTAGGAAGCGCAAAAGGACACAGTTCGTTATGCGACAGTGGTAGCATTGGAGATTATGAATACAATGAAGTCACGGAGAGGGTTGAAATATGAGTCTCTAAACGTAAACGTACCACGATTCCTTTAATCAACGGTGCCGACCTCAATCTACCTGGGTGTCTAGGTATCTACGAGTACCTAGGTAAGGCTGGTAAGTACGTGAGGTATTTTGTATTCGTAGATCTACGGAGTATTTCTCACACAATTGGTTACGTCAGTTCTTGGGCAAGGCACCGGTTTGGGCCGCTTGCGGCTTGGCGCATAGACGGCATTTTCGTAGATCGCCTCCTGCGAACACCAGAGATAAAATTAATTATCCATGATTCCGCCTACGTAAGGAATCTCTCTATTGTTCTCGCATACACTGTCGTCGACAGCGACTTCCTAACAATTACGCGACACTTCTTGTCATCAGACACATTCCTGTTGATTATTGTCAAACTACCATAACCTGCGCACAACGGATCATGGCTCCCTCAAAGTGGGGTGAGTAGTGAACATCCCTTTGTGGGGGATTCGCCTCCTTCCCAACTGCGGTGTTTATAGATGAATTGTGGCTAATGACCATTTTATAGACGAGGAATCCGAAGAATCATCATCTGAGGAGTCTGTAGACGTCCCTATCGCCGCCCGACGCAAGTTTGCAGATGAAGAAGATTCCGACGATGTAAATATTCCATTGCTCCGGCGCATGGCGAGAGACTAATAGATCGTAGGTCGCTGAAAACTGGGACGAAGAGGAAGACTCCGATGTCGAAAGAGAAAAGGCCGCAAAGGCTGCCGCAGCCAAGGCCAAGGCAGACGCTGAAGCCGCTGCTAACAAGAAGTCAAAATCTCAGCGAATAGAGGAGCACAGAGAAGCCAACCGACGGAAACGTCTCGAAGAGGATGGTGACGACAGTTCAGATGAAGACGAGGCGGACAGACGGGCACGTCTACGCCAGACGGAACAAGATGCCGACTTGAAGCATGCACAAGATCTTTTTGCGGACGTGGGCATGGGACCAAAGTCTCGCTCGGCTCCTAACAAGGCCCTAATAATCGAAGACAAAGAGAACCCTGGTCAGACGATTGATCTGTCCACCCTCTCCATGTTCAAGCCAGCGACCAAGGCACAATTTGACACTCTTTCAGCCACCCTGGTCCCTCTGCTCAAACAATCCTCCAACAAGCCACATTACCCCATCTGGATGTCGACTTTTGTAAAGCAAATCTGTGCCGACATGCCAAGTTCTGAGATCAAGAAAGCTGCCAGTGCCTTGACAGCGCTCAGCAACGAGAAGATGAAGGAGGAGAAAGCTCAAGAGAAGGGTGGCAAGAAGAGCAAAGCCGCAAAGACGAAATCCAGTCTTGCAGCAACCAGGGATGTGGGTAGAGGAGTTGCAGATGTTACGAGTTATGACGATGGCCTAGAGGAGGACGACTTCATGTGATGTGGGATATGATTCAAGTTTGGCCAATTTCTGCTTCTTTATTTTCGTTCAGGCCATTCATTGCAGGAGCTTGCTTGATTAATGTGACATAGCGTCCAAGAATAGACAGCTCGGCTTTCCATTCAAAGCATGAATAGATATACAACGAGAACGACATCTCTAGGTTTTGTTTGTAGCCCTATTTAGCACACTCCAGTATCTGGATACATGAGTTTTATTGACGACATTTTTCTGTCTTGTTGCGGTTGAGTCAATTCGGCTTCGTGCATGGAATATAAAATCTTTGTGCTTCGTGAGAACATAATTGTTATCGACTTTTGTGTTTTTTAACCGCTCATCTATGGCCGAGGTGAACCACACTTCAATTGTAATTATCAAGTTCCTCGATAACGTCGCACTACATTTACACTGTCAACCTTGTCGAGAGTAAGGGTTGGCCAAAGCCAACTCCAAATTTTGACGTGTAGTGGTCTCAATATCAGGATAGCAAACAAAGCCGAGGCTTTGGAACTTTTGCTTCAAACAAAGGACGATCCGGAGTTGGATTTCGACATGTCGGCCGATGCTGGTGTTGCTCTTGACAGAGACCGTCACGTCAAATACTGGAAACGATGTGCACAATTGCTACCAGAACAGTACACCGCAGGGGAGTCAAATCGTATGAGTTTCGGCTTCTTCATTGTGGCTGCCCTGGATCTTCTTGATGCCCTGGAGACCGCGACTACACCTGAAGAAAGGCAAAGTTGGATTGAATGGATCTACGCATGTCAGGTCCCTTTTACGGGGGGATTTCGAGGCTTCACAGGTACCAATCTGGGGGGCATGAGAACTCCGCACAACTGGCACTGGGACTCAGCGAGCCTACCCAACACATACTTCGCCCTGGCCACACTACTTATGCTCGGGGACGACATGAATAGGGTCAAGAGAAAAGAATGCATTGAGTGGGTGAGAAGTCTGCAAAGACAAAATGGCAGTTTTGGTGAAACTTTAGGCGAGGACGATGTCATTGAAGGCGGCGACGACCCGAGGCTGTGCATGTGCGCTCTGGGTACGTTGTGCATCTTGCAAGGTAGGGGACTGGATGGTGGCAGTGAGAGTCTGATAGATGCGACGAAGTTGAAAGAGTACATTTTGAATTGCCAGGTGAGCTCGATCGATCTGAGACCCTCGGTAGCAATCGAGATGCTGATAATCAATCTACCTCAGAGCCACGACGGCGGAATCGCTCAGCAGCCGTTGCTGGAGGCACATTGTACGTGTCCCATCTAGCCTCATGGCACCTGCAAAGATGAGCACTAGGCTAACATAGTGACAGCGGGTTTGAACTACTGTGGAATTGCGACACTATCTTTCCTTGGACTTTTACAAAATCCGCCCGTACCTGCCTACGAGGTTGCGGGCCAAACTGGACTCGATACAGAGGCATGTATAAAGTGGATGCTCGATCGGCAGACGACATGGGTAGAAGAAGAAGACGAGGATGAGGATGAGGACGAGGACGAAGAAGACGATGTTGCTCATAATTCTGCTGAGCAGCAGATCTCATCCTCTGTTGAGGCAGATCCATCGAGGCTACAGAAGACGATTGCCGGATTCTGCGGTAGATGTGGGAAGATGGCTGATACATGTTATTGCTTCTGGAATGCAGGAGCTTTGGCTGTAAGTGTGCGCTGTGGCAGTATCCCTTGCTATTGACTGATCCGCATAGATCCTACAACGACAGCACCTTGTTGACATCGAAGCCTTGAGATATTACCTTCTCGGAAAGGTTGCACATTTAATAGGAGGCTTTGCCAAAGCCCCTGGCGAACTCCCTGGTACGTTGGTGAGATTATGAGGGTAAAGTGGCTGCTGACGTGTTGGGTATCTAGACCTGTTGCATTCATATACAGGTCTAGCAGCTCTGGCCATTTACGGAGAGCCGGGCCTAAAGGCACTCGATCCTACCTTTTGTTTTAGTCGAAAATCAGTAGAAAAGCTCAAGGATGTCGCATGGCGATCGAGTTGACAGATGCGCAAGTGACGAGATGACTGCATTAAGTCAATGTATGTTATCCCTTGACGATTTTCGCCCTCGCCACAAGCCTAGGCGGTGTCCTGGTACCAGCGGCGAATATCAGGCCAAAGCACGGATGTAGCGACTACAAGAGTCGAACGGGGAGGGTCATTGAGTGAAAACATACGGAGTACGGAGTACAGAGTACGATAGTCTTCCTCATGAGGCTTCGGAATTCTAGGGTGATGAGGCCGTGCAAGGGTTGTGCCCCATTAGCCTTGATTCGCTCGGCGATCGCGCTCAGCCATGATGGCATCATCCACAGACCGCAGTGGCCAGATTCCGTCGGCGACATCATTAAAAATCACCTTGACACACCATCCGACGACGATCAGGATATGAACGTGATGCGTGTAGCTACGATGAAGCCTTCAAAAGTTTCATGACCAGCAAAGCGAAGTAGCCAAGCCATGGCTGAAACAACCAGCGAGTATGAAAAGCTGATGCAAAGACAATCAGGACAGAATAAAATTCACAGCTAACGGGATCCCAGGCAAAAGAATTGACTGCCGAGCGATCAAAGAAGGCTGAAGCCGTGGATTCTGGGGACAGAGACGCATCCGCCGCTGGCCACTGGTGGGAACTGGCAGTCAATCATCCCTGTCAGCCACCTATCTTGATAAGCACTAGCTATTCTTAGCGACCAAGCCATTCCCCGGAGCGATAATGACTTTTCTGCTTCTTCAGATCCTCTTGGGAGCACATGGCTACCTGTATCTACTGTAGGCAGCCCACGGCCCCTCAGACTCCTGGCCTTCACTCTTTCAAGACTCGGTCATACAAATGAACTCGTCACCATATACGGAGTACACCGTACATCTCACCTTCTTCTCACAGCTTGCTTGTTTGCACTGATCCTAATCACAATACCATACACGTACACATTCGAAGGGACGAACTAGACTGTCTGGAACACCTCGCACTGTCTGACGCCATCGCCAGCGACTCGTCACGATGCCGAAGAGAACGCTTTTTACCAACATCACACCTCTACCCCCACAAGTCTCGCGAGAAGTTGCGATAGCCATGCTTCATAATCACGATGAAATGATCGAACTCAATCCCCTGGTCATCGAACATCACCCCATAAAGACCCCGAGAGATGCCCCGGCCGATGAATTCCTTGATTGCGTCTGGCAAGAATTGACCGACTCTGTAAACCTAGGGGTAATGAAGTCGAAAGTCAGCTATAAGGCATGTTTCCATGACACACCATATGGACTTCAGACACACATCTATGCACCTACCGGGCTAGATATCAGGGAAAAGTGGTCAATAGGTGGCACGCTGCCTGGCGAGCCACCAGAAGCTAGAGAACTGGGTGTCGAAGTGCCGAGACAAGGATTATATCTGAGGGAAGACTGTGATATGCGATGCAATAGAATGCTCTCCGGGTTTGTTCGAAAGAACCTCGACAACGCCCACAAAGTGCTGGTTGAGCGCATTATGAAGAAAGCTGAGCGAGTCGAGGAACATGTGCAGAACAATGGCGGACCACCAGTGACGCCAGCCAGTCCAATGCACCAATTCCAGCCTGGCTCACACATGGCCAAGTCACAACTTCTCAGCACTCCAATTGACCGACCTTTGTCTCCGCAGATGCTCTCGCCTCAACAAGATCTCGGCTGGCAGGGAATGGCGAACCACCCCGCCTTCCGTACGGACGACAAGCGCATGAGCAGTTATGGCCCTCCGGCATACAATATACCACAAAACGGCATGGGCTACTATGCTCAGATACATCAGCCCCCACAAGGGGCCAAGTCATTTGTGGCCGAATTGCCTGGGTCGACCTATCATACGGCACACCTCGCACCGCCGAATGACTACAACCCTCGCGCCAACAATCGCATGTCCATGGTTTCGGAATTGTCAAGTTCGGACGCCACACAGAGGGGATCACCAAATCCGCAAGCCAACTCTGATCGGATGAGTACGATTTCAGACATGACGACCCAGTATCGGTATAGCACGCAGTATGGGCACAGCACTAGCCAGTCCGAATCGTCTGGACCTTCAGACCGCTACAGTATGCTCTCCGAGCTGCCCTCTCAGCACCAAGAGCAACCACTAGATACCAGGAGTGCGTCTCCATCGCGATGATACCATTGTAAGGAGCTGGCCGCGAACTGATCTGACGAAGCTAAGAGAAAATGTGTATGATATAGATGACAAGCGTATGTCTTTTTGAGCAAGGCGTTCTGGAAGACTGGGTTGTTTGGCAGTCAACGTATTAGTTTTTGAGCGAGAATTCCTTAATTTTTCAATGGAGATTTGAATCGAAAGTCCGATTGCTTGATCTTGTCTCGGTTCCCGAGTGTCGACAGTCGATAGATCTTGGAAACCGGACAATCAGACGAGGATGCAATTTGTGTGGTGGTGTTGGGCTGCGTATCATGCACAAATTTGTTCGTGTCCGTCGGTGGCAATACTTATATTAAAAATCAATGAAGAACCAGCCAGATGGCCAGAGATGATAAAGGTGCTCAACAATGCCTTGCACAATGTGATGATGAACGGATTCAGGCGACATACGGATACAATTCTGTGCATATCTACTTGTACTCCGTAAGAATCGGCCTATTTTATTGTGCTAAGTATCCTTAGGCCTCTCGCTAGACAGACAAATTTCCTCCACCACCCGCAAGCCTCCCGTCGTTCGACCATTGAGCAATTGCTCCGCGGACCCTTTGTGTAAAAGTACTACTGTACGTACTTCGTACTCGTACACATACCAGGACCCTGATCTGAAGACTGATCGTCCTCTGACTCGTTGTCTTGCGCCTCGTCATCTTTAATGCCATCTTAATGCCATCTCATTTTGCGGAGAAGGCATAGAGAAATTCCTCGTCGTCTATCTGTGGTCGCATGTCCTCCCTATCCATACCATCAAACTCCTTCTTCGCTTGCAAGTCTCGCGACCTCACCACTACTTTTCCCTCGCCGGGACGAAACGCGTTCCTCGCAAGGTTCACAGAAGGCCCTCCCACCCACATCCACATGTTACCCTCACCGGCAACCACCCGCATGAACTCGTCTGCGAAAGTATACTACTGTGCTGTCGCCTCAAGGGATGCAAGCCCCCAGGACTAGAGCAGAGCTGCAGCAACAGAAAGCAAAAGTACATACACACATCCACCCTATACCGCCCTCGAGAACAAGAAGAAGAGCCGGCACTGACTTAGATTGCGCGCCCAACAGCTTGCGAACTCGTATTCAGAACTGCTGGAGTGAGTGTTTCGCCGCAGCCTTGCATGTCCGGCTACTCAATTAACCGGCCATGCAGACAATTTGCGTCCAAAGAACTCAAAAACGTCGGGAATTACACTGTCGGGAAACTCATTGGCAAGGGTTCTTTTGGCAAAGTATACCTTGCCAGACACAACCTCATCAATGGCTCCAAGGTACGTTCTGACGAGTGATATACCACGGGGAGCGAGAACTATTTTTCTCATTGCGAGGTATATATAGGTCGTCCTCAAGGCGTCGAACAAGGAAGACGCAAACCTTGCGCGAGAGATCCATCATCACCGCCAATTCATCCACCCCCATATCGCGCGACTATACGAAGTTATAATAACAGAGACACACGTCTGGTTGGTTTTGGAATACTGTCCCGGTATGCTTTGCGCGCCCACATAAAGTAAAGGAACACTATCACTGAACATGTATGCCGATAGGTGACGAACTATACAATTATTTGTGCAGAAACGGGGCACTTCCGGTCGAGACTGTACAGAAGATCTTCACTCAGCTGGTCGGAGCCGTTGCATATATACATAGCAAATCTTGCGTCCATCGCGATCTGAAGCTGGAAAATGTTCTGCTGGACAAGCACGACAATGTCAAGTTGTGCGATTTCGGTTTCACCAGGGAATACGAGGGCAAGGCCAACTACCTGCAGACCTTTTGCGGAACGGTATGCTACAGTGCGCCGGAGATGCTGAAAGGTGAAAAGTACGCGGGTGAAAAGGTCGATGTCTGGAGTCTGGGTATCATTCTCTATGCACTCCTCAAAGGGGAACTTCCCTTCGACGAAGACGATGACGCAGCAACGAAGGCAAAAATATTGAAGGATGACCCAGTCTACCCGGACACATTTCCGGAAGCGGCGCAAACCCTGATATCGAAACTGCTGTCTAAGAGACCGCTGTACAGACCTACATTGTCAGATATCCTTGCGGATCCTTTCCTCGCTGAACATGCACCGGCGCAGCAGGCCATATTAAAACTGTCTCAACCCGCCGCCTTCACGACCCAGTTGGAAAAAGACACGCTGGAGCGAATGCGAGCTGCCGGTGTCGATATCGACAAGGTTATAGAGAATGTTCTTGCTCAGCGCTGTGACGGCTTATCCGGGTGGTGGTCGTTATTAATCGAGAAGGAGACGAGGAAGCAAGCACGACGAGAACGGAAGCGGAAAGAGAAAGAAGCGGAGATGAAACTGCTCAGGCGGCTCAGTGGTGCGAGTAGTCGTGTTGAGAGGATCGCACCGACGTTGGTGGAGGTTGACGAAGAAGGAACACATACAGGATCGCATGCAGAGACGCAGTCACGCCGCAGCAGTAGCCGAGGACGGACACAGCGGAGAAGTACACCTCAGATACTCGTCAGCGACTTACCACAGCTTCCAGAAGGTGATGTTGTACGCTCGGCGAATTCGGCCACACCACCGCCACCGATCGACAAGGATTCAATGCGCTCGCACAGTGGTTCGCGGCCTCCTCTCCCGCCGAAGGAACGCAGCCGACGGAGCAGTACTCTGCAGATGGTCTCGACAAACCCAGACCTGCTTGGACCTGGAAATGGAATCGCGAAAAGGCGTGGGGTTAAACTACGCAACCGGCAATTCCTGAACCAACTCACAGCCTTGAAACATTGGTTTGTCGAGTCTACGAAGAAGGCCAAGTCGCCGGTACGGCCCAGGGGAGATAAGTTTCTGAATGGCAATACTGCTCCGGGGATCGGGCAGAACTCCAAGAGTACATCCGCTCTCGACCGAACAAGCCGCAACTACGCTCCTCCGGTCTCTCGAAGGTCATCCTATGGCGCCGCTTTGACGCCTGTGGCATCGAACTCGAACTCTGGTCCTGTGATTGCCATCAAAACATCGGGTTCTCGTATCGACGCCGCGCGTGTCAGGTCTCACCGCAACTCACTTTCTCCTTCGCCGCTGACACCACGCTCTTCGTTCAATCGGCGCAGCTCCACCGGGCTCCGCGGCCGCAAGTCTACTTCGTCGTCGGTAAGTTCGATTCGGAGCATGCCTCGCCACGCAAGTCACAGCAAAGCATCAAGCCAGAGCAGCAACAGTCTGGACACGATCCACAGCCCTGGAACTCGCAGCGCCGCGAGGAGTCCGCACTCCTCCATCAAGGTACTGCCGAACACGCCGGTTGGGAGTGCATTCCCCAGCAACGTGCGCATCATCCGAACACCGAACGGACCGGAGGCGAGCCTACAACCGCGCCCGCTATCGGGAATACGTGATGAAGGATTACCTGGCACTCCGAATCATTTCGGAGGAGTCATGTTTGCAAAGAAGAAACGAAGTCCGTTCAAAGGGCCCATGTTGAACAGTTCACTCTTTGGTGCCGGCGTTCCTTCCAGTTTCGGTAGTCCCGCAATCGCGGGCTCCGGTATCCACCACCCCAGAAGTCGAGAAGGTAGTGATGGTAAGATGAACCTCGCTTTGGGATTTGGATTTACAGGTGCTGGTGCTGGTGCTGGTGCTGGTGCAGGAGGAGGACTAGGGAGACGATCCAGTAGTGGTCGTGGAAAGGGCGGGAGACGGAAAAGTCAAATTATTGAAGAGGAAGAGGAGGAAGAGGAAGAGGGGAGAGAAGTAGAAGAAGAAGGTGAACCATCAGACGAAGTTGAAGAGGTGGATGCGTTCCAAGCGGTCGAGTTGGGAAAAGGTGAGAGAGTACAGAGTATCACTATTTGGAACGACGGCGAAGATCAAGATGAAGTTGGAGATTTGGTGAGTGGATTGAAGAATTTCAACAAAGTCATGTGAAAAAAGAACATGTACGGAGTGAGGATTTCATGTATGGTTGCGACGACTGTCTGAAACCATTTCTGTTCAGGTGACTGTCAATACGGCATTTACACCGTTTCTGAAGATGTTGGATGTGATTGTTGTAATGAACCTTTCGAAGAGATGGGGACTATGCATCTACCTGGGTACGTCTTGAGTAGGTCTTGAGCACCTTTGGAGGACTTGCGAAAGACCTTGTATATAAACAAAACGATTTGATGAACAGTGATGTCGAGGGGCGTGTTGTGCTCTGGTATTTTTCCCCAAGATTGGTTTTGGTTTGGTTTGGTTCATATATGGTATATGTCCCAAGGGGAAAAATCATACTTGGTATATACCAAGGTATATATATAGTCGCTACCTCCAATTGAGCGTCAGACGTTCAATGTCTTTGTTCAGCACCTTCATAGAAACACTGGAAGCTCTGAATGTAAAAGATTCAAGCTCGATTCCACCTGCTTTCAAACCCTGCACGTCAAGTCGAGGGTCGTCTTTGCTTCTCTCTTTCGACTGCGTATTGAAGAACCATCGATCCGTGAATTGTCCAGCCTCGTCGCATGCCACTTCGCAACTTCCATGACAAGGACCCTTGGTGCCACCGAAATCGCAAAAGTGAGCTTGCAAATGTGAAGGCATTGGCCAAAGCCTGGGATCTGCCCATGTCATTTTTCCACTGCCCTGATTTCGGAAGCACCATGTCGGATGGCTGTGTCCAACGCATAGCCAGTCGTCAGGAAGTGGTCCCAATAAAATTTTCTCCAAACATCGCTCTCCCCGGAGAAAACAAGGTCCTACGACTTGGTAAGCGTCTTGATGGTCTACTACGGGCCGCAACACGATAGGCACACTTTACGCCAACCAGCCACGCCAATCATACCCCCATCTTACCTACAACAATTTAAAAGAGAGAGAACTCTTCGAGAGTATAAAAGTCAAGAAGCGAAAGATATCTTACCAACCTTGATAACTTACCAAACTCGTCGAGGGTCGTTGAATACTCGCGAGGTGACTGTTGTTCATCATTAGTAGTAATCGTATCAAAAATTAATGTATTTACTCGAGTCTATCGTGTTCACAATAACAACAGCCCTTGTTGAAGAGACACCAAATTTAATAGGGAGTTTTGTTGAGAAATCATAGCGGCGTCGCTCCCTTCCCTGAATGGAAGTGGCAAAGGATGAAGCACAGTTCCGGGCATCTATACATATATATATATACACTCCGTACCATCCTCGAACTGTCATCGGCCCCCACCACTTTTTCGCTAAATCTCATCGCTCATCGTTCTGCTTCTGCTCTGCGCCCCAATGACTTGACTATGTTTTTGGTCGAATCGCTCCCTCGTCCGCTCTCTTATCCTCCCTCGGTCTCCGCCGAACTGAAAGGGTGTGTCTAGCCGAAACACGCCCCCCCGGGGGTACCTTGGAAGTCCACGGACCATTGGTACTGATGACTAATGGGGTGTTGGCGAACCGACGAGGATTCGAGACAGGAGCCAATCTGGTCCGAGTGACCACTTGATATTTACCGATTAAAATACGGGCTCCTGGTTCACCGTCAAGTTCTACATCCCCTCGTAAGCGCCGTGCTAAACCGGACTACCAGACTTTGAACCCAAAGGTCTGACCGTCGGCAAGGGTGAAAAACGGCGTCCCCTTGGCGTCCGCGGTGCGTTTGTAGACATTGTTCCCCCACCAGTCCAGCGTGGCGCCGGGCAGGTCCAGGCAGAAGAAGATGACCAGTCCGGCCAGGGCCACGCCGACGTCCAACCCGGCGGACAGCACGTAGTTGTACTTGAGATACCAACCCAGGGCGCGTCGCTTGATGACGCCGTTGAAAAGGTAGCCCACGAGGGCCCACGAGGCGTAGTTTAGGCCGGTCGCCGGCGGGATGTTGACCGGCCCGGTGAACATGATCGGGACGTGGACCAGCCTCCAGTACGACGAGGGGTACTTATTCGCCATCAGGTACACCGGGATGGGCAGGAGGGCGCCGACGAGGAAAAAGTAGAGCACGGGGTGGTAGAGATGTCCCCGAGAGAAGAGCCGTTGCGGGCCAATGACGCCAAAGATGATCGAAGAGGAGAACTGGACCCTGGCCGACGGACACGTCAGGCCGAACCCCTGGTCCTCTTCGCAGAGGTCGTGGATGGACGTCAGCATCCAGCGTAACACGCCGCCCTGAACAATTGCAGACAAGACCGTGCCGTACGTCTGCGCCCAGAACAGAGTCCGGGGCGGTATCCTCATGTATTGGCCCAGCTTCAAGTCCCGTGAGAAGTGGAGGCCCTGGCTAGTCAGCATGTCGCCGAAAACCTTGACCATCATCATGGCAATCGGGCGACCCGGGAGCATGTAGCCACTGACGAATTCGGTGATGGTGTTCAACGCCACATGCTGGTTGGTGATTCCCATGATGATTCCCTGGGGTAAGAATGTTGCCGTGCCAAGGGAGACTGCAACGATGAACCCCCACCAGGGCAACCGAGTGTCGTACAGAGAAGTGGTGAGGATGCCCATGAGGAAAAAGGCCACCCCAATGCAAAGATACCACCAGTCTGGAGTCTGAGCATAATTCTCCCGGACCTGCCGCAGGTAACCGGGGGCAGCACCATACTGGGGGTCCTTGAATCGACGATATATGTCCTTCCCATGCCACAAAGCCGTGTGGACGAACATCGCCGTGACGGCCGCAAACGAGAGGCCAAAGAAGATGGTGTACGCGATGGGCATATAAAGCGGGGAATATTCCTTGTATGCTGCTTCATCGAGTTGAAAGTTGGAGGTGAGCACCCTGGTGACGTTGTAAGAGCTGCCGGTGTTGTCGAAGACGTTGGATGACAGCATTGGCATGTACTTTCCGAACCAGGTATTTGTGTAGTAGAGGATGGGCAGGATCAGCCAGAAAAAGAATACCACCGAACCCATCGTGTTGGCTTCCACATACCACGGCGTCAGCAATGGCGACAAGTTGTACGTGGTGATTTGCGACCAATCGAACGTGATGGGAATCATGCCGAGCCCTTGCTTGTAGCCAAACAGCTGGTTGACCACCACGTTGTCGGGTCGAATCCAGCAGATCCACGTGAAGGTGCTAAGGGCAGTGAACAAGTAGCCCGGGAGCCAGAACCAGGCGAAGGAGGCGAGGAAAGCGTAGAAGAAGAACCTGTACCTGGAGATGGTCCACCCACTGACAAAGTCGCCCGGACCTCTCTCACGATGGAGCGTCTGGAACAAGACTGCATTGGCCAGGGTCTGCGGCCAAGTGATGTAGGATGGATCGACCACCCAGCGACGCGTGAGCCCGGCAATTCCGTAGCCCACGCTCTGCGTCGACAGTATGGTGAGGAAAATATACCCATAGGACAAAGATTGCCCGTACCACTTGGCCTGAGCCACCAGAATGTTCGTTACATAGGCGTGGCTGCCAACGAGAGAGACCACGATTGTCACCAGGGCGTGCTCCTTCTTGTTCCACGGAGACGGGTTGAGGTTGAAATGCCAGCTCCCGCCGAGGCCAATGCGCCAGTCGGGGACCACTTGATCCCACAACAGTCCCAGGGGGTGAGTTACGAGCTGGGCGACGATCGAAGTCACAACGATCATTGGAAAACGTAGGGAAAAGAACATGTTGACTGCGCCGAACACAATGACGAACACGGTTGTGAGGACCCACATCCGCACAGTGTTGCAGGGAATGCTCGGGTCATCGTCTGCGGGAATGGAGCATAGCACTTCTGCAGGGATATGGCCAGACGTCTCTGGCGGTAATGGTACGTCAATGACAGTTGCTGCAGCGTCGACCTCGTCAATCATGTTCCCCGATGTCTCCTTTGCTTTTCGTTCGTCGTTGTCGTGCAGGTGGTTGCCTTGAGAAAGGATCTCAGGGTGGGAAGACATTTTGAGACGGTGGAGTACAGAAGAATAATGCTCTCTCAGCTGTGAGTGACCTGTGCAAGATCAGACCATCACTCTTTCCACCGTTGCTCGACGGTCACCGGGGAACATCGCATTTATAAAGGGAGGACGGCACGTCCAAGATGAGGCGGATGGAGATGGCCGGACGAGCAGATCGACCACTCCTTCATCCCGCGGGCAGCTCACCCCCTACGCAACAATCCTTATCTTTCAACTATTACGTTGTTCTTCGCGTGATCGATGATACAATACAGTAGCTGGGGAACTCTGATACAAGCTGATTGACTGAATGTGACGATGTTTTGGGGTTCGGAATGCCAAGCTTGGACGGAGTAGAAATATCTTCGGACTAAGAGCTCGGAATGAGAAAGATGATCTTCGGATTAAAATATCGGACTGAGAAATGAGTTTCGGATTACGAGGTCGGATTGAGAAATGGAACGAGATAAGGAGAAGATGGTCTGGTGAAGTCCTCGCTGACGGACCTGTCCGTATCAAAAGGCGGTTTCTGGCATTCCGTGTCTCTTGTAGCGGACATATCAAGAGATTTCTACTACGAAGCCCCGACATTAAATAGACGGCGAGCGCCATCTGAATCCTTCTCACCAGCTCCTGCCTTTTCGAGCTCCACTGGTTCTATCGACGAATGACAGCAGCGAGTGATTTGTCCAACGCCCCGACGTCAAGATGGATAAGGGATGGAAGCCAACAGTCGCCATAACAGTGGGATATATGACCGACCCACGTCCATACGCACTTGCCGTAGCCATGGCGGGCGGGGTTCCTCTCGTGGTATTTCCTGGCCAGAAAGACATCACCCTGGGCTCCGAAGTCGACAGTGTCGTTCTGGCCGGAGGGGCATCGGTCCATCCCGGGCGCTACGGGCAAGAATTCGACCCCAGTATCAAACGCAGCGTGGACGAGGCTCGGGACCGGCTGGAATTTTCCGTCCTCGAGATAGCACGGAGGCGCAACCTGCCTGTGTTGGGCATATGCCGGGGGTTGCAAGTCATCAACGTGTTCTTCGGCGGGACGCTCCATCAAAACCTGGCCGGGGCGAAGATGTGCATCGCCGGGGCCCATCGACCAGACGAGGCTCGTAATCATCTCGCCCACACGGTCACCCCGACCGAGGGAAGGCTGAAAGCCGTTCTGGGTGCGCACCCGATTCGTGTCAACAGCATCCATCGCCAAGGTGTGGCCATTTTGGGCGACGGACTCCACATCACGGCCAGGGCAGACGATGGAGTGGTGGAAGGAGTCGAAACTGGAGATGGCCAGATCGTGGCCGTCCAATGGCATCCGGAAGAACTTGTTGGGACCCATCCACACGCAGATGCGATATTCACTGATCTGATCGGTCGCGTCATGAGCAGTAAGCAGGCTTTCTGACCGTGGAAAGCGACAGGGCAGAGAAATGGACGCAGGGGTCTCTCGTGCGCTCAGACTTGACGATGCACGGAGTAAACATATGACATAATCATCGAACAAGGTGGATATTAACTGGTGGTGGTGGTGTCCAGGAGAACAACCAGATTGACTAGAGCGTTTCTAGTTAGCTCCGGAATAAAAATGACAGACCTCGGCTTCGATAAGGAGTATTTAATCCGTAGTAACACTACGGAGTATATATAATTTTGTTACGCTCACTCATTTTTTTGGATTTCCATAATAAGACGTAATATTTTCTGAAAGTACTATACGTAGGGTTTTTCTTTTTATTATTAGCTATTATGAGGCAAAGCTAAAGAGGGTAAATTGACACCTGTCTGGCTAATAGACTGGAAGGAGGTCCGCAATCCTGGAAGTCATGGGTGTTACATTTAAGAAGCATAGGTTCGCCAATGACCGGTGGCGGAATCCACATTGGTACGGTATCTCGCCCGGCCTTTGCGCCATCCTGACTCGCCCGGCGCTCGACCAGCTTTCTCGCTCCCAGCTATTGACGACGCCCAACCTTTTTTGTGCGGATCAGAACCTCTCAATAGCACTCCCCGGTCGTCTGTTGACTATCATTTTTCCATCGTCCCAACACCTCGCAGATGATCACTTCGCGTGAGTGACAAGCATGGAAACTAAGACGCGATACCATTCTTCCGCATCGCCCCAACAGCAACAGGCGCCCCTGTATCAATGTCGACCTTGTCCCTTCGCTGCCCTTGATACGAACCCCTCGCCCGGAAGAACCAGTCTGTGGTAATTATGATGGCGATGATGACATAGACAGCTGAAATGTAATTCATGGCTAGTATTGTCAGCGGAAGAGAACATGGTCGCCTCTGCTGAATATTCGGAGCAACTCACTGCTGGCTTCGGCTGGCATATAAGCTGGGAATGAGAAGATCACCACCGAGAACAGAGTCCAAAGTAGGAGGACCCAGTTTGCCACCAGGCCGGCGGTCCCGAACCAATACGGACCATGGGTGATGTTTTGCCGTCCTCTGAGCAGCAGACAGACCACTGGAATGCTGTAGCTGATATACAGCAAAGTAATGGTCGCTGTGATAACCCTGTGCATTTTCAGTAATGGCAACGTGGAGCAATCGAAAAATGATTAGGGCCGGCACACTTACGAACCAAGAGCTGCGCTGCTACCAAGGTATAGGAAGCCGACCAACGCGTCGATGGCACAGCTGGCGCTATGGGCGTTGATGGGTGCATCCAAATCGTGGTTGACCCTCTTCAGATACCTCGAGAATGGTAGTCCGTCATCTCGAGCGAAGCTCCAACAGAGGCGAGCTTGCCAGGTGTGACATGCAATCTGGCATCCAACAGCAGTCAGAACGATGAGGACCTCCAGACCAACGGCGCCAGCTTGATTGACAGCCTGTCTAAAGATTTCGATGATCGGCACTAAAGTGGGAGTGGCAGTCACTGTGCCCAGATCCGTTATACTAAACATCATCGCCACGCTGAACACCCAGGAGGTGACAAAGCCAATGCATACGGTGCCCATGATGGCCAGTGGAATGCGGCTTTCGGGGTGCCTTATTTCCTCGGCAAGATGGGTGGCACAGTCGATGGCAGCGAAGGGCCAACTAGTGTTGATCAGTCCCACGAGGAACGCCATCGCATTCGACTCCCATCCCGTGTTATTGATGAACTCGGCAAAGACGAATCTGGCGGGCTGAAAAGTGTGGGCACAAGCTGGCACGGTAATGATAATGATCAAAAAGCCACCCAGCGAGGCGTAGAACCCGGCCGTTGCGATTCTCGGTAGCGCCTTGCCCCAAAGGTTGAAGAAATAAAGTGCAAGATTCCAGATTTGGTATGTCACCACAACGTGCCATGGCTGGATGACACTGTCCTCGAGGTGTAAGTACTGCAAAACCTTGGTCAGAGGGAGTATTTGGCCACTTACAAATGAGGATGCGTAAGCTGCCATAAGCCCACGATGGCAGAACCCATGGCGAGGGAGATGGACGCTGAAGTGAAGATTGAGCCGCACCAGGCGGTCCACCCAGTCAAATAGCTGGCGATCGGAGCATATCGAGGCGATGCAATCTCTTTAGTCCAATAGTACTGGCCTCCCGCATTTGGGTAGGCACTGGATAACTCGGCAAGTGTCATACCAACAGCCACCGAGACCGCCGCCAGGAGTATTAGACCATAAATCAGGAGTACCGGTCCTCCAGAGTTGATGCCCGTGATCATGCCGGCGGAAATACCAAACCACGAATTGGTCAATGAGAATCCAACAGCAAGGAGAGACCACACGGAGAACTTGCGACGGAGGTCCTGCACGTAGCCCATCTCAGCCAAGCGCAGGGCATCGTGCTCAATCTCCGTCTCCTTTGGGTGTGAGGCCATGTCGCACCCGGCTGACGCTTGCGCCGAGATCGGCTCTTTCTCGACCATCTTGAAGTGCCACAGAACAGTATGGAAGACTTGAACACTTGAGGAGTGGGGAACAAGGAATTGAAGGAGAACCAGAAATACCGACGAGAAATGTGGTTGTTTAACATCGCGACCAGGACTCAGGTGAGAAACATATAGGTTATATGTGGCCAGTGCCTCACGAATCTATATCTCAAGTATCCGTCTTAGAGTCAGCCACCGCGGCACAGTTCGTCATATACAAGGCGTTAGTGAATTCAACAACCTGGGGCAAAAGGCATTACAATGGCTGTTTGCTTGCGCCCCACATTTTGCTCTCGTTTTGTGGAGATGCGCGATGCCTTTGGCTTGGCTGCTTTCTGGACGTAGTAGAGAGAGAATACCCGTCACAATTATCCGACACGAACCCCAGTATCCGACCGACGTTGTACGGATATCGTGGGAGCGATCTCCCGACGAGCAAATAGCTCGAGGTTCATATCCATTCACCTTAATCCTGAGCCACCTGATTAAATGTTAGGTCAAAAGCGTTGTTGTCCAAGAGGCCGCGAAAATCAGTGTTCATAGCGTAGAGTTCGTCGTCAGCGTCACCTAGCATGTTGAGAAAGGCCCAATCAATATTGGACGACTGATCGTCGTTTCGCAATATGCTTTCGGATGTCGGTAGTACTTCAAGAGTCGAAAAATTGCTGCTTCGGGGATCAGGAGATGCGTTCCCCGCCCCTTGAGTCTGTTCCGAAGCTAAGACAGCTCCCTGTATTGGTCGAGCGATACTGCTGACTGGGTTGGGCTCTAAACCTTGTCTTTCGCCGATTCCAAAGTCTTCGTGATAACAGTTAGCCATAGACAAGAGGCCCCTCAGATTATCCTCTGGGTGTATTATGGGACATGCAAACAGACCTTTCGTTAATCTTTCTTTGGATTTTCCTGCATGCTTCCAGTTGCTTCCTAGAATGGACAACCACTTGATGCACATTGTCAAACAGCGCGTGATCGTCCTCTCGTCTATCCGGCCTCGATTTACTTGCCTATAGTGGGACAAGGTGCTGGCAGTCGTAAAAATGGGAAAGATTAGATCGCAAGGGAATCTTTGCAAATTCTCGACGTGAATCTCGAGAATCTGACAGACTTTCTCTGCAGCCGAGAAGCTGACTTCGAGAGGCAGGGATTCGGTGGGAATAGACTGGGCTGGGAGCCACCCTTGTTCCTGCCAGTAGGAGTAAAAGGGGCGGTGGACCATGATCATAGTCGTCCACGTCCACTACAGATCGCCGTCAGAAATTTAAACAGACACCACGACTGATTTACGAAATTGAAGACTTACCACAGCATTTGTGACCAAGGATGGAGGACAGGCTTTCCTTCCTAATATGTCCACTTGCAGATCACTTCTAGGCGTGATGAGCAAGGCGTAGTAGTCGTTCAACTCTTGCCACAGCTCTGTTCGGAGCTGCTCGGCTGCTTGTAGGTTGCTTCGAATAGTCTCGCGACCCTCGCGCGAGTATATCTGGCGGGCCACTTTTTCCATTATTTTGGTGAGTTTTACAGTTGAATGAAAACCGGAAATCGCGTAAGACTTTGTTGTAGTCAAGGAGTTGGTGTTCGGCAGTCGGAAGTGGAGGAGTTGATACTCATCCGACTCGGTCACCAAAGGAAAATTGGCATTCGAATCTTCCGACCTCAGTAAGACCGGTTTCCCCAGCTCGCAAGCAATCATCTTATCCAGCACAAAGAGATTCCACCATAGCCGTGACGCGATCTGAGCAGAAGTCGAGTCTTCGTCAGCAGCCTTAGCTTTGTGTAAGTCTAGCTCAATGGCCATACCCGATGCGAGGCTACACAGCATGAATGCGTTCGATGACTCTGCGGACCCGTGCTGCTGGAGTGCTAATATCGCCAGAGCTTGGCAGTTCTCGACCGAAGGTCTCAGTAGATTGAGTGGGTGGAAGTCATTCGGTCGAGTTGCCGTTCCACTATTCGCATTGCGTTGGATGCTAAGCAATGCTGCTTCAAAGAAAAGTGATGGGGAGGGTGTTTCACACCCGGAAAGCATCTGGGACCCTGTGGTATCGAGTTTCAAGCAAGCCGCAATGGCATAAATGGCGTAAAGAACCGGTTGCGGCAGCAAGGTAGAGAGTGATTCGTTATGGCTGCAGTCGTACAATGGTTTGTAGATGATAGGCCAGACAGGATGAATAAACGAGAAGTAAGCATCCAAAAGACGGTTCGAAACATCCCAGCCCACAACAACATGGTCACCCGTTGCTGCATGGGAGCCTTGGGTCGGCGGCAACGTTGAAGCCCTCAGTGATAGCGGTGACCTATTTAGACTATCGCTGATATTGGCTTGAAAGGCCGTTGTCCCTGCGTCGTCGCCACCGTACGTTTGCTCGTGAGGCAACTGAGCTGAGTGCTCCAAGCCTGCATCGACGTCCGGGCTGCGCTCTTGCAACAGGGAATGCTGAGCATCGCGTTTCTGTCTACGCAGAGTCAGCAACGCACGTGGTGGCCTTGCAGTAGGCAAACTATCAGGCCTTGCGAGCTGAGCCTACAATTTATTTCTCTTAGAAAGCCCATAATCGCATTCTCTTCCGCTGATCTGACATTGCCGGCACACTGGGACTGCTCCATTACACTGTAGTCACAAAGGTCAGCGGCATCACGCCAAAAGGAGAACTACTTGGTGTTCTTGGAGTGACTCCCATACTTTCGTTTTTCGTTTGCTGCAAGGCAAACAGGCTTGCGAAGTTCGTTTGCGTGAGCGAGCGCTCGTCATGTGGAGGGGGGCCAAGGCCACCAAAGCGCCACTCAACAATTGACCCCGGTTTATCCAATTCACTGACTAAATGTAGATCTGCGTTACAGCATGGCTTGACCTCAAGAGTTGAAAGACGACCCGAATGGCGATGATGAAACTCGGCGTGTGGGAGAAGAGAAAAGACCGAGCAAGCCTACATCATGATAAAGGAATACGGGCGTTGAACAGATATCCGCTGGAATACCCGATGGGATACCCGATGAGGCTCCCACAAAATACCCGACAAAATACCCGCGCCCCGCTTTCGTTTCGTCTCTCTCCCGAAGGCATTCCAGCCAATGCAAGCTTACTGTGGCTTGCTCTCAGCCTACAGTACGCTGATCGGGGCCATCAATTAACATTAAAAGAGTAGCGAGGGAAATGTAACGAACTTGAACGAAATGACTCCCCTAGGCCAGTTCGGGCGGCACAAAAGACCGTTGGCATTATTTATTGCCAATGGAACCCAGACATAATCGACAGATGTTCAGTTGGTAAACCAACTCTCTCAATTCAACATCACTATGGCTTCCATGGACACGACAAGGCCAGCACACTGTTCTCGGGACGGCTGGGAATGGACGAAACAACAAGGCTTGAGGCAAGGAGTGCCTTCAATCGGCGTTATTCACCCACCGACGAGACTGCCCGCCACAACCGTCGTGTTCGACGTGATTGTTGCAGGCGCTGGATACACTGGCCTCACGGCGGCCAGGGATGCAGCACTCGCGGGTACGGGCTACATTTCCCATTGAATCTCAACGTCGATAGGTATTAACACGTTGGTCAGGTCTGAAAGTTCTCATCCTTGAGGCTCGGGACCGCATTGGTGGTCGCTCCTGGTCATCCAACATAGACGGCTACCCATTCGAAATGGGAGGAACCTGGGTACACTGGGGCCAACCCCATGTATGGCGAGAGATCTCGCGTTACAACATGAGAGACGAACTCGAAATCTCTCAGTCTTACGATGGGGGCGTCAACCACTTTACTTTGGCTTCGAGGGATGGTAACAAGTCCATGAGCCACCCTGAGGAGGTAAGTCTGGATGATATAAAACCAGGACTACATTTGCCTAATCTGTCGCGCACAGGATGCGCTTATGGAGTCCGCCTTGGACAAATTTGCAAACGTGGATGGCAACTCGGGTCGAGTAATCATGCCTTATCCACACAATGCCGGTTACAATCCGGAAGTGTGGAAATATGACAAATTGACGTGCAGAGACAGGATAGATCAGATCGCGGGCACTTTGACTGCGGATGAGCTGTGCGGCCTAGAAGGATATCTGCTCATGACCAGTGGAAGCACCATTGAAACCATGTCCTTCTTCGAATTTTTACACTGGTGGGCATTGTGCGGCCATACCTATCGAGGATGTTTCGAATATCTGATCAAATACAAGTTCCGCGGAGGTCAGTCCAGCTTCGCCCGCAAATTCTGGGACGAAGCTGTGAGCACTGGAAACCTCTCCTACGCCTTCAACACGCCAGCTGCGCAAATCATCGACCACGGCTTGGAGGTGGAGGTGGTCTCCAAGGGAGGCCAGATGTTTCGCGCTAGACGCCTGTTATCTGCGATACCTCTCAACGTTTTGGGCACCGTCGGTTTCACACCCGAGCTGGATGCCGAAAGGACTGCGGCCATCAAGATCGGCCACCTCAATCAGTGTGTCAAGGTTCACGCGGAGATCCTGAACAAGGAGTTGCGGACCTGGTCTGGAATTGATTACACGACATCTAAGCTAGTGTATGCATTTGGCGACGGGACAACTCCTGCAGGAAATACGCACATTGTCGCTTTTGGGGCCATGCGCAACCATCTACAGCCAGAGGAAGATATTCAAGAGACTCTAAAATCAGTCACAGCGTTGACATCCATGGACGTCGACAGACTTGTCTTCCATAACTGGCACAAGGACGAATACGCCAAAGGCGCATGGTTTTTCCCAGGGCGCGGGTTTATCTCTAGCTATCATACTGCTCTGCGAGCCCGCCATGGCTCCATCATCTTCGCGAACTCGGACTGGGCGGTGGGATGGAGGAGCTTCATAGATGGCGCCATCGAAGAAGGGACCAGGGCTGCATTGGAAGTCATTCAGGAATTGCGAAAGGGGAAGTCGAATCTCTAGGAGTGCCTGTTTACCAAACTCTCCGAAATGCCATTGCAGCCTACCTTGCGGCTGGGGATGAGAACAGCTGGGACTTTACAGCTCATTGAGACTTGTGTTTGACAAACTGTGCAAAAATCTAATCTTCAATCATACAAGTTCCCCAGGAGTGTCTCAATCAACTCATATCATTTCCTATTAATCAGCAAAGTAGCTGTCGAGAAGCCTTAGCGTTGACGGGTCAATTGTTTCCGCAGCAGAGCCATCAGCACCCAAAATCTGTCGACGTTCAAAGTCTGGGCTTTTTAAAGCTCCTAGAATGGAACAGCATTGATCATAGCAATCAACAAGAAGGGATCAAGTCAGCCAGAATCCATCCTTCCGAACCCCCATGGAAATGAATAGATGTAGTATATTGGTTCTATCGAAGTTTTGGCAGCTTGTCTTGAAATTTAACCTCACACTGGTGATTGGAGTGCTGCCCCCGGCGTGAAACTTTCGTCGCTTGAATTACTGAGCCTCTTCAGCAAGCCATTCTACCACGCGCCTCAACAACTCCAGCCCATCCTGTGCGTCGGCGCAGTGGTTCTTCATATGCTCGATCTCCGTTGGAGTCAGGTTCTCGATGTACGTCGTGTCATCGTCGTCCAGAATCTTCCTCGAGAAGACCCCGTCGATTTCCGGATGTGCCTGGAAGGAGAGGATTGTATTGGAACGGGAAACCAGGACTTCGTTGTTTTCGGCCAGTTGAATGAAATTGGGAGGAGCACTTTCGACCTCTCGCACATGGAATTGAGATGCTGCCTGGTTGTTTCCGTCAGTACGGTTGCAAAGTGGAGCATCTCGCACGGCCATACTCACATAGCTGGCTTTACTGGCCAACCTGGGAAAGAAGTTGCAACCTTCTTTCGTCAAGTTGATCCTAACAAGACCGGCCTGGTGATCCGGCAGTATGTCAGCAATTCAACGTCACGCAGGGAGGGGAGGTGCAACGTACGATGGGGCCGGCCGGGATGTTTCTCGCCTTTCCGCCCAGAGCTTGGGCGATGATTTGGTGACCGAAGCATATGCCCAGCATCTTCTTCTCTGGATATCTTTGGGCCGTATCCCTGACAAAGTCCATCTGCCGTAGAATCCACGGCTCGGGAGCAAGGGAATTCCCTTTGCCGCCGCTGAGAATGATCAAATCGTAATCATTCGGGTCGGGATAGTCGCCACGGATGATGGGGTCAAAGAAACCGACTAGGGCATGCGGTGCTACCACTGCAAACGCATCCACGAAGGCTTGCTTGACCTCGGGCCAGAAGGTCGTGTGTGGTGGATGGTTGACTAGGACCGCAACTCGAAGTTCCTGAATCGAGCCCATCAGGGTTTCTGGAGGCTGAGGTGCTAGACAGTTGGGTCAACGATTCTGACGGGGTTTGCTTCCTTGGGTATCGGCCGACGAGCCCTTTTTATACCTACAAAAGCGCAAGAGACAATCCAAAGGAGAGAAGACGCATTGTGAGGACAGAAGAGAAAGTGAGGGTCCCCAGTGGGGCCATCAGGCGGTATCCGCTACATAATCTCGGTACCCGCTGGCATATCCGATTGTATACCCGATGACACCAACGACAACGCAGGGTTTCCCGCTGCTCTGTCCTTGGTGCAAAGTCGCTCGCGGGAACGAATACTCCGAATCAAAAGCAACGCTGTCCGTTTTAAGAACGCATGCAATCTTCAGAAAAAGAAATGACTGCCTCTGTTCGGTTGTTTTGCCGGTAGCATGAGTCATACCGCTCTCTTCGGCATGGACCCTGAAGTTGAGAACTCGTACTAGTACATTAGACGGCGAATGCGGCGCATCTGGCAGCGATCATAAAGTTCCTAGAGAGCAGACCCTGATACCACCACCAACTGAAAATACCATATACTATATGAGACTATGAAGTGACAATTGTCTGTGTTTATCAATACTATATAGTGTATAGTGCCACCAACAGATTTTTTTTGCAACTCGACACCTCATCTTTTGTGTGACTACTAGACTATGACCGAGGACATCCAACTCGTGACCTTTTTGCGGATTCGTGAGCTCATCCCCAAAGGAAATTCAACCTTGCCAGGCCTTTTTTGCGTACCGCCGGTGGTTCAGGATGTGCCTCGTAAATTGCTAGAAGATCAGCAATCTGGACTTCTGCCAAAGGTATTATTTTCGTTTTCATCACGAACTTGTGTCCAAAGTACAAGACCAATACCAGGGGGACATTTAGATAGGCCGCCACGAAGACCTCCGCATCCCAATGTCCTTTGATAAATGTAGTATAGCCACCGGTCAGTAAGATTAGCAATTGCATAGCCAAGGCATACCAGCTGAGATAGGGCTGAAATGGCGATGCCCAGGGTAGGCGGTCGTGACGATCGATGTTTTGTTTCTTCATGGCATAAAACAGGCGGAGAAATGTCGTAGTAATAATGATCCAATTGACCAGAGTGGCGATGGCCACCAAGTCGAGGAGCCAGCCGAAGACGACACTTGCGCTCCGAGAAAGCGTCATGTATCCCAATCCCATGAAGAGGCCGAAAAGGCCCACTGCGACGTAAGGAATACCGAAACGATTGACACGTCGAAATATTTGAGGGGCATTCTCATGCAGAGCAAGCCCGTAAAGGACCCTGGAGCCTCCCAACAAGCCAGAATTCCCAGCAGACCATGCCGAAGTCAGGACGACGGCGTTGATGATCGACGGTACGACCTTGATTCCGGCACGTCGCGCGGCGATGACAAATGGAGACTGTGAAGCGTTCCCGTTTGAGTGCAGCAAATCCGGATCGTTTGAGGGGACCACTAGCCCGACCATGAAGATGGTCAGGACGTAGAAGAGAAGAACTCTGGCGAAGATCCTCTTGGCGGCCATCGGAATCGCTCTTCTTGGGTGTCTCGTCTCCGCAGCAGCGAGACTGATGGATTCAATGCTGGCATAGGCATAGAGTGCGTTGGTAAAGGTGGTCCAGAAGCCTGCAAATCGGCCGGTTGCTCCCGGGATTCCCAGAAATTGCACAAAAGGGCCAGGTTCCCTCCAGTAGCGGAAGCCAATGGACTCGCCGGATGGTCCACCTCCACAAGTGATGACGAGAGCTAGAATGTTGATGCCGATGATCAATGCGATCTTGAGAAGAGCGAATGCGAACTCCAGCTCTCCGTACACTCGGACAAAGACAAGGGTGGAAATAAGCATGATACTGCCGAACACCGTGATCCAAACCGCGGGGTTGAGGGAGGACCAAAACTCCACGAGAACGGCGGCAGCGACCAGCTCGGCTGGAATGGCGACGAGGTATGAATACACCATGTTCCAACCCTGGGCGAAAGAGGCACTGCGGTCGAAGAAGTATTCGCTGTACCGCACGTAGCCACCACTCAGAGGAAGCAATGCTCCCATTTCCCCGACAGCCATGACAACAGCACAGGCAACCGAACCAGTAATCGAATAGCCCAGGAACGTTCCCAGAGGCCCTGCCTTTGCCAGTGCTTGTCCTAGGCCAAGGAAAAGCCCAGTGCCGATTGTACCCGCAAGAGCTATCATCTGGATATGTCGTTGTTTGAGACCCTGTCGGACATATTTGAGTTCTTCAAAGTTCTCAACAGCCCTACTTTCTGTGAATGCAGCATGTTCGCAATGTGACGGCGAACCACTGATAGCAGGTATTTTCTCTCCCATGTCGACAACCACGATCTCTTGTCCCCGTACCATGGTGTTGTTGGATAGAGAAGGTTGCAGGTTCGTTGAGGAATACTGATTATGGCCTGTTCACACTATTCAACTTGCTGGTCAAGAGCAAGAATTATATTCATCCCTGGACAAGGAAATGGGTTGTTTTCAACATGCAGAGTGAATCCTGGTCATCCGCATCCATCGGGTATCTGTGCCCGTGCAATATATGATACCCGGCACCTTTGGAAGCCTTTTCCCCTCCGGCTCACAATAGCCGACAGAGATCTGCAGATGCCCTCGTCGCCTTTGACCCTGACAATATGCCATACCGCTGATGGTGACTTTTCTCATACAGAATCAATGCACAAACTTTTAACGATTCAACTAAATTGTTCTTACTATTTTACTATAAAGGAAAACTATTTTCTTGTATCTTGACTTAAACTTATTTACTAGAATCTTTTGCGGATTATTTTAATTGGTTTAACTTGCAATCGGCGTCTTAGCGCTTCGTCACGAGAAGAGTTTTGATTGGACACTCCAAATAGCGCGTTTTTAGGTGCTAAGGCAAACAAGAGTCTGAGAATCTGAGACAATGGCGTACTGTATTGTATTTCATTTCGACTTTTCCAACCTCCCACTCACCTCTCACTGTACCACGCATGAGTTGTGCCAGCAACGTGGCTGGTTGCGCTTCAACATCGTCCTGCATGGGACGCCGTACAGCACACCCATATGTCTGTATCCACCGTACTGCCCACCAGCATCAATCATGCTCCGCAAGAACGGGCGGCCTGTGTCGTGTGAGCCTTGCCGCTTGGCGAAGGTTCGATGCGATCATGCGATGCCTACCTGTCGTAGATGTGCGAAGCGAAACATGGCAGACGAAGTAGGCTCCACTGCGCCCCTGGGCCTGAACCTGAAGGCGCGCGACCATTTCTTGCTAATGGCATGAGGGACAGTGCTATTATCATCCAGCTCCCATGACCCACAGGAGGAACAGGAGCTCCGGACTCGGATCTACAAGGACTCGAGACCAAGACAACCCAGTTTCGCATCAGAGAACCCATGGGACCCGAAGAGAGTCCCTCGTGGCTCAAGCAGCGCCCATGGTGCCTGAACTGCCGAGTGATGCTGGCAATACGAGCTCTTATCCCAGTACTGGCCGGGACAGCCACAGCGTGATCGAGACAGGCTTTCTCGGATCCACCAGTTTCTTGTCCGTGTTCGCCGACGACGGTACCGAGAATATCAGTTCCCCCGGCCTCCCAATTCCCATAGGTCCAGGGCGAGCTCGATCACAAGCTTACCAACGCGGTCTTACCCCAAAACTTCACCTGGTGGAGATGTTGCGTTCCTCATTTGACAAGTACGAGACACTTGTAACCGACTACTACAAGCGCAGCTTCTTCACGGTCATCCCTGGCCCACTGATCCTTCCTTCACTGTCGCGGATGAGGTCCTTTCTGGAGTGTCCAGACCCTGAGAATGCTGCAGGGAACGGACTCCGGGTGCGCAAGGCCGATGCAGACCACCACCTCGCTGGGAAAATCACCAGGAACAGCGAAGGGCCGTTACACATAAGCTCGTCCACCACGCTGGAGGACTTTCTTGAGCTTTACACGGGTCGACACTGTCGATGGGAAACGATCGGCGTCATTCTTGCCCTCGCTGGAACCGCGGCCGTTTTATCTCCGAGGCAGACCACTTCCGAGTCGTCCGGCAAAGGTTCTGCAGAAGGCAAGGCGCTTGCGGCCGACTTGCTCGCAGCGAGCGACGTATGCATAAGTATCTGCGAGCAGCATCGGGGCCTGAGCGACATATTCATCTGGCTACGTTACTCAAATGCCGGCCTCGCGGCCCACATACTCGGTGACATGGGTAAGTGGCCTCGTTGAGCACTCTCACACGCGCCCGGCCAGGAGTCGCCCGCGGCTAACAACACCGGATTGCATCTTAGATAATCACCTCTATCGTCGCTTTGGTGAGTTCGTGTGTGACCTCTTTGCGTTGGGTTTCCATCGCCAGAGAAGCGTCGAGTCCGGAGTGCCATTTTACCTTTCCGAGACCCGCAAGAGGATCTTCGCCGCAGCATGTCGACGAGACAAGAATCTTGCCACCTTTCTCGGACGCCCTCCCCATATCCACCGCTCCTACTGTGACGTGAGCCTTCCTCGAGACCTGGATGATGAAAGTGTTGCCCTATCCGGAAATGCGCTAAACACGGCTCTTGACAGTGTGGACGCCGCGGGCTGGAGCCAGGTGGCTTTGCCCGAAAAAAAGCTGCGGCCTGCGACTGTGATCAGACTCCGGCACCACACTGCTGTGTTGCGTGAAAGAGTGCTGGAGCTCTGTCTCGGCCAAAAGTCGGATCGAGTGGTCGAGGATGCAAGGTACGTGACGAGCCTCAGTCCAGCCCGACCTGCATGTAGGAACTGACAGTGCTGAAGCACCTTGATCGACGAGTCTCACCGGATGTGGGTCTCCATTCCCTCCGAGTTCCGCTACGAACCTGACTGTTGGGGTCGACTTCCACCCACAGCGTGCATGGTCGTGCTGACCGTGTACCTCGAATACCTCTACAGTGTCTTCCAACTGCGACGTATCCTCTGCCAAGCCAACTACAGCCGACAGGGGGATCTCTTTCAGGTCTGCGTGCAGATGCTGTCGGCGGTTCTTGACCTGGTGAACCATTCTGGCGGGAGGGACGCCATCTTGGGCCGCTACTATCGAATTTTCCTCTTCTACGCCCTGCCTTGCGCCGGGATCTTGGCACGCGAGCTCCGGGACTGCGCAGCCTCCGGTCGAAGCCTGTCCGCCACGGTGTCCCGGTCGGAGATCATCCGGAAGCTCAGCGTCATCGTCTCCTGGCTGGAGAATGCAGACGTCGACCCGGGGGGAGAGCGCGGGGCGTGCGTCGAGGTGACGAGAGTGGTCGGTCGTTTGTTGGATGAGGCGCTGAATACCGGAACGAGTGGACCGTCGCGCGCGGAAACAGCCCCGCACAACGCGGCCCTCGTCGGCAACCAAGTTCGCGGCAGTGAGCGCAATTTTCAAGCTCAAAACGATTGGCCAAGTGGGCCGTTCTCGTCGTCGATCCCGGATTTCAATCCGCGAGCCGAGAGTTGGCTTTTTGACCACGGAATGACTGAAGAGTACTTCTCCTGGCTAGACAGACTCGACTCCGAGGGAGCATTCCCCGGGCTGGACTACGACCTGGATTCGACCTTGTGAAGCAAGTTTGATGTCGATATTGATGGCCATCTGCGCGGTGGAAGAGATCGTCATGCTCACCGAGCCGTTCGCGCGTGACAACTTGGACACAGCTAAACATAAGTCTGTCGAATTCTAACACAGCACATTGCATGTACGAGTAGATGTTACATGGGCTAGACTTGGGAATATTGTTTGGAGTACATTGGGAAGAGCAGTTCTAGGTCATACCTATGTATTTCACTGACGGACTCGATACAGATGTGATCAATGCTCATGAAGACAACATTGTCCCTCTTCCTTAGTACCAAGTGGACCATACTGAACCTTTCAATCAGGGATCATTTTCAATTTCGGAATTCAATCCACGATGCCAACACCTTTGCCAAGCTAGTATTCTGACCGTCACCGACAATGCTTGACTGCATCACTTTCATTTCCTTGCTCTCTTTCTGCCGCCATTGTGCACGGTCAAGCTCTCACTGACGCTGCGCGAACGAATTTCAAGCACGGTACGCCTGGTGGTCGTCGTGGTGCGGACTCGACGTCGGCTACGATGGTGATGTACAGTCGCAGAACCGATTATCTCAACGTCCGTCCCCTGATCTTCATTTACAACACCGTGCACGTCTGTATTGGAATCTTGAGACGAGCTTGTGATATCTGCTTGGTTTTGAAGAGCTCCAGGGAGGTAATAATCACCAGTCAGATCAATTTCAATTGGACATGTGGTAGGTGTTGTGACTGGGTCTGTTTGTGCAGGCTCATTTGTTCTACCTGTATCCACAGAGATGTCCTCGGCGACCTTTTCAAAAAAAGGCTGATGCCTCTTTCGTCGTACTTGAGATTTAGCGGTGATCTGATCAACGATCATAAGGTCCATGGAACTTCCAGAGGACTTGGAATTCACCATGTCTTGGGTAGTAGTGTTGACTGAAGTGGATTGAAGCTGGGATTTCGTCAAACGAAATACTGTCCGAATGTCGATATTCTTTCCTGCTCGTTTCTGGTCAGTCGTATCCTTGGGCAACTCCATGGCTGATTGATCAGCTGGTTGCAGTGCTGTAGTAGTCAGGGGTCCTGCGCAGGTTGCCTCTCGATTAGATTTCACGATGACATCCTTTTTGAAGAGTTGTGGAGTCGGATCTTTCTCCGCATATTCCAAGAGTTCCTTGGTGAATTCATCACTGGTTTCCTTTTCAATCGTGTTCCGCTCAGTACATATCGAGGATTGTGTATGGTCGTTGTAGGTTGTAGACTCGTTAAGCGATGGAGTGGTTATGTCTCCCTGGAGTGGTACAGCTGGTATTTGCAACCCAAGGGATTCCGAGATTGCGACCTCAGTATGCCCCGTCTTGTTGTCAACATTTTCCACTTCTATTAGCTCTGCTTTAACGCTTTCATTCGATGTTGTGTCCTGGGCAGCTCCCACACTGATATCAGAAGGTTGACATTCGGTTGACAGCTGGGCATCAACAAGACTCTGTAATATCTCATCGGATAGATCAAGAGTATTGAACGTAGTATAGAGACTGTTCGTCTCTACTTGTGGCTTTCGAGCGGGAATCTCCACCGTAATCCTTCTCTTTGTTAGAGATAATGATGCTTTAGGCATGTGACCCCTGACAGTAGAGCTTTCGGACAGAGTCGTTCCATATAAGCCTTCTACGAAAGCATCGTAGTCTGGTCCTGAAGGGCCTTTGTCGAGGTTCATAACCTTGAAATTCCTGATCAATTTATGGGCTACGACTTCTCTATACTTTGGGGTTACATCTTGAAGAGCCTATATGAGTTAGAATGTTTCATCATCCGTTGATCAACAAGTACTGACTCTTCCAATAATTATGCCTGACTCATGAGAGAGCCCCTCGAGACTTCGCATCAATTCGTACAGTCTTGAAGCCGCGGTATTGTCTAGGATTCCAACTGTCTTGCACTCGACTGAACCCCAGGTGAGAAACTATGTGAAGTTAGTATTGATATCAAGTCCCGGAGAGTAGAAAGCCTGACTTCGCCGTAGCCCACATAACCTCCAGGTAAGTTTAAACCATATTCATCGCAAAGATTGGGAACCAGCCAGATGGCTTTTCGCGCTCCATACCGACATTCTTGTTCTTCTTCTAGGACATTGAAGTCCACAATATAAATCTGAAGTGGTACGTCGCGGCTGTCGCTGACTAGCTTAAGTGCTCGGCGAGCGCTCTCAGTCCATGATAGAAACGGCGAGAGAAAGGTTTTATCCACATGCAAGTGTTGATTAGCAAGTTGAAGAAATGCGCTCTTATCTGTTGGTGGTCTCGAGATGGGTGTATCGGGGTTCAGAAACTCTCGTGCTCTGAGATTGTGAGCGGGATCACCAGCTCTCCAAAGTAGTCGTGGCCTCGAATGTGCACTGTTTCCCTTGTTGTTGAAATGAATCCTTAATTGCGGATTTATTCTTGTTGCTGAATTTTCGAAATCGTTAAGGTGATCGATATGAAGATAAGGGTCGTGGTTGTCGGCTTCTGGCTCCGGCTGATAGGAACCTTCAGATTCTGACGAAATTGTTGAAGCAGTCTCGCTGGGGGATACTGAACAAGTAAAGGGTGTTGTTGTTTCACCTCTCATTGATGAGCGCCTGACTGAGGCTTCTGCAGAGGATGGTGTAGTAACTCGTGTCCTCTTCGAGATTGTACATCTTCCACGTCTATCGTCTAGGACATCAATACTGTCGTCTGTGGAGTCGGTTTCCCAATCATTGGTATTTGCCAATGAACGGCTCTCTTGTACATGATCAGCAGCGCTTATCTCATTATCCTTACGCTTTAGATGAACTTTAACGTCGCCAGCTGCAATCTCGATGTCGGATATCAATTTGCGGAACTTTTTGAGGATGGCAGATTGTGTCAGTGATTGGATGTCGTTAAAAACCCCTCCACGATTAGTTCTCTTCATGTCGGCAATCTGAGACACTATTGTAGTCGCCTTTAGCCCGCGAGGAAATCCCTCTCGCCGAAGACGGTCTTTGTAGATATTATTGAATAGAGAACGCATTTCCCTAGACGAGATGTCATAGAATTTGTGCAAGACCGCTAGAAGCTCACGGTCCTCTGAAGTCCAAACATGCTTAGTGGTGTGCGAATTGCCCATACCATGACCGAGACGTCGACTCATGTTGTCAACCTTGAGGAGTCAGCTATGGGACAGCCTGAATAAGGGCGTGATAGACTTTGGATGGTGTAGAAGATAAGACAACGATGGAGAGTTGAAATAATTCTGGATAGAAACTGCCTCTCAACGAGAGAAAATCAGGATTCACCAGGAAGTGAGGTTGATATGAAGGCTGTCGTGAGAATTGAACGTCGATTAGCTTGTGAAAGGCAACAAGTATCGTAAGGTCTAACAGCAGCGTGATGCATGATGTCCTTGAGTAAAGTGAGTTGAGTTGAGTATTGAACAGAAAAAGAATTTCCATCATTGCTGGTATCTTCAACGACACCCCAAGCTCCAGTGAAAGGGCTTTTTAGATGTTCTCTGCCCGGTCTTGACATGAGAGTAACGATGAGATCTTCCAGTACACATTGATTGACGTCCATGTGCCTTGAGTTGTCTCTCATTATCGCTGTCCACCTCCCATCATTGCGCCTCGACGATGCCATGGTGCTGATTCGCAAGTGATTTGCTATCCCGTGCGAGCCCTTGAGACCTATGATTTCCATCTTGTCTGCGTTGATTCGCGGTCGGAAGATAGTGAAGCTTGCCACAATAGGGTGGTGTTTGCCGGAGCAGCTAGATGATTGTTTGATCCAAAGAGATCCGCATTCCCCGACCAAGTTTCGCAGACAAACTTGACAACGGGTTTGACTTCACACTGTATTGTCTTCATCCTGAACAACCGATTGCTGTCATTATCGACGTCCCGTGTTGTACTGTGGTGGCCGGATCAAGCTTCCGCCATTCCGAAGTCGCTGGTTTGGTGTTCAATAAAGGAAAGAGCGACTCACTGATCGTGGCTTCGGTTTATGTCCTTCTTCATACTTCATGCATCTTCCTCTTCTCCTCCGGTCTCCCTTAAAAATCTCACGAGGAAAAGATCTGTCTTAGAAATCTCCGAGTACTTGAACAAAATGTCACTCAGCCAACCTGCCCACATGGCCTTTGAGCCTTCGAAGCATCTCACCTTTGAGCCTCCACAGAGAATCTGGACTATGGAAGAGATTGGTATGACAGACAAGGGCGTCTCTCCAAATGCAGTTTCAGAACCCTTTTCCCTCTTTAATGAGGAAGCAGTCCAACAAATGAGAACCGAAGTCTTGAGTGAACCCGTCTGGAAGAATTGTCAGTACAAGAGCAATATTGCCCAATGCCAGCTGAGAGGCTTTGCTCCAGAGTAAGTATCTCACTGACCACCGAGTATTCTCAATGCTGACCTCGACAGATATGCTCCGTTCGTCTATGACGTCTGGCGTAGCCCCGAAGTTCTATCGATCGTCTCAAAGATTGCTGGTGTCGACCTCGTACCTGTCATGGACTTTGAAATTGCACACATGAATATATCCATCAAGAGCAAGGAGCAACAAGAGGCAGCCAAGCAGGCTCTACAAGAGAAAGAGCATCGTGATGCAGACGAGGGCGTATCCGACTGTCCATTCGAGGACGACACCCCAATTGTCGACTGGCATACCGACAGCTATCCTTTCGTCTGTGTCACCATGCTTAGTGACTGTACCAACATGATCGGAGGAGAGACCGCCTTGCGCAGAGGTGATGGGGAGATCATGAAGGTTCGAGGACCTGGAATGGTATGACAATAGTCTAGACATCGCGCATTACAAGCACTAACATCATTGCAAGGGTCATGCTGTTGTTCTCCAAGGCCGATATATCGAGCATCAAGCCTTGAGAGCCCTCGGTGGCACGGAGCGTATCACCATGGTGACTTCCTTCAGGCCCAAGTCAGCCTTCATCAAAGATGACACTGTCCTTACAACTGTCCGCTCCGTCTCTAATCTGTCAGAGCTTTACTCTCAGTATGCCGAATACCGGCTCGAGATGCTGGAAGAGCGCATCCGAGCTCAACTCAAAGAGATTCGTGACCGCAAGCGTGCTCGTCGTGGATTCAATACCACCAAAGCCAAGGCATTCATCAAGGAGCAGAAGAATTTCCTGGATTCAATGCTTCGAGAAATGGTCGACGAGGACCTGGTCACTGTTGGTTACACTGACGATTCACATCTCCTAAGTGATGAGCTCAAGCTTGAAGGCCAAGAGAAGGCGCTTTATCACGCGAACGGTGCAGCCTAGCTGGAGCTTACTGTATGACCACCGTCGTCACGAATTTGACTGCTTTGAGAAAGCATAATTGTTTTGATTGCTGAACATTATGTGCCAGGGGTCGGATTAGGGGTGGACACAAAATGTTTTGTTCTCTATGCAGATATCTTTCTTTTTGCCGAGCTTTGTACGATACTAGGTCAAGGGTCCAGGTCTCACATCACGTGCATATATGGACGTGAAAGATGTCTTCAATTGTTAGACAGATAGATAGATATCGAACACGTTCGAAGTGTTTTACATCATCAACCGAGTAGTCTAAGCTTCAAGTGCTCATGCAATGTAGATGTAGATATAGGTGTACAAGAATTAGAGTGCTACACGCCGTCGTCACTGTCCCTCACGTCATATAGGGGTGTCACTGGATCCCCGACCTTGATAGTGATCAGAGTCGAATCCTGTGGAGATGATGGCAAAGATTTCAAACACATGTGCATGCCGAACCAAACCTTTCCGTCCTTCCGCCGTGTCTTTGCCAGGGTGGTGAATGGTTCTTGTCGTCGCTGGGCGCTTTTCTGATCGACGCAAACCATCTGACACCTCTGACAAGGACCTAAAACATCAAAGGTACTACTATTGTTCGCAGAGTCTGCGTCTTGTCCGATTCGCAAACAAGTCCACCCGTCCTCGACGTAGGGGGACTCGCACTGTCCGCCGATGAGTTGCTCGGCGACGACGATGTTTCCTCGGAACGAATCGGCAGCCACGGCTTTGCCGACGCCACTACCACCGCCGCCGCCGCCGTTGTTTTGTTTGATCTGTTCGTTCAGTCTATTCACACTGGACCGCGAGACCAGAAGGATTGGACTCTCGTTGGCCAGGGCGATGGACCTTCCTGGCTCGGTGGCCTGGTGGCCGCGGGTCGAACCTGGGACGCGGACCTGTGCGTGCCTCGTCGTGCCCGTGGTGGGGAACCTCGCCAGCGTACAGGGGACGCCGAGGGCGGTGGTGAAGAAGTCGGAGACTTGGGGGCTTGTGTAGACTCGGACGTCGACTTGGTCGCCGCACACGGTCGAGGATTTGTCGGCCGTGGCGTCGCAGGGGGCGGAGAGGGAGGTGAGGTGGCGCGGTGATTCGTCGAGATTCAGTTCCAGAACGAGAGATGTTGCTGGTGATAAGGACGATATTGATGAGGCCGTGTCGGAAATGTATGACACCCTCAATACGCGGCTGTCGAGATCGATCTCGGGTCGCAAGAGGGCCATGCGAGGAAAACGTTTCTGGCTCAATGCGGCGTTGGTGCCTTGGTGAACGAGGCACCATTCACGATCCCACGCTAGACCCCGGGCGCCAACTTTCCACGGCGTGTCGGGTGGGATCTTGTACGCCGCGCAACTCTTGATCGGGAACACTGATAGGCTTTCGACCACGAATGACTCCGTTGGACGTTCTAATCGTAAGTTGGTGGCAGGGAGACGAAGCTGTGAGATGACGGCGGCGGGGGGCCCGGTGTCGACGTAAAACTCCTTGATGAAACCGACAAACGTCGCGACGTCTGCGGGACTGCTCATGGCGCCGAAACTGACACGGATGGCACCCGTGGGTTTGCCGTTGATGATGTCGTTGTCACCTCCACACCGCTGCCCGGCGGCGTAGTTTTGGCGCATTTCGTCGGCCGAGAGACCCAGGTGAGTCGCCACACCTCCTGGGTTGCAGAGTCCGCCTGTGCGGAATTGGATGTTTCGGACGATTGCGAGTTTTTCGACCTCGTTGGTGCTGACGATCTCGCCTTTGTTGTCCTTCAGATTGAAGGCAACCACCGGACCTTGATTGCCTTTTTCGGCTATATCGTCGCCGGAATACAAGACACAAACCTGTGCGCCGTTTCTGTGCCGGAGGTCGCGCAGATGACGCCGGAGCATTGATGCGAGAGACTTGGCGTGCCTCGAGACGTTGGCCATGCCGCCATACAGTCTTTTGTGCACGCCCAAGGCCAAGTCTAATGCGACGATGTTATGGAACGGTAGGGTGCCGTCCTCGAGTCGAGTGTGCAGGGATGATTCCCTCTTTGCGTGCCAGGTTTCCCCGATCATGGTCACCATGTCAACCGTACCGCCACCAAAGTATTTTCGTTGCAGCAAGATATCCCCTGATCGTTTTCGGACGATTAGAGCGCCGACGTCGGGGAAGCCAAAGATTTTGTAGAAGCTGACGGCGGTAAAGTCAGGAGCCGTTGAACCATCTGATAGATCTAGAGCGGCCGTGGATACTAGCGCCGCTGCGTCGAGAAGAGAATAAACGGGTGAATTCTGTGAGATGCGCAGTCTCTGTATCTTCTCCAACCATCGCATAGGTAGTCGTCGTCCTGTCATGTTGGATTGGGCAGGATAACCAAATAACAATGGTGTTTGATCATCGCCCTGGCTTGTCTGTTCCAGGCTAGCGAGCCATTGTTCAACTTCATCATCGTCTCTGAGACAGTGGCTTCTTTGAGAAGCCAACTCTCTGACGCCCACCATACTGGTGTGGGATTCTGCGTGGTATCGGTAATGGAAGCCATCGTTCCCATCCCGAAAGGCGTCGGCCACAAGCTTGACTGCAGCCGTGGCATTAGCCACAAAGATCACGTCAAAGTCGTCCGGGCTTGCGTTGAAGAACCGTAAGACGCTCAGACGTACGTCGTCAATTCGACGCGACGATAATTGAGACGAGGCTGATGCGGAATGGGGGTTTCCGAAGATATTGCAGGTGAGTTCTTTGGAATACGCCTCGATAAGGCTCTTAGCATATAGCGTGGTGCCAGCATGGTCGAGATAGGTTGTATGTGAGAGATTGGGATACTCTTGATTCCGAATCTCGTCAATATTAGTTATGACGCCCGTATCTGGGTCGATTGTCGCCACATGTTGAGCGTCTTTCGATCCTGCGCTGTATCTCGTCGATGTATCGTGGTCCATTAGGGTGGCCAATCCTGCAATATCCCGCGATCCTGAGATGAAAACGCAAATTTGGCACCCATGGATATCCTGTAGTGATTTGTGAACGAGGTCAGAGTGCCCTTTGGCTTATATCAACTAAGATTCATGTACGAGTACGTGGGAATTGCTCGAAAGAGAGAAACAACTAATGTACGACAGGCGAATGGCGCGGCTTGTAATGATAAAGATGGGGGGGGTTTCATTCCCTCTACATCGGCCTTCTCCGACGAGGGAGAAACGATGCGTGATTGGAGGAATGCCAACTCATCGTACAAAGTCGTACTCGTACTCGTATCCGTATGTCGTTCCCCCATTCTTTGCTTTCACTGTCCCTGGATGTCAGCCATCGTGACGGGAATTTGAGTGCGAATTCTTACCGATGAACCACCCAGGTCACTCCGTCCTATTCCTCTCACGTTCCCGTTTCCCCTTCGATGTCGGGTTTCCCCAGGCACCCTGGCCAACGGATTCGATCATCAAGGAGTCGATGAGACGGCGAGCCTCGTCCGCCACCATCAGAGGCCGCTCGGGAAAACAGGTGGCTCGATAGCGTGAAGCAATTCTGTGACCCACCGGCGGCAGTGTGGATTTGTCGGAACAATGACTTGCTCACCAAGTGTCAGGATTCGAGCTCGTCCAGCTCTACGACGAACGAGAGTTCGGAGGAGAACTCGGTCGACGTCCCACTGCCGCCGCGGTCGAGGGTCTGTAGACCCGTGGTGCGCTTGATGCTTGAATCGCCGAGAGAATTTCGCTCCGTCAATTCCAGACAATCCAAGATCTTAGAATAGCACTCGGCGGCTACATGAACTGTGCCAATTCTCTATAAGTCATTACGGAGATATCATTGTCAGTGAAAGAAGTCGAGACTCGGTCAGCAGCGAAATGAAGTCGTCCTTCAAAAATTCTCAGGCATTCGTATTCAATCTTATCAAGTTCTTCGAGATATCTGTGCTAAAATGACCCAACTCTTGCCGAGAATTCCATAACTCAACCATCAATCGAGCACGAGCCGAGAAAAGTCGCTGGGCCGCTAATACATATTTACGCAATGTCGCAAAAGGACAAGAATTGTCAACACATTGCACCGCCAATCTAAAGAAATTCGTTAGTCCAACATCCTATTTCTTCACTCCTGGCCCCGATGCGCCGCACACAGGAGACTATTCGAAGTCTTGGTCGTTCGTAGTCTAGACGTAGTACCGACGTCGACTGCTGCTTCTTCTTGATCCAGACCGAGAATGGCCCCGTCTGCTGCTGTGTCTCGATGATCTTCTGACTTCCTTCACAACCACATTCCTTTGATGCCGGTGAAGAAAGAGGGCGAGGATAAATGTCCAAAAGAAGTTGATAGTATTGATGATGCCCAATGCCCAAGATGCCTTCAAAAGAGAGCAATTTTTATTGAGGTGAACAGCCCATGACGAACCGCTGTTGCGGCCATAGTATCCAAATGGTCCAAGATTGATATAGATTGAGCCACTTGAGAAATTATTGCAGTTCACGTTGCCGATGCCTCGGAGTTCATAGTCCGCAGCGATGAAGGCGCCGACGAAGCATAGATCGATGAATGCGACAAACATGGCCGAGCGCCGGGTAGACCCGAGACGCAGTAGGGTAGCGACAGCCCAAGCGCAGGCTAAGACGGAGACAATGAAAAGGACGAGGATGAAGGACGGAGTTAGTTGGTTATTGTCATTGAAACCATCGACAAACCATGCCTGCAAGGTGGTTAGTGATTCTTGTTTCATCAAGAAATGCCATCAGCGCAGACGCACCAACATCCCAATGATGGGAATCAGAGTAACAATCTCGAAAATTCTCGCGAGGGAGAAGAGTAACCCTCCAAGCATCGTGCCGACAGCCTCGTACGGGCTATTGGAACTGACGGCGTAGATTGTTGCTCAGGCTTCGGTGGTGCCGTCCGTGCGTGCGGTGAGATGGGATGATGGTCACTGCTCGACGATGGTCCGCAACGTGACAGGTTCAATGCGGGGTTACACAGATCGATTCGTTCGATACCTCGACACGATCTCACCCACGTTGTGCGAGGAATGCTATTCGTATGAAATAGAAAGATGAAAAAGAAACTTGGAAAATCTTTCCAGCCTACCAATGTGACTATATACGGATCAAGAGGGAGAAGTAATACACAAGATCTTGAGAGATAGGCGAGGATAGCAAGCAAAGAAGGAGGCTGGGGACATGGAGTTGTTAGTGGGATGATTTTGGATGTGGCTGGTTTCGTCCGAAGAGAAAGCCGGGCATTTTGCACATGGTTGACGCATCCTCCGGCTAACCATTTAGGCGTTGAATGTACGTACAAGGACCATGGCAGTGGCGCCCAACAAGCTTGGAGAGGCCCCTAGCTTAGTGACCCTGGTAAGCCTCATGGTCCCCGATAGCCGCCTGGTGACCGACCCGAGAGTCCGTAGCAAGGCTGGCGAGGCTCCGGAGACAATTGGCTGATTCTCGCGCTGCCTGGCTTAGCCTTGAATTTAGTGGCCGAATTGCGAGGCTAACTACTCCGTACTCCGTAAGGGAAAGTCTAGCGCCTCGAACCTTGTGATTTTTCGGTCAACGTCCTTCATTCCCAGGTTCGCTTCCTCTTGTTCAAATCGACTTGCTGTACATAAAAAATTTGTTGAAGCGCTGCAAAGGTACCACGCAGCATTATTCATTCACGTGAACAGACTTCTACGTCTGTTTGAGATCTTCCGATCCTTCATTCCGCCATTTGGGAGTTCATTCGACTTTCTAGCGAGACATCCCACATGATCCAAGACGGGCGGCTCCAGCTTTTTGGTCATTCATCAGTCTCTGTTCCCAGCAACCTCTTGTCTCCCGAACACAAGCGCTTAACCTGTGCTCCAATTTCCACATCTAGATCCTGAATGGCAGAGGCAAACGAACATCATGGAGACCTACCGCCCGCTCGGCATACCCTCTCGATTCATTCTGATCGTGAGGCCTTAGAACTTGACCATGCTCAAGCGAATGGCTTCCCCCCTCTAACGACGGTCGTTACAAATCAAAGTACTCCCCGAGCCTTGCGTTGGTGGCGGAGACACATCTCGTTGGGTGTCCCACATGTCAAGTGCCGAGATCATTTGGGTAAGAACAGAGGCGGGGGCGATAAACTCCTCCTGGCCTGGGACATCATGACCTGGCTAATCTTCTACCTAGCCAACGAAAGAACCTTTTTGGGTTATCTTCGGACAGGGCAGGCTTTCGCGATGCTAGGTGTGATCATTGCCCAAGTCATGCGTCTTCAACACAGCATTACTCCTGATCCAGTCTTGGGTTACTTCGCCGTCAGTGTGCCCTTGTCATCTGCATGTCACGCGTCAGCAATTGCCGTATCACTTCTGGGAGCCATTCGCTTCTTTCGGTATCAGAAGGAAATGGCTCGGGGCTATGCTGTATGTGGTGGATGGGAGATCAAAACTGTTGGCACACTGGCCACCATGGTATGTCTATCACCTGTGATATTGACTGCCTTTGCTCTTCTAACGCTTTTAGGTAATATTATCTATGATCTGCCTTGTACTAGCTATCACAATCGAAAAGGGATAATCCCCAATTTTCATGCAGAGGAAACTCCATCCGTCACTCTCACACGGCCGCCGGCCTAGCAGGAATAGCAGGATGGACGAGCAGCGGCTTCCACTTGAGGACTAGCCTAGCATGCAGTCCAGAACCGCAAAGTCCGTCTAGCTGCTGTTCAGCCGACCACGGAGATCCGTGCCAACATGCAATGAGTCAGCAAACTTGATGATTGCATAATTGATGCTATCTGGCTGCTGTAGGCGAGAGACTTATCAGCGCCCTTTTTCCGTGCAGGCCTTGTTGGTTTACAAGTCGGATCGAGAATGCACCTGATTTGACGGCAGAGTGACAAAATCTTTGATCTCCCGGATCACATTCGCATCATCTGACGATAAAAGGCACAGCATCAGACAAAGGAACCCAAACTCTGAAGCCCGGATGTTCCCTAGTGACTGGCCTCCAAGGTCGTATTGTGCTCTATCACAACGAACCGTTTGTGGGGAGTTTCCTCATGGGATCGTCCATATGTCTATGCGGCATCATTCCTCCAGGTATTCACCAGTCACAGACGCCAAAAAATCAATAATTACATGCGGCCATCTGGCCATCTTTCTGCATGAATCTCTGTCGGCCTGGTTAGGAGTGTGATCATCCTGTGATCCCGAAGTCTGCCTTGATCGGCCTCGAACCGAAAGGCCTGACCTAATGGTAACCCCCGGAAAAGGCGCCTATGTTAGCTAGTCACGTGATTATATCGTCGTTCTCTTGCACGATCTCAACAACATCCGCGAATCCCCTCTTTCAACACGATAACGGCCTTTTGCAGAGTGAAGATGCTCTGTGCCACTCGCATGGAGAAAAGCAAGTTACTGTTCATGAAGAGTAACAGGGAATTCCGCTTGTGTGATGACGAATTCGTCCCAGAAGGATCGAGCATCTATCTGTTGTACAAGAGTCAGAATCAAATATCACTGTCCAGGGAGTTGCTGAACAGGCTGTAATATTTGCTATCTTCTTGATGTAAAACTCCAAGTCTTTCAGCCCTACTCTAAGTTGAGATGCCAACCTTGTCCCGAAATTTGATATTGTGGATCCTATCTCAGCACGCAGATTTGGCGGTGTAGGCCATGCCCACACCACAAGACGCATTCTCAAGACTTTCGCTGGAGAGCTACCTCGCCTTCGAGGATTCAAGATGTAATCTACAGCACAGGAGGCGTGAAGTGTGGGATATTCTTTCCTCTTTCGATGGATGGAGGTTTGCGATTGAATTCAGGCCTGCGGACTGGGATAAAGTGACCGAGGTCCAGCGCAATTCCGCCCTCACCATACCCGGGGACTTGGAGGGCACCATGCTTTATAGAGGTTGCCACGACGTTGCAGCCTGGCAAGCCCTCAACAAGGCTTTGCCATCCAGCGTGCGTGCCAGGATGTTCGGTGAAAAGCTGAAGCGTCGTTTCGTTAGGCGGTTCCAAGAGTTCGACGGTCTACGAAATGCCGGCCAGGGAGGGAATGGGGCGCGACGTAAACTGGAGGATATCGTACGGGAATTACGATATCTTCCAAGGATTGCCAAAAAGGATCTCATGCAACGACGTGAAGGCAAAGCAACTACCATCGTCGTCCTTATCAAGGCCTTGCGGGATGTCTGCGGGAGCCAGGTCAGCATACCGTCACTGCCAGGGAGTAGTCTTTATCACCAACTGATCCACAACGTTGATTCTGACCAGGACATGTTTGTTCTCGATGCAATCCGGGCTGTCAACTTCAATGATCCATCGTGGGCGATGACCACTGACGAGGTCCGTGAGGTGACCCAAATACTGCAACGCATCGAAGCCGCTCTCCGGTCCATCACCGCCCCGTCGCTCTATACCGCCACGGTCCGAGACATCACGAATGCCGTTCAAGCAAAGGCTCCCCGCAGACGTGGAACATAGCCAACTGAAAGTTAGGATGTGCAAAAGGTCGATTGTGCGTGTCTAGGGGTGATGGATCTTGAAGGGTGAGGTTTGATGCCGCGTACTCTGGATCGGCTTCCTGGCTTTTCTGGTTTTTCTAGTTTCTGTTATCACCGACTATTACAACACTACTGATGCCCGCGGAGTCGACCATTCATTCCAGCAGAATTTTGTGAACGAATTGGCCCATTTTAGTGACGTTTCTTGCTTGGTAATTACAAAGTCAACTTATATAAACTTGTTATCTACGCAGGTAGAAAGTAATGATGATGCCCGGGCGGCTTTTTCCCATGATGAGGTTGCGAAGTGGATATTGGGTTTATCCGGCAGTTTCGTCCGAGGTTCTGACTTATTTGATCAGCACGAATACGAGAGAGTGCAGACTACGAGTATTGCTTTACTCCTTGGGTACTCCTGAAGTACGGAGAGCCTTGGGTACAGTACCTAAACGGAGGGTTGGTTGATAGGTACTCTATTATCTGCGTCTTACCTCCCCCTAGGTTACCTTCCTTAACTTCTACGGTGGGGTGCTTAAGGTAGTTGGTTCCTGAGTCAAGCACACTATCATCACCAGTTCGCGGGGTAATCTTGAACTGCATCTACTAATAAGTATTTACTCCGTTTTAGGGCTTTTTCGGGCAGGCGCCAAATATCCGGGCGCTCTTCTCGGCACCCCGGGTCTTCCTCGTGTTCATACGAGTACGAGTACGCGAGTATGTAAGGTCATCGTTAATTAGGTACTCAAAATGTGTAGTAATAAACGTCACCACTGCCTAGGTATCGATTCGAATGTCGATCCATCTTTCTCCGCAAAAAAGGGTCTTGTTGACTGTCGACGAGCTTTGTCGACTTCTCTCCTCTGCAGCCGAGGGACATCAGGTTGGCGCCTACGAATATCCGTACTCTCTGCCCACTCACCATCTAACCCCGCATGGACATTTCTTGCGAGGCTGACTCGGGTCTCATTACTAAGATACCAACGAACCTTTCTGACTCGATAGGCTCGAGAACATGCCGTTGCAATCCTACCTGTGCATAAGGAGGGCCGTCTTCTCGCCGACTGGTTAGATGACGATTGTCCCCCCTCGGAACGCCTCCGTTGCTGGTGAATTGCCGCTCCCAAATGTGATGTTCAGGCATCCTGCCGATACATCTACCTCCCTTACCTTGGCTGGTTGGTTTATTAAGGTCGACCCTACCCGCACCTTCCTGTGACAACGACTTCGTCACCAACCTTGACTTCATCAAGAATTGAACGCAGCCCTCAATTTTTTTTTTTCGTTTTCAAGCTGATTCGAGCGTGCTCATCACAATCATCTTACCCCTCCTCTCTAGTCCCACCACTGCAGGAATCATGGCTTCCGTTCAAGTACCTTCGCGTCACAAAGCTGTCGTGTATGACAACCCTGGCAGCATCTCGACCAAGGTCGAGGAAATCGAAACCCCCAAGCCCGGCGTCGGCGAGGTTCTGGTAAACCTGACGCACTCTGGCGTTTGTCACAGTGACATGGGTGTCATGAACAACTCGTGGCAATGGCTACCGGCACCTACACAAAAGGGCCAAGTTGGTGGTCATGAGGGAGTTGGAACCGTTGCTGCCTTTGGTCCAGGCACCGAGAACTCCGGACTGAAGCTTGGCGACCGTGTAGGTATCAAATGGATCGCCGCTGCTTGCGGCAACTGCCAACCTTGCCTTGTCGGCGCCGATGCCATGTGCACCACGGCAAAGATCAGCGGGTACTATACTCCTGGCACATTCCAGCAGTATGCTCTCGCTCCAGCCCACTATGTCACACCTATCCCGGATGGTGTACCTAGTGACATGGCGGCTCCGATGCTCTGCGGTGGTAAGTTTGGCCTACCTACGTTCCGACCCGACCACAACTAAGCAATCACAACAATGGTACAGGTGTCACTGTCTACAGCGCCCTTTGCAAATCCGGCGCTCGACCTGGAGACTGGGTCGTTATTCCAGGAGCTGGTGGCGGCTTGGGACATATGGCGCTCCAGATTGGCGCTAGAGGAATGGGCTTCCGCATGATTGGTATCGACATGGGCGAGAAAGAGCAGCTCGCCAAGGAGTGCGGTGCCGAGGTCTTCATTGATCTCGGGAAGTACTCGCGAGACGATGAAGGAACGGCAAAACTCGTCGAGGATGTCAAGGCTGTGACGGGAGGCGTTGGTGCCGCAGCTGTGGTGGTGTGCACTGCCAGCAACGCGGCTTATGCTCAAGGCTTGAGCTTCCTCAGATATCGAGGAACTCTTGTTTGTGTAGGCGTGCCCGAGGGCAAAATGGTGCCGATCGCAACGGCAGACCCTGCAACCCTACTTGCTGCGGAGAAACGCATCGTTGGCAGTGCGGTTGGCAATCGAAAGGACGCCATCGACACACTGGAAATGGCATCTAGGTAAGACAATTGCCGGACTTGCGTAAGATCCTGTCACTGACCAATATAGGGGAATCGTCAAGACTCACTTCGAGGTGCAACCGATGGATAAATTGACCGAAGTTTTTGAGCGGATGGAGAAAGGCAAACTACAGGGAAGAGTAGTTCTTGACCTGAGCGGGTAGATGAGAAATATGTATTGTGGTACTCCGTAGTATAGAGCAAGGTGAAGTGAGGTCCTCACAAGCCTTCCTATAGGAGATTTGAGACCAACAAATACATCTCATGAAATCCAATTTCTCCTCTCTTTGTCAGCTGCATATCCGTAAATTGCCTTGGGCGCCGGACGAGGCTGAGTTTGGAGATGGCGCCAACACCACGAATGGTTGATCCGCTGCGCTGTAGAGAATACGAGCACGTTAAATTCCCGCCATAACTGGCTGTCAATGAACGTTGGTGCTGGTCTCACCAGGTTCAGTTGCTACAGAAGTTCGATCTGAAGCAGAGAAGGCTGACTACAGGTGTTGGTCTAGTGGCCTGTGCAACTGCAACCGCAGCTGTTCACCTACCCCGTACTTTAGAATGACAATATGAATCCCAACCATTCATACAACTACTCACAGTCATCTCCAGGCCCGCCACAACCTCCCTGGCAAGCTCCTCCTCGCAAGTCTGGATGGGCAGATCCGAGACTCCAGCCTCAAGCGCCTTTATCGCCACAAAATCCGAACTTCCACGCCTTCGGTCCTCCTCTCCCTCCGCCGCCTGACCCCGGCCAGCACCCGCCGACGCACTTCGAGACGTCTTCCTGGGGTGTCCCCTACTATCAATCGACAGTATCGCAAAGTCAAGAATCAAGACCACCGCTGCCACCCCGTCCACCGAGCGCAACTGGCCGCATAAGTCCGCAGCCTGGACATGCTCCGGCGTTCGGAACCCAACAGCAGCCTCCCATACAAGCTCAAGCGCAGGCAGCATCACACCAATATGGGACATCATGGGGCGATCCATACCAGTCAGGACAGCCAGCCCAGGACTCTACGCTGTCTGCAGCCGCTCCGGTCCCTCCGCCTCCTCCACCACGTCCAGCGGCATATCAAGCCGAGATAGAGTCCTACCACAATCGAGTCAATACTCCCCATAATGAATACTCCCACAAGCCTCCTACACATCATTATGAACCCCAGCAGCAGAACACATGGAATACACCAAATGTCCCTGCGCCTGTGCCGTCTTACTATCCATCTGCACCGGCACCACATCAGGTTGCAGGGGCCCATGATGGATATCTGGTGTCCCCCATAGAAGCAAGCAATGGTCAATGGAATCATCAAGCGAGGCCTAATCCAGCCCCGGTAGCTGGCAGTAACCAGATCTCCCAACCGCAAGTGTTGGGTTTTGGGGGGCCTTCAGATTGGGAACACTATGAACCTGGAGTCCCCCCGGAACAGACGCCCACCAGTCCTCATCACCCTCAAGTTGGAGGTCCATCCCAATATCATGCCCCTGTCTCCCCGCCTACAGCATCTGCAGTACCTCCTACATCCCAGACACCAATGCCTGTGCCGTCTCCTACACCACCACCGGTGGAGATTGGTATTGCAAGCCCTGTGTCAGCAAGGCGAGGGTCACACCAACAATCGCCAAAGTATCAGGTGGAGTGGTCTCAACCATCAGAACACGATAGACCTTCATCTGCGAGCGGCCATCGTGTTACTGTCTCTGGACGTTCTGATAGCTCGAATAGTTCTGGAAACATTGACAGTGTCATTCACGCATGGACAACGCCGTTGAGGGTCAAGTCTGGGATGGATCCATCTTCCCGGCCCGAATCGCGGAACTCTGCTGCTTCACCAGGACCTGGTAGAGACGAGCGTGTTGCTGATCCATACGCAGACCTGGCACCAGAGTTCAAAGCGTCATTGAAACGATATGCCACTATGTTACGGAAGGAGGCGGCTGCAGACTCTGATGAAGAGAAGTACGAGATTTTTGAAGCATTTGTGTCGAAAGAGCTGCGTCTGAGGAGCCTTCTATACGGCGTGGAACTCAGAAAAGCCACCAAAGATGTGACAAAGGCTGCTAATCCTGTTGACATTCAAGCGGCACTGCCCAAACCCATACAGGATCATACAAATCCTACTACGGCGACCGGTTCCGATATTTCTGCTCAGCCAGCAAAGACGGCGACAGCGGAAGGCATTGTCATGAAGCCACCACAGGTAAGTGAAGAACGCAAACAGTCTGTTTTTACGACAGCGATTGCCACTTCAAACCTTGCAGCGTCTTCTCCAGTTGCTTCAGGTGCTGGGGACGACGAAGCATACAGTCCTGGCGGTCGTCCCAAAGTTGGTAAAGCTGCTGTAGCACCTCCGCCTGTTAGTGCCTCCCATATCTCGGATAACAAGACCGGTGCCAGTGGCAATGCAGCTGAGGAGGAGGCTTATAGTCCTGGCGGTCGCCCTGTCATCACTGTCCCGTCGAACGGATCAGCAAAGCCTTCAGTCACCATACCGCCACCACAAGACCCAGAACGTCATCTCTATCCTACTGGATTGTTATCCCCAAGTATCAATGCGCCGATGGTCCTAGAAGACTATGCAATGGCACAGCCGCCCTCCCCTGGGGCCAATGCGCCCATTATGATAGAACCGGCGACATCTCATGCTTCACCTAGCCAACCTTCTATAGGACAAAGACCACCCGTTGCGCCTATCAAATTTGAACCTCCCCGTCCCGCGTACACCCCATTTCGATATAGTGCTGCTACACAGGACGCACCGACAAAGCCAACTCAGCCAGCGGATCAAGCATACTCAAGCTTGCGACACTCGATGGCAGAGTCTGGTCGACTTATGACTCAAGAGGCATCACTGAAGCCCCCAAGGCCTTCTTCGGCCACCGGCAGGAAAGAGCAAGACGAAGCTTTCATAGGTTTGATCCGGAATCAGAGCATGGCTGTCAGGCAGAAGACCCCTGGACCGCCCAATGCTCTCAGGCTGGGTGACAACGTAGTAAGGTCTGAAACTCCTGCGTCGATTCGCGTAGGAACTCCTCCCATAGCAAAGATGGAGGATCCTTTCAAGCGGGCCGTGGTGTCATTGCGAGCTTTACTACCCGAAGAAAATTTCGCCAAGCTCAGTGTGCATTCTAGTGTACAAGACCTGAAGACAAAGATCGAGGCCGTGCCTGATAAATTTACCTTCATCCACGAGACTGTCGTCAAATGGGACCGAACAAACCGCGAGGTGCGAAGACAACAAGATGCCGAGCGAAGGGCTCGGCAAGAAGAGTCAGAAGCGCACATTGATGCCCTATTCAACGACAATGAGATTGGCTATGCTGATATAGGGGATTTGGAGGCCGAGTTCAAACTTGCTGAAGCCGAGCGACGCTATCGCGAAAATCAAGAAGAGCTCGAGTCCTTTACAGCTCAGGTCTACACCCCCGTGACTGAAAGGCTTCGAAAAGAAATTCAAGAGTTGAGCCAGGCGTATGCGACAGCAATGGACCTCTTGGCTGGAAACAGTGAGCCGGCCAGTCAGTGTTTCAAAGCGCGAGGCGGGAAAGCAAAGATGGCCGAGGTTATGGCTTGTGTTCTCACTCTCTTCAACAAAATTGAGATTAGGCATCGCAAAATGGCCGAAGCAGACGTGGAACGGGAAAGACGACGCAAACACTTGGAGCTCACCGTTCTCTATACAAATAACGACAAAGACGGTATGAAGAAGCTGGAGCAAGAATTCGCCGCTGCAGAAAAGGCTCAAGTATTACACGAAGCTCGAGCCAAGGACGACAGAGCGAACAAGCTGATGGACGCATTCGATCGAGCCACCGTCCGCGGACTAGGAGACAACCAAACGTTCATTGATGATGTCCTCGTCAAGGTACAAAATCTCAAGCAGGAGATTGCTCCCGGTGGACAGGCGGTCAAAGAGAAGCTCTACGAACCATCTGGAGCTCGCGACACATTGTCATTGATCCAAGACGCCGTGGATCTTATCATGACTGACTCACGCAAACTACTGGCATTATCGAACGAAGCGGATGTGCTCTTGAACGACGCAGATTTTGGAGTTTCTGTTGCAGAGGCCAGCGTCAGCAACGCCGGAAAGGAAACATATGCGAGCCTCGAAAACGAAAAGGCCAAAGAAGATGGTAAGTTGGTGGAAGAAGTGAACAGTCGCATTGCCAGCGTGGTAAGAGGACCACAACATGCTCTCGACATCCTTCACGGAATGATTGATGAACTTGGGGATGACCCAGAGCATCAAGATCGGATCAAAAAGGCTCTAGAGGCAGCCAAGCAGCGCAACGCCCTGAACGACCCATCACGAACATGAGTTTGACTCCCCCACCCGGGGCAATTTAGCCATTTATATCCGTGTCTAACCTATCTATATACTGTCTACTATCTTGGAAAGACAACTTGCAGCATATATAATAACGAGCGATTTCACATGAATACAGTTCCTGGTACTAAGATCAGGCGAGCGTGGAAGTCACGGAAGAGATCTGAAAGTTGAGGCGCAGGCGGCTCTGGGCCGCACGTTATCATGATACAGTAAAATAGTGTTTTTGATGGTGCTGCATTTCCTGCTGCAAACCCTGCAGCCCGTTCAAGGATGTTCCTGGCAGACCTCGCGGAGAGGGGGGATTGTTTTCCGCCACGGCGTGGCGTAGTTGGACCATAATTCAGGTTTTGGCGACATGTTTCAAAACGTCATTCGAGCGATTCAGAGCCATGATTTGTCGAGACGAGCGAACCTCCACCATCCCAGAGAGTTTCGCATGACACGCTGCAAAATGCACGGAGTACGGGTACGAGTACGGAGGCATATGTACTGTACTGTACAGTTAATCCACCGAACTAAGACCAGGCTATGGTCGTACAGTCTGAGACACTGTGAGGGACTCGAATTTGAGAGAGCGTAGTAGGTCGCTACACTTAACGAGGCTTGTTTAGACGGTGGCAGAAGGTCTCAGGAGCCCCACGGGCGGCGCAAGTCAAAAGGCTGACGTCGACCTGGGTCCTCGACAGCCTCATCTCTTCAATTGACCTGAACAAAAAATTGATTCAGGCACTTTTCTGCTGCCATCGACGAATGACACACTGCGACGGGCTAACGGAACGTTCGTGACATGCATCTTTGTTGGACGGATCCTGATTGCCATCCACACGTGACGTCGTCAAGGCTCTTGATCCTGTTGAGAAGGGGAGGGAGGCATTAGTGTGAGGCATGAGTGACGAACACAACGAATGGGTCATGCAGGTTGTCAGAGACACGACCAAATAAGTCTTCGGCTAGGAGGGTGCTGTAGATCAGAGAAATGGACGAGAGATCGGGATATTCGTGAGACAGGTGGATTGGCGATTGAAGAGACCAGGGGCAAAAAAACCATTATTGGGGAGAAGCATGTCAGCCACAAGGGAACCAAGGAGGCGAAGATGCCAGGGTCGTTGGTGTTGTTGGACGATGGCCGGGGTATGAGTCTTTTGTTCGTACGGGGCTGAAATGACCCGTTCCTCTCCGGGCGCCTGTTGGACGGGATGAGGGCAGGTGGTGGCTTGTGAAGGACGAAACGCCACACGACCGACAGTTATGTTGAAAGTGTAGATGAAGTGACCCAAAAGAGAAGGGGGATTGACGAATTCGGCCGATCTAAATTCAGATGGCAAAAAACAACATCCAAGGGTCGAAGTGACGTACGAAAGCGCGCTATACGGAGCAATAACTTTGGGCGGTGATGAGAATCTGGATCGCGCTGGGCGCTAGTCAATGTGTACCAGCCACCGATGACACTGGATGAGGATCGAGAAAACGAGATGAGGGGGAAAGAATACGATGGTGATGAATATGATGAGCAGATGATGATGATGATGATGGCTACAGAGTACTAAACTAGACATACGGAGTCAAGCTTGGAGAGATACTGTTACGACAAGACTGTACTTGTAGAAGTGGAAATTCTGTAGGTGAGTATGTACAGTATAGAGCGATCTCAGATCTGGGGTACTGTACCTAGTAGGTAGGTACAATAGGTACTGTATGGACCACAGTTCGCTCTAAAACCATGCCTAACTTGGGCATCGGTGCCTGGGTTTGGCTACAGTAGAGTACATATACTAGGTACCTATTTAGTCGGAGTTGACAGCACGGAGGATATTGCAGTAGACTACAAATACACAATAATAACAATAATCCAAAGTCCGACAGATGCAGATGCCTGCGTATTGGGTCTTCCCGTCGTGCCCGTAACTGACGCCCGCAGCTTTCACTGTCTGAACCTGCAGCGGGCTCTGGGCCGATGCGAAGAGTGTGGTGATTGGCAGGGAAGGCGGCACGACAGCATCATAGCTGCTCCGTACTGCGTTATGGCGCCTAAAGTCATTGGATCGGTCACTAATTTACTAGGCAAGATGATCAGCCTAGGGGCCCTTTTTTTACACTGCCACAATTGATCCCCGTAAGCCTACCTTATTACTCGTACCTAACGCTAACGAATGCCCACACACGCCAGGTGCAGCTCCCCTCCCTACGCCCACCAAACATCATCGTCGCTGTCCCTCTTCTGCCATTTTCATCAGCACCACTCGCACGAAGAGCTACAGACCATCGTTGCTCTCCTCAATCGTCATCGGCACACCCAGAGGGAACCTCGCTTCGAGGAATTCTTTATTTTTCTGTTGACCTCTGCCGACAGCAATCGTTGAGCCCCAAAAAAGGCCATTCAAATCTTCTTCTTGTCATCGTGCTGTCATTATTGTCACTCCTCCCTTCCACGCGCCCGTTACGAGTACCACCAACGGAACTACCCAAAAACAGCCGGGCCCTGGTACGCCATCACTAGCCCACCAACCTCAAGCTGATCCCTGCCCGCTCACGCTGGGTCCTCCGCACATCCCAAACACTGGCTCACGGGCTACAGTGGCTGCAGGTGGCTCAAAAATCCTTCTGACGCCACTTTCTTTTTCCCTCTTTTCACATCCTCCCGTCCAACCCTACGAGTACGATTCTTGCGAGGCAACCAGGTGCCACTCGGGACGGAAAAGCAGAAAGAGGGTCACATCGAAACAAGAACAAGCTGGAACAGGAACCGACGGCGAGGAAGCTGTGGCTCGTTGCTGGCCTTTCGTCTCTTTCTGTCCCATCCACCCTCAAGCCTCTTCTGGCTGGTTTCTCAACAGCCGCAAGCCACTTGACAACAATAGACTCCACCGCAACCCATTATATCCACGCCAGGGCGCTGGGTCCTGGCCCAATCGATAGCCTGAGCCTTGCAATCGTCACCTCTTCACCCATCAATTCATCATCCCCATCCATCCATCGACTTTGTGCTTCACTGCCTAGGCTTGGAAGGGCTCGCCCTGTCTTGTCCACAATTGTACACTTGAAGAGAACGGACACTTTCTGCGGTTTAGAAAGCACCGTCACAGACCACCTCATACCACTCTTCTTCCGCTTCATCAACCGTCTACTTCAGCCTTCTCGCCAAACCAAGCTCTACGCCTCAGCGCCACAGTCCAATCCCAACTGGGTTGTTGTCAAGCTTTCTTCAACAAATCGCGCGTCATTTCAACGGGGACGCTTTTGACGGCTAACGGGTATCCTCACACTCCTCGCCTGGCCTGTCTCCGTCTATTCTTGCCTGCCCACCTCTAATCGACTCGAACCTCGCTTTTGACCACCCCCAAAACTATTTGCTGGCTTCGCTGCTGGCTGGTTTCGACTCTTCCTCCTCCTCTACCAACACTTACCTCGCCTTCCTCTCCTCGCGTGCGCACGACAATTGTGCTGCGACAACTTCGTCCGGAGAATCATTCTCTTTGTTGATCTATCCCCCACACCGGCCGACGTATATTCGGTCCAGCCTCATTCGCTACTTGCGCCAACCGCGAATATTCCTTACTCTCTGCCTACCTAGTCTCAGCCCACCTTCTCCTTGCATCCCTGCGTCAACACCTTCGTTAGCAAACATCGTATCGAAGCTGTGCTTTGGACACACAAGATTGCCCTCTCAAAAGCGTCATCAACCTTTGACCGTTGTTCGCTTCTACTGCGACTCAGCCTGCCTGTATTCGAACTGCGAATCTCCTCTACCAAATTCCGCCTCAGTCGCATAACATGCTGTGTATCGCCGCTCACTTCGATTCCAAGAGATAGGACTTCAAATACACATCAGTGCCGGCGCATCACCTCTGCAGTTGAGGTTCAGCAACAACTCTGAACCTGTTGCGTCGGGAAAGACATTGGCCAAGATAATCGTCGCTTGTCCACGATCTGCGCGCCTGGACACATGTCCGCACTAGGTACGCTGCCACATTACATGCAAATGCCCTTCCCGTGTCAGATCAGGATCTCCATTACCCCTCCGTGGTTCTCGTCCGTCGCGCACGCGGCCTTTTACCTGTTCTGTCTTCGCTGACGTTTTACCACCCAGACCGGAACGGCAATGTCGAGACAATTCCTGTTTATGGCCGAGTCCAACATTGATCCGCAAGTAGCCCAGGAGGGTTCATCGCCGGCCTCCCCTACTTTCATTAAACCTATTAGTCCTGCTCAACAACAAGTCAAGCTTAGAGCCAGTGGGCCCGAAGATTTTGAGGACTCGACACGATCTCTAAAGAGGCGCAAGCTCGACACTCCTCAGTTGACCGCAGCGGCCGCCTTCGCTGAAGCGAGGCAAAAACTCTCAAGATCGACATCTCCAGCTAGTACGGGCACCAGCCCGAACCCTTCACAACAGGCTTTCAGCGCCCTCATGGGCGCGAATTCCAATCTGACGAGCAAGGCTCTGCAGTCTACTACGGACAATGTCACTGATCCCACGACTACAGTCAGCGAACCTCTAGCCGAGGTTGCTGAAAGTATCCAGCAGGCTTCTGCGCTTGCTGTTGACCCCTCTGCAACTGGTAATGGTCATGCGGAGCAGACCAGCCCGACCAGCATGTCCAGTATAGGGACTCTCGAGAGCGTACCCGGTGTTTCGGGCATTACGACTACCGTCGGGAGCCCGTTACCGATCGAGCAAACAGTTGGACAGGTCGTGAATGCCATGGAAGCGGGCTCTACCTCGCCTGGCGATGGGTTCAAGGGCTCTTCGTACCCGACCCCTGGCTTGCAATTGCCGCCGAATGAAGGCGCTAGACGAGGGATGAGCTTGCCTCAATCCACCTCACGACCAGGTACAAGATCTCCCTCCAGCAAAAAACATAGATGCCCCTATTGTGCCACCGAGTTCACCCGTCACCACAATCTAAAGAGCCATCTGTTAACACATAGTCAAGAAAAGCCATATGTATGCTCCACTTGTCAGTCGAGATTCCGACGATTACATGATCTCAAAAGACATACCAAGTTACATACCGGCGAACGACCTCATATTTGCCCCAAGTGTGGTCGCAAATTTGCTCGGGGCGATGCTCTGGCACGCCATAACAAAGGCCCTGGAGGTTGTGCCGGCCGGAGAGCTAGCATGGGTAGTTATGGTGGAGATGACGACGCCGAAGGCGACGAGTCCATGGAAGGTGTAGTATATGGTGAACCTGAAGTCATAGATGATGAAGCGGGCAACGATAAGACTCCGCGAATTCGTCGTCAAGCTCCTTCAGGAGACGATGCTGTGGACGACGCGGAACCGACCTCGCGATTCCCCAGCACATATCCTCCTATCCAAGGTCGGCCCCCTGGGGGACTTGCGGGTGGCGGTTATCAACCTCGTGGCGCTTTCGGCCCGGCCGCGGCTGGGTCCGGGAACGCTGCTGTGCCGCCTGGTGTGCCGCCTCCATTTCCGCAAGTATCGGGGTCGTCCTCGGGATCAAGAGCCTCGATACCTAACGCTGTATACGCGCAAAACCCGATGACGGAGAGTCCGAAGCCTCTTTCGCCTGGACAGGTTCACAGAGCATCTTTGACGGGCTCGGCAGATAGTAGTTTGAACCGCAATCGGTCTCCTAGCACTACGAGTCACTATCCACCAGGATCATTTGGTCGAACCAGTGGTACGGGCTCGTCGCTTGGTCTGCCGTCCGGAGCCCCCCAACTACCTCCCCCGAATGTGGTCAACCCGGTGGATTCCAGGTATACCTTACCTAGTCAAGGTGGTCCGGCCCATCCGCCCACACAGCCTTCCGGGCCTCCCACACACATGAGCGGTAGTGGACCACTATCATCTCACAGCAATAGTCTCTCTTCTGGCCATGCACATTCAGCCCATGGCAGTGGAGAGACTGCCAACATGTTTGCCGACAAAGATAGAATCTGGGCATATGTGAACAGTCTTGAACAAAGGATGAATTCGATGCAACAGGAGATTGAGAGCCTGAAGCATCAAATTACCATTGCCACACAAGGAACACAACAGCACCAAAGAATGTGAAAGAAAAGGATGCATACAAACACAAAAATCTTCAGCAACAACGAGAACTCCGATATCAGACGACTTTCAGCAGCGACCACGAAGAAGTGCAAGAACAAGAATTAAGACGCCATGTCTCACACAGATGACACGAGATACGTGGAGCGTTGAGCCCAAAAAAGGGACCATCCCAAAATGCATTGACAGGAGCAATGAATTTTTTTTTCCTTTATTTCAATTCATGCGTATCGCACGACTATATTCATAGATACCCCATTGAGTTTTGATCTTTTTCCTTTCTCCATCATAAGGTCTTTGCGTTTTCGCTTAGCAGGGAAAACAGAGCACCGGGAGGCATGTTGGGTTGTACGAGTTCCAGGCGTTGGCCAAGGGAAAGAAGGGATGAAAAGATGATCTCACTGGAATGAGAGAGAGAGAGAGAGAGGAACTCCGGAGATGGCTTATCTTGTAAAACTTTTTTTTCGGAGGGATAGGGTTTTGATTTGGACTTGGTAGAGAGACTTGGTCGTTACGTCAGGGTGGATTGGAAGGGTAATGAATGACTATATCGAGAAACTCCATCGTCCGTGTGTGTGAGGGAGAGAGAGAGTGTGTGTGTGTGCGTGTGTGCGTGTGTGTGTATATGTACCAATACGATTCAAAAGCTTTGATATCGACATTCTAGATTTCTGGACGGTTGATCATCAGGGTTCGGTCCTTTGCCAAGTATTCAGAGTGCAACTTCCAGGCTGCATCTGGAGACTTGCCAGCGTCCTGACTAGGGTATCTACTCGACCATTAAATACCTCTCGGTGCCTTTGTTTCATGAAACCCCTGGGGAATCGTTCCGCCCACGCCGGGTCCCTGTTTCCTTCAATACCAGGCGGCACACGGGGGCAAGTGTAGATATGGAAATATACCTACCTACACTTCCGTGTCTGTCATTCCAAGAGAGATTGATCCGACTCTCTCTCTCTCTCTCTCTCTCTCTCTCCCTCTCTCTCTCTCTCCCTCTCTCTCTCTCTCCCTCTCTCTCTCTCT